TTCTACAGCCTGAACGCACGGACTTTTGTCCCCATGTTCGTAAGGCCATTGGGATCAAGGATCCCGTTGTAAATTGGAGCAGTTCTTTCATAAAGATGAGCATGCCCATTGATGTACAGGTCCACTCCGTATTCGTAGAAGAGATTTTCAAATGCGGTCTGACAATTTGCACAGACAGAGCCGGAAGCAGAAAGATACCAGCCTCGATGGCCAAATACTACCACCCATGGTGTCAATGTGCGGTTGACAGCAGCAGCCAGATCGGCTGTTAGCCAGTCGACTTGCTGGTTAGTATAACTGCCAAAAGGCCCACCATATTCGGGACTTCCTTCATCAGGGCCTACGAGACCGTTTCCAAGATCAGTTTCGGTATCGATGTGAATGAAATGCGTCATTCCATAATCGTAAGAATGCCTAGCAACATATTTGTTAGCCCTTTCTGAATCCAGGAAGTTTCAGAGAAAGATTTCGGGAAGATAATTGAATTAAACATAACTTACCAGAAGTTTCCCACACCACTAGAAGGTCCGGAGGGCATACGCCAATTGTTTATGTAGCCAGTGAAGTCCGTCTGACCTGCTAAGCAAATTGAGGACGTATACTTTTGTCCGCTCGTCTTGTTGGTGGTTCCACCATTATCACAATTAGCTTCATGGTTTCCAGGATTCACCATATAACTATGGAAAAAAGTTAACCTTCGTGAAATATGAAAGTGTGCCTGGAAACATACGCTTTTTGAGATGTAATTATGTTCATCTCATCGAAGAAAGCGTTCAATATGCTCTCATAGACGACAGCACCTTGGGCAGGGGTCGTGGTTGGGAGGTAATTCTGGATCTCTTCCTTGAGCCAGTAATCGGCATATGCGATGTCTCCAGCATGGACAATGAACTCGTAACTATCAATCATTTCTGTAAGGGCTGCAATAGTTGTCTGCTCATTGACTGCTAGGGGGTTTGCTGCGCCTGTCCCAACCACAGTGCTCAATCCGAGAGCACCAAACGTACCCATATCCACAACGACGCCCACGGTGTAGGGAGTCTGGTCGCCAGCAGCACGAGCAGTGGTGAAGGTGTACGGGGTGGTGGCATTGCTGTACTGAGGAAGGTAGTAATACGTGGTGAATGGAGCCAGGCCAGTGATGTTCACGTGATTGTTGTAAGTCAATGAAGTTGGGTATGTGACGGATACAGACGAAGAGGCGGTCTGAGTCAGAGCGTTAGGGCTAAGGCCATAAGAGACAGTGGGGTTTGTGAGTTGAGAAAAAGTGTTCCAGGAGACTATAGAAGTATAATGTTTAGTATCTATGTTGACGTGCTTTGCTGCACCAGTAATCACTCACCCATCATGGCTGTTGGTCCTTGGTATGCCAGACGGATCTGCACTGGGTCGGTCGGCGAGTTGACGGTCTCGTAGCCATCATTGTACTGAGCAAGAGCTCTGGTAAGAGCCGTTGCGGCAATAAGCAGCCGGCTGAAGCAGCGCATTGTAAACATAGTTGATCGGATTCTTGGGTAAGGATGAGGTGTAAGGTCCCAGCTTTATAATTGTTCTCCTTGTATAACAACCCCATCATAGTGCTTTGTGATGAAGCGCATGCATTTCGTGCCGCTGTGATAACGCGGAGCCATTTGAGATGCCTAGGCTGGTGAAGCTACTTGATTCTGGCCTGTAAATTTTCAGCCTAAATCAATAGAACCACTCTAGGTACAGATCTGCCGCTGCAACAGAAGTGCCCCAGGGACCTGGATGTGTCTGAATTGACATGGTTGATTCGTGGTCTGTATGGAAGTGGTGAATCTAGAGCTTCTTGACAGCTAAAAGAACGGAACAGGAATAGCGCCGAGAGGTACGACATGCATAAAGCAGGTGCACGATTTCCCAATGCAGAACAGACATCGGCGCCAGAAGGCACGAAGAAGAAAAGATCGAGGGATCCTCCATGGTTTCCAGCCACTTGGACGTTAGGGTCTGTTCTAGGGACTTGAGAAAATTAATTACGAGGCACGTGGGCTCACTAAAGCCCACGTGCCCCTGAAAACAGCCATACAGCTTCAACACGACTGGATTCAAGGTAACAATTAGGCTACTCAAGCTTCCGTGTTCTCCTGAACTATTTTGAGGCTTGGAAATGAGACAAAGAACGTGCTATCGATTAGACGTGAGGATTCTCTCAGTGGACGCCTGACTCCCTGAAAAGGACGAAGGTATGGTGGTTGTTGGAATATTCCTGCAGCTAAAAGGGGTAACACAAAAGGGATGGAAAGCGTTCCTCGAGTTGTAAATGATGGATATTTACATTGAAGGACGGAAAATTACAGAGGAAAACGGTAATAAGGCGAAGGATGCAAATGAATAGCTAGTACGGTCACCGACGCTGTGGTAAGACGGGCGCAAGCAGCCGCAGCGGCACGTCAGCGTTTAAGCTTGAGCTGAACATCAGAGACACGGAATAGCAAAAGGAATTCAGACAAAGCACAGCCAGAGAAAGTAGCATGTGCACGAGCTTCATACTTGTTTGTGGATGAGACTTTGAGAAGAGCCCTGATCGAAATCCAACAGCTATCCAAAAAGTTTAGTGCACGATCACGTGCCATGGCGGGGTACCACTTGGCTTCAACATCGCTGGAACGAAACCACAGCTACAAATCACTTGCAAAGAGCAAGCTTCAGAAGATTTAGTCTTCAGTGTAAGTATTAGAAGACGTCTGAATGTTTTCAGATTCTGTGGATTTCCCTGTCTGATCAATGGTCATTGACCTTCGGCTTTGGATGACATGGCTGGCACGATTTATTGTATCTCCTTTCTGTGTCGTGATATGTACTTCTTGGCACATCAGAACGCCAACCTTCCATTACTCCAGAGTTCCAACACTTCAACCACAGTCAGCCAAAGCCCCAAACCAATGTTCCTGACAAAAATAGTATGGCCTGACCCAGCAGCCCAATTTCCATCCACAATACGTAGGCCACTGATATGCCAAACGTTATTCACAGCCCACACACCGACGCCTAGCACCCAAAAGAGTGCAGAGCGCTCAACGCGATATGCGAGAATTGAGAGGCACAGAAGCTGCAGACCAGCCAGAAGTGAGAGGTAGAAATGGATTCGAGGCTTGAGGGTTACGGCCAAGGTCCTGACACCGGCTGAGATGTCGTGTTCACTGTCCTATGAGGGGGCTTAGCGTCAGACAAGAATTGGCCTGAAAGGTCGATGGTATCTTGTATAAGAGGAAAAGGGCTTACCATAGTAGCATAAAACATATCAATATACATGATCCAGAAGATAATAAAGAACACCATAGGGGTCAATTCTTCCCTTCCAAACACACCGCCTCCTCCGTTGACCCAAGCTGGGAGCAAAACCCAAGCACAAGCAGATCCGAGTATCAATTGTGGGAAATCAATGAAACGCTTCCCAAGTGGGTAAAGGAGACTTAAAATCCACGCCGGCGTCCAGAGAACGAGAGAGTACGCCCCTTGGAGATAGGCAGTCGTAGAAAGTGTCACTGCTGCCCACCCAATGAACGCGAATATGGCGGTACGCAGAGAGACCATGCCTGATGGGAGAGGTCGAGAGGCGGTACGGGGGATGAGTCCATCGATGTTGCGGTCAAGTATATCGCTGAAAGTCTTTTGTTAGTCCTATAATCTCAGAGTAGGAAATGGTTGGCGTACTTCATGGTGCAGCATGTAGAGTGAGTAAGAGCAACAATAAGGTAATTCTTGAAAACCATGGAAAAGAAATCGAAGGCACCCATCGGTTGTCCCAGCGTGTGGATGACGAGGCAAAGAGTCCATACTAAATTTGTTAGCTCAGCTTTATGGAAGATGAATGACTGGAGAACTGTACCTGAGGGGTACCATGCTAGAAGCGTGAGCTCTGGTTTGTGTAGTCTAGCAAGCTCGAATATTCCACGCATCAAATTTCGATTTGAGTCTGTCGCTTCAGAGACATTGTCACCCTTCTCTTTTTGTTGATGTTCCTTTGAGTTCGAAGGCATCTTTTTCCAGTTCTTTCTCCAATTCTTTCTCCAAGTAAATTTTCCAGTGTCGAACAACCTTCTCGGATTTTCAGTCATGTAACCGATGAAAATCTCATTATGAACGAGAGATGGCACAATTGTGAATGAATGTGACAAATCTATAGTTCATAAATCGAGAGAGGAATCGAGAAACAGATTTGGAAATATGAAAACTTCGATTCCGGAAGAATAAGGAAGAACGAAGGAATGAAAAAGTTGAAATACTTATGAAGTGAAGGTCCAGCAGATGACCGCATTTGGTGGGGTTATTGTGGCTCATGTCTACATACACATACCCCTGTCTGATTGGTGCTATACGCGGACATGGCCTTGCCATTGGCAACGTTCGTACTCCGACGATAGTCAGTTTTTAGATCGAGAAGATGCCAAGATCTCGGATACTCGTAGCCGGGTGGAGTATTTAATCGATGTTTGTTCTGGATCTTCAATTCCTGTTGAGTAAGTTTTACACAATCGTGTGTATAAGCGAAGTTCAAAGGCGTTGAGGAGATGGCGAAGAATGTTTCCAGGAAATGTGATGCCAGATTCCAAATGTCGATATCGTTCCGGTACCGAGGGATAACGTTCAACGGTCGAGGATGAGATTCTTCCCCCTTTTCGTTAGTTAGCGGCCGAAGCGAGGGTCTGCTGTAAATTCAATTTCGATCCACCAGCTTTCAATCATACATATATTCACTGGACAGATTTTTACACGATTAAAACGACTTTTATCATAGCCAATCAGGAGGTATACGCGATCTGCCTAGTACTGTGCAGCGCGAATTGACCTTTCACGTGACTGAGAGGCGCGTTAGACTCTAGCCTCACTTGATCTTCGAACGTAAGACAACATGAGATTCTTAAAACACTCCATCACGGTTATCGTAAACAAGAATCTCAGTATACGATTTCTTTCTCCATGTCTCAATACTCATACGCTCCACTCTCAGAGAGACTCGACAGCATTCGCCTGCTTCGTCTGAAGCCGAACGAGAATGAGCAGGCTGAGATCGAATGCGAGCTCTTTGAGTGCTTTCTCCAAGTCTCTGGCAGACTGACGCACCATTACGAGGCTTTATCATACGTATGGGGTGACCCAAAAGCTACAGTTTCGATTCGTATTGATGAACATTACCTCAAGCTTACCGAAAATCTCCACAAGGCTCTGGGACAACTTCGAGATCCCTTGATAGTACGAATCATATGGATAGATGCTATCTGTATCAACCAAACGGACGAACAAGAGAAAGAACACTAGATTCAACTTATGGCGAGGATTTATGGCCCAGCGAGTTGTGTGATTGTCTGGCTTGGAGTAGCGGCAGATGATAGCGACCGAGCAATCGAAGCAATTCGTACGGTCGCCAGCAATAAGTCCAACATATCCCTGAACGACAAACCGCTCCATGAAGTGACTCTTAAGCTACTCCAAAGACCGTGGTTTAGGCGCATATGGGTGAGGCATTAAACACTAGATATTGCCTACATACGTTGTTGACATTGTATGCAGGTACTTGAAGAAGTTGGTGCAGCTCGACATGTTTTGATTCGGTGTGGATCGACAGAGATTGACGGATTCGCTTTCTGCTTAGGTGTGGAGCCGTTCATGAAATTCTTTGCCGCCTACCCAGCCGTGCAAAGTCTGATAGATTCAGTAACCTACCTGATTAAAGGTGCAACCTTCCGTCCGAAATATTCGACCAGTGAAATCTCTCAAGGTATCTGTCCTTTGGGTGAACTACTGGATAAGTATCATACACACGAAGCTACGATGCTCCACGACAAAGTATATGCCTTACTAGGTATGAGCTCTGATAGCCTCAGCAGATCTAGCCTGTCGCCTAACTACGGTATTCCATGGGAGGACCTCTTGAAACGACTTATCAAATTCCTTCTCGGTGAGAAGGTAGACGTGGAGACCTGGAAAGATACAGAGATGGCCATATTCAAGAGCAAAGGATGCATTCTAGGCCAAGTGAAATCAATCAGAAGGGCTTCGACGTTCGATGATAGACAGGAAGTGAATATCAAATTCACAAAGAGGACCGTGCAATTAAGATGGAAGGACCGAGAAGCTTGTTGGATGCTTCACGTCTCAGCAAAGTCCCTGCGCAAGGGTGACCTTGTCTGCGTTCTTGAAGGGACTTCAAAGCCTACAATCATCTGACGATCTAGAGATCACTTTACGGTCATCATGATCGCAGCTACTCGATTGGAAGATTTGGATCTGAAAGGAGAGGGTATACCTGTCTCTAAGCTGCTTCGATTGGTAACAAATTTCTCACGCGATTTCCTACTCGTTTGGAATTGGAAAAACTCTCTCGGAGAACTGCAAAATGCAAGTGAATACGAAAGATTCATGGGGCCAAATGAGAGAATCCCGGATCAGTCGAACGTAGTAATTGGTGGTTGCTTGACGCAAGCGACTAGGTTATGGAACGTTGCGTTGATACTTGAAGAGGTTGGTGAATATGCTAATGTGGAAGGGAGGTTTTATGAAGCAATAGAGGGCTATGAGAAAATGGTTGGGAAAGAGCACCCATTCACGTTGAAAGCCATGGAGAGCCTCGCTTCGATACACAATGCCCACCTGGAACGGGACTCGGCAGCGGACCTATTCGCACAAGTGATTCAGGCAAGAAAGAGAGTGCAAGGAATAGACCATCCTGATACGCTGAGTAGTATGGCCAAGCTAGCATCAACTTATCAAGATTTAGGTTACTCGGAGAGAGTAGAGAAAATAAACATGATGATACGTATTCTGAAGGGATATGAAGACAACAGCCGGTCCTCACAAGAGAAGCTAGTCTATATCGCGAAAACATTTGACCAAGAAGTTATGGCGCTTTGGATGAAGCGGATGGACAAGCCCCGAGTCACCGAAGAGGTAATCGAGGCCACTGCAGGGAACGAGAAATTTGGATTTGGGGCGACTAAGTTTTCACTCGAACAGATAGGAAACCAATTTCCGATCTCGGAAAAGGTGTTGAAGGCTGCAGCAGGGAACGGGGAGAGTGAATATGTAGTGACCAAACTCTTACGCGAGAAGAGCAGGGACCAAGTTCAGATTTCAGAAGCAGTATTGAAAGCTGCAGCAGGGAACGTATGGTGTGGTGATAGTATTATGGCGCTTCTGCTAGCATGGGCGAGGGATACAACACAGATTACGGAAGAAGTACTGAAGGCTGCGGCTGGAAATGAGAAGAGTAGAATGGATTTGATGGAGCTTTTCTCTAGGCAGAAAGGAGATAATTGAGGCGAATCAAGAAACTGGGCAGGTCTGAGAGGAAGTATGTTGCGCGCGACTATGGTCAACGCCCGGGAGCGGAGATGAGTTGTTATTGACGGAATGGAGCTCCGAGGAGGGTGCACTTAAAGAAGAGTGGCGGCTATCGTTAAAAGTGAGAAACCACAAAGCTAAGATTACAGAGGAAGTGTTGAAGGTTCTGGCTAAGGACAGAAGTTATGGGAGGTTAATGTTACACTCTTTGGGCAATCGAGAAGGGGCTCATGTCCAAATGATAGAAAGGGCGACCTAAGAATGGAACAGAAATTTTGAGGGGATAGGTTAGGGGAAATGAAAGAACCGGCAGGGCTTCCGCGAAAAGGACAACTGATCCAATCACGGAATCGGAGATATCAATAAGGTGAAAGGAGAAACCCCCAGAGCCAGTGCTACTATCCAAGATAGATGAATGAACATTCGTCTTGCAAGTGATATGATTCTGGAGAACCAGATGGAGAAAGCCTCCGCCCTGTTTCATTACTGGCACACTTTTGCCAGCTCAAAATAATATCAAGAAAATGAGTCACATTCGATGCACAGGAGAAATGTCATGGAGTCGTTGACTTCTCATGTAAAAAAAAGTCGTTTCTCATCTCAAAAGTCTGTTCCTAGCAGCCTTCTCTCCGCCAACTGCTCCTGTACTTTCTTATAACTCCTCCTCTTCAACACAAAATAGAAAATGCAAAGGTTAAAGATCGTGAACCCCGCATTCGCAATACTAAGAATCCAATTGGCAGTCTGCAACCCCACATCAACATTCTCTTCTCTAAACCCAGAAACGCAGAAGCAAAGAAAGGAGAACTTACCCCTCTATTACACACCTGCCCAAAATCCACCACACCATTAAAATTCTTCTGTATACTATCCGCCGTCCCACTACAAGCCCACCCCCAGAGATCCTTTCCCGTCTTCCCCTCTCTATACAACACACTTACCGCGATCCACAGTCCAAGATGAGCAAGCTCTACCACTACAGTGACGCTCGTTTGCAACGTGTTGACTTTATTGGCATGACGAATCGAGCCCCAAAGGTACGCAGCCAGGATCATGAAACCAAGCAACACAGTGACACCTGATGCAGCGAGAAGCATGATTGAGGGCCAAAGAGAGGTTTGTTTCGCCCAGGGACCTCGCCCATCGCGGATTGTGTTGCGGGTGGAGTAGAAATTGACGGTGGTGAGTGTTTCTAAGATGAGGGTGGGGATGGCGAGAGCGGTTGCTGTGACACGAGCTATGAAGCGGAGAATTCGAATTCTGGATTTCAGGGCCTGTATCTAGCATTAGATCTTGCCATTGGGACCACGAGTGGTTTGAACAGTACATAATTCGTCCGTGAGAGTTTCTCCTCTTCTATCTGCTTTCTTATCGTGAAACCAGGGGTGACGTCCTGGGCTGATGGAGGATACATCTTGGGAGTCTGAGGCAAGGCATCATAAGACATGGTGGTAGAGAAGAGCAGAACTAGTTATATTAGTAGTTTGTAGACTCGACAGTGGAGAGACAGCCTCAGATTCCAGCATTAAAGACTTTAAAGGCCTCGAGATGACGGGCTGACGGGGCTGACGGGCTGACAATTAAGCTTGTTGGTGGCGGCCGACATGCCAAGAATAGGAAGGCTTCGGCACCCACAGAGTGAAATCCACCCGACAGAGACATAAGCTCCGATTGGGGATCAGGGTAAAATAAAACGAAAGAAGGAATAGCCGCATTGAGATTGTAATTGATCGCAAATGAGGAGCGTTGTCGTTCCTTCAATATGCGAAGTCTATCCACATTTGTGCCCCCAACTTCCTCAATATCTCCAACATCACCATCGGGAAAAACCAGGGAGTTTGCAGCGGAGCTCAAGGAAGCAGATCCTCATCTTGTAGGAGTCTTTACATCCTACTTCGTACATGTCTGAGAAACTTCTATGCCGCATAGCGGTCACGTGGTCTACAAGCACGACCTGGAATCATTTGCACCCCCGAAATATATCCTAGTTAGGCAATCTTACGCAATAGCTGCCTGGAAGGAGGGAAAGGACTCTCCACGTGATGGAAGGTTGGTAGCTAGGTCAGGTTGCCAGTTAGGAATATGCATTGCCAGCAGGAAATGGGCGCACTCGCTAACCTTGAAGATATACGGAACCTGCCTAGGTATATTAAACAGAAGAAAAATCAGAAGAAGCATACTGTAATAGTTCGAAATAGTTGCTCAAGGCAAAGAATTGATCTGGACATGATTACCAATAGAAATTTGAATTACATATTTAGTCGGATCTTGGTTCTAAACTGAAACTCGTCTTTGCTCATATACTGTAAGACGCCTGACTCCAGCCTCATGCGTTTCAGACTGTAAGGACTCCGTCCTTATTAGACTAAGATCTCATTCATCATCACTGACTCCGCACGTGAGGAGCGGCCGCTGTGAAATGAATTGATCATGCAAGCCTTCAGCTCCTGTCCATATCAGCTTTCCTGATGAAACCCATAACCTTCTGCCCAGTACTCTGTTTTGGTGGCTCCTCGCCTCTCATCAATGCTGGTTTCGGCCGTGAAGGCTGAGATGCGTCTTCCTGTAATGATGGTAGACCGACATTACTGTTGGACTTCGACTTCTTAGTCGGAGATGTCGGCGAATCGACGTCGGCACTAGATCTCCGAGCTTCTTGGGGCAGTGAAGGCTGTCTGTGATCCTCTCCTTTGCCAAGCAACTTTTTGGGCAGTGATGGAACACTCTTCCACGATTTCTTGACTTCTTCGTTTTCTGCTTCTTCCTTCTGGTCCTCGAGTCTCTTCCTCACGGCAGGGTCGAGAACTCCTCGCTCTTCTAGTTCCTTCAATCGACGTGTCTCCATTTCTTCTATGGCCTCGGAGGTGAGTTGCTGTACCATCATGCGTTCGATCACATCCTTCTTGCGTGTTCGCTTGTCGCCCATAGATATAAGTACACCGCCCATGATATTGCAGGTGATGCTACAGCAAAGGACCACAGTCGTAAGAGCAAAGGGCCGTGTTTCATAAGGAATGCCCCAGGTGCATGCACCAAGAGTGATTTGGAGCGCAGAGTGGAAATCAAGTAAGACGACGACAGCAATGAGGAGTTTGAATGGGAACGCGTAATGGGTCTCAGTCTCGTGGGGCTTGTAGAATGTGTGACTTTTGGAGAACTTGCGCTCGTGGTATTCGAGTTTGGCTTGCTGTTCTTCGGTCAGGACAGAATATTCGTATGCTGGGTCATCGATTTTGCTACGAGCGATCATTCTCTGTGCATATTTCTTTGGTATCCTGGGTGCAATTCTTCGGGCTAGACGACGGGGCATTCTGCGAGCAACCAAACTCTCGAGGTCGAATTCGGCAGGCTTAACATTCTCTTTTCGCTGATCAGGCAGATCGTTGTGATCGGCCAACTCCGGGAGTCCAAGCTTCTTGCGTTTCTTCAAGGTTTTGCGGTGGTAATGTGCGATGAAAGCCATGTGGTATGTGTCGACAGCGCGGAATGGGGCCAAGCCATCTCCTATGATTGCGAAAAGAGCCACCAGTACATTGTCGACAACGTTAACAACGTAGTCTTTCTTCGAGCCTACAGATATCCAGCCGATGAGGAAAAGAACCCAGGCCGCTCCGAAGAGCGTAATTAAAGTAGCATAAACGGTGATGAACAGACCAAAAGCTGCAAATCTGTTATTCAGGACAACAAAACGGAGATTTGAAAGGTAACTTACGTCTGCGAACATATTGTCTAAACCCTTTCAACGAGCGTTTGAATTTTGCTCGTCGAGAATGAAGCATATGTCTTACCCTATCATCCAATTCTTCCTTCTCTTCATTTGTCCAGCCTTCGAGCCTTTCGCCATCTGGCAGGATAGCATATTGTGCGTTGAACAATATTGGTGGAGCAGGAATTGTACGCTTCCAAGGCATCGATGGCTGTTGTCCTTCTGGCTTTGCTTCGTCTGATCCCTCATCATCTTCCTTTAGTGCGTGAGGGATGTTCTTCAACAGATTCTTAAGCTTGTCAATCGTGCGTGCCTCCTCAGGGCGTTCGGAAATTCTGTATGTAGGTCGTCGATTGATAAGTTTTCCCAGTGAAGGAACGAAGAGCGAGTTTTGGACGTTTGTGAGGGTTGAAAGTGTAGATACTTCTGGGTCTGGAAAGGGTCAATATATTTTTCGTTGTCAACGTGGCTTGGTGATAAGTACCCATAACATCTAGCAAGTCTACCGTGTCTTGATCATACTCGTTCTCATATGAGTTATCATCGGTAAAGCCTTTCTCACGACCAAAGAACGACCGTTTGCGGGCGCTGGTCCGATCTTGAGCATCGCCAAATGAGGTCTCGATTGGTGGAGCATTGTAGCTAGTTGAATGAGCGGCAGAGGGCTGTGCTTGCGATCTTCTATGAGGTGAAGTCGATGAAGACTCTCGTAGTATACGAACGCTTGGCCGTTGATGTGAGCTCAAGATCGACTTTACTTTCCGTCCAACTGCTACAATTGGGTTTTCCGTTGTCGAAGACGACGGTTGTGGTGGTGGCTGCTGAGCCATTGCGATATGATTAATTCGATTGATATCTAACAATCCATTATGTTTTCAAGCGGTGGAAATTTGAGAAGACGCGTTCGAAAAAAGTTCGTTACTCAACAACAAGACGCACAGGTACAGTACGGGCTCAATTGAGGTAGAAATGAGAAACGTTGAATCTTTGCAATGTGACAATAGAATAGAACATAATAGATGCTTGCGAGCGTACTTGTCCATTTCAGGTTATTATCTCGATAATACCGCGCAAGGGTTCAACCTTGTTTTGGGACAATCTGAGCCGCGTCGTCGATGTCATTTCGCAGATAAGATTACAGATCCCAGTTGCAGATCTGCCTGCCAACTTGGCAGCTGGGTCAGCTCCCTCCTTCAGCCGCGAATCGCGATGACTGCGATAATCATGACTCGTCAGATTCGTGAAAACATTCAACCAGAGATAAAGGAAGCCTTTAACCCATAGAACAGATACACGTTAAGAGGACATGGACTCATGGACTCATGCATGAAAGCATTTGTACGGGGTTGATGCGAGAGCCTGGCACAGGATATTTTGAGAACAAAGCCAGGCATCAACTTTGGTGGCCTGGCAGTACTCAACGCGCTCCCGCGTTTTAAATTACACGTCCGACCACTTTCAACATTCCGTAGTTCACTTCATATACCTCATTGCAGAAGGCAAGAAACCTAATGTCTGTTCTGCGAGCGGAACTTTACGATAATCACTCGGACACGACGAGTCGAATCCTCGAGGCACGCGACCGCTTCTCGAACACCACAAGCCAGTGGCAGACGCGGGAGATCTAAGAGAAAGGGAACAAGTTGGATCGCAAATTGAACTTCCCAAGACATAACAGTAGGCCGATAGTGGCCAATAGTTGAGGACTCCATTTCTGCCGTCGAAGGCAAAAGCGACGACTTAACGACTTCTTAGCATCCATACACGAAGACTCCAGCCGATATACTTGTTCATCAATACCTCCTCCTTTCAGAATCGGCGGAGACCTTCTTCCTTCCCTATGTGCGCCTCAAAGTCTACTCGCAACCAGACCTTTTTCGAAAGTATCCTCGTCTCGAACCAAACTTGCGCTGCTGGGTCCTGAAGTTCTTCATATAGAGTTTCTGGGTCAATCAATTCATGATTCTTGCTCTCCCTGCAGAAATATGCATGGTATGAAGAGTTTGCGTTGATGCAACTGCTCTACATACAGTATGACAAGATCTATAGTGTGGACGCAAGACCGAGGCGTGGAGCATACAGCATCTCCCAATGAGACTAGGAGAGGCAGTGGCTACGACAATACGTGGGCAACAGAGCCTACCACCTTTTTGGTTCAAGTGAACTTCTGCCTCATGCTGATGAGTGCCCTTCTGCACTTGGGGATGGAGAATATTGGAGCTTCAACTCACTACGCTATTTGCGTTCCGGAAGTAGTATATTGTTGGGTATAAACGAACCAGCCTTGCCATCTATTAGGGGAAAAAAACTGTTGTGAGTCTCCAACAGATACAGATACAGGGCTTGTGGGTGGCATATTTTCCGCAACGGGACTTCCTCGCAAGTTCCGCGTCACAGAGATATCCCACCACGTCCGATGCCATTTAGTGCATCACAGTATCAATGCCTTTCCGTCTCTTGTACTTTTTTAATACTTCTCAGTGCTCCGATCTGCGTTGTTTCAAAAAGCTCATACTTTCCGACCGCTTCAAAGCTGTTCTACCTTTCCCTGCCAATCATTTTGAGTTGTACATACATCAAATTCCAATGGACCATACATTGTCATTTGTCTCAGACAATTCGGAAGACCTCGTTGCGACCTTTCGAGTGGAATTGAAGCCTTTATTCGTCGACATCACCGAATGCTGAAGCTCCCCAGGTTCGGCCCAGCCACCCCTTTGCCATTCATAATTCCATGCACATAGCTAGTTCCAACGAAGATAAACTCAGCTTCAAAGGGGCGCAATACAACAGGAACATTGCAGTCCAACAAAATTGCAATAATGTCTCCGCTTTCTGCAGCCTGCGGAATCAGACAAAGATACCCCTTTTCTGTTACTGCTAACTTTCTGTGCCCAACGGCATTGGTGAATGCAGTTTTGAAGTGTGCTAGCGTTACATCCGTATGATCCATCTGTGTTGTTGAGGATTGTCGTTCTTGGACTATTGTTTCAAGTGTCTGGCCACATATCTCGAAATACTTGTTCTGATTGTACCATTGATGAAGAATACTGAGCGGAGAATCGCCGGATGGATTAGAGGCGTATTGGTAGAATATGTTTTCCCAACTCGAAGGAGCTTTGTGTGCACCTGCGTGGGCGCGATCTAGGACACAAGTCTTCCATAATATACTCCAAGCCTTTTCACCCATTGGATAAGGCCAAGGTTCCTGCTTCGGAGCCTTGATTACACTTTCATTGCTAAAGCTCAGCCCCGCTACCGAGTCGAATCTCAACCCTTCCGCTTGCAAGCGGCCTTTCCCCTGTACCTGCTGAAAAGAAAACGTAGATTTATGCGATTGTGGCAATTGACGCACGACATTCATGGGCACCAGATACTCGTCTGTTTCTGCAGCCAATTGCCAATAGAGGAGCGGCGTGGCTCTGCCCGTGGTAATACTCCAGTCAGGGACCCATGATGGTAAGTCACTGATGTTTGAATGACCTCCTGCGCAGTCGAGAAAGTCTAAAGGTCTGATCTGTTGCGATGAAAAAGATTGATATGCGAGTTGGTATGCAGCTAACATATAAACGTCTTGCAATCCCACAGACTCGTCATAGAATGGTAAACTAGTACTCGGGTCCACTTCTATAATCAGACCGGCGAGGGCAATATACTTATCTTTTAGTTCTGTGGCTTCTGTCGATCGATGGTTGGTCAATAGGAATAGCAAAGAATCTTTCTTCTCGCCAGCAAAGTTCGTCCCTTGGAAGTCATTCCGAACGCTCTGAATAGACATAATACGCTGGATACCACTCTGAATTCCTCGGGTACGCTTCTGGCCAACGCGATGGCCATGAACAAGGTCCCTATACTCGAGTTGTTGGTCAAGCAGATAGGCAGCGAAAAGAACCGAGTCCCATGAGAGTTTGCGCTCTCCGCATGATATCACGATCTCACTCGACACTGCGATTTCCTGTACGACCCAAACACGGTACCAATAATCTCTAGCCAGAAGACCACTCAATGCAATGAGCTCATCTTCGTTGCTGTGAGACTCGAGTGATCCCCAAAGCTTCTTGTCTGCAGATTCTGGTCTGGTATCCCAAGGAGGGCAAGAACGTAAGTAGATTGTCGACAAGCGCTCAATAAGATTGAGAGCCTTTTCACTCGCATCTGCTTCTATTCCAAGCCAAAGCCATGTTTGTTCAGCTTGACAAAAAATCTCACGCATCAATCGAACTTGGCTGTCTCGTTCGGGCAAATCCTTCTGGTTGATGCAAATAGCATCTACCCAAAGCTTAATAGAATCTTGGGACTTTCGAAAGCGCTTCAGAGCTTCGTGGAGATTCGCAGTTATCAAGAGAGGGTGGCCATCGATAAATATCTCACGTCGATCGACCCAATCGCCCCAAGTATATGATAAGGCCGTGTAGGATGCGTGGTCCTTTAAAGAGACGATTTCGAGGCTACACTTGATCTGCGTTTTCTTGTCGCTGCTTGGCAACAGGGTCAGGATCCTGATCTTTTGGTGATCGCCGTCGTCTCGAAGGACTTGATAAATTCCCTCCCCTGCGTCGGGACCGTCGACCGCGAGACCTTTTGAGCCACTCAACTCACAGCATGGCATGACCATCTTGTTCATCTCGAGCAGAAGGATTCGAGAACCCAGGCGAATGTGAGAGTATCATTATGAACATAAACAATCGTTGATTAGTTTCATCCTCACATAATCTTGTGTCTCCGATGTGACTCTCATGCCGGTCCCTGTTTGGGTCCTTACATGGGTAAGGATGATGGATTCCGAGAATAGGTCATCTTGGGGGCCAAACATCTTCTGTCCAACCACCACACACCATTTCCGTCCGAACTTTCTGCCGGATTAGGTTAAGCTTGAAAAATGAATGTTGCACTCGGGCTCGACCTGCAGACAGACTGAGACAAGCTGGGTGCCCCGGTTGGCTGGTACCATGGATGGAATATTGGTGTTGTGCACAACGTGGGCTTCGCCGCAACATTCCCATGTAGTCAGACAGGAGCTTGCAGTACTGTAAGGCTGTTGAACGCGGAGAGTTTCAAGCCTTCATCCCCCTCTTGCCCTCCCGCTTTCTTGATCTCCTCGACCCACACTTTCTTTCAACTCAATATCCACCTCACTCACTCATTCCAGACGTCGAATCCAGGGCATTTTGTTTCTTTCGCCAGAAGCGTCCAGACAAGCTTTTGTTCGCCATCTTATCAGTCATACGACTAGACCGGAGTTGGATGGCGCATGTCTCAGTTGATTAGCAACGGATTGAGGCGAACCCTCTCCTTCGATCGCATTTGATCTCACGACTCAGGGCAAAGCTTTTTCAACAGCTCAGGAACACGCCAGCTCAGGCTCCCCATATACGTTTGAACGGAAACGTTCCTTCTTGGTCTCGACCGGTTTTACGACAGGATGCCTTTCGATTACGAAGCATACCAAAAGAAATGCAATGTTATGACTGCGGAGCAACTCCAAAAGGAATGGGAAAACTACACTCGCCAGATTTCCGCTGGGGCGACCGGGACAGCCACCTCTGTCCTCTTGATGCCATACACAGCAGGCATATCGCTTGTAGGTCTGGGTGTTTCGGCTCCACGCATTCATAATGCTCGCAAGAAGATGGAAATCATCGAGGCCGGCCTCCAAGCTCGAGGCGCCTCTCCACATACTCGGAAACGAGACGTGCTGGCCGCCGTAGGTGTATCGGGAGCGGTCAGTGGCTTGACTCTTGGCATCGTGCCACCCGGAACGGCTGATCTGGCCATCGGAGCTGCAGTTCATCATGGACTTGAGTATGCAAGCACTCAGGCCGCTCTTGGTGGTTCGGGTGCTGTTCTCGTTCATACTCATGATGAGTATGTCAGGAAGAAAGCAGCAGAAGATGAGATCAAGCTTCAGCAGACAATGGATCATTTGAATCTCGACGGTGCACTGGCAGAATCTAGTGTGTATAATCCGATGCTGCATACTTCGCATACCTGGCCTATGGACTCTGCAAGCATAGCAGACACGGTAAAAACTGGACCTGTTGCTACGCCTTTTGTAGATGAAGACTCGGTATTGTTTCAACCAACTTTTGACCATGTCGCGCAGAGCCAGTCTCTTCCGAACCCTCAGCCAATTCCGAATTCGATCAGCCATGATGGTGAGCATGTTCCCCTGACCGAGGCGCAACTGGACATGTTGCGTAGGATGGAGCTATTGCAATTCGAAATGGAGAAACGCCGAGCAGGATTCCAGGAACCTGCAGCCGAACCATCATTTCAGCAGGCAAGTCAAGAGCATGGGTTGACTTCTCCTGCCCAAGTTGACGGTCAAGGCCTTGGGATCTTGGGACTAAATCATCTCCACTCGAGTCCAATCCTCGCACCTCAACTATCAAATCACTTGGCACAGCCAGAGCAGCTCGATCTTCTGTCATCGCCACCGCATTTCGCCAGGCCGAATCTATATCCCCGCTCGGAAAGTCTGCCTGTCAACCTGTCAGCTATCCAAGATCGTCCTCGAGACGACCAAGAGGAGCAATTACCCTCTTACCAACCACAATATATCGCTCCAATGTCTCAAGTTGAAACGAGTTCCCAGTCAAACAATTATACACTCTCGACGAAACCGCCATTACCACCTCGTAACCATACACAAGATAGCGGGTACCATTCTTTGACATCGACACCTTCGATGACCAATTCCACTCTACAGTCGACATATCCCACACAAAATTTCCTTTCCACACAAGTCTCTTCGCCACAACCTTATGCTTCCCCATCCGATCTAGCCAGGAAGCCTATGCCTTCAACAATGGACTCAGGTCTCCACCGTCACAGCCACGTCACCAAAAGACACCGCGCCTCAGAACCATCAATATCGTCTCCTTCAGCATCTGTTCCGCCAGCCCCTTCTCGATTGGGCTCCATACCACCACCTCCTCCATACACTCATACTCCTCCACCAAGCGTCGTTGTCACTGCAGATAGATGTGAGGTGTCGAAAGACTACTTCAGCCTGCAGAATTCTGGGGACGCTTCTTCGTCGCCTCGTCCCTCACTTGCCAAGAAAAAGAGTCAGGCTATCTTGAAGGGGGTGAATCAAGGGTGGCAGTGGGCCAAAGCTCTACCCATTCCGGGAGATTTTAAAGCGAAGGAGAATATCGAGCCTGATTATGGCCCCTCGCCTGAGATTCCTGCTGCTTGGAGAGGAGCATAAGACTTGGAATCCTTGATACGATTACTCGGATTTGTACCGATATGTATTTTTACGTTGGGTTTAACTTAATATTTCCCGTTACTGGCGTTGAAGTGGATGTTTGAGTTTCGGAGGCTTGGGGCGCGATATAGAGTAGTGACTTTAGAATGATACCCTATTCCATGATGTGGCGAATTGACGAAAGTTGCCTTTGTGTTATAAATTCAACGATGTACCCATATTCCAAGACGGTCTCTCTAGCCTTCAAATTTGGGTCTTCGAATTTCAAATACTGGTGATTGATATGTGGACAAAGCCCAACCACTCTTTGATATTTGCTGCCTTCCTCTTTCATGTTTTTCTCTTGTTACAGATGCACTTGTCTATGGTGTATTCGGTTTTAATCGACAGTGTATGCTGCTGTGGGCTTTTCAAATCCACAACTCGTCCCATCTGTAACCAGAACCTTCTCTTCCTCAACCTGCTTATACTTTCCCGCGACCAAATCCTGCATATAACTATACGGACAATCTCCCGCCCCTCCTTCCACAGCCGTGTACCCCCGATGTCCAAATTGATACAAATTATTCTCCACTCCCCAATGCTGTCTCTTCTCACCCACATCCCGAATATCAATCCCGCAAGCAAAGATCTCATCAGCAACCCCATCTCCTTTCCTCACGATCTCTCCCTCTGGATTACAAAACATAGCTTCTCCCATTGAGTTAAATGTCCCATCGCTCCCAGCCAAAGCTACACTACACGTCCACATCAAATTACAAAACGCATTGGAACGATTCGTGATCTCCCAGGAGTTTTTGATAGGAGACGTATAACCCGCTGTACGAAGCAAGATCTCGGCACCTTTATACGCCGCTTCATGAGCCATCTCAGGAAATTGCCCATCATGGCAAATAATGTGCGCCATTGGCACTCCCCTCGGTCCTTTGAAGACAGGAATCCCTTGATTTCCAGGATACCAAGGTTCAACAGGGACCCACGGGTGCATTTTCCTATAGTAATTCACCAATTCGCCAGAGGAATTAATCACGATCCCAGTATTCCACGGTGCGGAAGGGAGAAGTGTGTTGCGCTCCATGATGCTGAAACATCCCCAGATTTTGGCTTCGGCGCAGCGTAGCTTGAGAGCTGAGACTTCGGGGCCGTCGAGGGAGCAGAGGATGGAGTCCTCAGTGCACATGCTGAGGCCGTGGAGCATGTATTCGGGGAATACTATCATATCCATGTGTGGGTAGCCATTGCGAGCTTTGGTTATCAGGGAGAGGATGTGGGAGAGTGCACTTTGGAGCTCGGGGGCTGTGGTCACGGAGAAGAGTTGGGATTGGCAGAGGCCGATGACGATAGAGTTGGGACCTTTGTTTAGGCCGCCTAAGCTGGATCCTGACATTTTATTGGAGACTAGAGATATGTGAATACGGAGAGGAAGATTGGTGTGTAGAAATGAATTGGGTATATCAAACATACACTTTCGAATCTTGGCGTACTATTTAGTAAAAGACTTAAAATGATCTTAATTTGATATTGAGTGAGAACAATGTCAGGGACCGAGCAGCTATTCTTTTCAAAGGTTGTCAATATTACAACTTCCAGAACGGTCGTTGCGTTAAACTTTATTCCTGCTGAGAGACTCTCGTACCGGATATGAATATGAGTATGAGGGGAAGAGGACAGCCCACCTTTGAATTTCAACGTCATTGCGGTCTTGACTTGTCCAGGGTCAAGCACAACCCGATAAGCGCAAAATAATAAGATTGGATAGAGAGAGAGATTCGTATCTCATACTTGATCATGGATTGAAAGGAAAAAGATCCCCGACAAGACTTACTATAGGTGTATCGCGGGTAAACCACGTGATGGAGGGGTGCACATCAAGCTGCAACTCGGACAGTGCCCTACAATAATACGCTGTCCTCCTGCGAAATGTTTCTTAAGAGATAATACATCCAGCTTTGCATTCTTTCTTATGACGGTTCAGAGATTCAAGTCAAACACCATTTCTTGCCCACTTGGATTCTCGAACTCTAGGTATGCCTACCTAAGCAAGACTTAAATCTTACTTGTCTCCAGATCAGGCAGGTTCGGACAAACCGTATTGCTCGACCGAGAGCTTTCTTCATTTGATATGAGGCAATTACAGTCAAAAGAATCAGTTACAACATAATATTCTTGGTAGTCAAGTCTACAAGCACTGAAATGCCTACGCCGAAGTCATGATTTTTCTTAGTATTACTGAGTATGAAACATTGTTCTCGGTCGTCGATAGTCATCAACTTCGAGGATTCAGCTTCCCTTCGTCAAAGATCAGCATGTGGTCGCTCAAGTTGAACTTTCGCAACTTACAAAATGTCGGCATGATTGTAGGGTTCTTCGAGACGAGGGTTGGCATAGCCGAGAGTCAGCGATCCCAGGCGTATTAGCTGGGGATCGAGACCATTCTTGTACTTGAAGTATGGAGAGTTCTCTCTTGGACCCATGTCTGTGTGCGTGTGGTCTCGACGGAGCGCGATATTATTCTAGGTGCGAGTTCAAAGAAGAATCCAATGTCGTTCGATGTAATCACAACATAGAAAAGATAAATCTGGAAACTATTCAATTTCACTTCTGGCCGCTATGGTGTCTGAGCCTAAGCCAGAAGGATACAGTATTGCTGGAGCACGAGCAAATGCATAGTTCAGCTCCGATTTGGAGGCGTGGAGATTCTTGCTTTTTTTGAATTTCTTTCTGGTGGGCAATGGTAGCATCACACTTGAATGCAGTGAAACAAGTGTAAAAGTAGTCCAGCGGTCAATACCCACCCGTGAAGAGAGACTAGAGAAGCAGAAGCTTGCATTCCAAGAAATCATAGCCGAACTCATACAAACCCTTGGCGCCCCAGGTATAAGAGCACTAGCGAAAGATCTACCCAGCTCGGGCTTCGGTCCCTGTATGAGAAACGAGACAGAGAAAGAAGATTCTATGCTGTTAGGCCCTTGGAACCCAGAACTCATACATACATTCTGCGATAAGGGCTATACCCTTTGCGAGGTTATGGGATGCTTGAGAACGACCAAGGGAGATACTTCTATAGTCCAGCTATTATTAAGACCTGGCAGAGCTCAAATGCCGATATGAGAGTGTTCAAATGTATGCCATGCCCCGAATAGAAGAATACATGAATGGCCAAAGAATGGATGATGTAAGGTGAAACCTTTTCAAAGCTTTGAAGTAGAAACTAATAGCAAGTCTTATATGAATAACAAATAATCCAAAGTGAGCTAAAGGGTCGAAATTGTATGCCTAGATGAGGGGTCGTCCTGGAAAGATTTCTACAATTAAGATCTAAATCTTGCATGTGATGACAAGATCTCCAGATCAGGCACAAAATTTCATGCTACTGAGATGTATTATTTGGACTTCAAAGCACTGTTCCCACCTTAGGCAAACATTACGGAGTAAGTGTTTTTGACGCTGTCTAGGTATTTTTGCCAGAGCCTTTCGAGCTAACGAACATGGGGACAAAAGTCCGTGCGTTCAGGGCATCAGAATCATGAATTTTATTAATTAATTAGCTGTAGACCAGCCACATCGCTTAATTAAGTCGTGTACCCAGAAGTCCTGCTGCTCAATAAGCCCATTGATCCATTCCTGAGGAATTTTGTCCCATTCTTCTAATACTGCTACAACCATTTGAACCTCAGTTGTTGGCTGCCTTAGGCGCCTATGGAGAGCTTGTTTTATTCTCCTCCAGCACTTCTCAATAGGATTCATATCAGGGCTAACTGCAGGATGGGGGAATAGAGTAATACCCATAGAAGTACGCCAAGTAGCACAAATATTGCTAGTAGTCTTGTGGCCGTGAGCAGAGTTGCCGTCTTCCATGAACTAAGGGGTCTTCCCAGGCCCCAAAACAGCCGCAAAAGCAGCTAAAAAATCCTGAATATAAGGCTTGAGTACTTGAGCAAGGTAATCAGTTTGTGTAAATGCCCCACTCTTCCTAGTTCCATGAATGTTGATCAATGGACTTTTGTATCCGTAGCCTACAGCACCAAAGAAGTGTACAGGAATAGTGCCACCTCTATGCATTTGGAATTGAATGCAGTCAGGATGACAGCGTTCCTTCTTATTCCTAATACACCTCTGCTTGCATTTCTTCCCTCCAACTTGAAATGTGACCTCATCTGAGTACAGTATCTGACTCCATTCCCAAATAGTCCAAAACATGTGTGCTATCCCCCACAGCCACCGCGCATTGGCTTGGGTCTTAGTGAGGTAGGGCTTTTGGCAGCAGATACAAGAGTAGTATCCAGCTTCTTTGCAGCGGCGTTTGAGGGTCTTAACAGAGCAAGAGAGTTGCAATTCATCGTGTATTTGGATCCAATTCAGCACTCTAGTTGCATAGTCGGTGCAAATATACTCAATAATATCTCTAACCTCCTGTTCATTGAGGGATTCTCTGGGTCTCCCTGTGCGTGTAGGGCGCGCTCTTTCAGGCACATCGTATAGTAGGATCTTCCTAACTGTGCTGTCTCCTAGGTGGTAGTAGCCCTAGAGCTGTTGCAGGCCTATTTTAGCGAATTTGAAGAGCCGGCGTATGCCCTCTTTGTGCTTGGTTCTGATCTCTGCACCTGGGAGACGTGGAGACATAGGTGGAGTGGTAAAAGGATCCATAATGGTGGAGTTGTTGATAGTTTAGTCCTAATGTGAAGAGTTTTAATTTCGAGGTTCTACAGCCTGAACGCACGGACTTTTGTCCCCATGTTCGTAAGCGGACCCCTGAATTTAGCGAGTAGCTCAACTCGGGCAGTTTTCTACCGCTGCTGATGATGATCTTCGACTTCGATCCACAAATACCCTTTCTCAAACATCGATGCTTCTTGAAACATCTACCACGAAGGTCAACTCCAGACACCAGAGCTTTGCTGCTCCGATGTATTTAGTCAGATGAGCACGTCAACTAACAAACCGAATCGGGCAGAAATCACACTCAGATTTTGAGGGGGAAGAAAGTCTTCACTACACCCCAACTGATCTAAAGAAGGAATAGAGAAACGTCTCATGGAATAGATAAGCTACATTAGAAATAAATAATAAGATTCTACTAAGCTGTAATAGGAATCGTCTTAAACCCCTTCCAATCATCCAACACCTTCCGAATCTCCTCACGATACTGACCAACACCTCCCGCATAATTGACCTGTTCGAACGCCTTCCCCGGAACAGTACCACCCATATACGTACTCTTAGTTGTTGGCATCAACGTCGCATTAGAAATATCATTGATCCTCTGCTTCCATTCCTTCATCGCCTCCGGAGTCGCTTCGATGGACTTGAGACCCTGTCGATCAATCAACACAATCGCATCACGGATCCAGCGAGCTTGAATTTCGAGACTACTGGGACCGTTGGAGAGCAGAGTTGGGCCGTGGGGACCGTAGAGATGGAAAAGGTTGGGATATCCAGAGATAGTGGTGCCGAGGTAGGTGTTGGCGGAGGCTTTCCATTCATCCTTCAGATAGGTGCCATGGATGCTCTTTAGTCCCATGCTGGTCATTCCACCGGTCGTGATGTCGAATCCTGTGGCGAGAGCTACAACGTCAACTTCGTGGACCTTGCCATCGGATGTCTTCATGCCATTCTCGGTGAATTCGACAATCTCATTGCCGCCATTGAGTGAGATGTCTACGATGTCCACATTGTCTCGGTCAAGGACTTCGTAGTAGTTTTGTTCCAAGCATGGTCGTTCTGAATTGGATTAGCAATGTGTTCGTGAACTTAAGACTTCAAGACTTACTAATACCGAAAGCGTGAGGAGGTTCAAGAGGACAGAGCAAATCACGTTTGGCGGGGTTCTTTATCCGTTGACGTTGCTTCTTCGCCCAGAAATTGTATGCCTCGCGGTTTGCCTTCATATCGAACAAGTAGTCCTTGTAACCACCCAGCCACAACGCAAAGCCTTGTTGCTTCCAGAGTTTCTCGAAAAGCGCTTCTCTCTCTTCCTCATTATCGTCGAAAGTGTTCTTCTCGTTGAAATCGTACAAGAACCCAGCGAAGCATCGTTCACGAAGATCCATCATCTGACTATACGCTGGTCGGAGTGCATCTTGTTCCTCCTTCGACATCGGTCTCTTGCCCATCGGAAGAGCAAGGTTGGGAGTTCGTTGAAATAACGTCAAGTGATCAGCGATTGGACCCCACTCCTGAGCAATCTGAACACCTGAAGCGCCCGTTCCGACCACGGCTACACGCTTGCCCTTAACATCCACATCTTCGGGTGGCCAGAACGAAGAATGATGAACAACTCCCTTGAATTTGTCCATGCTCTTGTACTGTGGGATGTAACGCTTTGCAGCGAATCCCGCAGCCACAATGAAAAATCTAGTCTTCACGGTTCGGCCGTCCGCTGTCTTGACTGTCCATTTTGCAGCTTTCTCGTCGTACTCTGCGGAAGTTACCACTGTTTCAAACGCGGTATCTTTGCTGAGGTTGCAAACTTTGTCCACGTGGTCGAAGTACGATTGAAGTTCTCTCCAATCTGGGTAGTTTGTGGTGAACGAGAATGTGTTGTAAACTTCTGGGATGTTGAGTTGGTAGATGGGAACCGGGCTGTCAACTCTTGCTCCTGGATAGCAATTCCATCTCCTGTACACAACGCAATTAGTCTTTATTTTCTAAGTGGAAGATGATTCGCAATGCAAGTTCTATCTTCTTACGACAGTGGAGTACCGAAACGAAGGACTAAACGTACCACGTGCCACCATAGCCTAGGCCCGCGTCGTACAACACGGTCTTATAGCCATATTTGCGCATTTCGTAGAGCATATAGACTCCACTGAAACCAGCTCCAACAATCAGGACGTCCAAGTCCAGATTATCGGCATACGGCCCGTCAGTTGCTCTTCGGCGAGCATACTGAGAAAGGTCAGTCTTGATTATGCATTCTGGTTGTTCTGGTCCTGGGTCGCCCATGGTTGCTGATGGTAAAGATTGGGTTTGTTGAATGTTTGTTGCTTGAAGATGTGGAAACTGAAGTTGGAAGGAGGGAAGATTCAAGGTTCATAAGAGTAGAGTCAGGCCCGCACTATCCGGTTGAACGGACACGAAAGGGGCGAGGTTGACTCGACCAGACTCAATAGCGGAATCAAGTCCGTGGTTGCAAGATCAACAGCTAATTGTTTTCGGTCTCGCTCCTAAGCTACTTGGCGGGCCGGAAAGTGTTGTGGTGGGAATTGGGAGTCTCTTCGTTGAAACAAACACACAGATGGGCCCAGACTCGAAGATTGCAGAGGATTTGAAAGGATATCCGCCCTCGGGAGAAGGGAATCACCCCGCACCTGTCAAATGGGGTCACATCCTTGGGGAGCGGGCGCTGTTTAGCACTTCCTAGTATTTGAAATCCTCAAGTTTGGGAAAGAACCCCCGCCTCAATGCAGGCTACCTCATAGAGCTTTCTTCAGAAGGTAGGTAGGCCGAGATGTGTGCGAAGCAGGATGATGCAAGACGTACAACTGTGGCGAGTGATGCCGAGGATTTAACAATGGTCCGATATGCCATTATTCCCGGCATGTCTCTATCATCCAATTGAATCTCGGCAGAAGCTGCGCGGCTCTTCTTAAGTCAGGAAACGGCGCCAAGCGCTACTTGCGATCCACAAAATGTACTCCTTAAAACGCGGGGATGATAAGCGAACATTGGAGATGCGGGGTAGGGATATCCGGGGATCTTTCGGCATTTTCGATTGAGGATCTAGAAAGTTGGTTAGAAAGAAAGTGCATCATAGCGAGGAAGTGTAAAGGTTCGTAAAGCAGGAAAAGCTTTCGTCGGGAAGAATCGAGACCGTCGAGTCCAGGTTGTTATTTCAATAAATTTCGCATGCGTATTATAAAGCTCGAGGAGCATAAAAAGGAGAATCAGGTAATAATGCGAACTTCGACGACGAATGAATAAATAAGCAATAGAAATCATTCAAGTATCACGCTCCCGTGTCCTCCCTTCTCCCGAAAAACGGAAAACCTAATTACGCTCCTGATATTCCGTAGTATGCGCCCAGCTTACCTCACCTCGCAAAAGACTCAGCCTCTAGAACATACAACTCTCAATATATTTATCATTCCCATACTCATCTTTCGTCCATCTTCCGTTAAGATCCAACCAATACTCCCTCTGCGTCCTCGCCATCTCTCGGCTTCTCAAACGATGTATTTGAGACGAAGTCCTGTCCTTAAATGTGACATCTCATTGGTCTCGTCTGTGGTGTATGAGCTCGAGTAGACCGCCACGCTTTATTGCTAGTTTGCACTCCTCTGGATACGTTCGCTGTCCTCGTCCACGGATTCCCTGTCCATAAATGCGTAACGCTCGACTTAACCCCTCAACCCATCCAAATATCTCGGTCGATGGTTCCTTAACAACAAATACAATGTCTTCCAAAGAGGTGAAGCCTTTCAAATCGGTCCTCAGCGTGTGGTGCGTTGTAGCTCGGCTTAATGGGTCGAGCTCAATAGCTAAGAAACGAAGGAGCTCAGGTTGGTGGTGTTTCTTGAACTGCGTCAGAACCCCTTCTGGTCCCCAGTCTCTAATCCAGTAAGTTTTATCATTTGGTACGTATAAAGTATCAATCGCTGGGTTGAAGTAGATGTCAAAGGCGTCGGGTGTCGTTGCAAAGAGGAGATGATTAGCCTTTTGTGCCTCTCTTCGAGCCTCGTCTCGGGCTTCCCTGCACACGTTGACGATTGTGGGAGGTGGACTGGGAGAATATCTCGGGTACCAGGCATGTGGGTAGTCATAGTGATTATGCTGAAGTGTTTGCACCTCGACCAAGCGGGGAGTTTGTGCTGCGTAGGCTAGTCGCCATATCATGAGACGGATTTCAACATGGAGGGCAGTCCATGATCCCTTGATTGGATCCTCATCACCTTCTTGGGACATTGAAAGCTCTCTGTTGCTGTTGACCGCCATTTTGATGAGGTAATCCTGCTGATGAAGGTTTCTTACGCACCAGGCAGCCAAAATTCGGAGGTGATCCTATCACGTGTGTCGCTAATCTACATGCGGCGTCTAACCTTCTTTGGTCTTGAGCTTCTGAACACCATTCTGCCTTGATATTGGTAACATTTCAAAAAGCAGATCTGATTTGCAGTCATTGGCAGAATATAACAGACATACTTTCACTCCGAACGCTTGATTAAATTGCGTGGATGCTAATCATCAAAAATAGTCTCCGTACCTCTGCATGCCAAGAAGGAAACGTACATGACTTGAAAGTCTCTCTTCTTTGGATAGCATTCGTAATACGAAGGCTTGCGGTTCATTCAGACTATATCACGATCGTCGATTTCTGTTTTCCTCGAGATAGGTGAGTTAATGCTCTTTCTGCAATAGAACAGAAACTTTTTAAAAGGAGAATCTTCTTCTCACTCATCGTGATTTACGTTTTGACAAGAAGTTTTCAATGCGCAGCTTGGCTTAATCGTACACTCATAGAAAATTGACTTCGCCCCGCGTGATCGAATGCCTCCAGAGATTAACCCGTTTCAAGTACCGATAGACTCAGGATTAATTTTCCCTTTCGCTGGTTCCGTTCTAGTTTGCGGACGGGAGCAACTGCTGCTTTAACCTGAGTAGATGGTGAGCATACCTGAACCGAGGGTGAGCATGTCGAAGGCGAGCCTGAGCAAGCCTGAGCAAGCCTGAGTCAGCCTGCGGACCATGATGTGGAACTTATTTTGGCTTCATAGAATATGCCCCGACTATAGTTTTCCTTACTGAATTTTACCTGGGAATCCGTTTTTGCTCCTTCATAGGATTCAAACCGGAGCAGATTTTAAACCCCTTTTGTAAAAAAGTATTATAGGCAAAGGGCACAAATGCATGTGGCAACGAGTGTTTTGTTACAAGAAGAATAATCTAAAGAAAATAAGATATTTTCCAAGGGAGAAACTCCTTAAGCTCGCACGTGCTCTCGTACGAAGCTCGTTTAGGAAATCCCTAGATGGACGTCGTTGGTGCTTGAGGCGCCAATCTTAGGAATCGGTTCAAATAGTTACCTAGGTATAGTTAGCTTCGCGCATAAACAAAACACGCGCCCGAGTTTTATTAAAAGCTTATCTAGCTAATAAATAATCCTAAAGTAAAAATCAAGGCTTAATATATGTTTACTATTTATAATAACATTATACTAGGGTGGATGAATGGAGAATCAGGAAGGAGGATCAGAGCTCGCGAGGTGAATGCTATAGCTGCTCTAGTCTCTGGTGCCTTTCTTTTGTTGCGCACGCTTGGTTGCTGATTTTCTTCATAACAAGTGTCGCAGGAACTAAGTTTTGTGATGCTCATTCATGTTTGTGCGTACATTAGAGTTTCCGTTGGGACCTTCAGCCGGCGGAACACTATACTCCTAGCGACATTGTCTATCACAACGGCAACATACATTATGTGAGGTGGCTTCAACTGACTCCTGCAGACCAAGTCCACAGGCCTTCACCCATTTCATAGCCATCCTTTGATCTTGGACTACCCTTCAGCGAGAATCGCCGACTAGGATTTCCTTGATCTCATCGTACACTTTCACCATGAACTTGTATTCTGAAAGAGCGTTAGCTTTGTTCTCCCTCGACAACAATAGTTTTCACACCTGCAGGAGAGACAGCCTCATGCCCCTTGGTACTCATCTGAATACAAACATCTTTCATCCGCGAACAAACCTCGAGCGCAGTTCCGGTACCCATTTTATTTACCCAGCTCGCACTGTTAAGGCTCCGATCAATAGGTGAGGCCAAGACCGTACGATGTGCTTCCTTGTCTCCACCAGCAGCCAAGACGGCCTTTACCACTTCAGGATGACCAGATGCAACTGCATAATGCAACAAGCCGCTGCCAAAAGCGTCGACGTGGTGCAATACTTGACGCACATCATCAGTGTCTCTCGAAAACACATATTGGGTCAATATTTTCGCCATTCTCAACCCTCGTTGTCGCCATGACATTTTCCTTGTCCATGGCAGCATGTATCCCCATAGTGGCGTATGATTAACCCACCAAGCCATGACATTAAACTTCTTACTCTTTTCTGTTGGATCTGCGCCTGCTGCGAGGAGAAGTTCCATGACATCTATACTTCCGCATAGTATGGCATTAGCTAATGGCGTATAGTCACGGAATGCGCCTTTGGCAGCAACTTCTACGTCATGCTTGAGTAATGTTCCGACAATTGATGGAAGGTCTCTGAAACAATAGTTGTAATCACCACTTTCAGGAAGTTGGCTGAGTACGTTGAAGCCTAGTTCATTCCTTACATTAACATTTGCTGCGTTCTCGAGTAGTGCAGTCACAGTATCAAGGTCTATCCAACGAACAGCTAGCATCAGTGGTGTCAAGGATCCTGGACGGTCATTTCGCCGTTCATTATGTGGTGAAGCGTTGGTCAATTGGTCAATGTTTCCACCAAGCTGCTTCAATATGCTGATAACTTTTGAAGTTGACCCACGTCGGGCCGTTCGGGATCCATCGAAAGCGGCCGAAGCAAAGCGGTGCTGATTCGCTGTACGGCCAATATGATTGTATTCTAGACGATGGAATGGAGTGTAGCCTTCCTCATCGGCCTCAAAAATTTGCAAATTGGGCCGTCCTTGCAGAGCGAGAAATTCTGAGAGAACCAAGACGTCGCGGGAGCAGACAGCAAGATCTACTGGACTCATTCCTAAGCATTTACCAGTTGGTGCGGAATACATTCCCTGCGATTCGTCCTCCCCATCTCGCTCAAAGTATCTGACGTCCATGTCATACATGTAAGGGTCAATGCCATTTCGGTAACAGCAATCTGCACCATTTTTTAGCAATATATTCACAGCCCTAGAGCTGGAAGATGCCACAGCCCAGTGAAGAGGGGTGCCTGGTGGCCACGCAAATGGAAAGGTATCCTTAGCAACGGGAACCTTTACTCCAAGTTCAGCATTGATATTGCCGCTTTGCATGAGGAGGCTGGCAATATCTTCCATATCCTCGTCAGGAAATGTGAGCAGCCAGTGGAGGCACGTCGCACCACCAGGCTCACCAATGATGGATGTATTAGCACCGGCTTTGCATAGTTCTATCACTGCTCTTGAATCCCCAGCTAAGCATGAGAGATATAGTAGTTCATGTTTGTTGAGGGGATGGTCGTGTGTTGGGTCAAAAAATTGTAATGGATGAGACGTTTCCGAGATTTTGTCATCATCTTTCTCAATTCCAAGGCTTGTTCCTGGACGAAAACTCTCATACCTCCATGTCCGCCAAAGTGATGTCGTTTCGTCCGAGTAATAATATTGTTGATATCCTCCTCTTTGATAGAATTGAGTCCTGGCTCTTTTTGCTGCAGTTTGATCCGAGGCGTAAAGATCATTGTAAGCAAGAGGACATCCGATAGCTGCTCCCTCGAACAACCAAGAAGCTCTATGAACAATTTTATCGGAGGGCCAATCGATCTCATACGATTGAAATACCCTATCAACGACGGCCTGGGCTGGGACAAAGCCTCGTTCAGCAGAGAGGAGCAGCTGTTGAATGGAGTATGAATCAAGAGTTATAGTTCCCGCATGGATATCCCCCCAGGTGTTTTCTAGGAATAGCGAGAAGAGTTCGCCGCCCGTCATTCGGGAACCGAAGGCTTCGAATGACTTGTTGATGCCAGCCCAGAAGTACTGTTGTATTGGATCCATTCTCAGAGGATGTGTATCTTCCTTGATTTGAGTCACACCTGGTGTTTCACTGCTGAAGGTGCCAGCTTCTTGATTTTCTTGCCTGAAATGACCCTTAATTAGGAGAGTCTAAAGAGGAAATGAACTGGAGACTTGCCATGCTTTTGAAGCGACACTTTCATCTCGCAAGAATTTCAGAGCATACTTTGTTCTTTGAGTAGGATGGTATTGTAGTAACTGCTCCAAAGCGGCACTAAAAGTCTCCTCTAACATTCCAGAAAGTGTTGACAACCTTTCAAGTGCTTCCAAAGCCGTAGACAATGCAGTATCGTCTTGGCATGCTGGAGGTGCCTGACCACGAAAACAACACACGCTCCAGACTACCAATCCGAGGGAGTAGTTATCGGCTTTTTTGTAGCTATCAGTGGTGATAGAGATTGGCGGTGTCGTAAGGATAATTTCGGGAGCCTGCCAGCCTTTGGTCAAAGCCGTGATGTAGATTTTCGACTCAGAATGCGTGTTTGCTTCTGTAGAGGAGTACCCAAAGTCGGAGAGTTTAGCAATGAGAGGAACGTCGTCAGAGGCATTGGGAAATACCAGAATATTCTCTGGCTTGAAATCTGCATGTATGATCCCCACATCATGAATTGCGTCTAAGCCAGCAGCCATGTCAAGACACAGATGATGTTTCAAATTCCAGCTATCACCTCTTGGACCATTCAAGAAACCCATCAAGTCGCCCTCAGTTGCAAGCTCCATCACTAAGAGGGGCATCCCATCAAAGCCACCTTCTTTGGCCCAGCCGAGCAAACGAACAATGTTTCTGTGTGAGCGCAGCTTGGTATGTCGGAGTACCAAAACTTCGAGCAACATAGCATGCACCTGTTTCCTTGTTCCTTCTCCCGTCAAATCAATGACTTGATTAGTCTCCATTACAATTTTGCATTTCTTGACTGCAACAGGGGCCCCGATTTTCCATAACGCAGTATCGTTTCGTGCTGTAATGTTCGACCGGAAGACCGAGAACTGGCCACCTTCACCGATGAAGAGATGAGGCATGAGATGATTGGTTAAGTTTAGTGGACCAGCCACAGACAATGACTTCAGAACTCGAACAAATTCCGCTGCAGTACCCAGTAGCTGAAAGTCTGGCTGTGCCAAAGTTTGGAGATTCGGAGTGGTAACACTGGGTTCTTGCTCTTCGCTGGCTTCTGCTAGTGTGTGACACCAGTTGTCGATGATACCGATGGATCCTGACATGATGCGAAGTTTGGAATTCAAACTGGAATTAAAAGTCTTGCCGATATCGTTCTACTATAGCCATTTAGTAGATTGCTGTAGTTTCTTTGGGGAAAGGGGAAGGGTGACCATTGCCTAGAAACATTGCCAACGCACAAAGAAATCCTGGGTGCCACACTTCCAGAATGCCCTTGCGCCACAGTGCCTCGCGAACAACGCAATACCTATCTATATCAATTTGTGCTTTGCAACGACTTCATGCAACCGGCACAGACAAGTTCAGCGACTATGGCTGTCAGGCAAGTATACCAGACGAAAACACCTTGAGAACTACTCGTCAACATGAGTGGATTCGAAATTTTTGGTGTAGTAGCAGCCCTTCCTGGAATCATCGATCTTTGCATCAAGTATGGCGAGAAGATCGAGAAGAAAGTCAAACTTTTCATGACTGCCACTGAGCATTCGCGACTGCAAGCCTTCGTACTTGAACTTTGCACTGGGGGGATCAACGATATACTGTTGTTCTTCCGAAGCGTCCATTCTCAGCTCGACAAAGCATTCCAGCTTGTGCTCCACGACTCCATCACCGTTCTGAACAATGCGCTGATCAAGGTATACGAGGCATTTCCAGAGGACTCATTCGCGGATAAGGCGAAAGTTGGAGCAAAGCTCAAATTTGCATTCTTCGACGCGAAACGGATCGAGGAGGCAGTGACAGCGATGGAATTGTGGCAAGATCGGTTCTCGAAGCGTGCTGAAATCCATCTGAGATACATATTCTATCCCAAGTATGGAATCCATGCGGTACCATCAAAGCAAGCCAGCGACTTCGACTCTGCCACCCTCCTTACTCCTGCCGCTCAAGCTATGGACTTGCAAGATGACGATAGACAGCAATTGTTCAACCGCCTCAAGCGCATCGATGCCAGTCGCCGTCGTGTGACTGGGCCACTACTCATCAAGGAGCCGTCAGCGACAACATACAAACAACTGAAAGACTCGCATCTCTGGGTGGGAGCAGACAAGGATTCATCGTTAGGTTTGGTTGAATATCGAAGCTACAAAGCGGCTGATGCGCCTTACGTGAAAACGCTGCAAAACACAGTGCGCAATGTTGCTACGAAGCTGCGAGAAGCCGACGACTCGAGCATGCATATACTGCCGTGTCGAGGCTTTTCGGACGATGTCTTTGAAAAGCGCTTTGTGCTGCACTTTTCGTACCCAGCAAAGAAGTCGAACCCGAGGTCGCTTCGTAACCTTCTCGCTGACCCAGGCAACGTGCGGGGCAAAAAACACTCTCTGAGTGACCGTCTGCAGCTCGCACAATCGATTGCAACTGCTGTACTATATGTACATTCTTGCGGCTTTGTTCACAAGAACCTGCGGCCAGAGAATATCATCATCTTCGATGAAGACTTGGGAACAACCTCATCGACCTATCCCTACGCAATCGGGCAGCCGTATCTCGTAGGTTACGATGGCGTGCGCCAAGAAGATGCGCCTACGTTAATGCTCGAGGTTACCAGCTGGCAAGAAAGGATTTACTTGCCAGCAGAGAGGCTGAAGGATAAGGAGCACCGAATGAAATTCAGTTGGCGCCATGATGTTTACAGTCTCGGCGTGGTGCTACTAGAGATTGCGCTATGGGAGAATTTCACAAGTCAGTCCGGGCCATTTCATAAGGCACTAAATGGTGCAGAGGATCCAGGCAGCGTCCTCAGGCAAATTTGGCTAAAACAACTGCCTCGAGTAATGGGAAACAAATACGCAGAGGCCGTTACGGCCTGCTTTGACATGCTTCGGTCAAGTGATGGCGGGGAGGAGATTGAAGATGAGGATGGAATTGGAATGGGAACTACTTTTATCTCGAGGGTTCTAGATCGCCTAGAGGACATCAGATTGTAATCCTCGAGGCTCGATATTGCTGGGAGGGAGTCGTAATATAAGAGCTAAGACACTGGAGATTTGAGTGTGGCCCCTGAGAACTTATTCAGGACCTTCCATATTTCACGTATTTAATACAAGTGAACACTTTGTAGACTGATTGTGACCAAGTGACAAACAGGAATATAATTTTACCTATACGTGCTGAAAGGCTCGGCTACCTTTGAGCTAGCCAAGGGGGTGGTTCGAGATTAGACCATAAGTGATGGCCCCCACTCTTACAGTACCACGTGATGGTGCCTCCTCCACCCGACCTCGACTGCCATTCCCCATCCCTTTTTTTCTGCATTACTTATTATTACTTATCTACGCACCGAAAGTCTCTGCTCAACACTGACTTCAACATTATCACTTTGAAATTGTAAATAGCCTTTATTTCTTACACTACGTGTCGCCGAAGGATCTTCCGATGGCTTTTCACAAGGCGGACCTGAGGTCGCGAAACATGACCAGAGATGCAGAGGTTCAGAAATTGTGTCCCAATGATCGCCAACGATGCATATTACACTTGCATATTCTATCTGTCTTTTTGATTTGCATAGCCTACCAAACTTGATGATGGACCCTCAGCCCCAGTGCGCGTTTTATTGCGATTCAGTCGGGCGTCGATTGCAGCTGCAGCTCAGGGTGCTCAGGGTGCTCAGGTTGCTCAGGCGAGTTGACTGAGCCGAGGGTGATTAGCGCCTGAGCAAGAGCAAGCTCACTAACCGAAAGCGAAGTCCAAGAAAGAGAAGATTAATCGACAATACCTGCCAATACACTCCTCCAATGTTCTAGTGGTCCCGGACATTAGAATTCCTACCACTGGGAGCGGGTGCGCGGCGACCAGAAGTCTCATAATTGAAGACAGCACTGGTTCTAGGTGCGAAAGATCCACTTTCAGGAGACTGTCGAGTAGTCCTATTGGCTAAAAGTCTTTCCCCTGTAGATGACTCCACGGTGGCTCCTCTTTCCCTAGCTTCCTTGAAAGTACTGGCCGGTATCCTCTCCTCTTCCCAAGCGTCACCGTGAACTCTGTCGTCCACCTTCCAGTCGTCAGACTCGTCAATCTTCACATATTGCATTGGCTTGATGCCAAAGTGACGACTAGACCGATTCATGGGGATCGGATAATGACGAACATGACCTTCCACCTTCTTCTTGTGGAACTGGGTGACTGCCTCTTTTTCTTCAGGCAACCAAATCATTTTTGTCTCGCTTTTGGTCGTGCTGCGGGAAGGCTCTCAGTAGAGGTATTCGAATACTCCCAGCTCTGGCTTTGGATCGCCTTTTTTGACTGAGCAAAGAGCGGCAATTCCCATATGCGCGTGGCCATTGGTCCAGCCACAACATCCAGCAAGCGTTCTGGTAAACTCTGTAGGAAACGCCTGAGGACCTTTCGCAAGAACATCTTTAACGATCGGGCAGCCGTCAGGGATAGGTAACCCATCTGTGTTCATAGTCCGCAGGTCGACCATAACAGTCTTGTGCCCGTCCATAGTCAAAGTGGCCAACTCGTCGTTGAGGTCTTTTCCGAGATCAATCAACAAATCCTTGTTGAGTTCTGCGACCTTATTGTCTGATACTTTAAGATACAGGCCCGAAGAATTGACAAGATAGAATCCTGCTTCTTGGGACTTTGAAGAGAGCTTTCGGGTTCGTATACGCTTGAAATCCAGCTGGGTCTTGTAGAATGATTCATTCAAACTGAACTGAAATGCCAAACGTATATCGTTGAGATTTCCAAGCCACACATTGTCACGATACACGGCAATGTTATCCCATAATTTCTGCTTACTAGCTTCAGCTGCATCAGAACCTCCCAATTGTCGAGCTTGTTGAGTTAACACAGTCCGAGCAGCTTCCCATATCGCACTTGGGCTACGGATGGCTGCACCGCAATTTGCATTGGGGAAGATGATGGGAGGATGGCGCCCGTCCAATTCTTTATGATCGCCAGAAGGTATGGTGATTTGGAAGCTCGGATTTCTCTGTGCTTGAGGTCGGGGTTGTCCTGGAACTTGAGGTTGTGGCAAGAGTCGATTCTTACAAGAGGCAGATACCTATTGCTTATAAGCCTTGAGAAATCTTGGGGTGTAAGCTTGACTTGGATACTCTTGACCAGATTTGGCGCAACCGGGACTTTCAATATGTCGCCAACTCTCAATATGTGGCCCCCAGTCGACTCGTGAGCGCGAAAGAGATTCTCGAGATTCAAATCACCGTTGTCGAGACAATTCAAATTCTCTGTCGGTGGATAGGCCACATCCAATACCGACTGGTAGATATCGAGCGCGTGCTGTGGTGTGTCTGGAGATGCTCCTTTGGGAAGTTGAGGGGTCTTCTATCCGAAGTTGACATGTTAGCTTTCAAGAAAATGACTTACACATGTACTATGAATGGAGAGCAATCAACCCTATTGCGCAATGTAGCAGACTTACCGAGTAATTGGTATAATGCAATGACGAATTCGTGCCGGTGACTCCTGCAATTGGTAAATCCAATTCTTCTGAGTCTCTATCGACCTCTCTTCGAACACCTTTGATTGTTCTAGCCTTTTTAGTTGCTTGGTTAGAGTCTTCGACCCCTGATCGCTTTCCTACTTTGCGCCTGCTGTCAGAGCGCGTGGTACCTGTGATGGCAGCATTGACAGAACTACCTTGACCGGAGGCTTGGCCAGTTGTGTTAGACTTATTACTGGGAGGTGTCACGATCTCCTCATCTATCGCCGTCTTGTGCTTGGCCCCTCTTGTTGACGTGTTCTGATGGCTGTCCATTGTATCGAGTCGGTGGTAATAATTCCAGAAAAGATACTGCTCAGATGTTGTTGTAGGGCAGAGAAATGTAGATGTAATCTCTTTGAAGAAAGTATTGGCTGTCAATAAGTTGCGAGGTACAGATTGAGTTGGCAAAATGGCATGAGGTTGCGGCTCGATATCGTAGGATATCTTTCAACGCACAAAGTTGACGATCAAGCACGGGACATTGTTTTCTAGCGTGATTGTAATTAGGACCTATGCTTCTTGCACTTAAGAAAGAGGAACTTACCATAATCGATAAGAACAGGAGACTGATAATGGAATCCAAAGCAGTTCAGAGGTCTTGACAGGTATTCAATTAATATCCGTAATGACCGTTGACTATATAGGGCTTCTTCAAGATCAAGAATAGATTCAAGGAAGCTTTCTCGCCTCGTTCCAACCAATCGATCAGATATCTATATCTAGAGATCTCGTTATGTGTTTATATTATCATTTCCCAATGGCTAACCCACCATGCAACAGCACTAAATGATTTAGGATTATACAGGTGTGGTACTCGGATATTTTGGAGACAAAGAGTACTTGGGTATGTTGTCTGGCAGATGGAGATATTACGATCCAATTTGGCTAAAATGCGATTCTTATACTGCTGACAGTCTCTTCCAAAATTCATTGCCTCCTCAGAATCACCGGCACGAGGAGAATGGCAAACCAAGCTGTATATCAGCGTTGGATTGCCTGACTGAAACAGCATGTTTGCACATATCAGCTGGGAGATACTGTGTGCATCCGAAGCATGGAATATGGAAATGGCACTTGCTCGAAGGGATTCCATGATCTGTTTGTACGTGTACGAGGCAGATCGGGACGCGTGTCTCTGAATATCTAATTCACATTGCCCCTGATCATAATCGATTGTTGAGAGCTCTAACTAATTTCTAGACTTCGAAGAAGCAAACATGCTTCTACAAGCGGAAAGCTCGATCCTCCCATGCAAATCAACCTCAGCCAATGTTCCTCTGCTTCTCCAGTCTCGAAATCCAAGTTACACGAAAGTCACTCGTCAGATTCCTCAAATATATCCCAGTTCCACCACTATTCCTTCGAAATGCTTCGCCAACTCAAGCAGGATCTCACACAACTACACCCAGATGCTTCTCGCGCAATTGTTTGCCGAGGTTGAAAAGCCATACTACAAACTCCGGTTCGCAGTTTTCAATTATAACTGTTTGTTAGATACTTGTGATGTGGTAATCCGTGGGAGTCATGAGGCGGGGAGATGTCGAGTGCTCTAACGAACATTGCACAAACGTTTCTTTAGTTTGAATGTATTTAGATCTCAGAGGATCGTCGTTACTTCTCAATCTGACAAAGCCCTTTCAGAAAACCAGTTTTTGAGTTCTTCAAGTTCTAGCTAGAGAACAGAGTTGCGACTCGTAATGACGAATTCTAAGCCCCTAGGAAAGAACCCAATGATGCTAAAATCAAGGCAACTGGCTCCTGTACCAAGAGGGTCAGCATAACATCACAGGAAATTCCTAATTATGGCAACCACAAACAAGCCTAGCAAACAAAGCTGCACGAAAGGCCTTGCGGAATAGGAAGGAGCCGCTTGACATACTATTCCACAAACTTTAGGAACAAAATCCCTGGATATTCACACAGGGGTGGATTTCAATAAGTTCCCCTGTTCTCCTTTGATTCGATTGTGTAATCTGACACGCAGCCGTAACCCATCATTTTGTACGTGTGGAAGAGACGTTGCAAGTTTGAGAAAACGTCGCTCTGGGACCACAGCATACTTCTAAAAAGTTCCAAATGCTCACTCCAGCAATTCGTCATAACTTGAAACAGATCATCTGAAAAATCGTTAGCAATCTCTCTTATTTCATGATTGTCTATAAACTTGTTGGGACCCCGTTGTCGCAACAAACAATTCTAGCGATATAGATACACTATAAAATCAACCACAATGCTGGCCTGGAACTTGGATGACTTACCAACACAGAGTCAGATATACATCAAAAGACGATGTGACGTTTACGTACAACTTGTCTCTTTCTCGGGGTCAATTCAAGCATGTCTTCAAGATTATCGTTACCACGCCTCTGCTCGTCTTTGGCGATCTGGATTCGAGTCCTCTGATGAAGCAAAGGTAAGAGGAAATATCCAGGAAGGCGTCAAAATTTATCTTAAAGAGAAGTGGAATTGGACTTGAGGACGCAAAGGCTCCTTCTCCGTCTGATATTTAGTATGCTGGATGCCTACCTCATCTTTATATTGATAGGGAGAAAGCCAAAATCGTAGAAGGACATTTGCAGGATTATCCCCGAACCCATCCATGGGTTTGTAAATTTGTTCATGTATTGTGCTCTAGAGTTAGTTGAGCTTTCAAAACGAGTGACAACTTAGCTCAGAAATCCAACAAGGAATAACATTTATTACCATCTTGTTGCCTCAAGGAAGGTCAACCTTTCACGGCTAAATCTTAAAGCTCTCGCATTATCGATTAGTACCTAATTTCCTCAACAAGGACCCAGATTAGGATGTCATGCTACAAATCTGGCTAAAAGCTCTGGTGTTGTTGATTAGAGCGCTGGTATAGATGCTTTACTTGACAAATCCTAGACCAAGATAGCACACCACGCATCCAACTTAACGTTCTCGTCTTATCGCTTAGAGCCCCTATATAGGTATTTTACCCGACAAGGCCCCAGGTTAGGGTGTCACGCTATACATCGGACTAAGAGTACTTGTATTATCGATTATAACAATTACAAAGATACTTTACCCGACACGGCCGCATATCAGAGTATCACGCCACAAAGTTGGCTACAGATTTGCGACCTAGAATATTTTCAAACCCTTCAGAGCCCAGCAGCATATCAACAAGTCAACCTTTTCCCAATTCTCTTTGCGTAACAGTCGCCATCCAAGACAATAGTCTCTTCAATCTGAATCCTTCTTCGCTAAGATATTAAGGTTGGCGTCTACTACACAATGGACACAGAACAGAGCAAGGAGTCCGGACAAGAAGAGTCCAATGACTTGAGCAATCAACTCGCTGAGAGCGCAACCAGTACAGAAGGGCGAGTCAGTACTTACCCGAGTACAGGTTTCTCAAGGAAACGGGCCATAGCTGAGGACGATGGTGGTATATCAAAGAAGGCAAAGATGGTCAAGGAAAATCGAGATGAGGTAAGTTCAGCAACGTTTGTTTTCTGTCCAAGGATGTATGGGTTACGCTGGAGCAGATGCTCTGGGAAGGCTTGCCTGACAAAAGGTATACACGCTGACATCACGATAGGAGACAGATTCCGAAGCAGAATCCGTGGACAGCGATCTGTTTGAGTTAGACAAATATGAGCACGCTATTGACGCATATCCTTCCATAGAGGACATTGAGAGTGCTTCTGACGAGCCCTGGGTTCGCACAGAACGAGGATCTTGGCGATACATTCAGCACGTCCATGGATTGACCAATGGCGACCTCACATTCGAGAACTTACTCCGAGTTAGCAAGGATCGGCCTGGAGAAGCAGTGTTGAAGGTTGGTGATAAGCTAGTCATGCCTGGGTTCAGCAATGGATCTTACATCACTAAAACAGTTGAGGTACGTTGAGCTTATGCTGAGCGAGCATTCCAAGACTAATACATTTCAGATTGTGGGAGGATGGGCTCAGCGGCCTCTTCCCGTACCTCAAAACTAGCCTCCAAAGACTGGCGGATCAGTCTAACTTGCGGTACCTCCTAGGGATAGCCCAATCTCGCGCGTTCAGCAAGGTGTAGCCGATATCATCTATCCAAACGCGAACCTACCCGATGCTATTACATGTCCTGATTCAATCTGGAAAGTAGTTAAAGCAGAGATGTCCACGATCACACAACAAACGGAGATTGACGGGGATGGGAAGACCCGAAAGAAAGTAGGATTATGGGCCACCATTCGGGTGATTCGAGCGGGTCAAGATCTGGGCACCTTGCACGATATCAGACTCGCACTCCAGTTCTGCATGAATGAGTGCGACTTCCAGCGTCAATTAACGTTCAGTCGAACACGTCAACAACGACTCCCGAAAAATGCGGCAAAGGGAGGATTCTACGTGTCGAAGTCCAGTTGCCTCTATCTTAAGTTTCCCGTTCGAGAAGACCAGGACCGCGAGGCGCAGCTAGATGAGATGAACAGAGACATGCTCATCAATCTTGGAGACACCTTGAATGAGGAGTTAGCTTCCTTGGCAGAATCTGGGTTCAGAATCATGATGGTCGATTCTCGTGTCATGATAACCAATGGCTTACCAATCCCGGACAAGCGATCTGTCAGGAGCGTGCTTCGAATGGGTCCCAAGGCATTCCCATCAGCATACACAGAAGAAGTAGCAGGAGCCTACGGGTGGAGCAGGGGATATGCTCACATGGGTCTCAAAAGCTTATGGACCGAAGATGGGTATGGAGAAATCGAAGATACTATGTTTAGGACTTTCGACCGACAAGTTGGAAATGCAGCAAAACAGGTTCCTGTGTCGGAAGAGGTCTATTGGACTCCCGAGGAGAAAACCAAAGTCGACACCTTTCATGAAACGAAAGTTCAAGGGAAGATTCGACACTGGCCGCTCCCAATCACCATGTCCGAAAACCAAGATGGTATTGTCAGAACTCAATACGCGAAGTCCGGCGGTGACTGGGTGGTAGATCGAGATATGCATGCGGATGGCATTGAGGAGCAGCGGGTTACGGAGCAGCAATTCGTGGATGCTATGAAAAGAGGCAGGACAAAACCGGAAGAGCTTAGAGAAGATACCAGGGCCGTGGCTGAAGATACAGAATCAGAATGGAGACCCGAGTCTACACTGTTTGGATACGAGACAGCAGGCCGTGCTGGTCCATCTAGAGGGGGTAGAAACTCAAATATCAGAGATCACGAGATTGGATAGTAATAATACGGGCATACAGCAGATGGTACTGTTCCTGTGTCTAGATAGCCTGATTTGTCACTAGTCAGAATAATAATGATAATGTACCTTTTATTGTACTCTACCATTGATAGTGATTGAATAAAATTTGAAAATTTATCCGTCCTGTTGGCATGGGCTAATGGGCAATTGCAATCAGATCAGTGCCCTTTCCACGGTTCACTATTCTTGAAAGTTTAATTAATTGGCTATTTCGAAAGCTCCATCTTATGTAGACAACTCCAGGTGCTCAAAATTCTTCACCAACTCCAGCAGCATCTCGCACAATTTCTCTGGGGCAACAAGCTGGGGGCTATGCCCGGTATCAATATCTTTGATGATCCACTCGACCCACTTGCTTGTATCATCATATTCTGGATCTCATAAGGAATGCCCTGGTCCTTGACTGTACGGATGTAGGCAATACGACCCTTGAAAGATTAGGAGTCCCAGGACGCGCGTGGACATGGAGTTTTGAATGAAGCTAAGCTTGGACACATCGTTGACAAGACTGCAGCGTCTTGCACTACCTGGGGCGATACATCCCCATACAAGGGTGGTCCTGGGTCTTCGCAGGTGAGCAGACCGGCAGCTTCCTAGGTAATTGATCAGTTATCAAGACGCCAACAGGGAAGTGGAATTGAGGTCTTCTCACGCACATCAGTAGACAGGTGAGGTGGAAGTTGCCCACCAAAGGTATCAACAACATCCTTTCCATCCCCTCCCGGTGTTATGATAGCGGCGATAGATATTTGCCCTAAGATAGAGGTACTCTTGCCTTTGGCGGCACGGTCGGCCTTGCTCAGACCCATTGCAGCGGCGCTGCCAGGCAAGCCACTGTAGGAGTGGGTGACCAGAATCACATCGTGCTTCTCAGTGTCTAGGATTGGAAGTAGCATACGCTTGAGAACGTAGTCTACATCATCTTGCACACTGACATTTTCACCAGTCCCGGTGGATGGAAGTAGTGCTGACAGAGTAGGGTAGCCATGGCTCTGGAGGAGGTGGAACAAGTAGCCATAGTGTCCAGGATTTTGGGAACCGCCAGGTACAATAACGAAGACCGGCCGAGATTGGGGACGAGGCATGGTTCGGTTTTGCGATATGAAGGAAGGTGAGTAAAGGATGCTACTTTGTTCGGCGTCAGATTTTGTGGGGCTGTGTATGTACAGAAATCTGCTTTGTGAATCTGATGAAGTCAGACAACTGCGGATTTCTGGTATAGTGGAAATTTCGAGAAATGAAGATGGGGTGCCAGATTGCTTATAAGCTCACCTTTCTTTTTGCCAGTGTTGGATGTTGGATTGTTGGTTGCATAACGGCAATTGATCTTCATGTTCCCCTCACTGCAGGCTTATTAATCTCTTGCATAGACCTTGTTAATGCGCTGTGTCATACAGGTTTCCTGGAATCTCTCTCGGGTCACCAAATGGGAGATCGCAATGCCATAGAGACTCGCTAGAACTATACTGAATCGCAATCATGCTTCCACGTCCTCAAGCGAGGCCTACTTGATCCCTCAACCCCACAGATCACAATTTCCAGAATTTCTGGCCCCTCTGTTCAACTTGTAAGACTACATAACTCTTCAATTTCAGAAGCTCGCTCATGCAATAGAACAAACTCTGTGGAGTAACCGGCAGAGCAGCACAATCCCTAGAATGTATGGCACTGGTCAACAGCAGATAGTTTTTGATGATGAGATGATCTGAGAACATGGACATAATTATTTTTTATTCCAGTTGCCTAAAGCCAGTCCTATAAGCTTGGTTCTTCTGTCTCTTCGATCGCCTCAGAACTCAGTTTTGTACACCTACATCTTCAACTAGGCGAGCCAGTCGCCTCTTCCACTCTGGCTCCTCAACGTTTGTACAAAAGAGTGCAGCGTGGAGGTAGTCTGCACCTTTTCCGTAAGGTATGAATGGATGGCGAGATGTCAAAGACGGAAACAAATTGCGGTAAACATTGTTTTCGCAAAAATAGTCTGATATAGCTCTGTACTTGACATTTCTAGGATGGTCCGTTGGTCGACCTAAGTGTGCATGATGGAAGTCGTCCTTATCGAAATCGTGAATAGTCAGGTTGTCGGGTCTTCCCACTTTCAGACTATCGACATATTGCTGTCCGACATCCATCATCCGTAAACGGTAGTTGAGTTGAAGAATCGCTTGGTCCAGATGTTCTTGATTTGTTGGATCTTGAGGTATGTCCCAACTGAATAGCCCGTGAACTTTCATGTTATCAGACGCGTCACCGTCTCCAGGATTGCCTTATTGAACAATTAGTGTACTCCATTTTACAGATGATTGAGGATCACGAAGCCCAGAATATATCAAAATTATGTCCCGATGCCAATAGCTCCGAACTGGACTTACTGGAGAAGTATCTCTTTTGCAATTTAGCGACCTCCTTGTGCTTGTCTCTAAGATCCTCAACCTCACCTGTCACTCGTTAGTATCAATTTGTGTATCTTGGAGACAAGATGGCGAAAGTAGTGATTCATGATTCATGAAATCACAGATTTTGTGAAGAGAAATAAAAACCGAGATATCAGAGTTTGGGGGATGCAACAAGACTTACTTCGTAGACATTCGAGGGAAATATATTTGTCCTTGAGTGACCCGCTCATCATTGATGTCCTTGTAGTCGGAATTTATTTGTGTTGTGGTTGTGAGTAAGCAATGTTGGAAGTTTCAATTATTTGAAGTGTTTATATCCATTTTTGTTAGGCCAGAATAGCTCCCGTCGGTACCATATTTCGGAATTAATGGTAAGGAAGTATCCGTGGCACACTAGGCTAATTGAGAACTCTATAAAACCAATGCAAACAACTACTCCGATAAGCTCTTTTTGTTCAACTTAATTAAAGTTTGCAGCATCGCATCAGCGAGTCTGCCTCACTTCGTCCATTTGTCCCACTTTGCAAGACTTCACATGTCTGGAGAGACTTGGAACAATGTCAAGTGGCTTTGAAATCGAACTCTCCAGGGGTAGATGGATCTTCTTGTTGCCCTTCACTTCAATCGCGAGCTCCTATAATGAAGGAGAAGACGTCGAGAACGTGAAAGGTGGACATCGTGTTCAATTCATAGTCGTCTTCGGAGGACTGGCGGCTGGCCTCCTGAGTGTTCTTCGGAGCCTCTCTTCTTCTGCATATGACGGGCTTGTAATCTTGAATGTAGCAATTATATGGGGATGACTTCACGCGTAATGGGGAAAAAGCTAGGAGAAGACAAGTGATGATGGGGCAGAAAGTGGAAGTCAGGTTTTGTTTAGCCTTGACCCGCGGCCGCAAGATTGAAGATCGTAGCATAGTTCGTTGCAAGATAATGGCAGGGCAATTTGATGAGTGGGAGATGATAGTCGGACAAGATGAAAGATCAATAACATTATGATGCGTGGGGGTTATATAGTTCCCGGAAGTAACTCAATGCTGTAATGACGGCCGGCCTACTGACATCATGACATCGCGAAAGTTTATTAGATGCCAACTTAGGCGAGCTCCTTTTCCGTCTTCGCGAACCGCCTCTGAAGGTGGTACTGTGAAATAGTAGAGGTCAGCTTGTAACCTGCATACATGCTACTCAATTCGTGGTGCTCCCAGATCTTGGTCTTTACCTCTTTCGAGTGTGAAAGTCCCAACCTATGTCACGACATGACCCTCAGAAATGCCGGGCGTTCATTTAATAAATTTCATGTTTAGCATATTGCTACCGAAAGTAAATGACAAAGCTATTTCCATTTGAGTTATATTTTCGATCTTGGATCCATGTTTCTATGTATAGGAAGCAGAAACTGTGCTATGGAAGGCCGGAGAATTTGGGGACTATGGCACGTGACAACTATGCATCATTTACCTGTGTTTAGAAATCCCTAGACTTCTGACGCTACGATGTGGCAGATTGTTATGACATTTGAGATTTCCCTCAATTCACTCCGAACATCACAAGGGTCTACAAAACAAGCTAGCGAGGCTTCAACTTGCTGACTCACACTGTTCCATTCCCAACACCTCACTTCCAACCAACCCACAACATCAGTCACCAACTCTCCCACAACATAGATAACACGACATCTACACCAGAATAGATACCAACAGCCTCTCCCGGGACCCCAAAACCCCATCCTACCCCGCACCACTCATCATCCAACCCCTACTCACCCGCAAACAAACCCTCATTATCCTCCACGGCCGCGGCTCCACCGCCTCAAAATTCAGCCCCCCTCTCCTCACCACCTCCTCCTCCTCCTCTGGCTCAACCCTCCAATCCTCCTTCCCCCATGCAAAAGTAATCTTCCCCACAGCCTCTCTCAGCCGCGCGACAATATACAAACGTAGTTGCACACACCAATGGTTTAACAACTGGCACTTGGAAGAATATACCAAGCGGCAAGGTATGATGGTTGATGGTCTACGAGCCAGTTGTGATTACATTCATAGTCTTTTGAGGGAAGAGGAGAGAATGTGGTTCTTTGGGGTTTGAGTCAGGGATGTGCGACGGCTTTGACGGCGCTGCTTACTTGGGATGGGCCGGCACTTGGTGCGGTGGTGGGGATGTGTGGGTATTTACCGTTTGGGAATGTAGGTGAGAGAATTGGGAAGGGTGAGGAGCTGCCAGAGAATCCTTTTGCTGAAGAGGATGACCCATTTGACAATTCTGGGGATGAAGGGAGAATGACATGTTTGATACAGGCAGCAAAGACCAGGAACCGGATCCGAAGAAACAAGCAGTTACCTTTCTGAGAGAGGAACTCGATATGAACGTTGATGCAGGAGAGACTTTCTTGAATATCCCTGTGTTTCTGGGTCATGGGGCTGAAGATGAGAAGGTGTCAGTAAACTTGGGCGGAGAGGCGAGGCGCTGCTTGGATCTATTAGGTGTTGAAGTAGAGATGATTGAATACGAAGGTCTAGGACCCTGGTATTCAGAGAACATGTTGCGAGACATCTTCCAATTCTTGAACACGAAGCTAAGGTCGGAGAAGAAATCTTGAGCATTTTGCGCAAAATGCGCGGAATGCGGAAAATGCGCAAATCTCTCACCATGGCAGACATAGCAAAATTTGAATGGACCGAGGTTGCCCTGCCGCCTCCAAATAGACAAGCGTCGCTATCACCTGTGGACAACTACAGATCGGATCCTAGAGCTTGCTCAAAGATCAAATCGACTTTTGCGTGATCTGAAAATCATAGCTCGGCTTCAAATCACAATCCACCGGATACGAATCCATCCCCTCGAATTTCATATCCCGCGCATAATACTCAACATTAACCATGTCCGCGCTGATATCCATCGTCACAAATCCGTTCGCCGCTACAACCATTAGCATCTTCACCTGTCAAGAAAGAGGTCACTCGCCCGTCAAATTATTTGCTCCCAAATAAAGTGCATACGGTCCCGGTGCTGTCCCATTATTGCAATCTCCGGCTTGAGGATATCCCGCCGCACCACTCAAGATGAAATTGGTATTATTGCTGAAGAAATGTCCCATACAATGATCATGGCCATTCATCACGATTCCTTGGTGCTGAATGACGATTTCGATAAGTGGACCGAGATCTGTTTCGTTGGTTGCTGCGGAGCGGTATGGGTGGTGCATTTGTAGAAATTTCCACGTTGCGTTGGATGCTGCGAAGGTGTTGGAGAGGAAGTCGATTTGAGTTTGCGTGTCGTTATGACATGCTTTTGTGTATGGGTTGTAGTATAGGGATGTGTTCTGAGACGGTTGTCAGTGTGATACTGATTTAGGAAGTGGAAGAAAAGACTTTTTGATAAGATGAGAGGAAGCAGTCGGAGTCGAGGACAACAAACGTTGCTTTCCAGCCTGCACCAACGAGATCATAAGTATAGTATGGCAACTGTTCGGTTCCCTGAACTTCGTCAGCACCCCGACTCGCTACAATATTTACATGATGTAACTCACGAAGTACCAGCGATCGTCGTACATGGGCGCTACCTTTGTCTGAAAGTCCACACCTGGCTGGCCTGGGACGATATCATGATTTCCAAGGCATTGATACCTATGCACGTGGTTAGATTTGATACCAATTCACGATTCAGCTCAGGTTCGTACCATGGTGCATATTTGAACACCCCTTGAGTATACATATCAACCCATGCAGCTTGAAATCTGAGAAGTCCACTTGTTGTGAAGTCAACTCCAGAATCATAGAAATTGTCACCAACAGAGAGCTGTAAAAAATCAGTTGAATTTCTGGTCTGTCATGGTTCCTGGAAAATCATACAAAAGCACTACAATTCTTCATGGCACAGATTTGGCCAACGTATGCAGAGGTGTCCACTTCAAGGTGATCAGTCAATCATGCTGCCTTCAGTTAGATGACTCACTTTGAAGGGCAGTTGCATTTGTGATGTATTGCTTGTCGCCCGGATCGCAATCTGAGTAGTTTTGTCAATCACTGATTGGGGAGAAACTTTCAGGTCTTGCAAAAGCTTACCGTTTACTACCTCGTTGGGAACGGTGATTCCTGCAGCTTGCAGTCTCGGAAGCACATCAAAGCAAAATTTATCTGGAGAAGGAATCCATCCAGTCCATCCATAATCTATAATTCCGGTCAGAGTGCGAATAGAAGATATGATTCCTTCACTGCTGACCTCCAATAACTGCAACAGTAAGAACTTCAGCTCCCGTAGGGGCAGTTCTTGATGTCACATTGGTTGTAGCTGAAGCACGAATAACGAGAGAACAACAGCCAATGCTGTGAGGCTGGATAGGAAAGACGACATTTCAGATTTCAGCAGAAAAATTCAATTAAAAATTTGAAGGTGATGGCAACTCGGATGACAGGGCCCTTATGTAGGTACAAAAGATCAACAACGAACGACTTCGGAGCCTCATGCATTATGCAGTGCTACTGCAATGGAGACATACCTCCATCTAGACCTCCCGTGACACTCATCACTTGACTCGAATACAGATTCGTCTCAATCCAAAGGAACAACCACGTGTTTCTGAACATTCAAGGGTTGTGAGCCGCTGTCGTCAACCTTAAACATTCCGTCCAACATAAAAGCTTCAGCTTGAAGCCATGCTCGGCCGGCATGCGCCCTAAATACCAGCGCCCCATCCGATCTTCCGCGAACGCTGGGGAAACGAGACATGCAAGAGGTTGATCCTCCAGGTTGCTGGTCAAGTCAAGCTTTTGGGGCAACTCGCTTCTTCCCGCAGGACCAATGAGGAAGGTCAAAATTCCAGTGACGCGTAAAATCCTGCTTTATTTTCACGTTGCGCTAATGAGAGAGTGATAGTGACATGCTGCTACATAAGAAGTCTGCAGCCAACAATTCTTATCGAATTTCAAGCCAGCCTGATTGGACAAGGAATTTTACCTCTGGAACTATTGGAAGGAAGCATGCTGCCATCCATTAGTCGCTATAAACTTGTGAAATTTTGTTACACATCGTAGGCTTCAAAAGTCTCTCCTTACAACAACTCCGAGTACCTTAGGGCACTCCCAATACAAAGATATCCGGAGCTTTTGACTTGCAGCAAAATTTTACTTTCACGTGCAAGTGGCAATCAGTCGAGTATGCCTTGAAAAGACTCAGATTGATGTGTTTGCCCATACTCTGGTTCTCCAAATAGACCAGCAGCTGCTGCATGATCGAAAGCATCCGACCCATAATTCCTGCCTACACAGAATTCTGGCACTCAAGACATGCATGTATTTCAATTGACGGTGCATTTGGAGTTGCTGTTGGTTTTACGCCTCTTACGTGCTGGGTCGGGAGTTTCTGGGTTGGGAGTTTCAGCATCCGGAAAATGCTCCTCGTATCGTTCGCCTTTAGCACCCATGTATACAATCATCTTTCCTTCAACAAAGAGTATGTAGTCCGTCACCCCAGCCTTGATACATTCTGCCAAGAATCTGGGAGCATCGATCTTCCTATCGATGCAAATTCAGTCAGCGTAAGCATCTTCACGGTGTTTAGGATCGAGACAATGCATATCGACATAGTGAAAGTCTATAATGCCACTTACCGTTGATGATATCTCTCAATTTGTGCAATCAATCGTGCCTCTTGCCAAGCTGTATCGATCTGCGGGTTTGGCAGATCTTTCAAATTGTCCTCCATTGGCTTCAAATTGGCGCGAACGCGATTATTGGCGGTCCCGAAAGGCGGATAATAAGTGGTTGTACGGCGAAGGACAAAATTGATATGGTATCGAAGCAAGTTCGAGGGCTTATTAAGACATTTATTGATGTCAACTAAGTGTCGAAATGGTAGGCCATTTTTCGGATGTTGTTCTGCTAGACTGACGAGCTCTCCAAGCGACTCGATGACAACAAATGATTCCCGCTCTCTTAAAGTAGAGGTTTGAGACTCGGGTCGTTCCTGGACTTCTGAAGCTTTCTGACGGCGAGATAATGCAACCAAGCGATCCGTATCCTCCTTACTGAACGGTTTCACTTCTGACTGTCTTTGAGAATCCGCAGGAGGCTGAGAATCGGCAAGCTGACCAGAGTTGGAAGGATGCTGCGATCCAGAACCTTGAGGAACACCAGGTCCAACAGAGTTAGACGCATGTGCCTCGAGCCATGCTTGGGAATCTGCTAGAAGCTGCGAGTCTGCGACCTGATCGGGTCCGGAAGGTTGCTGATCGGCAGCAGGTTGCTCGAAGCGGGATGCATATGATGACTGAGTACCAGAAGGTTCGCTGCCGGATGACATAATGGATAATCGACTCGTTAAATGATGTTGGTTGTCAATTGGGATACTCGCGATGTGATATGTTGTGAATGTTTCTGAGAGCGAGGTTGAGAAATTGTCATGTCTCCAGGGTCGAGGAAGGAACGACTTCCCTGCTTGACTGTAAGCATCGCACCTTTATGGTTTGGGGAAGTGCTACCTAAGACCAACTGTAATACTTGGACGTGAGGTTGATCAGAGACCTACAGCAGTCAAATGCAATGAGAATTTTTGAGAATCTATTCCACATCCCTTTTGTGTCCATGCTCCAGCGTCTTACCTGCAAATATCTCAAGTGTTCAAGCTCTCGACTCCCACGTGCATGTGTCCGTCACCGACCAGATCTTGCCAGCTTACTGTCTTTGTAAAGTGCTGCTGTGTTGATGTCCTTCAAGCTGTGTTTGTAGGCCAATGCCACTGGCATGGCTTCAGGAACACAAGGCTCTCGCCATGTGAGAGACTGTAAGACCGAATTGCCGCTCTAGCCTTTGATTGCATCTGGGTGAATGATTTCGTTGCACCAACAATCCGAGAAATAATCGTTGGCTGCTCGTAGAAGCACTGATTCATGTTTACCGCGCTAGTAGTGTATTTCTAGCTCGGGCTGCCTTAGTTTTTCTGGTCGGCATCGCTTGAAAAAAGGTTTGCGACGACAACATTCGAATACTGAGAATTATCAAAGCCTGTGAAGAACACCAACCTCAACAGCAGGTAAAGGCTTGACAGTTTGTGACAACGGTTCTACCGTTGCAGCAGACTCCTTACTGGTATCAAACTCGGAACCAAGTTGAAATCTTCTGGCACCGAAGTTGAATCCGAAGATTGTTGTCTTCCTTTCGCTTTCGAAGAGGGAACGCGAGGCTGGTTAGCTTCGTCACCACGAGCGCGTCTCTTCCAACTTCTCTTCTTTGCCAACGAGACGAACAAAACCTACGACTTTCAACAAGAAGAGATTAACTTCATTCGAAGCACACCGGTAGTCGCAGCGATGGCCAAGGTCAAGTACGCCTTGGAAAAACTTCCCAAGCGCGGTCTTAAACAAAAGGAAGGCGATGTTGTACACATGCAAGATGGGGTCCTCATTCACGAGCGTACGGACAAGAATGGCAGCGTACGTGCTAATCTTGATCCGGCCCAACTCTTCTCGACATCAGACTAATGACATGGCGTGTTTAGAAAGTTGTCAAACTGTATGGCTTTTCTTCTTATTCTCAAAAGAAGAAGAAGAAAATCAAGGAGAAGAAGGTGAAAAAGATGGAGGATACGGATGAGGATCAAGATGAGGATCAAGATGAGGAGATGGAGGCTGTCGAGGAGGATTCTGATGAGATTACGAAGGAGGCCGACGAAGAAGATCGAGAGTATCCGGTACATAATTTGTAGCTACACTTCGAAACTTTTACTGACAAGAGAGTAGAACGAGGAGCTGAGAGAGCGCGGCAAAAAATTGGCGCGGAAATTGAAGAGGTTGAACAAGAAACAGGCAGCCGTTGAAGCAGAACAGCATGCAATCGCCAGACTCAAGAAGATGGACCCGAAGGACAAGACCATCACTTCTCGTCAGATCAACCTCGATGAGCAAATCCAGGATTGCAAGAAACGTGAAGCTAAGATGGAGATGAATCGTAAAGTTTTGAGTATAGATATTCAGAATGTGCTTTTCGAAGAGCGAAGAGCAACAATCAAGCAGGAAGAGAGCCAAACCCTGGAGGCAAAGGCAGCAGAGGCAAAGGCAGCGGAGGCTAAGCAGGCTAAAGAGGTCAGAGAAGCCGAGGAGGCCAAGAAAGCCGAAGAGGCGAAGAAGGCCGAAGAAGAAAAGCAAGCAGAGGCAAGGGAAGCAGCCCGGAACAACTTCAAGCAACAAAGACCACAAACCAGCAGCAGAGCAAGTTCTAATTACGGACAACGCAACCGATGCGTATTGAGAACAGATGTCAGCGAGTACCGTAATGTACACAGCAACTACTCTCGTCCATCACATAACCGCCAGTCTGGTGGCGACCTAGCACGTCTGGCTTCGAGATTGAGCATTGAGCCTCAACCTCAAGATTGGCGACATGGACTCAGAGGCTTGCATGCCAAGAATGGTGGTGAGTTGCATAATGCCAAATGCATGTTTATGAGCTAACCTCGGGACTTCAGAAAGCAGTAATGCTGGAGGAAGATCAATCGTGAAGCAGGAACCCGTCCGTGACCACTATTGAATCGCATGGGAGATTTGTTCGAGGACTTGTAAAACATAATGGGGTTTTCAGAAGAAGCAGACACTTCACAGAGGAGAGGTGTTTCGAAGAAGCAAAGGATAAATGAGTGGCAGGGTTCCACAAACACTTGATACAATTTGGTATACTGGAGCTGCTAGACAGTACTGATAGCGCCCATCAACACCATAACGTATCCTCGTATTTCCAAATCTCATTTTCAACCACTTGCACCCTTCCTACGAAGCGCAGCATGATCACTCATGATCTTGTTCAATCCACTCCTTTGCTTGCAATGAGAATATTTGAAGCTTTGCAAAACCTCATCGAGCTGCTCCATGCTCATACCCTTGAACAGATTCGCAAACTCCATCGAGAAAGCCTGTGCCATGAACGTCTCTATCACATTCCTGGCAAGATGTGTTCGAGTAGGCCAAGTGGTCGGATAAGTGTTCGTTGCTTCGGGACATGCTATATCGATGAAATTCGCAAGTGGAGCGAACAAATCGTCAATTTCTTTGCTGGGATACTTCCCCCAGGCGTCCAGTTGGTACTTTTTCTTCTTCTCTAAGAAAGGTTGGATTTTCTTCATCCAAGGCCCTTCAGGGTCGGTATATACCATTCCTTGTACTCCAATATCTTTGTATAACCAGATGCTCCATGGGATCTGATATTTGTCGTATACATTTAGTTGTGCGCCAAGAAGGTTGTAGCGCTCTTGGTTGATTTCTTCGGCATCTGCGTCCACCCTTGGATCTGAGTATACAGGGCCAAATTCTCCATTCCAGGCTACGACTTTGTGTTGCTGCATGATTGACGCTTTTCTCAAGAACTGTTGTTCAAGTTTTGCCAATTGCTCCGGTGTGCCCTTGAATCGCTCGCCAGTCGGGAAGCCCATCTGACTGTAGTCGTGCAGAGAATATGCGCTATTTGGCAGAACATGGTCAAAAGTCTTCCATTCGGCAGCAAACGTGTTCCCATCCATCCAGAGTATATGATTAGGGTCGATCTCTCGAATTATAGGCTCGAAGCGTTCGTAGAAAGCAGGCAAACGCCAATGTTCGGGATCGCAAGGCTCATTGATTGGATTGTACCCCGCTACCCACGTATTGTCCTTGTAGTGCGTAGCAATCTGCTCCCAAAGCCAGATTACCCGGTCCTGATGGTCTTTGTGGTCCCAGAACGCAGCGTATGAGCTGCCACTGTCGCAGTGCCAGCCGGGGCTTTGTCCACCAGGAAGGGCATGCAAGTCGAGGATCGTGTAGATTTGATGTTTGGCACACTACCACAATTAGTAAAGTACGAGTATCGGACTCGGAGGGACAACCTACGAGGTCAATCACACGATCAAGGTGCTTGAAACCAGACTCCTTCAGCACTCGCGGATTCATATCGTCTTCAAAATGCCTGTAATTGAATGGCAGACGTATGCAGTTGAGGCCCAGGCTGGCAAAGAACTTGGCATCGTCCTCCATGAAGAAGTATTCCAAGAACTTGTCGAAAAAGAATTCTTGCTTCTCTTTCCCCAAGACTTTCAGCATTGCTGCTCGATGTTGATGTTCATGGCCTGGATATCCTGTACTTTTAGCAGATTAGTTACCTGCTATTGGCAGAAGAATGTAGCTGAGGTACATGAAATTCTCCATATTCATCCATCCTCCGAGACCTGCTCCTCGAAGTACAATGGCATTTCCTTTGCCATCGACAACCTTCTCTCCCTCAACCTTCAGAAATCCGTTTGACATCGTGTTTCGTGGTCAGGTCAATGAGGATAAGGTGCTCATTCTCGGAAGGTAGTAATGCTTTTATCCAGGAATTGTAGATCCTTCGATTATTTGTATAGATCAAATCTGCCATGGTACGCCACGGCGCCCATGTTATATGTCGAGCTCCTACATCGCTCATGCAAGTAGGGCTGCCGTGGACTGCTGAAGATACTCCACGACATCTCCCAGAGCTTCACGCGCTGGGGCTGCTAGCGCTATGCCGGTTAAATCCCATTTATCCGACCTCCACCAGCCACCAGAGCTTTCTCTCTCGTCAAAGTTCGATCACAGCAATTCGATTTGGGCAACATCATGGAGGAATCTTGAAGTCAAAATTGTTTCGCTATGATTCATCTCGTACATTGAAATGGGCGAAGCCGTCAATTTCTAGCTTGGTTGAAATGTTCGGCCATCATAACGAGGTAGGGCCAATGTATTTCTCTGATAGTCAAGCTTCAACATGTTGTTTCTTTTCTGCAAAGCATGCGATGAATTGAATGACGGTACGAGTATGTGATTTGCTTTCATTTTTGTGTTAAAATCCGCTTTCTTCTGGAATGCGTCTCGGGGGTTTGGAATGAGCAATAACAGCCTCGACGCGAGCACAAAGACACGTACAGTATGGATATTTCCCAAAGACGAAGATGTCTGCGGCTCCGACACAGAGAGAACTTACAAGATATGCGACAAGATACGGCACATCTAGGAATGTCTTATTCAGAGGCACAGGAAAGAGTGGTCTTACTCCCATCCTATTTCAAGCAGACAGTTCAGCGGCAGATGAAGCCGCCATCGACGAGTTCAAGGCTCGCGAGGACTACCAGAGAAGCATTCTTCGGACATTTACGACTTGGGAGCTAGAAGAATCGGGCTGTTTGAGTAAAGCAGATGCAAAGCCTTCTGATTTAGAGGTCCCGATTCATAAGATACTCATTAAGAGTCGATGGTTGGCGAGCAGCAACAATATTGGTGGCGGCATTCAAGGTACTTGGGAAGCCAAAAACAATGTCGTTTGGAAAATTCTTAAGCCCATTTTGCGATTATCCACCAAACTTCTGGCTGCGTCCTGCTTGTGGCTTTGGTACGGATCCACGGTTGAGGATCGAGTCCGCATCACCTAGGCGAACTCGAATAGAAAGGTCACTAATCGGCATACAGGTTTGACGCATTGATCAATGCTGACTGGGTCAAGCTTCCTGCCTCACAATTCAACGATGGGGGCCATGAGAGAGACTTGTATGGAATTCGAGCTCGTGAACCACAAGTTGCAGCGAATGCGACGCTGAAAATCACTGAGGTTTGGGAAAAGCTAAAGGGCAAGCTTCGATTCGATATCCAGCCAAGCAAGAATAACGCCAGAAATCGAAACTCAAAGACGAATTCTTTTCTCCAGTCTGTGCACCAGAACCAAGATCCAAAGGACTTGTTATCCCTCAAAATAACACTAGCGCTAGAGTTGCTGGCGCCACTGCTTAAGTCCGAGTTGAATGTTACTGAGACGCTTATGCAACAGTTCTTCGTGGCCAAGGTTGTAAGTAACGACGAATCGTGGAGACAGGGGTTCCGACTGACGTGGAAAGATTCTTCATGAGATGGCTGTAAGTCGACCGTCGCGGACAGGAGAGTACAGAGTCTAACGCCAATCTACTAGCATGTAGCTGTACGGTATATCCAATCTTTAGACATTCCTAATCATCCTTCGCCAGTCTTCCCTGTTCAGCCGGAACCAGTGAGTCCAGGTGGCTCTTCTCAGATTAAGATAGATTTAACACCACATAGTTTTTCGAGGACGAGGAAAGCAACGAATGCGGGAGAGCACTCGAGAACGCTGTTTGGGGTGGCTATGTTACAGACTTCTGGATAGTCAGATCCGATTTGCGTTTTAGCAAGATGGACAGCTGGGCTGTCCTCAGCGTTTGTGTCCATAACTGTAAGTTACATCTTTCCACAGATTCACCTCCCTTTCTTTGCTATCTATGGTGCCGGTCCGCAGCCAGGCTTTCGTCACACAACCATCTTCCTGGTTTTGAAGAGTGCAGATTCTGCGCGGGCTCGCCATTTACGCGAATGGCGCAGATTGCGCCTTCTCCTACTTAAATACGGAGGTACACAAAATCAGCGGGCTAATTTTGAATTCCGGGATATAGGGGTCAATTTCAAATTCTTTCCACCAGACTTGCGAGTGGTGCTACCAGAACAAAGACAGCGAATCAGATTCAGCGAAAACTTTCAAGAGAATGCGATCGCCAGCTATGTAAGAATCTCGTTCTTAGACTGCAGCCCTACACCAACTTTGCACGAATTGTAGGTACTGATGTGTTGCAGTGGCCAGTGCCAGTGACATTTATGGAAAACATACTCCAGACGGACTACTGGGACACTCAGGTAGCGCAATTCACAACACAGGCATTTAAACCAGACCGTATTTTGTAAGTGCCTTATGAAATCACCCTGTTCCTGACATACGCTCACCACCAACATAAGCGGCCACATCATCGTCCGAGGAGCCACATCCAAACCTGAAGACGAGAGCTACCTCATAGCTCTGGGCCCAAAGTATGATGACTGGGTGACGGAATCCGGCAAAAGGGTCTCAACCATGGAGAAAATCGACTACAGAACAATGGACGACATCAGGTACGGAAAGCTGATACCAGCAGACAAGCAATGGAGGCCGATATTCGACCAAACGGAAGCTCACGCACAGAAGATACAAGATGCTATAGATCAACAAGATCGGATCTCGAATGCTAGAAAACGTAGGCTGAGTGGTGCTCAAGGTCAGGCGACTACGAAGAAACAGAATACGGGAACAGCGTCGCCTGCAGGCTCCACAGCAGGACCGCCATCTTCGGCAGGATCATCATCTCGATCAAGATCAGCTTCTCCATCAGGCAGTCAGTCACCATTAGGGTGTTGAGACTGCTTAGTACCACAAGCATTGACATCACGATATCTAGCAAGAGCAAACAAGTCGCAATAAATTCATACATTCATTCTCATCTAACTTTAACTCATAACGTTATCCATAGCCTCATCTCATCATCTCGTCTCTCCCTTTCCTCACTTCATCCAACAACAACATCCTTAAACTTCCTCGCACTAACCCTCCTCTCAAACAAATAATCCAACTCCTCAAAACTCCTATGCGCCGTCTCCGGAATCCTAAAATAAACCCACACCACACTCACCAACGCCGTCCCCCCGAAAATAAAACCAATCTTGCCTTTCAAATTCGCTGCGTCGGGATTAATCAATAATGGAACAACGATATTCATCAATACGCCAAAGAGATTCTGGACCACGATACCGAGTCCAACGGTGCGAGAACGGAGACGGGAGGAGGAGATCTCGGCAAAGAGCGCGAAGCCGATCGGTCCGATGGTGGAGAGGTAGATGAAAGCAAAGGCGATAATGCATGCTACCTGGCCGTAGACTGGACCAGTGTTGCCGCCCCTTGTCGCGGGTAGGATATCGAGGATGGCGATCAAGAATAAAAGTACTGTCAAGATGCTCATACCAACAAGAGTTGCTGAGCGACGACCCGTTCTATTGATCAAGAACCAGGAACAGACAACGCCTACGAGACCAAGAACCGATACACCGACGGACATTGAGAAGGATGTTGAGGCAGAGAGGCCTGCTTGCTCGAAGAAGTAGCTCGAGTAGCCAACGACGAATACTACGCCTGAGAGCTGAGCAACGGAGAAGATACCCATTGCTATCTCAGTGCGACGAAGGTCTGAACCTCGGAAGCAGTCTAGGTATGAGGTACTGTTTGCTTTTTGTTCTTCTGTCGTGATGGTCTTCGATATCTTGCCTAGAGTTTGGAGGGGTGCTGCATATCCGAGTTTCTGCAGGACTTCAGTAGCGTAGTTAGTGCGGCGCTTGCGGACGAGGAACCATGGGGATTCGGGGCAGAAGGGGAGGCCGAGCAGGAGCAGGACTGGGAAGATGAACTGTAGAGCGAAGGGAATCTTGTAAGCTAGGGTTGAGTCGAGGGTTCCGGTTCCTTTGAGAATGAGGTTTGCTGCTAGTTGACCGATGCCGATGAACAATTGAACTCCAGATGTCGTCAGGCCACGGACTTCCACTGGACAAATTTCTGCTGCAAATGAGGATGGGATCGTTAGGAAGCAGCCGAGTGAGAGACCGTTGATGAGCTGTGATGGTCAGCGAGAGAAATCTTCGAGGCAAAGAGTAAGAACTCACCTTTCCTGCTAGCAGTGTCCCAGGTTGTCCTGCGAATATCTGGATGAAGACTGCACCGATACTGACAACACATCCCACTGCAAGAGTTATCCTCTTTCCCATCCTATCTGCAAGATACCCAGACCCGATGGCTCCAAAGAAACCTCCGATAGAAGAGGCCGTGTTGAAAGCGATTTGCCAGCTAGCGCTAATGATGTAGGCATTCTGGAACATGTAACCAAAATCCTTCTGGAATGATGGAACAGATATGACTCCATTAGACAACTAAATATATCGTCAGTCTCAATTATTGTATAGTGTCGTTCAAGAGACTTACCAATACATCCATTCCCCAATTAATTGCCCCCAACCCCATAAATGCGGACCAGAGAATGGCAGCCCTATATTGTGACAATAATTCCCATGTTGATTTCTTGCTGTCGTTTATTGAGATGATCTCAGTTGTGCTCACTGCATCTTCTTCCGCCGTCACTTTCACCTCTTGTGTGATCGATTCCTGTATGTTCTCTGCCATCTCGTCTCTGTCTTCGGATTTGATGGCCGCAGCATGTTGGGTATTATCCGTCGAAGGGACCGTCTTATGATTGAGAAGGTTATTCGGACGCGAGACTCGATTCATGCGCCCTGGTAAAGAGGACCAACGAGTGGTTAAGCCTTTGAGCCGTAATCTGGGAAGATGCTGGAGTTGTGGACTGACTCGCGGATACTGCGGGGATGGAGGTTGTATCGTGAGATTTATGAACCCATGCAAGGTACGGAACACGTCCACGTCCAAAATTTTGCTCGGGGTCCTATCCGGAGCAGGGATGTTGGGGGCACTAGATAGAGATGGCGCGACATTGTGGTGTTCTAGAAAAACTCAGTAAAGTGGGTCATTGTTGACTCGTGCTATTTCGAGTTTGGGATATCGTACAAGTCCGAGTCAATTGCAGCTTGCGGCAACGAAACAACAACAAAGGAAAACCAGGAGAACGCATCTTCTCTATTCCTATAGCCAACGGTCTCCTTTATGTGCCAACCGAGCTAAACATGCCCTCGATCAACCGCATAGGCATCCCAACTAAGGTCATAGATAAGCGACCCAATGCGAATTGCGAGCGTGCTCCCCTCACCCCCATAGACCTTCGCTAAGGCTTGCTCGTCGCAGAGCTGCCCAAGCAACGCGAGGTCTTGAATGTCATTTATCATGGAAAGTGTGTTGATAAGGGTCTGATGATCTTGGCCACTTATTCGGTCGATACACACGATGAGATCGTAGATATAGCCCGGGCCCAACCTTGCCACCGATGGAACCAGAGCTTGACATTTTTGAATGAGTTGAAACACAATATTCGAAGGAGGCCAAAACCCACCATTCTTCTCGAGTAGTTCACTAACCCGGCCTAGCAAAGGAATCGTGGCGTCGTATAGATAGGCTTGGGCGATTGGATTGAAGCGATGTTGCAACATCTCGTTCAGTAACAGATCGAGGTGAGGAGGATTTGTGATGTAAGGCGCAAGAAGAGCATTTCCTCGAGTGGCCATCATAGCCATGATGTTTTCCCAAGCGGCAGAATCATATGAATAATCCTCTAGACTTCGAAACTCGTACCATGGTTTGCTGGGTTGTATTGCCACTCGATTGCCGGAAGCTCGAAGGCTTCGATACAGCTCAGGCCATTCTCGCCTTAATTGAGTGGGCGTCACTACCCAATGATTACGGCCAGTATCGATAAGTAACTCCGAACCTCTCAACCAAGGTCTTCTGATAAGTGCTGGAGGGATTTGAGCACGAGCATTCCAAAGTGGATTCCAAGGCGGATTGACCCTGATAGGTCCCGCCATTTTCATATCTTGGGAGGAGCAAAACAAGGCAAGCGATATATGTGTCAGACTTGACGAGATTTGTGAGCGTATAGTGAAAATGAAGAAATGGCAGCAGCAACCAAAGATTGAAGTAGTTGTAGTGGGTTTCTTATACGTGCCCGCTGATGAGGCAGCAGTATGTCCTCTGCACAGGAATAGGTCATTAAACAAGACAATCTATCAGACAAGGCGTTGGCATGTCCTCGAATTCATGAAAACATGTCGACGTACTAGTTAACAGTGTGTGAGATGGCTCAAATCTGAAGGCACTGTCACATAACACTTGGTCCAACTGAGCATTCGAGGCGCGCTCATAGAGGTGCCAGCTGGGTGTGCCACTCGACACTTGGCAAAAACGAGGCAAAGAGCAACTCATCCCAAGAACCATCTCGCAAGATTGATCCTTCGTACAGCGTTCGACTTGCTCAAACGAGACGCAATATGATGTGATGTGTACCAAGCAAACACGCAAGGTCGTGGCAAATGATGGAAGTAATGTTGCATCGTGACGGGGTCACAAGGACAGAATAGTGTTTGCTATGAAGACGAACACTTGGCTCACTCGATGCCAAAGAAACTTGGTTCCTTACTTTGTGGAAAAAAAGAGTTTGCTCTGTCTGAGAAAGAACGAAGGATGGCAGTCGGACAGGCTGGGATAACCTCGGTCCGCTCGCAAACCCTAGTCTCTATCAGGATACCTAAGCGAGATTTAGAAACAAAGTCCACCTCTCTTCTGGAAGATACCTAGGTACAGTATATCACAGAGTGATACAGACAACAGAACCTTCTCACTCCCGGATATGATTGGTGTACAAGCCTATATCAATTGCTGATTCAGACCTCAAATTTGCCTAAGTGGTGTTATCATGGAGGAATTCACATCGCAAGTGCAATGTGCATACCGAGTTCGAGCAAATGCCCGCATTCACCTGTCTTTGCGTGTAGTCATAATTTTATGATGTCTTGTACATAATTTTCCATGATGGCTTGTAGGACATCATGGTCATGAACATAGATGACTTTTGAACGTTCTTGGCATTCATTCCTGCATTAGTGATCAGAATGCCGAGACGAGGTCTTAACTACTGAGTGTTTATGATATGCTTACAAGGGTGTTTCATAATAGTCCCTTGCAACATTAGATTGATGTACTCTTTTGACTTGGGATGGACACTTGCTTAGTGGTGAATATTGCTGACTGGGAAATCACCAATGTGAATAGTCCACATAGTGAAAGTCAATAGAACCCTCTTTCCATAGCAGCGAGTCTTTACATCTCTATATCTCTACAACAAAACAGCACACAAGCAACAACTGAGGTAATCCATCACATGACAAACTCAGATTCACCAGAATTGACAACAACAGACAACCTACGTATTGGTGTTTACCAGATTCTTATTCTAGTAAGATTCAGGATTATTTTTTGAGCAAAACTGATTCGATGACTTTGCATCCTAGCTCATGCAACAAGGTCTGCGATGATAATCTAGCCAGATAATTGAGCTAAAACCGAAGCCTTTTCCCAGACCACTCTATGAAGGACCCGGAATCTTCCTTTTTCAGCTCTTGGATGACTTTCATCAAACTCGCGATGCTAGTGTCCATGTCATCCACAAAGTCATATCCAGTCAGTCGGGTCGGAAGGAAACCCGGCTCGACGCAGACAACCGTAATGTTTTGTCCCTCATTTTCAAACTCGCGAGCAAAGGTAACCATCACTTGATTCAAAGAGGCCTTCGCTACTCTGTAAGCCATACAAGTACCAAAGGTGTTGTCTAGACAAGGTGTTATAATCTTAAAAGTTTGGAGAGGGGATCGGCATCTTACCAGTGACTGAGCCAAAAGTAGAAGAGACATTCACGACTCTGGCTGAGGGACTCTTTTCCAAATTCGGTAGAAAATGCTTCGTAGTAAGGTACCGGCCCTAGATGATGGTGAACTTTCCATCCGAAGAGATGGGATGGAACATAAGAAGAGGCAGCCATCCTTACCACTGCCATTGTTTGGAATTTCTCCATGAAGAGATCTGAAGTCTGCTCCTGCCAAGGCTTAGGGTTTGGCGACAACCCTATTCATGAGTTAACGATGCCATCATCCCCTTGATATGCCATTCAGATACCTCCGACATTCAGCAAGACATCAATCGGCTTATCGCCGTATTCTTTGGTTGCTCTGATGATACTAGATTCAACGAGGAATTCGATCTCGAGGATCTTTGCTCCAGTGGCCTCGAGCTGTTGGAACACCCGTGAGCTGAAGTCTAGATAAGATATCGCAGCAGGGAGATTCTGACCACGTACCTCTTTCACGGATGGATCTGTCTTGGTCTGGGGTCGAACAGATCCGGTAACATCCCAGGACAGAGCAGCGAAGGCCTTCGCAAGATTCAGTCCAATACCTCTGTTTGCACCTATTGAGATTGTCAGCTTCACCCTCCCAACACAAATTCTGGCCTTTACTTGCCAACAATGAGTACATTCTTAGTCGTCATGGTAGTCGGGCCGTGGTTCTGATGCTGAGTCAGTTGCTGAAGTCGCGATCGTAATCTTGCAACGAAGGGCATGTGGATGATGGGTAATCGCAAGGCTGGAAAGCAATTATTTGGCGGAGGGACGATTGCACGAGATTAGGACCCCTAACAAAATCTAGCAACACACCCTATCCATAGGCTATGGTGATGCTACTTTGAGGATGCTCATTCTGAGTCGTCGCTATCGTCATTCTGTTTGTTTTCATGGTCGACAAGAAACTTGATTCGTTTTGTATCTAATTTGTAGACTATTTCCTGTCTATTTTACGATGGCCGCTCAAGAAGGAAACACTTTGGAACCAGCCACAGCGCCTACCCTACCTGTTCCACCCATCGTGAACTCCTCTACATCTGGAGTAACATGTAAGAGTATTCTATTGCATGCTCCACAGCAGGCTACAGCTGCCAGTACAGCCATGCTACCCCGAAAACAATTCGCGGATTTAATCAACGTTTATTTTAATCGATCTAAAGACGAGTTTCTCATCTCTGGAGAGCACTATATCCCCTTAGCACACTTCCTCGACCCTCAAGGTTTTCCAGCCCGGAAACGATCTTTAGAGTCAAGGATAGAGAGACCTGTTGTGTTCGTACACGTCAATAATGAGAAAGAGCCCAAAACGCGGGTATTGAAGTATGATGCTTTTGGTGGGAGCGCTATCTTTTCTAATCTAGCTCCTCCGGATTTGCATTCGTCGCATATTGTCTTCATGACTGGGTGGCAGACTGGCGAATGGCTTCGGGTTCTGGGCGCACAGTGTCACATTGATCCGGAGCTCTTTCGTCGCCACCTCAGTTTCCTGGACAACGTCGATTTCTTTGACCTTCCTCCACTGCCCTCGAAATGTTTTAGTATTTGGAGACTCCGGGTGACGACAATTTGTAATCGTCAGGTTGAACTGAGCCGGCAAGCTGTAAAGCAGGGGAGGGATACCGACCTCGAGGTCGTGAAACGATACCAAAATGAATTGAACGCGAGCGGAGTTGCTGGAAGCTCAATAATCCGCCGCTATGCCGTTCACAATGAGGCGGTGTTCACTTTAGAGCAAGACATCTCAATATCAGTTCACAGGAAGAAGAATGGTGGATGGTTAGGTATGAATGATCAATTGGACCAGATCTATTTCTAGTTTCCAGTTTGCGCTTGAAACAGTTCTGTACTAACAAACGGCTGTTCAGGTATGGTATGGCTCGATATTGGAAGCAGTCTCGAGGATGGCCCAAGTGGCCCATGGAACAACCATAACAACAGTCCAAGAGCCGCCACCAGTGCGTTTCTGCCCAGAGTACAACAAAAACCGAACGCCGCCTTGTATCCACCCGATCTCGAAGACCTTATATACGAACAACCTCGAAACCTTGATAGAATTGAATCGGTGATCGGCCGACATTCGCAAAGCGCGACGCTTCTTCCAATGCAATACGGGCTGTCCCTTGATCGTGATACTATGTGGCAAGATGCGTTGTACGCGTTCAGCGATCTTTTGAATTTTGTCGCGAGCTCCGAAAATCAATTCATCAACTATATGGAGGAGCAAGTGAAGGCCGCCAGTCGTGTCTTTCGAGGTCAGGAAGAATGGTCGCTAGAGACACTGAAGTATAGCAAAGCCTTGTTAGACGAGCACATTAGCAACATAGAAAGGACAATTTCTTACCTGGAAATTGAAGGTGAGCCAGATTTTCCCCGCGCAATGACTTCCCCAGGACTAGGGAAGAGCCAAGCGACTCGCAAAATGTTGATGGGAGACTTCAAATACTTGCTTGCGCACACTAAATCCGCTTCGGCTGCTGCAAGAGAGGGCATGGCCATCATACTGGAAGATGTCATGCTTAGAGATGCGAGGAAACAGATAGGCCAAGCTCGGGAAGTCGGACGCTTATCATTGCTGGCATATTTCTTTCTACCTTTATCGTTAGTGACAAGTATCTTCGGGATGAATTTCGTCACGTTCAGCGATTGGAAAGCAGCAGTGGGAACGAGTCTTGCCGTCTACATTGCTGTGATGGTGATCTCATTGGCACTCGCGTTCTGGGATCATATGCCATGGAAACGATCATAGTGTGCAAGCATCTCGTTTTCCTAGGCAGCTGCAATCTGTAATTATCGATGTGGTAGAGCTATAATTCGATCAAAATCTTCTGCTGAAAGTATCTTTCCATCCTCATAACTTGGCCCCTCCTTGGAATACAGCCGTATTGCCTGGGCAAGATGATTGGAAGATCCGGTGTCGTCACCTTCAAGCTTGTGGAGGACAGACAGCCTGAAGTACGTCCTAGCAAGCTCCGCTCCATACCATTCATGGGCTTTGAAGCCTGAAAGTGCTTGCTCCAAGTAGATCCTGCAAAATTGTAAGTATAGTGCGGAAGGAATAATATCGTAGGCCCTCACTGGGCAGTATCGTACTGGCTGCGGTTGCAATGATAGGCGCCTAGATTTCCACACACTTGACTTGTGTACCTGCTATTCTTACCTACGGTGCCTGTAAAGTGCCGCAGAGCTAGCTGAGCGGCTGTAGTAGCCTCAAGTGGTCGACTTTGTTGAAGTTGCAAGTAACTAAGGCATCGATACACAATTCCAAGCCTTCAGCATTTCAAGTCAGTCACGTAAGATATTCACCACGGTTACCAAACTCACGTAAAATCCCCAACTTCACTTTCACGATGCTCATTGCAATATTTCAGGGTCCCTTCCAGAGACTTGATAGCTTCATCGTTTCTCCCAAGTGCTGACATCGCATAGGCCTGGTGGCAGTGGGACCGAATGGGCAAGTCGTCTCCACCAATAAATCGTGGACTTCTCTTGGTTATCTCAATAGCTATCTTGCAGTGTTCAATGGACTCTTCATATCGTCCCACGAGCATAAGCACCTGCCCAAGCTCGCCATGTGCAGTCGCAAGTCGATCTTCGGAGAATTGGCTTCCGTCACAGAGTTTGATGCGGACTTGAAAATGGTCTTCAGCATATTGCAGATTCTTTTCCAGATTGTCATTAATCTGCACTGATAAAGCGGAGAGCAAGAACAAATTGTCTGCCAAAAGGTCTTGCATCTCTTCCACGTATTTGCGACATATCGTTAACGCTTGAAGTAGAAGGGGTTGAGCAGCAAAGAACTCACTTCGCTCAAACAGGTACCTAAATTTTAATTCAATTTATTGAGGCTCGGCCAACAGGGGAGACTTACCAGCCGGCAAACAATAGCAGTTGAGCCACATGACGATGTGTTGTCGGCGAGACGTCCCATGACGTGTACTTCTGATACGCATAACTAATTTTGAGAATATGTTGCAATAATTCTTCAGATCTCTGCCATGTCGCCATATTGTGCTCGAATTGCAAGAATGGAGTAGGCCAAGCTCTCAAAAGCAACGTCGTAGTAAAGGGAAACACTACATATGCATCACTGCTTGACATATGGGCCTGTACTACATCTTGAACAAGTCGATGAAGCATGATTTGCTTATCCTCCTTCATCGGCTTCACCAGAGACACTTTAATCAGATCAGTCCTAGCTTTTAAGTATGTACTTTCATCGACAGGAAATTTTGGTATGGGATCCTTCGGCAGTTCGTCCGTAAATAGGGATTCTTGAATGCGATCTGGATTCAGGAACGACATAATTTTTAAAAGAACGTTTGATTCCAGACCGAGACTTTCGAAAGCACAAACAGTGAAAAGGGAATGCTTGTAGTAATAGTCCTGCATGAAATCGGGCTTCGCCTTGACAACCGATTCTATGGGCATCTGCTTCTCGTAATGCGCAAGAAACTCTTGTACGGTCATCTCCCATCTATCGATCAGAGCAGTAATCTGTGTCATAGCCAATGGTAAGCGGCCGAATCGTTCTGCAGGTAAGACAGAAGTTCGAATGTATTCCGGGGTATCAACAAATGACGATAGTCTCTGACGCAAAAACGCAGCAGCTTCTTCCGGGGGGAAATGATTCGAGGTCAAGTCCAGGTCCATTCTTCTTCGCGATCGAATCCCTACTCGTTATCAAGACAGAGCCAGAACTACCAGTTGGCCAAAAGCTGCGCAGTAATCCCAGGTCATCGAAGTTATTGAAGATAATTAACCACGTGGCAACTGGGGGATGGGCTAGGTTCTCTGCTGAAGATGATCGCCTCTTGATAAGTAGATTAGACAGCCACTCTAGAGCTACTGATAACTCGATTTTTATCAGATGCATCTGCAAATCCAAGTCTAGCAGCTCCTTCGGTAACCACATCGCAGTAGGAACAAACAACGTACACCACCAAAGGAACCTTTTCTATCGTCTCATAATGCCCAGGTCAGTCTGGAGTGCTGTGGTTTATCCAGCGCTTATTTTCACCGTTGCTCTGCTTGCCATGAGAAGTGAGTTGACCGTTCCTATAGTTCGGAGTAAAGTAAAGGGTGCGATGCTGATCATGGTAGCGTTTCTAGGCCCGAGTGCACCAATCCAGCAGCTCTTGGGGCAAGTCCACCAAGTAGAAGATGGCATCAATTCCAGTCTCGCTTCTATTATCGATCGATATCGTCCAGATCTGACAAGCTACGAAAAGTTCTATCGAAATACACACCAGGACCCCGAGCTTTCCGGCGTTGAGGCCAACACCGCGGCGGTCGTCGCGTCGCATCTCGAAGGTCTCGGACTCGTTGTTCATTCAAATATCGGGGGACATGGCGTGGTCGGGCTACTCGAGAATGGTCTTGGCAGAACTGTCCTGATCCGCGCAGAGCTGGATGCTTTGCCCAGGCATGAGCAGACCAACTTGTCATATGCAAGCACAAAAATAATGACCGACAGATATGGGAATGAGCGGCCAGTGATGCATGCCTGTGGCCATGACATGAATATGGCCGCACTTCTGGGGGCTACCGCGCTGCTGCACGGCGCTCGGGAACACTGGATTGGTACACTGGTCGTCGTCTTCCAGCCCGACGAGGAGGAGAAGGGAGGAGCTGAGGCTATGGTGGAGGATGGACTTTACTCGATGATTCCGGTTCCAAACATCATGCTTGCGCAGCATGTGACCCCTCTGAACAGCGGATCCGTGGCAATTGCTTCTGGTCCTGTGCTGATGGCTGCCGACGCTGTTGATGTTCGAGTCTTTGGCGAACCCTGCCCTGGCATCAATCCTCAACTATGTCAAGACCCCATCGCGATCGCAATGCGCATTGTGCAGAGCATACAAGACCTGGTAAAGAAGGAATTTGGAGAGGAAGAAGCAACCGTTGCATGCTGGGGATTCCACGCGGGAATCCCAGGCGCCGACTTCGTATTCTATGCCGACTTCCTTCTCGATATTAAGACCGTCAAGCCCAAGGTCAGGGACGAGGTACTTGTTTTCGTCAAGAAGTCAATCGAGGCACAATGCAAGGAGATGGACTGCCCAAAAGATCCGCTTTTCACTTCCAAAGTACGAGCGCCTCTCACGACGAACGCCGAATCTGCAGTGAAGCCTATACGCGAAGCCTTCAGCTCTTATTTTGCATCCAATCTTCTGCCTATGGAACTACAGCGAGTGACAGAAGACTTCTCAGCTCTGCAAGGATCGTTCAAAATTCCTTACGCTTATTGGAATTTCGGTGGCACTTCTTCGGACGAAGATATCGCATATAACCATTCACCATTCTATGCGCCTGCTCTTGATCCAACTTTGAAGTCCGGGATAGATGCTATGGCATTGGCTACACTGGCATCTTTTGGATCAGAAGGGCATGCACCTTAAATGGTAATCAGTCACAGTAGCTGTAGATCTCATCTCTACTCCAGCCCCATGTTTGTTTGAAATGTGTCTCTTGAGACAGGGGCAACTTTTCGCTACTTTATGGTAAAACTTCCTCTTCAATTCTCCTAGAAAATGAAATATCTCTGAAGAACAAGCATCATGTGTCTGCTTCCTCCCTTCGCTCCGAGTCGCCTTCCTCAATTTCCTCTCTTCGACCCCTTTCATCACCCTCATCCACAAGCCTGATCCAAACCAATGCCAAAAGCGTCGTGAAGAACACAAGCTGATTGATCTGAGTGTGTGGTTAGAAAGAGTTATGTATCAATGGAATATGAAATTCACGGAGGAAATCAAAAAGGCGATTCCGGTAGGTGTTCCATCAGGCTTCCTTCCCTTATGAAATATGTGCGCAGTGACCGGTCCACCTATTACCCTTGCCACCATTTCAACGTTGTTCATGGTTGTGAACAAGCGTGAATGCTGAGCAAAAGTTACATATGAAGAAGCCAATCCTTGAATGCCGGCCTCTGCACCCTCTCCCAGACCGCAGAGGAAGGTTGCTTGCCACCAAGTCAGCTTTTATGAATATGGTAAGAGTAGTACATTTGATTATCGACTTACCTATTCCGAATCCAATCGAGCTCGTGACTCGCCACACAGAGAAGAAGCCACAGGACAAGATGATGAGGCACAACACAATGATGTAGAAATCTATGAATCGTTGTAAATAGTACCGCCGGCGGCAGTAATAAGTCAACATTGGAAGACCAAATCCAATCGACAAAAGTGCGGCCAGAGATTGAGCCCATGAGAACCAGGATGTCTGGTCGTATCTCAGACAGAAACGCTCAGATGCATATTGAGCAAAGAAACCTTCACTCTCGAATGCGAATCTGAGCCCAAAGATACATAGCAGAAGAATTGAAACATCTCTATCCCAAAACATACAAAATACCTCTCCCCAAATGTTTCTTCTGATTCTCTGCCAAGCGTCCTCATGATCTTCAAGCAGCGGTAGCAATGGTCGTGATACCTCTGCATCTGCATCATCGGTGTCGAGAGGAGTGTTCAGAACAGTGACTGTCTTGTTCTTCAAGGTACGCAGAGTCCAGATCAGGATTATAATAGGTATAAAAATAACTGTACTACTGAAGAAAGGTAGCCAGACATTCCGAGCTAAAGTCATCGATGCGATTGGTGGCGCCACGATATTCGCTAAATCCTCCGACAATGCCACAAAGTAGAAAAGTTGTGTTCTTCAGTTTATCATTAGATATGTACTATTAGACCCATAGGAGGCGTTTACCTCTTGGAATATGGGCTTGTATCTGCAAGCGTAGCGAGGATAATAGGACAAAAGACTCGACTTCCACCTCCTATGAGAGTGAAAATCGGAGCTGCCAACACAAGTCTGACAGGAATGGTTTTTCCAAAGTAGCCTATCAAATTTGAATCAGACAAGTTCAGAAATTAACATGAATAGAGTAACGTACACACAAGCATAGTGAAAAACATAGATAGTAACTCGCCCATGCAAATCAACAGCAAGACCAACCGACGGCCTTTCCTATCAGCAATCGAGCCGTAATAAATAGATAGCAGTGTACCTATTGTTCCTTAATGTTAGAGCCAATTAGTTTGAAATTTTGGGCATCCGCTACCTGGAATAGCTTCTAAAGATAATCGCCATCCCATAACGAACAGTACTAGTTGAGCGGAAGGCATTAGTTATGTATATCGGCAGACATAGCGAGATCTTTCGTTTGAATGAAATGAGGCAGCGCTTTTTAAGGGTCCTACGATAAAGAATAGGCGGAGATCATCTATTGTCCACTTGGTGGATTCTGAGACTAGAGATCTTCAATGGTGAGTGAATCGCGCGGACTTGCGCCCCCTTGTGGCCTAGGTTGGGACAATCGTCGCATAAAACAACGACCACATCCGCTGAACTCAGCGACCATAGCCCCTGAACATTGCATTTAATTGTAATAGATAATTTTTGTACAGAGCTCAGCTGGATATAGTAGATCATAGACAATGACTAGGTAAATTATCCAGTGAAGATCTGGTTGCTATCGTAGGAATATATTAGTTTCTTACAACTCGATCATTCTACTTTAACTTGAAGAAGAGAGAACTACCGCTTTAAGATACTGAATCACTGACGGGCTTTGAATTTTGATGCAAATTCTGCTTGTGTACTTTCTTCAAGTTAAAGCAATCTACTCGCATATTTCTGGATTCGGCTTTTTATTTTTGCTGCTTTACAAATATTAAATCTAAAATTGCATTTGAAACTTATAAATGCTCCGATTTATTTGCTGTAAATAAGAGTTTTAAAGATACCAAAAATATACCACTGGAAATAATAGTGGATCTTACAGGAGGACTAGGCAATATTCCGGGGGAAAGACTATATGATCAGAGGGATACTGTAGCTTTTTCTCGCTTATCGGCAAAATTATTGTTCCAGCACCAACACTACTAGCTCCTTCCGTCCTCGGTCCTCGCTTCTCGGCGTAATGTTTCTCCATGACCGACATTCCCCCTTTACCTCACTTTCCTCTCGCTTCACGGCGCAACATTCTTCCGAAATATCTACCATGTCTCAACCATTCACACCACCCCGCCTTGATCAGAAGATTGGCTTTGGTTTCATCCTAGGTGACCAACACCTTCGAACCCGACGTGAGTACAATACGTTCTGATACAGCTTTACAATACCACCTGTCAAATACTAATACTATCTTCACAGAACCTCCTAACCGAACCAGCTGGTCCTTCTGCGACCGCCTTTGACGAAGCCGAAGACACCGACGAAGCTACCGAGAGGAAGAAGAAGGCCGCCGCTAAAGTCAAGAAGGCCGTCGCTAAGTCCAAGAAGCACGTTGTCAAGGTCAAGAAGGCCCGCGTTCCCCGAGTCCGAGTCAAGAAGTCAATCACCACCAAGAAGAAGACTACTGCACCCAAGCGCAAGGCTTCCACCAAGGTTGCTACCAAGGTTCCGGACAAGAAGCGCAAAGCTCCGAGCGGAGTTGAGGATGGTCCGAGAAAGAAGGCTAAGAAGTGAGCGGGGCGGGGCGGAATAATATAAGGGCGGGATAGCGGATAAGCATGGTTTTTCACAATATCAAAGTCCCGCGGAGGGCCGGGCATCAACTAATTGCATTTGTTGCGCATAGATTTAAAAAAGAAACACACAAGTCTTTTAAACCGCACAAATAGTGATTTATATGTCCCACACTTTGCCAGACAATCAAAGTTATTCAAAATTTAAGTTTTCAAATTTCTAAAATTATCATGTGAATATCCCAAACTTTGCCAGACAATTAAAACATAAATTCTTAAATTTTCAAAATTATTATATAAATGTCCCAAACTCTGCCTAACAATCAAAATCTAAAATTTTACATTTTCAAGTTTATTATATAAATATTCTAAACTTTGCCAGACATTAAAAATCTAGATTTTTTTTTAAATATCTGGCCCAGACTTTGCTAGACATTTAAAATCTAAATCCTTAAAATCCTAAAATTATTCTGTGAATATCCTGGACTTGGTGGAACATTCAAACACTAAATTATAAAATGAATGTCCCAAGCTTTGCTGGATATTTAAAATCTAGATTGTCAAATGTCTGAAATTATTCTGTGAATGTCCTAGACTTTGCTGCACAATCCAAGTACTTGTCAAGAAGCACTAATGAATTCTTAATTAGAACATCTTTGTAATTTAGAACAAAAGCAAAAGCAGAAGCATCACAATGAATGCGGCTAAACAGCTTATGTTGGAAAAGAGACATCTTGAAACTATATGGTGAATGCAAGTGAGCAGCATCACAGCCTTAGATAAGAGGAGCAAAACTCAAAACATCACAATATATGCAGCTAAGCAGCCTAGATCGGAAGGAGCACACTTCAGAACATAAGGTTTTAGTGAATGCAACTGAACAAGCATATCAACCTTAGTAGGAGTAAAACTCGCAATATAACAATGAATAAAATTGAATAGCATACCAGCCTGAAATAGCAGAAGCAGGAGCATATCTCGAAACATAAGAGTGAACACAATTGCACGCGTAACCAAACGCAGAAAGAGCAGAACTCGAAACATAAAAATGAATAGGATTGAACAACCCAAAACAGAAAGAGCTTGACTCGAAACCAGAACACTAGGGTCTCGCTTCAAGTCTATATTATCACCCTTCTCGCCCCTCAACCGCTTTCTTCAACCGCTTCCCTGTCTTTTCAATACACACTTTTTCTAAAAAGTTCCGCTCTGATCACTCCTCAACCTCTTCATTACATACTTGGCAAGTCCAAAGCTCCTCCAACCGCACTCGACATTCTCATAAATACTAACAAATCTCCCTAGAAAATGAAAACCCCGAAGAAACCCCAAGCCCCACGCTCAGCAGTAAACCATGTCCACATCCCCGGCAGCATCCCCATGATGGTGAATCCAGCCCCCGAAAACATCGCCAACCCCACCCCTCAAGAAGATCTCCCTCGCCAACACCTCCAGGCGGTCGCTGCGAACCCCTTTTACCAAGGCCCAGACCGTCTCATGTTCCGTAACGACGAGCTCGCTCTTGACGCTGTCGAAGCTGTCGCGCTTGTCACCTGCGCCGAACGGTTGACCGATACGTCGATTCATACGCTTGAATTGAAGGGTAACAAGACTGTTAAGTTGTTGGATGTTTATAATGCGTAAGTCTATGATCTGTTGTTTAAATATCAAGGACTAAAGAGGCAATAGGACCGTATCCGAGTTCGGACAACGATTCCCTGATGATTGTCCGAATTTGCGGATTGTTCGCCAAGATCAACTTCAAGAGCTGAAGACCAAGTACGATGATCTCCAGGATGATTACAATGAGTTGTTGGGGAAATACAATGAATTGGTGCTCAGCAAATGGGTTTAGTTTTCACAGCAATGGACCAGGAAATGTGGGATCCTGGCTTGGGAACTTGTGGCCTTGAGCATATTCGGCACTACATTCCTTCTTTTACACACCACGTGACAGGTCTGCGAGGAGAATGTCCGTCATTATCTGAAGGCATTTCGGCTGGAAATGTGCGGAAAGTTTGTGCGCTGACAATACAGCGGGCATTGCATTTTCATTGAGAGAAAAGCGTTGCATTTTACAATAGCGAGCATTGCATTCAAAACATCAATATGAAAAGCATCAAACCCAATTCTCAACTGTTCTATGTGAATAGACTCGCTAACAGCTCTTCTAAAATAGGGGGAGGGGTTAAGACCCACTTTCGCGATAACTTATCACGATCCGTGCTCGTAATCGGAATTGTGGAGAATGTGGGGATTGGAGTTGGAGGTCTTGAAGAGGAGGCGGTGAGAAGAGAAGGGATTATGTGAGGGTATTTCTGTTTGGGCGGTAAACGGAAATAGAAATCGTGGCGGGATGCGGGTTGGTGATTGGAGGGTTGGATTTCGATGTTCGTCGCGATTGGGAGATTATCCGGGGCTGGATGTTTGGTTTATTAGACTGCTAGATGTGCGGTATGTTAGACTTGGATGCTAGGTATGAAATGTCTATGCTTCATATCTGGTCTTTTCAAATGCTTTGAAGTAGGAAGAAAGCCATGTTCCGAGTCAGTCGTGATATGGTAAGGCTGTCGGGAAGGAGAAATCGGCAGTGTCTTTTTCGGATGGAATTCAGTTGGGTAAGGCTTCAAACAGATTTTCGCTCTAGCTCAAACGAGCACCCTCGATACTGCTTGAAATTCCTTTTGCGCGGATAGTTGAAGAATGCTCGATGATAACCGGAGATTCTGGGGAAATTCTAGCTTTTGGTCTTGACAATATCGAGTTCCTCTATTGGCACAATTAAGGTCTGACATGGTGGCGAAGCTGAGTCGAGGTCTGCAGTGCTTATTCTGTCCGTGAGGTGGCTGTGTGAAGACGAAAAGAAAGATACCTCAATATCAAAGTTGAGAAAAGTGTCGAAAGTAAAGGTACAAGAAAATAGATATAAATTCGTCTTCGTCCCGGAGTAGACTCCGAGTACCTCTGCTCCGAGTGTAAAATGGCTGAGTTGGAATGCAGTGGCAAAACTGTGCACCAGCTATCCACTTGGACTAGCTGGTCGAGAAAAGGTTGAGGTGAATCCGATGCGCTTCTCGACCCTAAACGCCGCTAAGACACACCCCTGCAAAAAAAGTTCTTGCCTCGATTTAAATACTTTCTGTGCGGTCGCAGACTCTCCAAAACTTCTTCCTCCCTTCTACATCACAAAATCCTCCACTCTTTCTTTCCTTCTCCTACTTCTTTAATAGACTCTTCGCATATCTCCTTCACGAGGTTCGAGGAGAGCAGAAGGCGTAGTCGATAATCCGTTTTTCTGCCGGGCTCACCGACCATAATCTGTGCCCTTCCGCACTAGCGCCTTAAGATTTTTCTTTGGCGATAAGGTCGTCGCCCACAATCCGTTTCTCCCACCTTTTCTCCTCCTCAGAATGCCCGCTGTTACAGATTCTTCAGCAACCGCCAGCATGTCTTCCAAGGAGAATAAGAACAGCGTCAAGGTTCTTGATGAACTGATGGCCAAGCTGTCCGTCTCCAAGGCCCAGGACGAGATTAACGCCGCCACCCACAACCTGGCCGTGTTCATTAACTCGCCGATCGAGGAGAACGACGCTCCCACAAAGTACGTATAATCATTTTCAACTCTGCGCAATCGCGAGCACAACTGCGATTTCAATCTGGAGGCGGGGTTTATCTTTTGCACAATTTTTTATTCAAATTTCGAACCCCTCATCTCGTGTGGCGAGCCCACGGGCGCAAAAATCACAATCGAAAAAAATAAATGCTGACACCTAATCTGCAGGACCGTGGAATCCCTTCAGAAGCAACTCGCCAACAAGAAGGATGCCAACGTCCGCGAGCGAGCTGTTAATGCCATCCAAGCCATTGCTGAGCACAGCGATACCTCCTCCTCTGTCGAGCCATATCTGGTCGTCCTTCTTCCTTCGGTCCTCGCAGCCGTTGGAGACAAGGCTGTTCCAGTCAAGAATGCCGCGTTAGCCGCTGCTCTCAGCATCATCAAGGCTGTGAACGCAAATGCCGTCAAGATTGTCCTCCCACCGATCATTAATTCTATCTTGACCGCACAAAAATGGCAAGAAAAGATCTGCGGTCTCGACTGCATCGAGGCTTTGGCCAAGTCCTCTCCTACACAACTCGCCATCCGCGTACCAGACCTTATTCCAGTTATCTCCGAATCGATGTGGGACACAAAGCCTGAAGTCAAGAAGAGAGCATATGGTACAATGGAGAAGCTTTGCAGCTTGATTGTCAACAAGGATATCGAGCGCTTCATTCCTGAGCTCATCAAGTGTATCTCCAAGCCAGAAAACGTTCCCGAGACCGTTCACTTGCTCGGTGCCACCACTTTCGTTACTGATGTCCACGAGCCAACTTTGGCTATCATGGTTCCTCTCTTGGATCGTGGTCTCAGCGAGCGAGAGACTGCTATCAAGCGAAAGTCTGCAGTCATTGTCGACAACATGTGCAAGCTTGTCGAGGACCCTCAAATTGTTGCAGGTTTCTTGCCCAAGCTCATGCCTGCCTTGACCAAGAACTACGAAAACTTGGCAGATCCTGAGGCTCGTGAGAAGACAAAGCAAGCTCTTGACACCCTCACCCGCGTTGGTGATGTCAAGGATGGCAAGATTCCCGAAGTTTCACACGCTGGTGACGTTGCCACCGTTCTCCCAATCTTGAAGGAAATCATCGAGAGCAAGAACAAGGCTGCGCTCAAGTTTGAGCCAATCTTGAACTACATCTCTGCCGTCGCTGGTCAACTCATCGACGAGAAGGACTCCGACCAGACCAGCTGGACCCAAAACTTGAAGCCATACATCGCAGCAATCATCGGTGAGGCTGGTGCACAGGATGTTGTCGACAACCTCCGAAGACGCGCTTCTCCAGGTGCCGAGGCTGAGGATGCCGAAGAGGCTGACGATGATGTGGGAGAAGATCTCTGCAACTGCACATTCAACTTGGCCTACGGTGCCAAGATTCTTCTCAATCAAACACATCTCCGATTAAAGCGTGGCCAGCGATATGGTCTTTGCGGTCCCAACGGTTCTGGAAAATCCACCCTCATGCGCGCCATCAACAACGAGCAAGTCGAGGGTTTCCCAAAGAAGGATGAGGTCAAGACTGTGTTCGTTGAGCACGATCTTGACTCTGCGGATACTGAGTTGACCACCATTGTCTGGACCATGAAGAAGCTTGAGGAGGTCGGAATCACCACTTCGCAAGCTGATGTCGAGAAGCAATTGGGAGAGTTCGGCTTTACCCCCGACATGACCAGCGGTGCCATTACTGCTCTTTCTGGTGGTTGGAAAATGAAGTTGGCTCTTGCCCGTGCCGTTTTCGAAGACCCTGACATTCTCCTTCTCGATGAGCCTACCAACCATTTGGACGTGAAGAACGTCAAGTGGCTCGAGGATTACCTCATGGCATCTCCCTGTACCTCGATCATCGTCTCTCACGACACAGGCTTCCTCAACAATGTTTGCCAGAACATTATCAACTACGAGCGTTTCAAGCTCAAGCGATACAAGGGTAACGTGCGGGAATTCGTCAAGAAGTGCCCATCCGCCAAGTCCTACTTCGAGCTCGGTGCCTCTGAGATCGAATTCAAGTTCCCTGAGCCCGGTTTCCTTGAGGGTGTCAAGACCAAGGCTAAGGCCATCATTCGTGTCAACAAGATGTCCTTCCAATACCCCGGAACACCAAAGCCACAGATCCAGGACATCTCCTTCCAATGTTCGCTGGGTTCTCGTATCGCCGTCATTGGTCCCAACGGTGCTGGAAAATCTACCCTGATCAACGTCCTCACTGGTGAGTTGATCCCAACCTCAGGTGACGTCTACACCCACGAGAACATCCGTATCGCCTACATCAAGCAACACGCTTTCGCACACATCGATCACCACTTGGAGAAGACTCCTTCTGAGTATATCCAATGGCGTTTCCAGACTGGTGAGGATCGTGAGACTATGGATCGTGCCAACAAGATCGTCACCGATGAGGATGAGAAGGCTATGGACAAGATCTATAAGATCGAAGGCTCACAACGTCGTGTCATCGGCATTCACTCGCGAAGAAAGTTCAAGAACTCTTACGAGTATGAGTGTTCGTTCGCTCTCGGAGAGAACGTTGGCATGAAGAACGAGCGATGGACTCCCATGATGACTGCAGACAACGCCTGGATTCCCCGTTCCGAGATCTTGGTTTCCCATCAAAAGATGGTCGCTGAGGTTGATCAGAAGGAGGCTCTTGCCAGTGGTCAATTCCGTCCTCTTGTCCGAAAGGAGATTGAGGCTCACTGCGCGAACTTCGGTCTCGATGCTGAGTTGGTTTCCCACTCCCGTATGCTGGGTCTCTCTGGAGGACAACGTGTCAAGGTCGTCCTTGCTGCTTGCTCGTGGCAACGCCCACATTTGATTGTTCTTGACGAGCCTACTAACTACTTGGATCGTGATTCGCTCGGTGCCTTGTCGAAGGCTATCAAGTCTTTCGAGGGAGGTGTCATTATCATCACTCACTCTTCTGAGTTCACTAAGGACTTGACTGAGGAAGTCTGGGCTGTCATGGACGGCCGCATGACTCCATCTGTATGTTAACACCTGCCCTCAATTTCTTTTTTGAATGCTATGCTAAATCTGAAAATAGGGACACAACTGGGTGCAAGGCCAAGGTGCTGGTCCACGACTAAAGCAGGATGGGGATGAAGAGGAGGAGAAGTTCGACGCTATGGGAAACAAGATCGTCTCTACAAAGAAGGCCAAGAAGCTCACTTCCGCCGAATTGCGAAAAAAGAAGAAGGACCGCATGGCTCGACGAAAGCGTGGTGAGGAGGTCTTCTCAGACGAGGATGATTGAGCAACCAACGTATAGACCTGGGAGGAGAAATATAGATTGCGGAGCCGACAAAAACACCAAACAAAATGTTGTTCCGTTACTTTGTTCGTTGGGTTGGGCTGGGTGGTGAAGGTAGCATTTGGCCTGGTCTATGGAGTTAGTTTTGTGCACGCCTTTCTCTTTTCTGAACAGTTTGATGCGGATGGAATCAGAGACACATACTACGATACAGTCAGTGTGTTGGTTTGATTCTGCGCAGACTAGAAGATAGATCAATAGACTCTTCGAATTGCATGAATTGTTTTGACTTGATTGTGATGCTACGCTGCGTGGTTTTCGCTTGGCTATACGAGGATACGCTGTCATGTGAACGACATAACTGCAATTTCACTTTGCACTATGCTCAAATCTCGAAATCCACTGCTTTTATTATCCTCAAATGCCAATGCTGCTCGAAGTTCGATAATAGCTTAACGCTTTTCCCCACATGTTCCTCCCAGATTGTCCTCAGTGCTGCTGGATTTTTCTACTACTGCTTTTCGAAATCTCAATCCCAAAATACCTCACCCTTTCCCTGCACATCTCCCTCCCAAGATCTCCCAGAAATTGCCAGACTTTCCACCACCCCAAAACGAATCTCCCAAAACCGCCCAACAACCAAAATCCACTCCCTATTATCTCTTCTTTTGAGCTCTTTCCAACATCCTCTCCAACTCCTTACACCTCTCTCTCATCTCATTATGCTCCCTCACCAACTCCCGCATCTGGCTCTCCCGCACAGTAATCAAATCCCCCACATCTTTCTCCTCAATCTTTCGTTCCTTCGCGATCCTACACCACACATGCATCAGCTCCACCATCCCTTTATTTCTCAAACAAAGAAACAAACAAATAAAGATACGTACCCTTTATAAAGTTCCCCAAAACTCAAAGAAGGGCCGTTCGCTCCAACGATACGTAGCGGGCTTGGGGAAGCAGTCATCTTCTCAGCGACACCAGAGATGCCAGTGAGGGACATGTAAGTTAAGTTCTTTCGAGGCTCTGGCTCGGGCTTTGGTGGAACGTGGTTTGGAGGAGGAGAGGTGGTGTAGGCGTAAGCAGAGTCTCGGGCGTTGGCGCCGCGCGGGTTGACCATCATACCGTAGTGGCCTTCGATGGCGATGCCGGGGACGTGGGTGCGTTTTGCTTGGCGTTTGGGGCTGGTGGGGTCCATTGTTGGGTGGTGGTTTTGGAGGGGGTGAGTGCTGGGTTGCGGTTGAGGGATTTGGCGGTTGTGGATGGTCTGGGTCGAGTTAGTATTCGTGATGGGTTAATGTCGTGTGGTTTGGGACCGACTTGAAGTGCTGTGAGAAGCAGAGTTGGGGTTGGTGAAGTGGCGAGTGTGGATGTCTTAACTTGTGTTAGTACTTAGCCAAGTCCAAAGTCCTGTGGTCGTGGATTAACTTACGCTTGTGTCTAAGAGAACATTTGTTGTTGTTTTTGGAAGAAGGATCAGAGCGAATGAGGTTTGCCTATATAGACACCAGCGCCATTCGCATCTGAATTCAAGTTACACTGCTTTGACACGAAATTTAGGGTGAATTGGAAAATCGTATGGTTTCTGGGTCGATTTTTTACAGTGAATATAGAAAGTGCGGCTGTTTTCGACTTTTATTCACTAAAAGGAGAAGTTTGTGGAAGGAAGTGTTGGCGTTTTCGACTTTGATTCACTAAAAGGTCCGAGAAGTTTCGACTTTCACTCACTAAGGAAGAAATTTGTGCTGAAAGCTAGACAACTCTGGCTTTGAGGAAGGGTGGCACAGAGCTGGACAATAGGGACTCTTTGAAGAATGTTGATGCAACCTGTATGAGTTACTTCCTTTGGTATAGACCAACAACTTTCCTACATAAGTCACTTTCCACTTGGAAAGTATTCTTCTGCTCTTCTCACGGTCAACTCAACCCCTATCTACTCATCGCCACCAAAATGGCGACCCTCGTCAGCTTCTCCATTGCCGACGAACGCCAACCCGGCCCCAACTTTCCCCTATTCAACTCAGAAATCAAACCCTTCGAAGCAGACCTCACCAATCCCACCACCCCTCCATACAACTCCCCACTCACCGACCACCACACCTGGATCCACGAAGCCCAACAACGGTTCCTCGAAGGCAAAGAAAACGAATGCTACTACATCTGCTCCCTCATGCTCGTGCAACCCAAACTCAGCGATCTCAACGCGGCCGCGGCTCTCTGTCTCCAAGGGACGGCATACGAGTACGATCCCAGAAACGCGAGAAATAGGATTTATCATTCGATTGCTAGAGCGTTGGGGATCTATAAAATGGTTGGGAATAGAATAGGTGCGAGAGTTGGTGTGGAGAAGATGAATGGCATTGCGCTTACTGTGAGGATGGCGGCGCGGGGAAGGGTTGGGGATAAAGGGGCGAAGAGGAAGGAGTTGTTGAAAGTTGTCACGGGTTGGATGCAATGAGTCAAAGCAAGAACCTGATTGTATTACAAGAAGAATTAACTAAAGAGAGAAGAGTTCCTTCTCGTACGAAAGCTCCTTAGAAAAAGGGGCTTTCGTAGGTTCGTAGAATGGCCCGCGCGCTTTGGCGTCGCACGGTCACATGCGGTCTCGCGTAGTCACGTGTAGGCTGCACTACTACGTAGTGCAGCCAAATATCGGGTTCAACCCGTCACAAAAGTGATGGGGAGTTATTCGCTTGCGGTGGTGGATGGTGCGTTTGGTGAGTTTGAATTGATAAAGGATTGGCTCTGAAGTGTTGGCATGGACTAGTTAGTTTGAGTGTGACGAGCAAGATCTGATGTAATCGTAGCGGTGGAATCATCCTTCTGGTTTGGATTAGGTTGATCAAGAAGACAAGCACCTTTTTCCACCCATATCCCTAAGAGTCCAAGTGATATGCGATATTCTTTTAGGCGCAACTCATCTGGTTCACTTCGAGTTGTTCTCACTCAGAGAAATGAAACAAGTAGATTTAGCATATCTTCACCAGATCAACGCGACTCTCTGACTCTCTCACAGTCTGTAGAGCAATCACGAAGCTCTTTCAATTTACATACTAGACTCACCCAAAATATGCACCACAAAACTCCTGCAAAAGAAATACAACATCAATAACTCTCCGTCTGAGACTAAACACTCTTCGTAGCAGCAGCCGTAAACCCCACCGCTGGCCCCGTAGCATACAAATTAAACTGTTTCCTCCCACCACACATCGCCGAGCCCGTGCTCTGCGCTCCAATACTTCCCGCACAAACATCCGTGCAAGCATGCTTACCATACAAACTCGTAGCGCTAGTCTGATAGAAGGACAGAGCTGTTCCGCCGTAGCATTGATTGTGATACTCGACCATGAAGTAAGGCAGGATGGTAGGTGTTGGCTTGTGGGCGAGAGATGAGATGTAGGCTTCGCAGAGCTCAGGGGTTACGGAGTTGTTGGAGAAGAGGAGGGGTAGGACGTGGCCTTTGGTGATGTCTTGGAAACATCCCAGGTGCGTGTATTGAGCATTGGTGCCTCCGGAAACAACCGCGTGGGTCGTCGATGATGAAATATGAGTGATGCTAGGAGATAGGTAAACAGAAGAGGTAGTTGTTGCGGGGTTGGAGGAAGGACCCGTTGAAAATAATTTCGATGTGGAGACCGTTGATAGAGTTGTGGGCCTTGAAGAAGAGAGAAGAATAGCAGAAAATGATGACAGACTTGATAACGAGGACAAAACAGAGCTCGACGAAAGTTTTGCTATCGAAGATGATGCCGGTTTGGATGTGCTCGACGATGAGGCTGTTGATGAGGGCATCTGAGCTGATGAAGATCCCACCAATGATTTGGATGAGGTTGAAGACACCAGTGTCTGCAGTCCTGACGAGGATAACGAAGCTGATGAAGTCATAATCGACGTAGACCAAACTGACGATTGGACCACGGATGACGAAGCTGTATACGGAATATCCGCGACTCCAAATCCTCCCGTGGAAGAGGGCATCGAACCCAGAGCTGGATTGAATTGGTACATGTCGAGTCTAGTTCTGTCAGCAATCAGGTTAGGAGATGAGAATAGTCTCTCACCTATTGCGTCCTCCACAGTATTCTGACGAATTGCCATAACAAAGGAAACTACAATCGGTGATGACCGCGGGAATACTAAATGTAACATCAGTGGATAGTCTTCAAGATAAGGAAGGAATGCTTACGCTCCAGCCGAAAACGAGTCTCCGCAGTAGCCTATGAAAATGTCAGTAGAAGCACCAAGGACAAAGTTCGGAGGTCAGACTAACATTCTCGTCCAAACTCAACACCTGCATACAGATAACCCGCGCAGAAAGTTGTGCATGCCTCTACTGTCACTTCATTGCTTGCGAAACTTGTTCCCGTAAGAGTTCGAGAAGAAGTAGCTTCAGTATAACAAGACAACCATTCAAAGTCAATAGGCGCAAGGACAATGTGAGATGGTGGTGGTGGGGCAGGAATGTAGTTCTTGTTCCGGTAAGTAGATAAGCGAGCACCTGTGCGATCAGTAATGGAGCCACAAGAGAAGAGTTACTCGGACATACCAGTTCCGCAGATCTCAGATGAGTTACCTCCGCAGGGAGCATTGCAATCTGATTCTGTTGCTCGCAAGGATGGTGACACTAATTATGAATGAGTCAATTGGTTGACCAACAATATGATAACATACAAGTATAACCACAATAACACTGTTATAATATTAGCATAATTCGGACAAATGTCACAGGACACGTACCTCAATCTCATATTCCGTTCCAAAATAGGAGTATGAAGCACAGTTCGATGCACACATCTCAAGTGTCAAAGCGGCGTCGACCAAGATGCTGTCAGGTAGAACTCGAGTGACACCATCGACGAGATCCATGTAACATCCATTGTACGAGAAGTTTCCAATGACTGCTGGCTCAAGTGGGTTGAACGATTGGGTTGGTATGGCTATAGATGAAGTCATCGTAGAAGTGAAGCTGGAACTAAAGCTCGATGACAGAACAACGCTGGAGCTTGGAAGCAGAAGCGCACTTATACTTGAGGAAAGACTCGGGGAAAGGGTGGAGCTAGATATAAGCGAAGACAGGGTTGACGACGCTGGAATGCTGGAAGAAATAGACAAAAGCAAGGAGCTGGAGCTAGAGCTAGGCAGGAAAATTAGGGAGGACGAAGATAATGATTGCGATTGGCTGCTTGACCCAATCGAGCTTGAAAAACTACTAGTTTGTATGGTTGAAGCAGTATTAGAGCTGATTGACGCCACGCTGCTTGAAACAAAACTGCTGAAAGAGCTAGATAGTGAGCTTGAGAGCGAGCTACTGAGAGGTAGAACAGTTGACGATGGCATTAAAGATGAGATTAAAGTATTGGAAGAGCTTATTGTCGAGGCCGTGACGATGCTGGATGAATATGGCAGAGTAATACTCGAGGATGTGCCCACAATTGAGCTACTGGGCGCCTTTGTCGATGCCAATGGAACCGAGGTTGCCGATGAGAGGAATACGGCTGATGCTGAGGACAAGAAAGACGATGATTTCGATGATAGCTGCGAGCTAGAAGAACGAATAGACATCGAAGAGGTGGAAACGGTAAGACCTTTGCTAGTGACGGAATTAACCACCGTGGCTGTGCTTGTACCAAGCACTGTAGCAGGATTGACCAAATTCGTATCATAGTAGATGTAAATATATCCCAAGTTTCCGGTGGTCCCACCACAAGATTCGGAAGGATCACCAACGCAGGCAAAGTTGCAATCTGTCTCGGGACTGAGTGAACTGGGATATTTGATTCTGTTACCGCACCAACATTGCGTATGATATTCTGTACCAGCGAATGCATATGGCGGATTGAAGGAGCCGCAGTAGCTCATGCATGCTTCGATAGAACTGTTGGCAATGGCTGTCTCGACGTTCAAATTTCGGGCGGTGCTGTCCAAGTAACAACCCATGTATTGATAGGTTCCGGTGGAGCCTGTCATGGGACCAACCTCTCTGCTGACGATGGTAGCTGTGATTGAGATAGTTTGAAGACCCACAGACCAGCCATTGGTATTGATCAACCATTGGGCTGAAAGAGAGATACTTGGATTATTTGGTTGAATAGAAGGAGAGATGAGTTGTACATTGCCATAAGCACAAGCGCCGACGTCAATAGTTGACCCTTGGCGTAAGTCGAGAAGAGGATCCAAAGCAGAAAGGTCGACTCCGGTTGGTGGCGTACTTTGAGTGATCGCCAGAGCAGAGGCTCCAGTATTGCAGAAGCGGATTTGTCTCTGCAGGTCCTGGCCACTTTGAACATTCCCGAATGCCATCGAGAGGCCACTCAACCGGCCCCCATTATCATCAGAGATCGACAGGGCAGCGACTGGGGGGTTACCGGCAGTGCCAGTCAATAGGACATCGGCTGCACCACTCCCGGTAGTGAACGTTAAAAGCGATCCCCAAGATCCTACAGCGGTGGCAGAGAATGTTACCGGAATGCTGATTGATGCGCCTGCAGCCAATGATGCGCCAACGGCAGGGAAGCCTATAGCCGTGAAGCCATTGCCCACGATAGTTGTTGTTTGCACTGTTATAGTGTTGGAAGGCATCCCACTAACATACGTGTCTTGCCAAGCGAATCCAGTAAAGCTTAGGGAGATGGCTCCGGTGTTCGTGAGGGTGACGGTCTCTGTGACGGAAGTTGTAGATCCTCCCAAGACGATACCTCCAAAATCGAGCTGAGGTGCACTGACAACGAGATTTCCTTGGGTGACACCAAGCGTACCAGTCAGCTGAATTGAAGCATCTGTGGTCGATGTGCTTGTCGCATAGTTCAATAGAAGGACAGAACTCAGCAGACCAGGCTTGCTAGCAGGTTGAGTTGGGCTGAAAGTAACCGGGAAGGTGAATGAAGCACCAGAAGTGACTGTAGTAGGTAAAGAGGAGTTCTGACAAACGAAGGATGCGAGTGATGTTGTGCAGTAATTTAGAGTGATAGCTGACTTTGCTGTGCAGGTAACTTCGGCCGTCAAGGTCTGACCGTCAATGACAGAACCGAAGCTTACAGCACTGCAAGTGACTGGTGTAGCTGTAGACACAACACCAAGCCCATATATCGATGCTCCACCACTTACATATACGCGGCCATTTCCAAAGACTGGTCGGGTATATTTGGTGAGCCCTCCGAGAGCTGGAATCGTAGTGAACTTGATCAATGTACCGCTGACGGGGACGGCACGATAAGCAACAAGACCTTGATTTGGATCATTGAACCAAACCTAGAGATCCGATCAGTACCTATGCTCTCAGTTTTGTCGACTAGATGACTCACAATACCTGAACCTGGCTCTCCATTGAAAGAAGTGATGGTGGGAACACCGACACGGGAACACCGACACCCGCCGATGTACCGACTGAGGATCCCGCAAGTGTGAATAAGGGTTGCCCATTGCTACCTTGACCGAATTGGTATGCATAGAGCTTGCTAGCCGTAGGGGAGAAGCTGGAAAGTCAGTGGGCAATATCTCCAAGGAAGTAAGGCACCACTCACTAGATATAACCTCCCTCAAGAGGATAACTGCCAACACCACTGAACATTGTACTTCCGGCCAAGATTGTTTGGATGACATTGTCAGATCCACCAGGTCCTCCTACAGTCAGCAAAGCTTTTCATTTCGTCGCGGCGGAGCTACTCACCCTGAGCAAAGCCACCCAAATTGTCCGCATTCATGATATAGATCTTTCCACTTTTACCTCCCGCGACGATGATTCGATCTACACCAGTTCCAGAGAAAGTTTTGGGGTCTAACATAGCTGAACCCGAAGAACCAAAATCTCTGTCACCTCCATTCAGACTGAAGTACTCGTAAGGCTCGAAGTAATCTGTTTGTGAGAGAGTACCTAAGTTAGGATCAACGTTGAAGTTGGACATGCACTGATCGAGGTTGACAGAGGGAGACGACCGGAGGCTGGTACACCCCCATTTGCGGCTCCCTCACCGTTTCTATGCCCGGCATTAGAGATCCCTCAAAATAATATGGCAGGTGGAAATTTACCCCGTGACAAAGTAAACTTGATTTCCTACAGTTGGCATGCCCATTCCAGTCTGCCAAATGCCTGCCTTTCCACCCGACTGGGTAGTGTAGAGCAGTGGTTGGGGTGAAGGAGCACCAGGTGATGCCTCCATTGCATATATTTGCGTCGCACCCGTAGTCTTTGTAACCGAGACAAGCATTCCAGTGTAGTTGAAGTTATCGCAGTGTCCTCCAAAGCCTGCGACGATGACATTGCCAACAGTCGTGAGGGCGGGTCTTTGAAGAGAAGTCCCTCCAAGGAAGTACCTGATGAGAATTGAGCGCCATGGTATCACAGCACATAACCAAAATGAAGTACTTACCTAGTAGGATCATTGACGGCATTGTTACCGTCAATTATGATAGGAAAGCCAGTGACATCGGTTAAAGTTGGAATATGGACAGCGTAAAACTTATACTGGCCTTGAAGAGTACCAAGGGGTCCGACAGCACCTGAAATCGCCATCAATATATGAAAGCCGTCAAACCTTTTGGGGGTACTCACTTCCCTTGTATCCTTTGGAGAAGAAGTAATCTTACATAATATCAGTTGCGGGGTCGATGATTGGAGTGCCCGTGATTCCGACAGTATTTGGAATATCTCCACACGCGCTGTCGACCGATTGGAAAGGAGGATCCAAAGTCCGAATAGTGATTTGAGTTCCAGTGGCACCGTCCATTACTCTTACGATATTTTGATTCGAGACAGCGATGACCATTTCGTTCGTATACCAGTGGGTGTGTAGACCAACTGCTTGGCGTAGAAGACTTCATTAACATTAAAAGTATTTTTCCACAGCAGCCCAAATTGGGTGCTGTTGACGATGTTCGGATCGATGTTGTGGTTGGGTAAATACCCAGATTGTGCGGGGTCCTGAAAGCCGTCAATCATTGCTTCGAATGTATCCTCCTCCTCTTGGATACTTACAACCTCTTGAATAGAATCTGTAGCTGCAAAGGAATGGACAAGGGCTGGCAACGATGCCAGTCCTAAAAAATTGGTGAACTTCATAATGGTTAAAGGAATGACTAAACGTTAACGAATGACGATGGCCAAGGCCACAGTAACAACAGCAAAGAATGAACAAGCTCAAAAAAGGTTAGCGAAACGAGGAGTCGTTAGTATTAAGGAAGAAATCTACGCCCGTTCCAAACAGGATAAGTGTCCCTGTTTGAGCAAGAAAAGATAGGACCCACAGCCACAGATGTCACTTCAATCAAGACTGATACAGCCGAAATTGGGAGGCATCGTGGCGCAAAAGGAATATCGATAAAGTTGGGGAATGGAAAGTTTCAATTCAATTGCCCCTCAAACTCACTCGAACTACTTACTGACAGAGTTTAAGAAATAGCAGAGTAGACAAACAAAAGCTGACATGACTGTTCGCTCATGTCGTGAAGTCTATACTCTTGTGGAAGACTATTGCAGTGTCATCAAAGTTGGTGAATCAGGGCAAGACAAATTGATGCAGGCACATTACAATTGTCTCGAAGGAATCGAAAATACAAACAAGAGAGACATTCGACAGGGGTTTCGAGACAGAGACTTAGATCTGTCGCTGCACGTACCCCACGCAAGATGGGTACCTGTCGCCACTGTCTTTCGTGGAGAAAGTAATCCGGGGAGATGGAATCATGTGCTTCGAATTTCGTAACATTGCAAACATAGAGCAGATGTTGAAGAAAAAGGTACTTGAAGATCTAGACACACCAACAGCAAGAACCGAAAAAGGAAATTTCTTGACACGCCTTGCCTTGAGAAGACCCATATTTTGTCTCAAACGAGCAACAACAATAAAATTATCCCTTCAGCTCATCCGACGAAGAACCCAACGCCGTGGCTCGAGCCTGTGCCAATTCACAACATAGAGCGACACACAGTGACATACACTAATATCTTGGCAGACTCGACTCGACAAGACGAGACCCGAAACGAGAAACGGACAATGTTGCTTTGGGGGCCAATGAGGTAAGTAGATGGCAATGCCCCGATGCGAGATGTGATGATGAAAAGAAAAGACGAGACTTCCAGACGACGATAAGAAGGTTTCAGCGGCCCTTGCCGAGAATGGCTTAGCAACAATGCTTGGTAATTACCAGGGGTATTTTAACCTTAAAATCTTTCTGATTCCTTCCTGGAATTTCACGAATACTATAGCAGAGACGAGAAGGAATGAAGGGATGATGGGGCGGCGGCCAGTTCGAGTGGAGCAAAACGACGACCTTTTGAGCCACCCACGCCCACTTGAAGAGACAGGACTCAGTTGTGATGATTAATTACTCAATCTTGGTTGATTAGGGATGAAACTGAGAGATAAGGATGGTCTACTTAGATACTAGGTAATGTTCCAAGTTCCTGTTGAATAGACAGAGACAGAGTGTAAGTTCAAGCCTGTGCAGCCCACGTATAGCATTTCAGAGGGAATACCTTTGGTGCATTGATAGGGGACCATGTGGGTACAACGACACATATCCCGAAGTCAGAGAGTTCCAGGTTTCTGTAAGAGAGGTGACTTCAAGCCTGCGAGCTGTTGACTTCCATCAGGTCACCACGAGAGTTGGAGTATTGAGAAGTCATGAAAATTTGTTCTTCTCAAGCTCGATAAGATATATCCTCCACTCGTATCTAGACCTTCTAACAGAAACGTCAAAAGGTCGAATGTCCCAGATGACTCCCCTGAAATCGATTTCGGACGAAAATTCTCTTTGCGTTCATTAGTCCCATGCAAATTCACGTACAGCTCACCAAGGCCCAACCAATCACAGCTTCCGAAGAGTTTCGTTGCGCATCGCACCTCATTTGGCCGTTTTATATGCAAACGTCGGCTTGTTTTAATCTTGTAGATGTGCAACAAAAGATTTGTTCCGAGATCTGAGTGGCTGTAAGTGCTTAATACATGGTTAAAGACAGAATACTCGAATCGACGCTCTCTTTCCTCGACCATAAGCACTGATTCCTTGAGCACAAAACATCAAAATATGATTCATTGATATTCATTTGCTTCTCTTCCTTCATGCTTCATCTTTTCTCCCACTTTTATCTCCCAACTTATACCAATCCCACCATAGTTCCAACCTCAAGTCTCAATCCAATCCTCCAACAGCGCCAAAATCTTCTTATCCTTCTTCTCCTCCGCAACATCCATCGCGACATCCCCAAACTTATTCCCTTCTTCACGATCAGCACCCCTCTCAAGCAACACTCTCACCACGCCCTCATGCCCCCCCTTAACCGCCAACATCAACAACGTATCCTCATTCTCACCACTCTTCAAATCCTTATCCCCACCCGCCTTAATCAGATCCCTCACCAAGAGCTCATACCCCATCTCCGCCGCAACCGGTAACGGCAACCTCCCCTTCTCATCCGCTATATCCTGCCTCGCTTTCTGTCGAATCAGGAACTGCGCCATCTTAACATGTCCTTGCAGCACCGCAAGCAAAAGCGGACTCGCGCCTCGAGGATTCCCCGTTGCTTCGACGGCATCTACAGCCGCTCCACCCTTCAACAATTTCAGCACCGTCGCCCGATCATCTACTCGCACCGCATACCGCATTCCCCTCTCTAACCACATCTTCCTCTGCCCCTGATCCTCGATTTTCGCCGCGAGAAGCACATCGATAATCTCGGGACACTTATACTTCACAGCACTCGTCAACGGATCCCAGCCGCCGCCATCCTTCATCGGATCAGCACCATGCTCCAATAGCAATTTGGCCACTTCAACATGTCCCATCGTACACGCTTCCTGCAACGGCGTCCCGAGATTAGCATCTGCTCCCTTGCTCAACAAGAACTTCGCCATCTCGACCCCATTTTCTGTGTACGTAGACCCATCTCGACTCTTCGCCGCATAGCACAGAGGCGTCGTCCCTTGCTCGTCTTGAGTATTAGGATTTACTTTCCCCTCTCCACACAACAACTTAACTATCTCCAAGAAATTCCCCGAAGCAGCGGCTAACAGGGCTTGACCTCCCTGAATATGGTCAGACATCAAGACTGCACCATCTTCAAGCAGGAATTGCACGATTTCGAAATGGCCCTTCTTGCACGCGTTTTGGAGCACGGTCTCATTGTACTGGTTTTTGGAACCGAGGTTTATTTCTCGGCGTAAGAGAAGCGTTTTCATAATGGCGAGATGGCCGTCCGAGGCTGCGGTGTTGAAGGCGCGTTGGTTGTCTGACACGGTGGTGTAGAGTCCGATTTTATCTTCGTGGTCGAGGAGGGTTTCGATGACGGCGAGGGAACCGCTGCTGGAGGCCCAGGTGATGGGTTTGCCGATATTGACGTTGGGCGGGTTGGGATTTGCGTCGTGGGCGAGGAGGAAGTTTACTGCGTCGTAGAGGCCGAAGAGGGCGCAACGGTGGAGACTATTCGAGTTAGTATAGTTCTTTGTAATCACAAGAGAGCTATTTGGCTGGTTATCCGAAGATGACCTGGATGGGGATTTGGGTCGTAAGAAAATTATAACACTTACACAGGCCATTCCCCCCAGATCAAACTATCCGGACTTGCGCCCTGTTCGACCAGATTCTTGACCCCATCCACATTCTTGCGTTGTACCTCCTGCGTAAGCAAAGAATCGAGACTCGCCTGCTCCTTAGCAGTAACAAACTTCGGCACACGAAGCACAGTCCCCAACCCCGACGCGGACGGATTATGCGTTACAAGAATAATCCCACCGTACCCCTGACCTGGTAGGAAATCCATAATCTCGTTATAAAGAGTAACAGACTCATAATTATCCAGCACCAAAAGCCAAGGATGCCAGAGATCATTCAAGAACTCTTTCACGGCTCGGATTTTCTCTTGACGAGAGCCATCTGTTGAGCGTTTGATGGTCGCGTAGATACTTTCGAACCCAAGATTCAGGGTCTCGAGTGACGAAGCATCGATCCAGAATACGGTCCGGAAGTGGCCCAGCTCGTGAGCCTGATGGACGTATTCAAGCACAAGCTGCGTTTTGCCCGTCCCTTTCTCCCCTGAAACCATTAAAATAGTCGGATTCTTCGTCTTACCCCAAACCACATCTCTCAGCCCCTCTTCCAGCTCCCCTATAGTTTTCTCTCTCGGCACAAACTCCTTCACTACACCCGTTAGCCAGACCCCTTCCTTTCCCCTTCTCCACAAAAAAGAACAACAAAACTCACCCCTCCCCTCCCTAACATCAAAAAAACTCTCGACCCCAACCCTTTCCCCGGCAACCTCCTCCTCAATCACATGATGCAGAATCAGCACCTGGACGTACGTCTGCAGATTCCTTTCCACGCCCCAGACCCGCTCATCGTACTTCAGACTCGTGAACACCTTCTTGACCCGCTGCTTCAGGCTCTCGCCGTCGCGCGGCGTGATCTCGTTGACCATCTTCTCGACCGTTTGGACTTGCTCCATGCAGCCGGCGATCATGCCTTTGAGGATGCATTTTGTGTCGAAATCTAGGCTTGAGAGCGAGGAGGAGGATTGGATGCGGGTGAGGGCGTCTGTTGGTTGGTTAGCCGGGGAATCTGACGAAATAAGATTTTTTAAGGGAGGAGAAATAAGGGTGGTCTATCGTACTGAGCAAGAGTGGTAACTGCGTCGAAATAGACCGCAGCGACTGCGGAATCGCTTCAGTCTGGGAGAATTCCTGCAAGCGAGCCGCGACAGTGAGACCGAATTGCACAAACTGAACAATAGAAGAAGCAAGGCCGATGGCGCTGAGGGGGTCCATTGTTTGTTTATCTTTCCTTCAGCAAAGTACGGTTTACTTCACGGGACCAGGTGAGTTTTATATTTCGATGGTTCGAGTTTGAACAGTAGCCTTACAGCCTTCTCATGGCTGAAACTTCATGGAACAGCCCGCCTCAATCGAGCCTATGAATATGAGGTAACGACGGTATGGAGATCCTTCTGGGAAATTGAAGAAAGCCCGTGGCTGTGTTTGGGGACGGGAGATGTTCAGCTCGGCTGCGGCTAAGGGCGCTAGGCTGGATTGGAGTGCCCCTTTTCCTTCGACTGGCAAGGTCACATGTTTCCTACTGGCTTCAACGTCACTCTTGTTGCTGTACGTGAAGAAAATAGGTCTTGGGAATAAGCTCGAGTATAACGGTCTATAATCTGTCGTAGATGTCTACAAAAAGAAGTTTATACTTTTATCTACCTCTCCCTCCATCTACATCCCCCAAATCTCCCCCCACCTCCTATACTCCCCCTCAATCGGCCCCTTCAACCTGCCAAACCTAGCCGGCTCCCCGGAACTCGCCTCAGGAAGACAAATCCACTCCCTGACACTGCCCGGAATCTCCTCCCTCACATGACTTATACACAACAACGCCTGCTCCTTCGTTAACCCACCGACCCCTACCTCTCCCTCAGTCTCGACGATCCTGCCGTTTGAGAACTGCCTGCTCTCACCATGAGCAAGGAAAAGTAGACAACGATCTCGGACCCCTTCATCCATACCGCTGAATGCTTCGTCGAGGATGACGAGGTCAGGTTGTTTGATAACAGCACGTAGAAAGAGCGCTACTCTCTGCGACGAGAACGGGAGGCCGCCAAACACGAGCTGATCGGCCCATTCAGGCTTACCTGTAGTAGGGTTCTTACTTGCATCTTGGCGAAGGTCTTGTTCAAACCATCGCAAGCAAGCATCGATCCGCTCATGAGCATCTTGATCCAGCTTCGGTACACCCCTGAAAGTATCTGACCAGGCATTTTCCAGCACTTGGCGCAGAGAGAGCGATCTCGGGATGTGACCGTGAATCTCAGGACTCGAGTGTCCGATTCTGGATTGGAGATCGAAGATGGAGATCCCGGGCTTACCGGGCTCGGGGAGGCGTGATCGTCCGAATAATCGGATGGGGAGTGAGTATGTCTGAGGATGATTCGAGCAGATTAAAGAGAGTAAAGTCGTCTTGCCACTGCCGTTCGTTCCAAAGATTCCCCATCTTTCACCACGCTTGACGGTCCACCATAAACCATCTCGTAGACCCTCGTTTGGTGGGGCTTTCTGTTTCCAATTTCCTAGAACTGCTTTCGTTCCATACGCTACACGAGCTCCTTCCATCTCAACAAGAGGTTCTCCAATCTCAGGTTCGTGGGCATCATGCATTTCATATCCATCACGACTCAACTTGCCTTGCTCCTTCGGTCCAGTCGAAGTCTTCGACACTGGGATTGAAACAGAACGAGCATCCGACGGTTCCAAAATCCCATCACTCGTAAGCATCCGTCCAACCTCATGCATCGAACCAAGCGGCATGCTTGAATCGACCTCCCCTCCCCTCTCAACACTCTCCACATACTCCCTCAACTCCCCCAAAACCTCCTCTTTCCTCCCCTGAAACGCAACCTCACAATTGCCCTTCAAGTACACTAAATGCGTAATCCACTCCGGAATCGGATCCTGCGGCCTCAGCGCCAGCACCAACCTAGGCTCACTCTTCTCAGCCAACCCATTCAACATCGGACTCAAACTCAACAGCGTCGGCGGATCCAGCCCCATAAACGGCTCATCCAACAACAGCACCTCTGGACCTCCCAACAACGCTCTAGCAATCCTCGCCCGTCTCGTTTGCCCGTTACTCAGATTCGAGACCGGCATATCGATCAGCTCCCCCAATCTCAGATCCCTCACTACCCTCTCCAGTACCTTGCCATCGATGGTCTTCCCATCAATATCCATGGATGAAAGATTGAGTTGCGTGTTGCCCTGTAGGTAATCCAGGACGCTGAAATCGGTGTCTTCCCGTCTGGACTCGTATCTCGCGCTCAAATACGCGCTTTGCGGTGCCGCAGCACCGAGGCCTTGTTCGCCATCGAACCCTACCTGCTTTATCGCCGCGTCCGGGTTCCGGAATCGGTGGTCTTTGGCTTCGATTTTGTCGGATTGGAGGTACGGGTACGACCTTGCGGTTGGAGGGATACAGAGATATTTTCCTCTGAGTATTTGCAGGAATGTGGTTTTTCCTGCGGATGAGGGGCCGATTATTGACCAGTATTCTGGTTTCGAGGAAAAAGAGGCAAGTTCGAAGGTTACGTTCTTGAACAATGGCGGATTGAGAGCTGGAGGAATAGTAGAATTTGGATGGTGACGGTAGAACGTCCCATTCTTAATGCTGATTATCGGTGGTCGAGAATTGGCCGTGCTATATCTCCGTACGCTTGACAGCGGGAAAGATAATCTCGCTGTCGTCGTCGGTTTGCGCATGGTTGCAAATAATACATGGTGAGGAGAGAAGTGGTGGTGGGAGTTATTTGAGTCATGGTGAAGCTTACCCCGGAAAATTGAAAGCGAGCTCGGAAGCGGCTGCTGCTGCAAAAAGCGCGCTAGTGAGCTTTCCACGTCCGCTTCGTGCCTGGAGAAGAGCTTCGTTTGTTCCATCAACACCACCTCTCAACCTTCCAGTGTCTCTCACAACACGACTTGATCTTCACCTCTCCATACCACAAAAGAAAGAATATCTTGGAATCAGTCATCATGGTAAGCTCCCGTCCCATGGTTGTTTAATATTAGAAGATAAGCCGCGCTTCTGTTCAAAAGCTCATCTTCAACCTCCTCTCTCTCTCACAAACCCTCAATCTAACCTCCCTCTCCAGGCAATGCGCATCGCACCCCCCTCCTCCCACTCAACCACACACTCGCACCTCACCTCCGCCTCCGCCCCTTCCGCCCCCGGCCTCCACGACACCCTCCGCCACGGCATCGGCCCCTCAACCAGCACCTCCACGCAGAGCATCCCGGACAGCGCCCACCCACTCGAATCGCGCCTCAAGGCCTGGGAAGCCACGCAAGAGAGCCTGAAGATGGAGGGCCTGCGCCGCACATTCGGCATCAGCGAGCCGATCCGCAGAGGCATGGAACTGAAGATCACGAGAGAGGGAGAGTGGAGACCTGCTGTGCTGGGAGGAGGGCTGGAGAGTAGTGTTCATGAGGATATTTTGAGGGGGACGGATGCGATGTGTCAGTGGGAGGATGTGTTTAAGGGGGATGAGACGAGGAGTGTGCCGGGTTTCCATGAGGAGGTTGAGAGGAAGGTTCGGATGCAGTAGATGGATGGCTGTGAGTGAAGGATGGATGGGTTGATGGTTAGATGAGGATGGAGTTGCTGATGTGGTGGAAAGGATGACGATTGTAATATCACCTGGCCAAGACGGAAGATGGCGTTAAGGCTACGCCATAGAACTTGCAATGAGATATGGATTTGCAAACATAATATTCATTCCGTGACAGACAGTGTTGGGGGAGAACAGAAACGCTGACTGCATTCTATCCATGTCTTGCTCGTGACGAAAATGACCCGTATACTACAGCCACAACTGTAATAGTAACACTACTCCACCCATTTGCTGCAACTAACTATACAATATCCATACCATAGCCTCACATGCGCAACCTGCAATCCGGAAGAGCAGGTTTCTGATTCGGATTTCAAAATGCCAAAGCTGCAGCCAGTCCCTTTCCCCTAAACAATGAAAACTTGCAGATAGTATTCCGTAACGCCTCTGTTCAAATGTCGTTATGTTCCCGTAGTGATCAAATGCACAATCCATGTCCTTAAATGACCGCGACAAATGCTGGCATAGATATCGGACTAGAGTATCACACAACGACAGCCTGCAGTGGACTCGCCGTCTCCTCTGTCTCTTCCTGCAGATTTCCCCTTGGTTGCGTCTTCCTCGTCAACGATATCTTGGGGTCGAACAGTCATGTGTACCACATTTGCTGATTCGGCGTTAAACTTGCATTCTATTGTAGAGCATCAGTACATGGATAATCATAGCGTATCAAAAGAAAATCCTTACCCTTCAATGGCGTTTTATCATCCAATAACCTCCCAAAGTAAATCAGCCTTATGCTACTTGGACTACTCGGCTGTGCCTCCCATTCCTCTCTCCACTCTCTCAAGATTAACTCCTTCAATGTATATACACTGATGCTGAAGGGGTCTTTTCTACCACTCTCAGTCACCCCTGGGACATTTACGTTCCGCTTAGTCAAATACTTCTCATCGATCTTGTATGGGTGTCTGGCACCCGAAGTCAAAAGAAGCGTAATGACCAGAACGGGTCCAGCTTCGCTTATCGCAGGAGGAGGAGTATGTTCTGTCGAGGGACCGATGGCAACTGAATCAAGTCGTGTGATACTTGGTATCGTTGACGATGCCGGCTCTGACGCGGCAACCGCGGTAGTATTGGTCGAAGCATCGTTCGTAGAAGATGATAACGGGTTGGCAGACGCTTGCGAGGTAGATATGGCCGCATTCGACTGCTCATCAGGTCTCGCATTCTCGGTGGCAGGATTCGACATGCTCGACGAGGTTGGGAAAGAGGAGTCTAGAGGGGAGGAAGTCGGAATTGAAACATCATTGAGGAGAGCCTGCGATCCTGCGCCAGTCCTCTTGGAAGCGTCGAGTTCGCTCATCTCGACGGGAAGACCAGAATGTGGTTGTGAAGACGACGACGAGGAGTCGAAAGGGACTGAGGCAGGATCTCCACCGGTCGTTGATTGTGCCATCATTGGTTGGGTTCTTGCGGGCGTGTGAGATGCCTGTTATGGGGATTCAGAACCTAGCGCCACCCCGACCACAGCGAATCTGCAAGGTGCAGCAGAGTGTAATGATCGAATGTCAGAAACAAATGGCCCGAAGATGGAGGGCACAGCACCGCCCTGCTGTTGTGCGTAATTGACCAAGACCCACGTCCCTCGAATTGGAATCCGCAGAAGTCGCCCAGAGATTGGCAATGATCTTGGGGGGGGGGATTCCGGATTGTCGAGATTCGAGTTCTAGAATACTGGAAGGGTGGGCGATGGGGGGAATTTTGGAGTCTACAGTAGTTCGAGCAGCAGTGCAGCAGATGGATGGATACTAGTGCTCCGGGCTCGATCCGAGAGTGATGGGACACGCGAAGTTTCCCAGTTTCGGGAGAGGTGGAAGATCGGGGCAAATCTTTGACGTCGACGACTCTCGCAAGTGAATTATGGGGGCATCAGTAACGAGTGACAGTGAGGACCGACGATATAATAATTATTTAAGGATGTTTGGAGAGTGGAGAGGTGAGGAAGGTGAAGATTGACGGATGGATGGACGTTGTTTGTCGGATGGAGGTACAAAGTCAAAGTTAAAGTGCTACTGCATCGGCCGTTCGGACTCCTTCCCCATGCAGGCAGGGCAGGTCAGGAAGGAAGGAGGCAACAAACGGGGACTTTCTCTTATGTGGAATCTGGGATCCTGAAATAAAGTGAAATCTAAAATCTGGGGTTGCTGATGCCAAGTTCGAAACTGGGAAACTTGGCGATGCGTCCGCGTTGGAAACGTACCAAACCTCTTCCAGACCTTTCTTAAGGATAACCTAGGTATCGAACAAGGATTCAGGGACTCCCGCGTCCACCATCTATCACTCTTCAGTCCAACCTACACACATACGACAACAGACTGCTTATAGAAACATCATCTCGTGGTCGTCGTAAGAGCACATTGTATCAGAGATGTAATCCAGGCATAAAATGCACACGTGTCTTTGCTTCTTTCTGCATTGTTCTCATCCCATTGTGTTGCATTCGAGCTGATACCCCTGATCTCAACAATCATGCATGTGATGTGAGAAAAAGCATTTCGGTGCAGCCGTTGCAGTATCGGGCGGCGCAGCTGAGGAACAACGAGAAAGATATGTGTGCCAGAAAGCTTCTTTTCAGCGGAAGAAGCTCTCAGTGGCCTGTCGTTCATGCAGTCATCGTCGATCGCATTTTGCGGTATCGGTCACGTGGTACACGCTGACCTTGGGTAAAAGATTCCACAAGGTTCTCGAGAGAGTTCAGGTTATAAAGCGTTCGAATATGTTAAGGAGTAGCTTTTAGCATTGTCTGATCTTCCCTTTTAACGGAATTTTCTCGTTCTCGATTCATACAACAGAAGCGTACTCTAAGTGGAAGATGAAAAAAAACTTCCTGTCACGAAGTGAGACCTCAAGAACAGTAAACAAGCAGAAAGCATCTATTTTCCTTATCCTTGTTGAAGTATCTGAACCGGATAGCCAACACTCCTGTTTGCTCTATCGTTTGGAGACTATGAGAAATACGTGATCGTTGGATCTCCTTCCTAAGAACTAAGCGTTGATGAAAATGTGTATATGAAATTACAAACGCTTTTAATTCCACCACCGATCAGGCAAGATACTAGCTTCTCAGGAGAAATCCCAAAAATTAAGTCTGCAGACCTAAGTCTCAAGAATACTCATTAGTTATCAGTGATAGAGAAAGCATATAGACGGCTCGCTCTCTTGAAGAGTCTTTCCGGTCTCTTTCTTCCATACACTCAGAGGAAGCAAGATTTGGCCATCGATTTCACGCATCGATGTCAAGTGCCACACGCTCGACGGGACTTGCTCACTGGATGTTGAGAGGAAAGAGTATATGCTCTATGATCAGTGATGGAAGATATTTGTAAAACTATATACTCTGTAAATTTTAACATCTGACAAACTCTCCTGCCATGGTAGTGAAAACTATTCCCATGTACTTGAAGTGGTTGCGACTCCGACTCTTGGATTGGCGTTGACCAGAAACTTGAAGGCAAATAAATTTTCCAATCAAACAAAATTCTCAAGCGCGATAAAACAGTCTAGAATATCAAAACCATGAACATCGTATTTTCATTTAGCGTTACAAACAAACTTCCAACAATTATTATTAGAAATACAAGCTTTGCCAACCCTCATCCCACCCAATCCGCCGGCAACAAACAAACCGCCAAGCCGGCCACAAGCGAAATTAACAGGGGTAAGTAATTGGAACGCGGATCTCATTGCGCCAACGCGCATCCAGATAATCCACCCAGCTCCAAGATACCGCAACATGCCTTTCTCTCCCCAAGAGGCAGCACGACCACCTCACTCGTGACGATGGAACAACACCCGCACACCGAAGACGGCGAGCTGTCTCCCGACAGCAGCGGCATGACGAGGCTGACGCCGGGATCCGATAGCGATAGCGAGTCGGATCTCGATGTGAGCGGGGAGAGCTACAAGTTGCAGCATATGGAAGAGGAGGGGACGGCAAGGAGGGGTAGTGCGTCGACGGTGCAGTCATATCAATTGTATACGCCAGACGAGGAACGGGCTGTTGTTAAGAAATTTGATCGGAAGTTGGTGTTATTTGTAGCCTTGCTTTATATGCTGAGTTTTTTGGACCGGTCAAGTATATCCCGCCTATCGATGGTGAAGGGAAGAGGGCTAATTTTCTGGTGGCAGATATCGGGAATGCGAAGATTGCGGGGCTGGATATTGATCTGGATTTGGATTCGAATCGATTTGAGTGGTGTATATGGGGTTTCTATCTTGCGTACATCTGCTTCGAGTGGATGAGCGTGTTGTGGAAGATTGTGCCGGCTCACATATACGTTACGGTCATTGTGCTATCGTGGGGGATCATTGCTTCATTACAATCGGTCGCTACGTCCTTTGCAGGCTTGCTCGTTCTACGGATCCTATTAGGAATTGGAGAGGCAGGTTTTACTGGGATACCGTTCTACCTCTCGTTCTTCTTCAAGCGGGAAGAGCTGGCTCTACGGACGGGGTACTTTATATCTGCGGCTCCGCTGGCAACAACATTTGCTTCTACCTTAGCATGGGGAATTATCAAGTTGGGCAGACATGGCCCCATAGCAGCATGGCGACTCCTCTTCCTCGTCGAAGGATTCCCCAGCGTCCTCGTAGCCGTCATAGCCTGGCGCACCATCCCCGACTCCCCCTCCACAGCCTCCTACCTCACCTCGCGAGAGAAGAAAGTCGCCCGCCTACGGCTCCGCAAAGAAAAAGAGGGGCGCTCCACCACCCAAACCTCCAGCCATGGTCTCAACGCCAAAGAAATGCTCGCCACAATCACAGACCCGAAATCCTACCTCACAGCCTTCATGTTCTTCTTCACCAACATGGCCTTCTCCTCCATGCCCGTCTTCCTCCCGACCATCATCCACGAAATGGGCCACTCGGTCCTCGTCTCACAAGCCCTCTCCGCCCCACCGTACCTGCTCTCCTTCATCATCGTGATCCTGACCGCCTACCTTTCCGATCGGCTGCAAAATCGCTGGTGCTTCGTGCTCTTCCACTCCCTACTCTCCGCTTTCGGCTACGCATTCATCGCCTTTGCCGGGTACTTCAATCTCGGCACCTGGTGGCGATACGCGGGTCTCTATCCCGCCGCCATCGGTTTCTTTTCCGTGATAACCATCATCATAACATGGACGATCAATAACCAGGAATCGGAGTCTAAACAAGGAACCGGATTCGCGATGCTGCAGTTGATAGGCCAGTGTGGGCCGTTGGTGGGAACGAGGCTTTATCCCGAGAGGGACGCGCCGTTGTATCTTAGGGGCATGGCGAGTAATGCGGGGGCGATGTGCTTGGTGGCTTTGCTATGTGGGATTTTGAGGATTTATCTTGGGAGGCTGAATAGGAGGACGGAGAGGGAGTATGGGGGTGTGGTAGGGGAGGCGGGGATGGGGCTTGTGGATGGGGGAGTGGAGAAGCATGGGAGGGCGTTTGAGTATATGCTTTAGGTTATGAAGATTTCATGGTTTGGTCTGTCTTTTTGCGTGCTTGATGTCGGGAAAGTTCCTGAGTAACGATCGTTGCCAAATGTCTGACAGATGCAAGCGTCTCTTCTACTGTTCAATTCTTTTGTTTATCCCAAAGCTGCTGTCAAGCCAAGTGTTTTGTTGTCAATGCAAACATTTTGTTGTCAATACAAACATTTCGTCATCCACACAAGTACCTCATTATCAACAACCAAACAATCACCATCACCTCCCCACCTACTACGAAAGTTTGTCCCGGAATTACCACAAACTCTCTAGCAAAAACAAGAGCTCACAGCCATTCATTCACATCTCGGTGAGCCGGGCCCAGGAACCCTGACTGCCATTTGCGGATAGTTTCGCGTTGTTTCTGTAGAGATCTTGGAGGTTGGAGGAGCTTTCATATATATTAAATTTCTGGACGCCTTAGGCGCCCATAGTTGGATTTTTTGACTGCTAGATTCACAGTCAAAAAAGTGTGTCTGTCTTGCAGATGTCTTTACTTGATCTTAAACACTAACCAGAGGACAATGTACGGCATGAGCTTATAGCTTAACCTTGAGATATTGTTTGTCTGCGATTGGAGTATCAAGGTCCAGCTCTTGTCCAACTCGACTTCGAGCAACATATCAAATTAAACACTCCGTCACAAATCGCACATCCATGAGCATCCAGAGTCTAGGATTCATTCAAAGTCTCCAAACACCAAGAATACCCAACTCAACCCCATCATCCAAACCACCACTCACAAAAAACTAAAATAATTAATAGGATAATCCTCACAGCGTCCAGGCAACGGGTACCCCATCTCCTCACACAAATCGCTCCTCAACACTACACTCCTGTGTCCCCTTCTCGCTAGGACCCTCGTCGACCTATTCTTCCACCACCAACTCTTCCTCGCGTCTCGCCACTGGACTTCCAGTTTTTCGTATCCGGGCTGATAGAGACCTTCGATCTTGATCGTGTTTTGGGGTGGTAGATGGCGGTCGAGGAGTTGGAGGGAGCGCCAAAGACGACGTGTAGAGAGGGGTGTGAGAGGAGTGGAGAGGGGAGGGAGGAGAATGGTGAGGGTTTGCAGGTTTGTGAGGGTTTTGGTTAGGATGTCGAGGGCGGAGGAGAGAATGTTTAGGTCGAGGGTTTTGAGCCGGAGGAAGATGTTTTGGATGCGGGAGGTAGTGGTGGGGCCCAGGTGGTGGGTTAGTCTTCTTAACTTAATCACCGTCAACAACTCTATCCCTGGTATAATTTCTGGTCACACTTACAGGAATATCGTACTTCAACATATCCTATAGCAAACATCAGCTCTCACATCTCCCAAAGGTCTCATGGACATGGAACTCACCTCCTCACAAGCATCCCCCTTCAACGGAAACACAAAACAATGTCCACAATCCACCCTTTTAAAAACATTCTCCACATAAGCAGTCCTGACCCGAATCCGCTTCAACCGATGCTGATCATGATATCGCATCATATCAACACAATACCGACACGCCACATCCTCCACATCCAGACTCCAAACCCTCGTCTCCCCAAAAATCTCCATCAACAACCTTACCTCGTTCAAATCCTCCGCATACCCCTCCGGCCCCTCAAACCTCTTCGGTAGCAGCGGAATCGGAATCGCCGCCACGGAAGCCAGGTAGCAAAACAGATTCGCCTTCGCCAGCGCCGGGATGGACGGTAAAGCCACCGGTCGAGGCGCGAAGGGGAATGTCCAGGGAATGACAAACGCCGGTGGGTCTTGTTTAGGGAAGATCGTAGCGGGGTCGCGGAAGCGGAAGGGAGGACGGGGACCATCTTGTTTGGGGGACATGGTGGGGAGTTTTCGCTGGCGGGCTTCGGAGGCGGTTTCGGGGCGGTAGCGGATGGTGGAGAGAGGGTGGGGGGAGCGTAAGGGGAGGTCGAGGGGTTCGGTTTGGACCATGGTGCTGGCTAGAAATGCGCCGTTGGGGCTGGGGTTGAAGCTAATGAGGATGGAGGGGATTTTTAAAACCATGTTGAGGAGTTTGGATGAGGGGTGATGGAAAAGAGTGGATTGGATAAAGTTGTGGTGGCTTGGTGTGAGAATAGAGATGTTGGTTGATGGTCGGTGATGAGCTTAAGTTGAATGGTTGTGGTGGGTTGCACTTTCCCAAATGAGTATCTTGACTCGATGCAAGAGCTCTCGACGTAGGTAATGATTGTTGTTGAGTGCTAAAACGGGTTTAGAATTTTGAAATATGGTAATTCCACAAGATTGTGATCACGAAGAAGGTCCAAAAGATCGGCGGGTACAAGCTGGCCCTGGTGTAAATACAGACATGTGTGTAGAAAAGCAAAACTAGCTGATATGAAGAAAGGTCATGCCCGATTTCTTACGGAAAATAAGTTTGGGTTGTTAGTTCCACCAGCATTTTCTCCAAATCCTAATTTGTGTCGGCTGCGCTTCACATACGATGGCACAACCTACAGAGAAATCGGTCACCGATTTAGTAGCAAGCATCAATGGCAAAAATATTTTGTCCGGATGGCATGTTCTTATAGCTTATTGCGAAAACGATGTGAATAGATTGCTTGCAGCCCGCCATGCCCCACAATTAAAAAGTCAATACAAAGGTAAGTATTAGAACCGAGTTTGAATACGATTCGCGAGAACGTCGTTTAATCTATCTTGTACTATATCCGATCCACAGGGGACAGATCGTTGACCTTTATTACGGCCTCAAGTTGGGTCTGCCTCAAATGTCCTTCAAGGACGGCAGAGGGACAGTTCAACTGCGATTACCCCGGTCAGGGACTTTCGGATACTAACTGAGAGGAGATCGAGAGCTGGTTCAAACTGGATTATTTCTGAATTGTGTCGCAGCTCTAAAGAAAGGTTCAAGGTTCGCTAGAATCTGGGAACAATGTTCTATTCGTGGATGCTAACAAGATCATCACGTTCAAAGCGGGAGCGCCTCGGAGTGTCAAGTTGTCATCGACCTTTTTCATCCAATAGTCTCTATCATCGACGAGAAACGCTTGAAAGATATCGCTCTGGATGCCAGCCATTGTTAATTCAGCCTTGAGAACCCACATTAACACCATCGGACTGCTGTATCACATAACCAATACCGTATCTCGACCAAACCCGAAACTAAAGGCCTTAAATTACAACTGATTCCCACCAAATTTCTAAGGAAAACAATCGAGGGCGGCAACTCTGATCGTTCCGCCCTGTGAATGTGGAGAACGTGTTTTTCACCGACAACATCCCTCTGCTTTTTGCGCTTGGCTTGAGGACAAAACGCTGAAACTTTTTTAAGCTCCGGCGACATAGTGGTTTTATAGGAATTAATACGGTGCTCAAGTAGCAAGGTATTATTATACAAAAGTGCTAAAGTTGCTAAAGTGCTATAATGCTAAGGTGGTATGATGCTGAGGACTTGCCATGCTAACTTCGTAAGGCACTATAATACTAAGGCCCTACAACGCTATAAATGCTATAATATCAAAATCAAATGCTTTATCCAGAAATTATTCATTATTACGCGCGCTATTTAGCTATAGCAAGTCCAACACGCTTTCAAAGCTTCCAAATAGCAAGTGTACCTAGTTTACGAAGTAAAAATACTACACATAAACAACTCGCTATTCGTGAAATCGCGGGTTCTTGCTCGTAAAATGGTATGTGTTCACGTATAGACTAGAACAAATGTTTGGGCATCCGGGAAATTGTTGCGTGTTGCGAAAAAGCTTAGCGAGGAGGAAAAGGGGGAGAACTCGGATGGTGGTTTAGATTCGGTTTTGTTTTGTTTTTTTGTTTTTTTTTAAATATGGCGGAGTGGAGTTATTAGTATCACCAGCAAGCGGAATTTGATATTGCATAGAGAGAGAGAGAGAGAAATAGTAGAGAACTAGAATAAACATTGCATTATCACCAAACCTAAATAATACATGGTTCGCACTACCAGGAAGCATCAACAACCCCCAAACCAGCTCTTCCGTAGCACAAACAAAACGAACCTTCTTACAGTTCTCAATCGCTTGAGGAAGAGGGGTCAGGGCAACCAGCATCATACCACACCGTCGTCTGGGTAAGATCCGGCGGAGGAGTCATATCCGCCAAACTATCAGTAAAAATCAAGCAATGCGTGACTCCACTGCCATCTGTATAGAAAGCATAACTGACACACCCATAAATACAATTAAAATAGCACTGCTCGAGATCCGGAAGACCCTCCAGGTCGACCTCCAGGTTATTGTCCGTTGCAGTGTTCTGCAAGGCATAAACGCCACATGCAGGGTCCGGGTACGTAGGTGGTGCGCACGAGATATCGTACCAAGCAACCCCGTTTGGATCCGCGGTGGGCGCAATGGCTGCTACTGTCTGTTGGTAGAACGCGCAGACAAGATTGACTGGATCGAACGTGTAGCTGACGCAAGGCTCATCCAGGACGCAGAGCTGATAACAATACTCCGCGAACGGCGCCGGGACGCTGTTGCCGGCTGATCGTTTCTTCGGAGGTGGCGACGAACCTGGGGCATCGGCCATGAAGCCGCAGTAGTCGGGAAGGACGGAGCAAGAAGCATCCCATGCAATGAGTCCGAATCCGGTGGTGTCTTCCCATTGGGAGAGGAAGGCCCCGAAGATGGTGCAGACGCCGCTTCCGACGAAATGACTCAGACAGCCGCTGTTAGTGTTACATAATGATTGACAAGCGGCTTGGTCCTGGATTCCAGACTGAACAGCGTAGGGTGCAGAGTTTGTTGCGGGGATAGCGCCCGGGATATCGCAAGTAGGGGTATGTGGAGGTGGTGTAGGACACTATCACACGAAGTCATCAGTAATGTGTCTTGGAATAACACAAGAAGGTCGCTGGAATTTTCAAGCTGTATCTGGCACAAGCCAGAGCATGCTTGCAGGGCATTCTAGAGTGGAAACCGCAGTGAAATGGAAAGAAAAGACTTACTGCAATGTCCCAGAAAGTATATCCACCGGTTCCACCAGCGATTTCAGACACGGGGACATCGAAAATTCCGCAGATCCCAAAGTATTCGTACAGAACATATGAAATGCATCCCGTGGTTGTTGCACAGGCATTGGCGCAGTCATCCGCGGAGTATCCTTCGAACTGACCCAATAATGTGGATGGATCTGTGCCTACAAAGTCCGCAACTTGGTTGCACTGCAAAATATCAGCAATCTGTATGGCTCTTGTAGAGAAGGGACGAGAACGATTGGAGAGTAGAGTTGATGTTTTTATTTAGATAGAAGGAAATGGGTTGGTTACGATTGGGCCAGGGTCGGGAACGCTGCGCTGATTAGCCTATGATCGACTACAAAGACGTTCGAAGCCAGTGACAATGTCAAACGGATTGAAATGTACAGGGAAGAGGAGACACTTACACTGCCGTTGAGACTGCAGCAGCGGTCGTTGTTGTGGTAGTGGAAGTTTCAGTAATGAATGTAGTGATATCAGTGGCTAGATATAAAAGTCAGCAAAAAGTGCGGTGCGGAGCTACATCGGGCTGTCTAACTGGCTAACACAGTTGAGGTCACTGTAGCAGTATTCGTGACCGCATCCGAAGACTCAAAACACGAGCAAGCATGGGGAAATGGACGCAGCAGCCTGTCCCTTTGTGCATTTGAGCGTTGTTGGTTTCGGAGGAGTTACATGATTTCCTGCCACAACATTGGCACCGAATGCTGGGGCTGGCAAAGTTGTAGTCGTGGTGTACAGATTTGTCGCAGTATTTGTTTGGTACACCCAAGCGGTGTTGGCAAAGAGAATGGTGATGACACTGGCCTGGGTGTTAGCAAGCACGAGAGTGGACGAGGTTCTCTTACTCTGTTGTCTGAACAACTTGCGTTGCAGTCACGGCTGGGACAACATCTCCAATGTAAGAAGAGCAGAAAGGCGCAGCTAGTGCTGAGGATGACATGAAGCATCTTATCAGATCGTTGGCTTTGCACGCATCAGGTGTGTTGACATGATGGGATGCTTGAACGGACACTGACCACACAAGTGCGGCGGATAATTTGGTGACTCTCATCTTGTCCTTGCAGATGTGCCGTTAAGCTCCAGCACGTCCAGAACAGCGTCCTGCTCAACACTTGTACCAAATCCTCATGAAAAGTATTATGGAACTTTCAATCTCATAATGACTAAGATTAAGCTCCGAAGGAGTTGGTAATATATCGATGTAAGTGGAAAGTCAGTCTCACGGGCATTATCCCAAGACAAATGAATTTTTAGCATGACAGGGCTGAGACAGTTCTGAGGTTAAATACTCGAGTCATTATCGCTGTAGCAAAGAAAGAAAACCAGGCACATATTGAAGCAAGGTAGAACAAGAATTATAGCAAGCGTACTCCTTTACCTAGCTGTTTCTTTCCTCGACACGTGCTCATTGTCTCAGATCAAGTCCCTGATACCAGAGACCTCCCCCTCCCGATTGCTCGGGACGTTATCGAAAAATACTTTGACGGCTCTAGAATCTTTGAGAGCTTAAAGAATGGCTTTGTATGCCATCACGTGTCGCTAGCTTGTAGAGAAAACTCTGATGAAGTAAAAAATAAACAATAAGACGCGAAGAAGAACAGAGGGGGCTGCGTCCCGATTGCCCCAAATCTTCCCAACGATTGCTTTAACACTTTTAATAGCTTTGAGAGCTTTGAATAATGACTTTGTATACCATCACGTGCCGTTGAGCCCACACAAGAAAAGAAATTAGTAGCAAAGGGAAAAGGAGAAAAGGAGAAAAGGTATAAAAAAACAGTATTGCCATACTCAATCCTTCGTCGTGTTCCCCCTACCCACCATCCTAATTTCGGGCATATCCAGCAACAACACTGGTATCTACCTACCTAGGTATGCTTCAAATACACTTCATCACCATGTACCTAACTGCACGGAAAAGCAACTCGGAGAAAAATTTCCTTCCAGTCTTTCATTCTTAGTTCTCGAGCTGCTGAGCACTGAACTTCATAAACATCTCACATTCCATCCCCTCTCGTGTGCAAAACGAAACGGAATTTCGAGAATCATGCTAAGCTAAGCGCAATCCTCGCCAAGGGAACACTTCCCCGACCCCGCCTCGGCATTTCCTTCTCCTCGCAAATCGAAAGAGAAAAAAGAGACATATATCGGTCAAGGAATCAGAATCTGGACATTGCAAACTCATTTTCTCCCAACTTGTTGAAACTGGCGGCCGCTGGAACCACGTGCCTGCCTGCCTTCCTTTTCCAGTTCCCGGTTGTTGCACAGTATCAGCACTTCACGATTTGTTTTTGATTTCCAATCAATCAGCATTTCTCACGATATATACCTACATCTTCGTAGATGATTTCTTCAATTCTCCATTCTTTCCCTCTTCTCTTCCCTTCTCTTCTCTTCTCTTTTTATTCATCTCTTTGTGCTTCGCAGCGGTGAAGCCCTTTACCTCTCAATAACCATAATAAATAATATCGCCGAAGCATCCCCGTCCTAGCTCCGAACTTTCTTTTCACAATTTCGTTTTCGCAGCCACCACGAACGCCACGATGACCGGCAGTTAGCTGTGTAGGTAGGTAGGTAATAAGCTTTGGCCCTTTCCGAGATATCGCCAGCTTGGATTGTTTTTCACCGGAAACGCAGATATGAAGGGTTTGAAAGAGGGGGAGAGATGGGTGATGATGATGCCTAGAAATACCAAGAGCGTTTGACAGAAGATCTTCGTCTGGAGAGGCCCCTGTTGACGTTGACGTTGACGTTGACGTTGACGTTGACACTTGAGTGGAGAAAGTTGGCGCCAAGTTGCACTTGCATGGTTGGGTTCGCACCTCGAGAAAGTTTTGATCACAAAAGTGGTTGTACTTCGAAGTGACTGGTTCTTTCGACGGGGGATACAGAATGTTACTCATGATCAGATATGCCCAAAAATTCGAGCTGAAAAGTTCTGGCGGCTGACGGTACCACAGCTTCTCAATCCAATCCAAAACGTACGATAGATACGGTGTAAACGGTTGAAAGGAAGAGCAAAGGGCTCTCTCTAGTTTCACGCTGAAAGAAGCCGAGTCATTCCATCGCATCTTCTCCCGGCTCAACGGATCTTTGCTTCCCAAGAAAGCCAGTACGAGCGACCAAACACTTTGAACCGGGGCAAACATCGGTATTCGACGGAGCAAGCTGGAGCGTGGTTGCGATGCAACCTCAGCTCCTCCCATTGGCGACTCGCTCCGGGGTGTGGAGAAGAGCTACTCGGAGTACAGGGCTCGAATCACGCTACTCCAAGCCCCAGCCCGCTGAGTGGCTCAATGCTTGTTCCACTGCGGGGGATCCCCGCTGGCGGACACCACGATGCGGAACCGCGGGTTACCAGATGTCTCGATGATCGTCAGCTGATGGTCCATTTGGAAGGAATGACAGGCCTTTCGGTTGAAAATGTACTAAAGTATGCGCGGAAGGGAGAGTTGGACGTATCGGTTGCACCGCCATGCAAGAGGGGACAGCCGCCAGGGTTACACCCTTCCGTTGGTAAGATTACTACAGGCAGGCTTGCTGCATAGCTTGATTGCTTGCCTGCTGTGCGACGAGCGTAGATAAGTAGTTGTGACCTCCCCAACTTCTGCGAGAACCTCGAGCTTCTACCTACCTCATCCTGCTCGTCCGTCCGAATTATAGAGTTGGGAGAAAAACCCCTTTCATTGCGAGAGGTCAAAAGTTCAATTGTAAGTGAGTGAGTGAGTGAGTGGAATGCAAACCTGGTCGAATTTCCCCATACCCCCGCACCAACACCAACACCAAAATCCCCAACACCGCAACTCCTCTTTTCCACATGTACTGACATGACGCTCTCCAGCTCAAAACGACGCTGTTCACATCACATCAGCAAAATGGCGGAAATATCAGCAAGCGACGAAAAGGTCGCTGCGACTCATGTCCCCGATGCTGCGCTCCCCGAATCTCATCACCCGGAGAAAATGTCCGTTGGTCGGTATGCGGCAACTCGACTCACGACTCTGAAGCCTCCCATGAATCAAGCTCCCAATCCATTCCGTCTCCTCGCTATGTTGTCTGGAAAACAGTGGTTGTTCTTCTTAGTCGGTTTCCTTGCTTGGGTATGCCCATCATCCCTTTTCTGCTTTCAAGAGACGAGGAGGATATTGATGGCCAACGAAAAAATCTAGACTTGGGACGCCTTCGACTTCTTCACCGTCAGCTTAACCGTCTCCGACCTCGCCAAGACCTTCGATAAAACCAACACGCAAATCACATGGGGCATCACACTCGTCCTCATGTTCCGATCCGTCGGCTCCATCCTCTTCGGTCTCGCCGCCGATCGGTACGGACGCAAATGGCCGTTCGTCGTCAACAATATTCTCTTCATCGTCCTCGAGCTCGGAACAGGGTTCTGCCAAACGTACAAGCAGTTCCTTGCCTGCCGCGCCCTGTTCGGTGTCGCAATGGGTGGTCTCTACGGAAATGCCGCAGCCACGGCCCTGGAAGATTGTCCGGAGGAGGCGCGTGGTATTGTGTCGGGGATGCTGCAGCAGGGTTATGCGTTTGGCTATTTACTCGCTACGGCGTTTGCGAGGGGGCTTGTTAATACTACTTCTCACGGATGGCGGCCTCTGTACTGGTTCGGTGCTTGTCCGCCTGTCTTGATCATCATTTTCCGGCTGTGCTTGCCGGAGACCGAGGCGTATAATGAGCGGGTCGCTGTACGGAACGAGAATGGGAATATTGGGAAGACGTTCATTGCGGAAGGGAAGGTGGCTTTGAAGAGACATTGGCTGTTGCTTATCTATCTCGTGCTTCTAATGGCTGGATTTAACTTCATGGTTTGTTTCCCTCGGTTTTCTAATTAATTGATATGTACTAACATCCCACCTAGTCCCACGGCTCCCAAGACCTCTATCCAACCATGTTGACCAACCAGTAAGTAAAATTCTGCCCTTGTCTTGTATTCAATCTGGGAGCCAAGATCGAGATCATCCTGAAAAGCTGTTCGTGGAAGAAAACGTGTCACGGCTCCTCGGACGTGCTTCTCGGCTCTCGGAACCCTATCAAACCCGTATACTGATCTATCTCTAGATACAACTTCAGCGCCAACGCCGTAACCGTCACGCAAGTGGTCGCCAACCTCGGCGCCATGACCGGCGGAACCGTCATCGGCTACTGCTCGCAAATCTTCGGCCGCCGCTTCTCCATCATCTTCATCTCCATCATCGGCGGCGCCCTGCTGTACCCCTACACCTACACCTCCTCGAAAGCCGTCATCGCCGCGGCCTTCTTCGAGCAATTCTGCGTCCAGGGCGCTTGGGGCGTCATCCCCATCCACCTGATGGAGCTCTCGCCGGGCTCCTTCCGCACTTTTGTGGTCGGTACTTCGTATCAGCTGGGGAACCTCGTCTCGTCTGCTTCCTCGACTATCGAATCGACCATCGGGTCGCGCTTCCCGCTGCCGCCGACCTCAAAAGGGGTCAAGCGCTACCAGTACGGCAAGGTGATGTGTATCTTCATGGGCTGCGTGTACGTCTATGTCATCATCCTGACGTTCGTGGGGCCCGAGTACCTGAGGCGCAGCTTCGAGGTCCATCAGGATAGCGACATTGCGGAGGCGGCGGGGCACGACACGATCGAGGCGGCGATGCGGAAGATTCATCGGCGGGAGGCGATGGGGATGGGGGTTGATGCTAGTGATCGGGAGGATATGGAGAATATTGAGAAGGGGCGGGCTAAGCTTTAGGGTCAAAATTGAAGGGGGTTAGGGGGCACGATGTAGGAGGTTATCTATCTATCATTGGAGTTGGGAAATTCTTTTGATTGATCTTGATCCTCTTCTGTTGATTTTTAAGATTCGACTTTGGATTGAAAAATACATTCATTCTCCACGCACTCCTATCCACTCATTTTCAAACCCAAAACCAAACCCCCCCCCCCCCCTCTTTACCGAATCACCTACCACCTAATTTCCACCTAACTACTAATCAACTCCCAACTAATTTACCAACAAATAAAACAAAAGCTACCTCCTCGGTAAACTCCTGCTCGCACTACCTAGTTTGTGTGATGGGTTGAACCCATTCTGTGGCTATGCCCCTAAATGGGCATAGCCGTCACGTGAGCAGACGCTCGGGCCTTGGCGCCCTCACAAAAGGACTTCTCCGGGGAGAATCCTTCTTTCCTTAACTAGTTCTTTTTGTAATACACATAGCTTGTTACTTTGACTCATTGTATCAGCCCGTGACAGTTTGTAAGGACTCGGACCACTCGGTAATCTCGGCTCTTTCTTTCTTTCATTCATTCATCCATCGTATACCCAGGTACTGTAGGGCTGAGTAGCCGCACAGAACAGGAGCTATTGAATGTGGGGTAAGGGGAAGGAGGGTAAGGGCGAGCTGTTGGGGTTTGGGGGAAAGGGGGAGAGGGGAACAGGCGGCACGCGAGAGAGTAAGTGGTGAGCGGTGGGAAATCGTGGGGGAAGGAAAGAGAGCACGGTGTTTGCGAGGGGAGTTTTTATGTCGCTTTCTTTGCGGAGACGATGCTTTTAATTGAGAGATATTGTGGGTTATGATGAGGAGTATATATATAGTATTGATTATTTCGTAAGGTATGATGATTATTGAATGAGGAACCTAGTTTTGTAAGAGATGGGGGTTTTTTTTTTTAGGCTTAGGTGAAACTTGGGATTAAATATGCGAAATAAAATAGTTTTAAAATAATATATTTATTTTTTGGGTGTAATAGAGTATTTAATTTTTATTATATTATTTTGCCTTTTTATAGCACGATATGTACATTACTATAGAAATTTGTTTAGCTTTCTTGGCTTTTATAGCGAGAGTCAAAATTAGGTATAAAGTATTAATTTCGAAATAAGACATAGGCCTCTAACGCGTTTCTTTATTTTCATTTGCCTATAAGATAATGTTTTAGAAACCGATTAGTGCGTTATCTCATCACTTCACAGAGACGACAGATGCCTTCACCGAGAAAATACAATTCATAACACGGAGCATATCTCATCACTGAGGTACCATGCCGAACGCCAAGCAAACTCGGACTGCCAAGCGCGCAAACTAACAATATATCTGAATTGAACAATCTGGTACACAAGACCACAAAAGGTATCAACATAAGCCCAAACAGCAAACAAACGCCTGCTTGCCCATCCAATCTTCCCATCCAATCATCATAACTCATCAAACATTACATTTCTTCCTCCCCTCAACCCTCCCTCACTTAACATCTTCCTTCACCTCCTTCTTCCCACCAAACATCCCCCCAACAAACCCCCCCGCCCCCTTAACACCACCCACAACCCCACTCCCCACACTCTGCGCCCCGCTCCCAACCACCTTCCCCCCCTCCGCCACACCACCCACCACGCCCTCCCCAGCACTCTTCCCCCCCTTGATCATCGGATCCGTATACCCCGCCGCCGCGCCCCCGTAACTCCCCTGATCATCCCGACCCTGCCGCTCCGCGCGATTAATACCTTCCGTTGAAACCAGTTTGCCGACGGGCGCCAGGAGGCCGTTCTCGCCGAGTTGGTTGCCGACCAGGTTGTGGACGTCGTCTTGGATTTGGTCGACTTGTTTGATGCCTGTGATTTTGGATTTGTTTAGGGTGTCTATTTTTTTTTTCCCCCGGCTATTAGCGTTTTAATTTCGTTTTTTAAGGTAAGAAGGGGAAGGGAAGGAGAAGGAAAGGGAAGGGAAAAGGGAAGGGAAAAGGGGAGGAAAGGGGGAAAGAGAAGTACCTTTCGCAACATAAGAAGCCTTATTATCGCCCTTGCCGAACCAGTAGAGGTACTGGTCCTCGATCCACGGCATCCAGCGCTCGTACTGGATGTTGTACGCTTCCGTCACCCATTCCGTGTACGTCTGCTTCTTCTTCTGTTCGGGCGAGAGGGCGTCGTATTGTGCGTGTTTCTGCGCTTCGGTTGGTTGTTCGCTGCCTTCCGCGGGGCCTGCTTTTTTGCTGCTGGCGAGTGGGTTGGAGGGGAGGTAGTTCATGTTTTTGGTTTTTGGATTTGGGATTTGGGTGTAAGAGATTTGTATAAAGAAGAGAAGACAAAAAGGTAGTTGTGATATTATATATATGAAGTGCCTTCCAAACTTGGTCTCAAATGAACTCTACCTAGATATGTGATGTGGCCGTGCAAAGTTAATATGCCCAAACCAAGATATTCCAGATCGTGGCTGACGTGTTGTGACGTCAACATATAGATCGCGGTCTCGATTCGCGAGAGATCCTGTTTTTGCTTGTGGATGCGGCTGCCGGGTTGAATACAGGGATGTAAAACAAGGATTTTGTTGTTTAGGTAGATGCGGGTTGGCGGTGGTGTAGAGAAAAAGGGATGGGTGGAAGCGAGGCGAATAGGAGGCTTTAGCGAGGTTTCAGGTTTAGGGGGTGGGAAAGGTTATTTTTGCACGTGCTGGGAGTATTACTTCGCTCTCTCATAATCTTCGTGAAGATGGAGGATACGATTGCTATAAGTTGAATTTCGTATGGTAGTCGATTTATCTTGTTGAATTGATTGCTAATGATTATTCATTGGATTATGCCATGGTTCGTGTGACAAGGAGAGGGGAACTTGGAAGTTAACGCAACGAAAAAGAATCTCTCGTGCAAAGTTTGAAGAAGTGCAAGTGTCATCTCTCATTTTATCCGCTTTTAGAGACTAAATCAAAACGGGCGAAAGAATTTTTGCGCTGCTTATCAGTTAATGATCCATGGGCTTCACCAAATCCACCTGATACGAACCCTAAAACTCAGTCCCATTCAACACCCATTATCTCAATATTATATCACATTTCTGATCAGCTGTGGACTTTCTCTAGTACCAAGTTTGACTAGAGTGTAGAGATATGTTACTAGGTAATTATCTGAAGTCGAAGCTGAATCACGTGAATGTACTTGCTAACAAATAGCATGATTGCATTTGTGGTCGAAAACACCAATGGTTGACATGAATTATTAACTTAAAACAAAAGAACACAATATGTAGAGCTAAACAGGAACCTATAATGACATAAGAACAAATCAGTGCGTCAAAGTAACAGTTTTCCCTTCCCATTTCTTCCCATCCTTATTAACACACTCCTCCACAATCCACAACGCCACATCCTCTCTCGAAATGAAATACCCAATAGCCGGCTCATCTTCTTTTCCTCCCTCTTCAGTCACCTCAGTACTAACCCTCACCTTCTCCAACCCCTTACTCTTCCCATCAGTCAAAAAGCTAGGTCGGACCATAACCCAGCTCCTCCCCTTCCCCTCCCCAGAAATCATACACTCTTCCATCTTCTTCTTATCATTGTGCGGAGTCGACAACATCCAATGATAAAGCGGAATCATACCAATCGGGATATCCCTTCCTCGATCACTGATACCCGTAGTGCTCAACAACACAATCCTCGGTCCTCCTTCTGGTCCCGGGACTTTGTCTTCATTCTCCAGCGAAGCGAGAGAGGAAAGGATGCATTTTGTTCCTTCTTCGCAAATGTGTGGATCCTTGCTACCCCATTTGAGGCCCTGCATCTCGATTACCATGCCGACAGCAGAAATGATTATATCTGCGATGCGATCGTTGATTGTGAGAGTCGCTTTTATGGCGGAGGTCTCTCGGATGTCGCCTTGGACGATGTAGAGGTTAGGATATTCAGTGGAAAGCGAGGAGAGTTTGGATGGTGTTCGGGCTAGCACCCGGACAGTGTGGCCGGCTTTGAGGGCCAGTTTGAGGGCTGCAAGACCAGTTCCGCCTGTCGCGCCGAAGATGGCGACGGTTTTGGTGGTTGGAGAGGACATTTTGGGGGATGAACGTGTGGGGATAATTGAAGACTTGTATTAACGCAAAAGACTCGTGAAAATTCTTGAGATGGGATTGATTTCGAGAAAACAGATCAATGAATAATGGAAAGGTGTTTGTTTGATGATGTGAAAGCATCACAACTATGTGATCGATCTCCCTATATAACTTCTCAACTCAATACACCTAACTTGGAGATCCCTGCCTTGAGGGCATCGCCAAGAGGGCGACAATGTCCCGCCGGAAAGTCTTCATTCGACATTGTCCCGTCTGATATTCTCACAGCCTCCACGAAGAAACGACAATGAAAGTTGTATTGCACTTGCTATTCGCAGAAAATTGACTTTTGATCAGTTACGGCCGAGAGAACTGGATGTTTTGAGGCACAGTTGAGCTATGAACGAGGATCATGAGGATCTTTACGTGGAGATCGGGAAGATGATTGATTCGGTCGGAGTGATGTTACACCGGTCACGTGTGTAGCGCGCTAGTCTAAAGTGGACTAGACCAATACTGGTTTCATCCTCCTTGATTCTTCAACGACAACGTTCGAAGCCTCAAGCAGATGCATTGAGGGAAAATTGGAACTCAGAAGACAAGAGGACCAGTGGTTTACTAGGAGTACTGCTTCTTCTATTGATTTTGTTGCCCTAGAGCGTTCAAGCGGCGTGTCACGAGTGTGCCAACCCCAGCTTTATGAGATTCTGACTTTCTTGGATACCTGGCCACGAAGACAACTTCACTACAAAAGAGCCTCTAGTTTACGTGGGTGAACGCGATGATGTTGCAGTTCGTAAGGACTTCGATTGCTATGATACAACTTGTACTCTCTTTCATCCCCTACTTTCTGATCACGGAAGAGCATTGACTGGAGCCTTTCTGGCCCGCATTGAGCTTTGCGTGGTTGTCGAATATGACCAGAACCTTCCGATGGAGAGGCATGATTCATGTTGACTCCATCGTGACAAATTGAACATGGGTCGAATTGAGTTAGAGAGAGAGGAAGCTTCGATCCAGCCTTTTACCAATTCGGCAATGCGGCAACACAGAATATCACCAAATACACAAACACTCCACAGACGCCACATCTGCAACCATCTTCAATTGGCCGCATGGGATTTTTATTATCCGAGTAAAGTTTTCTTCTATGCTCTGAAGAGTAATTTGAAGAGTAGTCTGTGCTTTTCCGAGACCATTTCTCAAAAAGAGACGGCACCCGAATAGCTTCGGAGCAAAAGTGCAGCTCAATTGGTCAATATACGCATCACTATGTGCCGGACGGGCATCGGGTCCCCAGTTTCCCAAGTCCCGAATTAAATGTCTTGTGCACAGACGCACTGATTCCATCACTTACTTCGAGCTATGAGGGGGATCGTCCAATGACGGCGGAAGTAACCCAATCGCGTCTAAATCGAAATCCCGCCAAGACAACGTTACTCCCTGAGAAACCCTTCAACAACGTTTCTTACAGTACTACTAAACTGATCGCAGAACTGTACATGGAACAAATTGAGCTCGCCTGATATCCTTGCACTGTTCTTAGCCAAGACAGGTATCATCACAGGAATATGAATACATGATCTACCGTCGACGACGACTTGTTTAATTCTGTTTAAACATCGCACCGGACCAAACCCAGATAGTCTCGTGAGCCAAGACACTGAACGATGTTGCGTCGAACCGTGTCTGCGGGTCTGACAAGCCGATTGCCACTAATTGCAGAACGACCCTTTCTTAGTACTGCCGATCTTGGACATCCGGACTGCCAACCTGTGCTTGATGAGCCTTCGGATCAGGATTCAAAGGCAGATGGAGAACTGGAACATGTTAAGTATTCGATACCCTGCCAGCACAATGGTAAGTATGGTCCTTGCATCCACACAAGAACTGAGACGATAGCAGAATGAGTTGTAACGGGAGTCGCCCCACCGGTAGGCCTTGCAATTATGCTCTGGGACAGCTTCTAACTGTTACCTAGCGTGCCAGACTTGTCGACGAAGACGCGTCAAATGCGACCTGACTGAGCCAGTTTGCGAACGATGTCTCAAGGCCAAGATACCGTGTAGAGGATACTCGAAAGACCTCAAATTCGTGGATGAGAAAGGACGAGCCCAAAAGCGGGTCCAGATCAAACACGAAGCATATCTCCAGTCCATCCAAGCGGATGCAGAGAAAATCCGAGCCAGTCGTAAGCTGGAGCTTCGGTGCAGTAGTGAGGCAGTACCACCGGAACTCTCTCTTGTTGCATTCCAGGAACATGTACAAATGTCACATATGGATTCCAAGCTCTTTGAAGGCGCCAAGATATTGGCTCCTTGGACAACGGCCCGTTACGATGGAGAAGATAGCTACACGGCAACGCAAACTATGAGAGCTCTCGGAAGTGTCTATTATGGTCGTATGTATCGACACAAAGAGAGTTTAGATCAAAGTATGATCTATTATAGCAAAGCTATTCGGCTTCTTGCTTCAGATCTCCAGGACCCGAAGTCCGTCTATGAAGCTTCATCTCTGAATAACATTCTGTCTCTCTGCATTTTCGAGGTATGGATACCTTTAGAAGGCAAACGATCAAGCCATTGACTTTACTCTACAGATGATGGCGTCACCTTCGGGGCAGGGACTTATCGGACATCAGTTTGGAATTGAGAGGCTAGTTGAAGCTTGGACACCAGAGAAATTTCGACAGCAACCCGAACAGATGATCCTGGACAATTGTAGGCTGGCCATGTCGTATGTCCATATGGATGTGCGGAAGAGAAGTTTTCTGGAGCAGCCAAAGTGGCTCAATGTACCATGGTCTAAGGAACCTGAATCCAAGACGTTGTTTGCTCGCCTGTGTGATAAAATCTGTCCCTTGCCTGGACTGCTCGAAGACATGGAGAATTTGCGTTTAGGAGGCGATGTTTCGCCGAAACTTCTTCCGTCGCTCTGCGAGAATATCCAGGTTAAAATACACGATCTCTACATTTGGAGAGCTGCTTGGGAGAAAGAAAATGGAGCTTGTTGCGTAACTTTTCAGAGCCGGGATCCTCGCATCCCTTTCTCCGCCCTACTACAATTCAAAACCCTCCAACAAGCTTTCGAGATCAGCCTCTACGATACGATCCTCCTCACTCTCTTCCGAATGGGTCGAGTACTCATGGGACCAAACTTCGCTCCCGTCGCATCAGCTACCACTTCATTATCACGAACGAACATCGCACTTTTACGACCATCCGATTCAAAGACCGTCCAAGACATCGCAAGGGAGATTCTCAGGATAGTCGAGTATGCCATATCAGACCCTCATCAAAGTGCGGGCTGCTTTCAGATGCTGTTTCCGCTGAGAGCAGCTCTTGAGGTCTTTAAGCCTGGCTCCAAGGAATGGGACTATCTCTCAAAATGCTTCGACGATATCGCGGACAAGGGAGGGTTCGAAATGAGTCGTGGGGTTATGCCTTCTGGCCTTTGTGGGAGATTTCTGATGGATGAGTACATTAACACCTGAGATTACAGGATTCTGCCGAATATGTGAGAGACATTTCCCCTATCTAGACTCAATACCCATGGGCTACGGTTCCGTCGATATCGGGCACAAGTTACGAAGTTCCTGGCACTGGTGCGAAAAGGGAAAGAGAGGGCATTCGCCTTGCTCCTTCCCTCGTCACCCTACTTTCAGCATGACGACCAGCAATATCAGATCTTCATGCTTGATAGAACACCCCTTCGTACAATTACATCCATCAACCCAATCCATCGCTTAATTCTTCTCGCACGACGTAACGAGCCCGACAAGAGGCTGGAATTCGAAGGATTCGGGTTATATTGCGCTTGACGACTTCATCGAAGACAAACTTGGATGGCAACATTTCGACATTGATACCCGCTTTCGAAGTGCGAAGGCCGCGTTTGCCCTCTCAATTCAAGTTGCTTCGAGTCCAAGATCAAAAGCTGGCAAGACGGCACAAGTCTGCCGGAAGGCCATCGTAGCTACATTCTCTCCATATCAGGTATCAACTCTCACATCAATATTACAAGTACTGTACAAATTTCCTTTCCACCAAATATAGATTGCCTCTAAGAATTCCTCCAGCTTAACCTTTAAGTCGAACGAGTAGTATCCCACACGAAACAACATCCGAGCCAGCTACATCACTCCTCAAACCCCCCAACTTCAAGACGCCATGTGCAAAGTCCTAATTTTCCACCTCAGCTGCGTCTGTCGCTGCAAACCAGTCGTGGAGCAGCGTTGCAAATATAACTACCACCCGGCTCTACCGATGTCTTCTTGTCCTACGCTGCCGTATCCCACGTTGCAGAATATACCACTACGGCCGGAGATTGTGTATGCGACTTATGGCTGCGAGAAGCAGAACGGGTTCGTCTACCGTCCATTGGAATGGAAGAAAAATGGTTAAGGTACGTTCTGCCGACCTGGTGCATGTATAGTGGGTTGTGGGAGCGAAGGGAGGAAGGAACATTCTTGGAAATGGGAAGGGTCATGGTTGAGCATTGGATGCAGGCTTTTGGGTATACAAGGTGGCAGTGTCAGCCTTCGAGGTTAGTCATATGTTAGAGGCAGAATCGTCGTCGCATTATCTCTCTGTCCCACCGATTTTATTCCCGTGGTAGCAAGCAAACCTTATTTAAATCGTGTCGAAGATGAGAAGTGGGACTTGCGGAACTTCTCTTCTATTCTTTTTTGTTTTCCTTGACAATTATATGTTGACATCGGTGTTCAGGCTTTCATATCATCTTTTTTTCTGCCTTGAATCGCATGCCTGCACATACTTGCTAGAAATGATTTCGATCCTCTCGTTCATATATCTTGAGAAGGCCGAAAGTTCGAAACTTCACTGTCACTTCGTCAAAGACTTTCTCGGGAAGAGCAGGTTTTCGTTCTCCATGAAACTTTGCCAATGAACGTAAACAGAGGCGCGTTCTTATCGAGCTCCTATTGGTGGTTTGTCGGCCACAGGAGATGTGCGGCTGAGCACCGCATCGTCAATTTAGACATCTTTGCTTTCGCACGACTCCTGAGCATCAACAGCCGTTCGGCAAGATCGTTAAGTTGCACGGAAATAATATAAGAGGATGAGACAATATTGAAGCCTATTATTACTGGAGTACTTGTGCCTCCCATCCTTCGACTCAGGCCCCTCCGAGACGTACAGCCTCGCCATGCCGGAGCCGGTGATAACCTTGATCAGTGGATTGGCAACTATCGTTACCAATGTCTGGAAAGTGAGTAAAGATCTTCATGATCTCATAGAGGGTATTCGAAATGCTCCCCAGCATGTTCGAGTCATCATGGATGATGTGCATGGGTTGACAATCGTCTTGGGCGCCCTTCAAGGCCTGCTTCCAAACGTCGATGCAAGCCGGTTTCCTACGGACTTGGTTCCAATATTCGAGAGCTTGCAACTTAATTTAGACAATTGCTTCTCTATTCTTATGGAGCTCTCGAGGAAGCTCATTCGCTACACAAACGCAGCTGGCGAGATAAGCAAGAGCAGATGGATGGCATTCCGATGGCAATTCACTGAGAAAGGCGTCAACGAGTTTCGAAGTCATCTTGCTGCCTATAAGATGACCGTCCAATTGGCAATCTCAACAGCTAACTTGTGAGTCTCCTGATCGTCCCATGCATGGTCATGTCGTGCATGAAAAAAAAAACTCTGACACAACTGAAGCGCAAACACCACTCAAAACATCGATATCAATGCAAGAATTGAAACAGAAATGAAGGAGATGCGCGTGCAAGTCAATGAAATGTCCTTCAATCAAGATCTTCTTGACATAAGTGATGCAGGAGACCATGGTTCCGTCATCACACAGGATACAGATCGGGGATTCGCGCTTCGTCGATTCTTGATGACTACGGAATCAGTCTTTTCAGACTCGCCTCCTGGCTCTCCTGGATCGACGAATGATACAAAACAGTCTGTTTCTTCACAATCAACAACTCTCGAGGGACAGCCTCTAGAAACTAACAGGGACTTAGAAAGTAGCTATAAGAGAAGGAATGATGACTTCGGCAACGTCTCCAGTACCAACTCTGGTGTCTGGAAAACAGGACCTAACATGCCAGAACGGATTGGTTTAGGACGAATCAAGGCCTCGAGTGGATGGAGTTATCAAACTTCGCTTTCCCAAGACAACGCTCGACGAAACCCATTGGAATCACAACATGCTCAATCAAGACCCGATCCTACTTATCAATCCCAGACTTCAGTAGAGCCTCGATTCGTGGACTCAGCTTTCCCGATGTCATCGAAGTTTACCAACAGGGGACCTGATAGCTTAAATTGTCTACCACAGCAGCAGACTGGTCGCTATGGTCGAGGAACAAGTGATCTTGGAAGGGCGTCTCCCGCCCCCTACGGTGAATACTCTAATGAGCCGGTGGCTACCGAACATAGTCCTGAACGATTGCTTGAAGAAACTTCTTCTCTACAGCATCCATCGGAAAGTTGCCTGGGACTCACTAAACCAATTCCATTGAGCAATGAGCACGTTGGGATAGATGACTATGAGCCTGGCAGCAGTCGCGGATCACCAGAGCAAGTCCTCGAAGTACCACAAGCTGCATGTCTCGGCGTTCCTGAAGAACTCTCTAATCCTAGTGATTCCTCGAAATTAGTGACGAAGTTCAGCCGACGGGACCAACTTGGACTCTACAGACGCATCGAAGATTGCATGACTGCACTCTATAGATCACACCTCGGCAAAGAGGGAGAAGCTACCTTCACATATGAGTATGACAACAACGATGCCGAGTCTGATATGTCCAGCTCCGGTCGGCCCCAATACTCAGCACAGTCTTCGAGGAACTCTGAGACACCTCGGGAGCTAAGACCAATACACGCTACACTTTCGCCAGCTAAAGAGAGCGATCCTGCCAGCATTTCAAGTTACGATGAAAGCCCTGCTGGGAACAGCAAAGACCACCATTCATCGATTGAAGAAGATCTTTCCTTGACAGCCAAAAGCAATGTGCCAAATCTGAATGTGGAGGAAGATCGAATACAACACCACGACAACCTGACACTGCTGAGTCACAGGAGACTTCCAGGACGAGAACCCTTCAACCTTAGCTGTTGGCTGCGATTCTAGAGACGACAAATTAACGCTTCCGAGCATGATGATCAGCAAAGGTATTCCATCGATGACAGTTTCGGTGATACAAAAGCAGTACAAGAACGATCAAACACCATAGGATTCAACACTACAATGGGTAGTGAACAAACCAGCAGCTTTCAAGAGCGCATCCATTCAGGCGACGGATTTGCGAAGGCTATGAAACAAGGTACGCATGAACAGCATACGCTACCCGAAGATGGCGACGGTTGCTTCACGGCTATGATGATCGGTGCTAGTAGCTTACAAAGATAATTCTTAGACGACCACAAATTTTTGGATGATATGACTGCTTGAGTACAGCCAAAAAGACAAGAGGGACAGCGTAAAACGAGAGGAATTCTAGTGTTTAATGTATTCAAGTAGTTGCTCCAAGAATCGCGCTAAATATCTCTCTGACCATGCTGAAAGATCGACGAGAATTCAGAGAGGGGTATCTGACTTGAGTAGGAAGTAACATACTAGAGGGGAATACCACGATATCATCTGAACCAATAGTTCTATTCCAATTAGACATCATGATATTATTCATTCAAACATTATATACTACGTCATATATCTAAAGCCAGCCCATATCTTACACCATTTCTACCAGCGCCACCATCAACCATCTATACAAACACAACACTCTTATATACAAACCCACGACCACCACCACTACCACCTCAATAAGTAGCATAACTCATAATAGCCGGCTCGACAAACACCTTTGGCAAATAACTAAAAATATTCAACACCGCCAACGGAGTCAGCGCCTCCGTCGCAATAACATCACTCAAACTCAGTCCCGGCGCAACAAGCGCACCACACTGCCCCTCCACCCGACTAAAGCTTCCCGGCCCCGAATTCTGCAACGCGTCCACCACCAGCGCATACGCGACCGGATTATACAGCACGCCTTCATGCGTATACAACCCGCCCGCCGGCTCAGCCAGACACGCGCCTTGGAGGAACGTATTCGAGACGCCGACATTACGCGCATCGTTCAGGTAGCCCGAAGCGGCGGTCCCCTCCTGCGGCTGCACGATCTCGTCGGTGAGGGAGTAGACGGTGGTGGTGGGCACGTAGGCGGAGTCGCCGCCGTTGCTGCGGAGCTTGGTGACGAAGTTAGAGTTGTAGTCTTGTTGGATGACGGAGGGGACGCATGCGATGCTGTCTCCGGCGGCGAAGCCGGGGCAGAGGATGTAGGCTAGTACGGTGCCGTGGTAGTCGGGGGAGATGGCGATGTGGTCTGTGACGATTTTGGGGACCGAGGGCCAGTATTTGAAGGCCCATTGTGCGTCGAGGGATCCTTGGGACCATGTTACGATGGCGGGTTTCTTGGAGGTGAGGGCGTAGAGGTATTGGAGGGCATAGGAGACGTATTCAGCATTTACTTGGGCATCGGAGAGGAGTTCTTGGGGGATGTTGAGATAGACGGGGTCAGCGAAGCTTTCTTGGGCGAGCAGTTTGCCGATGTTGGTTTCGAAATTGATTCCTCCAGTAGCACCGGTGCCGGGAGACATTAGGACGGGCTGTTTTTTGCCCCAGGTGAAAGTTGATGGGATGTACATTGCAGCTCGGAGTTGTGCTTCCGGGACGTTGAAGGGGGCGTTTCCTATGACGGTGTTGTAGAAAATTTTTAGCAGCGGGACGGGGCGGTTGACATTATTGTAGCTGTTGGTAAATGGCGACTGTGAGAACTATCAGTAAAGCTTCCAGACATTGGGCTATGAGTCAACTTACAGTCCCCGCTGCCACTGCTTGAATATCACTAGACGTGAAACCATCAAGAACCAGAGTCAAAACATTCGCTAAAATGTCCTGTTCAGGAGCTGGCGTTTGGCTAGCACTTGAGACTCCAAAAGCTGCAGCTGCTTTGTTCATCGCATCTTGAACACTAGTTGGCGTAGACGTGGGTTGGACCGCTTGGAAGAGCTTCTGTACGACTGCTGGAGTATCGGTTCCTAGAAGTGTACCATTCTCAATCGCCTCTGTGAGGTTGTTAATGACTGACACAGTATTCCCGAGACTTTCAACTTACGAGTTACAGCGCCTGCAGCGTCGAGGAGATTTCCCAAGTCCGAAATCACTGCAGGTACAGCCGAGGAAAGACTCCCCAGAGTCAGTGTTCCCTCAATTAGACTTCCCAGAAGTCCGGTGATTGGATTTATCTCAACACCTTGTGGAATTGGAGCAGGAATCGGCGCTGGTGCTGGTGCTGCTACGGGATTTGGAAATGGTGCTGGAGCAGCGAGCACCAAAGGTGCTACCACCGCGGCCAGAACGGCGTAGGAATGCATGTTCAAGTTGGGGTGAGACTTGAAAGAGCAAGGGTGATAATAGACAAGAAGGGTATGGAATTACAATATACAATAATACATGAAAAAGCCAAGCCGAGGGTGGGAAGAAATAGAATATATGCTTAATATTGATGTTAAGCATCTGCAGCTCGGATATTTTGTCTTCAGGAACGGACTTTCGTCATTGGGAGAGAAATCTTCGCAGCGGAGAAGATCTGCATGAGGCTCTAGAGGAGCTTCCTCCGATACGCAACGATCGAATGAGCGCTTTTGCTGACAGGTGTCGAGCGAAGTGACTCTCTGACAGAAGATACAGTACTTAGTACTATGATGTGTAGACACGCCGATCCCTCCCTAGAGGATCTTGTTTGCTCTGAGCGCAGAAGAAGGGTATTGTCATCCGGATCAAGGGTCTTTCGAGTCAGTAGCAGTGATCCAATGAAAGCGCCAGTGAGATTGACAGCCGTCGAACTGGACGATTTAGTCGCATCGGAGATAATGATGTAAGAGGTTCTTTTGGGGGGTTCCTGTCCGGTATTAGCTATGAATATAAAGTTTGTGATGATCCCTAGTCATGGACAGAATTATGACAGAGATGTTGATCTTGGCGCAAGAAGTCCGAGCTTAGTTTTCAGCTGTGAAGCTGATTTCAAGACTTTCCTCGGTTGGAAGATAATGTTCTGACTGTCAGCGACCGAGGTGTACACCACATCTCCTCTTGTTGAAGACTTACAACCATGTCAAGTCATCGCCATACAGTATTCCTCAACAAACCATTTCATCCTCAGCCAACACTCAGAACAATTCTCTCTTCCTCGAATCCCACGTCGTCATCACCACCTCCCGATCCACGACCCGACGTCCCGTCAAGCTACTTCGACCCGGTCAATATGATCGCCGCCTAAGACGCTCACGATCCCCAAAGCAGACAGCCGCCGAGACTCTACCTCTTAGCCGCAGCGACCGTTTCCCCATTAGTGACGACATAGCTCGATCGGGACCAACGTCACTCCTTCGAGTTAAATCGATAAATCTGAAAAGGATCAAAAATAAATAACGAATGTGGTTGTGATGAGATGATGAAAAAAGGGGTGCGCAGGGAATGCCAGGGTGTCATTGACTCAGCGAGGTTAGCTTACTTAGCGGATGCCGAGAAATACGGATTGCGTACGCAGTTCTCAGCATCCATCAGGCCTCGTGATTCTCACATCTCCACACCATCATTCTTTTGTATGCCTAGATAGCCCAATATCCAGTCTACCAAGACCTCAATCCGTCTCTCATCTTCCAATGTTCTCGGCAACCACGTGACACGTTAAAACCTTCGGCTCCCGGCTCGTCCCCACCCGTTCGTCCTCCCTCGGAAGGGCCACTACCCAGAAGATCGGACACCAAAGAACCTCGCAAATCGGAAAATCTGTCTCACTCTCGTCGCTGTCTCACTCTGCCGTGTTCCCCTCTCGAATATCTCCGATTCGACCAGAATCCAGATACACAATGCATGAAAAATATTCTGGTGGCAGCGCGTATATGCATGCAGCTGAAAATTTGAGATTGAGAGACATGCATTCAGTTTGGCCCAGATTTCTTGGTTAATTGGCACCCAGAATAAAGGAGGGGGCCTATGACGCAAATTCGAGACCGGCCCACTCAACCCTCCTCGCTCCCTCGCTCCGGACCGAGATCGAGAGATGTGGTTGTCTTGTTTAGTCTCGTCTCGACTCGAAAGGAGAGGGTGTGAAGACTCACGGCGCTACGAACTCGAATAAACATCCACTTCATGTTTAGTCTCGTCTCAAAATATGAGGAGAGTGTCGAGTCGTATCGTTCTCAGACCTTACCACAGAACCGTGGTCCTTTGAGAAGTTTCCGAGACTGCCGCCTGTGTAGCGCATTCGTGTTTTGGCCAAGCCTAACGCCCGAGTAAAACACCATTATTTTGAGGGTGTTGGTCGAAGTGGCGAGAATCCAAGACTACCGTCTTCATTGTTCTAGACTTGATTCTATCATAGAGGGTGTGAAGACTCATAGTATAGAGACATGTTCTACCGCCGTTGACGAAGAAACAGTCTCTCCACTGCAGTCAGTATCGAAATCAAGATTTCCATGTCGAGGATCCCGATGTTTCTCCTTGACTGTTTTCTATGCAGATTTTTGACTTAAATTTGAGGATTCGTGTGTCTTCCTCGTGATCCATCTTGCGATAGGTTTCATGTTGTTGTCTCCACCAAATCTAAATGTTATATAGAAGGACGAGAAGAAAAGAACGGGGTTCTCGGAATTAAGTATTAAGTATAGTAGTAAATGTGTTGTGTAATATAATTCTCCCTCTCCCTCTGACACACATAAATCTCTTGGGTATATCCTCAATTTTCCTCCCTACATATTTTCACCCCCTCTTATCTCAAAAAAAGAAAGAATAAATAATCAAATTGGTATCAACCCACCAACACCCCCAAAAAAATGCCCTTGGTTGCCCCCCTATAAGAAAGAAAAAAAAATGCTAGCTCTCAGATTAAAAGGAGAAGAGATGATTGTTGCCTTTGCTTCATAATCACATCGGGAAAATTAAAAAAAAGTGCATCTCATCGTACAAGGTTGACAAAACGCGAACAGACAGACAGACAGACACAGCGTCTTTGTATTGCGTACATGCCCTCCCCTCTTTGGAATCTTCAGAGCCTAGGCAGCAGCACGAAAAGGAAAAGATATGGAATCAACGACAATCAAAAAACATATGCTACACTCCCCACTCCCAGAAAATGCAGCCCGCTCATAAGCACAAGCACACAGTAGTATCAGCTATAGATTAAATAGAGAGCGGGAAAAAAAAAGGGTGGGTTGCGAACGCCACCTGCCCAGGGACGCTGGAAAACGCCACCCAATGCTCCCAACCAAGAGATGGTTGGGTCTCCTGGGTAAACAAGTATCGAGCGAAAAGACTGGGTGTGAGAGAGAAGGCGTGTGTCGGTTCGAGTCGTTTCGACGAGGGAGCATTATGAAGCTAAGAGCAGTCATGATGACCATGACTTCGTGAAAAGGGGGTGTTGATTGTTGTTGAGGGTGTCGAGGCGCATTTCGAACCAGGAGGCCCCAATATGGAGCATGGGAAAGCTTGCCATCTCGTGGTGTTTTCGGAGATGCGTCGGTGGGAAGATGTTGTGCAGAGGGTGTGCATGTGAGGGTAATACGAGGCGCGACCAGGGTTTTTGTTCGCGCTAATCGACTGGCCGCATGACCAATGATTCTCACAGGACACCCTCAGATATCCGCGCTCGCCAATCACCGCCCGCGCCCGCATTCAGGTTACCCTGTGCTATGTACGCGGCATCTGCTGACTTTGTTGCTGCGATGAAAGACTGCGAGCCAACCTGTTGTCGGCCCCGGAACCTGCGGAGTCTGCAGCGGAGCGTGCACTCGAATAGTTCAAGGCCTGTGGAGGAGCAGAAGTGCCGGCGGCAGTCGCTGGGTTGTTTTCCAGATATGTCGACATGTCCCAGGAGTTGCGACTGCTCGAGTTACTCAGCTGTGGGTGCTGGTATGATTGCGAGGTCTGCATGTGATGCTGGCCTCCCTGCCAGTGGCTTGAAGCCTCGTGGGGGTTGTGGGGCAAGGATACTCGCAGATCAGGAGGACCACTCTGAAGGCCGAGAGACTTCTGGTTGTGAGGCGAGAGTGCTCGTGCAGGGATGCTCGAGGTGTAAGCAGTCGACGTCGTCGAGCCAGAGATAGACCGGGGAGAAACTGCTCCGTGGTGGTCACTAACGTAAGACATGCCAGCCGAAGAGCCTTCAGTGGCATACCCAGTTGAGCTGACTGGCGTCAACAGAGCTGGTGGCAGTGTTGAAGATGGGCTAGCAGACTGGGTGATATTAGCAAGAAATTAATTGACAATAGATGTAGCTTACATATTTGCCAATAATCTTCTTCAACGCCGATGCTAGATCTTTCCAGTGGAACACCTTGACATCCTTCTCGATGTTCCGTGGCTTGGGAGCCGGGAAAGCCATGATGACTTTGAAGAACTCTTCGCTGTCAGATTTCCCTTTCGAGACCGTCAACGGACGGAACCCTTCCAAATTTCTTCGTATCCGGTTCTTTTCTTCCACCGTGAATCGAGCCGCGACTAATTGTTCCAAAAGATAGATCGTATCTACACTGGTCACAAAACACTCTTGCTTCTCTTCCCAGTAGATGCAGCTGATACACGTGCTGTTCGGCGGCCGTTCGTCCACTGAAACGGGCTGAAAGGTCGTTGTGATCGCGCTTCCTGCTTGGGACCGTCTAAAGTGCACAAGCCTTCTCCGGGATTCGAACTCTTCCTCGGACCAATGCTGTGCCATTGCATCAAGATCTCCGTTGATTTCAAGCTTGGCTTTGTGCGGATAGAGCGCATACGCGTTGAAATGCTGACCAGGGTGCCCATGCGGAGTCGTTGCAGGGCTTGGCGTCTGCTGCAGGGTAGAGGTTCTAATCAACGGGGGGTTCGCAGAGATTGCAGGCGATGGAAGTGAAGATAAGGTCGGACGAGGTAAGCCTACGTTTGACGGAACCCCCTCTCCCCTCGACATATTCGAGCCAACAGTGGCATATGAATTCCAATTTCCAACCTGTGGTGATTGGGCCTTGAGAGTTGGTGGAGCAGCCGTGCCAGACGTCGAGTAGCCGTACGCTAGATGTGGTTGATAATTATCAGTTGATCGAGCATATTGATGATTGTCAAGATTTCTGTAGGAATTTGTTGACTGCATGTATGGCGAGTATGTGGAAGATGCATCGCCTGACGCATAGCCGTAACCGCCGCTGTACTCTTCTTTCGGCCTCAATTGTTGGGTTGAGCTCCGTTTGGCTGGACTTTTGATAAGCTCTGCCGAGTCGGTAGATATTTTTCGTTTCCTAGAAATATCTTGCGGAGTGGTATTCCCACTCTGAACCCCGCTGTCTAGGAATGTGAAATCTCCCACGTCAGCCTTCCCCATTACATCTCCGTCTCCACTCTCCATAAACATGCATATCGGTACGGGCGAAGATGGCCATCCAGTTGTTCCAAACTGTGGTGCTTCCGCTGACACGTTGTATTGGTATTGGTTTCCTTGCTGGGCCAACTTCTGTAATGTGGCTGGACATTTTCTGTTTCCAAAAACGAGGAAAAAGGACGGTATGTTCGCGGTCAGGAGTTCGTAGGGAGAGTTGATGTAAACGTAAACTTTTGTATCTCGAGATCCTCGGCTTGGGGTATAAGAGGTCACCTCGGGCATTGGCGTAGATCCGACATTCAGATATGGACCAGCCTGATCCTCATACGTAGGACGCACTTGATTCGAAGGATATGCCATTGTCAGCTGAGCATTTTGGAACACTGGAGCGGTAGTTGACGCAGGCCCTGATGATTGTGACCCAAAGTTTGGGGCGGCGTATTGAAATGTTTCGGGATATGTTCGACTGGAGTCGTAGCCTGATCTGGTCAGTTTATGGTCAAACCACGATCTCGCTCCGAAGTATAAATTTACCATGAAGATGCGGTGGTTGAGCCTTCCCGTAGGCCGACATGGAAAGGAGACCCTTCGGGGAATCCTCTCTAGCCACGAGGGCTCCCTCGTACGCTTCTTCGTGTAAAGCCGCAGTCTCAGGTGAGGCGTAGGAGTCGTCGAGTATTATAGGCCTTTTTGAGTGGTGTTCAGGCTATCACCATGGTAGTCAGTTTGACATCCTAGATGAAGACCCTGTTCTATAGGGTAGAAAGTACTCACTTCAAATAAACTGTACGTAGAGTATGCCAGTTTGGTGGTAGGAAGAAAACTGGGAATATTCCCACGGTAAGAGCGACCGATTGGAGGTAATTTCAGAGGTAATGGTGACTGGTGCAGCTATACAAGAAGTCGAGTGCAATATTCCATGGAAGGTGTATGACAATTAGGGTGATTGAGATGATGAAACTTGTTTATCGAAGAACTCAAGACCTTTCGAGGATAAGTGAAGTTCTTCGTGCGAAAGCAAGAATCACAGTCGTTGATCTTCTTTGGAATATTACGCTCGAGGGTTTAGTCTTCTGTCCGTCGATGAACTAAAAGAGTTACCGAGAGTTGAAAGTCGAATTCGGGTTGATGCCGTTTTTGCAGTATTCTTTTAGTGGAACTGGCCTCCGGATATACTAGCTAACGAACAAGCTGCCGTTCCCTAGTATGAGTCGAGTTTCGGGTAGGTGAAACTAGAGTATAAAGTAGTGGTCCTAGATACTAGAAACGGGTCAGCCGGAGCTGCTCAAATATTGGTTCAAGGAGGGGTGCAGGCCGCTTGGCTGCATCCAGGCGGAGGTGAGTTGAAGCACATACGAGGAGAGACAAAGACTTGATGCTGTTGATCTTCCAGAGGATTGACTGGATGTTCAGAGGTTATGCAGCCACCCGAGAGACGAACCTGTTCGCAGGAGAAAGGTTAGAAGAAGTTCATGCCGTCATGGTCATGCTTATGGAAGCAAGTGACATTTAGTAAAGTCGATGGGTATGGGTGTAAACGGCAGTCGTCCGCATCGCTGTTGGACCCAGAGGGGTGGGCGCGACAAGGTAAGTGAAGTGGTAAGGAGGTGCCCCGGACAAGATATGCGCACAGATGACTTTTAAGGTGCAAGGATGCAAGGGATGATGAATAATGGAAAAAGAACAAGCGCACATACGATGGTGGGGTCGGAAAGCACTCAACAACTCGCGCTTTTCAGTCGCAGTGCTGGGGCAAACGAGCAGCAGACAGAGCTGGCGCCAAGAGCAAGTTCCTCCACTCAGGTTCCTTACTCGTGGAAGGCGGCTTGATTGTATCTGGTCACACCAAGCGACAGTCGTAGCCCGTCGCGCCTCCGAAGGGCTGGGAAAAATGCCACTCTTTCGAAAGACGAGACCAAGTTGCGATCCAAACTCAAGTCCTCTCAACGTCTGTCTGATCTGACCAAGTATTCTGCGGTAGTTGGGGCGAGTGGGTTATATGTATGTCTGGGATGAAGCTTCGGTAAACAGGATTCGGAGTTGATCTGGTCGAAAAGGGTGTGGCTGCTTTTTATGGGCGATCTGGGACTGGACGGCAGGTATTCTCTTCCGGGCGTATGAGCTTAGGCGGCCGTCACTTTTTGTATGCCTCGTTGCGAAGATCTCGTAGGAATGGAAGTGTGAAGAAGGATTGGGAGAGATGCTTTCGGTCGTCGAGTAGCCCAGACGGTATGGGGAGTGTGAAGGGCGGCACGTATAATATGTGGGATCGATATGAAGTCAACATCGGATATGACCACTTATTCGGGCTTGTTCGAGTGCTCACAGCAGAAAAAGCTTTTCTCATCAGAAGAAAAGAAAAGGCGCGTTCTGGAAGGCGCACAATGCGAGGAAGAAGGAAGCATCAGAGGTTGGCGGGTGTTCCAAATGTCGGTATGGCTTGAGGAGAAAGCCGACTTGAATGAATGATGTGTGACTATGCCATTTCTGAAGAACGGTACTCCAGTCTCTCGATGTGGGCGTCTAGCTTAGTCGAGTTGGTCTGGGGTTCGTTGTGTCAGAGGTAGGAGAAATATTAGTGTGTATTCGAGGACTGTCTTTTTCTTCGAATTCGAGTCCTGATGACTTCGGCGACCTGCTGCAGCTAGTCCAGCACAGGAATGGCAGTGATGAGTGATGGGCGGGGGGTTTGCCTCGTGGTGGCAGGTCGTGGTGGTAGGCGGTCAACGTGGAGTGAAGGGGGAAAACAATCATCAGCTACTGGTACTAGCTCGAGTTGATGTGAGGAGAGTGTGGTGGTGGGGGGAAAGCTTCTTCGTTCATTTACCACACCCTTTGAATTTTCTCCTAGAGGCAATTTACTGCCAGCCTGCAAAGCCACACGTACGAGCAGGAGCACGCCTCCTTTTGTCGTTGCTGTCGGTGGTGGAGGTAGACGTTCTAGTGTCTTCAGCTTGGTTGTCGTAAGGTAGGCAACGCAGCGGTGGGCTCCAAGGCGGTACAAAGCTGTGTGTGGGAGCTTCTAGGGGTGTATAACGCAACAGGCGGAGGCGGTATCATCTGTCCACAGCAGCTGTCTCGTCAGAAGAGCTTGAACCTTTCCGCGCTGCCTGAAGAGGAGAGAAAGGACAGGACAGGTGCTGAGCTCTGAGCTCTGAGCTCTTCCTCGCTCTCCTCATCATTTCCTCTTTCCTCTGCTCAGGAAATTTCCCAGGAAATTTTTTCGGCGCAGGGTTACGGGCAGAGCTTCATTGGACAGGGAGAACCTGACAGGGTCATGATGCTCTAGGATGCAGGGTTGTAGGCGCAGGCCTCCGGGATGCTGAGAGCAGAAACAGTTCGGGGTGCTCGCTAGAAGCTAGGCTAGGCGGGCCAGGGTAGCTTTCGGGATGTTTTAGTGAACGCTGACAGCCTAAAGGGCACCAGAAGCTCGCTAGCCGTCGCTCCACAGTGTGCAGTCCATCAACAGTCCCCAGTCCATCGCTCTTTCGGCTCATGCACGCAGCAAAAATAGAAAAGAAATACAGTAAGTAGCCCTTGGCCCTGCTCGGGGTTAGACAGCCCTGTACGCCAGCCCATGTCCACCCATCCCAGTCCATGCAGACCGACATGCTTACGGGGGACGGAGCAGACGCCTCTGGAGCTTCTCCTTGGAGACTCAGCAGGGCGCCGTCACCAATCCCATCGTCAAGCTTTGCTCCACCTTGGTGAATGATGTCCAACCCGTAGAAAGTTTTTGATATGCCACAAGCCTTCTCGTGAGAATTTGCATGCCTCTGGCTTAACAGCGGCCAGCTATTGCATTGCTGCTGCGTCGTTGCTCCTTTTCCATTCCATTGCGTGCATGCAGCATATGCACCGCAAATCATCAAATTAATCCTGCCTCACTGGTGACCAGCAGTCACAGAGTCGAGCCAAACACAGTAGTCTTATGCAGCTACCCTTCGCAATCCACTCACTCGGAGCCGGCGGACAGAAGTCACCATCCAACGTCACTCTGTGCGATGCGGCGAGCGTGACCACGACTTCTGCACTACGATCCGATCCCATAGCTTGGCAGGCTGGTTTTCAGAGCCTGTCCCAGTCCACTGTAGGTGCCGGTTTGAGTTGATCGACCCGGCACTTGCGACTCTATCTCACGTCCACCACTCAGGCCAAACGTGACATGGCATTTAACCACCAGTGTCACCAAATCTCATCTCATCTCATCTCATCTTAATCCCATCTCACCCATATCTGGTTCGTCCGCACAAACCAAACCAGACGAAACCAGAATTCGCTGCTATGGGGAAGTAATATGGGCGGCAGTCCCGTCGTCACCAAAATCCGTTGCGCAATACGAGTCAATCATCATCAGCTCCTCGGTTGCCCTCGTCAGTCAGTCTCGTCCAAACGCTCCTCGACCTGCCTCCTCACGGGATCAAATTCGGGCCAGCGCGGGATCAGCCAGGCATATGGAAATTAATCGCCAGTCCAATAGTATGAAATATTTGTCAAGCATTTGCAGGTGCTGATCGCGGTCCGCTAGCCACCGCCGAGAATCCTAAAGGGGAACGCAGCTTGTCCACCAATATTGCGAGATTGAATTTTGCTCAACGCCTGCGATGGTGGAGAGGTGGAAAAGGTCGAAAGAGGTCGGTGGTGGCCGCAGGTGTGGTGGGCGTCGATGGTGTTGCAGCACAACGAATCACGACGGGAGACATGCAGGCAGTGATCGACGCCTGGGTGCTCGGGAGTGTCAGGTCATTCTCACCTCACATTACTGGCCAGATGCACTAACAAGGAGCCCCGTACCGCCACTGGACAGGGCTTCTCGGCCACGCTCCCGAGAGCAGCAGCCTGACCCCCTTTTCACTAGCAGACTACGACCGAAGCAGTTGATTGATTTCCAGAAGGGCAGAAGGGCAGCACGCAGCCTGGGGCGGCACTTTCACCGCTGTTGTGCTCTCCGATCTCTGTCTCTGCTCTCTTTCGTCCTTTTGCTGCTGGCACTTCTCATCTTGCATTCGGCCTGGAGGTCCCTGCATTGCGTCGCATCACATCTCGAGCAGCCCGCATCGCATCTTTGCATCTGGCAGACGGCACTAGTCCAGCGACTGGAAGGCGAGGCGCGGCCACAGCAGTTCGTCACCGCCAGGGTGCGCGACGCTGCTTTCGATCATCATGCTGCTCGCTGCATCTTCGTCATTGGTCCTGGATCTTCTGGCACGCAGGGGTTATCGTGAGCTTCGACTTGTCATGGATCCAGCCCAGCAATGCCGATGAAGAACGAACGAACGGCCTGGAGCCGGAGATAGCGCGCTTTTCCTCTCCTCCTGCCACGCGACGAGGGGTACGCTTATCTTTGGATGGTATAGCTGCGAGCGATTGTCATACAGAAAGGTGAGACGTTTCCTTCTCCTCGCTGCAACCCGTTCGTTCAGGGTCCGCAGCAAGAAAGATCCTCGCTGCGGGAGAATGGTGGCTGAGAATCTTGGGAGAGATCACCCCAGCCGAGTCCGTGGTGCATCTGTCAGCTGAATGCAATGCACAGATGCGCGAATGGGCGCAATGAACGAGAGCAAGATGGCTTTCAATGTCAAGCCACTAGACGCGTATTTCAAGGAAGATCAATGCAGGCACAAACCGGGTTGCCGATTCTTGTTGCTGTACTGCACATCGCATCGAACGTTGATGATAGGAAGAGGAAGTCAAAATATGTTTAGCGCTAGGACTGGAACGCTACTTCCTATTGGGCTAAGCTGCTTTTAGCGCCGTTGCACGATTTCCTTCCTCGAATGGTATCAAGTTTGCAGCAAAGGTACGATTCCAAACCCCAGCTATACATGACCAAGTCTTCTTCTTTCCTGCATTGTTGCCCAATATCAGGTTCTATTTTCAACATCGTCTTGAGTTGCCTTGACACATGAGCTGATCGACGCTAAACACCTAGTATAAACAATGTCCCAGATCTTAAACTTTCTTTTCTTTGTTCCCGCATCTCAACACCTCCTCTTTTCTTTCTTTTCTTCAATCCCAGGAGCGACGATCCAGGGGAAGATCTGCCAAGCTTAACCTTATTCGAAGGCTGATCACTGAGGTGATACCTACTCCGTACGAGGAAGGATGACCCGTGGCCGCGACCTCTTGAATTGCATTTGCTCTCCACGCACCATTCATCTGGTCGAACGCTGATCATCCGTTCATTCAGTGCGTAATAAATTCGAGTATCACGACATTCAGTTCGTTGCACGATGCAAGGTCCCTTTTCTCGCCGACCTTTCCTAGGTAGACCAAGAGCACGAAGATCATCAATTGATCACAGCAGAATTAAAGTTACGATCGTCCGAGATCCACTGACTTACTCACTTGCGTGACACTGCGGGAATCTCACCCTACGAATGGACGCCGTCCACCGTTGGGACATGTCAGATCGAGTTGTGGTAGCACAAAGTCCTCGAGCCCTTGTGCTTTCCCACTTCTTCTCGATTCCTAAGACTGAAATATGCCTTCAGCAACCAGCGTCAAGACTTCTGAGCTAACAGAATTGCTTGAACCTTCAAGGGCCCTTTCACCCGCGTCGTCGAATAAATGAAGCTGTCCTCCTACGGCCGTATATCTTCCACTGGATTCGGCACATCCCGATGTCGGGTGCGGTAGTCAGCCTTCATGGCTTTTCTTATATGTCACTGCAACCGTATCCGATCAAGTGCGTCGGTTAGGGATAGGTATCGTACGATTCGAGGGGCGAGGGCGAAGTTGCTTTTTATTTCAATCAGTTTAGTTTATTTTATCCCCTGAATTGACAAACTAGATCCTTGTCCTCAATCACGGCACAACAGCGAACGACCAAATCGTTGGGACCGTTCGTAATTGACGTGCTGCAACTGGCCGACATTGGATACCTGGAGAACGGGAGCGATCTCCCGTCCACCATCGCAACGCCATCGTTGAACTCCTGCATGACATCTCAAACATCCTTATCAGAAGACATATTCAGCTTAACATGGGACAGGCATCGGTAACTGGACATCCCATCCAGGATTGTGTCTCTCAAAAGCAATGAACGGATAGCCTGTGTAAAATTTCACAAGCATGAGCCACGTGCCAGCACCCTCGCATTATGCACGTTGTGCTATTTAGCGGTGAGAATGCCGCCCTCCTCTCTTGGACGCCACATGGCTTCCTTCAAATCACATCACCGTGGCGTATTCAGTTGAGAAACAGAGGCGTCTTTCTCTCGTAAATCAACCATTGCCTGCAGGACGCTCTCTCCGGGATCAGTCAATATCCATCATCAATGGCTGATGGCTGATGGCTGATTTTACCTTGAGACAATGTTCAAAGAGGACAATTTGTCCCTCGTCCGCCGTTGCCAAGGATCCTCAAAGGTCTCATGCAAGTCTTCTAGAAAAGTGACAGCGGCATCTTCCATCGCGCGAAGAATATATCTTACTACTTACTGGTGCGTGGGGGAGAATTCTGTCTACGTGATGACCAGCCATGCTGGTATTGTGCTTGATCGAAGCTAACGATGACATGCAGAAATCGACAACCATTTCCGCGGGTCCAGATTGTGAAACCTCTCGAGATCTAGTCCCACGTGTTAAGGCTGCATCTACACGGCACGGCCCCTGACGAGGTAAATAGCTTACTCCCCTTCTCTATATGTCCGTGTATTAAGATCTTCCTCTTCATATCATTCGAGCATTTCCAATCAAGGTTAATTTCAAGTCTTTGTTTTTTTCTTGCCTCGTCTCATCTTTCATTTCCTCTCGTCTCAGACACCATTTTACTCTCGCATTCGCTTCCTTTTCCATCATACTTCTATGCACCATCACTAATCACCCTCTACATCTGAATCGAACTTGATCCACCGCCTCGAACACCCGCAGAACCTTCTCGAAGGCAGGTAAGGTACGGAACTTACCCTCGATCACTGAATCAATCTCTTATCTGAAAGAGATCCCATTACCTCACCTATCCGGGTACCTGGTACACATCTCGAATTTCCTAATCCAGACAGACAGAACGGACGGATGTACCCGTGAGCTCCATCTCATCTTCCATGATCCAAGATCTCACCGCAAGTTCGCGTGAGTCGGTTCCTGAAATGAGACCCTTTGGGTTGCCCTGCATTTATGCGCTGAAGATATTGCTTCGGATGCAAAGCAGTACCTGCGGATGTACCTCTCTCAAGTGAGAACTGGATTCGTGTTCAGGATTGTTTGTACACGTGTCGATGAACGTATCTCTGTCTACAGAACAAAGTTGCGAGCTCACAGGTCTCCTAGTATCGTGGGGGACACGAAGATTCAAACCATGCATATCACAAGCACTGCGTCGAAGTCACGACATTAGCACTGCAACGATCTCATGCTGGAACCAGTTTCCTGCAGATGCATATTCATTGAGTCCTTTTTGGGAGACGTTCTCGAAGCAAGCTTCGAAGTTCAAGCTGCATAATCTTAATACCATTCAGGACTCAAAGTAGATGAATTGCTGGCTTGACCCACCTGTATTTTGATGAATGAGAGTGACTTGGCCAAACATGTTTTCGAGAAGTTCTCAGTTGATAGTTTTTCTGGTTCTTCCCCTCTCTTCAACGCAATGAGCTTCTTTGTTGTGGCGGTTCATGCAAGCGTGCGACATTGTTAGAAATCCCTCTGAAGCGAAGTGTCGTGCTCGGTCAAGGGATTTGTGGAAGCTGATCAGTCCACAAGTACGAATTGCTTATAAGCAGAGATAACTTAAGTCAAATAGCTTTAGCTCATTAGATTTCTCAAGTACAGCTTCATCAAGAGTATTTTCAAGCATGAGGGAGCAAGAGGAAACACGGTTCACCTTGACACTCGTGAACCTTTGCTTGAACTTCAAATTTACTTTCCTCTCGTTCCTTTTCCTCCTCTACCTCTTGTGTAATCCAGAAAGATCTTGGCAAAGGACCTACCTACCAACCTAACTCTCACCAACACCGTGAGAAAGGGCGGCTTTCTCTCCCCCTAGATCCAAACTAATTATATGCTCTCCGTCGTTGTTTTGCAAAACTTCAAAATCCACAATGAATTAATGATAAATATGGCCCAGTGTCCTACAACAGCTGAACAAAATATATTCATCTGTACGCAATGATCGTCGCATTATCGACAGTGCTCTTTGCCATTTCTTCTGGCCATAACGAGCAAGATGTTAGGCTTCGACAAGCACCCATCAATAATTTTGGGGTTTGAGTTTGTCTTCATGGCCGTGATTAAGCTGCGAAGTACACGCAAAGAATGTTTCTCTGGCTACCTACGGAATATCCATCTAATGAAATAGACGTCCACATTCTTACCAGAATGTTCAGGATAAACGTCATAGATACAGCAGGAACTTAGGACACAAAAGTAGCACGTATGATAGTATGATAGTGTGAAGGGCAAAAAGCATTAAATTATCACAAAATTAAGGCCAACCCTTCCCAAAGGCCATTTTTCTTTTAGCATGCTAACTACACTGATTGCTACTATTGTGTTCTAGCACTAGCTCTCTAGCTGTACCAACTTGTTGAATGCACTAGCTCTCGGAGTGCACCAGCTCTCTGAATGCACCGGCTCATAGCACCGCATGGCTACATGCCTAGAAAGTGATGCAAAAAGAAGAGGATTTTGTTTAAAGAGAAGTTTTCACTTTAATAGAAAAAGAAAATAGAGCTGCCTTAGCTTTATGAGAACATCTATATATAGAGCAAGGGGCGGGAGTGCTCGGGTAGAGCTGTGGACACTCTTATTTCTTGAAAACCGAGCACCCGAGCACTCCTTGATTAGATTAGAGTAGCTTAGCCCCTGAGAATCATAATGTTCTGCTTTTCCCACTTCTCTTTTTTTTCATTCTCTATCACTTTTGCTATACTTAGAATTGGTGTATTTAGAGAGCTAGTGTATTCAGAGAGTTGGTGCATTTAGAGAGCTGGCGGAGCTAGTGTATTGAGTGCAAGAGCTCAGGGATGGTGCAATTGGTAATTTCATAGCAATTCAAGCTTTTTCTGCACTTTAAACACTTCAGACTTATTATACTATTATGCATGAGACTTTCATGTCCCAAGTTGCTGCCGTACATAAAATATATAAGTAATTCGATTTGCGATACAAAGAAGTTGAAAGAACAACATGGACGCGTGCACGTTGGTTGACATTTACGACTGACCGCAATATTTAAAGTTAAGAATATAAGTAGCTGTTGTGAAAATGAGTCAATTTGACTTTGATTATAATAATATTTAAAAAAAAAGAAAAGTTGTTTACAAAGAAGTATTCAGTTGAAAGTTACACTTGCTCCGGCGTCCGGACGGAGAGGAGAGGAGGAGGTAGAAGTGGAATCGTACGGGGAAAGAGATTGTTTTATTTCTAATGCCAGGAGCTGAGCCTTTATACTTGCGATAAGGCCTAATGTGGAGTAGTGTTCCAGTCCGTACCCACCATTCTTCTAGACATCCTTCTTCTTCACTCATACCATTACGCCAGAGCCTCAAATCTCCTCATATTGGTGGAATGGGTCCCGATGCAATGGGTCTTCGAGGTACTTTTTCAAAACCTCCAGTGCATGTTTATCCTTTCTCTTCTCGGACTTGGGACCATTCAGCGACCAGCCAACCGATACCGTGCCACTGGTCGCCTCTCCTTCCTTCGCACAAGAACCAAAGTCGATGATAACCGCCGTATCGTCCTCCCGCAACATAATGTTCGAAGGGGCGATATCGTTGTGTGCAAGCCCAAGTGAGTGAAGGTAGCGCAGCCCAGCGGAAACTTCTTCATAGACTTTCACTCCATCGATCGGCCTGGTCTCGTCTTCGATCCGCGCACCCAAGGTCTCGGGGAGCTTGGGAAGAGCCAATGCGACAATACGTCCGTCTCGTACAACGCAGCCCTTATACTGGAGGATATGAGGGTGAGGCAAGTCCCGGAATGACTCGTAGATCCTGGCTTCGACAAGCAATGCTTGAGAAATTTCGCTTGGAGGCTCTTCCGTAAGATCCTTTACAGGCATATAGGTATGCAATGGAGGATACTTCAAGAAGCAACTGTCCAACTCGTTGTCGTTCGCTTGGAGGAAGTTTTCGGGATACTTTGCGTAGACGGTAGATTTCGGAATAGCTTTGAGGAACGGTCGAAGAGTGTTTTGCTCCACATCGTCGACAATGTTTTGACAATCGGTTGTTTGCGTGCGACCAGGGAAGCATTTCTCAACAACAATGCCATGAAAGGGCTGCCAGTCATGGTCGATTGCGTAAACCACCGTATGCACGTATAATGAGAGCGGCTCAGTCCAAAGCTGGATGGTCTTGAATTCTCGGAAAGCGGCAGCCATGACGACTGGAGCGGGAGCACGAGAAGCTCGAGTTTGAGATTCAGGCGCTGCTGATTTGTTGATGCCGCCGGAGCGCGTGACGCGAGCTGCGGGAGATGCGGCTTCCTTGGAGGGTTTGACTTTCTTTGGAGAATCTGCTTTGGCTTTACGTGGTGACATTGTAATGAATGGATGTGTTGAAGAATGGTTCGTTGATACCGAAAAAAAAACAACGAATTTTCCAGTTGCGAAAATGAAGGAATGATGCGGTGGATTCCAGAAGTTTACTTTCTTTTATAAAAGATCAAAAGGCACTAAACGTGAGGACACTCGTGCCATTAAGTGCGCTAATATGTGTTGGTACGGGACTGGAACTCGAAGATGCAGTGCGAAGGAAAGATTAGGTATGCTGGACTCGCTTGACGATAGCGCCCAAGTACTCCATTCCACATTCTATACAGGAATGTGACCACAAATTTGCATCTTACTAAGACTTGTTACTGGGAATAATGGTAAGTTCCTCACTTCCGGCCATGGTTTTCTACCGGCAAGCAGGACTCGTAGACTCGGACAAAACTGGAAGTGTGAATGAAAGCATCCCATACTGACACTCAGTGCGCTTTTTTCGGGCGGTAGTTGGTTCAACAGAAAGTTACTTTCATCACTTATGTGGATGACTTCTAACTTTTACACAACAAGAATAACGACATCCCAATTCCCAAGTCTCAAGTTTACGAAGCAAGTTCCAAGTTTGGCCCAGCGTCGGCTATGACTCCCCCATCAGTTCCTTTGATAACAGAGATGTTTGCCTGAGCCCCAATGAGATAAGAAGTGTGAGAAGTCGAGTGAGATAATAATTCGAAGTCAAACAGAAAAATCTAGATATGCCCATCATATTAATAGCACATATAGCGCGGACAGCGCGTTTTGCGCATATGGCGGGAGAGGACGAGCACTCAGTGAGTTTCTGCGTGGCTGCTAAGGTTATCTATCAAGACGATTCCTGATGATATCCGAACATGACAATATTCAGCATTGACATTCCTCATCTCCTCACTCCTGACTCCTTCTTCGCTCGGCTCCTCTCCACCCCCTGTAACTCGGCTAATCCAAGTGGATCCCCACAAAGCGCTATGTACAAACGCAAACTTTTCTACTCCCTTCATTCTTTTAAATATGGAAAGTTCACGTCATCCAATCATTGGAAACAGCGTTTGTGGTTTAGTGGTAAAATCCATCGGTATGTTCTTCCGCTTGAAAGCAAAATTAAACACCTTCTAATTTCAAGCAGTTGCCAAAGGATTCTGTCCTCCAAGCGTCGATGGGCCCCGGGTTCGATTCCCGGCGAACGCAAAGATCTCTTTTTGAAATATTTTTTGGAGCACGTTGATAGAAGTGAGAGATGCTTTTGTAAACAACGTAACTTAGAAAATATTCTTTCTTTATCTGTTGATGTGCTTTTCCTGGTGTTGAGCTTTTTTTATATTAGCCGAAAACGCCGAAGCTAGTGTTTTAGTATCGAGAAAACAAAGCACAATGATGTTAGTCATCGTCTTCTGAGAGGAAAAGAAGCACATGAGCTAGCAATTCTCTTTTGTATTTTTAACTTCTTGAGCATGTATCAATCGTGGAAGCGAGCGCACAACCCATCAGTACTTCACGTGATTCAACATTGCTCTCTCAGCCTATCACTTTTCCTGGCATCATAATACGTTAATGTCTGACATCAACTAAAACCTCAGCAGGCAGCTCCCCCATATCCTCAATGTCCTTAAAAACACCAATCAAAATCTCAACGCCCTTCAGTAACTCCTCCTTACTGATCGTCAACGGAGGACAGATCCGAATCCTCTTCAGCCCGGCAGCACTCGCTAGTACCCCTCTTTGCGCTAATAACGACACGATCCGTCTTGGGGTAACCTTTGGAGGCTTGTCATCGAGGACTAGAGCATAGAAGAGGCCGTGGCCTGTGATTTCTTTCACGTGGGGAAGGTCGGCCGCCGAGAGCGTGGAGACGAGGAGAGCACCCATTTCGTTTGCTCGTGAGGACAGTTGCTCATCGACGAGTACGTCGAGTGCTGCGATTGCGGCTGAACATCCTACAGGGTTGGCAGCCATTGTTGAGCCGATTCTTTTCAAGTCAGTTGGAGACGAGTACAGAGCTTTGTGGAGTACTTACTCGAAAGGATCGATCAGACTCATGGTATTGTCGTCTCCAAGGACTCCGGAGAGTGCATACATTCCTGTCAAAATCGTCAAGTACTGGTAACGTGAGCATGGTCTTTAACATACCTCCCGCCAATGCTTTTCCAAGAACCACTAAATCAGGACGAACGCCTTCTCTCAAGTGACAAAGATCTGCTCCTGTACGACCAAGTCCTGTCTGTACTTCATCGCAAACGAATAGTACATTATGCTTCTTACACAGCTCTGCTACCTCTTTTAAGTATCCCTTTGGTGGAACGATGATCCTATACGTCTCCAGTCAGCTCCAGCATTCATGCATGTTCAAATAGGCACCAACCCCGCAGAGCCCTGAATCGGCTCAATCATAAACGCAGCAATCCTCTCGCCATCAAGTTCAAGAGCCTCCCTCAAATCATTAATCATCCCAAACGCTACCACCTTCCCAGACGGAGACGTGGACCCAACACTTGGCACAAATGGGCCAAACACTTTTCAAATCAACAATCACTTTCGATCAGTATATGAACAAGAACTTACAATGACTCTTTTTACTCGCCAACGAAACAGTCGAGATCGTGACCCCATGATAACAAGCCGCCGCCGTCAAAATATGACACTTCCCCTCGGGAATCTTCTTCGTCAAATACCCCCACTTCCTAGCGATCTTCACCGCAGCATCAGCTGCTTCGGCACCGCTTGTCATTGCGACGAATTTATCGTATCCAAACATCTATCTCATCCCAAATCAACTCTTCCCTCCCCTCTCACATGAAGTGAAGTGACCAACCTGATGTAACTTCTCTGCTAATTGACCGTAGTAAGGACTATGGAAGGGCAGATTTATCACAGCACCTTCCGACATGGCTTTTATTGCCGCAGCGAGGATTTTAGGGTGATTGTGTCCCATGTTAACAACGGAGTACATCGAGAGGAAGTCGATGTATTGTTTTTCGTCGATGTCCCATGCTTGAGAGCCCAGGACTCGGGTCAGTGCTACCTGATATATGTTAGACTACGAAACCCAGAAGTATAAAGTACAGAAAGAAACTTCGTACTGGATATGGAGCAAATCCCCCTGCCACGTATTTTCTGTAGTCATCTACGACTTCTTGAGTCTTGGCGGAAATTGTGTAGGGACTTTTGGAGGATGTCATGACGTCTGGTTTTCTATTTGGATTACAAAGTTTCCAGAAAAAGAAGATGCGCGCTCAATGACTTGTGTTTCAAGTTATATAAGTATAGCTTATCTGAGTCCTCTCCCACTCTTGGTGCAGTCTATCACGTGCTTTCTTTTGTGAAGAAGGAGTACACGACGCTCAGAATGTGGCGTTGATCAGAAGAGTTTTATTGCTCTTACGTAATAAATTTTATCATAGCATCTTGCGTTTGAAGATTCGTAGACTGCCATCTACAATTTCGAAGGCGGAGCAGGTTTCGCTAGACTATCTAGAATTTCATTCTTCTCACTCGTCAATCTTTCCATACTCGGCTTGAATAGCTTTGGGATCCCAGTATCTTCGAATTTCTCCCCTTTCAGCATCTCAGCTACTCCTTTCGAAGCAAGACATATCAACGGCATTCCGTGACCCGAAAAGCCGGCAAGGATAAGTTGCCCTGGCTTATTTGGGACTTCTCCAACGTAAGGCATGAAATCTGAACTCCAACCCATGACTGTATATAGTCAGTACCTATCACGAACAAGAGCACGAGACATTAAACTTACTTCCTGTCCAGACCCTATCAGTAACAGCACCACTATCCGCCCACCCCTTGAAATGTCTCTGCATCAGCCCATCAAAATAACTCTTCGCCGGCTCTATCAATTTACTATCATCCGTATTCCCATACCAATACTTCCTCTCATGCCAGAACTCCTGCTTCGCGCCTCCAACAACAATACTCCCATCCGCTCTCGGAATCAGATAATCATACAGAGAAGGTCCATAACGGATACTATACGTATACGGCAAGAACGGAGAATCCTTCCCAGCCGGTGTAACGATCCTGCTACAAATACCCCTTACCGGAACGATTTTATGCGCAAATTGAGGCGCGATACCTGCTGTGTATCCATTTGAAGCAAAGACCACTTTCCGCGCTCTGATGGATCCTCGAGGGGTAGTGACTGTCCAGGTTCCGTCCGAGTTGGGAGTTTCGGATACTGATATCACGGGAGTCGTGGTTTGGAGATTGACGCCCTTCTTGACGATCAGGGAGAGAAGATGCATGACTAGCTTGTAAGGCCATACATGTGCTGCTGTGAATGAGAAACATGCTTTTGCTCCTTTTACCCCTGACAACTATTTTCTTTAGATTCTTACTCCAAAATTAAGATATGGAGGAGACGAACACTCTCAGCATTCTCACCAGTCACGAATTGCACATCGCTCAAAGTCGCAAGACCAGTCTTTTGAAGTTCTCTATATGAAGCTTCCGTCTGCTTCGCGTGCGCGGGATCAAGATACACGTCCACAGCTCGCGTGAGATGGTAGTCACAATCAATACCTTCTTTCTCTACCAGATCCTTGACTGCTAGAACATTTGCTGCTTCGAACTTTGCAAACTCGGCTGCGTTTTCGGGGCCGTATTTTTGGGAATACCGAAGGATGTTGAAGTAGAGGTCCGGTTTGATGTGTCCTCCTACAAATTGTCAGATTTCTCCTTTCTGAGAACATGGAAGGGTATTACCGTTGCGACCTGTTGCGCCGGAACATGCTTCCCGAGCTTCTAAGACGACGACTGATGGTGGTGAGGGATTGTTGTCGAGGAGATGATATGCTGTGGTTACGCTAGAGTATCCGGCTCCGATAATTAGGACGTCACATTCTGTGGGAAGGTCTTTTGTTGATCTGTGATTGTCTAATTCATGCAATTGTGTCCTCCAGAATGGAAGCGTTGCATCTGGAACGGGAAATGGATCTTCGAGATGCGTCATGTTTGCAGACTGTGATTTTCTTGAATGATGCTCATGGAGGGATGGCATACAAAGCTCTGGCTCGGCCTAGCTTATCGCTTCACTCCGCATTGAGAGCTGTCAATAGTGCTACGTCCCATAATCGCATGGAATGCGCTGATACCCGATCATTGACCCACTCCGATACACTTCTACAGCTCGAGACGTGCTGTGGAAGTGTCCATGAAAGGTGGGATCGTCACGTGAGAGCGCGTTCAGATTCGAAAGTGGGATAAACTGAGCCTCGCAATGTCAAAGAGTCTTTTGTGTGGCCAAGATCTTGATGGCATAACACTCTTTCTTTTTTGGATTGATTTACTGTTTAAAAGAAGGGTTGAACCTCATAAGTCATCCTCGCTTCGGCCCCTAACCCCTTTTCGCTTCGCCAGTCTCACGTAACGAGACACTGTTTTCCAGAAACCCTCTCATGACCAGCTTCATGCTTCCTCTCTGCCGGTTTTTTTTATAACACTCATGTTGACGCTGCAATGATCTTATCTGCCATTTCCGGTAATGAATCTGCCGTCACATCCATGTCGCCGAAGATGTCCACACATTGCTCCTTCTCCCAAACTGAACACCAAGCAGCTCGAAACCTACAGGTCGATTAGCACTAAAATCCATGTAGAGAACTCTGAGCATGGTCTTACCCATTTCTTCTCGCAGCTCCAGCATCCCAGGTATGAGCAGCTGCAAACCAAGGTTTTTCCGCACCCTCGAACTTCTTCAGCACCTCTGCATATACACTTGGATCCGGCTTCCCAACACCAAGGGAATCACAACTCGTAAAGTTCTCCGCCGGCATATCCACACCATTCCTCTCAAAGTATCCTCTGACTCTGCTCGTGTCCCCGGAAGTCAAAGCCCAGACCTTGAATCCCGCACCTCTCAACTTCTCAAAACACTCCTTCAATCCAGGTCTCGCATCAAGCTTCTTATACGCCTCAACCATGTACAAACTATCCTCGTCTGTGGCGAATTTCCTCGGTTCTTCGATCCCGGCCATCCACAACATGCGGTAGAAGAGCGGTTGGAACACTTCCCAGAAGCTTTTGTAGCCGCCGGAAATACTGAGGTAGGTGTACTCTCGTTCAGCAGCTTCCATCCACGCGAAGCCTAGAAGTTTGGGCTTGATGCCTTCTGCGCGGAGTTTCGGGCCAAGACGCTCATCGATGGCGTTGAAGAAGGCGTCGTAGGAGACGCAGGTCCCTACTACGTCAAACACGACGTTCTTCTTGGTTTTTGACATGATTTCGATGAGCTGAAAAAATGGAATTGCAAAAGAATGAGAGCGAAGAGACAGGTTAAGCCCGTTGGAAGCTTGAGCTTGAAGCTCCATTACCTTGTGAGCTATTTCATACCCCTGACATGTTGATTGTTTGCGACGCGGGCTCCCACTGCCGAAAGATGGGGTTAAGCCGTGCTCGGCCGCTAAGATAAGGGGGGATCCATGACAAACGCATGTTCGGATCTGAGCGTAGGTTGCAAACACTATTGCGGACAATACCGATAGATCTTCGAAGAGTGAGAAATAGCTTCCGATGCTCCAGTGAATCTTCAGCCATGGCATGGCATGGCATTAGGAGAATGAACTCCAATCACGTGAGGCATGTGTCCTCGCATCTTTGACTCTAGAACAAAGACTACCTTTTAATAGGAGACTTTGCGCGTATATAATTCGAACGTTTATACTTATCTGACTTGTTTAAGAGTGTGAGTTTTTGGGTTCAAAATGGCTCACTTACTTCCTCAAAACCTATTCGATGTTTCCGCCAAAGTCGTCTTAATCACTGGTGCAGGCAAGTTCAGCTTCCCGAATCGAATAGTGTTGTTGATTAATCCAAGAAATAGGCTCTGGGATTGGTCGAATGCTAGCTAAGGGATATGCTGTCAATGGAGCGCAAACGATCCTTGTTGACATCAATCTTGAGGCCGTCTTGGAGACCAAAGAAAGTTCAAGAGAAGCTGCCAAGAGCGTCGAAGTAGACGCAGAGATACATACGTAAACAATGCAGAAGTCTATAAAGTCCATGAACTAATAATTCATTAGGATACAAGGAGACTTATCAAGAAAAGAAGGCGTCGACGCAGTTGTACAGGAAGTTCTCAAGAACTTCACTTCTCTAGATGTCATCATTCATTGTGCAGCATACCGGCACATGAACCCTATCACATTCCAACATGGCGAAAGTCTTGAGCAATTAGAGACAGCCACGAACTCAGCATCTTGGGAGAGTTGGGATCACGCTTTCCAGCTGAACGTCCTGGCGCCATATTTCTTGACAGCAGGCCTGATCAAACTTCTTGGTGAATCAGCAAAGAAAGGAGATGGAAGCGGATCAGTGATATTGTTTAGCAGTCCTGCTAGTGTGCACAATCATCAATTCGTGCCTGCATATCAGACTTCGAAAGCTGCTGTTGATCATCTTGTTCGAATTTTGGCTGCCGAATTTGCAGACTTTTATAGTAAGTGAGCAATATTGCCTGAAGCACTTTCTGACTGAGATGGCAGTCCGAGTCAATGCGATCTCACCAGGTCTCGTTCCTTCTGGAATGAGTGATGTTAATGATGCAACTTCAAACATTCATCTAGCAAAGGACTCTCCTGCACGAAGGTCGGGAAGTGAAGAGGACATGGTGGGTGTCGCTGTGTGGTTGTCGAGTAGAGCAGGAGCGTTTATGGATGGGAAGGTGGTGAGGATTGATGGTGGAAGATTGCTCGTGCTAAAAGGGGTGATCTCGAATCATGACTAGCAGACAATTTGGGCCTAATAGAAATTGGCCAAAATTCTGTAAGGTAAAGAGCTGCTGCGAATAGTCTTCCTTGAAGTCTTGAGACGAAGTTGACCCGAGTCAAGAAACTAGCCTTCACTCTTCAAATTGTCAACCGTGTACAAATTTCGCAGCAACAGTAATTCGTCTCGAAAGACTATTCTATAGAACAGAGTTTCTCCTTCTAAATAAATCTAGCCTTCAATTCATATCTGATTTCATCTTGTTCGTGTCGCTTTGAGTTCGGCGTCATTGACTACGAGGCCAGACGTTTCTTTCAAGATGACCGCCAAGGGCTAAGAAAAAAGACGCCAATTCATGCTGTTAGATAGAGCTACATAAGCTAACTGCCAATGAACATAATGAACTATGGACTTTTCAAAAGTAACAGACTCTGTTGCGGCGGAAGTGTCCGTCGGAGACGTCGACTTCAACGCAGAACGCCGATATTTACCCCGCCATGATGAGGGGCAGTTTCAACTTCCACCTTAATGGATGAGCAAAGGTTCGAAGCTTCAACTAGGCTCCTGCGAATTCTCTTTCTCTCGATTCCCGCTGCCTTAAATTTTGTAACTGCTGATTGGTCACTTTCACAAGCATGCCTCAATTCACATTACACACCTCAACGCTCTTTAACGCCAAGCAAAAGAAGTTCATCAAAGACATTTCAGTCACAGTTGATTCGGACACTGGTCTCGTCACAAAAGTATATTCGCGCAACGATGCTGAAATACCTTTCCCAGATACGTTGCCTGGAGGTGACATCGACCTTCGTGGTAAATTCGTGATGCCTGGCTTCGTTGACGCTCATACCCACATCTTCTTACATTCATACGAGTAAGTTCTCATCATACTCGCTCTTCACTACTGAATAGTTACAGCGAGGCATCAGCCGTCCAACAAAAAAGAGACGAATCCATGGCCGAGCGCATCATCCGAGCAGTAAACCATTGTAGAAAGGCTTTGCTAGCAGGTTACACCACATACCGCGATCTGGGCTCCGAATCAATGCAAGAGTCCGACGCCAACGTTCGCGACGCCATTGCTCGCGGTCTCATCCCAGGTCCTCGTCTATTCGTCGCAACTCGTGTCTTGGCCAGTTCCGGCTCGTACGAATCTCGGACCGAGAATTCGATGGGTGGCCATTGTTTGCCTGCTGGAGCAGATGCCGTTGATGGCGTCGAAGAAGTGAGGAAGGCTGTGAGGAGGAGAATCGCTGCTGGCGCCGATGTGATTAAGTTCTTTGCTGATTATAGGAGGAGGATTATGAGGTCGCCTCCTGCGCAGCAACATCCATATATCTCAAGCGTTTTGCATCCACCGAAAGAACCGAATCCCGATTATGTCGTATTCTCGCAGGAGGAAATGAATATGATTGTTTCTGAAGCGAAGCTGGCTAGATGTCCTGTGGCCGCTCACTGTTGCACTCTTGAGGGCGCTATGGCTGCTATCAAAGCTGGTGTACAGACTATTGAGCATGTGTATGGGGTTACAGATGAGATGTTCAGTGCTATGAAGGAGACGGCATGTATTATGGTTCCTACATTGGCCATTGCGGAGAAAATCCATTCAGCTAAATTCACCGCGATTTTAGCGCAGACGAAGCGTGCACATGAGCTTGGCGTTAGGCTTGCGTGTGGGGGAGATACAGGGACATTCAGTCATGGAGATAATGCGAGAGAGATGGAGTTGATGGCAGAAGCTGGCATACCCATTGAGGATGTCCTGGAGGCTTGTACGGTGGGAGGTTGGGAATCATGCGGTGGTGATCTTTGCGGAAGGAGATTTGGGTGGTTGGAGGAAGGTACACAAGCAGATATCATTGCTCTAGAGACAGATCCAAGGGAAGATAAAAATGCATTGCGAAAGATAGACTTTGTCTTGAAGGATGCTAGAGTATGGAAACAGGAGGGAGAAGCAATTGGGATGATATGAATGGATGTAGTAAACGCTTCCAACAAAGCCGTCTCAGAAAGCATCAAAAGTTAAGAGTGTTTGACAGAATCGCCAAGCTAGATCTGTTACTTTGGATGTTCATGACTAATTATACAAACATGGATTTTTCTATGACATGCAAAATGCCAAAATCGAGTAGAGCGCGTTGCGCGCGTTCTGCGCATTACCGCCTGGCCACCAAACACCCAAACCCAAAAAAATACAAGGAATGAAAAGCAAAACGCCTGGGCACACAGATTACTCTGTGTGCCCAGGCGCCCAGGCGCGGAGCATTGTCCGAATTGGCGAAGGAGGAGGGATTTTCCCTCTGGCGATTTTACAAAGGAGGAAATGGCGACTTTCCAACCCGGTCAGAGAGCCAGCGGCCTGTCCGGGTTGTGGCAAGGAAATGTTTATTTAAACCTATATGGAACGTATTTAGCCGAGGTTGGAAATAGCTTTGATTGGGTGAATCGAGTCGCGAAATTGAATCTGTGTTGTTGAAAGTGATATCTAATGTTGAAGAAAATCGAAAAGTCCGAGGATGGGAAACCAACGTCCGCTGCACATCTACAAACATGGAAGTTTTCTCAGCCAGCAAGATCAACCTCCGTCTCCTGAGATTTTCTCAAGCACTCCTCCAATATCCCAACATCTCGTGGCACGAATCTTGCCTTGAAATCTTTCGGGATGGCACTCGCGGCAGTAGTATTCCTATTATAATCGATGTAGTGAGTCTCAGGTGGATCTTCTTTACTGCCTATAATCTCAAAAGAGACAATCAATCTCAAGAATATGGCATAGAGGATCCTGTTCGAGAAGTTGACTGCCGTGCACATTCGAGCTCCTGCACCGTACGAGAAATGATAAGGAGGTGGGACTTCGTAACCACTTTCCTTGTCAAGCCATCGTTCGGGCCGGAATTGATCTGCGTCTGGTCCGTATTTGTCTTTGTCTTCATGCCGTTAGTATTAATGAGCATGCAGGGAGATTATACTCATACCGTGGTTGATGGCTTGAGCATTCATGTACACGAGGACCCCTTTTGGTATCTTGCTGCCATGATACTCAAACTCTTGGTAAGTCTGCCTAGGTGGCAGCAAGTGGAGTGGAGGATAGAATCGCAGGACTTCTCGGACAAAAGCGGCGATATATGGAGATTTCTCTTCCAAGGCTGCTCGCTCGAATGCCTCCTGCGGAGTACTATAATTGCTCGTGATATCGGCATGAGCGCTTTTCTGGGCTGCTTCCCCTGCTGGACTTGCTAGGAACGCAATGCCAATGATCGCCGTGGCAAAGACGGTTTCAAACCCACCCGACATCAACCCACCCAAAATTGTTCGAATGTCCTCTGGAAAATCGTTAGCTAGACTCATGACACTTCCTGCAAACCTAATCTCACGTTTTGTCAACCCTTCTTCTTTGTCGACAAGCAAACCTTGAGCAACACACTTCTTGGCCTTCCCAAGACGTACGCTGTCTCGTGCTTTCTCGAGTAGCCCAGCCAACCAACGATCTCGACGACCGCGTACTTCTGTTGCTTCAACCGTCCGCTTGCCTCCACCAAAATGCCGAAGGTACGGAATGTAATCCTGTGCATTCGAATTTGTGGAACGGAAACTATTCAGGCTTAGCATGAATGTTGTTAAAGATTTTGAAGGACCGAGGCTACCTCGAAATAGTGTTGGCGTCAGAAAGGATGCCCAGAAGAAGTGGATCATCGATCGCCGCGAATCTTCTTGAATAACAGAACATAAGTATTATGTTCAATGCTAGTCTTTTCTGGTATATATGAGGACTGATGGCTCTGATCCCATGTTTGCCGTCCTCGTATAATCCCGATATCATTTGCGAGGTTTCAACATCCAGCATGGGCTCAAGTTTCCGAATAGCCGGTGCTGTGGTATATGACCCCACAACTCGTCTTTGTTTCTTGGTACGTTCATCCCACGGGTTCGTACCAATAGTGGCTGCTATACTTTGAGTGAGTGTCTTGATCCGGAGATGAAACTAAGTGGCCGTACCTGATGTTTTCGAAACTACTCCATGAAAAGTGTATAACCATGGCCGATCAATCGTGCTTGTCTGCTTGGTGACAATCCATTCCCTAGCAGCGTCGAATGAATTGAGGATAATCGCACGTCTATATCCAAACCTGATCTGATATACTGGCCAGGTGTTGCTGATTGCCCATGATTCTGCGGTAGTAGCATGATCTTGACCTAGCATGTAAAGATGTCCGGCAACAGACGAACCACCGGGTATTTCTGGTATCCCTTCGATTCGACCGAAGTCGACATAGAAGTATCGAAGATAAACGACAACGCCAATACAACACACTCCAGACAATATTGTGGCTTGGAACAGTAAGGTCGTGGGGTCCATATCAGCACCGCACCACGTGACATTGATGGCTTCGATCGTAATGTGTATCTGGGAAGAGGCAGATGAGGAACAAATAACGACGTTATCGGAGTAGACGATCGACAATATGATCGGGTTTAAGTTTTCGAAAGAGCGATTCACGACTCAATCGGAGAAAAGCGTCTCCGATACCAACATGGGCGGAGAATAGCGATCCTGCTCAGAAGAGATCTCCATAAATTTCTTGCCCACTCTTGCGTTGAGAATTGTTGTCTCGGACGAGGAACAAATCCAACATATATATTCCCCAATCTCTAAACAACAGCAACGATCTTTCTCCAAACCTCGTAGTAATCCTTGCCACCTTGCCAAAGTGAGGCAGAGAATGTGAGAATTTCTGAGCATTTGAGGAGAGAGCCAGTGATATTTTCAGCGCTTTCCCAGTTCCCCTTGATTCCAGTAATCAGTGCACAACCAGCACTGAACGCTTTAGATGCAGCAATGAACGGTGGTATAAATGCTTCGGAAGAGCTCACAACAGGATGGACAGCATTTAACATCGACGTTGCTGCTTGTAAGACTTTGGATTGCAAAATGGATATGTCGATGTTGCAAGTTTGCGTACAGTATATATTAGAACGTGAGTGCGCAACACATACTGGAAGTAGCAGAAGCCAGCATTCTGAAACTAAAGGATCTTCCTGGGGGAAATCGTTCAACATGGCGAGCAAAGAAAGCAAATATCCCGACACAGGACAAGATCCCGCACTAGGTAGGCAGGATATCGCTGAGACAATTTCTATATATGTGTTGAATACCATCATACTTTCCAAAGTGGTTGAAGTTTGGCAGCCACTCAGCATGCTCGGACGTTGAAAGATGAGGCGCAATTGCCTTCTGCTTGTGAGCCGCTACTATTTGGGAGATGACTTTCACACATACCTATCAGCAGAGCGCAAGACGGACATTAGACGCCTTTTATCACAATCGCTAAGATTGTCTCGATTATTGTCGACCTCTTCTTCCGAGATATCCTCAAGTCCATCAATCTTCTCGATTCGGTGCCACCCAAGCTCAAGGCAAAGCCTAGTAGCAAAGTCCAACAACTCAAACGCAATACATCTCTCGGGATCAGCAAGCTCATAGACTAGGAGCAGAATAAGAACTTCAACTGATTCGGCATCACGAAGCTCGATGATAGAGGCTGCGAGTTCACCAGCCCAATGTCGGCAGAGTCTTGCAATCACTGTCCATCGGGTATCGTGGTAGCTCTTATGAGTAGCAGCAATTCCACTAGCAATCAGTACCCTGAATTTGGCAGGATCTTGGGGACGTTTTAGAGCTGTTTCAGCGTCGGCAGTAAATGTGGAAGAGATGACAGGATAAGCAGGAGATATGCATCGGTCGTAGTGTGCGAGCAAGATGCGCACAACATTTGGCGAGATCATACTTCTGTCGGTTTTGGAGACATCAGGAATATCGTGGATGTCATCGGTCTCAGAGAGAATAGTAGGCGGATCAAGTACTGTATTTGTAGAGACAAGGCTGCTGACAACTGAGAACGCGCTCAGGGCAGGAGGGGAAGGGCCGAGGTAGTGAGATTGTCCATTCCTAGACGGAATTGTATGGTGACCAAAAAGCCCTTCACCTGGAAGGACAATTCGATCAGGGAACCCATCTTTAGCCGTTTCCTGGCTCTTTTGCATTGAAAGGAGTGAGTTCAGTTCGTCGATCCTGTCGTATAAGTTCTTGATATAACTTCTTGGGATGGTTTCTTGTAGAACTGAGTCGACAAATTGGCAGGAGAAATTGATTTTCGCACAATTCGCACAAGCTGGTAATGTACCATCACACTGTATATAATAAGCTCGTCAAATCAATTAATGTCACTAAGCTTTGGGATCCCAACCTTGATGCGACGCGTACGACAGCGATTGCAAGTTGGGAGCAAAGCGCGGCCCGAGTCGAGAGGCATTTTGATCGGTCGCACAATAGCAATACAGAACCAACACTACATGTTCTGCAACAGAATGACCTGCCCCCGTCACCGCACGTATGCAGAGTTGCCAATGTGATCGACGTTGAGAAAATTTGTGTTTAACAGAAGGAGGAGATGAACTAGTCGCGGCCAAGACCTTGCCTGTTAAGCAAGGGGGGTCAAGATCAGGTGACCTCAAAAGTGGAGTATTTTACTCCACCTTTGACTATCAGGATTACCAGTCAATTGAAGTGAACCCAAAATGCCTTTTCTTATGATGGAGAACTTCAGTATGCGATACTCTACTTGTTCAGTCCGATTCGAGCCTTTGGAACGAATTGAATAGGGGTTCGCTAAGCCTTCATCACCTGATTCCTCTCGGGCTCAGTACTTAAGCAGAGCCGTCCATTTACTCAAGCCCTATTAGTATTGCTCGACATCTTTATGATACCAAGACGAATATGTCCCATTCGCCCCGGAAGCAGACTTCATCGTCGTATCGTCGACAGTCAAAAGTATGTGCACGCTGCAAGAAACGGAAGACAAAAGTGAGTTGCACTCGAAGCATGGGCATTTGACATAACATCTATGTTAATGAACAAAAGTGCGATCTCAATTTTCCAGCTTGCACTCCCTGTAAGAAAGCTGGCTTAAGATGTCAAGGTTACAGCTCTTCCGGGAACGAAGAGGTGCCACGAAGGTCAGCCATCAGCTCTCAATACACGCTCCGTCGGTCTCAAGCTCACACAGCAAAGTCTAGTTAGGTCATTAGAAGACCAAATCGCCAGGCTAGAATCTCAAGTCGAAAAGATCAACCAGTCGCCTAAGAATTTGCCAATATTATTCGGCACAAAAATCGCTAGAGCTTCCCTGTCTGCCATAGTTACCTCGCCAAGGCCCTTCTTCCACACCACTTTCTCATCTACCTTGTTTCTACACCCATCGTGCCCGCCGTTACCTGTAGCAAGGACCAAGAACCCGCAATCCCGCGCGAAACCGAGCTCTATACCTGCACCGCCAAGATCTCAAACTTCGCCAACTAATCTAAGCACCGTTCCCTATGCGGCCATAGATCAAATGGTTCGAAACTACACCAACATTCATTTGCCGCAATACCCATGTGTCTCCGAGTCCTGGCTCCACGAAATCCTAGCTCGTGTCTTAAAGGAACGGTCTGGAGATACAGACTATGTCCTGATATACGGGATTCCACCGGAATCCCAACTCACCCATTTCGAATACTTTGTCGTCTTCATCATACTTGCTATATCGTCACTGACTCTCACATGGCGTGCCGAGTCTCAAGCAATGGCAGCATCTGATTCGTTCTTCGAGTCCGCTCTTAAACACTTGAATTTGATGAAAGAAGTGGACGAGATCCAGACACTTCAGATATCACTCTTGCTTGCCCATTACGCTCATATGAATCCAGAGAGAGTCGACAATTGGATCTGTATATCCAATGCTTGCAGAGTCGTGCTTGATATGGGACTATATAGATCACCTACGGCAACTTTTACTCATGCTCAAGCTCAGTTGAGGAGGCAATTATTCTGGGTCACGTATGGAATGGAGAGATCTCTTTGCGGCATACTGAGACTACCACTTTCTTTCCCCGAAGAATCGATCACTGTAGAGGTAAGTCCATCCTTTCAGACCTCTGTTGCTAGGCTGACATTTTCATCAGCTTGATTCGACACATTACGATAATGTCACAGACGAAGTCCTCAAAGAATCTTCAGCCAATCACATATACCTATATCGCGGCTTGGAAACGGAAGTCCATCGAGTCCTTCACCTACAACAAGAAGTCACGCAGCTCCAGCAGCGCACGATAGACCAATGGATGATAGATATCAACACTCGTCTCGAATCCTGGTGTCAAAAAGCCCAAGGATTCTCCGTCCATCAAATGCTGGAATTCAGAGACGTGCAATACGCTCACTTGAAAGCAAAACTCCACAGACCCACCCCTCGCTTGAGAATCCGCACGGCGGAAGATCGCCAAATATGTCTTGAGGCTTGCCAAATACTGGTAGACGACTATCAAAAACAAGTCAAGCATCGACGACTTTTCTATCCTTGGCATGGTGTTCATATTCTGTTCGAAGCAGCTGTCATTATGCTCGATGCCTGTTGGGAATCGAGAGACTGGTCACCCCTTCGACAACCAGCACGATTCGCGCTCTCTGTCACACTTCCAGATTGCTTGTCTCTGCTTGCCAAAGTGGGAGAGCGTTGGCACGAAGCAGCGCTGTGTGCAGATTATCTTCGTCCCGTTGTTGAGGAAGTGGGGAAGGCCTTCCACGACCGAATCATGAATGATGCAGCCTTGAACGCCGAGAAGGAAGGTCACACAACAGGAAAATTGCGCCAACTGCTGTTTCCGGACGGGCCTCTGGCGTGGAATGCGAGGACGTCCGAGTTCTCATCGGGTGAGTTTCTGGCGGGAGACCTGAATCATTCGGGGTTACCGCCGTTACCGGATCTTCCAGATCTACAATGGGATGGGAACTGGGACCTGGGACCTGGATGATCTCCTGTTCGCATCAGGTGTCGAGATGACTTGATGCGGGTTGGGGAGGACAGATGAAGGTGTCGTCGCAATTGAGTTCATGATACATGTGCAGCGGGATCGATCGGGAGATTTACCCGACTTAGACTGCATATGCATGCTTGGAAGATGATTATCAAGCTCGGGTCCGTTATGCGAAATGTGGAATGGGGATTAGCGGATATGAGAGTAGAGTTCCCACTCGATCTCATCTCATGTTACAGACTAAAGAAAGAGGTTTCTATGAAGTAAATGCTGACTTTGACCTGCTTTCCACCTGCATGTCCAATCTTCGATTGTTCGAAGCCAAGAAGTCAATCAAATGTACAGGACTCTACCAACTTTTTCTGATGCAAAAGGGAGGATCGGTACTTCTTGCCAATATTTAGCTCGGTCTCGTATTCATGCATACATTCGCCATTATGAATGACTTATTAATACGTTTTCGACATCGCTTCAAGCAGTGGGATCCAAATCTATTACACCGCGTTCATCGGATATCCAGATTCGTCCGATGTAACGGAAGTGCGGGAATATGCCCTTACCAAAACATCTGCAGATGCAGGTTGCGAGAAAATCTCTTCACAGCTGCAAGGAATAACTCCAGGTCAGCAATAATCGTATCCTTTAAAAATGTCGAGTCCCTACTTGTGATATGTTTCAGCAGGTCTCGATACCTATTTGTGTTTAGTCTCACACTCAATTGTCCACTGCTAGACACTGATGATCACTTCTATCATGTGTACCTTCTCTAAAGTCCTCCTTGCCATTACTGTCTTTTCGTGGACACCAATCGTCACCGCAATCCTTCCACTCACAGACCGTGTTCTGGGAGTGGTCCAACAACGCCCGCTGTGCCCCGCGCGGCCTGCTTCACCAGAATTCCAACGAGCCGCCTCCACCGAATTTATCAGCGAGATATTCTTTGAACCAAACGGCGTCACCGAGTCCTTCGACAACTTCATAAGTCCCGACTATATCCAACATAGTCCTTTCCTTCTCAGCGGCTGCAACAATACCCTTTCCGTACTCCTCAGCGCATCCACGAATGTGAATATCACGATCTTACAGATTATGTTCGATAGCCCCTATGGTATGGTGCATTACAGGTTCCAAGCACCTAACTCGACGGCAATCGCGTTTATGGATTTGTGGAGGTTCAATGGAACGTGCATCGAAGAACATTGGGATGTTACCGAGACTTTTCCGGAGAATGCGACGAATCCGATTGCTCTGTTCTAAATGGAAGAATTTGAAATGATCGTTATGATTTTGTGATGGAATTCGATATGGTGTATAGAAAAACATCCCTTGGATTGTGCTCCTTGAGCGGTAATCACCTCGATGTCGGTACAGAAATAAGCAGATGACGGAAGGATTCGGCAACTATTGTCTGGGGGTAACAGCTCTCTTTAGCACTGGCAAAAAGATTCATTCTACGTTTTGAAAGCATAATCAAGGAAGTGAGGTCTTTCATGGAGTTGACTGAGATATGGGACCGGGCAACACCTCGAAGGGTCTTAGTGGTTGTCGAATGTACTTGTCCTTCAGGCATCACTACATGTGTCCCTGCCAAGACTTTTAGTGACCAGTAATTGAGCTTTGTATCGTGCTTAGTCTCAGAGAATCAACAAACAAATACGGTTGATCGAGATTATGTCAAGATCAAAATCCCTCACACATTGAAAGACAGCTTGTCTGCATCATGCGTTGCAAAATCAATGCTAGAGGTAAGAGGGGGGCTCAACTGAGAATTTGACAGACGTGAAGCAAAGACTTACCATAGTCATTCCCTTGGCAGCAAATCAGCAGGAGAGTATCAAAAAAATGCAGAAAGCTATCCAAGAACCATGCCCATGAAAATATGGAGATGGAGCTCGGACGTTTGGTAAACAATCCAGTCCAAATACAGCTAGCGTTGAGGCTTGACCCACTCTTGCGACTTGTTCCGATGCCCGTCACTTAGCTCAAAATTCTCTCTGCTCCTCTTTCCAGAAGCCCATCTGTCCGAGGTCTCAAGATCAATTCTACATTTCTCTCCTCTCTTAAGAAATCACATATTACAACATGTTCGCCGCACGCAGAGCATTGACGGGCGTTGCCCAAGCACGAGCCTTCTCAGCTTCTGCCAGAGACGTAAGACCCATCCCAACAACATCCGAGCTATCCCCATGGCTACAATTTGCTTGGAAGAAAAGCTCAATTGGCAGATGCTAACATTCTGCCCGCTCTAGTTGTCGAAGGTTACCATTTTGGGTGCTGCTGGTGGAATCGGACAGGTACGTCGAGCTTCCATCTTGAAGGAGAACTATTGCTAACCTCCATCAACAGCCATTGTCCCTCCTCTGCAAGCTCAACCCTCGTGTTACAGAGCTCGCCCTCTATGATATCCGACTGGCACCAGGTGTGTAGGACAAACAAGATGGAGGATACATTAATTGACTCGACCCAGGTGTTGCTGCCGATGTCAGCCATATCAACACCAAGAGCAAGGTTACTGGATACGACCCAACACCAAGCGGACTCGCAGCTGCTTTGAAGGGTGCCGAAATTGTTCTCATCCCGGCTGGTGTTCCCCGCAAGCCAGGAATGACCCGCGACGATCTATTCAACACCAATGCGTCCATCGTCCGCGATCTCGCAAAGGCCGTTGCCGAGTCTGCCCCAGATGCCAACATCCTTGTTATCTCGAATCCAGTCAACAGCACTGTCCCAATCGTCGCTGAGATCCTGAAGGCAAAGGGAGTCTACAACCCCAAGCGTCTGTTCGGTGTTACTACTCTCGATGTCGTCCGTGCCTCTCGATTCGTTTCTGAGATCAAGAACACCGACCCAAGAGATGAGAACATCACTGTTGTTGGCGGTCACTCCGGTGTTACCATTGTTCCTCTCTTCTCGCAATCGTCGCACCCAGATCTCGTTGGTGATGCCACTCTCCTGAACCGTGTCCAATTCGGTGGTGATGAGGTCGTCAAGGCTAAGGATGGTGCTGGATCTGCTACCCTCTCTATGGCCATGGCTGGTGCTCGTTTCGCAGAGAGCTTATTGAAGGCTGCTCAAGGCGAGAAGGGTGTTGTCGAGCCAACTTTCGTTGACAGCCCATTGTACAAGGACCAAGGAATTGATTTCTTTGCCAGCAAAGTTGAGCTCGGCCCCAACGGTGTTGAGAAGATTCACGACGTTGGAAAGCTTACCGCTGAGGAGCAAAAGCTTCTGGACGCTTGCTTGGAGGATTTGAAGAAGGTATGATATTCTAACACCTAGCTTATACGTGGCATTTGCTAACATACAGTCTACAGAACATCGACAAGGGAGTTGCATTCGTCGCCTCGAACCCAGGAAAGTAAAGATACCACGGCATATGGTTGGGGTTCATAGAGGAGAGGATCTGGTGGGGTGGAACTGATTGCCCATATCGAGGCCTGCGTCTTTTATGCGTAGATGTAGATTTCGATCTTGTATCAAAACAAACCATTAAGATTCTAATCTCTACTCTGAATACTCTGTTAATCTATTGGTGGTTGATTCCGCACGCAATGTAAAATGCAACATTAACCTGTCTTAGGTCTGATTTTTCATTCAGACATCAAGATCGGTTTCAGTGTTTGACTTAGGCTCGATGCTCAATGTCATGCAGAAGTCTCAATCACTGAAGCGACTGATCGAGTGTTTCCAAGCTGTTCAAGCAATTGGTTCTTCATGAGCATATCTACAGCAGGACTACCACTTCCCTTCTTCACAATTACGATCACCAGCTGCCATAACCACCTCAATAACCAACATCTTCCACCGGAGTCAGAAGTCCGACAAGGTATTTCAACGACATGCATCTTTTACATTCACTTCGTGTATCACACAAATCCCACACCGCAACGATCAAACAGTGGGGGGACACGCCACCCACGGCCCCACGTCCCGCTGCAACTGCAAAAATCGCGGCTCGTGACAGCGAAAGATATAGAATGCTATTGAGAGTGGGATTTGAGAGATAGAAGAAGTAGAGGTCGGAAGTTGCGGTGTATCATTTTGAGGAAGCTACTGTAGGAAATGATAGGAGCGCCAATAGCGCGGGTTGCATTTTGGTGGTGGAAAAGAGGAAAAGTACAGACTAGGCTGCATAAGTACATGTACTTAACACTCCAGATGCGAGTGTGCGTAAGATTTCCGAGAATGAATAGATGTGTTGATAATGCACATTTGCACCCCACGACTGCCCCGAAGAAGGAGGCCCCCCGACTTGCACCCTCGAATTGACTAGTCTCCTTGCGACAATGCCATCCGGATTCATTGAGAGGCCCTTGACTTTGACGTACGGAAGTATGCGGTGTTGCCTTCAAGCAAACATTCTCATCCGGAGCGGATAGAGCTTTTGGGCCAGCCGAAGCTCGACGACTGGAAAGACAGAAGTAGACACGGATATGCTGGGATCCCGATATTATTAGTATATTTTTGCCACCGATAGTTGACGAATATGTTATGTCTTGAACCGACAAAGGGCGGCCGATCCACTTCAGCCTCACTTCTGCCTGCCAACAACCCGGGAAGCCTTACACTTATACTCGGCATGACTCAAGAGCTGAAAAACAAGTTCCATTTCATTCTCATTCGAGAACTTGCCTGCAAAGAAAAGTCGATGCTTTTCAAGAATCCCTATCAGGCATTTCCGACGTGTTCACCGGGTTGTCTCATAAATCACAGGCTGTGGTGTAGCCTCGTAAGTCCTTTGACAGGGATCCCTGGCTTAGCCGACAGCGCCCCTCAGCCTTGACAGCTCCCTCTGCATAAGGAACCAACACTTTTCTTTCGACAAGTCGCATTGCATCGTCATACCGAGAAATCCCAGGTGCCTGGATTTCTTAAGGACCTGATCGCCTGCCTTTTTCTCCTCTTTCTTTTCCGTTTGCTCACTTCCGCGGGGCGAACGAAGTACACACCGGTAAGTCGTCTGCTGACCGTTACTTACTCCCGTCCATCATGGAGTGTGCCTGGTGATGGAAATCTGCTGTGAAGTTACACTCGTGCTGCTCCACCTGTTATAATGAAGTAGCAACAGCTTCCGCAGATGTTTGTTAGTTGTATTCAGAAACTTAGAGCTAATACGAGCTTGTGTAGCAATCTCACCTCATCGAGCGCATTCACAAATTAAGAGTCTACGGCAGAGGCACAACTTGGTGAATCTTTGCGATCACCGGAGCTATTGCCTTCTGCAGCTTCCCGAAACTTCGAACCTTACCTGCAAACATTACGAACTTTTTCCCAACCCTCAATCATGGATACCCCCACCACAAACCAGAGCGAGCAGGCGGCGGAGAGGGAAGCCGGAGTGGTCCCTGATGCTGGGGAAGGCACATCGAAACCACAGGTAGACGGCAAAGCCTCCAATACATCTGAGAAAGTACCCAAGACGAAGGGCAAGAAGTGTAAAGACCCTCAGAAGAAGTCGAAGGCCAAGTCGAAATCGAAAAAGGAGAAAGAGGTTCTTATCAGCGACAGCGACGATTCGGACTCTACTTCAGACTCGGACGATGATAGTGATAGCGACTCTGATCTGAGCGAGTCGGAGGAGGAATCAGAGACGGAAACCGAGAAGGAGAAGCGGAAGCGAAAGAAGAAGGCCAAGAAAGCCAGGCAGAAGGCGAAGGATAAGCGGAAGGAGAAGAAGAAGTCAAAGAAGAGAAAAGAGGTAAGGGTTCTATTTCCATACATCTTGAGAGCCAGTTCCGGAGAGAGGGAATTATGTAGAGGGAGGAAGTGCTGTGACTTACTACCAGAACATAAACTGACTTCCTATAGGTATCTTCGGACTCAGACACAGACTCTGATTCCGACCCAGCAACAGAAGAAGAAGAGCTCTCAGAGATTGAGGACGACGACGATCCCCATGCGGTCGAGGACGCTCAACTCCAACTCCAGCTTATGCAAATGCAACAATTGAGACAGCAGCAACAGCTTGGTCAAGGCGGTCTGAACACCGGTCTAACTTATGGTCGTCGAAATCAACTAGGCGGTGCTGCCCTAGCTCGGATGCAGGCAGCGAGAAATGCAAAGCAGTTGGCTGCCTTGGGCCTCGATGGCAAGAGAGGCAAGAAGGATAAGAGATCGGGCAAGAAGAAGCTTGCAAGCAAACTTGATTACCACCGCGTAGATCAATTATGGGACAGCACGATCCACAACTACAAACTTACCGATACCGCCGAGGATGAGGAAAGCTCTGAATATGACCAATATCTGTTCAACGTTCGGAGAACATTTGACTGGGAAGGCAAATACAAGGTCAGTAAATGTTGTCTTTGGTCATATTCATTCTACTAACAATGTGCAGACTACTGTTGTTGATATCAAGAGCAAGCTTCTCAAGGAGGCCCTCAATGAAGTTATGGATGGAGTCAAGGGTGTCAGCTTGGTTGAGGAGACACCTTGTATCGACCCAAATCTTCTCTTCCTCTATCTCGAAGATCTTAGGGAAATGTGCAAGGAGTTGAAAAACAAGAAGATCACAGTAAAGAAAGGAAAGAAGAAGGCAAAGAAGCGCCAGGAGACAAAGCGAAAGCATCTCAAAGTACTTCTGAAATACCTCGATAAGGACTACGCCTCAATCAAGAAGACTCTATATCCTATGTTGGAGTCAGGTATTATTACCTTTGACCTTCTCTGGGCACTTTACAAACCCAACACTCTTGCATACACCACGACATACGGCTCTGTTGACGAACCTCGTGCCTTCAAGATTGAATTAGCCGAGAAGGAATTTAGCTTTATGAAGGGAGAATGGTACAACATCGAAGGACGCTACCTCGAGTACGATGGCAAAACTTGGGGTATGGGCACCATGGACTGTGATGTCCCAGGCTTCAAGGGTGCGAGAAAGATCACAAGTCTGAACTGCTACCCTCTCAAATACCATAAGAATGAGGCAAAACTTCGAGCTGATCTTATCACTCGCGGCAAGAAGTTCGTCTCTCTCCAAGGCGTCAATTACATGAGTCATGAGGGCATGGCTTATTACAAGAAGCGCAAGCAGATCATCAAAGTCAACATCAATGGTCGCATTATGGTTGATCCAGCCATCCATCGTCGCATCCTACCAAATTACAACGTCAGCACCGTCAAGCCAAAAGACCCAGATTTGTTAGACGATTCCGACGATGATTCTGAAGACGGTTGTGGCTGTGGTAATGACAGCTCAGATGATGAGGAGCAACATCATCATTTTGAACAACGCGAGTCAGGGGACAAGGAGGACGATGATGAGCCAAAGACTAGAATGAAGGTGATCAAAGACGACAAGGATCAACCTCGCATCGTCGAAGTTCCCGTTGACGAGAACGGCCAAGAAATTGTAGTAGAAAAGCTCGAAGAAGTGCCCAGCAAGAAAGTCACAGAAGGTGCCGAAAATTCAACATCGGAAGATGATAAGAAAGAGCTTCCTACTTTCACTGATGAGGAGTATCTGATAGCCTCCCCTGTCGTCCTTGGCTTTGCGTTCGCCGAGAAGCTGTGGCTTGAGTTCACGGTTTCTGGTGTTAAGGACATCGTCTGGAACGAGGGAGCATACGATTCTTTGGTCTTGGAAGACAATACAAAGGCCATCGTCAAGGCACTTGTTGAGTCGCACAAATACCACCCAGCTGAAAGCATCGACGATGTAATTCAGGGCAAAGGCAAGGGTCTCGTTGCCGTCCTTCACGGCCCGCCTGGAACTGGTAAGACTCTTACTGCAGAGGGCATCTCGGAACTCCTTAAATGCCCACTGTACATGGTTTCGGCAGGAGAGCTCGGAACCGACCCAAGAACCCTTGAAGGAGAGCTGCAAAAGATCCTTGACATTGCACATGCATGGGGAGCCGTTCTTCTATTGGACGAAGCAGATGTCTTCCTTGAGAAGCGTACTATTCAAGACATTCATCGAAACGCCCTTGTTTCGATATTCCTACGCTTGCTAGAGTACTTCCAGGGTATTCTATTCCTGACAACAAATCGTGTTGAGACCTTCGACGACGCTTTCCAATCGAGAATCCATATTGCTTTGAGATATGGTGAGCTCAGCGTTAAGGCAAAGAAGAGTGTTTTCAAGATGTTCATTGAGCGAGTTCGCGTTCTTGAGGGTGTTGCTACGATGCCATTCACTGAAGAGGACTACAACAATCTGGCTAAGAACAATTTGAATGGCCGACAGGTATGTTTTCGGTTTCTTGGTGATTTTTTTGGCAAACTTACTAACTGTGAATAGATCAAGAACACAGTCCGCACTGCGCAAGCCCTTGCCGTTAACAATAAGGAGCCTCTTAGCATGGAACACATCAAGCGCGTACTTGACGTCTCCAATGCTTTCGACCGCGATCTCAAGGGCGGCCCTGGCTTCGAGGATGCCATGCGAGGCTACTTCTAAACATCTCGACATTCCACCACCCCTACCAATCAACTCTCCATCTCGCCTCGAACAGATTGTCATCTTCGACTCTCTATCTACCTTTCTCATCACACTTTCTTTTCTTCTGGGTCTTCGTTTCAGGTGCATTTTTTGGACATTGTAGCAACGAGGGAACTGGATCCGGTCAGGTCAGGCGTGGGAGCGAGCTAGCGTGCATTTTGATTTCTTCATTCCAGTCATTTCTCTCACGGTTGTATCTTTGATGACGGGCATTCATTCTTGGCGGTACGATACGATTTGAGCATTGATTGGTCGCGATGATTTTAGGGGAAGGGAATGGGTATGTCATGATAGTTTTCTGGAATTGAATACTCTTCTCATGATCTTTTTCATTGATTGATCTGGTAACTGATCCCTCTTCATTGGCGTACCCCAAATCTGTAACATTATCCGAGGCTGCATGTCCCTTGGCCCGTCAAGTTTTCCAGGTCTCACAAGCTGGGGACTTGAATGACCAAGTCGGGTAGTAAAGGGGGCGTATGTGCTGACACGTGACCCTTCACTCAAACAACATAGAAAGTAGGAAGTCTCTTTCGCATCGCTGATATTCTAGTGGGCTTAATGTCCTACGGACTGAACCAGCTTTTGGTTATATTCTTCACACCTTGTATGTATGTCAAACTGCGTGTTTTTTTAAGGCTTACTGTTAGTAGGTATAGTGGTTGTGGGTAGCGCTAAATTTTTATATATCGAATAGAGGATATTGGTGCGGGGATCTCTTTAAATTCTTGTGTGCATGTGAATGTGTTTCAGTCATAAGCACAGAAAGCCATGGTTCGACACTAAGCGGCTTATGCTGCTATGCTTCTAGAAAGTTGTGGACTGTGTGTGTCCATTGCTGGTGTCTAGCAATTCTAGGTCTCTTTTCATACAGGTTCCAATCCAACATCCACTAACCACGGCACATTTTCCAATACTCCATCCCGTCCCATCAATGCAGCATTTACAAACACCGTCTCGGCTCCGGTTGCCCGTGCGCTGATTCCAATCCTCTTCACGCCATCTTCAACAAATCCTTCAGTCTTCGTTTTCGCTTGGATGCCATCGTCAACATGATCATCCTCTGGTAGGTGTTTGTTGTCCTCCCAACGGACAATCTCGGCGCCGTAAGCGTTATGTACGTGGCCAAAGACATGTAACTTCGGCCGAATTCTCCGCATCGCTCTGAATAGGTGTGGACACCCAAGGCTCTCCGAGCCAGATGAAAGATCCAGCCTGTACCTAGCCGGTCCATGCGTCATTATCACATCTACCTCCTTATCTCCATTCAGCACACTCTCCTCCGTTCCCACAGCCTTGCCATACGAGATTCCTTCTCCTTCCGAGTTGAATCTATTCTCTCCGCTGCCGTAGCCAAAGCCCCATTCTGTAACCCTCTGGCTATTGATCGTGTAAGGACTTGCGTATATCCGGAGCCTTGCACCATTGTCCAGAGCGAATTCGTGAATTCCTTCAGCCAAAAGTTCGATCCCGGCTTCCTTTACTGAGGCACTAGTCCATATCTCTCGAGCCTCATCATGCAGTTTCTTTCCGTCTTCTGTGCTGTTGGATTCCCAGAAATGTCGGTCCAGGTGAGGTCATGGTTGCCTGGGATGACAAGCTTCAACGGAGCGGGAACCGATTTGAGTAACTCAATAGTGTCGTTGTACTCTTCCAAAGTCCCACATTCTGAGAGATCGCCGCAGTGGAGGACAACATCTATTTTCAGGTCATGTGACAAGATTTGCGGGAGGGCGGAGACTCCGTGGGTGTCTGAGATGACGAGTACTCTTGTCTGAATCGTGGTCTCTGTCGAATCGATCGGTGAAAGGCGATTGCGTTTTGTTGGTATCGGAATGGGCGATGCTGAGCGCTGCCTCTTCTGAGGTGCGGATGAAAAAGTGAGGCCTCCTTTTCGTTGCCGAGGAGGACGTTTGAGTAAAGACATCTTTGCTGTTCGTACAGTGCGAAAGTCGAAGAGAGTAAAAGATAGTAAAATGAAGTATTTCTGTGATTGATGAAGATAATGCGAAGGAAGAAGATTAAAATGGCGAAAACAATTGTTTTTGTGGTGGTGATTGAGTCGCACGCGGGCAGGCTAATTCTCGTGGTTCCAAATTCCCGAAAGTTTGGTTGAGGAGGGCTGAGGGCACACACCACCTCAACGGCGGAAAATAAAATATAATATTAAATAGATGAAACAACAAAAAGGCAAAGAAAATGATCAGGAGGATAATATTAGTAATAAACGAGCTAAAAAGAGGTAGATCAAGACATAGGTTCAAGGGCATATTAACAGAGTGGAAATCGGAGAAAAAAGCTGAAATGGAATGAAGACTTCATATTTCTACCGCAGCTTTTGTAGAGAAGGCTAATTAGAGAAGTTATCACAGCTAGTGGAGGTCAACTTGAAAGCAGGGCCTATTCACGATAAGGATATCTTTAATGTATTGTGTTGCTTTGCTGGTTTTCTCCTCATTGGTAATTTAAAACTCCCTTAAGGGTACATATATATCAAATATAGTCTCAAATATATTATTTTTGAAGCCCAAGGTACAATTTCCGATCCAAATCTAACTTTAACCCCAGTGGTCGTGGAGTTCTCTCGACTCCCGTGATGGGAATGTTCCACGAGACATGTTTCGGGCTGCTTTTGTTAATCTCAATCATCCATTCTTCTCGCTCTTGACTGGCTCCAAAGGCTAGGAAAGTTCGAACCTACGTTTCGATGCAATATTTGGGAGTTAATGCTGAAAAATTCATAATCAATATAAATGGGTCTCTTGTAATTGCACCACTGGAGGGGCGTTCTGAAGCACAATGTTAGATTTGAAAAACGAAGGTTTGAGATGAGTTAGAGTACATACAAACGACGGTAAATACTGGAACTGGGTGAGTACTTAAAGCCATCAAATGAAATAAGGATACATACCGGACATCATTCATGTATACTGTTCCAGTCATGTGGACAACGGTATGTCTTTGATCCGATGAAATTTTGCAGCTATCAAATATGCTAAGAATACACATTAGACATTGTTCAGCCCTTGTTCCAGAGGGTTACTCACAATAAAAGCTGGAGATGTTAGGCAACCACTTGATGAAAGCTGCGGGCTCCGTATGTTATGATTGATCTTAGAAAATGTGCCACCTAACTCTTGTTCTTGATATCTAATCTTGAACCATAATCAACAGTGAATTTGAAGCAAACCAACACTTAGTCAGCCAAGCTAGATAGCTAGCTGCAATAATGCTCTCGCTTAGCGTCGTTATAAGCAGCGGTGGAAGAATTCCAACTCTTGTAACTAAAGCGAGAATCTCAACAGATACTCAAGGGCTCTGACTTGGGCCCGGCTCCCGTCACGTGCCGTTCCCACACATTGTGTGAGATCTTCCTTCCATGGAGGCCGGGGAATGACTAATTTCGTCTTGAGGGAGAATAGCAATCCACTTACGGTTGACAATAGTAATAATTATTGACAGTAGTTGGGCTTTGTCAAAGCAACAAAGCAAACGCAAGTTAACTAGATATCAATAACAAAATTACCTTTTCGTTAACACAATTAGGGATGTATGGCCATAAGATTAAAGTGCTTTCTTTAATCGCTTAGGGAAAGCATAATAGACAATAGGGGTTGGGATTTTTCCCGACTTTCTGGAACTATCTAGACTTTCTCTAGGCACTGGAGTTTACTTATTGCAAGTCAAGGACGCTTATGCACAGCTCTACAATCGAATCCCCGAAACTACGCAACATAAAGCCACATCAGGTGAATATGCGAAGGACTTTCTCATCTCTACACAAGCATAACCACACGAACAACTGCAGACTAGCGGCCGCTTAGCGTGTATATCAGCGACTCCAGAAATTTTCTAACCCTCACAACCAAATCCGCAGCTTACAGCGGCACTGACATGCTTTGGCTCCGGCTCCGGCTCCAGCTGGGTTGGGACCGGCTCTTATCACGTACTACTTGTACCACAGCATGAGAGATCTTGTTTACTTGGCAAAAGAACAACTATTTCTAATGCGAATACAGAAATAGCATTATTCTTGTAGTAAACAACAACAATAAATATTGACAGCAATTCCGTCTTGTAAACCAAATAAATCAGATAAAAGCTATTAAAAAGTTGCTAATAAAAATGTCTTCTGATCAATTACATGTTAGTTAAGGTGTTATATCTAATGACGGCCATGAAATCAATGCAGTTGCTTATTCTGCAAACGAAAGAACGGCAAATAGTGTAATTGTTCCTAAATAAAAAATATACCTTAGTATTTTTGCAAATCAACGCTTTTTACATATAGTCTTAGTAGCGTCTTAGTAGTGAAGCAGAAACTTTGTAAATCAAGTGAATAAAGCAAGATATTTAATTTTCACAAAAATATAACTACGACAAATAATTATAGGCTAGCGGGCGCTTTGCGTGTATATCAACGATTCTAGAAATGTTCCAGCCCTCACAACCAATTCAAAAGGCCTATAGGGGCACTGACATGCTCTGCCTTCGGCTCTGTCTGGGTCGAGCCCGGCTCTTATCACGTGCTACTTTTACCACTATGTGAGAGATCTGAGATTATACTCACCCGGCAGGGAATAACTATCTTTGACGAGAGAGCAAGAAAGTAGTGAGTATAACTTTCAACAACAATTGAATTTTCTAGAAGCAATAGATCAGACGAAAGCTATTTCTAAGTTGACAATAAAAAATGTTTTCTTTAACTATATATTAAGTGCTATGTTTAAGCACCTACGGCTATGCAATTAATGCGGTTCTTCAAGTCCCGGCAATAGAATAGCGAACAAGTCTTTTCGTTTGTCTAGGAATTGTAGCATGTGTTTTCGCAAGTTAAGGGCTTGTATATAGTCAGTAGCGGAACAGAACTATGCAGCAGAAATCCACATCAAGTGAATAAAAGTATTCGATTTTCACAAAGATATGATTACGACAAACAATTACACCCTAGCGGCCGCTTAACGTGTATATCAACGAGTTTAGAAGAGTTCCAAACGGTTATCAAACCCAGCAATACCAAACACGTCAACAACGTTGGCTGGGTCCGGCTCTGGGTTGGGCCCCGGCTCTTGTCACATGCTACTTCTTCCCTGAGAGATCTTGCTTTGGAATTGTTCTTAACGTGAGGGCAAGAGCCGGGTTAAGTCTGAAGGACAGCAACAATGAATATTAACAATAGTTGAGTTTTGTGGAAGCAATAAATCAGACGAAAATTGCCCATGAATTGATAGTAAAGATGTCTCCTCAACGACAAATTCAGGACATATGGTCATAAGATCAATCCAGCTTCTCTGGCGGCCCGGCAAAAGAATAACCCATAGTATGTTTTAGTACCACCAACGTCCTAGGAAGCGTAATTGAATTGTTACAGTTCAAGGACTCATATTTATAGACTTGCAAAGGAAAACTCGAAACTCTGCAAGATAAAGCCACCTTATGTGAATATAAGGCAGGCTATTCACTTTTCAAAGGCATAACTCTAGCAAACAACTACAGCCTAGCGGCCACTTGGTAGCTACATCAACGCAGATCGTCGCAGTGGAAAAGACAAATTCGAACTCTACAAATTCGCGACTGAGCGATGAACGCCTCTCTATATGCCCTTCCCCGGCTCCTCAGCGCCTAGTTCATCAGCGAGCCGAGTCCATTATGCCACAGCACGGAATTTGGCATGAATTGTTCCAGGCAGAGAAGACAGACAAATTGGATCGTATGATCAATAGTTGCCCTATCCCTTGACGAAATTGATAAAGAGTTGACAGCAAACAAAACTTTATCAGATGAAAATGAAGGCATATTAAGTTTAGCAATACTATAGACTAAGAAACAAGTCCCTCATACCATGGACATAGGACTAAATCTTGAAAAGAGTGAATACACATGCAAAGTGAGTAAAGACGTCAAAAGAATTGGGAATTTATCGCCACCAGACGTCGTGGCTAAGTCATAGGTTCCCAAAAGTGGCTGAAGAACCAAAGGAGTGTGAACATGGTTATCACTAGAACTCCTGACCAAAATACAGTCTCTCAAAGATGGCCAAAGAACCAAACAGATTGGGACATTCTCCCCGCCACAAGTCGCGAAATACAAACTATGGAAATTATTGTCAAAAGTCCTATAAAACGTAAGCCACTTGACTACAGCTTCAAGTCCCCAAAAGCAAGCCAAACAATCTCATGGAGAAATCATACATCACAAACACAAGCATTCAAGATCCTACAAATTCAAGTCCCACGAATAAACACCCGAAAATGCATTTCATCCAGGCCAAGTAACTGTCAACAAGAAAATATATCCATCCACACCCGATCCAGAAATTCCTGAACTCCCGGCACGTATCATAACATTATCCTACTACGCTGCCGCAAACTATGCATCCATTCTCAAAGCATGAGAAGATCCCCATTCGATCCGCCGCCCATAGTAGGTTGGTATACCTGCTCTGGCGCGTTCTGATTCACAACATATTGCATCTCCCCTCTGCCGACGGTCGGACTACCGCCAAACCCGTCGTCACCTCCATTGACGTGCATGGCGGCCATTTGATTACTGCCCACTCCAGCGAAGAACTCGTCTGCTGCATCGACTGCGGCTGCTAGGTCTCCGTTGTTCGAGGGCCTGACTGTAGGTTGACCCTCCATTCCGAAGGATGATAATGATTTCTGTGAATCGAGGCCGTTGGCTGTTGGTAGAAGGTGTTTTTGGAGAGCCGGGCTGTCTGCCAATTTTCGCGGCCGAGCAGATCGGAAAACTTGCTGAACTGGTTTTAGGTACACAGTAGCCAACGTTCCGACATTCAGACACATTTCTTCGAGCGTGGCTGGGTCTAGTTTTTCGGATTCGGCGGTGATGGGAGGTTTCTCGCCCATCACTATTGCTTTGGCCGTTGCCATATCTGATGACAGCAGTCGCCAATACATGTACCCTCTGTCTCTCAGATCAGGGTTATCGGTATCTTCCGTTGCCCATTTGAGGACCTTTGGAACAAGCTCCTGGCCCTTAGTCGGTCGTTGAATGAACAACTTCACGGTGGCTGTCAAAAGAGCGAGCTGGACTTCGACAGGCTCATCAGCAAAGGAGTAAAGGAAGTCCTCGAGCAGCACATCTGAGTTCTCAATCCTAGACGCATACTGCCCGATAACCCAAATCATCGCAGCTTTAGCCTCAGGTTCATCCAGAGAATCGAGGTTTTCGCAAAGCGTCGAGATAATGGATTCGTACTGATTGGGATACTTCCTAAAGATGTTTCTGATGACCACTGTTGCTTCCTGAACAATATATGTAACTTTTGTGGCCACAAGCTCGAGCAGGGTGTTGATACATCGTCTGGCGGCCGGCTCAATCTTGATTGCCAGCTTTCCAATTGCACGAACGGATTTTCGCACGAAATGGACGTCGATTTCAGTTGCGTATTCTCTCAATTCCGTCAGAACTTCCTCGATGTTGTTCTCAGTCGCGAGCATGAAGATCAACTCCAGTTTTGTGACTTTGACATAAATCGGGTCATTGTACTTGCAAAAGAACACTCTAATGTCATTTCGAAGAACTTCCGGCCGCCGCTGCAAGATCAGCAGTGCGTTCCTCAAGGCTAGATATTGTACTTCTGGCCCTTTCGCTAGCAACGTGACGAGTGGCGGAGACAGTTTTCGACACAAGATTGATATCTGCTTTTGGTCCGCAATATAGTTCATCAGGTAAAGAATAACTCTTATGCAAGTTAGTACCACAGCAGAGTTTGAATGTGATAATCGAGGTGAAATCCGCTCTGCAAGCAACAGAGCTTCCGAGGACTCTTGCGGGACGTAGGACATCAACGCCTCAAGAATGTATGTTTGGCCCCATCTACTATCTGTTAGGAACAATAGCATATCCAATGGCTTGTGAACGTACTCGGAGCAATCTGGCAATATTTGCACCATCTTCGAAGCATTCCCATAGTCAATCGTAAGTTTGATCGCATCACTCCTTTCCCAGATATCCATCAAACTTGCCAAAGCACTAGCCACGACTGTGGGATTGTCATCTCGAAGCATCGAATTCAACCTATCAATGAGATCCGAGCTCTCGACTAATTGTCTGTCATGGTCATATAGCTTCGCCACGCAGAACGCTGCTGTTTTCCGTACATAGGGATCTGAATCTCGCAGCAGTTGCTTCGTAGGTGGAACTGTAGCTTCGACAAATTCGCGGACGTGTATATAGGACATGGTTCGCAGGGCAAGAGCTCTGACAAGCGGATTCGAATCGGTCATGTCCTAGAGCATAACGTCAGCAATTGGGGTCAGAAATAGGGCAAAAGCATCGACATACTTCTTGTAGTGTAGGTAAAGCCTTCAAAGCAACGTCAGGCTTCATACGAGCATAGTTCACTAGGAACAAGAAGCACCTATGCCAGTCAACACCGCTACCATAACCACAACTTGCAGAACCCACATCTTCTTGATCTCCAAGCTCTGTATTGCCATGCAGCCAACGATATCTGGGAACAGAGCCACCATATCATTGTTGCTCATCGTCATGTTGGCCACGATCTTCTTCAACGCAATCTTCTTGGCCGCATGATTCTTATCCTTCTTCCCACCACTATTCAACTCGAGTCGTAATTCCGCAACTTTGCCCTGTGGAGAACGCCAATAAGGTGAGTAAGGTGAACCAGGGCCTGACGGCGGAACGTAATGGGGGAGAAACATCGTAGAAGAAGGCATTTGACACCGTCGCGTGAGGAAAGATATCCAAGCTGCAACCTTCAGAACAGCTGCCGATCTGACGGCGCATGCTTGACAGAAGTATATACGCTGGCAATGCCAGACAAGGCGGCGCAGAGCAGCAATAGAGAGAAGACAGGACTGGATGGGACGGTACGTACTCTCGCAAAGAGCTTCGCATCTCCCCCGCCTGAGCTCATGATGAGGAGACGACCTTGTGCTCAATCGGGACCTCCGACTATGTATGTGTGTGTATACTGTGCCCTACCCCTCCACTGCAATCCGCAATCTTCAACCAACGGGAGCTCGAATCTATCGATCTTTTTGGGTAGGCCGGAAAAGCGCGCGGGCGTCACATGCACCACCTTTTCTACCTCCAACAAGGATTTTGATAGCGGCGCCGCGAACGATCCATAAACTCGGTGTCGAAGGAAAAGTATCGTGAAGTGTTTTGCGAGGAGGTTGATAAATTGTAGGGTCCAATAGGAGAGGTATTGGAAGGCCCGGGATTGCTGACTAGGAATATCACCGAGAAGGAGCGTGCACGTAGCCGCAAGCCAAGCAAACGTTGACAACGGCGTCGCATTTCGACTTTCCGACAACTCAATACACATTACATATCGCAGAGATGGCCGCTCCTCCTCCACCTCCTCCGCAATGGGTCTTGGACCTCAATTCACCGCCTGCGCCAAAGTCAAAGAATAGCGGAATACCTGACCCGCCAGGATTCACTGGTACATCCAGCGGCAGCAAGGCAAGCTTCACAGCTCTCACTGCGACACCTTTCCCTAACTCGTCTGCAGAAACAGCAATCCGCATCCAAGAGCGCCGTCCGAGCTCCTCCTACAACTCGAGAGATGGATGTCCTCAAGCTTAAGAAGGCATGGGAAGTGGCGTTGGCACCAGTGAAGCAGCTACCTATGACCGCAATCATGATGTACATGTCTGGCAATTCTCTGCAGATATTCAGTATCATGATGGTGGTCATGGCATTTAAGAATCCTGTTGTGGGTTTGATGGCTACACAGCAAGCATTTGAGAGGTTTGAGACAGAGGGTACGAGACCGAAGTTGGTGCTGGTCAAGGCTGTATATGTCGCAATGCAGATTCTAGCACTGGCATTAGGGGTATGGAAAGTAAATGGGATGGGACTGTTACCGTGAGTTCTGCGGGAGTTGAGGCTGCAAATTGTGCTAATGATCAATAGGACTACAAGGTCGGATTGGTTGGCTTGGGAGACGGCGCGAGATCCATTAGAAGTGGCTATACCCGCATTCTGAAGACTCGGAATGGGAGGCATGAATGGCGTTTAGGTGTATCATAGTGGACTTAACATTAGGAGGTCTTTGGGATGATACAATTATAATTGTTTTCTGCATTCTGCCTCTGCACTTTCTTTGCAGTCTTCACTACACAAAGGGATTGAAGTAACCACAAGTGAACAAATTGGCATCCTTTCTAGAAAGCTACAAGCCAAAGCAAGTCCTAGTCGGTCATACAAATGTCTACCGTCGTTGATCATTCCAACCAACACATGTTCCTCCTGGAACTTTGAAGTCAAGGTTCATGGACATGTACTGGAAGCGTTTAGTTCTGTTTGAAAAGCCTCCATTTCCGTCCACGCTATTTATACCCAGAGTCTATATCAACTCTCACTGAAAGCCATCTCTCAACTGCCAATATCAGATTCCATCATAGTTCGTCATGAGCATCACTCTATAGACTCGTTAGTATTCTTATCCTCGAAGTTTACTCAATCGACAACTTGCCATTTCCGTCTCCCTCACCCGTTCCTTCTTCCCCTCCATCTTCCCCCAAAACCTCTCTAAGAACTCCTCCACCCCCACCCCTTCAATCTCCCTCTCCTGGTCAAAAACAAACGTCTCATCATCCTCAATATCATGCACCACAAAAGCCGGCCACCTCTTCCCATCCAACCCCAACGGTTTCGCTAAAAACGGTAACTTCACCGCATCTATAGTTGCAAAGTTCATCTTGCCTTTATTCTTGATCACTATTGGCTTGAATGTTTGAGCAAGGGATGTGCGTTCATGTTGTGTAAGAGCGAATATTAAGGCTAGTGGGAGGCCGGACTGTGGATGTTAAGGCGAGTGTGAGGAGAAGAGAGGAATGGTTAGGTACTTACTTGAGCGTATTCTGCGAATTTCTGCATCCCGAATTGAGGGATTAGGGGTGATTCCAGTGCTTCTTCTGCAAATTTTGTGATCTTTTCTACGTCGAAGTCTCCATCGTATAAAGCAGGTACTTCATCCAAAGGGTTCCAAAGCACGATGAACCGTTCCTTGCTTTCTTCCGACGGGAATAGAGATCTATTTGTTGCTGTACCGAAAATAAAATTCTCATGGAGTGGAGACTCGGCTGTTTGGATGAAGAGAGCGAGAGATTCGGTATCAGATGGATCAAGATACGCAATCAAGAAGGGTGTATCAAAGTCTCTGAACTCTTCTATGTTTTCTGTGGTGATTTCGGAGATCAGAGGGAGAGTTTGCTTTATCATATGGGAAACAATCCTAGACTTCATCAGCTTGATTCATGTTCAGGGCAGGGAGTTGTGCATACTGTTTAGCTTTCTGTCTCGCTCTATACCTAGCAGGCGTTCTTTCTAATCCCCTAAAGATTCTGATTGTAGGATAAGATTGGACGCCGTATCTACTGCATATTTTGGCATCTTTTGTACAGTCGATTTCGGAGAGGTATATGTTTCTGTTGCTTAGACTTTCTGCTGCTGATTCAAGCTCTGGTATGAGATCTTGACATGGCTCACTATATTCAATTAGCTCGTAATTTAGACGCCATTGAAATAGAGATACCTACTACCATGGCTATGAAAGGAACCCCACTTAGCATATATCTGAACCCTCTAGGTGATCAACTTACAACGCAAACTAGATCAAAGATATCAGCTAGGTATACGTAATTTCACATACCAGCCACGTGATCACTTCCATTTTCAAAGGCCCAGGAAAACGTCAAGAACTCACAAGAAACAATCAAAAATTCCGTCCTCTCAACACAACTCTCAAAATTCTCCTCATCCAACTGAATCAAATGACTGCTCATCACAAACGAGCAAAGACTCAGAACCACAACCAAAAAACTCAGTCCCCGTCTCGCCATTTCCTCAATCTCAACTCTGCAAAATCCCAGAATTGAGGAACGGACGTCTTATGAAGTACCACTCATCAACATCTCAATCTCAACAATCGTATAAAAGCTCATTCCATGATCAAGGAGGTTAAGAGAGCACACAAGCTTCGCCAAGTCGGAGCACAGTACAGAGGCACGTGTCCGCGGTGGGGCTAGTACGATCAGGGGGCTCAACCGAGGAGTTCACAACATCAAGGACCTCAAAAATACAATACTTCCTACACTCTTTCATTTCCCCATATAAACAGGCTCATAATGGGAGCGACCCTGAAAATCCTCCTCCCCTCCCTCCTAGTCCTCGCCCTCTGTCTAACACCCCTCTTTACACCCCCACACGTGCAACTCCAACTCCAACAACTATTCTCCGCCTTATACATCCCCTCGCAACCCAACATTCCCTCAAACCCAGAATCCAATACCAACCCCTACGAAATAAAAACCCACACCTTATCTACCTCCCCCCGAGTAATCTACATCGAGAACTTCATCACCCCTCTCGAAGCTGCGGAACTAGTATCTCTAAGGTCCCGTTCCCTCTCCTCTAATCTTTCCTCTCTCCTCTTCCTACCCCCCTTCTTCCCCGAATCTCCAACCTCAAATCCACAATCCCTTCTCAAACAACTAACACCCCTCAGCCATTCCAACTTCCGCCCCTCACCCCTCTACTCCGACTCCGGCACCCGCAGTCAGGACAGTAGTTACCGCTCCTCGCTAACCGCCACTCTCCCCTCCTCACCCATCGTGAAAACAGTCGAGCAACGAGCCCGCTCACTCCCGTTCTTCGCCCCCTCGGTGAAGATAAAACCGTTAGTCGTCCAAAAATACGGGCTCGGGAAGGAATATAAAGATCACTACGACGTACCTATTTCCCTCCCTTTCCTCCTCTCTCTTTCCCTCCCTTTCCCCTTTTTCTCACTTCCCAAAACTCTCCTCACCTCCCTAAACTCTTCCAAGGAAAACATCTAACAACCAAAAAAAGTGGTTCCTCCCCAACCCCACCCTATCAGGAAACATACCCAGCACGATATTCGTCTACATATCCGCCAATCGCACGGGAGGGGGAACGAATTTTCCTCGTTTATTCCTTTCTCCCTCCTCCTCCGCCGCCTCCTCTTCCACTTCCTCTTCTGGAGGAGAGATGAAAGAAGATGAAGAAAGGTGGTGCGAATTCATAGACTGCGACCGGCCCTCTCACTCCGGAACAACGTTCTTACCTCGAGTTGGGAATGCTGTTTTTGTACGCTTTTTCCTTTCCCTTTTCCCTCGTCCACCAAATAAAAAAGAAAGAAAGAAATGGATGGCTAATAACAGAAAAAAAAACCAGTGGCAAAACATCGATTCCAAAGGCACCGGCATCCCCACCACCCTCCACGCCGGCCTCCCCGTAACAAGCGGCGAGAAGATGGGGATGAATATCTGGAGCTGGGTTGATTATTGACCTCTTCATCATCCCTTCCCGAGCCAAATTTCAGTAGTCAACCTACCTATTTAACGCATCAAAAGACAAGGTGACTATTCGGAACCAAAGTTGAAGCAGTAGCGGAGGGAGATAGTGAGATATGCTGTCGTTCGATATTGTTCCGAGTCGCTGGGTGGGAATGCTATGTACTGTAGGTCGTTGAGTAACGTAGGCGTTGTGAGGGTATTTCTCGGTCGAAAAAGAGTTCGAGGTATTCTTCACACGTAAGAACCTATTGGCCCGCTCCAGTGCAAGAGACATATAATAATTCGTTCCAAGCCTTAATAGAAGAATCCCGAAATCTCGAATTTCTATTCCTTTCCTTTGCTACCTATATATACAACATTTAAACTCCGCATTCCATTCCCTTCAATTCCCAGACAGACAAACTTCCCAAATATCAGATTCGATCCTTAGATCTGATTCCATCTAGAAGAATACCAATTAATCTGACAGGACTCTGGATCCCGGACCTAGGACCCAGGGCCAACAGATAGATGACCGACCAGACCTCCTATAGTTAACACCACATTACACCGTCCTCCGTTTCCTTCATTTCCCTTCATCCAGCCGTTCATCACTCATTCACTCCAACCCGGAGCCAAACTTGGCTCGACATTTCCTTCTTTCCTTCCTATCTAAGCTCAAACAATCGTCTCCCCAACATCCACCCCTCAACTCCGACTACTCCCAAAACTACTAACCCCATCCCTCAACTTCTCCCCCACGCCGCCCATCCACCCCGGAACCTTCATCCTCAACCTAATCCTCCCCTCCACCACCTTCTCGATCGCATTCAGCACGCCAAACGCCATGGATCCAATGGCTCTAAAAAGCGCCACGCTCGCAACGCTCCACAGGATAAACTTCAGATAAAAGTTATTCCCCACCGCCGTCGCGCCATACGCCTCACTGACCGCCATCGCCAGGATCGCATTCGAGATCAGCCAGAAGAGCACCATGTACGTTCTCACGGATTTATAGTAATCTTCTTGTTGCTGCGCTTCCGAGGTCATTTGGGGCTGGACCTCGATGCGGTCGCGGAGGTTACGCAGGGCTTCGTCGTAGCCGGAGTCGATGTCTAGTTGCTCGGACGGCATTTCCAGCTCGACGGTTGTGCCTTTGCCGTGGCCCATAGCGGCACCGAGGTCGGTGTGGATGACGTTGTCGCCTTTGGTGCCCCAGGAGATATCGTGCGTGTTGCAGAAGGCGTAGACTTGGAGGGTGCAGATGTAGGAGGGAAGGAGCATGAAGTATTGGCCCGAGGAGGTGAACATGTGCCAGGGGTCGAGGTAGAGGAAGGACATTAGGAAGTAGAGGCCGACTGTTGAGGCCGTGGAGACGATTAGGTTGGTGAAGATGTTGTTGCCCATTGTTACATCTTTGTTCTTTTCTGTCAATTGGTGAATGATGATGTAGATACAGGCGAATGTTGTGTATGCCATGATAATGCCGTAGAGGATCATAGATGTCAGGTATAATCGCTTTGCACCTTGAGGTCGATTACCCATCGAGAGGATAAATTGTGTGCAGATGAGTAGGATACAAGTATATCGCAATATCACGAAGAATATTGTTCCTAGACCGTGACCGAATGGATCAACCTGCTTGTCGGAAAGAGATCCAGCCACAAAGTAGAAAGTGAGATAGAAGTTGGCGAGAGAGAAATATGTGAATAGGAGGTTGATGAACTGGTAGACGAATTCGATATGAAGAAGGACCTTGCGGCCAATGGTATGATCTGTTTGCCAGATTTGCCTGAAATGTACAAGGGAGTAGACCGCTGCGAAGAAAGCTCCGTTAAGCCATCTTCTACGTTGAGATATGAATTCGGGAACGGTATCTACAAAAGGTTAATAGAATTCATCACTGGAATTGAGATAACTTACCAGGCACATCAGTTTCTCCAGTACAACTCTTCACATACTTCAAAACCCACTTCTCATCTCTCTTTGCTACTAACTCCCAACACAAGATACGATCCTCAGCCAAATACATATTGGCAGTGAAAACATCTGCATTTTGGCCATGCAAAGTTTCACCCTTGAAGTACTGACTAAGAGGACCATGACCAGTATGATCGTTCTGTAGAGCGTGATATCTGTACGCACTCAAAGCTCCAGGCAACACAGTAATATATCCAAACACCGACTCGAGAGGCTTATCCAGGATATTGGACATCTTGTACTCAAAATTTTGAGACGCAACCAATGGATTGAGAAGACCAGTACCATATTTGCCTTTCATAGCTTTAATCTCGCCACAAGCACCGGCAACGTTGGAATCGGTGTCGAAAGCTTTCCACAGATGATAAAGCGAGTTTCCACCAGGTTTCGTCCCAACATCGAGAAGAATACAGATGTTCGGTGTTAAGGCTCTTCCGAAGGCATTGAAAAACCAACGATGAGAATTCAGCTTCTTTGCGTTCTTCTCCTTCATACAGAAAATCATTTGGCATGGAACGATTCCTTTCTCAGCTCCCTTGAACTTCAAATCCGAGTCTAGAGAAACTTGAGTCGTGTATTCGTAGACGTGAGCTTGCACTTCCTTCTGGTTGACCAAATTCTTAGCAATACCATCCTGATAGACACCCGTAGCTGCAAGAGCATCCAGTGTTCTAGGATGAACTTTTTGTCTTCCATCGGCGACAATGCAAACCACAATCTTTTGCCAACCATTTTCTCCCCAAGTCCTAGATTTCGATCGAGAGCAGAAATGCGAGATGTTCTTCATGACTGCGTGCATAGTCCTCGTGAAATCAATTTCGTTCTCGTTGTACATCGTGATACAAATAAACAACTCCGTCTCTCTCGCTGTTGTCCCGATATTCTGACGAAGCTTGTATCCTTTCGAAACAAAATCATCCGGATCGCAAGTGACAGCTGTGTATCGCATATGCGTGAACTCAATTTGGTCTCTCCGCGGCAAGAAACTGTACAAAATAGTAGGGATTTTACACTCAAGAATGAGTTCTCCATTGATCAGCTTAACTTCCTTCTTCGCCATCTGCGCTTGTCTTGCTCCTCTTCTTTCTTGCTTTCCATCTGGAGCTGGACCATAATGTTCGTATTCTTCCGAATTCTCATCTGTCAGGGTATCATTCGACATGTACGATTCTCTTGTCTTCAAGCTATGCCTCGCGCCAGACTTCAATGTGCTCGCCGGTCCGAAAACATCATCGCCATCTCCTATGTCGTTCTCGAGTGGAATTGATATTGTAGCATCATCTGCAAACACCGAGTTTCGTGCAGCTGCTCCAGGACCAGAGAAGAGAGGCGCTGGTGGTAGAGGACGTCTGGGACTTCCACCATATCTAGATGATGGTGTTCCGGGTCTGGGCTCCCCATCAAGATCAACAGGCTCGAATTGTAGGGGTGGAGGTGGGACTCTGTTGTATTCAGAAGACGTGCGTGAAGGACTCCACGATCGAGCTGGAGAGACTCGTCCGCTGGGTGAGTATGGGACGTATGTAGTTTCTGGGGGAGGCATATCCGGCGCTGAATCGATGATTGACGCTGGTCGGGAATGTTGTATCGACGATACAGACGGTTGGTATGATCTGCGGGCTGTGTACGGACTATTTGGACTCTGGTGTAAGCTAGATTTATCTTTCAAACGTTTCTCAAGTTTGGATAAGGGGGATTTGACTGGTTTTCGAATAGATCTTCTGCGCGAAGGTCCATCTGGGATTGTCGGAAGCAAGCGCGTAATGTCTTCTTCCAATGACTTCTGCAGCTTGCAGGTTGAGATGGCCTCCTCTTCTTCCTTGAGAGATGCGGGGTGTTTGGGTGTCGACATTTGAGCCTGATGCAAATGGACTTGTTTCGGACGTGGTATTGAGACTTGCGGTACGTACGGTCGACTTTCTGGCTCATCAACAGAAGTCAACAAGCGGATGTGCGATCCATTGCTAGGTTGTCCTGTTGGTGTAGAGCCATTCTCTTCGCCGTACAATGGCCCTTCTGTGTACATCGGCGGCAGTCCTGGAGTATTTGGACTGTCCATCTTGTTTGCGATTATTTGTTGCGACGAGGAATGCGCCTAACGGGAGATTGAGAATGGATGTGCCGTTAATTTGACATCTGCGACAATGATGTTGTAATATGGGGTAATTGGTAGGTTGATAGAAATTGAGTTCTCAAGCACACAATTGCAATTGTTCGATAATTGTGCATGAACAAGGCTTTGATGCGAAGTGAGATTCATAGGCGTCTTTTCATCGCACCTTCCTCCAAACAAAAGCTGGGCTGTAGTTGCTATTGGCAACACTAGCGTGGTTCTAAAATTGAGTCCCGGCGCTTGGTTTCGCCGTACCCCGCAGGAGAAGCGAAACTCAAAATTGAAGAACTTCAGAATTCCTCATATTACCCTGCTTTCGTCCCAGATTCAAGGAAAAGGAGAATTGTACAAGAAATATTTCCGAATAATTCACAGCGAATGAGAAGTGAATTCGCACCGTTACAGGCTTAGGTCATCTCACGGTAACAAGAAGAAAATTTCAGAACTCATCACATTATCTCATATTATTCTCTGCTCATATACACAAGCATCGCACACTTCACCACCAATGCACGTCTTTTGGAATCCTTTCTTCGTTGGATCGTAAATGTACACTGTATCCTCCCTTCCTTTACTCCCTCCTTCTCATATCACCTGCAAACCGCTCCACAAAAAAAAACCTCTGATCAGGTCAATGCCGAAAATGTTGGCTAAAGATCCTCAATGATACAGAGGGAATGATTGCGTTTTTCAACGCCCAAGATGAAGGTGATGACAAGAAAATGGTATGAGCGACGCTCCGTATCAGTCGAAACTGAAGTATGCTTAATATACAGCGAGGACCAACATGGTGGCTTTTGATGGGGTATCTAAACAGGTGAAATATTGACCGGATTATTAAATGGTAGTTCAGTTCCAGCCGAGAGAGTTCTCTGCCATCATGGGGGCTGAGATTTGCGCCGTTCTAGCAGAGTTGCCTGTCCGTCCGCTCCCTCTGCTGTTTCTGTCATTACCAGGAGTCGATCGGCCTCCAGACATCAAAGCTCCACCCATCAGTGCCGGACTACCCGATGATCTCATCTCTGAAGGGTTCATGACAGAGCTGGATCGACGATGGCTTGTCTTGCGCCTCTTGTACCTTCTTGCAACCAAGAACATGGCAACACCATAAGCTGCTGATCCTCCAACTGCGGCCAGAGCAATACCAGCAGTAGTTCCGCTAACCTTGGAAGATGTGGTGCCAGATTGAGGATCAAACACGTTGTTGTTGCCACCGCTGGAAGCAGAGGTGGATGTTGCTGCGCTACTGCTGCCAGTTCCTGTAGAGCCAGATGACCCTAGGATGGATCCACCTGTGAGAGGAATGGCTGGGTTGATGTAGTTGACAAGGGTGTTCACACTTTGATCCGGATTATTGTAGATTGCAGCAGTAGGGATATGGAGGTCCAGGCCAAGAGTGCTGACCATGTTGCTGGGGATGTACATTTGTGCCAGGGTGGTAATGAAGCCGAGTTGTTCAGTGGTGTCCAAAGGAATGAGACTCCTCATCACAACTTGGTTCGGCTTGAGGCCTAGACCATCTGCAACACCTTGAGGAAGGTATTGGAAGATCTGGGCAGACGACAACGGGTTGCCAACAACAAAGTCATAGTTCAATGGATAGAGGAATCCTACTTGGACAAGACTCGTCTCGGGAGGGGCATCGGTACCATTAGGATTTGAAATAACCTTTGGCAGATTGGAAGGTACACCAGTTTGGATAGAGGTAGAAGACGCTCCGATTGGAAGGGTTGGTGAAGATGCCGCAATAATAGTCGATGGGAGCCACATAGAAGTCGCGCTGTTTGTACCGGTAGGGACAATGGTCTCTGGTGCTGTTGTCGTCGCAGCCGAGCTGGTCAGAGTGACGAGTCCCGAGCTTGTTGGCGCCGTCGATCCTGGAGTGGTCGATGCAATAACAGTGCCATTTGAGGCCGTCTGGGTCGCGGAGCTTGCTGAGGATCCTGACAAGGCCGTGGAAGCCGAGAGAGAAGTCAGGCTTACTGAAGCAGTGCCAGTTGGGCTGGAAACGGCTGTAGAATTGCCCAGTGTGGTTGCTGAGATCACGGTAGGAGTTGAAGTTGGAGATACATCGCTGGTTGGGACAGTCGTTGGTGGGGAAGTAGCCGATACAATCGTGGTATTGCTGGTTGGTGGTGGTGGGACCACGGTGGCGGTGTCGCTGCTCGTAGGTGGGAGGGAGGTAATATCGGTCGAAACAGATGAGGGGGTGGTGGTAGGGACAACAATTGATACAGAGCTCGTTGGGGTTCCAACATCGGTGCTCGAGCTCGGGGGGACAGACAAACCAGTGCTGCTTGAGCCGAAGATGCTAGAAATGATGCTTCCAAGATCAGTAGTCGATGTAGATGATGGTGGCGTGGAAACCACCACGGCCGATGTGGTGGGCGTGACCGTCACACCAGTGGATGCTGGACCAGAAACTCCTGACGTAGATGAAGGAGCTGAGCTGTCCACTCCTGTCTCGCTTGTCGTGTTTGGAAGGCTCGAAACATCCGATGAGGCCGTTGAGGCTGTGGATGCAATCACTGGGGAGGAGGCTGGTGAAGAATCTGCCGTAGAGGTGGGTGTAAGACTGGAAATAACAGACGAGAGGTCTGAAGTAAGCGTTGACAACAAAGAAGGCAAGATTCCAGTAGCCGAAGTAGACGAGGGTGCGCTAGAGTCGGTAACGCTTGCACTAGTGACTGCTGAATCGGTTCCTGAAGCCGTAGATGCAGGGAGAATTGAATCACTTGCCGATGTTGCTGTCGAAGCGCTTACACTTGCGGATGTGCCTGAATCTGTAGTCGTAGCTGGATCGGCTGAAGTCGTGGATGCAACAATCGAGGAAACATCTGAACTGACTCCCGACAAGATTGAGCTCAAAAGGGATGGGAGGAAGCCTTGATCAGTGGAAGTGCTAGCTGGTGCGGTCGATGCGCCTGTTCCAGTAAACGAGACCCCGGAGGCAGTTGTAGAGGCCGCAGCTGTCGATCCACCTGAACCTGTGAAAGAAATTCCAGCATCGCTATCCGTGCTCGTTCCTGTTGGAGCTGTAGATCCCCCAGTTCCTGTGAAAGAGACTCCGGAGCTCAGGCTGGCGGCAGACGAGGTGACTGGGTCTGTGGAAGTTGTAGATGATCCCAATACTCCACCTGGACCGAATGTAATAGCACTTCCAGAGGACGAGGATGTCGCTGAAGATACATCACTGCTGGCCGTACTGGCGGTTGGAGAAACGACAATTGAGGGAATTGAGCCTGTGGATGCAACTGAAGCAGCCGAAGCCGTAGAGGCCGTAGGAGAGACGACAACTGCAGGTACCGATCCAGTAGAAGCAACAGAAGACGAAGATGAATCGTCACTCGTTGAAACAGTAGGCTGGACCACAACATCTGGCACAGATGCGGTCGAGGCAACTGATGCCACAGTTTCTGACGATTCGCTTGATTCGGAAACAGAGTCTGTAGATGCTGCAGAAGATACTTGCGAGGATGCGCTCCCATCACTAGTCGACGAAACCGTAGGTTGGATGATCGTCTCTGGAACAGCTCCTGTTGATCCAACACTTGTAGCAGCAGCCGCCTCTGTCGTCGATGATGCCGCAGTGGAACCGGGTGCAACAACTGTCGTCTGGGAAATGATAACCGTAGTCACTCCATCTACACTCGATGTCGAACTGGTGGAAAGGCCTAACAACGACGAAAGAAAGCTGTCCCCATTGCTTGCTCCCGTCGTCCCCGCTGAACTTCCTGCACTCGAACTTGAACTCGACGAAGATCCAGACGAAGTCGTGTCTTGGTTCGTGCTGGTACCTGTAATTGACCCCAAGAAATCCGACAATGAAGAGGTCGTTGATCGCTTTGTCGAAGACGAAGAACTTGACGAGCTCGACGTCAGAGACTCTTGAGAAGTCGATTTCGCAGGAACAGTCGAGAAGGTCGAATTATGAAAGACTTGACGCTTGATTTGTCGAGGGTAATAGAATTTGGGTCGGTCTGGTTCGGCACTAGTTAGAGTAGAAAGGACAGCCACGGAGGCCACAAATAGTGAAGGTGTATGCATCCTGGCAATTGGTATATGTTTTGTTTGCGATCGATGTGAAATTTAGACGTTTTGGAGGGGAGGCGCGAAAGTTGAGACGAATATAAGCTTTAAAATCTATGTTGGAGTCAGCGACGACAACGATTGACCACCGATCGCATGTCCCACTGACAGTCAGGGCAAATTGGATGAACGAGTGTACTTGACAAAAATGTCAACGAGCGTGTCTGTTGATTCAAGCACGTCAGTAATGATTCTTGGTTCCAAGTATGCTGTTTCGCATGAATGATCCACCAATCCCCAGCGACCGAACGAAATCACGATGAAAACAAATCCAACTGATAATGATTCGGTCGCACAGAATAACATCGACTCACCTTGTGAGATTAGGTACCAGTCGTAAGTCGAATCGCAGTCTCAAAGGAGTGTCGTGACGAAAAATCGTCGAAAAGTTGGGGTCTCGTCTTCACAACTTCAAATCGTTGGCACTCATGAACAAGCGACCATTATCCTCAGCCTCCGGAGGCTCTTCGTTTCGATTGGAATTGACGAGATTCGTGAAAAGGCGTGCGAGCAAGCTGCACGACGTCGAAAGTGAGGGTCGGAGGAGAGGGACGAGAAGGCGAGGAGGAGCGGTGGAGGAGGAGAGAGAGGATGGATGGATGGAGTGAGTGAGTGAGGCGGAGAAGAGTTCGATGGGATGGGTGGACCGACGAGGTGAGATTGGGTAGGGCGAGGATGGGAGTAGGTGGGCAAGAGGCCGCTGCGGTGCAGCAAGGGAAGGGGAAGGGGAAGGAACAAATGCCCGTCTGAGCCAGGCCAGGACCAGAACCAGGACACCAGCGCCGGTATGAAAGAGCGACGAGCGAGCGAGATTGAATTTTAGGTTGGCTCCACTTATTAGCGGTCAGGTTCAGGTCAATCAGGTCAAATTCAGGTCAAGTCAGGTCAAGGTGCAGGTAAATAATCCAACAAGTGACGGCCCGTGCAAATACGGGAAAATCAGGGCCAAGCACGCCGCTTCTCCTCTTCCATATTACGACCCAATATTATTGATCGGCCCAGATCTAGGAGCAATCTCGCCAGTGTACTCAGATATACGCTGCAAATCGAGTGGAACTCCAGATCACTACTGAATGGGACTTATTCCCGCTGCAGGAGAGCCCTACTAGTGGCGCTGCCCTGGGACCACTTTTTCACTTTTCCCCCCGAACACAGCAGCAATGCCAACAACTGCGCCAGTGAGAAAGCGGAGATCAGACTGCTCGGCCATGAAAGCCCCGATGTCACCAAATCATCAAGCATCCCCATCCCTCGTTTTTGCGGTGCACAATCCAGCATGCCAGCATCCCATCACTTCCAACGATGCCCCTGCAGTGAGTGAGTTAGTGAGTGAGAAGATGAGTGATGAGTGAGCGAGCGAGGCGTGGATGATGGAATATGGTACAGACAGTATCGATGAGATTGGAAAGTGGTGGCGGCTGCTTCTCTGCCTCATCGTACAATTTCGCATCATCTGACTACGCTTCCTCCTCTCCTTTCTCTTACTCATGGACCGTTGTCCCTCTTACTCTTCTCAGTCTTCCGGGCACTCTCACTGTTACTCCTCCCCTCCTCTGCGGACTCCGTTACCCTGCATCACATTTACGAAAGACACGACCGATTGACCGACACGACGGACAGATTACTGTATTTTCTCGGGGTGTGGCTCTCCATCAGGGCGGCGGCACACGTTTAGCTGCTGCTGCTCGGTGGTCTTGGTCTTGGGTCTGCCCTGACTTGCCCTTCTTGGAGCCAGCGGCGGCGGCATGAAAGAGACGGGGGGGCCCAGGAGGTCCACAAATGTTCTCCTGGCCTTAAACTCCCCGCTAGCTGCCTTGACCCGGCAAATCAGCGAGGGTTGTCGAAGAATTGGTGTGTTTGATAATAAGCCAAATTGGCCCTTAATTTCCGGCTATGCGAGTCGCTTAAAATACCCACGCTATTTCTTCCTTTTCTCTCTCTCCCTTTCACACCACCACCACCACCACCACGCCTCGTCCTTGCCTGGTCCCTCGTGAAATAAAGGCAGGTCTTAACGCCACTCGAGGGGGTTACAGAATGAACGACCAACTTTGTTTTTCGCACCGGGGGCATGGGGATAATGATGAAAGCCACTCCGAATTGATGAAGCATCTGCATCAACATCAACGAAAGGAACATCTCCTTCTCAGGGTGAATGGATTGAACACGAATACACACACCACACAGTCGTGACGACGCCTTTCTCGCTTTCCTGCCCGAATCACGACGAGCCGCGATGAGGCTTAGAGAGCTGAGCAAGCCCATCTCAAGCCCTGCCGCGCACGTCTTTCTTAATCTGGATGAATTTTATGCACGTATTATGCCTGTTGTCGCCTGAACTTCTCATTGGATCACCCGCGGCCGCCTGACAGCCACCAAACAATACAGGACTGCTCAATCAATATTCTCGCTGCAAGAGGATCATTTATTTTCCCCTCTCTTTGTGCAAGAGTCATCTGCATCCAATATCTCTCCTCACATAAGAAGGGACGCGTGATACAATACAATACCAGACAGCACACTCAATCTTTGATGATGGTGGAGGGCGAAGAATTTAGATCATGATCGAGACACTTCGCGACAAGCCGGCGTCTGCACAATGAAAAGTTCGAGGAACGAGGATCTTGTTCCTGAATCATCCATGAACCGGGCCCTCAACCACACCCAGCACGGTTCACCACTCGCACCCAAGATTTGAAGCGGCCACCACCACCACCACCATCACGACTCCGAGACAAAACCAAACCTCACTTCATTCTACTAGCAAACAGCCGCTTGACCATTCCCATCAAACCCTCGACCTCAAAACGAACGCCCATCATCATCCTAAATTCCTAGCCATCCTCAAAGCATCAGAGGAAAACATCCGTGAGTCTCCCTTCCTGGATACGAGAATCCGAGCACAATCAAAACTCAGATTCCCCTTCTGTACTGGCTTCGCGCCCTCTTTCCTTACCGAGATAATCTCACGTTACGGCCTCAGGTTACATGAATTACAGTTACACTCGCTCACTCGGCCTCGTTCATGGATGTCCGGCGGTACACTCGCTCGCCAAGCTCAGATCAGGATCTCGTTCCTGAGAAGGTCCAGACCGGGCGCTTGAACGCTGATCCATCCCATCACATCAAATCCCATCCATCACAAGCTTCATATCACATTTCCAAGAAACAAATTTTATTTTATCTCAACAACGGTGGTGATGATCTACTCAAGAAATCTCCTAAGGTACCATTTCCCCGACGTTGTCTAGCTACACGATACCGGTTCATGAACTGCCGTGAGCTTTCTTCCTTCTAAAATAAATGAAAGGGCTCACTCAACCAACCTTCGTTTCGTCGAAGAAGGGGGTTTCACACGAGACGAACATCGAACGGAACGAACCCAACCCATGATCCCATGCTCATCTGAAAGCTTGAATTCATTCATTCATCACATCATCCAGTCCTCGTTTCACATCTCCTTACATCCCCGAAACCTCAATCCCGAGAACAACAGCCACCTTCCAGAAGAAAGTCATCATCGTCCCATATCTGCGCTGCGCTGCGCCTTCCACCACATGCACAGCGCATCGTATCGTACGTCGTGTAACACACCCACTGAACCACTGAACCACAACCACTGTACTTCTATCTCATGACAAGTTTCACATTCTCCAAGGACGGAGAGAAAAAGAGAGAGAAATATATTATCCCCGCACAACACTATAAAATATATTAAACACCACAGAAAAAAACGAACGGAGGTATACTGAGCGAGCGACGACGGAGGCCGTGAGTGCCGAATTGTTTTTCCCTTCCCTTCTCCTCCCTCACTCACCCATCCCTCTACTGTACCAAAGAATAGAATCTCAGGTTACGAGAGAGATCAGCGTTCTTTTCTCCTCTTCCATAAATTTACCAGAATCCAGATACAATTAAAAATGCCAGTGAGAGGTCTTTCGCCCGAAATTCGACATCTGCGCTGCAGCTCTTTCTCACCTGCAGTGAGTGAACTGCAGGCAAGGCAAGGTAAGGTACGTAAGGCCGAAACTCCACGTTCGAAGGAAGCAGCATCGGCGCCTTCCATTCATCACCCTCGCGCCCACGCCGTGAAGGACCGAATCGTGCATGTATGCATGAGGGAAGGGGTTAATTTTATCTGCAATCCCACTCCAAGGCTCTTCCTTTACTGCGCTGCGCTCTCGCAATCTCCGAATGCAAGTAAATTTACGTTAACCTTCTTCCTGCCCTGGGCAGCACTTAAATAAAACCTTGGAAGGTTAAAATATGATATGGCACGTGATGTGATGTGATGTGATGTGAAGTGGTAGGTAGGTAAGTTTGAAACATTCCAGGTTGTGTTAGATTGAGGAAGTAGTGAGGTGGTGAGGTGGGGTATGAAACACCGGGAAAGAGGCAAGTGGCAAAAGGAAATTATGGATGGAGGTGATGGTATGTACTCAGCCTCCACAGCTACGAGGAGAGGAGAGAGGGGGGTGGTGTTGTTGCACATCGCACAATGCAACATGTCATCGGGCTGGGCCAGAATGCTATTCAGCCTTAGTTAGTGCTTCAGCCCCCAAAGTTGGGGTGCAATGTGTGCGACTCTAGTTTGCTTTAATGTTGTCAAATTATGACAGACTTTCAGTACACAACAGACTTTCGGAAGCATAATCTTGTATCGAAAGTCCTGGCTAGAGGTAGGAATTTCGCTCCTCAAAAAGTCGTGAATTTAGTTCAGCGACCACTTTACGCCCGGCTACCACGAGCGCGGCTGTAGCGTTAGAGCAGTCTTTCGTGTTTTTTGTAAATATTATAGGAGAGGAGTGTTTATATATTATGAGCGAAGTGGTGGGGTAAATTTGCAGAACGTTGTTAAAAATAATTTTCGAGCAATTTTTGCTTTAATTTCGAGCACGTAGTTCTAATTCATTTTTTAATTTTCGAGCAGTACAAATTTAAATTCACTATTTACCTAGTTTTCGAGCGTTAAATTGGTGTGAGTTATTGCTAAAGCTTAGCGGAATATAAAAAAATCTCTTGAATACGATTGACTTTTTTTAGTATAAACTATTTCTTTAGCTGTTTCCGTTCTATAAGCTGGGTTGTTGGGGCCGTGTTGTTGGAGCCAAGTTGTGAGCCGGGTTGAGAGTATTATGCGTATATGTTTTTTTGCAGATAATTCTTGGTAGTTTTAAACATTCTTGCTATAGTATGCAACTTGCATTTCGTTGTTAAAGTTATTTTTAAAAATAAGTTAAATCTTTTATTATCAATACTTATTGCTATTATTGTTCAATCTTTTAATTTTCAGGTTATTTTCGTGTATTTATATGTTTATTGTTAATATTATTATATTTGTCAACAATAAAAAACTAGCTATCTATAGCACGTCAAACTGCAAAATCATTCACTTCTTTACAATTATTCTTAATTCCATAGTAATTCACTTTTTTACAATTGCTCTCATTTTCACGGCTATCTTCCTCTTTATAGTGACTCTCCTTTTCACAGTGACTCTCCTTTTCACAGTGACTCTCCTTTTCACAGTGACTCTCCTTTTCACAGTGACTCTCCTTTTCACAGTGACTCTCCTTTTCATAATAACAACTCTACTCCTTAAATTCTAAGCCCCCCAAAAGCACTCTCCTCCCCAAAAGCAACTCTCTTCTAAACAACACATCTGTAAAAGTACTCACCTTCGCTCACTCTCTTTCCTTTCTTTAAGCACCGACTTCTATAAATACTTAATTCCCTACCAATATTTCCATGTTCATACATACTTGCCCCTATACAATTGATCACTTGCAAGAAGTCTTGATAACTGACTGGATCTTGGCAATAGAGAATCTTGCCGAGATTATTAACGGTCAATAAGTATGCTGCAGCAAGTTGCCACGCAAACTTCCATTGAGAACGGGCTTGGCAAAGTTAGAATAAATTATAATCAAACTGCGAGAAATCTGGAGTTCTGTTCAGTCACGTTAATATTAGCTTAATAGTGAATTAAGTAGACTAACTAAAGGTTGGCCAAAGCACGAATACTTGCACAGTGAATAACTCGATGTCAATGTCCTTAATAACTTCAATAATATCCATAAAAGGTGCTGACAACAGAAGGAAAACGAACGATACTCTTCTATATAAGCATCCTGACTTAGAAGGCTACAATAACAACTTTAAAAGAAGCTTTATCAATACTATTGTTCCCAAGACTAAGTGAATGTTGGGAACCATGCCAGTATTTTAATTTAAACTATTGAGTGCGTTAGCTTTACTTTTTTCTCTATTAATAATTTCAACCTAGTTATAGAGCAATTCACGTACATGAAACTTAGTGTCACTTTTGGGTTTCCACCGACACAAGTGTCACATTTTCAACATTTTGTCCGAAGAATATTAAGAGTCTATTTTTCTGTCAAACATTGATCAGAATTTTAAAAGTACTCGCTTTTACACGCACATTTTCATTCCTCAATTATTCACTCGTTTGTCTACACTTTAAAAGGACAACAATATGCCTCGCTTAAAACAACTTTTGAACACGAGAGTGTCCCACAATACAAGACAGCACTCTATGCTGTCAATGTCTCATCTTCTTGAGCAAGCACTTTCTGTATATATTGAACTTCCAAACTAGTACCCAAGTTTCCAGGCATCAAGTCCTCACATCCAGACAAAGTTTTTGTCGCAACTATTTACTATTTTTCTGCACAGGCTATAATACCATGGAACTGAAGAATCTACAAACAAATTTCTTAATAACAATGAAAAGTTCTGCTATTATCGGCCTTAATATCACAGGTTCGAATTCGGCCATGATATTGTGAACCAAAACTATGCTGTCACGGGCGACCATACGGAGGACGCGACTGTAGAGCATGTTGTTGAGGGCCGGGCTCCTGAGGGCCGGGACCATATTTGCCGTCTTGACCGCCGTCCCATTAATAGTGTCCATATGCTCGACGAGCAAGAAAGAAATCTTGAAGCTCTGGCGAACCAAGAAGTGTAGAGAAGAAGAAGAGTTGGCGGTTCGGAACCATATATTTATACGCTTTTTCACACTTTTTTCCGAATGGAAAATTTACTTACAATCCAATTCTATTCACCGTGTAAACGAATACTGTTGCAGCGATATTTATCAATATTGATACTTTTTATTTTGCACGCCAATCTCGCAGACTTATTGTGATAGAAATGCACTCTTCTTACACGTGCGGTGCGCTCTCTTGGGGATCAAGATGTTTTGGTAAGATTCTTTAGTTGCGATGTTTTGGGTACAGCGATGTGTGCTGAGTAATGGTGTGTTGTCAAGTTTGAGGGAGGAAAAGCCCCTTTTTAAGCGAAGTTTGTTTTTGGTGGGGGTTTGAGAGGATGGTGGATATTATTGGCATCTGAGTGTCGGTAGTTGGGGCTTTTGTTCTTAGCAAGAGCTACATTGATTTTGAGAATAAGACATCCGGGTTTGGAAAGGTGTGAGACTGGGTCAGGTTATTTTGGTCTCTTGAGTTTTGGCATAGAGGTGAATGTTTTCATCTTGTTATTTTCCTCGTCAATTTTACGTTTGTTGTCAACAAATCCGTTGTTACCACTTCTTTCTCAATTGGTCTCTTTATCCTTAAATAGCTTGCTCAAGTGCTTTGTTGATCTCTAACGATCGTGCAAATACTCCTCGCTCAATTGAAATTTCATAATGACAGCTACACAGCGCCGGCTCATCTTCATCCCCAGCATCTTCCATCTTGTGGTTTGGTGACCTTCAAACCAAGAACGCCCGCCAACATACGAATAAAGGTGCTGACTAGTCAGCGATTACTTTTACATTTTTCTAGAGGATAATAAAGAGGTGATTGCTCGACACAAACTTGCTTAGCACTTAGAAGCAGCTCGACACAACGTTGATTCAGTGCTAAGAGATCGAAAGGGAGGATATTCTTGGGGGGCGAAGTAGGTTTATAAAGTCTTTCGAATGGTGAAGGTAACATTTTCCTTCCGTATTTTAGTAGTAATTCACTTTGCAGCCCTAGCGGTGAATAATGAAAGCTTACGTGAATCTGCTTTTCGAGAGAGTAGACTACTAGTGGACTTTTCTCTATATAAATAGCTTCCTAAATTCTTTACAAAATTATATGCCAAGTAAAGGGAAAGCGCTCGACCAGGACGTTGGCCTTGGTGGACGATCCCGGCTCTTGCTTTTCTTGAGACTTATTCCTATAAGCTATAAACTATTGGTTATTCATGTTTAACATTGAATTTTCTGTTGTCAAGGAAGTTTGGCTTATTGTCACTCCTTGTTTGTTGTCAATAGTTTAATTGCCAAGGAAACTATCAATTATTGTGCACTTTGCTATTAAATAATAGAAAATAGCTCTGAGATCTATAACTTCTCAGAACTGTGCCCATTGTTAATAAGGGATCACATCTTTCAGATAATTTCCTGGATCTTGGAATTCGGGGCATCGGAGGAAGATGAAGACGGGAAAAGACGGGCCGGCCGGGCTATATATACTTGGGCGCCTTACAGCCTTATGTGATGGGTCCGAGAACTGAGGCGGAATGTTTATATTCACTCTTGTTGCATGATATTCAGCCTTGGTCGGTGACTCATTGGAAGACCTAGCGAGAGTTTGAGAGACGGTGGGGTATATAAACAGTTCTCTTGTCCACTTAGCAAGCCAACACTTGAGACGAACACAAAGAATGTTGCAAGGACGCAACAACACGTTCACAAACCATGATTCTGCTTTTTGCATATCTTGGTAGCTTTGGGGACTTCAAAATTCGCATTTTGTCTTCCAGAAACCTCAGTTAGTAATTAATCTGAAGCAACGTTTTTTGCTGTCAACAAACTTGTTATTGTCAATAAGCTCCACTTTATTCGACTTCACACAAGGTTATATCTCCTCAAGGCAAGACTTCAGACTTCTTCTCCCCGTGATGAGTTCCACACCCACTTCTGGCACCACACCGTCTAGGTTTCCATCATTGAATGTCTCCGACATAATGAAGAAGAAAAAGAATAGAGCGGGTGAGGCGGCCGCTCTTTTATACTTCTTGGTTGTGAGAAGAGGGAAGAAGTCTCAGCCACTTAGGCTGCGAATAGGAGGGCAAGAAGTGAATATGAGTAGTCTTGTTATTGGGGAAAGAGCGGGTGAATGGCGGCAACAACTGTGAGCTTGACTCCCCGCTAAGAACTTCTCCAGGCATATAAACATAGGATCTAACGCTTTTGGGAAAGGCGTAATCTTCTATGAAGGCTCAGTCTTCTGCCAAGGGTTGGGTGTGGTGTGAAGATGTCATTGATGGCTTTGGTTAAGTGTAGGGATATTGCCTACGAATCTTGTATAGTAGGCGGTGTAGGATTGTAAGTAAGACTGGGAAGAAGAGCCGGGCATGCGGCAACATGGAATACTATCGACCGAACATCGTTTTGAAGGACCAGATCTCCCAAAATTAGATCTTCTATCAGACTTCCATGTATTCCTTGGTCGTATCTCCGCCTGCTTATAACCGCTCCCACCTCTAGCTCTATCATTGTCCCAGCAAATCGAGTAGACTTAGGCTTAGGATCTAGAGGCATGGAATATGAAATTATCGCGGGCTTAGTAGTTTCGTAATTATTTACTGTGACGTTGGCTTTTTGTACATTTCTTAATAGTTGTCGAGATTCCTTTTAATGCTACCAATCAGTAGCTATCCATCTATTTATTATAAAAGAATACTTTAACATCTGCCAGTTATACTATAACAAAAACATCCTCTACACTCCGTGCAGTGCCAAACGAATTCAAATCCGTCATTATTGAAGTTTCCGCTACTGCGACTCCAAGTACAATATCCTCCTGCTATTTGTTGATGTGTTAATAAACTTTAATATTATTGCCGCTTTCCGTTGCAATGCGTTACTGAAATGCAAAGAAAAGAAAAGTTTTGGAGTCTAGAAATGGGTGCTGTATCGCTTTTATTTAACGAAGTGGTTTCCACATCGCAGTAATTTCTAGAGTCTTAGAACCCAAACACGTAACAGTGCCTATCACGATTAAGCATATTAACAAAGCAACGAGGATGTAGGAGAGGGTTAATTATGTCTAAATCTGAAGTAAATCTAGACGAAATAAAATATAAGACTATAAATAGTTTGCAAGTATCTCATTAATAGCTTTCAAATTCGCTAGGTAACACAATAGTAGGCTTTAATTGCTTGCTCTATATAATTAACGGTGCCAAGCTCGAATTAGAAGGGCTTTATATTGTTAAGGTCACGATTTTCTCGTCTCCGTGCATCTGTAAAAGGGCGGTAGCGCGGATATTTCTTGCAAACAGGGCAGCCTTCAACCATAGTTCTGATCACGAGGGCATTAATGACCTCTTCACAAGCTTTTTTGGCTGATTCGTACTCCTGTGCGTCATCCCGCTCTACAATCGTTTTGTATTTGATCTGAGGAAATGCCAAACGCCCAGATCGGGTTCGTGATACAACTCCCAGCGTACTATTATCATCTGGAAAACGTATTCGTTGTTTGCTACGACACAAAGACACATATGACGCAAATTCTTCTCTTTTCCAAACAACCACACTTTGGGGAAGAACTCCTGAGCCTGCTAGAAAAGCGTTTGGGATGCTATTCCAGCCCAATCTGGACGGCATTGGATGTAATATCCTTCGCGACGAAGTTTCTCAGCAGAAGATTATCGGACCAGGCACGTTTTCTCTATGCATCGAAATTGCATTCGCCTTTGCCTCGTCGAGCTGCTCTTCTAGTGTCTTGCTTTGCCCAATTCCACCGGCAGCCCATTTTCCTAGAGATCCCAGACCTAATCTTGCATACTTCTTTTTCCGTATTGTTTGTTCGGTGTTCTGCCGTACCAACTCTGCGTCTGACAACATCCGAATGCGGGCGTTCAGGTCCCGCAGTAACTGTTTCGTCTCTGCATCAATCTGGTCTCTTTGGCGATCTGTCAAGTATTTCCATTGTTTGTCTTTCGAGGATGTGACGGTTCGTCTGGGAGGTGCTGCTGTGGAAAGGTAGGATTGTCGTATGCCTCTGAGTTCAGTATTTAGTGGATGCTTCTGGCATGAAGTATGAGAACAAATACGACATTCCCAGAATGTCTCGTGCGCTGTGCGGTGGGGACCCTCGCAACCACAGAGTCTCCGTGTAGATCGAGCTTGTGCTATGGCTTCATTCGTAGAGAGTACGGCAGTTCTGAATTCAAATCTGTCTAAAACGGTCGCCGATCGCATCATAGGTTGCTCTCGCTCAGTTCCAGCAAGGCCAGGTGACCGCTCTTCTCGATGACCTTGCTTCCAAGGAAACGGACAGGAACTTCGAATGGTCCCTCGTGCAGATGGTCCGAATCGAGAAGGAGGTCCCTAGCATGATGAAGCCGGGCAAGAAAGCAATTGAGACTGTGGTGATGATACTGTATGTCAAGCGAGCTCCGTTGCCAGGACTCAATGCAGTGATGATGTTCCAAAACATCGAGAAGAGACGAATCGATTCGCTTCGACCTTGGGGTGATACGAGAAGTTTGATGACTTCAGCGCGATGCAGGTGTGTGACTTTGGGTACTATGACGAGCTGTACTGTGGCGATGATTGTCGATGGTGCTGAAGATTTGGTGAGGATAATAGATGGAGATTCCCGGTCATGATGCGTTGAGATACCTGGGTCCAATAGGTCGAGGCCTCATCCAGTGATAGAGGCGCAAGAAAGCCGATCGAGGAGCCCTCATTGACACAGTCTTGAAGAATCTCACAGATATGGAAATCTAACAATGGCACGCTCCGAGAAATTTATCTTTCTGAACCGAGCGAGGACGGTCCATCATTTGACTTCTACTCTTCTCCAAAACCAGAGAATGATACTCGGCAGCAGCAAAAGACATAAAGTCTGAGGTGTGCCCATGAGCCAATCACTCTCTCCTCTTTCTCCCTATTTCTCTGAAAAGCGGGGATCTCCTCGAGCTCCCCAGCTTCTCCATTGATTTTTGGATGTCGCCGCCAAGGAGCTCCCCAAGAGAAGAAATGTATTAACACCAACCCCCAACCCCAGATTCCCCTCCTCAACGCTCCACCAGCGCGATCCCCGCTCCACGCTCTTCGAGAACTACAACGGTGGTGGAACGCCAACGCGGACCTCGAATTCGTCGTCGTCGCCGTACGCGGGCGGGTACGGATACCCAGCATCATCGGCGAGCAATGGGTCAGTGATTCCGCAACTTTTGTCCGTCATTGGAAAGAGTTCCGTTATTCACTAGTACACGATTCCGCAACTTCTGTCCGTCTTTGGAAAGAGTTCCGTTGTTCACTAATACACGATTGCGAAACTTCTGTCAGTCATCTAAAAACACATAACTCTTTTGCTATAAATTCAAGCTAAAAGCTTCCAAGCAAGTCCCCACAACACAAACCGATAGCTAAAAGAGCTCGCCGTTACTAATTTGACTTTAGATTAGATTACCTCTTAGCTCCCAGGGCTTCCATTTTGTGGCTTTGCTTGGGGCAAAGTTGCGTGTTTTTTTGGACAACCAATTGCTGGTGGGCACGGCGGGGTACGGGAAGTGCCGTCTATTTTGTGCTTCCGTTTTACTGTCATGATGTTTGTTGTTGTCAATCTCTTCTTTTGTCAGGTGGCCCAAATCGAATATGCTCTGTTCGTAGATCATGAGAAGTGATGACCGCTTACAAAGACAAAGCATACCTCATGTACTTTGTCTTCTGAGGCGGTCAGGACGAAGCCCGGACCGTTCGTTGTAAAGCCTGTGTGATTTACTGAAGTTGTCTCGGAATCTGGCTGAATTTATAATTGTGTTCAGAGCCACGCATCAAGAAGTGAATACCCCACGGACACGAAAGGTGACCCAGAACTTCGCTTTGTGTAGGTGTTCAAGCAAGCGAATTTCAAGCCCTAAAATCGCTTATGCTCCCGATAGTACAAAGATCAAGTATACACTCGGAGAGAGGGACCTGTGAGGGAAAGGTGGCACGAGACGAGGGATTAGATGAAAGGTTTTATTATTGTTAAAGTAGATATTGACAATACGTTGGTAGTCGAAGACAACGGAACGTCTGATCGGTGATTGCTGGGTAGAATTTGGGGCACAGGAAAAAGTTCCGTTATTCACCAGCCTACATTTTTGCAATATTGATCCATTTTCAAAGAATCCATAACTCTTTCGCTATAACTTCAAATTTGCAAGGAAGTCCTCAAAAAACAGATAGATAGGCAAAAAAAAGTCCAGGCTCACCATGACTGGGTTTGGCAACTTTGGCTTTGGACCGGCTTCTAGGGAAAGACATGAAGAGCTTTAGGTTGTTGACGGATGGTGATTATCAGACATATTACTTGACAATGTACAGTAGACTTGACAAGGGTAAGAATGATGATGAGAATATGCTATTGTTTGGTCTGAAAGCAAGAGAGCGGCCTCCATCCGTACAATTGCAAGAGAAGAGGCAATTTGAATTCAAATTGCAAACAATCTCAGGCCTATACTTGAGTTTCGTACTCGTGAAAATGATCACTCATCAGGATGGCTCTCGGTAACGATCGCTTTCGCGCTCGTTTAGCCCCTTTACTGCTCGCCCATTCATCCTTATAGTCAATCCAGAGTTTAAGAAAGCAGAGATGAGAACAGAGGAGACATTGACTCTAATCAGAACAGACAAGCAAATGAGCAAAATATTTGGCATTGGAGATCAGCAACTAGGATTCATTCAAAGCGCATCCATTACTTGCTATGCAATCGTATGACATAATCGTAACACACACCTACGAACCTACACATGTTGACGTTCCAACCTACCACTCACTTCTTCCCAGCATTCTTCAACGCAAACGCCACAGCCGGAACCTCTTCATCCTCCCTCAAAATCGGCGGTTCCGGACCCACAGGCGTGATACTAAACTGATTGATCTACACCAATTAGCCCTCCTCTCGTTTCCCCTCTAATCAGCAAGAAAACTCACCTGCGTATGACTCTTCGTATAATGCTTCTTAATATGCGACCACTCGGTCGTCTCCCCAAACGCCGGCATATTCCAATACAGATTTCTCAGCCACTTATGCAAATACGGATACCCAGTCCTAATATCCCTCACATTCGTCTTGAAATGCTGCACATACACGACATCGAAACGGATAATCGTGGTATAAAGCCGAACATCAGCTTCTGTGATTTCTTTGCCGAAGTAGAAAGGGCCGTCTGTTACGGAGGAGAGGTGTTTTTCGGCGCGGTCGAGCGAGGTGAAGAGTGTGGTGACGGCTTTCTCGTAGGCGTCTTGGGTGGTCGCGAAGCCGGATTTGTAGACGCCGTTGTTGATGTCGTCGTAGGTCCATTGGTTTGTTGCTTCGATTTCGGATTGGAGGTGCGAGGGGAAGAGGTGCACGTTTTTGTATTTGGGGTCGATTATATCGTCGAACTGTGCATGCCTTGATCAGCTTTGGCGGCTAAGAGGAGAAAGGGGAGGGGAAAACAGACCTCGGTGTAGAACATCCTGATAATCTCACTACTCTCGTTACTGACGATCTTGCCTTGCTTCACATCATACAGCGTTGGAACAGTAAAGCGACCCTTGTATTCAGGATCCACCTGAAAGTAGATATCTCGCAAGTATTCATATCCTTCATGTCCCTTGATCGGATCCGGAGTTACGTTCTCACCCGGCGCATCATTATCGGTAGAAGTAGCAAATCGCCAGCCTTTCTGCTGCATATGCCAATGTACCGACGTGAAAAGGATAATATCTTCAAGACCCTTAAGTTGGCGCACAATGAGAGTTCGATGAGCCCACGGACAGGCGTAGGATACCTGTTCCGTTCATGTTAATTTCATGTGCGGCTGAGCTTAGCAGAGGGAAGATGTACGTATAAATGATACCTCCCTTTCTCAGGAGGAAACTCCCCACCCTTCTTAATCCAATTCCTGAACTGCGATTGTCCCCTCTTGAATTCTCCAGTCTTATCATTCGGGGCCACCCAACTGGTGATTTTATCTTCTGGCTGCTATTTCATCAGCTCTATTTCCCCATTACTGTCCATCAAACAACATCGCGGGGTAGCTCCTTACCATTTTCCCTATGTTGCTTGTTGAGAATCTCCTTGTTGCTGTGGCTGTGATTGAGTGTCGATTGAGATGCCCACCAATCTGCTTGGCACGAAGGAGCATTAAATAATTCGTAGAGGGGGATTGATGTTGTGTTTCTCTAAGGAGGGGTTGATTTGAAGCTGCTTGACAATTCAAACAGGGGTGCTTGCTAATGATGACGATAGTGGTTCGAGGTTGAGGACCCTAGATCGCCAGGGCTGGGCCTGCACTGCGGGGCGATTACTTAATCGTGACAAAACCTACGACGAGTTGCTGTTTGATATTGCAAATGCACGACGACATTTCGAGGAGCTGGCTTGTGATTATACACTGGAGAAGGTGGAAAGTGACGCATTTCTATTTTTCCTGCTTCGCATCGCGGTCTGTGAAAATGCAGTGTACGTTCTGTCTAGGTTCCAGAGCCATAAAAACATTGCCACCATAATAACACCAAGTCATCCATCATTCAGCCATCAAGTTTCCTTCCATGCTATGCATCCATCATGTACTTTAACGCACGTTGACCTTTACAAACGGAACCTCGACATCCTCGCCCGTCTGATCTTCGACACAGACTTCGAAGATGACTTCCTTCTGATGAGATGGAACTGGCTTCTTGGAGATGAATTCAACCAGCTCGCTAAGCTTCATTGCGTATCTGTCCTTGAGCTTGGCGGGGCCGAAGAAGCTGGCGTAGAGCAGACTGACACCTGAGCTAAGCATGGTGATATTGAGACCTTTCTTCTCGAAGAAGTCAATCAACTCTTGTAGAGTGATGTCCTCGATCTCAAAGCGATCCCAAACCTTGTCAATGGCCACCTCGCCCTCTTTGCTCATATATGTTGCCTTTGGACTAGCAATAGGTTCCGAGAAACCGAAGAATGGTAACGCCAAGTTGACGAACCCGTTCTTGTATTGCTCAATATCATCCTTGCCATCAACAACCTTATAGAATTCCAGGATCACTAATCCGGTCACCAAAGCTGTGGTAGTAGCAATGGCAGGGATAATCTTGCCAGCGATAAACTTAGTCTTGTGTCTATCGGCAAGCTCAATCTTGTAATTCTCAGCTCGAAGATTGCTCGCGGCCGTAATGAAATCGATGTGGTAGTTGGTATCGTCGTCCTTCTCGAATTCGACAGGTGTCAGCTTGAAGCCAGCCAATTGCTTTGGTGATGGAAGCTTGTCGGCAATCTGCTTCAGCTCCTCGCCATCATCAAAGCTGGAAGTATTGGCGTTTGGATCCTGATGGCCATTAGTATAGATCTCTTGTTGGATAAGGCTACTTACTGGCTCGTTGTCATCGGCCTGGATCTTGACGGCTGAGTTGGGCGAAAAGTCTGGAATGATCATGTCATCCAAAACCTTCTGAACGACAGCATCGTCCATGCCCTTAGTATTGATCCCGTAGTTGAAAGCGTGGAGATTGGCACCAGCAATGATGAAAGTCCAGTGGTATTCATTCTTTGGTTCGAACTTCAGTGGATCTGGAGCACGCTTGGGCCCTGACCAGAAAGGTTGTCCACTTGAGGATGTTGAGTCCTTGGGGAAGTTGTACAACAATTGCTGGATAGCATTGTTGTACTGCTTCTCGAATTGAAGACGGGCCCACTTTATACAGTCCTCCACGCCGAGTGGCTTGTCCTCAACCAGGTAATCCCGAATGGTCTCTAATGTCCCCTTCTCATTGCCACCTTGCTTCAAAGTCGTCTCCAGATAATTTGGCTGACTCAAGTATAAGTTGACAGTCTCAGCAGGTTTAACGAACGATGACTCGAACAATTCTCGAGCCCAAGCAATGGTGTGGTTGATGTTGTTGGGGAAACTCCTCAGGGTACACATTGGGAATGATTGCTCTGGAGGATCACGAGAACTGGAATACGACTCAGTCATTCTAGGAATGACCACTTGAGTATTGCCCTTAGTTCCCAAGGTACCGCTCTCCAGTAATGGCTTTTGGAAGAATACACATCGTTGATCGACGTAAGTACGGGCGTCAACGTTGTCCAGAGCATTGGTGACACCATCAAGGCCTTTCCAGAATGTCTCATTGAAGATGTGTTCTGTATCTGCTCCAACTCGATCTCTCAAAGTCTCAATATGGCCCTTGAGATCCGGGTTCATGGCCTGAACAGCTGCCGCAGCACATTCACTCTTCAGCTGGCCGACGTCCTTGGGACGGAATAGGAATTGACGATTCAGATTACTCTTCTCGATGGAATCCATATCCGTTACGCTAATCTTGCCTTTGGGTCCAGTTGCAAGACCAATCATAGCCCAATTCTTCAACATCTCACAACCAATCGCACCAGCGCCAACCAGAAATTGTTTGACATTAGCAAGCTTCTCTTGGTATTCTCTGCCGAAAACTGCAATTTGGCCGTCGTATCGAGAACCGAGAGGCTTACACAGCTCTTCTGATCTAGGAGAATTTTGAGGTAATGATTCCAGGGAGTCGAAGTACATCCATTGGTTGATTGGTGTGAATTTACCAGAGACAGCCTTGAGGGTTTCTTGAGCAGCAAGACCACCAAAGAAGGCAGCCATTGGACTGAGGTCACCCATAGCTTGATAACTGAGCTCAGCAAGAAGCTTCTCATCAATCTCAACATCAAGCTTCTCTTGTGCAGCAAAAGCCTTGGCGGAACCATATACAATAGCGGCATCGTCCTTGTCTTGCGGTCGAGGAAGACGTCCATGTTGCTCAGCAAATGCATGCAAGGCCTGGAATCCAATATGAAGTTGTTGAGGGCGGTCAAATTTGGCATAGTCAGATATCAAGAATTCTGGGGTCTTAAGCGCAGCAGAAATAGGCTTGAAGTCAATGAATGTTGGCATCTTGACTTGAGTGTACATGCCTCCTCGCTTGTACTGTCCAAGACCGGAGACATCCCCAATCGAGAAAGTATATGGACCCTTCACCGTGACCTTGCGAGGTTCTGCGTTGTTCAGGGCCTCCATTCCTTGTAGTTCCGTAAACGTGACAAAGTCCCCATCTTCAAGACCGTGTCTCGTCTCATCCAGAGCAGATACGAGCCCTTCCTCATCGATACCAGCAACGATTCCACTTAGTGCAGCTTCTCCTGTAGGGTCGATAACGGTGAACTTTTCGCCAAAGTCGCAAAATATAGATCCAAACAAGCCAAAGGTATCTGCCACTACCAAGTAAATTCCCTTCTTGTGTAAGTAATCTCCAATAACGATTTGGTCCTTAATAGGGGTATTGGTAAGTACGACGACTTGGTATTTGTCGAATTGTGAGAGATCCGAGGTCAAGCTGTAGCATATGGCGTTAGTGATTTATTACTAAATCTGGAGGAGATATTTTTTTTACCTCTTTGACTCGTGGATCGAGATAGGTGTGTATGCATTCAACTCTCCCACTCGAGGTGCCGTGACAGCTGCTCTTGGTTTCCCAACATCTTCGGGGTGTAAGAAGAACTGGGATGAAAGGTCTGCAATCTCGGTGGGGACGGGGTCGTAGAGGGTGAGAGACTTGACACCAGCCAGTGCAATATTCTTTGCAATCTCGACACCGAGACCTCTTAGACCAACAATGAGGACATTTGATGCACCCATACGCTTCATAGCCTCATGTCCAAGCACGTAAAGCTGTCTGCTGTATAGTGATTCATCGATTTCGTTGTTGCCCACGACCGACTCGTCTACCTGCATCTTGGTCTCCATATCAACATCTGCGGTTGCCTGCATCAAAGATTATTAGTCTAATGGTCTTTCTAATCTGCAGATGTAGGGGCTTCGAGCTTCGGAAGCTTCGAGCGCGAGGCTGAATATAGCTAAGGAGGGGTTAGAACAACGTACCGCCATGATCTTTTTTCTTGGTTGTGTATCGTCCGCGTCGGACAGCTTTCTTTTTGCCTGCTCGCCCTCTCTCTCTTGTAGTACCTGGGATGGAATGGTGGCGTTTGATCCGCGTCCCAAGTAGAGTTGTTTCTTGGGTCCTAACGTAGTCCGTCAGGCCTGGGAGCGCGGTGCGGGGAAATAGCTTTATCTGTGTCTAGTCTTCGATAGGAGGGGTGAAGTTGAAAGTCGTTCGGAGTTCGGGTTGTAGAGAATGAAAGGAGAAGTGAATGAAATCCAGTTTTTAGGTAGTTGAGAAGGCGAGCAGGCAGCTGGTTCTCAGAGCCTCAATGCACTGCACGATTCCATGGATTCGGTTGCTCTCTAAGCGTTTCTAGGATCACGTGATGTATCATAGATTTGAAATCATTTAAGTTGATCTTCTGATCTTGGAAAGATTACATTTAGCATCTTGGGGCAGGGAACCAGACATCTACATGTTACTACTACGTACACGGAGTAACTGAAATCTTCGACGATTAGTCTTGAGACTGCCTCGGTGTAGCCCGCCCCTGCTTCCTTACGCGTTCGAGAAGCTGGATAAACTTCGGAGCTGGACCCCGCCATGAAATTCTTGGACTGCAATAATTTTCCAGAAAACATCGGCAACCAGATCCCGCCGGAAGTGAATGCTTTCGAATCCTCGGTGGAAGGCCAGGGGAAGACCTTCGTGGGCTTGGAGGGTTGAGGAACATCCGATGTACGTGTAATGCAGATAGCAACCCTTGTCACAGAAGAAAAAGCATGTGCATGATGGATATTTCGAGCAAGATCTCCGATTTGCTTTGCATTGATGATCTAGCAACTTCCCATATTTTCCGCCCCTGATGGTCCCTGACCTAAGAAATTCTAAAGAGGAAGGAAAATAACGAGCTTCATCGTCGCCTGCGTGCTCTAGTTGATCTTCTGGAGTTCGACATCACTAGAACGCACGTCAGTGGCTGGACGAAGCGCTCCAAGAGAGATACACGTGGGATGTACGTACAAAATAAGGTCTGCATTGGGTGGGATGTGACCGGGGAAGCCGCTGTGCATCAATGTTAGTTCTGCAGCTACTCGGCATCGGCTTCAGAGCGTGGGGTGCAACGGATTTGGACAATTGGCTTGCAGCACCAGTTTTCCATGATATGGTCGTACAGCATATCCCGTAAGGAAATTTTGTCTCTTACCGGGCACCATATGCGTAGTCACTGCAGATAAAGGATTAGCCACGGTTTCAACATGGATGTCAAGATCTGGGATCAATTACCTGGTAATATCCAGCGTGGCCTTCTCTCCGAGCTTCATGGTAACAACTCCCTCATCCCAACCTGTTGCGAACCTATCAGCATCCTGGCCCTCGATGGGTGTGGGTTGTGTATGGGGTTGGATTACCCTTGATGACTCTGCCAACTCCGATTTGGGTTTGAAAAGCACCACGGCCGGCGGAGGAATCGAACCTGGAAAGAGTACTAAGTCAGCTTTTGTGGTACACTTGACGAGAGAGGAAGCTCGAAGAGGTCCGGAGACGTTGCCCAATGACCATGGCATGTGGAAGCAAGAACGTACTTGTTGCCCTTGTTATCAGGCTTGGAGGTGTCCTTAAGGTAGCCGGTGTACTCAATGGTGACAGTATCGTCGACTCTTGGAGAGGGGCCACTGCCTTCTTGGAGAATAGTCTTAGTAACACCCATGATTGCTGGCGTACAAGTGAAAGTGCGATTGAAGGAGGGACGAAGATGGAATGATCCTGAAAGGCGTGAAGATAGTTGAAGTTGACGTTGGGCTTGTCGTTGGGCAAAAGAAGAGAGCATGTGGAAAGAAGTGGTTTCTGGGTGGGAAGCGTGAGGTCTTTATGGTTTTGGGGCGGATGATGTCGAAGGTCGATTCTCGGTAGCTGGAAATTTACTAAAACTACCTAAAACTACCTATGGACTATCCCTCCACTTCAACGCACCGCACTCCACTCACATAACCTCGCCGACGTAGGTACTATACGCTGCCTTACCAAACCTTCCCCTCCCCTCCCATGCATCGCCATGCCATATCTTACGAGTGCTCGACGGGGATGCTGCAGACGTCCTTCCGAGTGGAAGTTGCGTCGTTCGCCCTACACCTTCTTAGTCTTAACAAGGAGCTTAAAAGCTCTTAAGGAGGTTTAATGGTGGGGCTTATTGCCCATCCCCCTCCATAGGTCTCCATAGGTCCACATCTCACACAGGTGCATCCCTCTTGGCAGGTCCAGCTCTCTCTCGCGACTCTCGATAGGTACTTCGTACATGGTGCGGTAACTGGAGGACGGTAACTGGAGGCCTGTGTGGACGAGGCGATACTTTCCGACGGACCAGATGGCTATTACGGGCTCAATGGCGGACCCGAGCTGGTGGCTATTGCCGTCTTTTGACCTGAGCCACCTTGGAAGACCTGTCGGACCCAGCAGAGGAAGTCTATGGTGTCTCGAGAAAGTGAGGGGATGCATGGCATCCATCATTCGAAATACATGGCACGCATCGGAGCACCAACAGAAAATCACAATGCTGCGAGTCTTTTTTTATCGAGACCACCTCTGCATCTCTGATGCATGCTATGCCCATGCCATGCCTACGTCAGGGATGCTCGATCGTCTCAGGGGCAGGGTCTGCTCTCCGATCAAATTTGAATCGCTGCGCTGTCTCAATGGCCAATCGACCCAAGTAGACTTTGGCAGCATACTTTTCCAGCCTGCAAAGCTAACCCCGGTTCAGTACAGTATTTCCATTCACCTCCCCGGCCTGCCCGTCGAGGTCTCCCTCTCCCTTGCTTTCCTTGTCACTTGTTACTTCCTAATCGCCTCAACCGCCAAAAAGGATCCCGAGCAGAACTTGCTTTTGGCCCGAGACCCTTTCCGTCCTCTTCCAGCACGCAGCAACAGCAGACCGTCATGGGTCACCGCTTGATCCAGCGGCGGCACAGGTCTGCCACCATCCATCGAGTCGTCCTATTTCCTGTACAGTAGTACTTCGCGGCCGGAGAACGACGACATGCGGGCGCTGCAGACCGACTGGCTTCCCTGTCCCGATGGTGGCGGGCATGCAGTTCGACGGTCCCAGATCGACCATTCGCTCGGCTGGCTGTACATATCAAGCCACACGCCGCACGCCTGGTCCAGGTCAAGTCAAAAGTTATTGTCGCCATGTCGGCGTGCATTGCTGTACCTGAAGCAACCAATTCGAGGAGACAAACTACCGACGCTATTCGACCTCGGGTCCAGTCGGGTCGCAGAAGAGCTTGCGTCTGTGTGACATGCTCCCGCAAAAAGAACCGGGACTTCGGTGTGGTCCATCTGTCCTATATCGCCGTCGAATAAGAAAATACCAGCTTCTGGCGGTTTGCGCGCGCCTGCCGTCTGGTCCTATCACCAGGGTACATGCAAATATCCGGCGCTCTCACCTCATATGATTAATCAATCGCTGCTGAGACGCACATGAGATTTATTGCTTGATTGCCTGGAAGACCGACATCTGGAGACGACCCTCCCGCGGTCACGCAAAAAGAAAAAGTAGAGAGGACGTTGCTGCATGTGTACTGTGCTGTATCTATCCCACCTGGCGGGACACAATCATGAGTCCAAGTCAATCCATTATCTGATGCGAATCGACTTAGCATCCCACTTATACCCCACGGATCGGCTGCTGCTCGACAGATTCCACGAATCATTTATCACCTGCCTGATATTGAACTATATCAAAATGTCAACCATTATTACACAACGTCTGGCTCCTCGCCCGGTTTCGATATCACGTCAAACTATAGATGTTGGTGCTGATGGTGCTGATGGTGTCGAGAACAATCTTGCAGCTTCGCATGTGCCTATCCGTTCGAAGCCTGGTTGCGCTCACACCACCGAGGAACTGACCGATCTTGCGGCCCAAAATGACGACGCGAAGCAGGCATTGCATAGGATCTCCTCATACATGAAATAGCTAGAGGGGTCGGCTGTATCATCGCCGCCAAGGAGCCCAGCACCAGCAGAGCTTTCATTGCTCGACTCGACCTTGATGATCGGACCGCCATGCTCTTGTTGACCTCCATCTGCCCGATTCTTTGTTTCATTATCCAAGTTTGTCTCCTTTTTGCCTCTCTTCAAATGTCAAAGCACAAGGGATCAAAGTTGAGGCTCGCGGCTTTAATGCTCCTAGAGCGGGGTACATTTTTCGCACAGCTAAGTGCGCTCACGTGACTCGCGTTACCAATCTGTTTTCAGAAAGGGGTGCATATTGGGCGTTTCGTTGTGTTCAGGAACCTCTAAACTTTAATTCAAGAGGCGCAACTGCCTTGAACAACCTTCCCGCTTTCTCCGGCCGCTGCCGAGTCTAGCACATTGCTCGCTTGCGAAACTGCAATTACTGGGAAAAGAATGGCATTTCGTTGCACGTTTTGCAGAGCTATAGTTATTTCCCAAGAAGACAAGCACTAGATCCGCCGACACTGCCTTCCAACCGGCCATGGATATGAACCATGGAATGAGTTCCTCCAAAGTCACCTTTTGGGGAGTATCCGAGGAACTGTTTCGAAACATGTAAGCTTTAGATGATACCGCACGTCTTATAGTTACAGCTCGGTTCTAGTCGATGGCGGGTTCTGTGGAAGGATGACGGGAATCCGGAAGATTTACGCGGCAGCCCTATTGATCAAGGTTGCACGATATCACACATGCTTTATGCTCAGCAACTTATTTTTTTCCGTCCCCCTTCAGGCCTCCATAAGCACACATTTTTGAGTGTACGTGATGGAAAAGTTAAACCGTGCTTGCGAAGCTCTCGTCCAAGCGCCGTTGATCACTGCAGGTTTCTTTCTGGATGAAAGGCCCGGCTTCATCTTTCCCGCTTCAAATTAGGAAGTTGCATTTACCCAAAATAGCTCTGGGATTCGACGAAGCCTCTTGCGTGTGCTTCGACTTCGACGGCCCTTGCTCCGAAAGCTACCACCGCCTCCCTTCAAGCCGATGTAGACGGCAGTTTTCTGTAGTGTCAACTCAACAAAATCATTACCGGCTTTTCGTATGCCTTTGACGCAGGTAGAAACCGAGTCACCCCCCTTAAACCGTATGTATGGTGTAACGTGACACAGCATCACTGTCCTTTACTCACTCACAACACTTCTGCTTCATATGTGCCATGACATTTATTGGCACACGCATCATCAGGGAACCGTCTCACTGATGAACAATTCATCCATCACAACCAGCTTGGCACAGCCAGTCAAAATATGGAGATTCGTGATGGAGATGCGCGATTTGGTCACTTATACATATGACTTATGGGAGTAACAGGCATCAAGTATCCACATTTCCTGGTATCAGAATCACACTCGGTTGTCCCACATCCTTCAAATATATTGTGTGGTACGCTACGGAGCAGGCCGGCATTCTTGTTATTGTTTTCCAAGACGCGGCCCGGGACGTAGTTTGAGATGATTCTAGCCCCACCTCTTCTTGAACCGTTGAGTTTTCTGCGGGCCGTGAGTCTCCCCGAATCATACGAGAAATGCTGAGGTTCTGGAATCGCTGGAGAGAAAGGAATGCCCTCGTGCTTGTGGCGACTGGTACTGTATTATGTTGGAAGCACTGCATTCGATAAGTCTTCTGCGCCATAGCGGCCTTTCTTAAGACTCAAAACACGAGCAGTCAACAAAGCCCGACTTTATGATTACCAATATTTTTCTCCTATTCATCACCGTCCTTTGCCTTATGCTGCGCAATTCAGACTTCAGGATGGATACCATCACCCCAAGATAGGCAGCAAATGCCATCATCCACAGTTTCGTCCTGGGCTTCGACAACGAGACCATAAGCCTGGTCAACGAGCAACGACTCTGCGAGGATCATTGACACTCTGCAATGCTCTCAACCTCTTGACAGTTGCTCAGCCATGGAGTGTCTTCAAGGTCTGGATTGCACAGGACATCGCCTGTTCCTCCAATTCAGCTTCTTGATCGCCGCCTTCTTTTCACTCTGTTAAGACTATCTCCCTCTTACAATACTCTCGGACATACCATAGCGTCACAGCTCCCAATATCCTGTCTGGGTTGACATCGCTCTCCAAAACATCAACAAGACCTCCATCAATAACTCCAACACTAGCTAAGTAACAACAAGAGGTGAATCTTGAAAACCAGAGCTGCACCAAAGGCACACCGATCTACAGCCACATTCGTGGGAGTGAAGGGAAGATATGAGTGAACAATTTCAAATGGTGACTCAGGCCCAACCCCGATATCACGCTAACTACTTCTCACAAGTATATAAACTCTTCTACGGCCTAACGCTTTTGGGAAAGAGAACATTTCCCCAAAGGGCAGAGCGATCGAATGACTAAGACTAAAGTCGCATGGAATTCTGACGTGGGATGTCAATGATCCAGAGTGGCGTCTTGGGAGGACCTGGGACGACCAGTCTTTGTGCGGTCTTAGGATGTGGGATGGTCAGGCAACGAAGAAGGTTCTTTGATGAGAAAGTTGGCTGCAGATAATCTGTTGTTATCGACAACTCCTTTTCGCTGTCCACGAAAACTTTATTGCTGCGGGCTTGCGACTCTCTTACCACCCTATATACACCCAGTGTTCTCCTCTTCTTCCCCAGGAACCTATTGCCGAAACCAACCTCAACTCATCTTCTGTTCTCCTCGCAACAGTATCCGATATCCGCAACAGCTCTACGCTGTGACAACGGTCCCTCTAAATGGTCGTCAAAGCTAGCGCCAAAGGATGACAGTGGACCTCTTTGTGTTGACTCTCTTTGATTTTCACCACTTCCTGAGTCTACAATGGATGCTAGACTGCTCCTCATCTCTTTGCATAAATGTTCTTGCATCATACCTCCTAGGACAGAACTCTCATCTTCTACTTCTGTCCCCTGCGCTCTCCTCACGCAAAATGATGTCTTGCTAGTCTGCAGACTATATTTGTGATCCAGAAGACTCTGGCTGTAGAGCTGAAGCTGATAAACAAATTATCATATGTAAAGAGGAGAATCTCCGACAGTGTCAGTCTTCTAGTGAAGATCCGCAACTAAAGTGCTGTAGTTCACCCTTTTCGTCATGGTTGAACTTCAAGCTTGAATCACAACCTGACGTTCCTTCACGTTTCCGTCTGCGAGTACATTCACCTTCTCAACCCGTCTTTACTGACTCACGCTCTCCCTTAGCCCAGATCCTTCTAAGATTACAGTATCAAAAGCTCAAAAGAAACAGGTAAGCCGGGATTGGACACGTTGAGAGGGACCGGGTAATACTTCTTTCCTACGGTGTTGGTTTGGTTCTTTGAGGGGCTGAATGAAAATGTGATAGACTATTGCATCTATTGTTAATTGCTGTCAATGTTGTGTTGTCGATGTCGATATTCTTGTTTTGTTGTTGTCAAAAATCCCGTTTTTCTATCGTTGTCCATCCACTTCCCCCTTGAGGTAATGTTCTTGTGGTGGTTGTTGTGATGAAGTTGGACATAAGGATAGTTACCAAGATCCAGGCATGGAAGGGCTTCTTGGCCCGGGGCTTCCATGAGATTGCAGACAATTTGCCGGCCAGTTCTGAAGAATGGGTGAGAGGGGAGAGAGGAGTTTTCTTATAGTAAAAGCTTGGCAATCGTTCTCTTACCGTGAATCTTGGGAGCGAGTTAACTTTCTTGCATTGAATCTAGAATTCGATAACCTCGACAAGTCGCAGACTAAAAGTGAATTGGAATCTAGAACTCGATTCCTAGATACACTATCGCAAGGCTGTGACGCTGAGTTAACTCTCTTACATTGGATTTGACTCCACCGCATTTGGAGGTTGCTTCTCGTGCATATCTTCGTTCGGGATTACCACATACTTCTTCTTCGCGAAAGGGTTCTGCCATCAATTATTCTCAATAACTCTATATAGAGCCATCTGATGCTTAGTATCCTCGCCGGAGTCTTGTTCTTCGACTGGAGGCTTTTTAGTATTTTTATTTATAACCTCTTTAGTAACGGCGTCCAATTGCTCTTACTTTCCTCTTTCTTTTATAGTTCGCTAACCATCTTTAAAGAATGATAGTATATTTTATAAAGCTTTAATTCCTTCCAAAAAAGCTTCTTTTTTTTTTATAAATTAAACCAAAAATAAAATACTTTGTATATTTATTTTAAAATTAAATTAATTATTTTCCGTGACTTTTCGTTATTGCAAGTAATAGTCTAAGATACTAAATACAAGATTTGTTTCGATTTACTTGTAAAATAATTTATTCGCGAATATATCGTTTTATTAGTAAATTATTAATCTTTAATAAATATAATAATAGTTTTATAAAGTTATATTAAGTGGTTAAAATGCCTAAAATTTGAAAATATATTATATATTGTGAGATTAAATCTTATGATTTTTTTAATATTTTAGTTAGCACTAGCGTATTATTTAATAATCCTCTATAATAGATTTTCGATTTAAATAAAACAAAACAATCGAAATAAATTATAATACTATTTTCTAAAAAAAATAATACTAAGATTTGACAATAATAACCCAATTATTATCAACAACTTAATTAACAACAATAATATTTTATAACTTTTTATAGTAAATAACGCTACAAAAAAAGCGTAGCATAATAAACTACACTAGTTTTACACAATTAAAACCGCGGCCAGGATGATACTTTAAACACCACCGCCATCCGTTCCTATGTTGGTCTCGTTTAAGGAATGTTTTTATGTGGATTATAGAGAGGCTGGAGGGGGTTTATATAGAGGGGACAGAGGACGGAGGACGGGGGCCGAGGGAAGTGAATGGAAGGCGGAGAGTGGAAAACGGAGAGCAAAGGACCAAAAAAAGTGAATTTATAGATTCACTAGCCGCGGAGAACGGTTCGGAGATTGACTCCCATGAGTCGTAGACTAAAAGTGAATTGGAATCCACAACCTGGGTCCTAGATATACCCGAAGTATATATACTCTCGATCGACTGTCTCTTTTCTTTAACAAGAACACCCGTACAGGATGATCGTTCAATGTCGGTGTGAAGTGTCGTGACCGTGTTTCAAGCTTTGTCTCAAACGTGATTTGGAGATATTGGACATTGGGTATTGCTCATTACTTGAAATCGTGCAACTTACTCATCCTACGACATTTCTGTTGTTATTCCTGATTGTTTGTTGCCATTTAATTTTTACCTTAGTGTTTACCACTTCATGCAGTGTGTTCACGCTGTTCCCCAGCTCCGGAAAGTGATGCCTAATAACGCGGCCAAGATTTCTTGGAGTTTTTACTCCTATTAGTTGTGCGTAAGGAGCCACCCGGGACCAAGCGAGCGCTGGTGATCTCCGAGGGATCAGGTCATGGGTCTCTGTAGTAAATGCTAATACGGGACTCTTTGAGGTCTCTTTATCGTTTTCGAAAATTGGTGATTTTGGTTGGGTCGAGCGTGAATGTAGCGTCGTTCGATGAATTTGGACCTACCGAGTAGGAGAGTGGAACAATGGAGAAGTGAATTGGATGGCTGATGATTATCGAGATGACGCTTTGTGGACACGTCAGGGTATATATAACCACGCCATCACAACGAGAACTCTTTACATGGGTCAGGATCTCCGACAATCAAATACTCTCCTGGATGACCAAGAGGTCGCCCGGACTCTATGGCCCGGCACCACAACTCTGCAAGTCCAACAATCGCACCGGGCCATGGATCTCCCTGGTATCGACAGACATTGTGGGTTTGCTTCTATAAAGTAAGGAATTGTTATTATCAATGATTGTTCTCGCACAAATTTTGTATACCATTGAAAATCCTCATGTATGCGCTCCATTGATATCCTCACACTCTACACACCCCGTCAGAATATTCACTCCAAGCCCCTCCCTCATGATTCGAAAGCACTAGCGCGTATATGACGCCCTCTCTTGTCTCCTCAACAGCCATAACAGCAAACAGAAGTAGACATGCTTAGGTTCTGGAGCCGGGCCTCTGTCTGCAGATTCAGTGGTGTTTGAGACCTTGGAATCAGCGAGGAAGCCTGTTTCTTGGAACGTAGTTGCCGGCAAAACACTATTCAATCAATTGAGTAACAGCTCAGGCACGGACGAATGAGGGGAAGAATTGGCAACAACATAACTATTGGCAGCAACAATTGAATGGGATGATTTACACGTAGTGTCCTTTGTTGTTGCTATACATTTTCCAGGAACAGCACAAGACTTTAGCTGGTACAAGTTCCTTGAAATAGGATGTAGCAGCCAAATCAAAGTTGCAGAGTGCCGAAATCCACACGCAGGCATAGCGCCAGTGACGGCTCGATGCAAGCATCAAAGCTCATCTTCGCTTCTCTCCAGCTGTTTGTTGGAAAGAAAAGAAAAGAAGAGAAGCGGTGGGCGCGGCCGCTTGTATTTATAGACTGAGGGGAGGGCAGAGTAAACTAGTGCACAAGGCTCTGGCTTCACTCGAAGAGAAATCTTGAATAACGGACGAAGTGGTGAAACTGTACACAAGGCTCTGGATTCCCCTAGAAAAGCCTCAGTGACGGATCAGGAATCATGCACAAGGCTCCACATTAACTTTGAAGATGACACATTTATTTGCTATGCATTGTCCAAGGATATCACAACACTTTGCTTGGTATAAAATTCCAGTTTAACATGGATGGAACGCCTGTTACTTTGTATGTCACAAACAATGTATTCGATGAAGTCCTCTTGAAGTCTCAATCTTCTTCACCAAATTCATTCCTTATCATAATTTCTCTTTCAACCAACCGTATTTCAGCACTTACCACATGCTGCCTTAGATTCCACCTTTATGGTTTCTGTCCAACATCTCACGCATGGAGGCTCGTTCTCTGAAGGGCTGAGTATTTCTGCATTCTCTATTGCTTCTTCTAGAGAGGTTGAGGCACAAATCAAAATCTTGAGTATATCCTCAACAATTGTACGCTAATCAGATATTATGGCTCACTTATTCTGCTCTATATATTCCACTTACGAGATCCCTCCCTTGCCGATGCCCCAACTTCTCTGCATCATCGATACTAGCTTGAAGTAAGCAGAATGACATCACTTTGCGTATACTTAGGCATCACTACATATCAAAAGGAGGTTTTGTGTTGGCGAAAAGTTAACTTTACAGTTAATTTTGATTTAAAAGAGATATCCTGGTGCGAACTCAGGGGCTCGCTTATTGACGTTGCTATATTAGGAACGGTACCTGCAGTTTATTCTCAATTGGACTGTTGGATAAGAGTTTCCGTCAAGAAAATTTTGTTCTTTGAGGATTTGTAGAAATAGCTATGCTACAAGAAGTTTAACATTCTACAAAAGAGATGCAATCTGATGAAGTCCATGCCCGCAAAGCAAGACCGGGTATAATAAAAAGTGTATGCACACGCTTTGCCCACCACGCCCAGTCCCTAAAATCTAGACACATGAATGAAGCTATTCTCATACAACACCATCCTTTCTTATACAAGCTTAAGCTAAGCAGCTTCAGCCATCAACTGTTCTCCCTCATCCAACAACTCCGTAATCTTGCCAAGATTCTGAATCATGCTCATACCCTGGCCCACCAACAACAACTTCTCCGCATTAGCCGGCAACCCGAGATAAGTAGGCGGTTCTCGCTCAGGTAACTTCTGGATCCAGTCCGTGAAGTCCTTGAGAGATGTGCCGCTGGGTACGACCAAGCCTCCATCGATGTCCGAGCCACCATTTCCGGCGATACCTTCAACGAGTTTGTGACCGATGTCGTACGCTGAAGGAGTAAGGAACGAGTTCACGAGTTGAGTGAGACGCTTGAAATCCCCTTCGTCGTCAATCTTGCCACCGTATGTTTCGACAATCAAGGTGCGGATCATGTCCCACGGAAGATTGGCAGGTGCGACATTGGTGCGGCCCATAGCGACAGTTTCGACCCACGTGTCGATGATGAATGCAGAACACTCGTACTGCAGATTGATTAGTGTATGATTCTCTGAAAAGGTGAAATGTAACTTACATCACTGTCATTGAACTCCCAGAAGCCCTTCCATCCAAGACTAGGGGCATATCTCAGTCGTTCTTGGACTACAGCATGCAAGAACGACAGAAGCAGGTACAGACGAGTTCTCTCAACCGGGTTCTTAGTCGAGCGAGTCGACAAAGATGCCATCGAATCCTTCATGTTTGCTCTGACACCCGCTGGTTGTTCATACATCAAGACACGCGAAGCTCTCAGTAGGTTGACAGGAATCTTTGGACTGGATTCCATCGACAAGAAGAGTCTGAAGTTTGCATGAGGCTTGAGAGAATCCATGCGCTTCTCAAGACTCTGCAGCCAGGTTGGCGCAAGATGAACGTTCTTGACTAGTACCCAGGAACCATTTGCGGCTGCATTGCTGATAGCTTTGTCAGCGCTTGCCAAACCTTCATTTGATCCCATTGCAATGTTGGTACAGCTAGCACGAGATCGCTCGACGAGGTTGTCGACCTTATAACTTGCATCGAATCCAGGACTAGAGCAGAGCGCAATTGGGCTACTTGCAGAAACTTGATCGACAGTTTGCTTTAGATCTTCTGTTGTATCAAGGAGACCAGATCCGAAGACGGCGGTGACGAAACGTTCGGCGGCAGGGACAAATCGATCAAGTCGGAAAAGCTTGACAAGCAGCAAGGAAAGGATCTCCTGGTCTCGCTTCTCTGTCTCCGGACCCCAAACTTGCGGAACATGATTTTCTCCTATCTCTTCAAACAAGAAGCGGTCCCAGGCATCCGCTGATATTGAATCGAGCTTGCCTTTGAGTACAGGCAGTCTGGATGCTCTAGCTATAACCTCATCCTTCTTGTGTGACTCGGTTGAAACATCAGTGCCCTCAATTGTTTCGTCGAGAATGATATCGATGAGGCTCTTATCCATCTTGTAAGGAGCTGCTTGAGCGAGAAGCATTGCTAAAGTGATTCTGTCTTTTTGGAGCAGGCTCAACGAGGTTCGCTGATAGGCAGTGACGAAGAGGTCTTCGATAATGATATCACGTCGCACATTGTGATTTGTCTCGGTGCTCAGTCGTTTGTTGTTGTGTAAGACCGAATGGAAGATGTCGAGGAAATACTGAAGAGAGAATTGGTAGAAGTGGTTGAGATAATGTAATTGCTCAAGAACAGCAAAGACTGCGCTGCAAGATCTGGCGATAATGTTGTATTGGAGAGTGATCTCGTCCACTTCCGCCATGACGCCTTCAGTGTTGCTCATCTTAACTGAGATCTCGGCTGCTTCCTTCTTCAATGTTTCGAGCGTCTCGATAACGTTATCGTCATCGAGGATGTTGCCACGAGATTCGTTCAATGCTTGTAGTAATCGCTTCTCCAACTGTCTGAGATGGACCTTGAATTCACCTTGCAGCTTAATAAGGTTGGATCTGCGTTCATCGACATCTGGACGTTCTGACTTGAGAACATCATTCAAGGATTGTGTTTGCAAACTGCTTTGAGTGACTGTGAAGTTGACGAATGTCGTACGACTGCAAATATCTGGTGCGAAAGTAGCCGACGGATCTCTGGTCGAAAGATAGATCTTGAATGCCGGCGAGAAATCGATTTCTTGCTTTCCAAGCTGAATGAGAACACGACCACCGGTCTTTTGATACTCTTTGTTGAGTACATGATTGAGAACCGGGTCAAGATATTCGGCATCTTGAATCAAAATCGGATTTCCGAAACGAAGCGAGCTTTCCAGCTGCTTGGTGAACGAGTCGTCCAAGAAGCTTGTTACGGTGAGTCGTCGGTCTTTGCTCTGCTTCTGGAGGAATTCTGTCACCCGACCAGATGGATCGATGATCAATGGATAGCGATTGAAGCGCTTCAGGATAATTGCATTCTCTGTGCAGAGATCATCCACAGGCAATGAATTTTCTTGCCATCCAAGTCGTTCATCAGCGGTAGAAAGGTATTCAGTCACCGGGTTGTGCTGCTTGAAGCTGATGCCTGAAAGTTGAAGTTGATGTAACCAACCATCCATCATGTTCTTTCTGAATTGCTGGTCGTACAGTCCACTGTATGCTAGGAATGCTGCAGCGACAAGGACGTCTCCAACAAGAGTTCCAATTTGAGTCTCAAAGGATTTGCTACCCTCTTCCCAACGTGTTCTCTCTGAGGACAGACTGTCGAGTAAACGGACACTTCGATCAACCTTAAATTGCACTCGAGACATCTCAGTCTTGATCGCCTGAGTCTCACTAATGAGTGCAGCGTACTCGGTCTTATAAGTCGCGATACTTTGTTCTAGAGCATTGATGGTGTTCTCGACAGCTTGAGCTTCAGCCTTTGTCTGCAGAGCTTGCTCTTCTAACATCCCCACTTCTTCTCTCAAGGGGCCAACACGGTCAAGGATCTCAGAGTAATTGACCTGGGCTTCTACCCACTGTACTAGCGGTCCACAAGCTTTGCTGGCACGATTGACTTTCTCGTAGGTGAAGTCATCATTTGAGAGGTACTCGTTGCGCATCTTGATGCGGAGATTTCTAGTCATCTGCTTCTCATTATCATAGTTGACGATGCTGGCAATGAAATCATCCTTTCGAACGATGGCTTGAACAGTTTTCCAGCTGTCAACTTTGTGTCCAAGTAAGGTACAGACAGAGTCAAGAGCAAGCTTGACACCCTGTGGAGGATTTCCCATGGATCTGACTTCGGTCAAATGTTGTCGCTTGATGTTGCTGACACTCTTTTGGGCTTCTATAACGGCAGGTTCTGCTCTGGCTAGGTCGTTCAGGACTAATTCACGTCGTTCGGCGACTTCAGCTTCTTGTTTCTCGAGTGCGGCTTGAATCTCAAGAGATGTCGTCTTTCGCTGTTCAGCCTCTCTTTGATCTGCAACCATACGTTGGAGCTTCTCGTTTGCTTCAGCGTCCTTGCGTTCCAGCTGACCTTTCTTTTCGGCGAGACTGATACGAAGATCCCGCACTTTGTCCACAGTATCTCGCAGCTTCTCAAGACCGACGTTCAAATGTCTTTGTTGCTCCTCCAGATCTTCACGCTTTTCATTGTACAGCTTGACATATTGGGCCACGAAGTCCAAGAAGTGGCGAGGAGTCAAGAACGTGACTCGGTTCTGCTGCTGTAGAAGTTTGATGTTGAAGCGTTGAAGTGAGTAGTGGATGTAGACCATAGAATTGACTACAGTCTCGCGATGAGATGCTGGGAGATTCAGGTCGCGGTAAGCCACAGGAATGCTGTCCGGCGCCGAGAAGTTTGGCCGATCGAGATCGACGGATTGTGTGAGCTCTGTGCCGACCTGGAAAAGAGCTTGATCAGACCAATCACCAAACCAGTTCAGTACGCAACGATTGAAGAGCGCGGGACTGGTAGCTGCCTTTGAGGAGAGGCCGTCCTCTGGCGGATTCATGGTAAACACAACATGCAAATTCTTCACAATCTGTTGTGTGAACCACTTGTACAGCTCTTCCTGAGAATCTAACAGCAAGCCCTGTCGTTGAGCACCTTCCTTGCAAGCTGTCATTAGAGAAGCGAGCTCGTCGCCCTCGAAAAGACCTGGCACTTCTGCATTTGCCAACAGAGTGTTCATTCTTTCAAGGAAGCCTGAGTCGAGCACGTTTGACTCGTCCATGATGAAGCAAATTTTCTCGCCTTTACATCCGGAGCGGCGCAGAACATCTCGCAAATCGTCATCGAAATCCTCTGCAGAGTATTTTCCATGCACCTTGATCTGGAACACCTTCAATCCATTCATCCAAGCGACGAATCTGGAAAGAGTTGTCTTGCCACTGCCACTGACTCCAATTAAGATCAAATGACCTTGTGGTTGTCGGAAGACACGATCGATACGGAGGACGTGCTCAAGTACATCGTTGAAAAGGATCAACGGGACATCGACTTCTTCTTCACAGAAAGTCTTGAGCCTAGCCTTGACAAAGTCTCGCAGTTGTTCTCGGTCAACAGGGACATAGTTCTTCGAGAGCCAATTTGAGAACAGAATAGGACCACCCAGGGCTTTATCTTCCTCAATAGTTGGGAAGAATTCGAGAGCGATACGATTGACAGCATCGTTGGTCCATTTGCGTTCATCTTCTGCGACAAGACGATCCTGGAACAAGCGCAGAGCTTCGTGCGCCCAAATACGAACAAGTCCTTCCACCGAAAGAGTCTCCAATGGTCGAATGGCTTCGTAGATACCTCGCACCCATCGAGTAAGTTCACGAGGACTGTAAACATAATGAGGTTGGATCTTGGGAGTGAAACGTTGCTGTGATTCAAGGTAAAACTTCACCATGGACTTGGTTAGCGACTCTGCATATCCTCGCAAAGACGGAATGATCTTGAGCACGGCGCTTGTAAATGTGCCGTAGATTTGCTGAAGGGATAGTTCTCCAGGGTAATCAACCATAATAAGAGGGGCGTGTCTTAAGAATCGAGCACCCATTGGTGTTCGTCCTGCGTCCGTGGGAGGGTTGCAAGCACCGACGAATTGAATGCGGTCAAGTGTAACCCAGGTTTTGTCCGATGTTCTCCAGAATCCGTTCTGCTCGACGAGCTGTCGCAAGAAAGATATAGCTCTTTGTGTGCCGTACTTGTCAGGTGCTGGCAAGTTGATTTCGTCACAGAAAAGTACAAGCCATCTACCAATCTGGGTAGGAGACAAGATGACGCCGTTCAATGTCTTCTTATATTCACAGTATTGTTCGAAGGTCTTGATGAGCAGATCTGGAGTTGTAGCGCTCGAGAAATTGAGGCCGACTACTTCCATGTTTGGCAGCTTGCGAAGCGCGCTGAAAAGGGTCATTGTCTTTCCGGATCCAGGAGGACCACAGAGTAACAGGGGCTTATGCTCCGCAAGCCATGAGTACAACACGTCTTCATGTCGTACTGTGTCGAGGGTTGGAATGACCACATCTGTTTGTGTGATTGAGTGGGTGTTAACTTCAATGCTTGGAACCGAGTTCTGCCACGAAGACCATTCAGCTTTTGGCAGGGTAACGTCAAAATCAATTAGTGACGAGTTGTCTCCAACAATAGGATTGCCGAACGTGGCTAAGCCTGCAAGACAGTCGCCAAAGCTCTTACGGTCTCCCAGAGGACAGTCGCCTGTCAGTGACCAGACTAGGGCGAGAAGAAGTTTCTTTGCTATAAAAGACTCGACTTGTTCGGGATCAAGAGGGAAATCGACGTGCTGAGAATTGTACTCAATGATATCACGGACGCTCTTGTTGAGCAAGGAGAACAGCGTACTCAGTACTCGAGCAACTGTGAATTCCATGATGTGATTGAAGCCTTCAGCCCGCTCCAGAGCATTTGAAATGAAATTGTCAGTGGTGAGGAATGCTTGAAGCAGATCCGCGACTTGGGCTTGGATGGCGAGAGCCTTAGCAGCTGACTGGCCGGTTGCAACTGCGTCTTCGTCGAGATCTTCAAATGCAACCGTTCGAAGAGTATCCAAATAATTGGAGATCATCATGTTAGAGGTCACTGTGTCTTCACTGAACCACACCATACCACAACGACTGACAGTTGCGAGGGTTGCGTACTTCAGTGTTTCGACCTCGAACATGATTCGGACGTTGGATGGTAGATTGAGTCGTTCGCCATTAGGCAACGTCAACAATTTGTTGTCATCGAGAACACTGTTCAAGTTCTCGACCCATTCGGGATCGACATCGCCGTCAAAAACAATCCAATGTCTCTTGGACTCTTCGCCACGTAGGTTGTCTACGATCTTCCGTAGAATGCTCGTAAAGAGCCCATCCGTCCACTCACGGGTAGTCGAGTCGAGGTTACCATAAAGTGCTTCCTTAGACATAACTTTCGAATCGATAATATGGCAAACACCTTCAACGCCTTCGACTTGTTGTAAGGCTTGAAGTAGGAGCTTCCATGCCACTGATTTTCCGGATCCTGAATTCCCTACCATCATTACACCATGATGAATACCTTGAATTTGGTAGAGCTGCAAGATCTTCGTCATCCAGGTTTCATTGACGACGAGATGTCTCTCCTTGGCGATACTGTGAATCGCCTCTTGCAATTTCTCGAGACTAGCTGGTACATATTCAACACCTGGGAAGGATTCGGCTTCTATAGATCTCATGATCTCAACGTCGCTTTTGATAAGCTTAGGGGCAATAGTCTCCCGGATGCTTTGGACGATAATCTGGGGTTCGACTTCTTCCTCGGGTCCAAGGTGACCTCCCGAATTCGTTAATCGAGCACGCTTGAGACCTCCTGAACTGACAAGGACGCTCTTAAGAGCACGAAGACCGAAATCGTAATGAGCTTGCTTCGAAAGTTTGGCTGCACAGCTGTCGAAGAATGGTACTGTCTGCTTGGACAACTGCTTGGCTTGATTGAAACCTTGAGAGTAGAGCATGACTTCGGCAATGAGCTCTTTGTCCGGCTTAGACATTGCGACACTTCGGAACAATTTTTTGAGATTGTCTGGGAGGTTAGAGCGACCGGCGTATCCTGGGTTCATAGTAATGAAAATTCCAGTATTGGCGTTGACACGAAGCTGTCGCCCAACCAATTCAATTTGTGCCTTTTCGTCTTCCATGCCTTGCTTCAAGCCAAGCTGAATGTTTTGTACCTGCTGCGATACAGCTGATAGAATTCTCTCCTCAAGACGATTGAACTCGTCGAAACAGCCCCAAGCTCCAACTTGACAGATACCGAGGAAGATACGACCCATGGCCTGGAAATCAAACGTGTCGTCACAACAGAAGACAAGGGTGAAACGGCCAAGTTGTACTCCGAGAGCCTTCACTGATTCGGTCTTACCAGTTCCTGCAGGTCCATACGGAGAACCGCCGAGTCGTTGGCAGAGCGCTTGTGTAAGAGTCAAGAAACAACGATCAGTAAGCGGTGTTCGGACGAGGCGTTCCGCAACTCCAAGATACTCAAATCCATAGTTGAGCTTCGCATTTGCCATCTTGATGTGTAGACGCTGGAGGAAGTCGCCCTCGGGCTTGTAAACATATCGCATCTGGAGAAGCCACATGTAATGGTTTGGTGTTGTGGCGTTGAGCTTAATAAGCTTTTCAATGACATCTCGTTGATGCACGCATTCTGTGATGAGATGCTCACATCTCTTACGTTGGATGGGATCGAGATCGCCAAGAACAGTAGACGCCAGAAGACGCAGGACCTTGACCTCTTGTTCATAGAGACTTTGCATATTTGAACCTCCAGCCTCGAGAGACTTTTCGACAGTCAACGTCCAAACCGCCTGAGTTGCCAAGACAACAATTTGACTGGGATAGGCAGAGATGTAATCATTGAGAGCTACCTGGTCGACGTCTTCCGAGGTGAAAATTGGTTCGTACTGTTCGATGGCCTCGGCCAAGAGCTCAGCAAGAGTAGCCTTCATGCTGCTCTCAAGCAAAGCAAGCCAATCATTGATTTTGGGCGTCTTAATAAGAGAAATCTCCTTCTTTAGACGAACTTCCTCACCTTCTTTCGATGTGAACCCAGATATCAGATGGTCTTCGTCCATAATCAGTCCCGACAGGCCTGCAAACATCTTCTTGAAGTGCTTCGCGATTCGCAATGTGTCATTGCTGTTGCCAATAATCTCAAGAAGATCTTCGTCACCCACAAAGTAGAAGCGGGGAAAAGAAACACGCTCCCGTTCAAGGTACTCTCCCAGGGCCTTCTGAATCTTGTTCAGCAGTTCAGCTAGGCGCTCCAGTGACTTTTGGACGCCAGAAATATTGAGGACATCCAAGACAAAAGGCTGCTTATAGACCTTCTTCATTACAGCAAAGAATTCCGAGTTGATATTCTGAAACCTCGACGACTCAATAGGCAGTAAGTGTTTGATGTCTGCATTGCCGGTGAACACTCCTTCGAGGTACACCCATTGCCGCTGAACATCAATCCATACATCAAACAGAACGTGGACACGGTTTAGCTTATCCTCCCATGACGAAGCTTCCTCTTCAAATTCCTTGTAGTAGGGGGAGTGTCTCATTGCCTGCAATGAGTTGAGATTCTCACTGCACTTAGCGAAGAGATCATCCCAACCCCGGATGAGTCGACATTTATTCTGGTAGTTGACTAGATCAAGAGAGTAATTTGACCAAATCTCTCGGACTTGCTTCAAGAACTCTTCCAGAGCCATTTCACCTTGAGCTTGAGCAATGATGTCCCGGATGATGACTTCGCTGGCAGTCAGATTTAGGTCCCAAACATCGCCAAGAGTCATTGAGATGGGTGAGTATCGCTTTCCAGGCTTAAGGGCTTTGAAGATCTTGTTCCAATGTCGGTCTCTCACAGCCTCCGACTTGAGATCAGTCAAAACAGGATTGACTTTGAGGAATTGCCGGAGGACATTCTGAATGTGTTCAAAGGCTGCATATTGTCGCATGCGACTTGGCATCTCTTTTGTCATCTTAATCAAGCCATCGATAGCAGATCGGAGTTTCCGTGGCTGGACGCTATTCCAGAGTGTTTCTCGCAGTTCGTTCAAGCTCTTCCAAATCGTTGAAAGGGCAGCCCAGACAGACTTGAAGTCCTGAACTTCTTCCAAAATGGCAGTAAGTGCAGTATCGGGACTTGCAGGAAGATCCAGAGCTTCTTTCGCCCTCGAAACCATCTCGGATTCTTCGTGAAGTCTTGTGATGCGAGTCTCGAAGGACATCAAGGTAGCCGATGCTACATCTGGAGCAATCGTTCCCGAAACAGGCTTTTCCTCGTTCCATTGACCGATGATTTCGGCAATTTTGTCGCCAACCACTTTATCTTCGGCTGTGATCTTCGCCCGTAGAGCATCAGTCTGGTCTTGCACGATCTTGGCCTTTCGAGTCAGTATTTCGTTGAGTGCAGCCCATTCAGATTCGACTTGCTCGACGCCCAACCAATCTGCAGGAAATTGATACCGCTGTCGGATCAGAGTCGTTTGACCTTGTCTGAATATCTCAACTTCCGGTGCCCAAGTTTTGACTTTCCGCTTGCATGTCTGAACAATAGTGATGAATTGCACGGCCTGTGCTGTAGAAGTGGCCTCCAGTGATTGGACCTCAAGATCTTTCCTAGCCTTCTCAACCTCGGAATAGACCTCACGAACACGGTTGCCGAGCCGGACAGCAAACTTGGTGAGAATTTCATGCTGCCACTGATCATACTTGGCATTGACCTTTGTCTGTACCTGGTCGTAGTCGATAGTGAGGTGACCGAAAGATCGGCTGACTTCGGTCGTATCGAAAGTCGATCGTGTCTTCCTGATCTCTTGAAGCAACTGAAGCCAGTTGGAAAGTTGCTCACCAAGTTGTTCATAAACTTGTTCAGATTGAAGATCCCAGAGAGACTGGAATTGCAACCATTTATCAACGTACTTGCTAATCTCCTCGATCTTAGTCTCAATGGTATTGTATACACGAGCCAAGCTGTCTGTGCACGAGGCGGGTAAGTCGGTGAACAGGCTTTCTGGGTCGCTGGTGGTGGTCAAAGTCATCTCGTATCTCGACGCCTTGACCTTTCGGAGATTGCAAACCACACCCAACCAGTCGTGAAGCTGTGAGAACCAGCTTGCTCTAGCGAACGTCAAGGGGGGTTCCAGTGATATGACTTGATTGCGCATTGATATTTCATGCACGAGTCGTTTGAGGGAAGGTGCTTGATCGTCACCTGAGCTTGTTGTGACACTAAGATGCTTGCGTCGACTATCATCGTTGACGCCTTCCGACCGCTCGTCCTCGAAAACATTGATCCAGCTTCCAATCGCTTGCTTCAATCGGTACAACAGTGTGGTCTTGATACGTGCATTCATCTCTCTAACCCAGTACGACAGATTTACGTAATTCTCCAGGTTAAGCTGGTCAACAGCCATCTGAACTGTATCAAGACGTTGCTGGAAAGATGCACTGTCGTAGGGACAAGAGTCAAGCTCAGCTAGTGCCTTTTGGATGGTGATATTGATTGCAGCGAGAGTTGCCGTCTTGTTCTGAAGTAAAGATACGGAGGCAGCGAATTCTCTCACGAATTGCACATGCTTACTCTCATTGCGGTTGTTGATTGCATGATCAACAGGTCCATGCGAGTTGTACGCTGGCTTGATATGTAAGTCGAAAGAGTGAACAAATGACTCCCACTTCAGTGGAACACCTTTGGATATCAGGGTGTAGACCTCTTTCAGATAACCGCTCAATAATATAGCAACATCTGACATCTGGACAATCTGACGGCTAGTCTGGGCGAATGTTCTTGTGCTTTCCATCAGACTGACAGCATAAGGATAAACACGCTTGGCTTCCTTCGAAACGTTGTTGATCGCATGAGGAACAGCATAATTGAGCCAAAGAAGATTTCGTGTCTCTTTGAACAGGGCAATGACTTGAGGATCGAAATTGACGGCCAATTCGAGCGCATTGTTTGCTGCACGAATCTTGTTGATATTGAATAAACGACCGGCGATGGAAACGTTTTTTCGTTGAACATCGTGTAGCCATGCTTCGAAAATTGGCCTTGTGTCCAGCTTTTTACGGAAAAGGTTGCTTTCACTCTGCAACTTCTGACCTTCCGAGTGGAGCGCCCAATCATTTCCAAGGACGTCTTCAACACGCTTCATGTATCCATCAAGTTGTCTCTCAATTTGTCTTGCCCAAATGATTGCACCAGATACAGGCGGCAGATCTCGCAGTTGTGCCATCGCATGCGCTTCGGAATGGCCGTATTGCTGCTTGAAGCGTTCGTGAAGGGCCGAGATATCATGCTTGACATTGTCAATGAGCTGAGTCTGATATTCGGTAATGGCCCCACGGATCTTAGGTCGGACGAAGAGCGCATTGAACTTCGAGAATACTCGGAACATCTCATTTGCAGTCTTGGCGGTGGCCAACCTGTCCCGCAATCGAGCGATGATGGAATTCTCTACCCGGGACGTTCGCTCGTTGTAGGTGATCTCTGCTTGTACCCAGATCCGAGTACCCTCCGGGGTGACATCCAATAAATCAACATTGTTCAATGCTGCATAAGCCTGCTGAACCTCTTCCACAGCATCTACATCGCCCATCTCTTCCACGAGAACTACGCCGTTGGTAGCTCCTTCGCCTTCTCCGCTCTTGGGACCCAAAACGTTGACGATCGTTCTCTGAAGCTGCTCGTGGTTGTCACGGAAAGTACTGACATACTTCAGTCGAGCTTGAAGATCAGCATGCTTCGGTTGGATCTTGATAGGAATGAACTTTTCGTTTCTTCGGCGAGTGACTTCTCGAGCAACGTTGGTGAACTCCTTCACATTCTCATCCCAACTTTTCCAAATAGAGTCAGCAGTAGCCATAAGGGTTTTGAATTCCCGGTAGTCCAGATGCATCAGTGAACGTCCGTGTAACAAGGAATGTAGCTGAGTGTCTAGATCTGCTGAAATAGCTTCTACAAGTGGCAGTGCCCTCCGAATAGGATACGGACAAATTCGTAATTTCTTGTTGAGGTGTGCAAAGATCAGAGATATTGCGTCTTGGACCTTGGGCAGTGAAGTGGCTGAGAGAAGTTCGTCCAGGGGAAAGTCTCGCATGAGCTGGTTGTACTTTTGCACCTTCTCCATGGCCTCCTTCAGTCCCGTATCAGCCGTGAAACTGACTGTGGCCTGGAATCGTTTGGCAGTCCTAAGTATCTCCATCGTAAGAGCTACACCTTCACTCCGAAGCTGAAGTTCGATACCTTCCAACGCTGACTCCATAGATAACCAGAAGTTGATTTCTTGCGTTGCAGTACCGCTTGCAGCATCTCTTGACATCTTCGTAATCGTCTGAATTGACTTGATCCACCCGTTGACATTGGACTGCAAGTTATTGAGAAACGTACTGTCCTGGAGAAGGTTTGACGGTACAAGCTCAGCGGAGGGCTTCAGGTTCCGAGCCATTGCCTCCTCCAAAGCATTCTGTATCATAGGGTGTAAAGGCAAAATCAGGTCGGGGATTTCGATGTTCTGCTGGAGGTGTAACAAGCTTAATTCCAACTCAGCTATTCTCTTCTTCGTGACTGGTATCCCGGTCTTAGCCTCCACGTCTGACCTGCCTCGAACGCCATTGCTTGCGGACTGTGTCTTTGTGTATGCATCGAAGTAAGGCGCCAGCGCTAAGTGCACAACGGAGTGCAGCACTTCGAAAGGACTGACTGAGCCACCGGCCTGTCCATTTGTATTGTTGTTCAGCGTTGCCACTCCAGGTAAATTAATTATTTGTATTTGCGAAGTAATGGGTATCATAGGGTCTATTGGAAAAGGTCGTTTCAGAAGCGCAATAGAAGCAGTTGTTGAAGGAGAGAAGGAAATGTCCGTTGCGAGGGTATAGTTGTATGTTACAGAATCTAATCACATATCAGCCGAAGTCATGTTTTGGAGAGAGAGGTAGCCACATACTAGAGTCATCTATTGCACCATCCAGTCTCCCTGCCGTTGCAATATCTTTTGTGACATAAAGTGCTACCTGGTTCTCTGACGCAAACCGTGTACATCTCTGAATGGTATGGACCTTGAATTCTGGCGACAGCAGACTTCCAGGACGCTCCAGCTCCTCTCGTGTAGCACCCAAAGTAATCTCAAGCACGTTCGTGAGATGGTTGACAAGGACAGTCGAATCAACCGCAAATGCATCCGTCCCGTTTGTCTTGGGACTCCCCGGGCCCGGCGACGTTACCAGGCTTTCCATCATCTTGTTGTTTCTGAAGCTCGTTTAGTTGCGGAAGGTGTCCATAATCGTGTACCTGATACCCACTGGTGAGGAAGTGGAATCGGATGGACTGGTCGATGTGTTGTGCGATAAGGAGTGTTGATGTTCTTTTCTCAAATCATGTAACCCGCAAAATAGCTTTCGCGTGTCGCGTTCGTCAAGGCTACCGATTGACCCCTGAACGCTAGTGGCTAAAGTGCATGTGCAAGTAGCTGCAAAGAGCTTGGGGACGGGAATTTCTACGAACGGTTTTCTTTGAATCAGGAATTCAGCATATTTAGCAGAGTATCATTCGTTTCAGCTTTCCTGCAATAGATAATGCAGCTAACCGTATGTCAAGGTCTCACGAGGACGGGCGTCCAAAGTCTCTCCTTTTCAACGATCCAGGGGCACAGAGTCACTTGAAATTTAGACAATATCTCGTTTCTATTACGTATTTCTTCATCATTCCTGTCTTTGAAGTTTATCGATGTTTTCAAACATACTGACAATGTACAAGAATCCTAAAATCAAAAGCGCCCCAGCTGATATACACAGGCGGATCATCCCGTAAAGGTTTCCAGGTCGCGTCTGAAGAAGTTGGTGTTAGGACAAGTCTCGTCAATTCATCGGTTCGAAGGTGAGAGAGGGGAGAAGGGTGGTTCGTCGTGCGTTGTGGAGGATATATATCTAGTCGAGACCTCTGTCGGATCCTGACCCTGCACCGAATGATCCAAGGTTCAAGTCTGAATCTGCTGCAATCATCTCCGCAAGAATATCAAGAACTGGCTTGGGAACTGTTTGCTGTTAGTTGCTGGTATTGTGATACATGCGCCACAAGAATTTCGACGTATGAGCCATCAGGGGAGGAGAATGAGAGAACTGAGAAATAATTGTAGACTTGCCTGTCTTGTCGTAAATCGAGATTAGGTCTGATGGAGTTGGGTAGACCTTTAATGCCTTGTAGAAGCAAAGAGCTGCTTCAACGTTGTCCGTGCCTGGGCGCCGTTAGGAGGTTTCCGTAGAGCTGGGAAGAAATGCCAATATACCATCGCCACTTAACCCTTCTCCTCTAGCTACTTCTGACATGAAATATGCCTCCCTCTCTTCCACATCTGTAGGGAATCCTTCCTCCTTCGCCTCCTCTACTGCCGCTCGAATAGCTTGTCGTTGTCGTACAGTGTGAGCTTCCGCTTCTTCTTTTGCAGCTTTTGCTTGCCGTTTTGATTCCTTCTTCAATTGCTTGCGGAATTGAGGGTCATTTCGACGTTTGTAATCAAAATATACGGCGTAAGCTATGGATAGAGACATTAGTATATTTTGATCCCATTGGACGCGAAAGGATGAAGCTATCATACCAAGAAAACCAGTTGCTACTGTGCCGATCGTAGCAGCAACGATTGTAGAAGTTTGCACCATTTTCAATGTGCGGATATCCTACGACAAAGAAATGAGGCAATATTGTCGAGGATGGGTTGACAAGAAGCTTGGATGAGGCGCCCACAAGGAGAGGCTCGGGATATCTTTTTTTGACTTGGGGTTTTGATCAACCTATTTTTGAAGGCAGCGACAGACTAGCGTGAGACACAGCTAGGGCGTCCCGGCCCCAGTCATTCTAGTGCCAGACAGCTACTTTGCTTCATTATTCACATACTTTGTTCTTCAATTGAACTTTCGCAATATGTCTGAAGAGAAGAGTAAGGGTATATCCCTTCGAACCAAAAGGAAAGGTCGTCCCGCTATAAGTGCGCCCAAGCAGATATCTGGGCCAATACAGCAGCCGGTTGGCGACGTGCCTCGAAGTGGAGGTCGCTCTTTTGATGCACCACCTCCTACGAGGCCACAAGCTGGAGGCAAAGTATGTTATGTTTGGTCGAGTTACGGAGATTACATCTGGGCTTTTAGGCTGACTTGATTACTCTAGACCTCTGACCTGGTGAAACGACGATATTCCACTCGATTCAACAATCTTCCCTCAGACTTCGACGCTACAGCACCTCCAGTACCCTCTGTTCCGTCGCTACCTAATCAGTATGCACAGGCAAGCGATCGTGGTCGAGGACCTTCTCCCGGCAGAGGGCAAGGACTGAATGTGGACGTCAAGGCATTACGAGATCCAAATCTACGACCAGAACAATATATCGCAGGTCTTCTAAGTGATGCTTCAGAACAGGATATCGACGATTACCAACAAGCTCTGAAGAAGCTGCGGAATCGTGCTTCTACCGACCTTCAACAAAACGTGTATCAAAATCGAACCCAATTCATCAAGATAAGTAAGGAGGCCGAGAAACTTAAAGGGGAGATGCGAGCTCTGAGGAACTTGATGTCAGAGCTCAAGACCAACACCACAGCGCTCAGAACAACATCATCTCAAGGCCCTAGCGTTACAGATGGCTTTGACCAAGGATTTCCAACAACCCTGAGTAAAAGGGATAAACGAAGCTCTGTAGCTGATCGTACGGCCATGTGGAATTCTCAGCTACAAGCATTGTGGAAATCAGTTGAGGGCTCTCAAAAGTTTCTACCAGCTCTTCCTGGACGTCACGTAGTCCAGAACGCTGGGTTGTGGATTGAGCTAGACAATGCAACATGGAAATCGAGAAGAGCAATGCAAATTATTCTACTGAATGACCACCTCCTCGTGGCGTCTCGAAAGAAGCGAAAAGTAGAAGGCAACGGAGGGGATCCACGACAGGCACCTTCAAAGCTAGTAGCGGATCGATGCTGGCCAATTTTGGACATCGAAATGGTCGACCTGGCTGGGACGAGTGAGTCTACAAGCTCTAGGAATAAGGTAGCCGACGCCATCATGATCCGCGGTGTTGGCCAAGAATCATTCACCTACCGAACAGAGAAGCCCGATGACAACGAGAAAGCGTCCCTGATGATGAATTTCAGGAAAGCAGTAGAACAGCTAAGAAAAGGTCTACGATCTGAGATGGAGTCGAGCAACAAAGCCAAGGAGACAATCAATTATTTTGCGTCGCGAGATCCAGGTCTACTGAAGAAGACCGATCTACTTGAAACCTTGTCGGATATCAAAGATATGCTCATTGAAGTCGATGGCAAACAACAAAATCTTCGATGGGTAGAAAGCCAGGTCGACGAACTTGATATTGAGATTGCGCTTCAGCGCTTTGATGTTGCTGTACAGCGGGTGGAGAAGCTGAATGCTCTGGGGAAAAGTCTGAAAAGCAATGTGGTTGCACAAGACTTCATCAGTTTCAAAGCCGATGAAAGGGCAACAAAACTTGCTGGACTGATTACTCGAGAATTGGTCGACACCCACAACGAACCGAAGAAGACCAGGCGGAATGTTAATTGGCTTGCTCGACTTGGATTTGAGGACCGAGCAAGAGAAGCATATCTGGAGGCACGTGGCAACATTATCCACAAGAGATCAAGGTATGTTGTCGCCACGTATGACTGCTCAATTTGCTAATATGCAAAAAGGCAATGCATTTTTGAGGGCAATCTGCACCAGTATATCTGGGAGCTGTCATTCGTGTACTTCACCATCATCAAGAATACCGTTTCGACATTCCAGACCTGTTTCCCGCCCTTGCTCATGAGTGCTTGCGTCAAATGGGCCAAAGAACAAGTCGATACTTTCAATATTATCCTTGCTAGACAATTAAGTAGTACGGAGCGAAATGGCCCGGTATGGACGGAATGTATGAATCAAGCAAAAGAACATGCCAAAATGCTGTCCGAGGTTGGCCTGGATTTCAAGAGTCTCATAGGACATGAGATATCGGAAAAGGAGCAGAGTGGTCCAGTCGGTTTGGGTCTCATGTAGGATAGATACAATCACAGCATAGACATTCAGAAATATTCATTGAAACCAAAGTAGAGATCTCTTTTCCTCCTTAAATCAAAGATGAAATATTCCGAGTATTAAAAGTGAGCGCAAAATGCACTGACAAGACACTCGAGGCTGCACCTTACCCCTGCAATTTGCTCTTGTGCCTTCCCCATTTCGCTCTTCGCGCTAGCCAACCTCAGTCGCTTGCAACATTATCATCACCGCCTCAGAGCTTTACACGTCTTTCAAAGCTACGAGTCCAACATCCCCTCTTGATACACAGACGCGATAGATTAATTCTCGTTGAACGTTTGTTACCTCCAGATTCTTCATCACGACCACGCGACAACCTTGTTCCCCGCGAAACTCGTCCAGCCTGGTCTGGAAATTTCGCCTCGCTTTCGTCATTGGAACTCCCCCACCAACAACATAAACAACGAAGATCGAAGCCGTAGAGCGTCATCATGGATACAAATATGGAGGATGTTGGCAGGGCGCCAGAACCTTCAAAGTTGTCTCCTGCAACAGAACCTGCCTCGATACCCACACTGGACGGCTGGATCGAGAGCTTGATGAGCTGCAAGCAACTGGCCGAGGTCGACGTGCAACGGCTTTGCGAGAAGGTACGTGAATCTGCAGATGTCAATGGCGTCGATAGAGCGGGCAATATGCTGCTCTAATCAAGATCGTGTCTGTTAACGCGTCTTTCAGGCACGAGAGGTCTTGCAGGACGAGTCGAACGTGCAACCTGTGGTAAGCCTGTCAACACCCCTTTGTCGACCGTCAAGTTAACAAATTCCTCAGAAATGCCCGGTAACGGTATGCGGAGATATTCACGGCCAGTTTCACGACTTGATGGAGCTGTTTAGAATCGGTGGACCCAACCCAGATACCAACTATCTATTCATGGGTAGGCGCAGTCGTTGCGATTGAATTGAGCAGATGCTAACTATGTCCGCAGGTGACTACGTTGATCGAGGTTATTATTCTGTCGAAACTGTCACCCTCCTCGTTGCCCTCAAGATCCGATACCCTCAACGAATCACAATCCTACGTGGAAACCACGAGTCCCGTCAAATCACGCAAGTTTATGGCTTCTACGACGAGTGCCTCCGCAAGTATGGCAATGCCAACGTATGGAAGTACTTCACAGACCTCTTCGACTACCTCCCCCTTACTGCCCTCATTGATAATCAAATCTTCTGTCTTCACGGAGGTCTTTCCCCAAGTATCGATACTCTTGACAATATCAGAGCTCTTGATCGCATACAAGAAGTGCCACATGAAGGGCCTATGTGTGACTTGCTCTGGTCGGATCCTGATGACAGATGTGGATGGGGAATATCACCAAGAGGAGCGGGTTATACGTTCGGTCAGGACATCTCGGAAGCCTTCAACCACAACAATGGTCTGACGTTGGTTGCGAGAGCACATCAACTGGTTATGGAGGGTTACAACTGGTCTCAAGACAGGAACGTGGTCACCATCTTCTCGGGTAAGCCTCTGGAAGCGCCTCGACAACGTGGTTTGGCTAACATGCACAGCACCCAATTACTGCTACAGATGTGGTAACCAGGCTGCAATCATGGAAATTGATGAACACCTGAAATATACCTTGTACGTCTACTTTTTGTCTTCGGGAATTTTGCTAATGTTGCACAGCTTACAATTCGACCCCTGCCCAAGAGCAGGTGAGCCTATGGTTTCACGACGTTAGCTACCCCTTTCCAGTCAGCTGTCCAAAACTCTAATTTGTATCTAGGAACTCCGGACTACTTCCTCTAGATGAAAATCGAGAAGAATTTAATTCCCCATTTGCCGTACCAAAAAGGTGCCACAGAAGCGATGACAATTCTGTTCATGTATACGATCTCATGCGGCCTTCTCTCGGCAGGGACACCTTGCTTGGGAGCCAGCGATGCGCTCATCCGAGTCTTCAGCGAGACTTTTGTAGACTTGCATTAGACTTTTCAATGAATGCAAAAGTACTTGAGATAGTGCCATATATGCTGATGTGCTCTTATCTAATTCTGATTCGATTCCGCAGGTCCTGGGGACGTTTATAGCCACGACACCACTGTGGACAAGTGTCTTGTTCTTCTCAGTCCTTCCACCTTTGCCTTTCTCTTGATTTTGCGGAAGTTCATGGCTATGTCAAACATTGTATCTGTGATAGGTTAAGATGTGTGATTAGAACCACACAGCATATTTTACCATTCTTCTATTTTTTTCAGCCTCTTTGTGACGCGTTCTACCTTCCTCTTCGTTTTGTGGCTCCCTGGAAATGTTTGGCACAACAATGAGCGAAGACTGTCTCCTGGATGAGACAAGTGAAAGGTGACTATATATAGTTCCCATTTGCTCTCCTCCCAGACATACACCCTTTATATGAGTTAGTGATAGCGACAGAAGGCTGTGTGGGAAGAAGATTTATGAAGAAAAGTTGGATTTGGGTCGACATATTTCAATATAGAGAAGGTCCAGACATGTGGTCAGTTCGTCCGCGAGTTTTGGGATGTTGTGAAAGCAGTCATCATTTGCAACAGGCTACTTACTATTGGAGTGAATTTTAGTACAGAGGCTCAAATAGCCTATAGGTTTTCGGACATCTCAAATCCACACTGACGAACCGATGAATGGGACCCTAGAGGAATTTTTTTTTAAAGAATAGCGTATTACTTTTATTGTTCCATTATACTAAACACCTCAATAGACGACTAGCTGATCTAATATTCATCGTCACAACGACCTTGAGCTTCAGGGGGAATCTAAAGGGGCTGAAGACACATCAACACGCCTTATCAAGCTTCAGAAGCTGGGATGAAACAAAAACAGGCACTGATACCAAACCGTGTGAGAATACAAATCATATAAATTAAATTTCCCAGTCTTTGTGTCCCAACAATATAAATTGGCGGCTCTTGTTCCACAGGCCCTGTTCTTGCAAGGGTCCAATGTCCGAAAATATATTACAGTGCACTCGTCATTCTCGGGGGGAAGAAAGCAATTCATCAACACCTAAAGTATATTGAAGTCCGAAGCGTCTCTGCACACCATGTATGGATGGGGCTCCAAACCTTCAACGAAACGCGCTTGGGGATTCCCCAGACGATCTAAAGCCTTCGTCGACGTCAAGCTGCTTAATCATGACGGCGGCGGCCTGCGACACGTCCCCATGGCCTCGATGATTGGCTTGTCGCGCGACTCAAAGTCCGATGCCCGGATTTTGCAGTCCTGCTATTGGTGCCACTGCCCTCGATCATTTAGGAGAATGTCTCAAAGCCACAATCATCGGCCTCGCCATTCAACCTTCGCCGACCGAGTGCCAGCAAAATAAAGTGTTTTGCCTGTTGTTTTTCGAAGCAGGAGACATGTCGGTGGTAAACTCGCTCTAACCCGCTCCAAGATGCGGACCTTCATAAATCGCGAACCCCTCGCACCTGTCGAGTTAAAAAGGGATGTTGCGTCGCCGCCCTCTTTCGCTCTCACCTTGTTCGTCCAGATTGAGGTTATCGAGAATACAACCACTTTGAGGAAGCGACGACCGAGTGAGTCTAGAGCATTCTGATCAGGAGACCTCAAACAAAGAACGGCACACACCTTTATAACTGTCAACGATGTCGACACCAGGTGGAGTAAGTATAGCAAGCGCTTCGAAGATTGGTATTTACTGACACTATTCTAGCCAATGCAGCCCAGTCATGGCCCTTATCTTCCAACTACCGCGGGTTTGGGCGGTATGCCAACAAAAGGGCTCGATGTTCCAATTACTTCAGTCTTCCTGGTCCTCTTTGTTCTTGGGGCCGTCACTCACATGACGATTCTCCAAATCAACCTGCGTCGAGGACATAAGTTTATCATGTCCGGTCTACTCTTCGGTTTCTGCATGGCAAGAATCATGACCTGCACTATGCGCTTGGTCTGGAGTACCTATCTCACGAACATCTCGGTCGCTATCGCCGCCCAGATTTTCGTAGCTGCTGGCGTCTTGATACTGTTCATCGTCAACCTGATATTTACTCAGCGAATCATTCGAGCAACGCATCCACACCTGGGTTGGGCCAAGACGTTTTCCTGGGCATTCAAGATCTACTATGCTTGCATCATTGGGCTGCTCATTGCACTCATCACATGCACCGTAGATTCTTTCTACACCCTCAACAAAAGCAGTCGTCGAGCCGATAGGGATGTTCAACTTCTTGGTTCGACATTCTTCGCTGTCGCCGCCTTCCTCCCGATACCACTTGTCCTCGGCAGCATTATCATACCGAAGAAGACTCGCGTCGAAAAGTTTGGATCGGGAAGATTCAGGACCAAGATTTACGTTTTGCTCTTCTCATCCTTTATTCTTTCTCTTGGAGCATTTTTCCGTGCCGGTACTGCGTATGTGCCACGCCCAAGAAACGATCCCGCTTGGTACGATTCGAAAGCTTGCTTCTATCTCTTCAACTTCACCATTGAGATCATTGTGGTAGCTCTGTACGCTGTTATTCGTGTCGATAAGCGCTTCCACGTCCCTGACAAGAGCCACGGCCCTGGTGACTACTCTCGCACCGCGCCTGCACAGGAAGCAGGGGAGCAAGAACCTGAGATGGAGAAGAGATCTAGCCTAGCTGACAGAGTACTGAGTGAAGAACAGGTGTTTGACGACGATGAGGAGACACAAGTAGGAAGTCCAGCCGAGAGACAGACAGATGTCGAGGTTGGACTGACCAAGCCTGAACCCACGCAATGAGATTTGGTCGTTGTGATCTTGATTTCCAGCGTAACAACGATCTTTAGATGCACAGTACTTACGAGCGTTTCCTGTCAGAATACCCATGCGAGAATATCCTCGCTCTTGCCAGGCATTTGTTTGTACGATAGTTGCTAATAATAATGAGCTTTTCGTGTTGAATAACAAATCCTTCGTGAATCGTGATCATGTATGTAAAGTTTGCGCTTGCCTCGAGTATCGAACGAATGTCAATTACTCAAGTAATTTGAATAAATATATCAAGTACTTTGTAGTAGAATTCTCAAGTCTTGCTTCCAAGCCTCTTTATTAGAAATTATTCTTCTGTTCTGGTGGTAGAAGTGCAATGCTTCGGACGATGCGCTTCTCTTTTCGCCTGAAACCAACAGCAGCAATACTAATAACAAACATTTTCAATCCAAAATCAATAATTCGAAGTCTAGTTAGGAAAATCAGAATACTCGAAGATTTCTTTGAGGATTGAAGGAAAATCGGAAATATAGCCATGATACTGTACCACCAAATGTGGTTAGGCTGCGTTTGACTAGTCTCGTTTACATCCAATGAATCACCGAAGGTAAACGAGCATCACGTAATCAAAGACGTGCAGGTAGAATCCTATTCAAACCACACTCCCTTGCTGTTCACAAGATTTGATAGATCCACGAAGCACTTCACCCACCTCTCCCGCAATCCACAAAGATGTCGTTGACACCGCAGGACAACGCGAGGTTTGCGCGACAAGCAAACGCTGGCGGTCAACACGTCTTCCAAGCCCAACCCAACCTCCCAAACCCCTCGCAGACCCAACAACGTACCTTCTCTCGACCAACTCAAGGTGGCATTCGCCCTCATCCGGTTCAGCAACAGCAGCAGGCTCAGCACAAATCTCCCTATGCTACTCCATACACTCCAAACAATGGTCAACCTGGTCCACCACGCCAGAATGGCAACGTTGAGCAACAGATCGCACAGGGTATCTTGAGCAATGCATCATCGAACTCTGGTACCAATACTCCTCAACGTCGCCCTCCTGCGCTTGGTACCACGATTCATATGCCTCCAAATGTCACCCCTCAACACCAATCCATGAGCGTCAACCATGCAATGAACCCCGCTGCATCGGTCAATCAAGTTCAACGACAATCGCAGAACTCCTCTCCGGCACTGCAGAATGTCAACGCTCCTCGTCCAATTATGAATGCGACTCCGGTCAATGGCAACAATGGTTTCGGTTCAAGACCCCAAGGCCAAGATGGCTCTCCAGATAGCACCTCTCAAGATATGTCAATGATTGATCCGCAACTTGGTCTCGATCAACAGCTTGATTCTGGTGTTGGTGGCATGCGAGGTGTTCTTGTCCCTCAGAAGGTCCCCATCGAATCTGAAATTCCGCAAGGCGAGATGCTCTCTCCACCACCGACCGGCAATTTCCCTACATTCGATGCCCTCTTCAGCTACGCACAATCGTACGCTCTGCAGCACGGCTATGCCTTCGTCATCGGTCGCTCTAAGCGCGATAACCGTGGACTGAAGAAGGTCTTCTTGATCTGTGACCGTGGTGGAACAAACAAGGAGAAGGTACCTGGCGAGCAACGTCAACGCAAGACCAAGTCCCGCAAGTGTGGCTGCGAGTTTGGTGTTTATGGACTGGAGAACAAGACTGCTTGGATCTTGCGAGGACGAATCGATGGCGAGCACTTGACTCACAACCATGCTCCTAGCGATAGTCCCACCGAGCACCCTGGTGCGAGAAAGCTTGACCCTAAGGCTATTGCTGCCGTCAAGGCTTTGGAAGAGAATGGTAAGGCACTTGCCCCAGCAACTCTTGGATTCAACTAACATAACCAGGTGTATCTGTTAAGGAAACTCTCGAGATCCTCCACCGCGAGAACCCAACTGTCCGCTACCTCCCTCGTGACATCTACAATGCTCGCGCAGCCATCAAGCGTGACCCTTCCCGAGTCGAAGCCACCGCCATGGAGCAACTCCCCACCTTCTACAAGAAGCCACCCATGACATACGAAGAGAAGCTGCGCGCAGACCTGCGAACCGACCTAGCAAACGCACAAAAGGAAGTCAGTGAGCTAAAGGAGAAGCACCAGAAGGAGATCGAGGAACTGAAGAAGGTGATCGAAACCAAGGATCGCCAGATCCAGAAGTTCGAGATGTTCATCGATATCTGCAACGAGAGAGTCATGGTTCAACGAGAGAGATTGGCCGAGGGCGAGGCGAACCCGGGAAGTTCTTCTGGTTGAAGAAATCCTTACTGTTCGATCTTCCTTTGGTCTGGAGTTGTGATCTCTTCCGTTTTCATCCTATGCTTGATTGAGAGATCGAGCTTCACTTGCTTGCTTGTTTGTTTTGTTATGGCGTCTATCTGTCGAGTGTATGGATCAGGCGTTCGGACGGCATCGTTGGTTGATATTCTTTTCCTAGGCTTGTTTGTTGGTTTATGCTGAGCTGGCGTTCCACAGGGGGGCGTAAAGCGGCGTACTGGTCAAAGATTTCGACGTCAGCAATGTCACAATCGTTCTTTGGGGGGTGTGGGGTGGACTTTTCGAATCTTTTCCCCATCAGGCTGGTTATGTGTCCATGATGAATGGACTTTGCTCCGAGGCTGGGAGGTTATGTGGAGAGCCAAGTGAAGGTTGCGCCGTAGGTAGTCAAATAAATACAAAGAGCCCTGAGGGTTAATCAGAAATTTAGCTGTCTTGATTGGTGCGCTCCGGTGACTTTTTCAGGACACCCCTTTGAGGAATTTTGGTTGTGTTGGGCTTTGAGAGCATATGGAAGTCCGTCTAAAGCAACGGCGTCTATGGGGAGCTACGTCACATATTAAAGTAAAGGGGGAGAATCACGATTGGAGATGCAAAAGTTCATTTGTACAGTACGGTCTTTTACCCAATATCACTACTCGTCTCTACTCTCCATCGCACAAGCTTCCCCTTCACCACCACCACCACCACCACAAGCCTCCTCCCCAGCAGTAGCAACAGGCAAAACCTTCCTCCTCCCCTTCCGATCCACCCTTTCATCCCGGGGATCAAACCCCCCATTCCCCCAACACGCCCACTCCGGCGTCTCCTCGCCCATATAATCCTCTGGCCTAAACTGCCTGCCACTCTCCAAACACTCAAAAAACCTCCCGTAATCGATCCTCGTCCTCCATTTCCCGTCGACCTTGAACCGCTCACTCGCAATCAGCACGCAGCAACTATGTGCGTGTTCCGCCGCAATGCCATATCCGAGGCCGCGACGATTTAAGGAGGAGTTTAAAGCTTCGACAAAGGCGCAGACTTCGGTGTAGAAGGGGACGTTTTGCATGGTCAGGCCAGCGCCAGCCGAGGACGAGGTGCCGCAGTATGTGACGCCTTTTATCTCGACGAAGCAGGGGAGCGATTTTTCGATCAGGTCCGCGTAGCCTTCTGCTTCGTCGTCGATGTTGAAGCCCTTGACGAGGGTTAATCTGAAGACTGTGCGCTGCTGGAAGCGTTTCTCGCGCAGGATCTCGAGACAGGCTTGGAAGCGCTCCCAGAAGTCGCGGTGCAGGGGGCGGTCGATTTTGCGGAGGGATTCACGGTTCGAGGCGTCGATGCTGACGTAGAGTTGTGTGACTGGTTGGAGGGCTCGCAGTTGGTCTGGGTGTTGGGCGTTGCAGACCAGGAAAGAGGAGATGTGTTCTTTGTGGAGCATGGCTGTGAATTCGTTGATGTGTGGGTAGAAGATTGGTTCTCCTACTAGACTTAGAGCACAATGTCTGATTCTCATTGCTTCTGCGAATCTCTCGGATCGAACTCCGGGGACGCCGCGCATCATCTTTATCTTTTTGTAGTGGCCGGCTTTTACACCTTCGAAGATTAGGTCTGGGGGATCGACGACCCAGCGCCAGGTTGTGCCGACGGGGTTGGTGCCATGTCGCCAGCAAAAGACGCACTTATTGGAGCAAGATAAGGATGGTGTGGTCTCCATACATTGGTGTGAGGCAATGCCATAGAAGCTGTATTTATAGCATGAACCTCGGCCTCGGAGGGCAGACTTGGTCCAACGACAGATTTTGACACCAGAGTGAGAGCCAACTATGGAATAGCCTTGTTTGGTGAGAGCTGTGTAGGTCGGAGAATTTTTGGGGACCATTTCTTTGGTCACTGTGGTTGGGGCAGATCGAGCTTTCTTGCTGTAAGTCGTGAAATCCATCTCAAGAGGTTCTGAATTGTCGGCTGTAATTTGGTTGAGAGTGCTGCCGATGTCCTCAAGGTCGTTCAGCGTGTCTTTCTTTTGTGCTTTCGTCTTCCGTTGAGCAACTTTCTGCTCTTCGAAAAGCACTTCGTCCTCGTCATCTAAGTCCCCTACATCACTCTCCACAGCATCTCCGCTCCCTACCACTCCCTCTCCAAGTCCGCCTGTGGTGGCAATATTTGCCAAGACATCTTCCACGCCTTCTTTCCACTCTTGAAGCCGCTCTGTAGCATCAACTTTCGAGTCTCCCATCCCCAAAGGAAAAGCTCTTTTCCGCCCGGTAAGCTTGGCTAGCCATTTGTCAACTTCTCTCGCCTGTGAGCAGAACCCCTCTTCCTCGGTGGGCCATCCTTCCCTATCTCCAAATCCAAAGACTGAGTATCCAAGCAAGGATGATAATGGCGCGGTGTCTATCCTGAAATCATTATGTGTTTCTTGTAAATGCTCGAGGAAATTGTCAAGGACAGTATCGATATTGAATGTCGGAATGAGGAGAATGTAGAAGTACTGTGTATTCTCTTCTGATTTTGGAGGCGTGATGAAGTAGTCGTCGTAATCTATGTATGATAGATCAAGCAATTGTGGTTCGAGAAATGTGGTGGACGTGGATTTCGAAAGCTCCTTGGTGCTTTGTGCCAAGCCTTCTGTCAAGACTTTCGCCGTCTTCTCAGTGGTTCCAGTCAGCGACGAGAAGAATACCAGTACCTGGGCATTCTGGATAGTCGACGGATTCTCGTCCTGAGAAGATTTCTTCTTTTTCAGACCTCCCACTATCCTTTTCGGAACCTTTTCTGCCACAACATTCCTTTCCTCGATGGGAACTTTCTCTTTTTCTGCTGGGAGCTTTGGCGAAAGCGGTGGCGTATCAGAAACTTTGACTCTAGGTACCCGGAGGTGTAGAATTGTTCGGAGGATTATAAGGATTGAGAAAGTCGTGATGATGATAGGAACTCGATAGGTATGCCATAGTGCGACAATGTCTAAACGCGGCGAGTCAATACGGTTCTCTTTATGAACAAAAGAGGCAATTTGGAATGTACCAGCAATTTCGAAAGGTAGCAAAAACCTTAAAACCCATGTGTGGTGTGCCATTGTGTAATGTACGGCTATTCTATCCTGAAAATCAAATCTTGGAGGGGGTCGAAGAGTGTGGGGAGCTCAGCGGCCGCTAGTTTCTTTCCGACCACCCCTTTCCCCAAAATGTAATCTTACTTCACCCCGGGCGGAAGCTAAAAACTCGCGGGATCCCGCTCCATGCACTCTGTCTGCACTCTATCATCCTTCAAGATATCAATGACTGAATCGATTCTCGTACTCGTAGAAGGCGCAGCGATATCCAAATCCGGAGCTTCTGTGCCTTGACACGAGGACTCCAATTCGACGAGCAAACAAGAGGCAATGCAAGGCAGTAGCCTATTGGCCTCCAGTTCCGCTCTTTCTCCGAATCTTACATCTCACCTCCCTACCGCTTACGTACATTTTGCGACTAACACTTCCTAAAGACTCGATATTCAATTTCAGAGATTCTGCAGTACTATGTCAGGCCCGCCTGTATGGCGGGTATTCCCCCACGATAGTACCCTAGTGTCTGACGTGAGGTTTGACAGCGTGTAATTTTTCAAATTCAGATGTCTCATACTACTTGTGTCCCATTTTCTTCTCCTTCTTTCATTTCCAAGTCAACTTATTGTACTCCAACATGGCTACCCGAATTATGTATTTCATGTATCATCACTGTCAGTACTGTACGATTGGAAAAGAAACACTTCCTGAACCGTCACCAGACTCGTTCACTCTTTTCCCTCTCCTGCCTTTCGAATTACGTCTCAAAGTATGGTATATCATTGCCAACACACCAAGAACGGTCGAGCTGACCTGCACGCCCTCCGCCCCTTATATGCCAGAAGGAAAATGGTTTTCTCATAGCAAAAGCCCAGTCATATTTCGCATCTGCTCCGAGTCACGCACTGTTGCACAGTCTTCATATTCTACTCTTGATTTCTCTCCGGATCAGCTTGGTATTCCTTGCAGAATCCCTCTTCTCATCAACTTTGCAGCCGACACTTTGTGGTTATGCCAGGACTTGCAAAAAGATTGGGCTAGAGACCTGCTTGAGAAGAATGAACACCTAAGAGAGAAATTGAAGTTCTTGGCTGTTAAGGAGAAATTGTGGAAAGAATTGAACGAAGTGGAGCTCACTCCTATTCCAGAACTTCAACCACCGGAAAGAACAGCCATTCCTAAAAACAGTGTATTCTGTGGGCTCAAGGCTATCGAGGATGTCAAATTCCATGATTAAGCAGGATAGCATCGTTTTCCAATACCCCTGATCGACTAGGGGTGGAGCACTAACAATATGTTGCACTCTACTCGAAGCAAATTTAACGTTTATCGGACATCATGATCTCGTAATGCTTTTTCTACCACATTCACCATTCATTATCGAGCACTGCAGATCTTATTCACTCATTGCCGGCACAAATTAGCAGCCCCTCGTCAAGACTTCAAGAGATATCTCTTGTCCTGTAAGGATCTTCGAAAATGGAGACTTCAGTACACACAACACCTCACAAGAAAGAGGCAGCTGAGGCGGTCACGCCAAACCCTCTCGGTCTTCCCTTGCTTGACTACGGAGCATCCGGAACGATGCACGTCTTTGCACCAACACTTATCATGAAATCTCCACACATTTCTCACCCGAAATTTGGAAACACAACATCTTCTGTGGCTTACAAAGCCAAAATCTACGCATATATCCGTTCCCTTCCTACCTCCCACCAACATATCCTTACCAGCTTCGAAAACACGGATCTCGACATCGATCATTGCCTCCTCCTAGCCTACCACCCGCTTGGCTGCCTTCGCAAGTTCATCCGCAGCACCGTTTTTGGGACTTGGCCTGAGACCACTCAGATTTTAAAAAGCAGGAGACTGCATTGGGGACAACAAATTGCGTCGGCCTTAGTGTTCCTGCACGGTCATGGCATGTTGCATGGCGATCTCACGGCAGCAAACACGTTGGTCACTGATACCCTCGATGTTGTCTTGTGTGACTTTGGCACTGATTTCCTAAATGGTCAAGGCGAGGGAGATATTGTGAGATGTACAAGATGGTACCGCTTTTTGGACGATGGGTGGGACGGAGACTGGGAAAACTTTGGCAAAGGTAGAAAAAGAGATGCACAGAATTTTTCCGTCAAGGATGATATCTGGGGTTTGGGAATGATTTGCTACGAGATGTGGTGTTTGAAGAGAATGTGGGGAGATAGAGAGGAGAGGGAGAGAGTAGGATTGTATTGGAGGAAGGAGTGGCCGAGCTTGGAAGGAACCGGAGAAGTGGGTCAGATTATTGAGAAGTGCTGGAACGATGAATACGAGAGCGCGGATGAGGTTTTGCATGCAATCGAGAACATCAGGAAGAATGAAGGTTTAGGAGTGGTGCCTTCTTCCAACACATAGGATTCATCAAACGATTTCACACAACCAAACGAGAAACCAAGTCTTTAATACAAATCCTCCAACTTCAAAACCCCCTCAGAATTTGGCCCCATGCCTAATGCACCCTTTCACACAAGTACAATAACCCTTAAGCATCCCACACTGTTCACACGCTCCATTCTCCGGCACTTTCATACAAACCCCACATGAATCATTCCCTTTTTTACAATCTCTTCATACCCACTAGCTTGATCGGCACAATCGCATTTTCTAGTGTTAAGGATAAGAAGACGATTGCATTGTGGGCATGTCAGGTGGTAATGGACATGTTTGTTCGAAGCGTGAATTCTTTGGCATCGTCTGCAAGGTTCTGCTCGTTCTGCTGCGGCGTTGTATTCTGGGATTGGCACATCTTCCTCACTGTGGGTGAACATAATCGTAGTAGTTGTATGCAAGGAGTGCAGATATTAATATTAGGTTGTGTCTTTGAGACTTGGATTTCGTAGGAGAATGTTCCTTGACGGGTGATGTTCGAACGTCGAAATTTATAACAAAGAAGCTATGGTTCACCATGATCATTCAAACAACTGAATAACGGGCCTGAGTGCGAGTCATTCGCCTTTGTTCTAATTCTTGCACCCGGTCATCTACCTCCGAATACAACCAAACTTCCAAACGTCCTCAGAACTTTGGAGATTGACAGCTACTTTCAGTTCGAATTTGACATTGTTAGATAAGGAACGAGTAAACTTATAACCCATGTATCCTCATCCGCATTGGCCTCTATCTTTCACTAACCCATCCTCATCTGCTCCCCACTGCTTCTTGTCATCTTCTTGTTCAATTATGCCAAGGAGCTACAATAAACCCCTTTTTAAGCGAGCGCTCTATTTTAGCTCAAGGACCAACATTCTCACAAGCAACGTATTTCTTTTGTCCGGTTATACTTACTCATTCCTGTTATGCTCGGAATTTCAGATAAGATTTAGCTGCAAGATGTTGTGGTTTGTAAAGGAATCGCTCAACACTTCAAGCTATCTTTGCTTTGGACGCTGAGATAGGTCACGAGTTATATCTGACACCTCAGTCTTCTCCGTACGAAGGTACTACTTTCGTAATTGAACGAATTAAGCGATTGAATATTCCAACGCATTTTGTTCCCTCCACCTATTCATACAATGTGGAAACAATTGGCCTTCGTTACCCGAGTTTACGAGCAATCCATCAAAGCTCCTTGAAGAAGCTGAAATGCGGGCCGACGGCATTTGCAGATCGTATCGGGACTGGGGTCTAACTGCGGCTGATAGATCTCATCCAAAACCATATTTCCAATCTCGAACCCTGCCCACACTCCTTGGTAACAGATACGAGCTTCTGCAGATTGATACCCCTCATCTCTCCTCATGGACATCCAAGAAATCCGAGAACCAGAGGCACAATCCCTCGGTACCAAGAAAAAGCGAAAGAGCCTTGCAAAGGTCAGAACAGGGTGTAAAACCTGCAAGTCAGCTTTCTCCTCCCCGCACAATATAAAGTACTGACAACCCCCAGAATCCGAAGAGTAAAATGCGACGAAACTCGTCCCGTCTGTCAACGCTGCCTCAAATGGGGCGGAGCCTCTATTTGCGACGGCTACGAAGACCTCGTCCCCACGAGGACCTTCCGAGCCGTCGACCTCAAAGCTGCTCACCGTCCACTTCTCCCCAACCCAAAACCGCTGTGTCGGAGTCCGAATGTCCAGAAATTTGACAGTGATGAAGAATATAGTTTCTTCCAGCGGTTCTGTGTCGAGAGTACGGTGCAGCTTTCGGGATCGCGGTATTCGGAGTTGTGGAATCGGGTCGTGCTTCAAGGAAGCGAGATGGAGGCTTGTGTGAGACATGCTGTGGTTGCTATTGGTGCTTTGGATTTTCATAAGCTGTCGCATGGGGGAACGGATTTGCAGAGTATTCATCGTGAGTTTACGTTTCGAGAGTATGGGGCTTTGACGGCAGTTGGGATGATGAATGCTAGTCCGTGGTCGAAAAAGGTGAGTGATGAAGATAGGATGGGAAGGAAGATTGCGTACGAGGAGTATGGGAAGGCGATTAAATGTTTGAGGAAAGCTGTTATGGAGAAGAGGAGTGATATTATGACGAGGTTAACTTCGTGCTTGCTGTTCATCTTGTTTGAGGTTTATCACGGGAATAATGAAAGTGCGGCAGCTCAGACTCACGCTGGAATCAAGATGATGGAGGAACATTCGAAACAAAGAAGTGAATGGACCCCGAGTCTGGGGACTATCAGACCACCACCGATCGATAGGGAGATCGTCGAGACTTTTGCGTTGCTGGAGATCCAAGCGACAGGCTGGTCCGACAACAATAGACCTGATATGCACCTGGCAAAGATCTATGCCGGAGAAGCCATTGAAGACATACCATACGAGTTCAAGACTCTCAAGCATGCCGCTTTCGTACTGTCGACGATAATGCTAAGAGGCGCTCACCTGAGATTCGTAAGAAGGACGCCCCCATACATTGCGCCAGAGGAGATAGTCACTGCTCTGACAACATTAGAACCGGTGTATACTGTTGGGCCCGAACATGCAGAATTCTGTAACGTTCTCAACCGGTTCCAACAATGGAAAGCTGCTTTCGAACCACTTTTCCGGAGAGCAAGAACTGAGTCTGGGAAGCATTTGAAGAAAGGAGCAATCACCTTGAAGATCCATTATCTATCAAGTTATCTCTGGACAGCGTCTGGAGCGCCTTTACCGGAGATGTATTATCGACGGCATACCAAAGAGTTAGCTGAGGTGATTTCGCTCGCTGAACTCTTGCTTAATGACTCAAGCATAAAGAATGAAAGCTATCTGGACTTACGGATTGTCTTACCTCTAATGATCGCAGGTTGGTATTATCGCCACAGGAAGGTCAGACAGGAAGTCATAGCAATATTCAAGATCTTGCCCAAGAGAGACGGCTTGTGGGACGCAAGTTTGCTTGGCAAAATCTTTGAATGGATGGTGGAATTAGAAGAAGAGGGCATGACCGAGGGAGATTATGTGCCGATCCATAATATTGCGAATGTCACCAATTTACAGATAGATGCGCCTAATAGAACAGCGTTCGTTGAGGCTGTTCAAGCCGAAGGAGGCGAGATGGTGACAAGAAGCAAAACACTAAACTGGTGATACACTTCTGATGATTGAGCATTGAGCGGGTTCAAAAATCCAAAATCCCAACACGGGAATACGTATTGAATACAAAAAACAGACCTTTCGCCCGCGAGGCGCTGGTGCATCTAGATACCGATATTTAGGTTTACAGTCTTGACAATGTGTGAAACGTGCCACCCAACAATACAAGAAGCACTACAATAGGCGAATATAAACCCCATCCTAAACACATTTAGAAATTACGCCAGCACGAACTCCCCAGACCGCGCAAGAAACATGAACCTCAATCGAATAGCTCAAGCCAATAGCTTCAAGATATCGCCCATTCTCGTGACTTTCTCCTTTCCACCCTTAGACTTCTCCTGGAAAGCCTTGCCAACCAAAAGTCTCTTCTCAGCCTGGATATCAAGGACTCTTTCCTCGATACTCTCTTCCATGATGAGACGCCATACAGTGCAAGGTCGGGTTTGTCCAAGGCGATGAACACGATCGACAGCCTGGTCTTCAATGGCTGGTGCCCACCAAGAATCGGCAAGGATGACTGTGTCAGCCGCAACAAGGTTCAGACCCACGCTGCAAACAGACAAACTAGCCAGCAATATCCGAGTATCTGGATCGGTCTCGAGGGCTGTCATTGCAGCGTCTCGGACTGTAGCTTTCATGGAGCCATCAATACGAGCAAATTTCATGCCTGCTTCCTCAAGCTGGTGTTGAATGATATTCAGGAAGCTGGTCCATTGAGAGAAGATAACCACTTTGGACAACGGGTCTCGACGACTAGCGGTTAAGATGCTCATCAGTGCTTCAGTCTTGCTGCTCCTTGTGTCAATATCGATCTCTTCGTCTGCATGGCTTTCCTCTTCAACAGCAGGATGCACGAGACATTCCTTGTCAGCGAGCTCGGCACGACACATTGGACACTTGTGTTGAAGGTCGATGGTGCGCTCGATGCATTCCTGGCCGAAGACGTGCTTGCAAGCAGTGATGACAGGATTGTGAAGAGTCTCAAGACAGATTGCGCACTCATCTTGGCTGTCGATACTAAGCTGCAAGAGAACTTGCAAAGCGGCACGATTTTCCTTCGTCAAGGCGACAACATCATCGTTTTCGAGGAGGGCCAGAAGGTCAGAGACGCGAGTACCGCAGAGCTTCCAATGGCAACAAACCTGACGCATCCGAAGAAGAACTTCCAGAACATGACGATACATATTCTCGCCCTTCTTAGCCTTACCCGACTGAAATCTATCGACCATTCCCTTTGCCTCAGCCCTAGAATATTGTTAGCATTGCTTGAGTAACACGATACATTGAACTTACTGTAAAGCCTCGTACTTCTCTCTTTCATCCTTGCGGAAAGTGATTCGGTGAACATATTCGGAAAGCTCTGGGAGTTTCAGATCGACGAACTTCATGTCCTTCTTTCTACGAAGACACATCGTTCTCATGATGGATTGAAGAATGAGGTCAGCATGTGGGGTACCATGGGCCAGAGGACGGGTGAGCACAGCGTTGAAAATCTCCATACGCTCCAGCCCGCCTGTGATGCCAATAAACTTGAGCATCGAATACAAATCCTTAATGGTGTTGACGATAGGTGTTCCAGAGAGGACCCATCGAGAAACTGCTAGAAGATTCGCGGCTGCGATAGCAGATTTGGTTGCAGGATTACGAATGCCATGACCTTCGTCAAGCACGACCCTAGCCCATTTCATGGAGAAGAGACCATCTTTGTCTGGAGTTTTTACTGGTGTCTTGCTTCCTCGCGGGAAGCATTCAGCACTCAACGTACCATAACTCGTGATAACGACATTGTACTCGCCGAAGTCTCTGTAGGTCATTCTCTTGCGGTTACTACCATGGTAGGTCATAACTTTCAATGGGCTATCCTTCTTTACATGCCTCTCGATCTGCTGAGCCCAGTTGGACATCACACTTACAGGAGCGATGATCAACGTTGTACCAGGACCTCCCTCAAGTATGACGCTGATAATTTGAAGAGTCTTTCCGAGACCCATATCATCAGCAAGAATACCACCTTTAGCCAAAACTGGCGGAGTAGCAGTTTTGAATTGGGTAGCAATATTCTGAAATACATTCTGGCCTGTTTCTGAACGCTTCCATAGCTGAACAATGTTTTTGGATCCAGGAACAGGGAGGACAGGATTCTCTTTCTCGAGCATCCAGGCCAGGCCTTGACGTTGATAAGGTAGGAGAGTTGACGACAGGCCCTCGGGTTGATCAGCCATGGGCATCTTAGACAGCGCATCTTCACCAAGTCCCCAAGCCTCAACAATCTTTTCGGCATCTCGTGGTCGGAACCGTTCGCTGTTCTCCACGAAGTGTGAAATGTCCACTTCTGGAACAGGCTCTGGTTGACTGCTCGATGCTTGAGAGGAGCTTTGATAGCCCATCTGCTTTCTCTGAGGAGGGGGAACGGCAGCTTTGGGAACCTTGGGTGCTGCAACACCTTGTTTCTTGATCGGCATGCGCTTTGCCTTCATCTCGGCCTCGAGCTGAGCCCGAGCCACTGGTTCCGAAGGACCAAAGACCCGTAGACGAATTGGGCAATCGAATGATCCTTTCTCTCCAGTCAGGATGCCTTCAAGTACAATAGCTCTTGAGTCCTATCACGTGTTAATGGCTGTATGGGGCAGGTGCTGGTCCACGCATATGCAGGAATGGAACTGACCATTAAAGGGGCCAACTTAGCGGCTAAAGCGCGCGGGATATGGCCAATCTGAACCTCCTGTACATTATTGATGCGGATAGCGTTCGAATCATATGGATTTCCGGGCTCTCTTCTAATCATGACTTGCTCTCCGGGAGTGGCTAATCCGTTGTAGTATCTGACACCTACAATCTTGTCTTCAATGACGCCAACACAATCCCATCCGAAACCCTCATCACGATCTTGAGACAAGTCAATAATTTCATCTTCTTCTCCAACCGGAGCTGTACTGGCAACCCATGAGTCGCGTTGCGAGGAGAGGTTGCTACTACTCAGAGATTGGCTCGATCGAGGTTGAGCTGACACGCCTGAGACGCGTACTTGCTTGCGCTGTGGGGGGAGATTCTCGTCGTCGTCGCCGGTGAGGTCAACCCAGCTATTTGGGCGCTTTCTATTCGACATGATGGATCGCGATCAATGATCCTGATGTCAATGGAATGCGTTTGCTGATTTGGAAATTTGGGAGACGCGTTTGGAGCTGTTTTGATCTACGCTCCCATGCAGCTAGGCGCGTCGGTCACGTGTAAGTATACTCTTTGAGAGCGATATCCCAAGTATTGTCGGACATGGAAGGGTCAATATTAATGAAAAGATGTTTGTCTTTACTCAGTATACGTTTCGAAAGATGCAAGGCTTCTGGGCTAGCTGTTGGTGGCTCCCTCGCTCGAATTCTAGCTATCCTTTGTCTGGATTTCTTCCCTCTTCTAAGTGACAGGAGACTGTCAACTGTTTTCCTTACAGCACTAACTCATGACTTGTGACGCCGAGTCTCATCAACACCGAGTCGGATATGCTAGAAAAGAGGGGAAAAGATCTGGAAACCTTGATCTCGACTTCTCCTTTGATCGTCGAACTCTTGCTCGATTAATTGTGGCTGAGCTCAAACCTTATTTTCAAGCCACAATTTATTCTCAGCCACAATACCCACTCGCTTCAGCATATTTCCTGCTTTCTGATGCATCACGGCGTCATGATGAACAACCTGGAAGATGTTCAAAGACCCTGACAGCTGATTATCTGGCACACTGATAAGATAAGTTTGATTCCTTCTGCTATAGATTTACAATGTACTATAACTTTGTGTTACATTCTTCTTCCGTCAATCAATGTACCGTGAATTGAAAGCCCAGCAATAACCTCAAGATGTTGGAACGAATGATGATCTTTTTGATCAATATCTTCTGTTTGTCCCTGTCCCACTCAACAATCTTCCAGCTTGCTAATGGAACCAGTACCTCCTCTTTCAGTGATGATTGTTCGTTCACCTCCTAATGTCCCGCCAAGTAACTAACAATCAAATCATAGCTCGCAGGAGTAGGCCCAGACTGCCTAATAAACACTCTACTCTTCATCTGCGGCGTGATTCCCGCCCATATACACGGCTTCTACATTTCTTGCACATACTACAGCCGCAAGCGGAAAGTACGCAAGGGACGCTTCCCTGGTGGACGGAAGAGCTTTATCTATAGCCAACAGGTGATCAATGGGGGAGCAAGTGATGAGAGAGTGAGAGAGTTATGGAAGGCGAAGTGTAGAGCAGAGGAAGGCGGTAATGGGAGAAAGAAGAGTGGTGGGCGGGAAGAGAGGACGCGGAGTGGGAGGGGAAGTGATAGTGGAGGAAGTGGGGAGGAAAGGACATGGGATGGAAGGAGGGAGAGCAGGAGAGTTTGTACGAGGAATAGTACCGCTGGGTCCAGGGCGAGTTCTGTGAGGTATAACAATCATGGACAACCGATGACTGAGGTGAAGGGGTGGAGGATGTAATACATGGACAGACATTCTGAATAGTTAGTGACTTTCTTCGAAACACTGTTCTGATACCCAGAAATAGAGAAGAGACAGTATTCCATTTTATTTATGAAATCCATCCCTCTAATGCTACAGCTCAGGGTATCATTTCCCCCGACAGTTTGCAAATATCTAGCTCAGTGTTGAGCAGAGTTTCTGCAGTCAATACTGTTTCATAACACATACAATATCCGTAACATGATAACACCAGATCCCCAACTCCTAGACACAAACATAAACTCCAGCCAGGTATCAGAAAAAAAGCACATGTCCTCTACTCCATATCAAGTCCCCGCTGTTTGGAGAAAGTATGTCAAGAACTCGCCCTTCCGTTTCGTTTGGTATAAATCGTACAGTCATTCGTCATCTATGGTCAACGTGGCAAGTAGTTTCGTAGGCTCATTATCTGTCGCATCTGGAGGCAACGTCGCCGAACCCGTAAATTGGTCTATCGAGTCGCTTCAATGCGAAGACGACCTGTAACTATCAGCCGGGGCCATGCTTTGAGTCCGAGATCCGACTTACATCTCCGACGGTAACAGTCTTTCGGTTTTGGTAATCGACAATTGCAGTAACATCCTTGAGGATCTAAAGAATCAGCTTTGTATTTTAGACGACAGACCTGATAATTTACCGTGGCGAGATGGTCCTTCATGGCCTCTCTGATTCCATTATAGATGGTTCCCGAGATTCTCTTAACACCTCCTCGTCGTGCAAGTCGCCTGCAAGGTCCTGGTTAGCAATTGTTCTCCTGCACATGGTATCTGCAGCCTCGCGGTATTCTGGTTTGCATGTCCCAAGGCATGCTGTAAACGTACTTGATGTCTCCCTTGGCTGCAAACATTACTATTAGCAGCAGTTACATGCACTCGGGTTCATTTCAACTTACTGATGCCGATAATCGTGTCCTTGATAATCTTCCTGTGTTCTCACCATCAGCCTCGTGAATTCCCTGGCGAAGTAAAGAACCACCTACCTATTACGCTTCAATGGCTTGTGAGTCTTCGAAGATGTCTTTCCGAGGCCTCTACCACCTGGACCGCTACGTTCCTTGCCTGCACCACTCGAGGTAGGTAGACCCTTTCCTCCAAGTCCTTGACCAGGTCGGCGGGCAAGTGCTTGTGCACGAGGATCGCCAAGATTGGCAAGAGAACGCATGCCTGGTGAATCCGAGTAATAAGGAGGCGCCATCGTACTGCTTGTGTGGCTTGAGACTGACAGAATCTAAGACACGGATCGGGAGAGTAAGACAATAAGGGAAGTTGGTGTTTTCGCGTTTGTCAATAATCTTTGAAGTTGGCGTCGCGACGAGGCTTGGTTCAGGACGTTTAAGCGCGAAGCCGTGAATGTGGGGTAGTAGATCGAATCGATTAGGCAGCAGCGGAGAAAGTAAGGCCCGGCCAAATCAGTACTCGTACTTACAGATGGACAGGAAATTAGATGAAAGTGTATGAACGTCTTCAAAACTGAACAGATTTGGGAGAGGTCAATTTATGTGATTCAAGACCTGAAACCAGGACTCTATTAACGCTACCGAAAGCCTTGTTTGCATTCTAGATGCATTTACCAAATGTACCCAACGAATGTGTATTGCCTCTTCCAACGCCGACTGTCATGAATCATGCAAATGATCAAGATATACTGATTACGCACAGATGAAGGTTGCCTCTGCGTATAGAACACCCTCCTCAACTACTTCCTCGTCTCCAACCTTGATCTTCAGAGACGACTTTCCTGGTGAATACTGCACGATATTAGCACAATAGACAACAAAGGCCGGCCATATCAAGCATACCTGGTAAATGTACGGCTTAGTTCCAGCAGATGCAGCTACAATCTGTTTCACAAATCCTGGGACATGTGCCATCACATCAACACGATCCAGTCTCTCATCGAGGGGGCCATCGATAACAGCTGATACATCCTTTCCATCCTTGGCCTTTCCAATCCATTCAAATTTTGCTGACTCTGGTTCTGGCCAGTCATTCACAGAATCACCCTTGGTCTTCGTATGCGTGACAGTGCCAGAAGCGTTCGCACATATAATCTCTCCGTCCTTCACCAAGCCTCCAAGAGTGATCTTGGTCGAGCCATAGGATGGGGGAGTGATGTATTCCATCATAATAGCAGAATAATGATCTCCCTGGAAATCGGCAAAGGTCCATTTTCCAGCAGCGTGGTGGGGTTTCATAGCTTGATTCGCATGAATGAACAGGGCCTTGCCCTTGAAGTCAACTGGACCATCCTTGGTCACGATCGAGCCCTCAACGGTATTTCTCGGCCAGAATGCATGCTTGATAAACCCCCATGGTTCCTTTGGATTTGTGCCATAATATGTTTTTCCATCCTCACCGACCAAGTAACCTGGAGATTCTTGGGAAATAGTGACATTCACGATCGATTTGTCATTGACCATGGACTTGATTGTGTATGACTTCCCATCTTCAGATAACTCAACAGCGAGGTTCTCGGCATAGAAGCTTGTCTTGTCTTCATTAAAATCGATGTCCTTGAGTGGGTCCGAGCAAAATAGATTCTCCTTCTTTTCGCTCTTAGGATAGAAGATCTTCGTATTGAATTGGCATGTTGTCTTTATACCACTGTACACACATTAGTTAATAGCGTTGGCAGGACTGGGGCGACTGTACACGACATTGCTGTAGATGACTTGTACCCAAGCAATATGTCCCGTTGGTGCGAAGAGATAGAAGATCTGCGTCTCAACGCAGGTAGAGTCCATAGCATCCCATTTCAAATGATTCCTCGACACTTCGGTGTATGGAGTAGTCTCGGCTTGCTTTGCAACAGATCTCACTGCTGAAGGTCCGTAGACCGGTTCAGGAGTACCTGCGACATTTGCAAGTTGTTGCTTGGCCCAGTTAAACATCCTTGGCATCTATTTTGGGGGTTGTTGTTAGATTTGTGTTGAGGTTCGAGGGTTGGGCTCGCGAACCTCTGCAGATTTCCACCGCCTCGCGAGGCGCCTTCCTACGTCAGTGCTTGAGGGGTGACTTTATCAAGACTAGCTTAAGCTTATTTTTCGTATCAATTTCCACTGTTGTGCAGAACAGTACTTTAAGAGCAAGATGGCGATTCAAGTGAGAAGAGGAAGCAAGCTCGAGTTATATATCTGTCTGTCGAGTCATTGAATCCGAAAGTTCCAAGTCGTGTTGGACATTCGTCATCGCTACTATCTGCGCATTGAGGTACAGCTAGGATCATCTTGGGAGCACATTTCATGGCTCGACAAGTTTTATAATTCTGGATATACATCTGTACGCCTCTTGAGTGGTACCTCCTGACGAAGCTTGTTTACAACAGTGAGGTCTATCGTGGCTGTTGCGATTTCCGGGCCGTTGAATTCTCCTCCCAACTCCGCCAGAATATCACCCCATGGACCAATAATCAATGAATGTCCATAGGTGACTCGCTGCTCATTGTGATGACCGGCTTGAGCTGCTGCAACAACATACGACTGAGTTTCGATAGCTCTTGCACGCAAGAGGATTTCCCAGTGTGCCTTGCCTGTTGGCACTGTGAAGGCTGAAGGATAAGTGATAATCTGTGCTCCTTGACGTTTCAAGGACAGGGGCACTTCTGGGAATCGCAACTTTGTGATATTTAGCATTGGGTTCTGTTTTCATTTCAAGGTTCAACCTACATCGAAGCATATCAAGAGACCCACCAAACCAACCGGTGTCTGGAGAGGCGGTACAATTTCCATTCCCTCCTCGAAGACGCTGAAATCCGGTTAGTAGTTCACTTTGAGGTTCAGGATAATACCTACTCGCTCTCATGTGCCTGAGGCCCATTGGTGAGATTCATATCGAACAGATGCAGCTTCTTGTATCTCTCGATGATCTCGCCATCCTCAGAAATCCAAATCGAAGTGTTCTTAATCTTACCAGATTTCTTGTCATCACCAGGTTCATGGATGCCAGCATTGATAGCTAGCTTATTATCTTTGGCTTCTTTCTGTAGGCCTTTCACATAGATGCTATCTTCGATTGGCCGCACAAGACTCAATGTCTCAGCTAGAGAGTGGCTGATATAATCGGATGCTTCGGGAAGGAAAAGTGCCTGCGCTCTCCATATCGTGGTGAGCATATATGTGCTTAAGGTGTGAAACATAATGCATATCAATGAAATTGCTTCTACCTTTGCACCTGCTTCAACAGCTTTCTGAACCAGGACTTGAACTTGGGTAAGATTGTGTTTCATACTTGATGTAGAACACATCTGACCAACAGCCTTTGAGAAATCAAAGAGTATCAGAGTGAAGGTCTTTTCTTCGACGACAGCATTCCATCGGTGCAGCTTACAATGATAGTCTCTCCTCCCATGTTGACAGGTGCAAGATGCTCGGCGGAATGCTTATCGGGTTGATTGAAGGCTAAAAGTAGAGGAGAAGAACCGTAATTTTGAAGCTCAGAGAAGTCTCACAATTCGTAAGTGAAGTTTGAATGATACAATCAATACGTTTATCAATCAATGATCAGATATAATTCATGTTGATGACGGAAACGAAGCAATACACCTTAGTTTGAGAACAAGATGCACGACTCGCCAATCGGCTTTCAAATCAATTTCCCGAGTCATTGAAACTTCCTCCTCCCGAACCTAGACCTTCCCCGAAACTACCAAATTTCCCCACACAACCTTGAGATGGCCTCATATGCACCTTATCTTTGTCCCTTGTGTTAGACTCTGAACCATTGCGATGATCGACCAAACTACGAGACATCGTTGGTAGTTTTCTCGCAGAAGCATGCAACCTGCATGTTACTGGCATCCATTCTTCTAGTTCTTATCACAAGATACTTTTCATCGAGCGCTAGAATACCCGTCAAACCCATATATACGATGCTCTTATCTTTACTCATAGCCTTGCGAGTAGCCTGTACTTAGCTGGACCTTCATGGCGTTGTACTTGAAGCTCCCACTCTTGGCCGATCGTACATTCACAAGATTGTTGATCAATGTTACATTGGCCATCTCGCAATTCCTCCCATTGGATCGAATGATGGGCTCCTTGTCTGTGGGCTAGTATGGCTCGTCATCTCGATCAAATATAACGAGATCGCACGCTATTCTATTTTTTCTGATTTTTGTGAACTCACTTCCAACAATTCTAAATTCCCCTTGAATGCTATTGTTGATTTGAGCAATCGCAATCATGACTGAAACTGAACCAAAGAAGAATGTGAGCTTTGTTGGATATATGGTTAAAGCCGAGTTCTGATCCCATAGCCAGTTTCGCTCGTTCATCTGGGACACGGATACCCATCTCAAGTCCAAGGAGGAACGCAAACTTCTTCGAAAGCTTGACTTCTCCATCCTTACAATAGGATGTCTTGGATTCTTTGTACGCATGTTTTAGCCAATACATATTTTCTTGGTTGCTGAGATTGTGAACAGTTAAAATATCTTGACCAAGGAAACCTTGCAAATGCATATGTCAGGTACGTAAAGACAGCCAGTGCTAACTCAAAACACCCTGACACGTAGCCAGTGGCATGCAAGAAGATCTCAAAATGTATGGAAATCAATACACCTACGCGGGCACCGCATACACTGTTGCATATGCTGTCATGCAAGTCCCATCAACCATGATCATTCAGACGATTCGTCCGAGTTATTGGCTCGCCTTGATGGAGATAGGCTGGGGAACATTCACATTTGCTCAGGCTGGAATGCATAATATTGCTCAACTCTACGCTTTTCGATTCCTGGTTGGGTTCTTTGAAAGCTCGTTCTTCCCCTGTCTGCTCTTCATTTTGGGATCTTGGTGAGCATTGATTGCTACATTGGTGATGTGAAAGAGGCTTGACGCAGACAAATTTAGGTATACGAAGACAGAACTTGCAAAACGTGTTGCGATCTTTCATATGACAGCCCCGTTGGGGACAGCCTTTAGCGGATACCTAGTGAGACTCCCTACTTGTGTGTCGATCTTCGCACGTCTTGACAACTACAATAGCAAGCTGCAGTATATAAATCCTTGAACGGACATCTAGGCCTCGCAGGATGGCGATGGCTATACATCGTTTGTGGGGTAAAGTCTACTCCGTCGCCCTCTTTCTGTAATTGATCAGATTGCAGTGTATGACAGTACCTGTGGGCTTTGCGACATTCTTCTTCCTTCCTGATACTCCATACACTACACGAGCTTGGTACCTCACCAAAGAAGAATGCAGCCTTGCTATCGATCGGGTGCAGCGAGCAGGAAAGGCCCCTCCTGTCAAGCTCACACTTTCGACTTTTACTCGGATCTTCTCTCGATGGAGTAAGTGCTTACCTATAAAATCGTGTGTTTGATATTGACGCTATGTGCACAGGGTGGTATGCTTTCACTTTGGGATATGTTGTATGTGCAATTTCTCAACTGGGACTTGCTCGGAATCATAGACTGACAAAACATCCGTAGCTCTATGGTACTAGTTGTCAAGCAAGTGGCTACTTCGCCATTTGGCTAAAATCTGAGCACTTCTCTGTCGTTGCGAGAAACGTCATTCCCACCGGAACGAATTTGATCTCTGCATTTTGCATTGTCTTGGTATGGCCCTAGAATGGTTCAACTTTTCTCTAGAGCTAATAAGAAACAGTGGGGATTTGGCTCAGACTACACTGGCAGTAGAATTGCATTCATACTTGGACCTTTGGTTTGTGCTCCTGCCGGTTCCTGGATACTTTGTTGACAAACGTTAGACTTACGGTCTTATACCTAATGGTATCCTCGCTGTGTGGCCTCGAAGTATTCGATTGAAGGAGTTTGCTTTTTTGACGGATGGGGTGCAGCTTATGACGGCAATCTTGTAGTCCATGCCCTGTCGTTTCTGAGTCCAATCACTGATAATGTTTAGCTACACTTGGGCAAACGAAGTATGTGCTGGTGATAATGAAGAGCGAGCTCTGGTCATCAGTAGCATGAATGGGATGCAATATGCAGTAAGTACCCTATTCACTTGGGTTCTCCATCCTGGAGGTTTACGTTTGAGACTGACAACATCAAGGTCGCGGCTTGGCTTCCCATTGTCATCTTCCCACAAACCGAGGCACCGACGTTCCGTAAGTCAAGCTAACAATGCCATGATTTCAACTGATAATCCTGTAGGTCGTGGATTCCCAGCCACTTTCGGATTCGTAATTGCTGCATTGATAGTCATTGTTATTATTCAACTTCTCGCTTTGCGAGAACGTCGTCAAAAAACGAGGGATGCTGAAGTGACAAGTGGTGACAATGTAGACTTGGAGGTTATCGAGTATCAGTCTGATAAGAAAGATCCCCATATCGGCGCCAAAGAGAGCGAAGGGGAAGAGATTCGGGAAGAGATTCGGGAAAAGAATAGTCTTTAAGTTCATAAGACTGGGCTTATCTGAATTCCCGAGGGAGACAAGCGAGGTGAAAAGGGGAAGTCGCTGAATGTTTTGAAGTGCTCGAGTAGCACCAAGATAGCGTGATATACCTAGCGATGTCTCAAATAGTGAACATGAGTACATGAACTAGTCATGATTCGACTTCCTATCTGCCAATGTCTGTCTAAATCGAAGAATCGAAACCATTCACGTGACTCCGCGTTCCTAAAGCCTCAGGCAACCATAAATTCATCAATCGAATATCAAAAAGTCGCATGAGCTCTGTCAACCCCAACACCAACACCCACAATGTCGCGCACAAAACAAGCAACAGACCAGATCGTCAAGCTGATAGTCGGCGCCGGACAAGCAAGTCCCAGTCCGCCCGTCGGCCCCGCATTAGGAAGCAAAGGTGTCAAATCGATGGATTTCTGCAAAGTAACCTTCCTACCTCTTCGTCCTCCCCCGATTCCTCACTAACCACAAACCCCCAGGAATTCAACGCCCGCACCGCGCACATGGTCGTAGGCACTCCCATCCCGGCACGAGTAACCGTCCGTCCCGACCGATCCTTCCACTTCGAGATCCGGACGCCGACGACGGCATATTTGTTGCTAAAAGCAGCGGACGTGGAGCTGAAGAAGGGGAAGCTGAAGGGGAAGAGTGGGAATGAGATTGTGGGGACGATTAGTCTGAAGCATGTTTATGAGATTGCGAAGATTAAGCAGAGTGAGTTGAGGTTGAGTGGGTTGAGTTTGGAGGGGCTTTGTAAGAGTGTTATTGCGTCGGCGAAGACGGTTGGGGTTGCTGTTACGCCTTAGAGCGGATTTGATGGATTGGAGGTTGGGATTGGAGGGGGTGGGGGAAGAGGTGGGAGTTGTGGTCGGGAGACCATGTTTGAGAGATTCGAGGGCTGGACTGATATGTTGTCGAGAGGCCGAGCTCGGGTATGTGGAGGAACGACTTGAGGGCTACACAGAGTCATCGTCTCTGGAGTGTAGGACCGCAGGAAAGATATGCTGTTAAATAAAGCGACTAGCATTGGGTTTTGGAATGCCTTGATCTACATTGCGGCGGCGTTTTGAGGATTGTATATTATTGGGGTTTAATTGTAGGTTCTATTGTACAATATGGATCTCAAATGGAGATGTCTACTATCAGACATTCAGCTTGGAATTGATTACCTTGACCAATACTGGGAGAAAGAAGTAACATGGACGGGCATAGATAGCGATGGTTGGAGCTCATCTATTGTATAGCCAAGGATGGCTGTGATCCTGATGTGAAGAGTTGTGAGCTTCATGCTTCTTGCTACCTTTATAATTGTATTATCGTATTTTTCAAATTCTTTTCTTGTTATATATTTCATACTTCACTTGGCTCATGACAAAGAAATATAAGGCAAGTAAACTCTTGTTTCTATTCGAGCGGCTAACCAGCGCAGATCAGTCAAAATACACGGTCAACTTCCCGATGCTAATAGATGCCAGTCGGGACACTTCCCCTTGAGGAATAGACCTTTGAGTAGCTCCATCTCTTCTAGAAAGGAGAGTCACGTGTGGTCACTGCATCCGGCATCGGAATTCAGGGAAGCCTCGGCTAGAAAAAACAAGCATTCGAATAGCCTCAGATGCCGGATACCCTTTTTTGGTCAACCACAACTCACTTCGAAAACGTGATCACGATGATCTCTGTCCCGGATTTACGGCGGAAGCTCCACGGAATCGCAGCTGCGACAAATGTCCGAGTCGTCGATGGACAATAGACTCCCAGATTGACTTCGGCTCATGGCAGAACGAAAGAGCGATGAAACAGCAGATTCGATCCCATAATTATGACTCTTGTCGGTCCAGAACACAGGAAAATCGGATCCTTCCACGATCTCAATCCCGAGCGAGATGAGCGATGCCAGGTATTCTGGTTATCCCGCCTCTTCTTCAGGGGTGCAGCCCACTTTGGTGTTTGTCCGACTGAGCATAATTCGTGTATTATTCGTGGCAGCTGAGACGGCGTGGGTTGTGTTGCACATGAAAGTTTCTGTAAAGACTCAGTTTTCGTCCAATCAAGCATCATTCTTAGATGATGAATTGGGTCAATGACAGATTATTCACGATACCGCCAGACCAAGTAACCTGACACGCACACACACACCTTCAAACTTTGTCCTGGCACCCCTCCATTGGAACTCGGCACCACATCCCTCTCTCGTTCGCTCGCTAGCTTGGTCGCTGACAGCTGCTTCAACCTTATTGCCGCGCCTCACCGCAGCTTGCATGCTGCTGGAATACGGTAGCCTACGGATCACAGTACGGGCTCACACGGCAACCGCGCTCCGTCATCAGCATCCATCCTTTGATACAGATACTTCGACCTAGAGGCGAAGCTTGCCCAATACGGGTGAGCCTGAGAGTCTGCCAGAGCTTGCTCCCAGAGATTCTCCAATTCCCCATACTTATCACCGACTACGAGTCGCGCAGTCCGTTCTTCATCAATTCTCCATTGCTGGTGTATTTGACCGAAGTGTCGTCGATTGGCGCATTGCTTTATCGGGGGCAACAATCGTTGCTAGCTAGCACTTCCGCTCAAGAGACTTCACTTAGCCCCACCACGACGACTACTCGTGCGAATTTCTTTGCTCCACGATTTCACATCATTGCATCCACCGCATCTCGAGGATCTGCTGTCCACTTAGTGCCTCATTGAAGGCTTCTTATCTGGCTGCTACCCCTCATCATGGCTTCGACACAAGAGAATCATCCCCAAGGTACCCCCATTGGTATGTCCACGCTTACTATTCATGTTGACTCAATTACGCCATGTCCCGGCTACGAGATTGTTGATAATCATGTTTCTGACAAAGACTTCCTTCACAGCCTCCGACCATATTACTTCCTCTCAGCTCGATCCTAAAGACGTTTCGGCTGGTTCTCCCACAGTTCGATTCGCATCTGCCACTGAGGAAATCGAGCCGAAGAGTGTCGAAGCTCTCGACGCCGAACCCCCGCAGAACATATTTGGCCAAGACGAAGAGAGATTGAAGGAATTATCTAAGAGCCTCCATGGAACACATCTTCAAGAGCGTCGAATGAGCCATTTTGCTTTCGAACCAGTTTCTCTTCCTGCCTCGAGGGTATGTCTTCTTTCCTCGCCCATGTTGTTTGTCACCGGGATCGCCGAAAGAGGAAATGCAGCAACAATGACGATATCAATTCCAATGAAGTTCATTGTTGTCTGGGAGAAGCTCGGGAGTTTGAGTATTTCCCTGACTTGCCGGCATCTGCTTTCTCATATGCATTGAGAATGAGATTCTCAGATCCACCCCCACGCACTAATGGGAAAGCCTCCCGGGATGCCCCACCTTCTTGCATTTTCCTATATATTTCTTTTCATGCCCTCCTCTCCTCATCTTAAGATTCTCGGGACTGATCCGACATTGTGCAGGTTGCCTCGAACGAAGATAGTTCGCGCGAGACAAGTCGACATAATACGCACACTTCTTCCGGCCGCCCTTCACCCCACCACAGCCCTCGACCATCTTCGATGCACTCACCGCCTATTACACCTGCGGCGACGAGATCGCGGGACGCCGTGGAGGGGACTACAAAAGGGGCGCCTTTACAGAAGGTGGAAGCAGAGGAGGACGCGGCAGCCGTCACTCCACAAATCTCACCACCCGGGACTTCCCCGTCAACCACAAATATCGACGATAGCCGGCCGGGATCTTCAGGAGTGACGACAAGGCCGACAAGCTTATCCGCAGACTCCGGTTCCCAATCACGACATGGTGCTTTCTCGATCGGCCCTGGCAATGATACCTCTGTACCAGTATCGCGCGAGACCAGTCCCTCGAGAACAACAGCACCAACATACAGCAGACCCTTCACACCTTCCGGTGATGCCAACGACCCATATGCAGCAAACAAACGACCTCCACAATCGAGAAACTTAGACGCCATTGATCAGAGGTTCAAGTTCACGGCTCTGGGTTCGAAACATCGACCTTCACCAAGCTCATCGACTACCAATCTTCCCAGATCATCAAGAAGTGCTGTCGATGTGAACAACAACAATTCAGAAAAGAGACATTCCCACATCTTTGGAGGAGGTCACAAGGACCACCTCTCACACATGCACGACGAGAGCTCAACGACGATTTCGAGCAAACATGGATCGATGTCGGAGCTCAAGCGTTTCTTGAAGATTGGAGGACATCACAAGTCAAAGCGAGCAGCATCACCTACTCCTTCAGCCAAATCGGGTACCAAGACCCCTCCACACCATAAGACTCCGCAACAACTACCCTTCGGTGACGATCATGGCCTGCAATCGAAGTACGGCAAGTTCGGAAAAGTCCTAGGAGCTGGAGCTGGTGGCTCGGTTCGTCTCATGAAGAGAAGTAGTGACGGAACGACTTTTGCAGTAAAGGAGTTCAGAGCTAGACATTCATACGAGACGGAAAAAGAATACGCCAAGAAGGTCACCGCAGAATTCTGTGTTGGTTCAACCTTACATCATGGCAACATCATCGAGACGTTGGATATTGTACACGAGAAGGGAAAGTGGTATGAAGTGATGGAGTATGCCCCATATGATCTTTTCGCAATCGTCATGACGGGAAAGATGTCGAGAGAAGAGATCAGCTGCTCATTCCTGCAAATATTGAGTGGTGTCACCTATTTGCATAGTATGGGTCTGGCGCATCGAGATCTGAAGCTGGACAACGTCGTGGTGAACGAGTTTGGAATCATGAAGATCATCGACTTCGGCAGCGCAAGCGTTTTCAAATATCCATTTGAAAACGGGATCACCCTTGCTAGTGGTGAGGTTCAAAACCTTTGCTCTTGTCCGAACTCTTTGCTGACTATAAATAGGTATCGTCGGATCTGATCCTTACCTTGCTCCAGAAGTGTACGACGAAAGGAAGTACGACCCTCAACCAGCTGATATTTGGTCCCTTGCTATCATCTTCTGCTGCATGTCGTTACGCAGATTCCCTTGGAAGATGCCAAGAATGACCGACAATTCGTATAAGCTATTCGCATCTCCCCCCACTCCTGGCACGGACTTGAGGAGAATATCCGACACCCCTGCCCCATCAAAGTCCACAAACGACTTAGATACGCCTGCTAGAGATGCCGTTCCAGAATCGAAACCAACTACACCTAAGGCCGAACTCCCCCCAAACACTTCCAACGGAGCACTTGCACCTGTCAAACCAGAGGTGATCAAGGGTCCTTGGAGATTGTTACGGCTCTTGCCAAGAGAAAGTAGACATATCATGGGACGAATGCTGGAGATCGACCCCAAGAAACGAGCAACTTTAGAAGAAGTCCTGGCTGATCCTTGGGTCTCTGGAACTAACATATGTCGTCAAGTTGGCAAGGAGTTGTACCGTGCTCCAGGTCACACCCATACTTTAGAGCCTCCGGCTTCACAACCCCCACCGGCGAAGTGATCTTCTCTACAGCTTGCTTCACATTGACACGGGATTGCATGGGCTTGATAGCGGAGTTTAGGTTGGATTTATGCGGTGGTTGGGTTAAAGGCTGTTGAGGACTTGGGAAGTACTGTGCATAGATAGGATTCTCTAATTCTTGGAGAAGATGTAGATTGTGTAACCTGGGGTCTGGCTGTATGGCCAGAGGCAGAGATTTAGCCCCCCAAACAGAGGTCATGGACCGATGGGTATTATGACTTACGCCTGTTATTATTGCATTACAAATAAGAATTTTAATTGTTCAACATGAAATTTTGCGTTTGTGTACTGTGAACTTGGCGTAGGGTAGAAGTGACATGGTCTAACGTTCGCTGAATCACTTATTATGATCAAGACAGATATAAGCATAATTTAAAAGTCTTCATAACTTCATAATGTCCGGCCGCTTGTAGAAAACTGAGCGACTTCTTATTCACAATTATAAACCGGAGTACATTGTGCTTCAGGGGCATCACATGATCATCAGCCTCGTGCACGAGCCATAAAAAAAGTCTCGAACTTTTTCGAAGCTCTGCGAACACAACAACATCATTCTTTCTCTACCATACTCACGCATTGAAATTTTCTGCACATAATTCAATCGCTTTTATTTCAAAGCTTCAAACTCCTAGATTTGTCAAGATGGTACGTCTACCCAATGCTCGCTGAGAGTTGTGGCTGTTGATGAGAAGCTCATGCCATGAGCTCTCTTCTTCCCCTGCGCCAACTCCCCTATTACATTCATTTCATGCTTGTCTCTCTTTCAATTATCTGTCTACAACTATATACCTCTCAATGCTTACATATCTCACAGTCTACCGCTCTCAAATCCATCAGATCCCTCGCTCCTCTCCTCGATCGTGTCCTCGTCCAACGCATCAAAGCCGAAACTAAGACCGCGTCCGGCATCTTCCTCCCGGAATCAGCTGTCAAGGAACTGAACGAGGCAAAGGTCTTGGCTGTCGGACCCGGCGGACTGGATAAGGATGGCAAGAGAGTGTCTTGTAGTGTGCAACCTGGTGATAAGGTGTTGATTCCTCAGGTACGTTGGGCTTGTTTTGCGGATATGGGTATAGAGGTCCGGGTATAGAAGTTTGGAATACGGGGCGTGTGTGTATTGAGGGAAAAAACCCTGGAGTTCGGATGTCTCGGGAGATTTTGAGGCCCGCTGACGGAAGGGCGGGATCATGACAAGAGGAAAGGGAAGGATGACAAGATCACACTTGCTTATGGAATTCGTGGGACTGGCATCGTGTCTTGTGGACGAATTGCTGACCTACCATTTGCAGTATGGTGGATCACCAGTCAAGGTTGGAGATGAGGAGTACTCGCTTTTCCGCGATTATGAGTAAGTATTTCTCCATATGAGTTAGTTCTGCCAAGCACAATCACTAAGCATGCGTGTGTGAATAGGCTTCTTGCTAAGATCAACGAGTAAATGATTACAGTGTGGGGCTCCGGGAGAGAGGATGAATCCAGACAGAGGAAAGAATTGGGAGGTGTACTATACAATGTGTAAAAATTCTGCATAGCGATTAGCCGGGGAGTGAAGGTTGATTTGCATACTTGATGAATATGAATCTCCTCTCTTCCACCAACTTGATTATGTCCTATAGCTATAGTAGCACAAGTGCTTCTTCACACATATACAGTATGATCGATCTCTTTCAAAAGGCAAGTGCCACTCATGGAAGACATCTTAGACATATCTGCGTTTTATGACCTCGCAATTGAAGTGGATTTGTCTGCTCTCTTACTCTTCAGACCAGTCTAAGAACTTTTGACTTTGGATTGAATGTCCGTTTTTAGATGGACTTCCATAATCCCGGCGAAAGTCCTCTGAGTCAAGACGAAGAGAACGTAAATTCTTGCTATAAACTTCCTACATTTCGCTTAGTATTGCGGATGATTACAAGCTTCTATCGATATTGTTGAACAATAGTTCTTTTCTGCAACTGCTGGAACTATTTTGCTGCAATTGTCACAATAAGAAGAGCCTGTCATTGTCATGGCATCGTCTGTTGTTCCATATCGATCTTGATCCATTCACACTCCCTTCGTCTCAACATCTCCCGACGCTTTTCAATCACGCACATATTCAAACTTGATCCTTCCAACAACATCTACCGTTGATTGCCACTCACTACACTATATTCTTCATCAAATTCGATTCAGAGTACAATTCCTGCTGATTTTCGATTCACAACACCCCGTGCATAACATGTTGGTGCTCTTGGAATTATATTGTGTTACCGACTTGATATTTCAGAACACTTCCTGGATTATTTAGCACGACAACTCTGACTTCTCCAATTATGAAGCTCACTCTTGCTACAGGACTCGCAGCACTGCAGACCGTGTCTGCCCACACTTTATTTACAACTCTTTTCATCAACGACGTCAATCAGGGCGATGGTACTTGTGTACGCATGCCCATAACCCCAAGTAATGCCACTTTTCCTATTATTGGCTCTCCAACGAGTATCGAAATGGCTTGCGGTATGTGTACTTTTGGGAAGGGCCTGGAGCAATAACTAAATTCCCACAGGAAATCGAGGGAACGCATCCGTTCCTCGAACATGTCCAGCTCCTAATGGCGCTAAGCTGACCTTTACATTTCGCGAAACTCCCAATCTTTCTTCGCCTGGTGCCATAGATGCTTCTCATAAAGGCCCTTGTGCCGTCTACATGAAAAACGTTGAGTCTCCTATGGTTAGACCAAATGGCGACTCGTGGTTCAAGATATGGGACGAGGGATACGATGCCGTTACTTCGAAATGGTGCACCGAGAAGTTAATTGATAGTAACGGATTACTGTCAGTCAACCTTCCCGGTAACCTTGTCGGAGGATATTACTTTGTTCGCACAGAACTCCTTGCTCTTCAACAAGCAGACAAATCTCCACCGGATCCACAGTTCTATATTGGCTGTGCGCAAATATTTCTTGGTCCTGCAAATGGTAGTACTAGTCTTTCTCCTCAGACTACGGTATCCATTCCAGGGTATTTGAATGCAACAGATCCGGCGCTCCTGTTCAATATCTACACCCCAACTTGGCCATATGTGATGCTTGGACCTGTGCCATACAATAGTTCGGAGATGCTTGCAACTACAGTTCCTAACGTTGCACACCAAATGTATGGACTTTTACCATCCGATGCAATCATTACCAACGCCAACTGGTGGGCAACAGAATTGGACTCTTACTCAGACGTTAATGGGTGCTGGAATGTGAGTTCCTTTCTTATTCCAATTATTCCAATAAGTCTACTGTGAACTAACAAATAACAGGCAAGCAAGTCATGCTTCGAACAACTTACAACATGCTACGGCACTGCACCACCAACCGGCTCTGCAGGCTGCAGAATCTGGGAACAGAGATGCGACGACGTACAATCTGCTTGTAACGCCAGCATCTTCACCGGGCTCCCAAACGCGGGCAAGTCCTTGATGCTACCGGACAACAATCCATACCCTATTCCTGATGCCGCTAGCCAGACTCCTGGTCAAGTCTATGCCAGTCAGTACATGAATGCTGCGTTCCGAAACGGATCAGCCAATAACTCTAAGCGCGACTCGAGCACTTTTCCGGCTTTGGGGACAATTTTCACAACCATCACAAGCACACGCACCACCACGCTATTACGAACCGTCAGTGCGCTTCCACCAAGCATTGTTTCGAGTGTCGCTTTGTCGAATTCGAGCATGGTTATCAGTACTGCTCATGATTTTGAGACGACCTCAAGTACTGTGATGGCGAGCTTTCCAATCTCAGCGCCAGCTACATTATCCAGTGCTACTAGTGCTATCCCATCAAGTACTTCTTCGAGTGGTGTTCTGTCAAACTTGATTACGATTTCTGGGACCCTTGCAACGATCTCCATCACAATGGACTTCCAATCCCAAATTCCACCAGGTTCCACGACAAACATCGGTGCCGCTCAGACAACCGGGCTAAGCTCCATCGTCTTGACGAACATCTCCTCAAGTGCCACATCATCCAGCTTAATTGTACCGGCTTCTCTGACCCAAACTCCCGTGGTATCGACTACAAACGTAGCGACTCTTCCGAATCAAACGTCGACTGCTCAAGATCTTCCTATCGCCTACTCGTTAGCTGTACTCGGAGGAGACTCTGCTATGCTTTCCACTTCGCCGTCTCCTTTAGGTCCAACGCCGACTGCTCAAGTTTTTGGAGGAGCACCTTCACAGCTTCCGCGTCCACGCTCTTCCACCGTCCCGCTTAGCAACGTTTCAAGTCCGGCTTCGACTATGCCGCTTTTAACGATTACCAAAAGCTCCTCAAGGGCATTCGGGGAAATCCCTGCCTCGACTGTGCTTCCTTCTAGCTTGTTGGCTTCAGCCACTCCAACCAATACGCAAAATCTGGTGGTTCCGACTTCGAGCTTAAGCATGAGTAACAGTCCTACTTCATTACCTCCAGCCACTCCATCAACTACACCTAGCTCGCTGGTTCTTACCTCCAGCTTAAGCTTGAGCCAGACCCTCACCCCAATAACCATAGACACCTCATCAAACACACAAACTTCACTACCTCCAACTTCAACCCTAGACTTGATCGTGATCCCCAATCCCACCTCATCGCCCTCAACAACATCCTTCTACACGCAAGCTTCAGTGGCTTCGAGTTCCTCGATCTTTTCCCTCCAGATCATACCCTCGTCCACCTCAGACGGCGGCGCAATCACGATCACGATCCTGCCCGGTCAACCAGTCGAGGCTCTTGTATCGAACCGTGCAGCGAAACCTGTGGAAATTGCGAGCGGTGTGGAGGATTTGAGGAGGGAGGAGAAAAAGAGTCGGTTGTTGGAGAGAAATGTACGGAGGAAGAGGAGGGGAGGGGCGCTGTGGGATGAGGGGTGGGGTGTTTTTGAAGGGGGGTTGTGAGGGGGTTGGTGCTTTTTGGGCTTGAGAGGGTGGGGTTTTGGGTGTACACTGGGTCTTGAAGCTTTATTATATTGCGTCGAATGCGAGTCGGTTCTGAAATTGGTGATTATGCAATTGAACTGTTCATTGAGTTTCCGAATAAGGAAAGAGATATTTCTGAACTGGTGAATGCGCATCCAGTGATTGAGGTGTGGGCTCAGCCTCTGTGGAATATCTGCGAGTCATATGCGCATGCGTTCTCCAGTTGAGGTTAGTAGAGATTAAGGGGACGGCCAATTCATAGGGATTCAGCTATTTGGATATAGATTCAATCAATCACCAAACGTCTCATTCTAGTCAGAACTATGCAAATGCTGGACTCAACTTTAATCTCTGCTGAATCAGACCTACAGAGCGACGATAACAAGCGAGGTACCCCTGATATAACCGAGGAAGGGGTTCCGAGCACGTGAGTCTGGTTCAGCTGCTCGAGGGTACAATATAACGGAAGCGATAGATAGCTATCATCACGGATTATGTTTGCCGTTCAATCAGTGAAAAGCAAGCTTTCATTGTGGTTACTTGACGGTCCTTCACGAACGTCCGAGGGACCTGCGACCAACCTATCAAACAACTCCAAATTCATATTCACCATTCTCCGATCATTATTCATTTATATTTTGTGCGCCACTGCAAATCGTGGTCAAAGTCCCAAGTCAACACAGAATTCCCAGCTCCTGTTTCCAAGATTTCCGTGTCTTTTGATATCTTATGTTCTGGTGCAGGTTGCACATTCAGCGCATTTCGCGCGTTCTGCGCAATCCGCGCAATCCGCGCAACTCGCGCACTTTGCGCTATATGCGGCTCACGCGGTCCCACGAAGTTTTCTTAGACCTCGCTAGCTTGCCATACCTCGAGACAGTTTTCTCTCCACATCCGAGTCAGTCGCTAACCAAGGCAAATCTGATTGCACAGCAGAAATCTCAGAGGGTATATCCCGTCATGTCTGTCCCTCCGTTCGCGAAGCTCGTCGTGTCCAGCAAGTCCGCAAAAGCCAAATCAAAATCAGTCGGCCTTTCAAAAGACGGGAGTTCAGAGAACCTTTCTGGGACGGGAGTCTGTGCCACAGGAGAAGCGGCCATATTAGCGTTGAGATTAAGAACTCGTTGCAAAGACCCCAGATCTCCTCTTCTCTTCTTCTCGGCAACTTTCACAAGGTAGTGTGCTGTGCGGAGCGCCTCCCTTGATACATGAGAGCTGAAGATAGTGGTGACATTCTGCAAGGTCTCCATAGCTTTGTATAGGAGGTTCAAGCTCTCAGTGGTGTTGAGAGCAAGTAAGACGCAGATGCTGTGGAATGGAACTCCGATAATGGTCCACCATTGTTGGTATTGACGCGCAAGAGCATCGGCAGCGTCCAGGGCCGAATTGATTGCAGACAGAACAATTTCGACATGAGTTTGTGAAAGTGTAAATCCCATGTACCTCAGTTTGCGATAGATGGTAAACATCGAGTCTGCTCTCAGCAAGATGAGTGGCAACTTGGTGATTTTTATCTTTCCCAGGTTCATAATTCCCTCTATGAGAATAATGATAAAGCTTGGATCACCAGGATCGCATAGGAATGGAAGTCTTCGGATGATACTAGCGAAGTCATCTGCTGCATCATCAGAAGTGCCTGCAGGATAACGACATCCAACATTTTGTAGCACTGTCATCGTCCGGCCGTACTGGGCAGAGAAAAATCGATTCATAGAAGTCGCTACCCAAAATATTCTCCTACGAGCTTCGATTTCCTTTTCGCTTATCACGCACCCCTTCTGGGTCACCTTGACATCACTCATCTCTTGATGAAGACCTATTGACTCGGCGATATGCATAGCCATACTGCTCGCCATCCATGAAACGTGTGGGTTTGTCGTTGAGCGTAGATAAATGGCGCGTAGAATCCAGCCCACGACGAAATCAACGCAGAGCAAGACATTTGAGTGCGCAAACGTTCTATCCAGGGTCAACCTTGCTTGCTCGATAAGATCTGCCTCGTGAGCGAAGGGCTGTCTCGAAAACAAGGACCCAAGTGCCATGACCCCACACAGCACCACCTCAAATCCAGGTTCTATGTTTTGAGCAGTCCAACAACGATCGGCTCGCTGACAATATTCTTCTCGGTCAAGAATGTTGAATATTGGGTTGATGGAAGTGAAGTAGATATCTGAGAACGTTTCCAACTCGTGCAAGCTAATGTTTTGGAGCAGACTCGGCCGAGTCACCTCCGACTTTTCGCCTCTTGTGCCTGTGTTCCAAGCAAAAGCTTGCAATATCGGAGGCTCATCCGCGTTGAGTGACAGTCCAAGACTTCTGGGGAATGCGATAGCACTATCTACTCTCGTGAATCTAGTATTGCCGGTTTTTGGAGAATGACAACCCTCGGAAAGTACATATAATGGGCCCGGAGGCTCGCTGTTGTCCTTTGCTTGGGTATCAGAAGACACTGAGGACTCTTCTCGCAGTTTGGAGACAGTGGATGGTGACAGTTTCCTCTTGAAAGACACCAGTTGATCAGCTGTAGGTGTTTCGCCATTGGCGTAGATGCAGTCATAGCCATAGCCAACACAAAGCTCACAGGGATGTGCTCCATCGCATTTGACTTTCCTATGTCGGCAGGGCTCACATGCTTTGCGAATTCGGCGCCGCATAGGTCGACGAGATGGAGATTTCACACCTCTGTCGTTGTGGTCATGGAGTGGCTGTCAAGACCAGTCAGTGGAAAAGCTAATGTGAGCAAGAGTGGAAATACGGTTGACTGAAGTTGAGGCATGACGAATATGAGTTCCTTCCGGTTTGTTCGCCAAGTTCCGGTAGCAGTGCACTGTACGAAGTAGTATTGAAACGGAATTGAGGTCGGAGGTCAGAATGAGGTTGCTCGCTTCGCGGATAGCACGGAACGAACGGAGAAGACGCAGTAATGGTGGAGACTAAGCCGCATCACCCATCAAAGCAATTCTTACAGAGTAGAAACCTCCGATCCTAGATGTAAATGAATGGGAAAGCATATGATTGCTCAAATCTTACGAAGCAACGAATCAAGGATGGGACTAGAACGGAACAATTAGGAGTTGTCTATCTAGTCTCAGATCAAAACGCAATAATAAGAAAGTACTTATTTCAGACTCCCCCTTCCCACCTCAAATTTTGCTTTGAATATGCTTCTCGAAAGGCTACGCCCAGCAATTTATTCTTCCAATTTTCCGAAACTTTCAAGCTATCAATATCTGTATAGAATTCCTGACGCACTTTTGGACTATTTCTAACGACAATAGTTACTCATTCCGCCAGCAACGATTTCCAAAATACTCCAGTATGAGTAGTGTCAACCGTACGAACGGGAGTCCAGCCCGCAAGCTTATTCTCGTTGTAAGCATAAGCAGGCATCTACATGGTGTGCCCATCGAGAAAGGCATCGAATCAGAGTGGGCAAAGGAAAAGGCTCGCGACATCAAAGATTCCTTCGAGAACGTCGGCTTCAATTTAGATCCTAAAGATGTCCCAACCGCCCTCAGGGATCTGAAGCACGAATTGGAAGGAAGACCATGGGATGGTATAATCATTGGATGGTGTATAAGGGGGAACAACGACTTCACCATCCTTTTCGAGAAAGTCGTCGGGGCTTGCTGTGAAGTGATCAAGTCAGCACCAGAGACGAAACTGATGTTCTCTTCTGGGCCGCAAAACATAGTAGAGACTGTCGCGAGGAACTTTGCTGTGGACGGCACTGCTTGAATTGAGATCACAAGGATAAAAGGAAGAGACAATGTTAGCTGCTTGATACTATTCCTTCAGGTGGTCTGATGATTCATCCTCCTCAGCAGTGCCAGAGACCACCAGTCTCTACAAAAGAATTCTTTGCCGGGTTCGGATTGGCATGTTGCCTTCTAACTCTTTAAGTGCTTCCTCCAAATGTATACAACTTGTATGTACAGAATACTTGCATGTTAAGCTCACTGAAGCGTGTCACAATACCAAACTCATCATGATGTCCCATAAACTTCGCGATTACCAGATACCACTACATGCTGATAATTTACTGCGGAAACTCCGAACTTTGAAACACACAACATGAGCCAGTATTGGAGTAACGAAAATGATTGTTGTTATTAGCATTGAGTCGCATCGCAGAATTGCTCTCCGAGACATTTCACAACGTGAAGATTAGAGGGGGCTACGTCGACCTTCATTCTGACCGATTTTCAGGAATATTCTGTGGGGGAAAAAGGAGGAAGAAAAAGAAGTGTAATCCTGATCAAACGTCGCACACAGCTTAATTTCGAGGTCGTGGACGGTGAAATAAGAGAAGAGACGAAACAAAGATTTGAGCAAGGGGTACGAAATTATAATATGGAGAAGCTTAGCGTGCTTAGTCACGGTCCGGTTCCATGCCTGGTGATGCAGAAACAGCCAGCTGTCGATTCAGTCGGACAGTGCCGAATATCTCTCTCTGGTCAAATAACGTCCAGGTGTTCGGCAGTGTATACTGATCTTCCTGTGTCTGTATACTTGTATCTCAAAAATCATTTTCACTGCCAAGTACATGCTCGTGATGATAGAATGAGATAGGAGCCGCCCTTCCGAGTGCTTCGATCACAGACTTTGACAAATGGATTTCACGGCAACATAATGATCATAAGATTGGTCTGCTTCTGGAGCCTCAGGTACGCGATACTTTCTTTGTTGAGATGCTCGCCCTTGAGCTATTATGATGAAAAATCTTTCTTGTTTGATCTTGACGCTGAGGCGGTGAGAGACCTTATATTTGACGATTCTGATATATTATCTGCACTTGACTTTCTTTAAACTTCATGGATGAGAACAGTATCTAACACGTTGAGATACTAGATTCCGGAAGAGAAGATGTCCTCTGTTTTTGGTGACACAATGCGACCCGGCCACAGATACAATCGATGGTATTTCCGACAGTTTGGAGCCCCCTACCCCACCCCAAACTCGACTGATTGTGATATCGGTCTGTCCATTTTGAGTATCAGGGACCTAGGTAGGTAATTATTTTCATTTCGAGACATCAGGAAGCAGTTTGACAATGAGCAATTTCACACGTGGCTACTTCTCTTCTTTCTGACCATCTTGGACATCAAGCCTCGCGAGATCTCGTCGATCAGAAAGGCATATAGTATGTCCTCGTATACTTTGCAAGGCAGAATTGAGTGCTTTCGGCACGTAACGTCATGTGGAAGCTTTGCCGCCTCTCTACAAATGTGATTGGCCCTAGACAGGGGACAAAAGTTCTCTGCATAAGCCGAGCCGGCTTTGCACAACTAGTAGGGGACATAGTTTGATTGGTCTTCCATATCACAAAAACGAGTTCGCTGAATTTGATGTCGCTTCGTGTTTCACAACCCATGTACTTGTCGGTATCAAACGAGCAAAAGTTCTATGCAGTCGTGGATATCATGGGCAACTTAAGAGCTGGAACAAAAGTTCCGTACAGCAGCTGCTTGACCAAGATGACTCTACCTCGAGCCTACTCAAGTATGCAAGTATTACTATGCTTCTCAAAAGTTGTGGGATGCCAGCCAGAGATAAATACTGCCCGCTTCCTCGTTACTTTCTCTGGCTCTGGTTTCAAAGGCAAGACTTTCCTCTGCATCTCTGAATTGTTACGTTCATTATTCGACTTGTTGCATTATCCAGCTTTTGAGATGGCTCAAAACGGACTTCGACCCTCAAATCTTCTCTCTAGCAGAGAGAGCCAGACCGCAAAGGTAGACCTCTCCACATGGCCATTAATAAAATAGAAAGTACAAGAACTCACGCATGGTAGATTCAATCTCCATATTCTAACACAGAGCACGATTCCCGAAATTTCATAGTCAATTCATCTGAAGTTGGTATCAACTTCCCAATGAATTTTCGGGCCGGCACTGCATACGAGTCTTTCAACTCTCAGTGCGCACCATACGATAATACCACACATCACATCTTTCCCTCTGCTAATGCCCTCCTTCCATCACCTGCCACCTATCCATACCGCAATGGTACCCATCAAGATTCTTCTGGCGGACATAGGGGAGCTCATCGCAGAACCAAACGCTCCTCAATGGCAATCACTCCTCCAAAGCCAATGATGAAACGCTACTTAGCTTCGCCATCCCACAACGACCCGTTTTATGCCATGGACTATGATATTCCCATCTCCTCCAAATCACTACTAGAGGCACGCTCCTACACCGCCACCGCAGTCCCTATTGCATCAAATTCCAACTTGAACCACCAAAGATCTCGTCGAGGAGATCTTGAAACGAGTCACATGGGTGCGTGGATACTTGAGACCGAGGTTGTTGCTGCGAACATAGATGCGTCCATGGAAGAGATGAAATGAGGTGGCGAAGGAGTGAAGTCAGGACTCCTGAGTCATGTTGGAGACTTATGGCAGCGTGAGTGTTCGATGGCAAAGCGGTTCAGATCTGAAAGAGAGCGGACAAGTGACGAGGATGTCATTATTCAGAGTATTCTAAGGTTCGCTGAAGATTTTAAGGTTGCTATGCCTAACTCCGTAATCATGTAAGGTAGAATTCGTAGAATATGAAGTGTGTTTTAAACGCTTGTCAAGAATTTCCTAAGATAACGATACTAGTATTACACTCGCAAGATCTTCACATGGCGCGTTCATGGGTTCAAATTCCCGACCATTCAACGGACAGACTCAAGTAAGGCTGTCCCAATTCGCCGGAACACAGCAAGTTCAGCTGTGATGGTGGCGCTGGTCATGCATATGCAGAGTACTTTTGCTCGCTTAATCCTCCAACCGACAGAATCGAGGTCTTGTCATGAGGCTGAGGCTGAGTCGAGATAGACTTATATATCCTCCGGTTCCTCTGAGTTGGCATCGATGTGGTATACTGATCTTCCAAATCCACAAATAATTCGCCATGGAATCATTTTCCTCTGCAATGTCGTACGCTCCTGGCTCAGAACATGCCCACCCCAGCGGTTCTGAATCGAGCCAGCAAGTAGCTGTCGCCAGCTATCCTCCCACTCGAGATGATTGGGACCGGCACCGACCTCTCATTAAGCAGCTGTATTTGGAAGAGAACAAAAAGCTCAAAGAAGTAATGGACATAATGAAGCAACATGGTTTCAAGGCTACGTACGGCAGCAGCCTCATCTTACACATCAATCAATATCTGACCCAAATACAGCACAAAGATGTACAAAGATCGAATCACGAAATGGGGATTGGACAAGAAGAACAAAGAGCGAGATATGCTTGCAATTGTTCGCAAGAAGCGAGAACGCGATGCTATCGGAAAGGACACATCGTTTCGGGTACGAGACCAGCCAGTCAGCATGGAACAGGTCTGGAATTATCTTGAACGAAAGAAAACGATTAGAATTCAGGAAGGATCTGCGCCTCTCACGCCTCCAGAGATTTCATGGAGGACGCCATCGCCGATTCCTCAATCAGCCCATTCGGATCATCACGCAACGTCCACAGAAAACTACCCTTCAGACACCCTACCGGACACGGTCGTGCCATCAGCTGCACATGGGGATGGCGATTCAGTTATTGTAGGAGTCCATCGACCAACGACTCCATTACCACTATTTTCATTCAGTGAGGATACTGCTCAAAAGACCTTAGAAGCTATGTACTACCTCATCTCAGACGCTTCTCCAGTAAACCGTCCACTCTCAACACCGCACATTCTTCCCGTACCCGAAAGACTTCTTTTCAGTATCAAGTCCTACATACAAGGCTCCTTCGAGAACGAGACCTGGATAGACAGGAGTGGAAGGTGTATCAATACCTTCGTACACTGTGAGATACTCTCCAATGCTCTTTACACCTTCCATAATTACTACAGTACAGCTGTCAGGCTCGCCGATGAAAGATCATACGACGAGTTTCGCAGGGTCCTCTCGAAAGCTTTCGCGATAATCGGTGACATTCTTCGAATCCAACATACCAGAACTTTGGACTGCTTTCTTGAAGTTTTCTTAGATATGATACAGAGAGGGCACCTGGAGCTGGTCAGCTTACTAGTTCATCATATACATGAAATGTCTAAAACAATTTTGTTGGTAGAACATCCGCTGCGACAAATCTGCCAATCCCTTGCCATACTTGATAAAGATCATTTTAGGCAAGCAATTATTGAGAGCTGGAAATGCACGAGTGATGGCTTTGAACGACGGCTCGGATTTTTTCATTCTGACAGTCTTGACATTCACCTCTATTTCGTGAGTGCTACCTACGGACCGAACGCCCCTCTCGAGGAGGAGAGACTCCTTCGACAAATCCATGCGAAGTTTGTAGAGGAGTCATGGTTGCGTACACCACAGATGATGAGAATAAATCTCTTTTCAGGATTTGCAATGCAGAGGCAAAGACGATACTCTGAAGCCGAGGCGCTGGGGAACGACATTTTGTTGATAGCAGAAGATACAGAAAGTTTGATGGACAAACTCGATGCGCTGGAACTCGATGCGCTGGAACTCGTTGCATCTAGCCAATACTACAAGACAAGAGGCTCTTGGCGGAGAAGAATCTTTGGAATGTTATTGAAATGGTTAGCAATAAGTTTGGAAGAGTAAACTCTCGCGCTATCGCTTGCATGGCTCGGCTAGAAGTATGGTTGCGTGCATGGGGGCGTGAGGAGGAAGCAGATGAGTTGAAAGCAGATAGAGGCAACCGCCTCGGGCCTGATGACGTTGAGTATTAGACTTAGAACAATGAAATGTATGAATGGCGCATCAGCAATGCTTTGTTGGTGGTAAGATCAACAGTTTTACCAGACTTTGCGGAAACAGAGCAAAAACATGGAAGAAAGATGGACGATGACAACCAATTAGCTGCACAGGTATATAGCTCTGAGATTGAAGAGATAGGGCCTGGTTCAGAGGCTTTAGTAGGTTTTATGATGCAACTCTAATCCACTCGGAGATGGAGAGGTATATTCCGAATTGACTTCGACCATAACAGAACGGAATGCTTTGCTAGTATGAGAAGTGGAACAAAATCGAGACTCGAACCAACTTGTCCCATATCGTGTTGATCTGTAAAGGAGGAGAGTTCTGTCTCTCGAGCCCGAATTTCTATTTCGGACCTTATTCGAGACACCAGAAGAATGGCAAATTCCCACTGCAGACATCTACAGGCGAAGAAAAGTTATTGAAGACGTTGCGATCAAAAGTCGCGAATATGATACAACCAGTCTCATGCGACTATGCTATGCTGCATTCCAGAATTCCCTGACATCCACGTCTACCTGAACGCCTCTTCCGTACCGCTTGGTCGATATACACGTACACCACAACTTCTCTCGAAAAATCACTCCTAGAGGATTTCTTAATTGTCTTTGTGTGGGTTATGCTGTTGGGCTAGCAAATTCGGCGGCTTTGCTGGAAACTAATAATCCAATGATCAGACCGAATAAACCCAGGACGGAACTGAAGATCTCGATGACCAAGATCTTGACGAACCTATGTTCTATTAGCTAGGTCCTACGATAATCGAGCACAATACCCACAAGCTTGGATCTGCAGCATCTGCAAGAGCAGCGCCACTGCCATTGATTCCAACTGAGACACCACAAATCAGGTTGCACAAGCCCACAGTCAACCCAGCCCAGAACAAAGCATATCCAGTGTAGTAGTTGCTGCCAGAGTATATACCATCTCCGTCGACAAAGTTGAGCTTGGAGGAAAACACGATCGACATGATGACGCCGTAAATAGCGACGACTTCGCAGAAAATGATGGAAATCAAGTTCTTTGTTCTGATTCGAGGTGCTCGAACTCCACCACCGATAATCGAAGAGCCAGTTATGAAGATGCCCCTATGCAGAAGTCAGACGAGAGGGATCTGAGGCGTATATGATGGCTTGTACCATGCTGCTCCAACAACTGATAACCCAATGCACAAACCGATTCCCATATCTGCCCAGGCATATGGGGATATATCTTCGAGGAACTGGCCAACCTGGTTCCAATGTTTAGTTCCATTTCCTCAGTTATTCCAGAGTTCTAAACCATACATTGAAAGCTTCTCCATCACCAGTGAAGAGCATATCTGGTCATCGTTAGACAAATGCCATTACCTAACGTCATCCAACTTACAAGCTCCCACTACCGCCAACGCCGTCGTAGCGCCTCCGATTCCATAGTAACTCATCTTGACGGGACAATTGAGCGTGGAGTGTTGACCAGGTCGGTTGAGTCGTTGTCGACATCAAAGCTCTCTCGTCACTCAAGCTCACTTTAGGCTGCCGTAGAAGCCACTAGCGCGGTTGAGGCTCCGCTTACCGAGCATCTTCGGTATATCAACTCCTGCCTAAACAAAGACAACCTTCCCTCTACAACGTCGCGTCGCATACAGCAAAACATCATGGCGGCGACTGGACAGTCCTTTTACGAGCTCTATCGCCGTAGCAGGTACTGTGCCTCTTTGCTCTACACCCAAATTGCTACTCACGACTGACTGTTCCCACTTTTAGCATCGGCATGGCGCTCACGGATACCCTCGACGACTTGATCAGCGAGCGTCGCATCGAGCCTCAACTGGCAATGAAGATCCTGGCGAACTTCGATCGAAGTATTACAGAGGTCTTGGCTGACAAGGTGAAGGCGAGGTTGACTTTCAAGGTACATAGAGCCAAGGGTTGAGGAGGCGCAAGGCTAACGTCATGAAGGGTCATCTTGATACCTACCGTTTCTGCGATGAGGTCTGGACCTTCTTGATCAAGGATGTCACCTTCAAGATGGAGAACTCGAGTCAGACTGTCGTAGCAGATAAGGTCAAGATCGTTAGCTGCAACAGCAAGAGACCTGGCGATCCTCAATAATCAACCAGCGCCACCCAAGATTGTCGATACGATATGAGATTGCAAGATCTTACGGCTTGTGGCTGGGCATCACTTAGATTTCTGCTTTTGTCCGCTGGGATGGTCTACAAGCACATAAAATGATACCTTATTTGATCAGGGAATTGCGGACATGACCCTGGAGGAGCATATGCGGTGTTTTACGGACAGGCGTTACGACGGTTAGGGCGGCGGAACAAAGAACATTCAGTCGAAGGACAATGTCTCTATTTGATTTGAGACATTTTAGACATTGAATGCAAGATTTCTCAACACGTTTTTTCATACAAGCGGCTGACTCGTCGGCTAATGCCGAGGATTAATATGTGTGCAGGAACATTGTGAAGGCTGAACCAAACTGATCATTTTCATATTGAGCTACAATAGTCAATTACCAACTACCTATCATGTATTCATCTCATATCACTTTATATAAGCCAATCATCGCCTAGACATCGCCTCAATTTGTGCGGCTCTCGATACGAAACATTCAACTTTCTTTCCCGATTGTCCGTCTCTTCCAAAAATAGACTTAACCACCATTCCAGCCTCTCAAACCTTACCAAACGCCTCGTAAACCAGCGGCACTCAAGCCCTATGCTCCGTCAACGTCCCCCAAAGACACAAATTCCGACTCCCCGCGGCCCTCCAAAGTCCCAGATAGGAACAAGCACCGGTATGGAGGGCAGCACTGATGATCCACGCCAGCCCCTGTTGGCCGCGCCTGCCAAGGAACCGGAGGAGCAACAAGCTTCATCTGAACAACACGCTTCTTCCTCTTCAACTACCACTTCAGATCAGCCAGAGATCAAAATGGAGAATTTGAGCAAGAAATCGCAATGGATTGTCCTTGCCATATTGAGTGGTGGATGTGCGGCTTTCAATGGGGTCTTTGCGAAGTTGTACGTCATCCTTTTCCTTTGTGTTTCCGAGCATTCCGCTGCTCTCGGGGAAAGTGAGGATATATCTGGTTTCTAGATGAAGTAGTCGCTTCGGATAATCACTTCTTCCTTTCTGTGCGGCTCTTTCATTGATGTACTGTTCGGACGGGAGTGGCGCATCGGTGACATACTGACGAGGTTCGTTTGGCTGATTGGCATCGCAGGACTACAACGGAACTCACCAGTAAGTTCGCTACTTGGATCGCCAACCTCGTAGGGCTGGGCAATGTGGAGGGAGGTGTGGAAGTCGTTGTCCGTGCTGTACGTCCTTTTCTTTTCTCCTCTTCCTGTCTATAAAATGCTTCATTGACGAGTTCAAATCTACTCCATAACTCTTAGCTTTTTGCAAGCTGCAACGAGTCAATACACCAATCAAGAAAGCTTACTTCTCTCTTTTATTGTCCGCTTCCTTTTTTCATAGGAGTCTAACATGAGGAAGATATTCTTTGGCCTCAACCTAATATTCAATGGCATCATGTGGACCCTCTTCACCAAAGCTCTCGCACGCGGAACATCCACCACACAAGTCAGCATCCTCAACACATCTTCAAACTTCATGCTCACCGCCGTCCTTGGGTGGCTCATCTTCTCGGAATCGCTTCCACCGCTCTGGTTCCTTGGTGCTGCATTGCTCGTAGCCGGAAACGTGATCATTGGAAGAAGAGACGAAGGAGAAGAGAAGCGGGATGTGCATCAGAGAGCCGAGGATGGCGGGGGTGCGGAAGAGGGAGAAGGACTTCTAGAAGGCGAGGAGGTTGAACTTGATGAGGATTTGGAGGATAGGAAAAGGAAAGAGGAGCAGGATATTTTGGATCTGGAGTTGGATGACGAACTGCATCGGAGGAGGGGCAGTGGAAGCTAGGACTTGTTGTCTTAGAGTATAAAAGGGCCGTATGAGTCTGGTGTTCAACACCGTGTATAACGGAGCTTGACCACTGTAGATATAGACTAGTAAAGCATTCTTAGATTTGGCATATGGACTTGGTCTTATTCGCACTTGGTTTAGCAAAACGTCAGTTTCCAGCTGCATGACCTAAGGCAGAATTGATTACATAGTACTTCTCCGGAAAGCCCAAGAGCGCCTCGACATTTCAGTTATTTAGAAGTCTAATGTTGAAGTCGGACAATGAGATTCTCTGAATGATTATAATGCTCGGCTTTCCTATAAATATTCAGGCTTCAGATAGAATTAAAGTCGGGCTAAGTAAAAAATAGTAGCACACGTCAATGTCTGATTTAGGTATGTCCTTTGAACCAAGCTTTAACTTGAGAACAGATGCTAACCAATGAGACATTGAGCGGGTGTTAGTTTCACCCCTCAATTTCTAAATTGTGCTCCGATGTTCAATAGCAAAGGCTGTGAAGTAAAGTCAGACAATGAAAAGTTCACTTCGATGCAAGCTCGTCGATTGTCTGGATCATTATCTTTCAATCAATTCCGCTTCCTGTATCCTACAAAGTATCAAATTCACTTTTCAACTTCCCCATCAACAGTGCCTCAATCTTCGACCCTTTGCTCAGCGTCTCCTTCCCAGCAGGCAAGCAAATCAGTGCATTAGCACTCTTCAAACTTCCTACTCTAGAGCTTCTCTGACCACCTGTGCTACTAGCATGAATAACCCCATCTCTCCCTAGCGTGACTATGGCCCGATGATACTCAGCCCTTTGCGGATCGAGACGGAATTCGTGATCCAGTGTGACCTGAATCTTTGGTAGACCCGCTGGAGCGATACCTGAAGCTTGATGTAAAGACGGCAAGACGAAGAGATGGAAAGTAACGATCGCTGAGACTGGATTTCCCGGTAACGAGAAGATAACTTTCTCGAATCTCTCTCCAGTATTGTTCTTCACTGGCACTGTGGCGAATGTCGTAGGCTTGCCTGGCTTCATCGATACTCGTCCAAAATGGATCGTTCCACCTAAAGATCTCTCGATCGTAGGTTTTAAAAGGTCCAATTCTCCCATAGATACTCCTCCTGATGTGATAATGACGTCCACTTTCCTGAATCCATTCCTCAATGTCTCTTCCAGGTGTCTAGATTTATCTCTCGCAATTCCAAGGTCGACGACTTCGAATCCCCAACCGCGAGCAGCCGACATGATTGTGGGTCTGTTGCAATCCCTCACTTCTCCTAATCTTAGCTCCCCGTCTCGACTATGTTCGATGATCTCATCTCCTGTTGAAAGGACACCAATGACTGGCTTCTTGTATACCATCACTTTGGCTCTTCCAACTGAAGCAAGAAGACCTAATTCTCCGCCAATGGCAGAAATTTCTTCTCCCTTTCGAAGAATGACAGAGTCTTTCTTGATATCGCTCCCAATTTCCCGAATATTCTCGGCTGACTTGACGTCCTCGGCCAAGATCTCGACTTCTTTCTCCTCACTCCCATCGTCTGTCATAGTTTTCAGAACTGTGTCTTCAACCATCACAACTGACGTGGCACCGGGAGGAAGTGGAGCACCCGTAGTGATTCGTGTGATTTGACCAGGTTTCAACTCAGGTATCTCGCCAGGGGTGGCATGAGATATCGAAGCGACAGGAAAGACGCCTTTACTTGAACCACCATCTTCAGGTGCAATGACTGCATAGCCATCCACGATACTGGCTCGATATGCAGGTACGGCTTCTGTCGCTGTGACATCTTCTGCAAGTACACAACCAACTAGAGTGCCATCGACTTTTGCTGTGACTATTTTGGGAGCTGGAGTGTGTTCTTTGATAAGTTTAATTGCCTCATCGACTGAGAGCATGGGATATGGAGATGATCGATTTCGTCTTGTTGGTCCTAGACTTGGATCATTTGATTTTGGGTTTTCGGCAGGAGCAGTATGCCTGATGGGCATAGCATGTTCGTGGTTGTGGCCACCATGAGAGTGTCCGTGATGAGAATGAGCATGGCTATGGAAGTGGCCTGGAGTGGCACCCACACCTGCATCTTTTTCCAGCTTCTTCACACCTCCAGCATGCAATGTTCTCGAGTCTGCTCCTGCTGCTTGGAGGCAAGCGTGAGGTAAGAGTTTCAAGATTGATTGGAGATTCTCTCGAGCTCCTTTTGGTGAGCCTGGAAGCGTCAAGATAATGGTCTTGTGCCGTACACCAGCTACAGGTCTCGACATAAGAGCAACTAATTATCATCAGATGAAATATTCTTAGGCAAACTGGGAGCTTACAAGGAGTAACAGCTAATGAAGCAGCAAGCATTCCATGTACTAAGCCAGGAGCTTGTTTGTGAAGTAGAGGAGTGACCGCCTTCTCATAATTAGCATTCACTTGACCTTGGGGAGTGTAAAAGTACCAACCTCAGGCGTACTATCATGAACAGCAAAACCAGTTCCTCCCGTGGTAATAATCACATTGGGACTTTCAGCTCCATCTGTCCAACCTGTGATGGTCCTCTGAATGTCCAGCACCTCATCCCCCACAATCCTGATATCAACTACCTCCCACTGACCTCCTCCTTCACGCTCGAACACATCTTTTAAGATCCCGCCCGAGGAATCAGTAGACGGATCTTTCGAAGCAGTAGTTGACACGATAAGAATTGCAGTTTTTAGATTTGACATGGTTGATGTTTGAGGTCACAGTAAGTGAAGTCTTTACCCCACCATTCACCTTGTGATTGCTGCATCAACGTCACAAGCGAAGAATCATCGCGTCTCCCAAACTTTTTTTCTGCAGTCGCGTCACAATATCTCGGACATTGTCCAGCAACGAGAATTATGGTGCGCCTCAAGAATCGATACCTGCTGGTCAACATCCTATACCCTGAGCTCGAGAAAAGTCAATTGAATTCCAACATTCCCGATGTCGTGATCTTCAATCAACCAACGACAAATGATCTTAATGCATCAGCTCTCATGAGAGGCATACGCGCAGAAGTTTCGAGCTTATTTGGCGATTACGGGATGGGCACTGTTTCCGAAAGTCTTGCTGGTAAGATCAAATTACGAGTTGTGGAATGTGCATTAACCCAGTTTTCTACGCAGTCAAATACCTATCCCCAGCGACCTCGACGTTTATCCTCCGAGTTTCTCGAGCACATTATCAGGTGGCCTGGGCGGCCTTATCTATGATGACCTCTGTGCCTGTGAAAGGCGGGAAGAATTGCGTCTTCAAAGTCGTGCGTGTCAGTGGGACAATCAGGAAAGCGGAGGAGGAAGCTATTCGACGAGCACGAGAGTTGATTCTGAAGGCACAACGAGATACGGGAGATCAAGGAAAATCGACACTTGAAGACATGTTTGGAGATGGGCAGAAAGATACTACAGGGGATATTCTCATGGTAGACAGGGCAGGCGGAGACAGCGAAGAGGAAGGTGGAGATAGTGACGGTGATGGCTGAAAACAGAGGGGTATCATCGATTCTTCCTAACGACCTTAACACCACTATCTGGAGGCATCGACATGCCCATATCTTCCAGATAATCATCTTCATCCATGGCTCCTTCGGCATTGTTCTCCTCGGCCTGATCCCGCATCTTGGCCTGCTCCTCCCACTCCAGACGCTCTTTCTCGTCATACTGGTCCTTGGCATCTAGCCACCGCTCTTGGACATCCTTCACATCCATTGTGGTAACACCTTCGCGCATAGCCACCTGCCAGACGGTATCATTTGCGCCTTCAGCGCCACCAAACGCATACCCTCCTGCTCGATCAATGACTTGCAGAAGATGCATCATACTTCTCTTGTTCTCAACAGCCAGAGTCTCGAATCCGACCAAGCCAAAGCTCTCCACCAACTCAACTATTGCGGTGTTTAGACCTTCGAATTTCGGGCTTACAAAAGACTCCTCGGCAAGATGTGGAAGAAGATATGATAGGTCTTGTACCTCTGTGTAAAAGTCGAGGTTGAATGGCAGTTCGCCATATGAGGAGAGCTTATCGATTTTTGTGAGGACGTTTAGGTGTGGAAGGTCCATCTGGAGCATTGCTCGTAGAGAGAGGATGAGGTTGGAGATGTAGAGAGAAGGCAGGGTCAGACAATACGAATCCGACAGATGCAAGACCACCATCTATGGAGAGTCAGTTTGCAACCCTTCTTTTCAAATAGAATGCAGACCTACTCTGTATCCTAACTTCTGCAACTTGAAGAAAATGTTCCGTAGCGAAGAGTGATGTGTGTAAAGCTCGACCTGACCAGGACAATCGAAAAGCACATAATCTTCTCCCAGCTCACTAAGTCCAGCTTCTAACCATTCCATGTTCTGTTCGAGCTCCTCGAGAGCATATAACACGCCGCCGTTTGGTCCTAAATCATCTTGCTCCATGATATCTTCTAGTTTTATGAGGTCTCGTACGTCTATTGCGCATGGGTAACTTGTTTGGTCGTTGGCGGGGTCGAGGTTGACTACTGAGCACTTCCTGCCGATGGCTGACATGAATTGTTGCACTGGAGATTGGTCAGAAGGGTCTGCAGGATCTGCAGAGGTTTGTACATACTTCCATTGCAGTATGTGCTCTTTCCAGCGCCTGGGCTGCCAAGCACAAGCTGTGCGAAAGGCATAGTGGCGGGGTTTGTGGAGGGGTATTCTGGAATGCGACTTGAAATAAAATGCTGCAGATGTAGTAGATATGCGGTTCTGTATTTGGTCTTTGAATAGATACCAAGTGTACCCAAAAGTCGTGATTTATTGCGAAAGATCAAAGTTCAGATATGGTATGCTGCGAAAAAGTCCCAAAGCTCAAGATGAGCTTTGAAGGTAGCGTCTCTTTTTGGTGAACAAGGGGCGGTGTATGGCGGCAATATTTTTCTGCATATCAACAAGGCGAGAGGCTAAACAATAGGTATTGTTATTACAAAAACCGTACAACTCAGAAATTTAACAACATGGCTCCAGGTATGTTTATAACTCAGACCTGTTGCCTTTTCAATCTATGATTGCCCCTGCTAACTATCTTAAAGCACAATTCGAGTTGTTGCAACCTCCTGCAGATGCAGTCTCCTCCCTGAAATTCGCCCCGAATTCTCCTACAAGATTACTGGTCTCTTCTTGGGATAAGCATATCTACTTGTATGATACACAAGATCAAGAAGCAGGCGGAAAGCTGATCGAGAAGTACGAGCACCGAGCACCTGTACTCGATGTATGCTTTGGAGCCGACGACAACGAAGCTTTCAGCGCGGGCATGGACTGGCAGGTGAAGAAGTAGGTGGTCTTGGACTCTACAATTACGTGCATGGAAGCTTACCTTCTTGACTATAGGATAAATCTGGAGACAGGAGAGCAGACAGTCATGAGCGCGCATGGTGCACCAGTTAAGTCTGTTGTGTACAGCAAAGAGCATTGTATGGTCTCTAGGCCTCTATTACGAATCTGATAGCTAATATCTTCCCAGCCCTCCTAATATCCTCCTCCTGGGACTCAACCCTCCACTTCCACGATCTCAGCAATCCCAACGCAACCCACAGCACCATCACCCTCCCCGCAAAACCCCATTCCCTCTCCCTCACCTCCTCAAAACTGGTTGTAGCCATGTCCTCCCGCCTAGTCTACATCTACCAACTCTCCGTTACCTCTCTCCTCACCTCGCAAGCCAACGGCTCCACCCTCGAGCTCAAGCCCTGGCAACAACGCGAATCATCCCTCAAATTCATGACTCGAGCCGTATCCTGCATGCCCAACGACGACGGCTACGCTACCTCCAGCATCGAAGGCCGCGTTGCCGTCGAGTGGTTTGATCCCAGCACCGAGTCCCAGGCGCGGAAATATGCATTTAAATGTCATCGTCAGCCAGATCCAGAGGGTGATGGAACTGATATCGTGTACCCTGTCAACGCTTTGGCGTTCCACCCCAATTTCAACTCCTTTGCTTCAGGAGGCGGAGATGGGATCGTAGCTCTATGGGATGCCGTTGCGAAGAGACGGATTCGCCAATATCAGAAATACTCTAGTAGTATCGCAGCGTTGTGTTTCAACTCTGATGGAAAGTATCTCGCCGTTGGCATTTGTCCTGGGTTTGAGAATGGGCAGGAGGACTATAGTGGGGAGGGGGAAACACACGTTTATATCAGAGAGTTGAGTGATACAGAAGCAAAAGGCAAGGGTCCTAAGTAAAGTCGAGGCTTGATGTGTACGAATGACTTAGCATGGCGTTCTTGGTGGATTGAAATATTCGGAATTTTTGACGACAAAAGCTCTTCCTTCCTTCGAAATGTCAAATTCTCTTCATATTTAATTCCTATACTTTGCCATATTCTGTTCGTGTTAATTATCGGGAATTTGGTCAGACAAATTTTTTTTCTTATAATGACGGAACAAGTGTTTCTTTGTGTTGTTCGTTTCACACAAAAGACAAATATATGAATTCCGCAACTGGGTTGACAATCGAATAACCCGTACGTATTATTAGTTATTGATAAGCTATATGATAGAGCTTTTGAAACAAAATTAGCACTGTCTAATTACAGAGCATAAGAGCATTCCGTCTCCCGTATAGAATAGCTAAAGCTAATATACATCTCAGATAATCCTCCAACACATACATGCATTCAAGCTTCGGCCCTCTCGTGCATCTTCCAAGCATTCTTGAAGGGAGGCTTCCAAGGCATTGACATCGTTCTACGACTTGCACTTGCCGGCAATGTTCCCATACCTGCGCTGGCCTTTCTAGTCAAGGCATTGAGACTTCGACTTGGCGTTGAAGACTCCTCGGTCAGAGTTGGTAGACTAGGAGTTGACTCGACCGGAGATAGGTCGGACTCTTGCTTAATGACCATTGTCGGACCGATTTCCTGACTTGCTGGCTCTTCTTCTTCGTTTTCATTTTCATGTTCGACGTCCGAAGCCGTCCATGGGCTGCCATCGCTTCTATGGCGGCGTCCGTCCCCTTCTAATTCGTCACACTCGCTATCATCCCTGCTACCGTCGTCATCACTTACTTGATACTTTCTCAAAGACACCATGCTCAACTCATACATTGCTTCCATATCCGCCTTGGCCTGTTTCAAGGTCTTAGGGGTTGAAATGGTATGATCGAATTGAGAATGTGCAACCTTATGGCGCTTCTCAGCAACAGTGTGAATGATTGGCATGGTACTGGCCTTTATTCTCGTTGTATCAAGTACCTCATTCTGCAGTTTCCGCTTTAGTGGCGAAGTCGTACTGGCGTATTGTGCGGAAGTCGGCTCATAGTTTGAACAGACACCTGGGGTCACAAGCTCGGGTAGAATCAAGTTAGGAAGATTCTCATTTGGCAAGTTGTTCAAAGTTCCACCAGGCAAGTGTTGGTCAGCCACAATTGTCTGATCATCTTCTTTCCCCTCGATCGATGGCTGTAGTGCACCTTCATACTCACGTTCGAGTTCTTCTTCTTCTTCGATTGCTTTCTCGAGTTGCTCTTCGGTTATCACTTCGATTGCTTCTTCGGGTTCAATTTGAGGCCAAAAATTCTCTTGCCCAGTCGCCTGCTGGGATTGAGGCTCAAGCGCAATTGATTCATCTTTAGCAAGCGGCGTAGAGGCTTGCACTTCAATCTGCGCATTCACTATGTCTGGTTGAGCTTGTGAATGCACGGCGGATTGCAGTTCATTCTTCTTTCGGTAATGACTGCGAGTCGATTTCGATGGTAAAGAGGGCTTCTCGGTCACCAGAGTCAACTCAGAAAGCCTGACTGCGATCCTGTGAACAGCCTCTTTTCGGTAGGCTGGGCGTCTGATTGGCATGGTTCGACCAATTGGTGTAGCTTCTCTCCCCTCGAAGCCATCAGAATACGAAGGTGTGCGGAGATAATCAGATCGAGATCGTGGTGATAATGGCTTTGGTAAGCGGAACTGAGAGGTATCGATAAGACCTAAACCTTTATGTCGTCTCTTTGTGATTTTGGACTTGACGATATGTTTTCTATGATGGCCACTTTCTGATTCGTCTTCGCTTAATTGCGAGACGGGATCTTGAGACACTTCTAAAGGGGGACCTGTCTCGATTAGCGAATGGTCATCAATGATATTTGAGACTTACTATCAGGAAAATCCAAATCAGACTCGTCAAGTTGCTGTGAGATTGTCACAAGCTCGCCCACTGGAAGACGTCGAAGTTTCTTTGATGCTTGTGACTTCCTTGGGGCACTAGTCTTCTGAAATAGCTTCCGAGCAGACTTTGCCTGTCTTCGACTTGTAAGTGCTTTCAGGATCTCACTATGTCTTTCCTGGACACGCTTTCTACGATTACTTCGTTTCCGTCTCTTCAAAAGAGGTGTTTCAGTCTCCTGCTCGCTTTCATGTTCACCATCATTTTGCATTTGATGGAAATTTGGAGTTTCCTCGCGTGGTGTAGCTCGAGGCCGTTTGGTGCTGCTCAAAGAGAGTACAGATGGACCAGGGACATGGTCTTCAGCTAGATCTAGACCGAGAAGCATAACATCCACATCATCAAGTTCGCTTTGCGATAGTTAGTAATTGAGTTGATGCTAGAAGATGGTTAAGAGAACTAAGTGTGTGGTGGACTTCGAAATGTGGCAAACAGGTTATCACTTACTTCTCCGAATCTATATTCGGCTCTGCTCCTTCAATACCCACCACATCATCCCCCTGTTCCGCGAAATTAGTGCTGGCAGGCGATGTATTTCTATGCTGTGGCTCATCGATAGGTGCTGATGAGGTGTCATGTCGACGTCTCAGACATTGTTCAAGGGTCTCGCCCGCGAGGCTCGAAGGCGCGAATGCTGGGTCTTCGGATGGATATCGAAAGCTGCTTGTTCTTGGTTCTTGGAATAGCGTTTGTTCGTCTGAAGGCTTCAAATCAGTTCCGAAGCTTTGCATGTACACAAAGTTAGCTCACCACTTGGATCGTCCTCAGGAAGCCGGTAGATATCTCGTGTTTTCTGAGCTTCTCTTCTCCCTGTCCACTGGTAATGGTGTAGTGGCTCATTTGAGACACGTGGAGAGTCTGCTACTGCTGATGTGAACGATATCTTTGCTCCTGAGCTCGACTCGACTTTGGACAGAGGAGTCTGCAATTGTGATCTAGCCTGCGTAAGCTGGGACTGATGAGTGTTTCGTGGACGAGATTCGTCAACAACGCGTTCCGCATCGTTTGTTCGGCTCACTCCACCAACCTTTCCTTCTGGTTGGAGAAGAGTTGATTTGGTGACGTGGAGAGATACAACTTCATTCTGCAATTTAGCTTGTCGTTTCAGTTTGAAGTTCGGGGTGGGACGCCTGGGTTGATAAATTCTTGCGACAGAGGCTTTCTTCGCCTCTTCCTCTGCTGTTAATGGGCGTCTATGAGACGATTCTTGAGGCCTTACTAGGGACGTCGGAGTGACAGGATCCATGGTTAAAAAGATGATTGTTGAGATGTTTCTAGATTTGATCGAACGCAAAGGTAGGCACTATGAAGAGCACTGAAGCCTGCTGCCCTTATGCAGTAGGTGCCATTTTTGTGAATGTGTCAAAGTGGAAGGCGCGATGTAAGGGGAAGGCACGATTCGCTCTGCACGTGACTCTCACCGTTCAAAACGCGTCGAGTTTAAGAGAGTTGTAGCTTTTGTGGTTCATCGCCATCATTCGAATTAAAAATCTTATCAAACATAACCCATCTTGGGGGCGATCCTTCAAGTACACAAACGGGTTGGTATGTACTCGAATGTGTCGATTCAAGGGTATCCACCAAGGCTCGGACACTTAAGAGCGCGATATGTAGTCTGACCTAATTTCAACAACGCCGGATTGCAAGCAAAGGAAAATTGATCTAGTGCACTTCTCTATTCAAAGGATGTTGAAAGCGTACTGGACAGCAGCACTAGAATGCCATGTTAGCAGGAGCTTTCCGTAGAGAAATTCGAGGGCTTACCCAATCGCTAGAGTTGCACTAATACCAAGCAAAGCTCGGGTCTTGATGCGCTCCTTTCTCAACTCCGTTGTCGCGGAAGTCTTTGCCTTCTTTGCTGGAGCAGGTACCACGGCACTTTCTTCATTCTCCTCATCCTCAATCTCCTCGGCCTTTCTCTTGGACTTCTTGGAAGTGTTAACAACTTCACCATTCTGGCCTGCAACGGCAGCTTCAACCATTTCCTTTGCCTTTTGGATCATGGCAGCTGTGTCTTCGGGCAACGGCAGTTCGGGTGACCCGGCAGGCATCTCGACCTCAACATGAGTGTGTGTAGTCTCGACGTCCCCTTTGACCTCGACGTCCGTATCAACATGGACACGCACAACGGGATCTTCTTTGACCTCTTCTTTGACCCCCTCCTCCGCGGGAGCCTTGGTTTCTGTGGCGGCGGCTTTTAGACTCTCTTCCAAATTCTTGCTCGCAGTCTTAATTGAAGCTGGCTCGACAGACTCAGATTTGACAGATTCCGACTTAGCTTTGCGTGATCTTGTACCAGTAGCTTTTCTTGGCGAGGCAATCTTGCTAGGAGATGCAGATCTCCGAGGACGACCACGAGTTGGAGTGGGAGCCGTCAATGATTCTTGAGGCATAAGAAACTTAGGAGGTGGAGAAATCGTCTTGGGTGTGGCATCTTTGGTGGGGTTGATGTCAATCGGAGTGTTGTCCAATAGTGCCTTGATCCAAGGCAAAATCTCATATTCTTCGGCGAGTTCAAGAGCGTGCTGGGGAGGAATCCAGACATTGCCAGCAGTCTCGTCAGGGCTTGTTGTCTCCAGGCTTTTGATGTATTTACGTTCCTCTTCCTCCTCTGATGCCTCGGCAGATGGGAATGTCGCCTTGAACATGCCTGTAGCACTTATGTAGCCATCGTGACTTCGTCGCATGAGGAAGTAGGAAGCAGGAGATGGCTTGAAGATGCCGGAGGTGATTCCCTTTGGCAGTGGAGCTCTCAGGTGCGCATAGTCAAATGTTCCTAAGTTCTTCGCTTTCGTAGCATTCGAAGACCCAACTTGTCCGGCCTTGACAGCAAGGTCGGTCTGACCGAGGCGACGACGTGCGACGAGAGTCTCATCTGTGAAGTGTTAATTGGCGCACCGCTGTCGCATCTGTCGCGTTTCTTACAGGGTGGGATGTTGTTCTCTTTTGTCATAAGAGGATTCGGCTCTACGGGAAGGGGGCGATTCGGTGCCATCGCGCGTATGTCTATTCGAGATTGAACTGAATATGAGTGAAATATGGATTGAGGTTGATGATGCTGTCGAGTCTTGGATAGCGCCGTGAAGGATTTCCCGTTACAGCGCGCCCTGAGAAGAAGCCATATCAAGTCAGCCTCAATATATACACAGACTATCGTAATGACACGAGTTCATTTGGAATGGAGAAGTTCGCACGACATACCAGTCTTGAGGCTTTGCGCAACGTGTTGAAGAAAAGCGCGCGGACGGTAAGCTGATCCGATGTCGTTCTTCACAAAGCGTTATCGAAACCCGATGATTATTGGGGCTTAGGACATCCGAATGGGCAAAAGGAGTGAACCCCGAAAGAATGCTGATAAGAGGGACTTTGTGAATACAGTCGCAGGCGCAATGCAATGCGATTATGTCTCAAGGATATGGGAGAAGGACGTATCCCTGAAGGAGGATTTCAGACCACGAGGCTACTTTAAATCGAAGGCTGGGGTAATAACGGGAGAGCGGGCCTTTCCGTATTGAGTGCGTTGGCAACCACTTGAGCATCTGTCAGCGCTCTGGACTTTCCTCACTGTCGAAAACGGGGAGGGACTTTAGAGCATTGGGAAAATATGAAATTATGTATTGTGTACGAAGAGAACTCTGCTTAATTTCACCTTGTGTCCTCTTGGAACTTCCTTCACTTTGTGTTACAGGTCAATACCCCTTTTTATCACCTGATAACCGCATTTTATGAGCACCACCTGGGCATTCAAATGAGATCTTCAAATGAGCAATGGATGCTAAATGTAGTATTCGTAATCGACCAGCAGATACTCTATAGCGTAGAAAACCCTTTGCAAAGCTTTGAGCTCGGAATCTGAAATGGTTTCTGGTATCACGTGACTATATGTCCACTTGTAATTATTCTAGCTCTCACTCAGATGATGAATCTAAAATGGTACACATGGAGATATCCACTCCCTCGAGCTCCGTATCTCATCCTCATCCTGGAACCTGGCAGATCCACGAATTCACGTGTGATACAGTACCTTGCAGAAACCGCTTGAAAGGCGGTGACCAGGGTCTCGAACAACCCCACTACGAACAACAAACAGCTCGAGGTTGAGCCTCATTCGATCTTCCATATCGTTCCACAGCATCAAAAAGCAATTTGATAACTGCCGGTGGTGATTTGACCTATCCTCACTCAATCTCAAAGACACAGAATATACTCCGCAAACATGGCTTCCCACGAGCAGGATCTCTTGCCAGATCAGACTGAGGGGTTCAAGGTGGGCGAGAAAAAGACGATGGATGAGTACAACCAGCTTGGTACGTTGAATATCCACATTTAGTATCACTCTAGTCCCTTGAACGCCTTTCTTGCAATGTTTCTGTTTGTTCACTTTGCCAAGTGAAAGAGTTGGACTACACATTCCCACAAACGTGAGATTGTCAGCTGGGTCAATCGTCTTGATTATCCAGAATTCACAGGATTGACATATCTTTCCTCAAAGTGTGTTCAGCCCTTGACTATTTCTAATTCAATGGAGGATGAATCACTGCGTAATCTATCGATACATGTGACAAGAAGTCTTGAACGATCAACCGCTTTTGTGTTAATCCCAAGAACTCAGATGAGGCACTCAAAGTCTTCAAAAAATGGATTTCAGCGCTCTTGTTTTGTGGTTCTTTGCTGAATATAAGCTTTCATTACTATTCCCCATTGCCATAATCTCCGTCTATTCTATACTGTTCTCATCTGCTCTGTACAATCTGAAACACTTGCTTACACCCCCACTAGACGCCGACGATGAAGCTATGCAACGCTACAAAGCCTCCCTAGGTCTTGGTGGCGGCAAGGGTATCTCCGATCCCAACGACCCTCGCCACTGCATCATCCTCTCCTTGACCATGGACTCCGAAGGCCGTGACCCCGTCACCATCGACCTCTCAGCCAAGGGCGCTGAAACAACACTCAAAGACAAGCCCTTCAAGATCAAGGAAGGAGCCAAGTTCTCCATGACCGCCAAATTCAAGGTCCAGCACGAGATCCTTTCTGGTTTGCACTATGTGCAGATTGTGAAAAGAAAGGGAATTCGAGTCAGCAAGGACCAGGAGATGATTGGAAGCTATGCACCGAATACCGAGCAGAACCCAGTGTACACCAAGAAATGTATGTCGAACTCACTCTCGAATCTTTGAAATGGACACTGACGATCGAGACAGTCGCAGAAGAAGACGCTCCATCCGGCATGCTCGCTCGCGGCCACTACACCGCAGTCAGCACCTTCGTCGACGACGACAAGAAGCGTCATCTCGAATTCGAATGGTCCTTCGACATTGCTAAGGACTGGTAGATTCTCTCTTCACTTCAGTTACTTCTTCTCTGTCCCTCCTTCACAACCAAAAAGTAGATAGACCAATAGTTTAGCAAGGTTTATATGAGATGAGGTGATTTATGCTCCTCGGCGGGAATTCTAGCTTTATTTCCTTTCTTTGCAGCATGGAAATATGGGTCTGAATTATGGATGATATAGGGAAATGACGATGCAATGGAATTACGATGGTGACGAATAAATGGACTTCATTGCATATTTCACACGCATTGCACTCGTGTCTTTTGTTCGAATGAGGAATGTGAAGTCTGGAAGTATTCTTGAATCTATCCACCATAAACTCCAAGGGAGAAGTCAAAGACCGTCTCACATGTTATCTTTACTCATTTCTCATACAAATCCACCTTCGACATTTACAAAAAGTAGTCTGGCAACGCGCTGCCATCTGCTATCTTATCTTGTCCACCAGGATTATCCTTATGCAGATCATTCTCGGGAGCTGCCGCAAAGACGTTGAAGAATCTCTCTCCAGTGTCACTAACTTCCAACACACTCGCCATGTTTCCGCATCTATAGCAGTAATTCGGCGCAGACCACACAGTGCTCAGGCGATCGTCGTAGAGGACTTGGTAGCCTTCTTGGCAGAGCTGATGAGCGCGGAGGATGTGCGACATCTTGTTTACTTCTAGGAATTTTTTGACCACTTGTGCGCCAAATGTATAACCTGCTCCTCGAGGAGAGAGAGAGAATTCGTCGCGTTCTGGGTCGGGGTCGGACCAGACGAGGTCTGCCATTGGGCCTTCGTGGGGAATTTCGCGGAAGCGGTCAATGATTTTAATTTGATCGATTGAGTGGATTGAAGGGGAAAGACCTGAGGCTTGAAGATTAGCGTCGACCAAACATCGAAGAAACAAGTATTATTTACCTCCATGCACACAAAATATTTGGTCGTTAATGACCACACTCAGAGTAAGGAAGTCAAACATATCCGTGAAGTAGTGCCATACATTGGCGTTTCCATACTTCCTCGAACATTCCGTGTAAAAGCCGTAAGACTGCGTAACTCCTCTCGATTCATGGTTTCCTCGTATCAAATGCACTCGGTGCGGGTATCGTAGCTTCAGACAAACAAGAAGGGAAATCGTTTCGACGCTAAACATGCCTCGATCAACATAATCGCCTACCAGGGTCAGTATACCACGCCCTGCGAACTTTTCAAGCGATAACTCACCAAGGAAAAGGTAGTTGGTATCCGGACAGAATCCTCCAATCTTGAAGATCTCAATTAGGTCATAGAATTGGCCGTGTATGTCTCCCACCACAGTCACTGGTGCTTGCACATGGACGACGTTACTTTCTTGCATTAGCAGCTCCTTTGTTTTCGCACATATTGCTTCGATGATAGATTCCGCGAGGAGATTCTTCTTGTAGAGGCTCTCTATACATTCGTCAAGATCGACAGAAGCTGGAGAAGGATTTCAATTAGTACTTGAATACATTACAGTTCTAGTGACCTGAGCTTACACGGCAGGCCAGGCATGTTGCAAAGTTGCCCAGATTATCTCCGGCGATTGGCGCCACGAAGCTCTCAGATTGAAGGAGGGTTCGTGCTTGTACATGTACACGCGGTTTCTTTCAATATTGCTTGCTGGCGCAACAACATGGTCGCCTTGCTGTCGAAGTGCTACCTGAGTTGATGCGAAGGAGTCGCCGGACAGTGATGTGAGTCTTGTTGTCTCAACATGGGAGTATGGGAATCGACAAACATGGATCTTGAAGGTTGATTATCAACTCTATGGAGGCGTCGCTTCGCGTTTCCTTGCAAAGGCCGTAGTCCCAATGCCGTTAGAGAGAGGCTAACGCAATCAGGACTACGGCGTGCAGGATGTGGCCATCGGGAACCCAAATTATTATTGACCTTCTTGCTTCTTCGTTCATGAATTCCTTCCGCACCCGTGTTTTTATGTCGCTGCCATTCTCTTCTCAATCGCAAGACTCTACTGTATTGAACCCTTGAAGTCATTCCCTTAATAAAGATCCGGTGTTTCCCTCATTTTGCTTTCTCCTGGCTCCCGTATCATCCTGCGCTCTCACAGTACCCGTGGGTTGGTTCATACATTGGGAAAACGTTTCACGACAGCGTCCTTGCTACGACGAATCTTCCCTACAAAAGCTGAGCTGCTTCCTTTATTGTCGGTTGCGAACGCGCCTGGATTCATCGAATCGCCCTGTCGTCTTGATTCGATCTGTTTCGGGGCATGTCACGTTTCGTTGCGGCTTAGATGAACCCCTGATCTCTCATCGATCTATCGAAGATGCCGTCGATTTGGTCTCGAGAGGGACAGCCTCAGATGGGAGGTAATACAATGCACCAGGGCTCGGCACCACCTTCAGATGGACATCCGAATGTCACCTGCTTTGTCTGTAGCGGTCCGCACTTTGTGGTGAATTGCCCTAATCGCAAACCTGAGTAAGTCATACCCAACCTCGCGACTCTCTTTTTATCACCGCTTGATTCCATCCACCTTTCCTTGCACTGCCGAAATAGGCGGGCAGATTAAACCAAGCGGGTTTGTAGCACCAAACGTGCTTTTTGCAACCTCTACAATATTTCACCAGACCTCGAGGTGTAGAAAAGCACATTCATTATCATCTTATGTCTTCGACACTTCCTCCCAAACCCCCCAAAAGCATGCCTCGTAAGGGTTACAGACATCATAATAACAGAGACAGTGGTTCTGCGGCCGCCCCGGTACCGTATCAGCAGGCTGCTGCTCCAGTCCCACCGCCTCAATCCTTTGCACCGCAAAGTGGACAGACCCAGTACTCTTCGTATCCTACAGGTCAGCAGTATGGCACTCCAGCACCGCAATACCCATACGCTCAACCTCAACCATATACTGCTCCGGCTCCGGCCCCTTACCCTGTTCCTTCTCCAAATCCCCAATATGCTCGGTCCGGAGTCCAGCCAGCTACCACGTACAACCAGTACAATCAAAGCAACGGCCCTCCTCCATTTAATGGGCCCGCTTTCCAGCATCCAGCGCCCCAGTACAACACTCGAGGTCCACAACCGTATCAAGCACCGGTGAATAACTACCCATCTCAAAATAATGGTTATCATGGCTACCAATTAGCACCTAATCCTGCGCCGTATCAACCACCCCCCACGCAATGGAACAACACACCCGCTTTCTCACCTCCTTTTCACAATAACAGGCGGACCAACTCCGGCTTTCGACGAGAGTTCTCAGGCACCCCTGGCCATAATTCTCAACAGCAGCAACAACAGCCGAAACCCCGGGCTCAATCTCAACAAATGGATTACGGTTATGAAGCTGCTCACCAGACCCCACAGACCCCTTCGGCACACTCTGTCAATTCTGGTAAAAAGCTGTTCTCACATCAAGGCTCTCCACCCAACCCAGTGTCCAGCTCTGTTCCTTCTACCCCAACGAGTCACTCGAATATTCGAAAAGGCTCTGCAACCACCGGTACTGCAGCAAATGTAAAGACTGAAACAGTTACCGCCCCTGAGAAGGTCAAAGCAGCTACTGCCGCTGCTGAGCAAGAAACAGAAGAAGGTGAGGTTCGTGAAGGTGATGATGAAGAGGATCTTTTCAATTGGGACCTTGAACAGATATTCAGGGAACCTCCAGCAGCCGAGACTGTAGCTTTAGCTCAACCGTTATCGGCGGGCTACGAGTCAACTCCAGTACCTCTCGTTCAAGCATGGTCTGTGAACGTCCCTTCTATCTCGAGATATGCCAGAAAGGAGAACCTCAAGGACTTTGTTAAGAGTGTACGAGTTGCGCCACAATGGAGTTACCTTCAAGAAGATGTAGCTTTCGCGAGCGTCATCGACAATTCGCCACCGATACCTTTAGATACAATCTGGGCTTGGATGGATGTTCATCATGGTAGAACAATCCTTGTAGAAGAAGTCGAAGAGCCCGAGCCAATCTCGAGGAAGCGCTCAAGACGCGAGGGAAAGAAAGCCGAGCAAGAACATAAGCAAGAATATCTTGACCAGCCAAGCCCACTTAGCCCACTTGAGGATGCCAATGAAGAAGAGGTCGATCAGCCACCCAACAAGCGTCAAAAGAACGAGGTTAATCAAGATTTGGATGAGGTTATGAGATCACCAGGTGATAGAACCCCTATCATCAACAGAAGAGGTGGTACGCCGTGTCTCCCCACGACTGACGATGCTTGGGCCCCGCAACCGGGTGAGTGTGCTACCTCTCCAGGAGATCCTACCGAGAACCTACTTGCTTCCCTAGGTGTTTCGGGTGATCCAAAGCCTGTCTCACAAGAACCTCTGCCGCCGTATACTTCCAAGGAAGAAAACACCCATTCTCCTCGTTCGTCTCAAACGCAGACTCCAGTTGCTGCTCATCAACAATCTTTCCAAAGAACTCCTAGCAACGGCCCGGGTCCTAACACGCAGAACATGCCGCAGAACATGCCGCAGAACATGCCACAGAACATGCCTCAAAGTCAAGATCAGCCAATGGCTCCTGCATACGGCCCGCCTGCATCTTATGGAAATGGAAATGTACCAAATCCTCTTTACGGTCAAGGCCCGCCTATAAATAATGCTCAAGGTCATATACAAGGTCATTCTCAAGCCCCTCCACATTATGGCCCACCTGCGAATGTTGCTTATGGAAATGGTCCTTCTCAAAATATGCAAGGCCCTCAACAGTATGGTCATATTGCCAATCCGCCATATGTTAATGGTCCGCCAAACAACTACCAGCAAGGTCCGCCTCAAGGTCCGCCACAAGGTCCGCCGCAATGGGGCCAACAGCGAAACCCTTCGTTCGGTGCTGCTCCTCAATACCCTCCCCCTCAACAGTATCCGCAGTATGCGCAACCGCAACCTGCACCATACAGCAATGCTGGATATGGACCACTTGCAAACCAATATCCAACGGTAGCCCCTCCTCAATATCCTCAAGGTCCTCCGCAATACAATCAAGCTTGTCAGCCATCTTATGGACCTGGATCAGGACCGCCCATGGGAGGCCAATACGGTCCAATGACACAGACCAGTCCTACTCAATATGGAATGCCTCCTCAAAATGTCCCCTACAATGCAGCCCCCTACCCTAATCAACCTCAATATCAGAATGGCCCCGTTGCTGCTTATGGAAATGGTCCTCAAAATGGTTCCCAGTATGCTGCTATGCCTCCAAACCCCAACATGCATACGAACCAGCCACCTTACGGCAACGTTCAGAATGGCTATGGACCTCCCCGTCAAGACTCAGGCTACATGAGCGCACGTGGATCGTACAGCAGTGGTTCCGGACCAAATGGACCCAACAACCAAGGTGCTTACCAAACTCCGACTCAACCTCCACAGGGTCAGCCGTTGTCTGAAGCCCCTAATCGACAGGCACCCCGTGCTCAGGAGTCTGGACTCAAAATTGAGACTAAGATAAAGACTGAAATCAAGACTGAGAGTTCGGGAAACAGCAATGAGAGTTTCGAGAGCAACGAAAATGCGGGTAGCAGTGCTGGCACAACTCTTAGTCCGACATCAGCTCAGATTCTTGAGGAGTTGGAACCTAAATCTGGCAAGGGAAAGATGACTAGGGAAAGAGCTCCTGGAGAAAGAGCTTCTCTTAAGAAAGTGAAGAAGAGACCTCAACCAGTAGTCGCTGAAGCTTACAGGTATGGATTCCCCCTTAATCACCACACATTTCATGCCACTAATACTCTTCTCGCTATAGCCGACGTTGGTGAACTCGTCTTCCTTATCCCGGCTCCTTTACTCGACCTTTCCGTTCCTTACAGCTCATGGAATTCCAAGGCGAACGGCACATTAGTTTTGCAGTCTAGCCTTCTGGTTCTGGAACAACCTCTAGTCTTGGGTTATATTCGCGTTTTGTACAACCATGCATAAGAATTCACACGGAAACGGTGCAAAGGGCTTCCAGCCCGTTCTGCATACTCTTCCGTCCGAGGCTGCTTTGGCGTTTGTGCTTCGTCTCGGGCGCTGTTTGTTGTTATTGTAAATCTATTATTTGCTTTTCCTGCGATCAATGTTGCTTCCTTCGAGAGCTAGACTGGAGCATGCGGTCAGCTTCTCATACCAGGCGTTTATTCCATTTTTGCGGCCGCAGGGTTGCACCACAAAATGGTTGACTTCAATTTGTTTACGGGCGAATGCAAATAGTAGAACGAGCCAAGCTCGACGCAAGCAGATGGCGCATAGTCTAATGCCAAAAGCTTCTCATAAATTATGACTTTGTAGGGATGTTGTGGTGACTAAACGTTTGTGTTCAGTGCACTGCCGTATTCTTAAATGCCTCCTAGTCTGGGCTTTATGATTGATATTTTGACTTCTAACGCGGAGCAGTTTCGTCGCCTTATGTATTACCTATCATTTGACAAGTCTATTGTGCTCATCTTCGTCGTCTTCGCTGCTTTCTTCGTCTTCTGATGCCTCCTCGCTGGATTCTTCCTCTTCCGTCTCTTCTTCGCTTTCATCCTCACTTTCGTCTGCCGCGTTTTCTCCTTCCGCGAGCCAGTCATCAAGTGTTTTCTCCTTGGCACCTCCACCACTAAAGCCATTAGTCGACGATGGCGATGTCCCTAACCTCGAACTCGAATCTCTAACAGCACTATCTAGACGCTCCCCGGCCGGTACGAGTCTGCTTGAATCGTATTCAGACTTGGTCGTATCTACTTCACGCAACGAAGGATCAGGTTCATTCCCAGCCTCTACCCAGTCTGGCAGTGCTTCGTAGCCTCTCAATCCATGCAGTCCACCCGTTTCGCCAACAACAAGACTAGCCGAACCAAGGGTGAACCCGGTCCGGCTTTCAGATGGGCTGGGCGTATGCGGGACAGGTTTGGGAGCGAGCAGCATGAGACTTGCTAATTGAGTAGAAGATGGCACTCCTAGGAGTGCTTTGTATAGTCTTGTTCGGTCTCGAAGATCATACGACGTGTCGTATCGTGCTAAGAGGAGGATGTAATTCCAAAGCGTGACGATTGGGTGTTCAGCCTCTGTTTGCTGTTGCGGTGCATACGTAGACTCTGATTTCTCATCAAATTCGGCAAAGCCTTCGTTGCCGATGGCTGGTGAGTAGTCGTGGGAAGGTGGCGGTGAGGTAGGTTTCGTGGATTCTACTGGTGGTTCGCGATTGAGATGATGAAGGTACACTTTTGCCGCCAGCAAAACAATTTGCAATTTGGCTGGCTCTGCTTCGTCTGCAAAGCCCTTGGCAAGAATTCTAAGGACATCTGCAGCTATGTTATTCTCGCCATCGATGCCAGCAAACTCTCCTACAAGCCAAATGATCGATGCTCTTGCTCGGGGGTTCGTGGCGGTATCGAGGTTCTTGGCTAGGCGTACCACGGTGTTGGTATGCGATCCCGGATCTTGCTGGATCAGATGTCTGATGACAGTCAATGATTCAGCCACAAGATTTCCATCTAAGCTGGTGATTTGTTTCAGCAGGAGTCGAAGACATCGTGCTGATGTTCTAGTATCACTCTGTGCACATCTTCCGATAGCACGGACTGATTCTCGAACGAGTTCTCTGTCAGAACCTTGTGAAAAATGTTCGAGCTCATTCAAGATGAGACTCTTCAGGTAAGCATCAGCGTGTGGAAATATAAGTGTAAGCAGTTCTAGTTTTAGCTCCCAGACTTGTGGTGGATCTGTAGCATGAACCAAGAAATAAGATGCATATTTGACAAAAGCTTCTGGCCTTGTGAGACAAACAGAGACAATGTTGTATAATGCGATGTGCTGAATATCTTGTGGTCCTCGTATCAGAGCTATCAAGGGTCCAATTGAGGCATTGATGTATTCTTGAGTGCCGACGCTGACATAGCATCGAGTGACAGCGACCACAACTGCTGAGTTCCGGCTCTGAAGGAGAGGTTTGATGCTTTTGAGGAGCAGTTCGAGGTCCGGATCAAGGATCTCAACCATCTCCCCAGCATCTTCTTCCTCGTCCTTCTCGTCTCCGTAGAAGTCCTTAGCGCCATTACTTTTCTTCAACTTCCTTGTTCTTCTAGGAAAGCATTTCCTGGCATATATCGTCATAAGCCTCATGGTTTCCAACTGACTCCATTCATCCATATCGACTAGCTTCTTGACCAGTCCCCGATAATGCTTGTGGATGAGGTCTATTCTCTCTGGACATATCTCCATGAACGCCTTGACCGCCGCTCCAGCCACGTAGTACTGCTTGTCCCCCAACAATGCCGAAAGATACTCTAGTAGTTGAGGAAGCGTATTCGGATCCAGTCTGTAGCACTTTGGTATTGCCAGCGCAGCAGCTTTCCTAACGTACGGACTCATATCTCCTAGACCTTTCTTAATTGCCAACGACACAATCTGACTAATGACAGGTACCCGTATTCCAGACATAGTTTTGAGCGCCAGGGCTCGGACCTGAGGGTTGCCATCCGATAGTGACTTCTGGATCGTGTTTATAGAGAGGAGCGCGAGGTCTGGTTCTTGTTCGGCGTGGTTGATGAGGTAGATGTAGACCAGTTTCTTAATTTCGATATTGGGAGATGCTACGTTCTTGACGACAGATGAGAAAAATGGAAGGCATGGTTGGGATCGGTACATCATCTAGACATATTAGCACAGCTCTATCCTTTCTAGCAAGTCTCAAGTCGAAGATGTGAGGTTGTCGCGTGCTATTGAAATTGCTTCTGGTACCACGGTATACGTACAGAGATGACCTTCCTCAACCCTTCTAATACCTCTCTGTCATTCCGGCTGTCCAGTAGCTTCTTGATTTGAGCTGCTGGTAAAGCTTTCGGGGTGCTTCGTGAGCTCCGTGCAGACTGGGCGGCATCGAGTGTCAGTTCTCGTGCTGCAGTGGCGGTCAGCGTTCACTCATTGCGACTGCACGTTGCAGACGGAGTATGAAGTACATACCACTCTCCAGCAAGCTGGATATTCTAGATATCGACTCCATCAATAATCATGGACGTGGAGAGGCGCATCGTAGGTGACAGCTTGGTGGTGGGGCTAGTATGTTGTAAGCGACGACTTTTCGAGCTGGCGGAGAGCTTGCTTCTTTCGAGGTTTAACCACGAGATGAAAGACCTCACAACTGTCGAACATTGACCTCGAACACAGAATGCTTTCTATTACGATGCTACGATACATCAGTTTGATATCAATTAATATACAGCACTAATTCTAGACGCGCAAACCACTACTCCAGCATCAGCGATTTCGAAATCTACCCCTCCAAATCATCATCAATGTCCGAATGCTTCTCGACAATCAACCACAAACATGCCTCCACCACCTCTAGCTCTATCGCCGGCGCTCCCATCCGAACTCCTTACCTATGTCCTCACTCACCAGATCTACCCAACGACCCTCCTAATCTGCCAACCACGCAACGTCTTCCTAACATCTCTCCTCTCTTCGATCCCACAACCTATTCAACGCCAACCACCACCTCCAGAGACTCATCTTCCTGATCCCGAAGATGAAGACCCACCCCCTCGACATCCACTCCTCATCCCTACACTCCATCAAATCGCCACTTCTCGAAGCGTCAATGTAGTCTTCATACCCACTGTCTCCCATCTGCGAGCTTACCTATCCGTGTTTCCTCCGCCGACAGAGAATGCCAGCCCACCAGAACCGAAGCTCGACAAGCCGGGTAAGGAAGTGCCGTTGTTAGTTGTGTATGGACTTGTAGATTTACATCGAGATACGAGTGAGTGGAGCGCGCAGGGGTTTGGGAATAGTGTTGCGAGTTTAGTGGAAGCTGGGAGGAGGGGCGACAGAAAAATTGTTGTCATCGAGGAGAAGAAAGAGGAAGACAGCAGTTATGTTGTAGAAGGAGAAGAGGTTGAGCGGAAACCTGGATGGAAGGTATGGGATGAAAGAGTGCCGATGTTAAATGGGAATATAAGACGAGCTGGGTTCGAGAGCGAGGAGTCGGCGTGGAGTGGAAGGACGATTGAGATTGGGAGGATATATGCTAGGTGGTTCAGGTTTGGTAGAGGAGATTGGGACCTTGAGGAGTGATTGATGTTGCTCGAATCATGTCTGGCATTGTGAAGGTCATTATCATTGCTATCTCAACAGGTATACCCAACGCCATTTCCTCCCTCCACGATAGTTTCCCAGAGCTCGGACACAGCAACAATTATAAACATAAAACAGCTCAAATGCATTGCTCCATCTCTGTGATGTACAACTTGATGTGCGAGTCCATCTTCATGAACTCATCATGTGCACTGTGAACCTCATTCTCGATGTTCTCCTTCAGGTCGGCCATCTAGGAATGTTAGCAAAATTCCCAGAGTTCTAGTAGAATCGAATAGTATACCTTCTTCTCCGTCTGCTCTATTCTCACTCTCCTCCTCTCCATCTCCTTGTCCTTCTCCCTCCTCTCCTCTGTCAGCTTCCTGTGCACAGCGCGAAGCTCCTCCATTCTCTCCTTCGCACTCATAGCCTTCTCCTTACTACCGTCCCGCAGCTTCTCAGTTCTCTCAAGCCACTTAGACAACTGTCGCTGAAGAAGGCCTTCTGTCCGCTCAACTTCTCGCACGTTGTTACCCCGCTCTCCGAGTGCGTCTCTTTGCTTGCCGATTCTGACATTCTCATCCTCTTCTTTAGCCAGCTCTGCTGAGATCTCGTCCAATAATTTTATACAAGAAGCAACATCGGAAGATACCACCGAGAATGTATCTGTTGATGTCTGCAGACCTCTTGCTCGTCGGTCGAGGGTATCAATTTGTGTCTTCTCGGCATTCAATGCGTTGCTTAGGTCCGTCAAAGATGCCTGGAGAGCTGCAGGTGATTGTAGAACATATGGGCGAAGCTTAGCACTCTCTTGTCTCAAGGCAATAGTCTGTGCTGTCTTGTCCTCCAAAATCGTGCCAATCTCGCTCTTCTTGGTTTTCACGTTCTCGAAGCGGCGTATAACCTTCTCTTGACTCTGTCGTAGATCTAAAAGTCGTCTCGTGAGCTCCTCGTTCCGCTTGACTTTCTCTGCGACATGTGCCTCCATCGCCTTTCGATTTCGCTTCATCTCCTCGACTCGGGCTTCCATCTCCTGGTTCTCATTATACAGTTGCTCAATCCTGACTTTAGTCGTCTCAGCCTTGTTGAAGTGTTCATCGATGACCGCTGTCTGACTCTCCCGAAATCGAACAAAGTTAATGATGTACGAGAAGATCTTGACCAGACGGTCGTGCGTTGGCTTGTACAGGTCTTGGAAAGAGAAATCCGTGATGCCGCACTCAATCAGTAGTTTCCGTAGGCTGACATAGAACCCCATGAGATTTCGCGTTTCCGAAGGTATGATTTCCATCCATTCTCCGCAGATGTCTTCCGCGGCAGCGCGCATTGCAGGATCAACAGTCTCTCGGGTCGCATTCATGAGAAGTTCCGCAAACCATTCGAAGATCATCTGGATTTGCAGCGGATTCGGCTTCTGGAGGTCTGCGACCGTGAATGGAACACCAATATCACTGATGCATCCCACAATCTCTTTGTCGGGCTGTAGCAATTAGTATGCGTTCTGCGAGCCATATTTGGAAGCTTACCAGGCGCATGAATGAGTCGCTGTCATCTTCCTTTCTTTTTGTGCGATTCTGCTGTTGCGAATTCGGAACCATGCTCATTCTAGGATTGTAAGACATCTTGCGATTTGTTCTTGTAAATTTGGAGGAATGGTTGCAGGTGAAATGGTGGTAGTGTTGTCGCAAAGTTGTTGTTTTGATTTGGTTGCGATGTCAACAACCTAAACGCGATCCGCCTCAAGCGAGAAGCGCCTTCTTTGCCACCAGCGCAGCTAAAATGATCCTGTCCGCATCAGATGAAAGTCACCACACTTCCCAAAATAGTTGCTTTAACATGGCTTTCTGAGACTTTCGCACTGTGATAGAACTGCGATGCTTTGGAATCCTGATTGATAGATTGTGGCAGTAATTTTGAAAATATTCAATATCACGTGATATTGAATTTTTCTCCTTTTACTCAAGTATATAGTTTGCTCGCTCTCCTAACAATCATCGAGTCGATTTCTATGCTGGTCATGGAACGACATTCTTGGTATCTTAGAGTCATCGTCAAAATCAGAAGTCTGAAGAGTGGTAGATGTGGCAAAAGACATTGCATGTTCGACCTTCCACTTGCAACTTCGCAACTATGTCATCTCGGAATGTCCTAGTTCAAGGATATGGAGGGTAAAGTACATTTCAGAAGATATGATGGCACAGCATGAATTTTCAAGAAACATGCAATGCCGCGCTAGGCGTAGGAATAAAACAATGCGCTGGTCTGAGCACTTGGTACAGATGATTTTCTTCATGGATTGTACAGTACTGTATGTACATCATATGTAAGACTCTGCAAGGAAGAGAAACGTTGCAGAATAGTGCAGTCAGAAGACTCGAAGACAATTTATGAGATTGTCGAACCTGGTCATCAACATACATGGCAAATCGCATTAGTGGTCCCTGCCGTATCTCGCTTCACTAAATCCTCTGTTCCGAGCCGAGGTCGACTAGCTCCATTAGCTATGATGTACAATGTGGTATTATGTCAGCGTTTCTTTGAAATCATTCTTGATATCATCACTTTGAGATTTGCAAGTATACGAATTACCTCTTTCAGAAAATGCAAGACTTGGAACAATAGCGGAGTCTTTGTCGGCCAAGGCGACAGAGCTGACCTGACAATATTTGTCAAGGTGAGAAGGGCGTCCCCGAACAGGCCATAACAACGCCACCTATTCTCCCCGCACTTGAGGACCCGCCAAAGTGAAGGCAGGGTTCCAGTAACATCGAAGAACATCGCATCGCATCGCAATCCACCGTAGTGATACTTGGACGCCGGGCAACATTTACCGCAGGGCCAGCAAATGGCTGCCACCAACGCGTCTGCTGCGTTTCTTGGACGACCCCTCCAAGCCCCTCTCTACTGTATCGACTCCACACCATCTTTTCGCCACGGCCAATGCAGAACGATGATTCGGGTCATTTAGCCCCAGGTCTGGGTCTGGACGCGTGGGAACCTTGACCTATCGATGGCTGGCCCGCGGAGAGGGTGAGAGGGTGAGATGCTCACAGACTGCTTTGTACCTGATATGCTGTTTCCGATCTGGTTGCTGCTCGCTCGCGATGATGACTACGACTTTTGAAAGTCCTGCTGCTACTGTCCGTCACGGACACTTCTCCGCCATCTGTGCTCTCGTCGCACGAGCCATCTGGATGATTCCATATCTGAGCTCCAGATCTGGTTGATCTGTCTGACGTTTCGCTCCCAGCAAACTCAAAATCAACTACAAGCACGAAAGCCCCCCAGACGCCAGACCGAATTCTCTTAGCCGGCCTTCCGAGGGACGTCATGTATAATGCTGTCCGTCGCTCAGTATGACTCCTTATTCGACCGGAAAGGGAGTGAGTTATTAATGATGAGGTCACGCTTGACTGGTTTTGCGTGGGGGGCTCTTTTTACTACTCGCATCAAGTCCGCCATTGCTGACTGCGGGGCGAAGGTTGGAAACCTTTCTCCATTTCAGGTACCTGGCAGCCAACGGGGCCTGTTTTGCGACGCCGTCTTAGTTGATTCCATAGCCTAGTCTGTCTGACCGATGCAAGTTCAAACAAAATGAGGCGCGATCCATTTTGGTCCGGCTGTTGTTCGACCGCCACTATAATACTTAGTGAATTTCCACAATTGCGATTCACTCATTATACGGGGACTACAGAGTATAGATACCCCACATCAAGCTTCATTCCTTTCCACTTCAAGACACAACTCACACCATCCGCCTTTGACTTTAATTTTGACTTGAAATTCTTCATCATCATGGCTCCTAGTGCCACACATGGCACTCTCGATTCCGCCGCAGCAAAGTCTACCCAAAAAGGAAACAAACTGGGTTGGCAGCCAGTATCATCTTCAGGGCAGAATTGCAAAGTTGATATTATTGATATCCGGCACGATGCTGTTCAAATCAATTTGAAGGAAGAAATATTCAGGTCCTTGAGACCACAGACAGGCCCCAAACAGCTTCCCACGCTTATTCTGTACGATGAGCGGGGGTTGCAATTATTTGAGCAAGTGAGTAGTAGTGAATCACGCCTCAGAACAACGAAAGACTCACAAAGGTCAGATCACGTATCTGGATGAATACTATCTCACCAATGCCGAGATAGATGTGCTCAAAAGCTCCGCTCACAAGATTGCGGAAGCCATACCAGCTGGCTCTATGGTCATTGAGCTAGGTAGTGGGTCGGTCGTTGTCAATGGATTTGGTTGAATTCTTGCAACTAACACAAAGCAGTAATTTACGGAAGGTGAGTATCTTGCTGCAGGCACTGGATGCTCTCGGCAAGGAAATTGATTATTATGCTCTGGACTTGTCTCTGAAGGAGTTGAAACGCACACTGGAACAAGTTCCTCCACTCAAATATGTGAAGTGTCATGGATTGCATGGCACATACGACGACGGTCTCGACTGGCTGAAGATGCCAGAAGCGGCCGGACGTCCAAAGTGCATTATGTCCTTGGGATCAAGCATTGGTATGTTACCATTAAAAATCTGTGTCATATATTTTGATGATGGCAACAGGCAATTTTCACGTTCACGAGGCTGCTTCCTTCTTAAAGAATTTTGCAGACATCTTGCAACCTTCAGATTCCATGCTCATTGGGCTCGATGCGACAAGTGATCCTGCGAAAGTATAGTAAGCAGACAACAATCCAATGATCTTTGATACTCTAGCTGATCAATTCATGCAGTCATGCTTACAATGGTCAGTTTCTTTCTCAAATTCCATCAACATGGCTACTAACCAAGTTCCAGATCACGAAGGAGTTACCCACAAGTACATATAGCCGTTCCTTCCTATTTGGTATTGCTAATTGGTGTCGTAGGTTTGTCCTTAATGGTCTGCTTCATGCGAACGAAATTCTGGGAGAACAGGTTTTCAACCTTGAAGACTGGAAAGTAATTGGTGAATATGCGTATGACGAACAAGGCGGTCGCCACCAAGCCTTCTATGCACCAATTCGCAACCTGAACTTCAAAGACGTGCAATTCAAGGCTGGCGAGCGTGTTAAGGTCGAACAGAGCCTGAAATACTCACTTGAAGAAGCAAACAATTTGTGGCAGACAGCTGGATTGAGAGAGGTCAATCGTTGGTCAGCCTCATCCGACGCCTACAGTGAGTAATTTTCCCGCTTATGTACTTCATCACGGTGGTAATAGTTGCGCCAAGCCTTCGAGAGGCATCTTCGATTGCATGGGGACATTATCCAATGATATTTAGAAAATTGGTGAATCGTTACTTGCTTGAGTAAAGTGTCCACAAAATAATCGACCCCTGTTTTTGCAACTATTACCCATGAGATGAAAGTATATTTACTTTTTCTTGCTGCAAGGCGCAGAACAGGGAGGTTCAAATGAGGCTCCAGTCGGCTTCACACCATCATCCCCTGGCTAAGGCGAAGATCGTCTGACCTGCTCACCCATGAAAGTGTGGGGGTACTCGGGCTTGATGCTGTGTAATGCACGGTCCACTATCCTGGCCGACGACTTGTTTTAAAAGTCTGATATGGGTCCGACTTGCATTAGATATATCTTTCAAGTCGTCAACAGCCTTACCTTTGCCCAGTTGTGGTGCACACTTATAGCGAAGGTCAGCTGACATTACGTGTACCAGGCGTTCATTTGTTAACAAAGAACAACATGGGCTTCAACACGGATCCTGCGGTGTATGCACGCACTGTTGTACCTACCATGGACGATTGGAAAGGGCTATGGACAGAATGGGATACTGTTACCAGTAGGATGATTCCCGAAACAGAAATGCACGAGAAGCCAATCAAGCTTCGAAATGCGTGCATATTCTATCTTGGACACATACCCACATTTATGGATATCCAGCTCACTAAAGCCACCAAAGAGTCACCTACCGAGCCTACCTATTATCCGCAGATCTTCGAACGTGGAATCGACCCTGACGTGGACAACCCCGAGCAATGCCACGCTCATTCCGAAGTTCCGGACGAATGGCCTCCTCTGGAGGAGATTCTTGGATACCAGGACGGGGTCAGAGAGCGAGTTCGAAAGCTCACCCTGACCAAAAACATTCCACGTCACATTGCTAGAGCGCTTTGGATAGGATTCGAGCATGAGATCATGCACCTGGAAACTCTCTTGTACATGCTGTTGCAAAGTGACAGGACTTTGCCTCCTACCAAGCACACTCCTGACTTCGGGGCTGCGGCTAAGCTCGCTGAGTCTGCTCATGTGCCCAATCAGTGGTTCCGTATTCCAGAGCAAAGAATCACCATAGGACTTGATGATCCTGAAGACAACTCAGGTCCAGAGCATCATTTTGGATGGTACGCTTTCATTCCCCTTTTTCTCCCAACTTGCTAACATGTCGGGCACCACAGGGACAATGAAAAGCCTCCAAGGACCGTAGTCGTCTCATCGTTTGAAGCTCAAGGTCGACCAATCACTAATGGAGAGGTAAGCCTGCTGGCCTCTTCCTGTTCACACTCTAATTGGAGATAGTATGCCCGTTATCTAGAACAGACTCACAATACAAAGATCCCGGCTTCCTGGGCCGAGACGATGATCAAGAGCAATGGAACTAGTAACGGCTACTCAAATGGACAGTCGAATGGATACTCGAATGGTCACACTAATGGTCATCACAGCAGCCAGGTCCCTCTCACAACATCCTATCTTGAAGGCAAATCTGTCAAGACAGTTTACGGTTTGGTTCCCCTCAAATACGCCCTTCACTGGCCTGTCTTCGCTTCATATGATGAACTCTCGGGATGCGCGGCCTGGATGGGTGGCAGAATTCCAACTTTTGAAGAAGCCCGAAGCATCTACAGTCATGCAGATGGTCTAAAGGCGAAGGAGGCTGAGCAGCACTTGGGAAAGACGGTTCCTGCTGTCAATGGGTATGGTCTGCTATGACAAGTAGACATCAAATGCTAATACTCATCAGACATCTTAGTAATGATGGTGTGGAAGAGTCGCCACCATCCCAACCTTCGCAAGATCGTGGAAGCTCGCAAGAGCTATTCACTAACCTCGAGGGGGCCAACATTGGCTTCCAAAATTGGCACCCAGTTGCTGTCTCCGGCAAAGGAGACAAGCTTGCTGGCCAAGCTGACATGGGAGGAGTGTGGGAATGGACAAGCTCGCCACTGACAAAACATGAAGGTTTTGAGCCCATGCTACTGTATCCCGCATACACAGGTATGATCAACAATAGTTTGCACCACAAATGAGAAGTATCTAACTTTGGCCAGCCGATTTCTTCGATGGCAAACACAACATTGTTCTTGGTGGCTCTTGGGCTACCCATCCCCGCATCGCTGGACGCAAGACATTGTAAGGAAATCCCCGATTCTCTCATTCATCAAAGCTTACTATGGCAGCGTCAATTGGTATCAACGCAACTATCCGTATGTCTGGGCCGGAGCTCGTCTAGTCCGCGACCTGTAAGCTACTGTATGCATCATACCTGCAGGTGACGCAACCAGTTCAACACTGGGCTTGCAGAAAAGTCTTCTTTTGGTAGCTCAACCTGCCTGCATTCTTCAAAAGCTACGAAAGGTGGTTGCGTTGAGGTTAGGAAGTCTTTTTGAGAATATTTCGCCTGAACAGGCCTCTAATGAATAATGAAGCATGGTTTTACGAAGATGCTGAGACGAATTCTCGCAGTGACGAAGCTGTCTCAAAACCAATTTAGATCCGGGAGAGTGAAAGATCGCTGTAGACCGTTTGTGAAAATGTCCGTAGCCGTCTCAATGCCAGTGGCCTTGAGGAGCGGTGTGATTAGCAAACGGAAGTACCAACCGCAGTGAAATGAGTGCCGCAGTGTTATTCAGCTGCACTTTCGAAATTTATTCCTGTTCTTTGTTGTTGCAGACTGACCTTCGCGATTTATTCGAAGCTCAATCAATATCTAAAATTCACCGTGTTGCACGTTCCGCTAGCTCCTGTTGTTTTCGTCCGATCTCCAAAATGAGGAACCGACGAAGCCCGCCAAACCCCAATCGGGTAAGATCAAAATACCCCGGATATTTTAACATCAACCTCAAGTGCTTCCCGAATACCCCTTATCTCCATCGTCAACTTCCTTCCGACAATCTCGAGACAGGCCAATACTTTGCAATAGATCGATCTTGCTTTCGCAAAACCATTGGCCTCGACGACCATCGACCAGTAAGTATATTCCATGTACCACCGTCTCCTCTCTGCTTCCAATCTTGTCACCATATCGCAATATTCAATCTCGAACTCTCCATCTCGATCACGCCACTTTGTCATGCATCAATCTTTCAACCATTCTTTGACCTTTGCGATTTCGGCAACCATGTATAGATACATACAGAAAGCTTACATCAAAACAGACTCGAGACACCTCTTTCCATTCCTTTCATTACTCTCCTGCCTCTTCCGCAAAGATGAATTGGGCAACCATAGCACCCGAGACCCGCCTGTTCAAAGGCAAGAATCTCTTCAGGTGGGAGGATTCTCCAGGACTTGGTTCGTGGACATAATACGATCTTACGTTGCCTTCGCTGACTCGATCCTAGAGCACCATTGTGGTGTTTGCGCAACACCTCTGCATAGTATGCGCCCCACCACTCGGAGCCGTATCAACTATCGTTGCTAACATACATACCAGACTCCAGGGCCAAGACCAGTTGTATCGGCAAGCATGTCGAACCGTGCTACAGATTCCACCAGCAATTGCACTTCGTTGGTAAGTCTTATCATTATAATCTACATGTGACGATCAAGGACTGCCTTGCTAACTTGGCATGTCTTCCAGGCAAGTCACACGAATGCTTTGGGTAAGATACAAGGTCACCAAACCTTGTTCGTCTAGTACTAATCCAAATACAGCTGCAATTCATCTGATGAATTGCACCATGGTCGACACAAGGAGATCTTGAGACTCGTCCGTCAAATTGCGGCACTCGACGAAGCTTCTTCCCTCCTCACACCTAGCAGAAGCCTCTTCGGAAAGGGAAGGCGTACATCCGACAATTCATTGAGTGTAACAGACACCAGCTCTGAGAGCCAACCTTCCGAGGAAGCCAAAATGACAAGGAGAGAGCGGAAGAAAGCGAAAAAAGCGAGCAATAACTCTGTCAAGGATAAACACAACATGGAAGTGTTCCCGCAAGAGGAACTAGACTTCATCAGCGAAGCTATCCACCTAACTGTCCACGAGAGCAAGGGAGCTTGGGAGGGTACGTATGTCTACGATCACACGAAACCAGAAGAAGAGGCTGTACCCGAGGAAGAGAACCAGGATGAGACGGACCTCGAAAGCATCGCCAGCAGTATCAACGATCTTGCTGTCAAGTCTCCTGGCGAGATGACCCCAAGGCAAAGGAAGACACAGAAGAAGTTCAACTCGGCCATAAATCACAGTAGCTTCAATGGCGGCTCTCGCAAATACGGCACTCCAAAAACTGATCATTTTGATAGAGTTGATCCTGACATATTCTCCCGCCTTGGTATCGAGATTGCAAACCCAGCCAACAATTCTAAGGAACGGAAAGATCTTACCACCAAGCTCGTTGAAGCAGTCAAAGAGGACATCAACATCATCAAGCGTGAGGATGAGGACACGGTGATGAGAGAAGAAGGGTTCTGGAGGTGGGCTGGTAGAAATGCTTACTACTACATCTCGGAGACCAGGAAAGATTTCGACTGGGCAACCGGTCAGAAGAGAGGACCTCCAAAGTTCGACTTCCCCGAAGAAGATGTTCTAATTGAGGAAGGCGTGATCGTCGAACGGCCATTACCACCTCTTCCAGAGCCTGAACCTATTTCCCAACCAGAAAAGGCACCCGACGACGAGGAGTTTACGTTGGTGACATCCAAGAAACCAACTGTTGTCAAAACTAAGAAAGAGATCAAATACATGCAAACCAGGTCTGCTAAAAAAGCTCTCAAAAGACCTCTGCCTCCCTTGCCAAGTTTCCAACAAGACTTTGAGCCTATTGAAGAGGAACAAGGTGAGGACTTTCAAGAGATGATACGCCGACACGAGCAAAGGGTTGCTGGTGAAGGAATTCTAGGAAGGTGGATCCAGCCACGGCCTCCTTACATACCTCCTCGTACTCGAGGCATGAAGTAGACGGGAGACGACCATGGAGAGGGAGCGGTGAAAAAGTTAGAGTATGTTTCACATTTTGTCAAGGTATCTTTTCTTTTGTTTGTAGTGCTATCTAACTTGAGGATCTGGACCTGATGGTTCAGAGAGCATCTGTAAGATGAAGGGAAGAGATGGGTGGCTAGATCTTCGAGCAAGTTTGGGACGAGGTCATCTGTTTGAAGAAATGTTTGATGATGCTTGTAGTTGCCAGGCACGGCATGTTGCTTCTAGATTTGTTTCTCATTTCTTTTCCTTTGTACCACAGTCACGAAGACACGAGGAACGAGGCTACGAGACCACGAAAAATGAGAAATGAATCAGTACTTAAAATTGGTCTAACACCTTTGTGATCTAAATTGGTATTTGGCGATGCTGTTCAAGAGGATCAGCTCACTGAGGTAAGTTTTTCATTCCAAAGCAAGAACAATCCTGATAGATTGAACACCATATACAGCAAAAACAAGCAAAACGCCTTCTTTCAACACATAAGCTCGGCCTCCTCTTTCACGGAGAATAACTGCTCAAACCAAACTCAAACAGAATATTGACCAGACCTACCTTCCTCAACTTTCTCTCCTTCGCCATCACCACACTTTTTCCTCATGCATCCGCAACCCACCCCTCTCATCTCCATTTCCTGGCTCCATAAAATCCACTGGGTCAAACTCTGTCTTGACCTCAATCTGGTCATCGAAGTTCGGCGGCCCAGTCTTGATCTTTGGAACCCGATTGCATTTTCATTCACTGTCTTGCCTTGAGAGAAGATGTCGTATGCATTGACAGGGTCCTTCAAGCTTACCTTGTCTCGAATAGTCCTTTGGATGCTGTTCGAATCTCAAGAAGCGTTGTTGTATTCTGGAGCTGAGGCCTTCTTGTTTGATTGTGCGGCGAGGTTCAGCCTTGATTTGTTCAAAGACAGGAAGAAGATTGACGTCTGTCAGAGGCAGTGAAGATATAGAGTGCTCCCTTGCTTACATAAAAGGCGCACCTTATAGCAAAATGTCCGGTTGATAGTTGGCCCGGCTTATGAGAGGGAGATTGTCTGGACAGGGGACTGGCATTCGGGATATGGGAGCTAAGCTGAGGCTGTGGATGGGTGGAGATAGGCAATGACGGACGCTAGAGACCTAGTATATGTAAAGGAAAAGTCCCGAGAAACTTTCTTGTTTCTTGCAAAGTTCTCACAGCTCCTTCTCCCAGATGCAGGTCCTTCCATAACGCTATGAAGCATTGACGTGCTCTGCTGGAATGATCTGGACTGCTGTACTGTACTATACATCTTTGACGACCAAAGATCAATCTCTGCGGGTAAAGTTCCCGCGGGTCAACACTTGGTCGAGTGCGTTGATGAGTAGTCTGATCTTGTACGCTGACTTCGGGCCGGTTTGAACATTTGCCGCACGAAGTTACGTTTTGAATGTGACCCTTTTCTTAAGTCTCGTGCGCTCGGGTTCCGCCGTGTAGGTTGAATCGTCCTTCTTCTTGTTGACCATCACTCCTCTCTTCTTCAAGCGTATGATCGAGCCTTCCGATTTGATCGTCACATCATCCTCGGTATCTCCTCCCATCTTGACCATCGTCCCTTCCTCATGTTTGATCGTCGTCGACAGTTCATGCTTCATCGCGCTACCATTTCTAGCCACCCTTTTCGCTGACGGGAAGTTGCTGCTTCGATAGATCGGACCCTGGATCTGAACACTTGCCATAGAAATCTTTGCTCTAATAAAATCCTCCCTCATCATTCGAATATTCTCTCAAGATGCTCCTGCTACAAAACGGACGAACAATGACCGCGCTAGCGATATCGAGAATTATCCTATATTTCCTCTGAAGTCTAGATGTTGCTGTAAAATTGCACTGAAGAGTTAGGTGATAACTCCTAGAATGCAACTGGAGTCGCAATTACTCTCAAAAAAGTCCACAAGGATCAAAAAAAGAAACTGACAGGTAGCGGTTACCGGCATCTTCCTCTCAATACTTTCGATACTCAATGGAATAATATCAACGAATTGGGAAGAGACTTGAGATAAACATGTCATGCCGGAGACCTTGGTTAGTCCTGGTGAATTGGCCTTTATGAAGAGCATTGTTTTCAGAGCATCCAAGTTGGCTCTCGAATTTGGCGTGTTGGTGGTCTTTGTCCGTCTATCTTTGAGAGATGAATGACTTTGTGGTAAGTGAAGTAACCATATGTTGTGAAATCGCCTTGTCTGCCGCAAGGCCATAAAATTCTAAGATTCTGTATCGGTCTATCTTCAGGGGAATTATCGTACCTGAAAGGAGCTATCCATAGACTTCATGCATATCCTAGCAGGAGTTAACGGCAATGAGATTGCTGAAGGACTATATTATCGAGACTGTAACCTGCGATTGAGACTTGAAATTTCGTCCCACCAGCAGAAGAAAGGTTGCGGAATACTCGCAACGATGCCTATCCCCAAATCAGAAGGTGACGATGATATCGACTTGAGATATGCAACACACTCTGATCGTGATGATATGGACATCGACGATTGCAGGCATGATCAACGAGCTACTGACACGAGATAGGTATCACATGCCACGGATTCCCAAAATCAAGGATGAAAGTTTCAGATTCTTCATCCTGCATGCCATCCTTGATCAAGTATTATCCATCGAGGGTCACCACCGAATCGACTGGATCAAGGTGTCCGAAGACGTGGGGTACAAGGGACAGAATCCAAGTACCTGTTCGAAGAAGGTCTTCGCAGCTACATGGAAAGCTCTTCACAGAAGATCATTCGTCCAGGATAAGAAATCGAAGATTGATACAGTCGAAGCTCCCCCAGAATATGTCTTCGAACGCTGCGGTGCTAGACACGTTCGTCTTCTGCTTGCTATGATGGCGCAAAAGTCGGCAATGGGAGAGAGGCCACTGTGAACTGGGCTAAGCTAGCAGAAACATTAGGAAACAGCAGCGAAAAAGGTGAGAGAGATGTTTTCAATCGCATGTGGAACAAATACTGGGGAAAAGATCCTCATAAAACAACGGCATATGAAAAGATGGACGAATATTATGCATATATCAAGAACTTCGACCAAGGTCACGATGATGAGGAGCCGGGTTATCCACCTCCACCCCCATACGAGGACATTGAGTCGCAAAACAACGGCATCAAGCATCCGGAAACAGCCAACGATGGTGAGGCGATGGAATTGGTGCCAAGACTTGAGGGAATACACTTGGCTGAGCACAAGACTGAGGGATGGAAAGAGAAAAAGGATGTTGAGAAGACGGAGATATGGAGAAGTGTGCCAAAGGGATTGCAAAGTGGGAAGGAAACCACTTCATCATTGACGATTGAGATACTGGTTAGGTGGAAGGAAATGGTTTGTAAGGCGAAGAAGTCCTACGTTTGATGTCGTGGGGAACAGTAGCCTCAATACCGTTGGCGAACAGCATTTGTTTGCATCAAAATCCAGCACAGCATTGCACTTTAAATAACTAATTCACGTGAACACGCTGAAAAGTTTTGTTGCACATCGCAACAGAGAGAGAAGTTGCTGCGCGTGAGTCCTGAAATTTGCCTTGGCGCTCTGGAGATTCTGACTTCTAGCAACAATCACTTTGCTAGATATTAGAATGAGCGATCAAAAGTTCAACCGGTACTTGAAGATACGATTCCAATTTTCATGATGAAATCAGATCAATGTGTTGCCAAGATATTGTAGATCTAGGGGAGTGGTTGAAAGAAACTTGCGCCGAAGGTGAACCTCACCACTTGGAAAGGTGAACGATTCTGAAGGTGAGAGTCGAGCTTGTACGGACTTTCTTACTTGAAACTTAGACATCTAACCTACAGATCAACATTTGGATAACCTTTCTTCTCTTCTATTCTCTAGAACAGGCATATCTTCGGATAGCGGCAGTTAGAATGCTTGCAAATGATGGCAATGTACATGTACCGCCATGACATTTGAGAAGGAGGAAATTCCAAGCACTAATCTGGAGATAAAACCTGAGTATACTATTTGATCATGCAATACTATCCCATCTCGGGACTTTGAAAGACTCTCATGAGTTACTGCTTGCAACAACAATGTTGATTTGGTATGATTCTCAGATGAGAAATTGAGTTGAGGCTCGGACATTCTTGTTTCGCTGTTGTCTATCTATGCATATGCAAAACAGAGCTTCTCATAAACAGGCTTCTTGATTTGAACAGTCAGCATACTGCATGATGATAGTTCATCTGATGAATCCAAGGCAGCTGTGATTCAGCCGCGTGGCTCGATTAGGCAGCCCAATTCTCCACGAAAAGATAGGGTAGAACGCAAATTTCAGAGAGTCATTTGCCACAATAGACATGTGCAGTAACTCGTATTCATAAAATCTCTTGGGGGCGATGATTAAACAACATTATTAGCAAATTCTAGAGCTGTCGTCAAACCTCACACCCAAAACGGCTAGCGTGCAAGATATTAGACCTGGTCCGTGCACACTACGTCGTCTTCAGGGTCAAGCAGAAACTTGCCAGCCTTCTTCAAGTTTGACAGCTCTCACTATCGAACGCTCAACCTCTACACGCCTTGCTAAACATCTCGATCTCGAGCCTTATCCAACCAAGCTATCCGAAACCTTTGCGCCGATCACTTGCCCGCCATGGACTTCTCTGATGCTTTGTACGTCCAGCCTCGCATGTGCAGCTCAGCTTTCATCAAAAGCTCTGCAGCCATTGCGCGCTTCCCGATCTTGTCGCAAACATGCTAACTATTCTATTCTCTATAGCCGGATCGTCAATCTGGGTGTGGGAGCACTCATGGTCATAGGAGGAATCTTCCATATGTTTCCTGTTGGGATGTACGTGTCCTGCTTGCGACAACTGCCAAGAAACTCTGTTCTGCTTCCTGGATGAGGACTGATGGATTTGGCATATAGCTCTAGTATCATTGTCGGTGTCTACGTGGCGATCTTTGGTGCTGGTGAGTGGTTGAAGTCTCGATGATCATTGATTGAATGCTAATTCACTGTGTAGCTGTTGCTCTTCTTGGTATTTACCTCCGAGCTCGAATTGCATCGGATGCAGAAGCTGATAATCTGCAGAATTCCAAATCCCTCCCCAAGTCTCTCGATATGGATCTTTCCTGTTTTCGTTCATTGGACGTGGTGCTTGTATGTGTTCTTGAGCCTGCCATCCTACTGTACAAATGCTAACGGAATGATGCGCAGTCTACATTTTCGCTGGTTCCATCCTTCTCGAAAATCACATCATTAACATCATCTTCGGATCGATCATTGGCCTCATCGGTGTTGCATATGTAGTCCTCGAATTCGTTCCAAGCATTGAGCCTCCTCAGAACATGAGGGAAGCGGATGGCGGATGGGGAGCCGAGCAGGTTTAAAGTGGTGAAGACAAAATACCGCAATGATTCGCGTAAGGGGATAGCGTGGATTGCTTAGGAGGAGCAAGTGCAGCGAGCAGCGAAGAGACAATATGTGTACGAACAACAGATATAAGGGAATGAATGTGGGCGGATGGACTTGATACGATAGACGGAGATGGGTTTCCTGGTATGCTTGTACATCAGCCATGACCGATGATTTGCACTGAACGGCGTTAAGAAATGCTAGGAAGTCTGCAGTCGTTATCTACTAAGATTCTTCGCTTCAGCTGCTCAAGTGAAATGTGTGAACTAACCTTCTTTAAGGACATGAAGTCGAGGCTAATTACTTGGATTCCTTGTGCTTTTTCGAGTCCAAAGTTGATTGCTTGCGAGGTTTGCTTTAAATTTGAATGCCACCTTTTGGAAAGTTTTGCATCTTGAACGACTTGCTTACTTGCGACACGCAGCTTTCAAGATCATGCATTTTGCTCTTCGTGTCTTGATATCATGTTTGTGTTAATGAATAAAGCGTACAGCTATGCCTCGGTGGATGCCATAGCATAGTAGAAGGCATTACTGGTCAAAATATAATTCCGAAGTCCAACAAGCTTCTTTCTATGCGTGAACAGCTCGAAGAGTCTGTAGCGGACATTTCAACAATTTGATCTCCACTAAGAGGGTATTGAAAAGGATGTCATTTGTTCAAAGCTTCGCAAGAAATTACCAAGCATACCTACCTAGGTAAACATCATCCCAAGCTCAGGGGCATCAATCACCCTCGACGTCATTTCACCAGATCTCCCACCAAAAAAAATCCCCAAAAAATTTTGTACAAGAAAAAGACAAAAAACAAACTCTCACGGATGTGAGAGAACACAAACCCTTGAGGGTTTCGAGCTTTTAAGCGCCCAGGACATAACCCGGACTATGTTTTCCAATCCCCAGTGTCGCCCAGGACATAACCCAGACTATGTTTTCCAATCCCACGTGTAAAATGTCATTTTTTCCCATCGTATGCGGGGCGGCTGTAATTTGTTAGTTTGGGATTTTTGTATTTATTAGAAGAGGGGTTACTTACGCGTTAGGCTGCGATTGGCGATGATGGGTTTTTGATTATTGGAATCTATATGGGGTGGATGGGTTGAAGCTAAGTGCCGGATTTTGGCGCTAGGGGAAAAGGTTCGCCTATGTGTTTACTTTCATGCGATTCTGGGAAGGTTCCGAATGTGTGAGGTGGATTGGCGAGAGGAGCGACTACTTATGCGTTGAGTTTACTTGCAGTGGTTGATCAACCTCCAAGTTGTGCTATCATGGGAGCAGCTTCGGCGTCACAATCAACCAGAATACCTCGGACTTCTAAGCTGGTCTATTGTTTATGTCGTCTAGACATATGAAGACTCTTGGAGACAGACTAGAGTGACCCAAGGACCAATATGAAAGCATGGTCTCATTCTGCACGCGATTGAAATCAAGTTACCATAGTCGAGCTTGGCATATGTGTTCGCAGATATGTTGACATGCTCACCAGATGCTTCACTCTGATATCAGATCGACATTGATCCATTCCTAGAGTCTCTGGATGTTCAAGTTTGAGACTCTATGTCTTGAAATCTGCGCTGAGAGGCTACGGCTTTGAGTACGTTTGCTGCTCTGAAATATTCATTCCCGCAATTCCCTGACAACATGACTTCAACGCTTTCGGCTTACCACCAGCCATGATCAACTACGCAGAGAAAACCAAATTATTGAAGTAAATGATAGTTTGAAATTTTCCAAGGCAGTAGACAAGCTCTTTTCTGTTGATACGACTTTTCTGTCTGCGATCGGCAGTCTCAAGCTTGAGATTAGTAGCTTTGAGGGTCGTCACTGCTGTCAAGTTAATTCAATCATTCAAATCACTTTAAATAAGATACATAGACAAAGTCGTTTCTTTAGAGATTTAGACTTACAACTCAAGCTCAACCAATCGCTTGCGTATACACTTTTGCTGTCATCTTGCCTTGCATACCTATCAAGTCGGTTAAGACCCCTCATTCGCTTATGCATGTAAAAGCAGCAAGCCCTCCCATCTTCACTTCAGACGAACGATGGAATCATCTTATCTACATATATCACGCAGTACTAACCATCACCAAACTCCCTCCGCGGAAACATCCCGTGGTGGATAGGTAAGTGGGTTGGATGGCGGCAATCATGGCTCCTTCGGGACCTCCCTGACGTGACATGCATATGCATAAGGCGCACGTCAGAATCTCACGAACTCTAACTTTTATATAAACCTCTCATCTTTAATTCTCTACATACCTCAAGACGAACAAGCCCCATTCAAAATGGTAGACTTCACACTCTCCCCCACCGAAAAAACCATCCAACAAGCTGCTCGCAGCTTCGCGGCAACCCACCTTTCAGGTGCCAAAGCAGCATACTCCCTCATCCCATCTCACGCGGAACGATTCCAATCCAGTACGTCCCATCTCTCTCCCTCCCTACCTTTCATTCCATTCTAACACCCCCAGCCCGCCCCATCTACCACGCCGCCGTCCTCGCTGGCTTAATCAAAGGCCAAATCCCCACGCCCCTAGGCGGCACCAGCGGCAGCCTCCTCGAAGCCGCTCTCCTCGTCGAAGAACTGTACGCCGTTGAACCAGGCGCCAGTCTCACGATTCTGTACGTCAAAACTTCCCCTTATTAGCATCCATCACAGAAGCCAAGAGTAGTTTCCGCAGTTATCAATCAAAGACGATCTCGCATAGCCGATTCGACTCCCAGACCTCTATCGAAAGTATATACTAATCTGTCTATAGCGGTACGGGACTCGGGTTAACGCCGCTGGTCCTCGCGTTCCGACCTGAGGTTGCGGAGTTTCTGGAGCCGTTTTTGAAGGGGGAGGGGGAGCCGTTGGCGAGTTTGGTGTTCTCGGAGCCCGGGGGTGTGGTATGTATTCGATTCGTGTCTTTGAGAGAGGAAATGGGAGAGGGCTGATGTATGTGCTTTGTTTTGTAGGCGAATTGGCTGGAGGAGGGAGCGCCGGGGTTACAGACTACGGCGTATCTTGATGGGGAGGAGTGGGTTTTGAATGGTGAGAAAGTGAGATTTATTTCCTATTCCTGAAAATTACAGAAGCACTAATTAATGATAAATAACAGGTCTGGGCAACCAACTCAGCAGGATGGGATTTCAAAGGCGCTGATCTTGGCTGTGTTGTTTGTCGGTGCACTCATCCTGATATACCGGCTTCTGCTAGTCCGGCTGATCGCATTATGATATTGCTTGTTACGGCAGCGGATATTGCGCGTGGTGAGGAGGGAGTCTTTGAAGTGCTGGGCCACCAGCAGATGGCGGGGCATACTGCAAGTTCGGGGCCGCATGTAAAGGTTTTTTGTCTTTCTGACACTTTCTTACTTATTCTTGCTGACTATCTGGGGTAGTACACCAATCTCCGAATCCCGAAAAAGAACCTACTGTGTTCTCCAGGAACAGGTGCCCAGATTGTCACATCCACTTTTGAGATATCAGGTACGTACCAGCACCCCACCCCATTGCCTTCAAACTAAACTAATTCAAAAAGCCTGTCTCGTCGGAGCAATGGGCGTCGGCCTCCAACGCGCTATCTGTAAGCATCAAATTCCCCTGTTCTTCATGCTCCCATCAAAGCTGACTCCCACAGTCGACGCAGCACTATCCTTCTCCCGCACCTCTCGCGGCGGAACCACCCCCATCGGCCACCGCCAATCCGTAGCAGACCTCCTAATCGACATCAAAATGCGCACCGAAACTTCACGGTACCTCTCATCCCTCCCTTCCCCCTCCCTCTCCCAACTAACCGCATCAAACAGCTACCTAACCTGGTCCGCCGCCCACCACCTCTCCACCAGCCAGGGTAAGAACCGCGAACTCGCTCTCGAGGCGAAGATATATTGTTCCGACGCAGCGGTCAAGTCTGCTGTTGATGCTGTGAATCTTGTTGGGGTGTAAGCTTCTCCTGTTTCTTCTCCTATTCCTCTTCTTTTTTGGGTAAGGGGACGTGTTGATGGGGATATATAGGTCGGCGTATGATCTCAAACAGCCATTCTCAGAGCTGTTAAACGACGCGATGGTGTTGCCTATCTTCGATGGGGGGAATGTGGGGATTCGGAGGAGGGCGTTGCAGGGGATTTTTATGGGGGAGGGGTATGAGGCTTGGGCGACGTGCTATGAGTGAATAGGAGGAGTGGGATTGAGGATAGGATTTGGAATAGCCTCCCTACTCGCGAAATGCAAAGGAGGTTTTGAGGAGAATGTGGTGGTTCGCAAGAGGAAGGGCAAGGTAGGCAATATAGCAAGGTCATTTTTGCCTTCAGCTGAGAATGGAATGTTATTATTTATACACTTGTGCACTTGTGTGAAAGATCCAAGGACCTCCATCAGGCCTGCTTTGCATGTCAGGATATAGGAGAAGTACCAATGCTGTAGAAATCCACAGCATTGAAAACTTGTTCCATATTATAGAGATAAGGTTGCAAGGCTAGCAAGATCTGAGTAGAGGTATAATACTAAATGCCGCTGGAGAAGAGGTGCAGTAACTATAAGCGTAGAAAAATATTTACTTGAAAGAGTAGGTGATGGTGCGGTTGTCTTTCTTACTACTGACTTAGAAGGACCGATTTACTGTGTTGAAGATAGTGCGGCCTGAAGTTTGTGAGAATTGATTGGCGTGTAACAACATAGGGCCAGGTCTGGAGGTGAGATGAGATGAATAAAATGACCTCGGGAATCAATGTTAGTCTTGTGACTCGCAGAGTAGAGTAGAGCTCGAGTCGAGATCGAATTAGGTGGTTATCGAGAATTAGAAGGTTTTTAGCTAATACTATAATATGCTTTTGGCCAGCTTTCCAATTGCGTCAGTCCATAATCAAAGTCTATGCTAGTGAAAGTATCTCAAGTCACGTGGTAATACTCGTCTTTTCTTGGCAATGATGTCGTAGCAACCTTGTGGCTCTAAGAAGTCTCCGTTGAGGATTCTGAATGATGGGGTGAAGGAGGCTTGGATTGATAGAGAGTGCGACTTCCTGCCTAAATACACCTGCTGACTCAGCTAAATTCCAACATCGTGGATCTCATGCCATGTCCTACGCCAAGTGCTTCTAAAAGTCCGTACAGGGACAAAAATAGTACCGTGCCGAAAGAGGCTCTCATGAGGCTGAGATTGTTCGGATGATTTTCAAGCCGTGATCGCTGGTAGTCCCAGTACCAAAACTTGGCAGAACGGCAAAGGTTGATCAAGAAATTCTGATGAACGGGGAGAAAAGAGTATACTAGCATTCTCAATTGTCCCAAGCAAAAATGAGGATCACTGCTACGCCAAAAATAGAGGTTTCTCGTTTGAAAACATGCAATAATGCGATACTATCATAAACATTCAGATTGCTTCTTTATGCGGTCAGACAGTTTTGTTGTCACCGAAAGAGTTGTGTTGGTTGATATCAGCCTTGCTGATGAAGGTCATGAAGACATACTTTCTAACTGCACGGGTATAGCAAAGAAACAGAAAGAAATTACAGGACTAGGAGTTACCAAGCGATGTGCACAAGTATAGCTAAGCCATGTCGCCATCTAGAACGCAACATACTGAACTTGAGAACAGGGAAAAGGATCAGAGACCAGGTAGAAACCCAGGCTTGGGAGGAGTACAGATAAGCTTTGTAGAAATACTTCCGGTATCAAAATATTTCCGCGAGCAGATTTGCGAATAAGTAATGCTGGGGGAAAAGCTTAGCTGTAGATCGTCCTGAGTGCGGAGCGGGTGATGGACCGTTTGAGGACTATTGATAGTAACCATGTGCATGTTTCAGAAACATCAGATGTGATGACGATTCAGGAGACAGAGGTGACATAGTGACATTGTCCTGGGTCAATCTTCGAATGTGGCTGATTCTGAGACGGACATCGTGGCCTCGAAACGAAGAGATTTTGGATTTGGACGAATGATACGAGACCAATTGTCATCAGATGAAAAGTTGCAAGATTGAATAGAATGTGGAGATGCTTGCGTCTCTCGGAACATACCTGGAGGAGCGCGAGCCTGGTTGGGGGCCATGAGACGAGCTGATGGTCGGTTGAATCAGGGGCGAGATGCGTGGCCATGAAACATGACAGAAGAAAACATGTCCACAGTGTCCGGCTGTCTGGTTAGTGGTTATGGCACCTCCGATTAGCCATCCGTAGAGTGGCGGATTGAGCCTTCCATTGGCAATTATCAATGGTTATCAATTTTTTCTGGAAGAGTGCTGACATCGAAATCATCTCGTAATGATGGGGGTTATATGCACCGGATCGGTACCCGACAGACGGGTAGAACATCTTGCTTCTTCTTTATCCACCGAGATCGGCTTGGCCTTCCAGCCAAACATCGGCCTGCGAGCTGGGAAGTCATCACCACACACTATCGCCATTCCGGCAACTCTTGCAGAGACAAGCCCAAAGCTGGTCGATTAGTGACATGTTCTGAGCTTCGGCGATAAGGCGAGTTTGATGAAAGAGGGGATTTTTTGGATCCTCTGTCAATGGAAGCTGACGACGACGGTTAACGTGTTCTGCTGTTGCAGGAGTCGGGGCTGGGTGGCTATGGTGCAACAGATGTGAGGAGGACAAGGGACGGTGCCACACGACAACACCAACATTCAGCAAAAGGTCAAAGAAAAGTATCGTGAGGTTCCATTGGACGGGATGCAGTGACAGATTGCTACGAAGTAGCTCGGCAGCCGGACTCTGAGTCCAATGATGATGGGGAAGCGACCTAGAAGGTGTGATGTGGCGTAGGGGAGAGAGAGAGAGAGAGAGAGAGGAGGAGGAGGATGAAAGGGTATGAAAGGGTGAGGCACCGAGGCACGGAAGTCAGGCCAAGCGAGGACTTTTGAGCTTGATCTCCAGATTGTGTGCTGCACTAGGAAGGAACAACAAGGTGGGGAATCTCGAGAAAGTGAGAAAGAGGGAAGGGAAGATGTCACTTGGGCGTCGGGATTGGTGGCTTACCTTAGGGATGAGCTTAATTCTTCAGGGACCCCAGTCCGGAAGCTGTGGCTCTGCCGGTCTAGCCCCAAGCGGCTTGGATCGTTCCAGTGTTTCATTTGCTTGGCAGCCCCCGCTGAACACTTTTTCGCCAGTGAGAACGGGGACGTGGGTCGCTTACCTTTCGCTCTGCTGTGAGTGGCCATTGATAATAACCCGCTGCAAAAAGTGGATCTCCTTTTGATGTCCTCTCCGTTCTGGCGGCCTGCGTGCCTTGTCTGGCCTTCTCGGACGGAGCTCAAGGCGATGCGTGTGATGTGATGTGATGTTTCTTCCCCGTTCATCATAATATGGCGACACCAGGCCTGGACCTCAACCCACATTCACTCCAATAACAGCCCACCAGAGACATCGCCGCCTATCAGCTGCATCTCGTGCCACCGCGAGACCAAACGTTGCTCATGACACAGCAACATTCTCTCCATCCTTCAGACAGCGACGAGTAATCATGGTCGCGACCTGATCTGATCTGATTTGATTTGATTGTCACGAGCGGTTCCCGACTGAACGTCACCGTGAAAAGGCTCTTTTGCCGAAGTGAGGCAACCATATATCCGACCGAATCGTCACCTTATCTGGAAAAACACCAAACCACACCTTGCTGTGCTCCAGGAAACATTGCCAGACGGACTGCACTTGGGAGGCCCAGTCGAAGATCCGATCTGAGCTGCACTGGACGGACCCCACGACGATCACACCAAGGTGTTCGAGTGGAGGAAGAGGAGAAGGAGAAGAGAGAACGCAGAAGGAAGAGTCAGAGATTCGACCAGGGCAAGAGGTTTACCCTTTCCCAAAAGAGACCAAACCACCTCAATCGCATCCGTCCCAGGGCTCGACGCTCAAAAAAGAAAGAAAGACGGGTTTGCATTAAGGCAACGAGAGCACGGCCATTTCCCAAGGATCCGGTCTGTCACTCCAAGGTCAATAGACCGGTAGTGCAGAATCTTGTTCCATCCCTCGCTCCGCATCACCTGAAACTTTTACCCTCAACCAACTCACCTGCTCATTCGACCTGGACTGTATTCCTGCATTGCAGCCAGCTTGGTTCTCTTGATCTCCGAAGCATCAAACCTTGGTCCCTACTGGAAATAAGGTTGATTCAGCCAGAAGTCGGAAGACCTTACCGGTAGACGTGCACCATTCAACTGAACTTACAGCTTTCCAGAAGCGCGGCTACTCAGTCAAGTCCAGAACACATCCAGAACTATATCTCGCCTTGTCTTGTCTAATCCATTATCACCGGATTACTCAAACAGATTCGGCCATTTTTGTTGCCGCTGTTATCAGGGACAGCTGCAGAATTCCACAAATCACCTGCTGTTGAGGTCATTTACCGAGACTTTCTTTAGCTACTAACATCACCTCATTCTGCGGGTAGCGCCTGTACCTCAGAAAAGATCATATTGAATTCTCCTGGGGCTAGATTCTTTCCCTCGTCAATCTTAAAACGGCCCCTGAGCTCAAATATCATTGTCTCTCCAGCGACCTCCCTCGTCGCTTGGCCCCGGTCCATTTTTTACATTCCCGGAAAACATTATTGGTCAAACAACACACACCCCGAACCATCTGAACTTACTCTTCTATCTCTGGAGAACGGCCTGTCCTCAACAGGGAGTAACAGATACATCGGAGCATCCTCCTCGCATCTTCAGGTGTTTCACGGGTGAACGATTGCTACTGTTTTGAGCTTTTGATATTGTCCGACCTGTATCAGCTATTGATGGCGCGTGCCAAAGGAGCCATCTGATTTCGATAAACATCTGGTGCTTCCTGCTTGACTTGTGGTCTGGATCATCCCAACAACATCAGATCCTCGCCTTTACAACGTCAAGCTCCATTATCAAGCACCGTTTAGCGAATCGACCTTCTTTATACCTTACGCTTTACCTATGTGCTGTACATTACGAAAGCTACCAGTGATCGACTTCATGTCGGATCACCCTTACGGCGGCATGAGTGATAGAAGTTCATCGTCACCGCAGAGGCGGCTGGAAGATACCTTCCCACTTCGAACAGCGTTACCATCCAGAGAACCATCCCGAGAAGACATCGAGCTTGCTCGAAAACTGCTAGGCCAATCACAAGCGGCAGCAAATAACAATGAAACTAGTCACAACGAGCCGCAGGCGAGAAACAGTCAGTCGCCATCGAACGAGCAGCAAAGAACCGGTTCAACAAGTCCGAACTTGGACAGAGTACGACAAATCACTCCTAGATCAGAAGGAGAACAATCACAATCTTATGCGCCTGTGACTTCGCAACCTGATGCTGCTCCGAGTGGACAGGTGTGCAGGTAGGTACAATGCTTCTGAGTTGGAATCATTGCTAACGGTGCACAGCAACTGTGGAACAAGTAGAACACCCTTATGGCGTCGATCACCTCAAGGTGCCACCATTTGCAATGCTTGCGGGCTCTACTTAAAGGCACGAAATGCCTCGAGACCAACCAACCTGAAGAGACCTCCTTCAGTTGTACCTCCACCATCAGGACAAATTACAGCAGACCAAAGGACGTCACCAGCGCGTACTGGCCAAACTCATCACAGTGCATCTGGCGCTACTTATGTTGCAGCAGACCATACCCCCGTAGGATCATGTCCAGGAGGTGGACGGTGCAATGGTACAGGAGGAGCTGAAGGTTGCAGTGGCTGTCCTGCTTTCAACAACCGAGTCTCAAAGAGCGCACATTTCGCAACTTCTCAACAGACACCAACAGCAACCTCACAATCCTCGAATGACCAACCCACAGATGCCCCTTCGCCGATAGACGTTGCTTCTTTGAGCATTCAAAACCAAAATACAACTGTTGTGGTCGCATGTCAGAATTGTGGAACAACGATTACCCCATTATGGAGGAGAGACGAAAGTGGCCATACCATATGCAATGCTTGTGGTACGTAAGGATTTCATGTGGCTTTATATTAGTGCTGATTTATTTTAGGCTTGTACTACAAGTTACATGGCGTCCACCGACCTGTTACAATGAAGAAATCGGTTATCAAGCGACGCAAACGTGTCGTACCCGCCTCTCACGGTACACAGGCATCCGGGATCGATGTCGCAAGTAATTCGATGGGATCTCCAGAGTCGGATCAACCTTCACCTCCAGCAGAAGCGCCGCGGGGTAGCCTGAATCCAGACGGATCAGTAAACCTAGGATTTCGAATGCGCAATGATCAGGCAAAATCTATACTACCAGAACCCATCTCCACTTCACGGGCACAGAATGGTCAATTACCCAGCTCAGATCTTACCGCGTACGCTTCAACTTCCCAGGCCCACTTACATGAACACACCGATTCCCTCAACGATGACAACCGACTACCACCAATGGCTTCATATCCTTCACCTAGCCAACAACGCCCCTCCCTATCGCCAAACTCTTTCCTCTCGCCCTCAAGAAAACGGTCCTTTTCTGCCACCGAGATCGAGCCTCTCCCATCCCTATCCGATTCAAATCCAACCTCAACAAACCCCAAACGTCTCAGCTCCATAAAATCGATCCTAAATCCTGGCTACGTAGACATCGACTCCGCAGACCGAGCCAACGATCGCCGAAGTCCAGGTCCAAGTCGGTACTCGAATCAACCCAGTCCCAGCATGAACAGCGGCTACGCAACAAGCCCCGCAAATAGCGCAGTCGGAAGCGCATTAAGCAGCGCAAGGGATCCTCAAAGCGAGAGCGAAAGGGCGAAAATGGAAAGAAGAGAAATGCTTCAACGTGAAGCAGAAAAAATGAGAGAGGCGCTCAAAGCCAAGGAAAGGGAACTGGAAGAATTAGGAATGAATGAGTGACAGTTATTGTCGTGCAATCATCAGCTACGACAACAACGACACTTTATTGCTTGTGGCGTATAAGCAAGGCGTATTCAAGGGGGAGCATTCATCTTAGACGGATAGGGCATGAAGTGATCTCTTCTTCTGATGGCTGGCGTTTCGGAAGGAAAGCTTGGGACGGACGGCAAAGCATGAATTGACGAATTGGGTTGGGTATGGGGGGCAGGGCAGACTTGCCAGCTACGGGACAATTAATGAAGTGAGATTGGGTTCGTACTGGTACTGTACATGATGGAAATGTATAGCTTAGCTTAGATGGACAGGCTGAATTCGAATTTTGTGAATAGTGTATTCTTTTCCAGAATGACGAGGGCTCGTGCAGTGAGTTGAGAGACCAATATATTCAAGCCACGTCAAGGGTATTGCGGTCACGTGCAAGCACTGCATATTCCACCAATGAGCGGTAACGGAAGGAGGTAGCTCAAGAAGGAAGACAGGATGGCAAGGTCAAAAAGTGATGGTCTGTTCACGTTGCTAGACATGAACAAAACAGGTCACTGACTCCACGCGATAAGCAGCACCCCAGAGACAGCGATGACCTGTACGTGATCTCCAAATTTGTAGCCCTAGCCGACCCTCAACCCAAGGACGCAATGGCAAAGACTCGAAGAGATGGAAGCTAGGAAACTCATTGTGACTCAATTTAATTTAAAAAAGCAACGTATGTTAAATGGCCCCAAAGCGCCCTCAAAAATTCAACCCTTGCCTGCCTCCAATCTTTCCCTCGATTCAGATCACAATAGCAGAGAAAGCTATGCTTGGGACTGGGTAGTATTGACCTGACTCATCTCCCTCAGCCAACAAAGCTGGACAGATAACACTATAGCACAAACTATTAGAAGATAGGCTTGAAGTGGAGCAGAAAGAGGCTTACATCTGATCTTCTGTGATGCACACATTCTCTGGAATCTTGTGCCTTGCCGATGGAGCATTTTCAGCCGCCTCTGGCAACTTAGCCTGTGTGGTAACAGCTTGCAATTCACCCCGAGTATCATCCATTTGCCCTAACGGTCCTTGTACCATCCCGCCATTCTCAAAACTCCAAGCCCAAGGCCTCAAATCTTTGTGTATAGCCATACCGATTCTGGTAGCAAGCAGGGAGCATGTTCTCAACGTCGTTTTGAATGTATCGTTGGAATCATCGAATTTAATCCAGTGGTCCAGCAACTCCACAATGAATTCTTCGAGCCGTTGTATCGCTTCTATATTCGGCGGTTCCTGTCGAAGATCTAGCAGAACGTTGTCGCATTCGCGATAATCAGGCCATAAGGTGTGGAAACGGTAAACCCTTGCTTTTTCTTTGGCCCAGTGCTTGAAAGCGTCTATGAAAATCAACGATCGTGATCAGTAAGGTTGTCCTGCTTTGTATGTGTACATCGCTGGTGGGATGAGATAGAACAGAGGTGAAAGGCAGAAGGTCTAACCAGGCGAACTCCGGCGTTTTGTAATTTGCGCGATTTGAATAGATTCTGGGGAAAGAAGTGTCCATTGTGGTGAGCCCTCAAGCATGACGTTCGTAATCAAAAGTCGACACAGGAGGCTTTGCACGTATGAGCTTCGAGCATTACTGTTGGGCATGTGGCTTGTTGCTTTCAGGATGTGAGAGTGATCTGTCGCCGGGTATACTCTTTCTAGTAATTCTCGGATTCGTGTTTGGGCCACATTATCGTCGTCATTGTTGACATCCGGGTCTTACCATCTGCATTGTTGCGCGAACTGAGCGATGTAGAAGTTCAGGTAGTTGATGCGCTTGATAAGGTAGGAGACTGTAGAGCTGGTCATGATCTGATACTCCGGCACTTGGAAACTCTTTGGCTGTGGGTTCCACAGATTCAAGCCGGGTGCTTCAAATACGGAGTCCGGGGCCTCAAGTCGAGACAGGGAATGCCGCTGAGTATACCAGCGTGTTACTAACCAAGTAACCAGGATGCTGACTATTGAACAGCCGATTGCGGTGCAGATCCAGGCTGCGATAAGATCAATGTGTAGTCCCATGTTGCAACCGTTGTCGTCAATCTTGAAAAAGGTTAAGGATGGTTGGGGATAGTTAATCAAATCCGAGACCCATGTGATGTGAATGTGATGGGATACCAATCAAAAGTGAATGAAATGGTGAAGCTCGAAAATTCAATCTTATGATGTGAATGTGAGTCAAGCTCGCAGGTGAATAGGCAAGCGGCTACTAATGGCGTATGACAGTGGATATCGCAAATGTGGAGCCTCAAGTATGCCGTGTAAGCAAGCAATGTCGGAGCCTTGAAGTTTGCTGTGTAAACAAGCAATTTCGAACTATTGAACTATGCTGTGCAAGCAAACAAGCAAGCAAATTAAGAGAGGAAGGGTGAAAGAAAGGAGGGAGAGAAAAATACATTACGATAGCAAGCGCATAAATCAATACATTGCTATGTAAAGAGCACTAATCTTATACAAACAGAACGTTATTGGCCCTACTAGCGGGAATTCTCGAACGAAGGGGCAGCCTCACCTGACTTTGTCGGCAGTTGTACCACCTAGACTGAAAGAACACTTTCTCTGACAATTCACGGTAGCACAACATTCACAGCAAGACAGCATCGACGGCAGCTTAGCATTCATGGTAGCATAGCATTCACAATAGCACAACACTCGCGGCTGCACACTTGGTAACACCTTTATAGTGGTTTCCACTTATCACACTATTCTAGAAATAGAAGCTTAGACTACTATCTGTTCTAGTCCATAGGTGAACACCTGCTGTTTATAAACTTTACCCCCGCCATTCATGAATGGTGGGGTGTTTATGTATGGCACCCCTAAATTATAAACTACACCTGCCATTCATGAACTCTTACACTAAAGCCGAGTGTTTATGTATGGCTAGTCCATTCACAAACTAGGGGCGCCATACATAAACCCTCCGCCATTCATGAATGGCGGGGGGGTCAGTTCATAAACGGCAGGTGTTCACGTATGGACTAGAACATATCAAAAGACATTTGGCGTAGTTTAGAAGCTAACAAAGTATGCTTAGGTTTTATGTCGAATGCATAACGTGGAAGCAAGCAAAAGAAGAAAGAGTAGTAGCCTATAGAAAGTGAAAAGAGTTTGTGTGAAAGTAGAATACCGGAGCCAAAGACCTTATTTTATAGTATGGAAACAAGCAAAGAAACAGTCACCAATAGTATACAAGAGATAAGGTGCTAATGATTCGTGACAGCGAGGCTCGGGAACCCGCGAGGCTCAGCCCGTCTTGTCTTTTGCCAATAGGACGAAGAACGAAAGCTTTACAATATCTCGGACCGGAATAGGCAAACCGACTTTGTACAACATGCATCGGGCCGTACGAACTATCGTCGTGCTCCGTTAGCAAATCTAGCCTGAGGACTTGAGTATGAGGACTTTACTTCTCATCAATCCCATTCGTTCTTGATTCTTTTCGATGCCAGTCAAGCTCGAACCTCCACCAACTCTGTGCTCTCTCAAATAAATCACGCCCATCACTTGTTGTTATTGAGAACCCCGACCTCTTGCAACTTTTCTTGCTGCATAGAGCGGACGCAGTATCACGTGATCGTCGAAATGAAGCCTTCCAGGTACACATTCCACCAATAAGCCGTAACGGAAGGAGGTAGCTCAAGAGGAAGACAGGATAGCAATGTCAAAAACGAAGGGAAGGGTCTTTGTATAACGCCAATTATGAACGAACCAGGTCACTAATTCCACGCATGATGAGAAGCTTCTTCTCGAAAGAAAAAGAATGGACATTGAAACATAGGCATGTCCTCTAACTGCTCATCTCAATCTTGATTGTTGTAGTAAGATCAGAAGCCTTTTCCTTTTCCCTTCAAATACACATATAAATACACCACCTCTCCTTTTCTTCCCGTTTTTAAAGACAAACACCACATAACACCCATCCAGAGGTATCCTAATATACAATATATAGCGCCATATATACATCCTCCCAGGGTATCTAGTATATACAATATATGCAGGCCCTTCCCCAAAACTCCATTTCCAACCAAATCATCTCAATAGATAGACTTTAGCCCAAAACGCTATATATGCAAAGAAAAATCATGAGTAATAAGAAGATTCCCGACTCCCGGACTGCTGATGACATGTACCTGTGTACCGTCGCTCTTGGGCCCCACTATCCGTCCGAATCTCGACTAAACTTCTGCCACCTCGCTTTTTGATCAGTGCTCCAGTCCATTATCAGTGCTGTTTCATTGTTCATCGAGGCTCCGATATTTCCAGATCGTCCCATTTTCGAGGATGTCCTCATGCATTGAATGCTGCGAGGTCGATTGAGTAGCTTTTCCGAAGCAGCCAGTAGACGATTCATCGTCGCGTGCTCGGAACTCATAATCAGGACGTATACAGGTCCAGCGCCGCCCTTTTCAGCTCTGATATACTCCCGGTGTCTGCTTTCACCTTGGAACTTTTCCTTCAGTGCTTCCAGGAACTCCCAGGAGTGTTTCCACTTTGCCAATATTTGGCCGTTGCCGAGAGGTTTGATGCACATCAACTGTCCATTCTCGCCGAAGTGGAACTTTTTTCCGGCTTCCAATGAAGATGTGCTCCAGACGTATTTATACCTAGAGCTAGAGCCATTGTGCCCATGACAAGGTTTGGGGTGCATTGGCTTGGGAATGGAATTCTGATGTAGCATGAAAGAAGTCTCAAGGACTGAGCTGTTGAAACCCTGTTTAGTCATGGTATCTATGATTGGTCCCGAGTCACTTCCTCGGTTTTGGCACTTTCTAGCTTGGATCGAGTCCGGGAGCTCCAGACACTCATTTTCGAGTATAGCCATCGTACAACACGTTTCGGTGTCCTTTAAAAACCCCACCCAAGTATGCTCGCGCAACGGTAGATTCACTCTGTGTCCGGGTTCTGAGTTGGGGACCCAGTGAAGGTTGAGGCTTTCAGCATCAGTTCCTGTCCGCGTCAGGGCTTCTAAACAATGTGTTATGGCCTTTCCAAGATCGGATTGCCAATTCTTCTTGGACAGATATAGCTTGCGAAATGCCTTATGATTACGACTCTCGAGGGCGGTATAGAAGCTCTGCTCACACTCGGGGCTCATCCATGTCAGGGCTCCGTTGCGTAGGTGATTTATCATAGTTTTGGAGCCAAGGAGACTGATGAGTCTTTGCCGACGAGCATTAAACGTGCATGCCGAAACTTCAACTCCGAACTTATACTCCAGTATCCGGATGTTACGACTTTCAGGATTGTTTTTCCACTCCTCGGTCCAAGCTTCTTTCCAAGCTTTTCTACGCCTTTTGTATGTGCGCTGTGCGCTGCCCTTCACGTACGATGGGCCAAGTTGTATTTGGACTGCTTCTGAATCAAGAATCCTCGTGTTCTTTATCGTACCAGTCTCAAAAAGGGAGTTCGAATTCCGCAGATGCTGTCTGATCTCACCAGTTGATGAGTTACACCGCGTATTGCACTGCAGTTTCGTACTGGCCCCAATAAAAAGGATGTCTTCGGGGCGTAAAAGTGCTCCAGATGATCCAAGAACGTCACCAATCTCACCGAGATCTTTGTCTGACATCCAATGGCAAAACACTTCATGTGTTTGACAGCTAATTGATTGCTGGGGATCAGAAGTCGGCAGCTTCCACGGCAGTATTACTCCATTTCCAACGCTATAACTAAGAATGCGATCATTGTCGGTCTGACCGTCTTGCAAAGCGCATGTTTTCCACATAGGTCCCCATATATCAGCGAACGTTGTGGCATCAGCTGAAAGATACAAGGGAGGTAAGTTAAGCTGCGGAGCATCTGGATGATGCCACTCAAGGACCCAAGCTTCTTTCCCGCCTAGAAACTCGTCGAGACACAAGAAAGATCTTCGACGAAACATGAATGGCTGTTTTTGAGGAAAGGCCCAGGGAGAGCAAAGGATTTGAAGTGTGTCGCTCCAAAGAATTGAGTATGAGCGCCAGCATATGACAAGATTGCCACATCGAGAATATGAACGGCATACCGCCATAGTTCGGTGCAGTGTGCAATAGGAATACTCAAGCCAAGCTCAGAAAGTATCTCTTGGCAAGCCTCCGAGACATCCTTTGCAAATATCATCTCAATCTCAAAAATACTCATGGGGCGAAGGCGATAAAGACCAATGAGTTGAGAGAGACAACTCTCGAACGCAGTTGCCAACCGCCTGATCTTGTGACATTGGATCGGGAGAAGCCTTGCGACATTATGCCTGGCTTTGTCGAGAACAAGAATACTGATAAAGTCACCACAGTATGATGCATTCTCCATAGCTTCGACGCTCTGCACGATACAGAGAATGATATTCCGACATTCGATGACATGAAACATGTTCTCGATCGCACGTTCAAGTTTATCCGGGGAGTTGTAGCTGTCATGCACTATCGCAAAAGGAGAAGCTGTTCCAGACACAGCCTCATTCGCTGCTTTGAGTACTTCTTCATAGAATATCTTTATATCATCATCCTTCAATACCTGCAGTGAAGTGCTACCACTATTTCCCGTATCTAAACCAAAACGGTATTGGAAGGGCTCGTAAGTTGTTCCATTCTGCGTAAGATTAGCATGCATGGGAGAAGTTTTTCGTGAAAGCTACCGTATAGAATTGGAACATCGAATTCTTCAAAACTTGTGATTCCGGGTTGTCCAGCTCTTGGAAATATACTGTTGGATCCTGAAGTCTCATGTTCAGAGGAAAATCGTCCGAAGCATCATCTGTTGACGAAGACTCGTCGGTCATCCAGCCCGAAGCGATGGAATCGTCATCAAACATGTTGATGCCATCGATATTCTCGTGCGTGGGCGAACCGTCATATTCATGATAGCTCATTTCTTGCTGTGGATGTAAAACCCTAGCTTCATGTTGATTCAGCTCGCGAGTCGGCGAAGGTCCAGAGCGATACGGAAGAGGCGCTTGAATTGAGGACGGAGATGCTGGAGGCCCTATTTCAGCATAAGTAAAGTTCGTCGCAGGTCTCCTTTCGAAATAGTCTTGAATATCTGGTGACGTGGGTCTGAGTATTGATGCGTTGTCTTCGTTAGATTCGGGGTTGTGATCGTCGATATCGTGGACGAAGCTGCCTAATAGCATTTTGTATATATTGCCATCGGAGTGCTCGACGTCGACGAAGTCACTCGAACATATTAGTGATGTTACATAAAGATACGATGCGCACTTACGGGATGCCTTTATATCTCAACTCGTCGCCCAGTCCAGTAAGTATTTCCATCGCATAGGGGTCTCTGCCAAATTGAATGAACTCAATGCTAATTAGACGATCGGTAAGCTCGCTCTTCCTGACAACTTTCAATGTTTTCGCGAATTCAAGTAAACGCTTGGCAACAGGGACTTCATCCCACATAGCGTTGGTCAGGACAATGATTGTAACTTTTGAGCTGTCTTCCGGAAATTGCTGCCGATCAAGATAATCTCTAAGCAAATCATCGAGTCGAGCTGCCATGTCAGTCGTCTTACCATCGTTCTCAGCCGGAGGGGCGACTTTGAGATCTACCATGGCGTCCATGAGGGTTTTTACGCCCGTCTTCTTCCCCACGTTTACTCCAGAGAGGGTGAAATATAAGTCAACTCCATCCGGATCCAGACCTTTCGCTTTCATAGCAAGAGTCTTAAGGACAAATTTAACATTTGCCCAATGCTTGTGCATAGACCATGAATTGTCGACCAAAAATTTCTAGTTTCAATCAAGTTAGAAAGGGTATTGGCTTGGAATATTGGTGGATCAAAAGTTGAAAAACTTACAATCTCACGATTATTATACTGTTTCACAAGGTAATCATCCATAGATCTCTTTCCAACTGACTCTTCTATTCCTTCGTAGGCTTGAAAGATGTCCTGGACCTTGGCTTGAAACTTCGCTTCCGCGGAAGACATTACCGGTACATTCCTCTGAACTTGCTTGTAATCCAGGTTCTCAGAGTTGTCGTATTCAGTGACTGGAAGTGTAGTGGTGGATTGGGTAGGCGAACGATAGAATGGTCCGCTCACCATCTGTGAATCACCCTGTACTGTTGTTTCTGCCATGGCCGGGCTCTGTCCGTATTCGTTTAGTATCTGTGCCAAGTCGATGTTGGATTCTAACTGAGTCTCTTCGATTAGAGGCCGGAAGTATTTCGACTTCATGCCCTTCCGACCATGGGCTCGGTTGACTGGCCTCGAGCTCGTTGGTTCACTTTGTGCAGAAGAGCTGATAAACTCGATAATCTCCGGCGACACAGTCGAAGTTGGGTCTTCCAGTCCTAAGCTAATCTTGAAGAGCTTTTCATAGACTTCAGAAGATTGCCATCTGTTGCGAGGATCCTTGATCAGCATGTGGTGATCTACCACGTCAAGAACTTGACTTGTGACTCGATCCGTCCCTCGAAGTATGTTACGCAGGTATAAGTGCCAAGCAGTGACTTCAGGCAAGACATCTCTCCCGTCGTGGAAGTAGTCACCAGAATCGAGTCGTGGAAGATCCTGGTTTCCTGATTGAGCAATACTGTTCAAAGCGCGATGGTTGGCTTCTTCTCGTAATTGTGTGTACTTTCGTACGCCTTGGTGACCCAGAGCAATCCATGTCGCTGCTATTGAAAAGACACAACCCAGAGCCCATACGTCGACTGTTTGATAGAATCCACGACTAGGTCCCGCTCGAGGAATTTGTTCTGGTGCGCCTGAGAGAATTATTAGCAAAGCTTGTCAAAATTTAGTGCATGTTATCTTACTGTATGTCTTCGTGCCACCTGTTAATTCAGCTGTTGGTCTAGCATTCCCTATCTTCTTTTGAAAAATCGCGAAACCAGGATCTGCGAGCTTGAATTCTCCATCTATTTCGAGTACATTGGACGGTTTGATGTCCGCATGCCATCTATTACTGTTAGGATCACATCATAAGAATTTGAGAGTCGGGATTATTACCCCCAGAATTCTTCCTTCCTATCGGGAATCGCAGGTAGATAGTGAATTTGACTTAAAGTCTTTGCAATATTGAATAAGCTGTTCCAAAATGCGTCTATCTCGCTTTGCAAGACCAGTGGCAACATCTCCTCATTGAAGACCGTCCAGAGATCGCATTCCCCATATTCGAGAAGAATGTTGTAGGACTCTTGTGCAGAGACTCCATTGGCGTCGATGCCTATGATGGACGGTATAACCTTGTGAACATAGCAACCCAGGTATCGATTCATGCCGGAGTAAGGCAGAGACCGAAATGCTTCTGCTTCATTGATATAAGGACGCTTGTAGCCTTCCTTGAACTGTTTGAGAGCAAAGCGATAGCGCTGTTATCAATCAGTATGGAGGAGAGACCCATTGGGTTGGGACAACTGACCCAGCCTAGGTTGTCATCTTCACGATAGCGAGATCTTGTGACGGTTACTGCTAGTTTGCTGCTCACAAACTCTTCCAGAATTGCAACTTGCCATAGCACTGCTGTCCCGCCACTTTCACTCAATATAGATCTCTCGACGATTGGTATGATTTGCTTCGGATTGTTGAAGTACTGTTCCTCTCCTAGATCAAATCTCGCGGGACAGAACTTCCATTGTAGGTCATCGAATTCATGGGTCAGAGCTATAGGATCGAGGTGAAAGCCGTGTTCTCTAGCGGACTCGAGCATCGTATGGAATATTTCTTCCAATGCTGAGACATTGATTGGGAGGTTGCGATCAAACATTTGTTGACTTCTAAACAGATGGACTAAACAGCCACGGTCCATCATCAGCAGTATACTGAATATGAGGATGCACCCAGTATGTGGATCAAGGAGTTTGGCCGGCGTAACAGGATTAATCCGTGGATATCCAGGCCAGTGGCGGTAGGCATAGTCAAGCAAGCCTTGGGCTTGATAATAGCTTGAGCCATCTTCTCTGAGCCCTTGGCTGCGAAACCATCTACTTAGTTCGGAGACTCGAACATACGGCCTGCCACTGGAAAGAGGTGGAGGTGGAGTATATAACGTGCAGCGATAAAGTTCATTGTCAAAGTCTCGAACGGCTGGGTGGTCTCTTGTGGCTCGAGCTCTCGCCATGCTGAGTGGCAAAGGAGTATGGGTGGGTAGTTCCTCCCGTAGCGATGCGCCTGGCTCCTTTATCTTATAAATTTCTGCTTTCTCGTCCTACAACCATGGATCAATTTCGCTGCATCTGATTGTCAATGGCGAGGCAACTCACCTCACTGAGCATTCGAGGCAAGCGAAGCATCAGATTGTCCCCCTTGAGTCTGATTTTCTGTTATTCTTGTCAGCCAGAATTCAGCGCAGGTAGTGCCCAATAGCAGCGTATCACATACGTCTCCCTCAAAAGTAAGGTTACATTCCTGGAACACAACCTCAGCCAGATGCTTTCTGAGTTTCTCCGTTGGAATATCGTAGGCGACGATCCAATCTTCGACACAAAGAGGCTCTGCGGGCGCTGCATTTTTAGAGTTACTAGCCCTTATGCTGAAGCTCGATCCAGCCCTCCTGAACGAGAAGCCCGTGGGCGCTCGACTCGGCGGTGTATACATTTCCAGGTGTGTTCGTTGGACAATCGACCACGATTTCTCAGCGCTTAGGAAAACAACCTTCGGCAGTCAGGAGTGCTGCAAGATAGGAGACTTGAGGTCAAGAGCGCCCAGGTGAAAGGTAGCTTCCTTATAACCCTTGGAAGCAGGCTGCTACCATGCATGAGGCATCCAATTTGGAAGTTGTGGCTTAGTTGCCTCGCGCCCTGAAAGATATCACAAACATTCATTGGCCAGCTTTTCAAGATAAGACCAATTTTTCAGGAGGGCGTGTGCATGAGGGCATATTCATGCTAGTTCTGAGCAAGGAGTCAGCGCAGCCTTATCTTGGTCATATAGATATCTGGCCGTCAAGTGATGCTGATAAATCGTCACAGGTGGAGTCAGCAACGAAGGCACTTCCGAGCAGACTCTGAGATTTATCAGATCGCGATGGACATCTGAGCGAAAGCAGATCTCTTCATAGCGTATGTTCGAGGTCACGTGGCTACCGTTCAGCATCCACCAAAGCCCACCGGGCCCTTCGAGATGTTTCCTTCCCCTGGAGCATAACCTGACTGATAAAATACGCAGCCTTTGAGTGACCTTCTTCTATCCGGCATTGCACGTAGACTTCAAGCTTTGTTCAACTTCATTGATTTGAAGACCAAATTTCGATCACGCGAGCTTGCGCTGAATTCGAAAATTCTTTTCACTCAAAAGGGGTGTATTGGAAACATGTCAACCAAAATTGGATTTTACGACAAGCGAGGAATAGACTGTTTCCTCTAGAAGATCCGCTTTTACTTTCTATGAAAGAGGTGAAGTGTCACAAACATTGTTCAATAATTGCGAAGAAGGGATGTATGAGTTGGCTTTCAATTTTATCAATTGTACTAAAGCAATGATTCTCACCACGCTTTTCAGGAAGAGGATGAAGAGAAGGGAGAACAGGTTCAACCTCACTAGAGGGCGATTGGTGCTCCTCATACGACTTGCACCAAATCATCGCATCATCACAGAGAGGATCTTCTCCTGAACCGACCACTCGAGAATTTGAATCTGCTCGCGCACTGGCTCAAGCAGATCATCAAGTTGCTCTATAGCACACCGATAATCATCTTTGATCTCTCGGATCCGATCCTCGGCGTCCTCCTCCATGTCGATGATATTTCGATGGTCGTTTTCAGCCATGGATGAAAATAGGCGCTCGTAGCTCTCGTCTTCGTCCTTTTGTTGTTTTTTGAGGTACATAAGTTCGCGGCGGAGACGGTACCCGTAAAGTTCGATGTACGAATCAGATGCGCCTTCCATCTTTTTCTGGACTTGGGTGATCTGCTCGTCAAAGGAGCGATGAGTAGCGCTTGCGATCACAGCCAATTTTTGAACATCTCGGTCGCAGCTATCTCTCTCATTCTGGGCTAGAGCACGCAGACTCGCAAACTGTGTCTCTTGTTGGTTATACGTTAAGATTATAGCTAGGCGTTCGTTGCACAGGACAGATTCGTAGACTCGCTCGTTGCGGATCAAATTTTCTTTTTGCCTGTGAGCAAAGCCTTCATCTGCTGTGTGCGCCGCCATCCAGTAGCACAATGTGCATTTTGGTGGGCATCGCATTTTCTTTTCAGCCTTCATTCTGGCCTCTAACAAAAAGCGCTTAGGGAACGATTGGCTGTAAGAAGATATCTTGATAATGTGAGCTGTGAAATGTGTGAAGAGGCTGTTGTGTTGAGTTGTTCAAGAGTTGTTTGTGTATACTGAGAATAGAAACCAAGCTTACAGATATCTACCATTTTGTACTAGAGAATTTCCACTTGTCCTGTAGACTTAACACATCGACTAATTTCTACAGCAAACCTTCTTCAATATCGAACAAGCCCATTGTCTTTATGACAAAGCCCTCTTTATTATTTACCACCAAGTCTTCGTTGAAACTGCATTCCTTTGACAGCAACACTAGCACTCCCCGTTCAAACAATATACGAACAATAGAACACCCCTTCGAAACCCCACACCATTCTAAAATGAGACTTTGATTCTGAGTGAAACGAGTGGTCGACTTGAACATGGACTTCAAATCAGACAATGTAAACGTGTGAGACGGAAGTTGCGTCAACACAAAAGAAGGGAATAGCATAGAATGGAGGCTAGCAGATAGAATCGCGAATCCAAATATGAAGATACAAGCTAGTCGATTAAAGAGGGTATCCTGGAAGCTTACGAATAGGGTTCGGGCAGAGTTATGTCTCGTGGATCTGCGGTCATTGGTATCCTCTCACATTTCTTTGATTTTTCTGACATCAGGCTCTCAAAACAAGTCCGATACCAAGCTTTCTCCTACATCCATAAGTTCACTGTTAAACCTGGGGTAAAAAAACAAAAGCTGGCAGAAATTTAGAGGCTGTAAACTTAACGCAACTAGTTCAATCAAGCCAAACCTCCCTAAATTAAATTCCACAAGCCATACTTTGAAAACATGAGAAAAGGACTCGTAAATCTAAGTTCCAAGCTCCAAAACCCTTCGCTAAGGAAGCCAGAAGCCCGTGGAACTTCTCAGTCGTCAAAGATGTAATTCAGCTCAGTCTGCAATCGTTGCAAGACTTATGAGCAGGCTCGCAATACGTGCAGAACGGTGAAGTTCTCAGAAGAGAGGGCATGTTACACTGGCACTACTTATGTTTAGTGGATATCTTTCAAGAACATAGAATATATCTTACGCAGACGAAAAATATAGCGCGATTTCGGGTGCCAGACCTCGCTAGCCGTGGAGATAAAGTCGCCTTGACCGTAACATGTCTGTCAACCTGGCCCTGGAAATGTTAACAAGATCCCCTCCAATCCACATCTATAAAGGGGAACTTACAGATTGGTCGCTGATTGAGGGCAATAGAGAAGGTGGAACACAAAGCTTGCAAACCGACCATGAGAACGCACTTGACATTTGGCTGGACCAGACAATATGATGCTCGGCACTGTCAAAATTGACCAAAGTATCCAAATTACTTTGCGAAAGTCCATGATCACGTCTGAGGTGTCTTCGCATCTGTGATACTGTCAACTTGAGACAAGATGACTGAATATCGCATCCTCCGATATGACACTCCCAAGCTCGAACTTCCCCTGAGGCTTTCATATGCTCATTGAAGATGTGATGGCTGATTTCTTTGCGAGATTGAAATCCTTGAAAGTCTCCTCTAATTTCCTTATCACAGTGGAGGACTGGGCAAAATAGGTCGTTCTCATGCTCCACTTCTTCGATGTGTTGCGCCCATTTGTCCTTTCTGGCGAATGATAATTTGCAGCCTTTGAAGGGGCACCAAAAGGCTTTTACATTGGAATGCTTCTGATGTGCATGACGCTGAAGCTCATAATTGTTTCGGAATGGCCCCTTGAAAGAACAGCTGGGAATTACACAGATGATTGGTGCGACGTGAATATTTTCAAGATGTCTCTCCAAGGACGAGAGAAGTTTGAAGACCGCCTTTGACTTGCAACCACTCCACGTGCATTTACTGGTACCTGCCCAATTCTGAGTGACAGAGATTGCATGAGACTCTAGGTGAATCTTGAGGTCGGCATCGTTCAAGAAAGGGACATTTCCAAGTGAGCAGCTCAACCAGCTGCAGCAAGATGGCTGGGCGATGAATGTTCCCTGTGTTGAGGGTATAACAGTGGTTGCTGGATCAATTGCCTTGCATGGAGGAGAAGTCTTCTGCTCTGGCAATGGTCTATTGCCCGACCAAGGTTCGAGCTTGTATATCGGATTGTCGCTCGATCCAAGTCCGTAGTCGACACAAAAGTTCACTAACATCGGTGGGGAGTCGGTTTGACCCTGAGAAGTTGCTGGACTGCGGCTCAAGAATCGCCCTCGTTAGCACGACTTCTTTTTTTTTTTACTCACATGAGGCTCTCATGTTGGCTGGCTTCGCTTGTGATGTTGTCCGGCTGTTGATAGGTCGTCCAGCCCTCGTCTAATGGCTCGAAGGAATCCCATGCATATGAAAAGCTCGGTTGTGGTGTCAATTGCGCCATGGTCTCATCCAGGGCGTTCCGTTCCAGTGAATCGAAATCAAGACTGGTCACATCCATGCTGTCGAGTTGCAGGAGTAGGGCGAACTAGCGAGGGCGTTGCAGGCGAAGGGCGTTGGAAAGGAAAGCGCTTCTGCTTTCCCTTAGGCGTTACAGGCTGGCTGAGAACGAAATTATGGAAGAACTTTCGAAAGTAGGAAGGGGCAGTCCTTGATTATATGCTTAAAGCCGTCGTTGATGCCGCACCTAGTCAGGGCGATTTCAAGCTAGCATGTATGTGCAGGAGTGGCTGATCCAATGTCGCCCGGATGCGCACATGCTTAGTTGTTGGATTGTTATGCAGATTGCGGATTGAAAGACTGTTTAGAAAATGCAATGACTGGAAGAGGTACTTCAGCAAAGTTATCGAGCTGATCTATCAAGTGGTCGCGTGGTACCATCCGTTTGAAACCTACCATGCTCGGAGTACATAATCATTCTAAGGGTGCGACTTGTGCAGGGCACATTCTCTAGCGTTTGACATGATTTTTTGAGGCTAGTTCTTCTCTTCTTTCTGCGAATAGGGTTAAGCGAGTTTAAGCGAGGGTGCATGCCCTTACGAAAAAGGAGGACGTTTTTGCCCAGGGAGGTTTGATCGAGCTTATTTTGGTCTAAGTTCTAAAGAACAATGAAGCTGAGTTGTGGTTTGAAACCCCAAAATACGAAAGAACTCAAACCCGATGTGGATTCTTCTCCTTTTCTGCCCAATCTAACCTCACGATCTTACCGCTGCGAACCTAGGCAAATGCGGCTAATCGTTAACTTGACACGGTAAAAAGAGCGACTCGTTTAACAACGAGAAAATTTCAATCTTTGTTTGCCAATTAAGATCGACTCACCTTGCCCATCGCCCTTTAAATCGTAGGATAAGTAGAGGGCCAAATAAAATATTGGGGGTACTGTAATTACTTGGGTCAAGTCGTATGGGTGCAATTACATGCTTGGTAGGCTATGGTCTTGGGAATGATTTTAATGTTAGGTATGATGATGCCGACTAAAGGCACCGTTGCATACACAAGAAAAGTCCGGCCAACGGGTACCGCCTAAAGTCACTATCGGCCAAAATATCTGATTTCAAGATTTCTGAAAACAAGGTATGACACGAACGTGAAGACAGCGCTGAACTCAAAGCCGAGGTCGCCGCCATATGGTGTCGCAACCATAAGCGCAATTGGCCCTGTGTACCATGTCCTGTTTGAAAGTCAGTACGTTTAAGTAGGTGGGAACCATGAGGATGCGTACTCAGCCATCGCGGGAACACATCCACCAATTGCCACCAGGATGGCTCCACAGCAGGCATAGCCTGGTGGAAGCTTGCTGAAGTCATTGAAATTGTCGGGATTGATGGGGCCAAGGTGTCCAGACTTGCGCCTAAACCAGAGGAACTCAAGCAGCATGATTACCGTGAAGAACGCCGTCCAATCTATTCTCTTATCAGTATACTTTGGTACAATGCAACAGAAACTTGTCATTGAACTTACAGGATAGAAGTGAAGCAAAGTCGGACAAAAGCTCTCCAAAGTGTTCACGTCCGGCAATTGCAGCGATGAGGTAGACAGCCGTGAACAAAATAACATAAATCACTCTAGGAACCTTCATGAACACTGGATGCAGCGTCTGGATACTCAGTGCTCCGGAATAGGTATTGGGGATCTGGGGGCAATCATGTTCGTCAGTGTCTGTTATTCCATGTGGATTGAGTAGCATACGTTACATGATACTGCTGAGAACATCAAGATAACCAACAAGAACTTGCCGAAACCTCCGGCGGGCTCAAGGATCTTTCCAATGAGCCCTCCTAGGGAATCCTTTTCAAAAGCGGCTATATAATCTGGATTAGTGATGCTAAGGAGAGCGCAGCTCATAATCGCGGTGGCTACGATGGGTCTACACGAGTTGTTCAGCTAGAAATCTAAGAATCCGAGGCATTCATGACTTACACGTAGATACCGATGAAAGTCAATACGGCGGATCTCATTGGGGGAGTGTTTGCCGGCAGGTCAACATTGTAATCGGCACCTATCGTGGTCCAGCCGGAAGATATCGAATAATATATACTTAGATAGATGTCAGCCACGATGGTCTCTCATGTAACAGCTCATATTGGTAGTTACCCTGCATATGATAGAATATCCCCAATCAGGTCAGATCCTGTGTCGTGCGTGACGTTGTTTTTGTTCACATCGTACCCTCCTCTAGCACCCAGACCAATGATGATCATGAAAATGATAAAGCATCTTAGGCCTTTGTCAGCAAAGAATTGTGCTTCGAAATATATTCACTTACAGAATCCACGCCCAGCGTTCCCAAATCTTTACAAAATTCAAGCCATAGACTGAAAGTACCATGACAACTACGGAGATCAGAATAATTCCAGCTATCAACGAGACATCCTCGTTGACTGAATGCACCACGTCAGCATTGTCATTTTTAAAGGTAAGGAAAGATGAACTAACCGGCATGAAGGGCTTGGGCTCCAGCAATTGCCACTGTCACTGAGTATGCCAGTTGAGTCAAGATGTTTAAGACACTGAAGACGAAAGTACCAGGCCAGCCTCCTGCAAAACGTGCCAGTGCCATAGTCCGCAAGCCGTATTTGGGGCCTAATGTGGTAATCCAAGCTGTGGTAGCGACACCTACCAGCGACATAGTCATGATAATAGCCACACTCGTCTTGAAAGACAAAGAGTAGAACTCAGTTCCAAGCATGCCGCTCGCAAAAGACGTAAAAGAGAGATTAACCTGCAAAAGGCTGATCAATATCATCGCCCCTGATGATTAATTACAGATTACCCACAGAGAACCAAAACACGATTTGATCCCAGCCTCCGGATTTCTTCCGTTCGGTCTCAGACACTCGTTCAATGCCACGAACTTCGGCACCTGTCATGAAGAGTTTCTCCAATATCCAAACCACAGGCGCAGGGTATCGCTGTTTGAAGCTCTCTCGGATGGTATCAGCACTCTCGGGACCCGAGTCCACTTCATACAACTCGGATACTGGTAGCTCATGTTTTGTAATTTTCTCGTCGAGAGAGCTATTCTCGTGAGCTGCATTGTTGGTCGCCATGTTGACTGTGCCAGATATTGTTTTCAAAGAGTCAATATTGATACAAAGCGAGGTTGAATAGTAGTCATATCTATCCGAAGGTGATTTATGTTCTCTTTTTTCTGATGTAGAGTTGTGCACTTATCTCAGGTGTGAGCTCTAATCTAAAGCTAGAGTCCCAGGTTGTCGGGGCCATTGATGATAAGGCTCACAGATAAGATGGACCCAGGATATGCAAAGTAAGCCCAGGGTCACACATCTTGAAAGCGAGCTATCACATTCTAGACCTATCATCATTGATTTTGGCTTTTTGATCTACTTTCGAGTATTGTCTGGGGGAGTCCAGAACTTTCACTGAGCATATGAGAGTTGGAGAACATTCGCCAATTGAAGCCAGGTAAACTTCGGCTACCGCCAAGCTAGGAAGGCATTAAACAGCATCTAAGATCTTATCTCTTTTGTCCACGTCTTCTTATCTTTCCTGTCATATTCTCTTATCTGTCTTGTTCGGACCCGACCGATACCAATACCATATCTTCCCCTGTTTTCATCCCACTTTTGACGCCTCCCAGCAAAGCTTGTCACTTACTTATGTCTTTTCAATCTTAGGTTGTTCATATCACATTTGGAATTGGTCTATGTATGAATGTTTGTTGCTGCATATCTGAGAAATTGCAGCTAAACGTCTAGGCCTGTAAGTGTTTGGGGCTGGGAGGTCTTTTGCTATATCCTCGGCCTGCAATTTCGTGCTCGTCTCATTTTCAGAGTAGATTCCAATCCGCGATATAATACATTAAAAACATAGATTATCCTTGTTTCTGTACTGCCAAGTACTCATCTAGGCGCATCTGGAGACATGGCTGAAGGAACTGAACGCGATCCCGGCCGAGTATATTACGTTGCAGGTGGCTTCCCTCAATCTCGGCCGATTCTCACGGGACCCGATGCGAAAGAGACATTCGACAAGATCCCCATCATCGATTTTGCAAATCTACTCTTCCCTTCACTTGAAGCGCGCCAGAAACTCGCTAAAGAAGTTGGCCACGCAGCGGAGCATGTTGGATTCTTCTATGCCATAAACACCCCTGTGTCTAATACAAAAATCGACACAATATTCGACGTCATTGCAAGATTCTTCCAGCAACCCGAGGAAGATAAGCTACAGATCGAATGCACGAAGAGTAATGCTGCAAAGGGCTTCATGCCGGCGCAGCAAACTGGTCCTCATGGCGTTGTTCGAGAGTCCTTTTCAATGGGCAATGACTATACGGAACCCGAACAAAAAGAGATCAGTACTGCAAAAGAGGGTGCTGTTTCTCTAAATCAGTGGCCAGATGAAACTTTACCAGAATTTCGGAAGGCAATTTACGCATACTGTACGTCCAAAATCCGTGAATTCTGACGTTGTACTCTAACTTACCATTCCCAGACCACGAAATGTATCCTTTTGCAAAGAAGCTCGTTCAAATCTTTGCCCTCGCCCTGGGTCTTCCCGAATATGCGTTAGATCAATACTGCTGTCTTCCCCTAACCGATATCACCATGCAATACTATCCCGTTCAATCGCACAAGACAGAACCAATGGAACTCCTGTTCCCTCACGCCGACTTCGGGACCCTCACTCTCCTCCTCCAAAACGACGTCGCTGGACTAGAAGTTCTGAACGCGAACGGGATCTGGATCCCCGCCCCTCCCATCCCGCATTCTTTCGTGGTGAACACGGGAAATTACGTCGAAGCGTGGACGAATGGGAGATGGCCGGCCACGGTACATAGAGTACACGCCAGTCTGGATAAACCTAGATTCTCGCTTCCGTTCTTTTTGTCGCCTTCATGTGATGTTGTGTTGAGCCCGCTTCAGGAGCTGTTGAAGGAGAATGAAACTCCGAGGTACGAGGAGCAGAATATTGGGCAGAGGCATGTGAAAGCTATGCTGGGGACAAGACCTTCGCACCCGATGACCAAACGGTTGAGGGAAGCGCTCAAAGAAGAGGACTGGAGATATGAGATCTTGAGTGAGCCTTCTTTGCTGGCATAGAGTGAGTACAGCGGGATGTCACGAAGGGACTGGTTTTCAGGCTACGGAAATCGATGCAGCTAGAGTACGAATTTTTGCAGTAGCAAAACACAGGACGGGACTTTATCATGTATTTTACAGTATCTGATCTTCAAGGAGTATAACGAATAACTTCATCTCATTGCCTGGGTGCCGATACTCGCTAAGTTTTAGCGAGGAAGTGGGGCTTCCATTCAGGGGTTCAAGGGGAGCATAAATGTTCGTCATTGTTTAATGAGAGTAGAACACTATTTTCTATATCAAATGAAGTCGGCACGAAGCAGTTTAAAAGCAGATCTTAGTAAAGTTGAGCCCCAGGGTCATCCCTGATCCCCTCCTTCTCCTACGCACGCTAGAGATTATGCTACATCGTCTTCTTCCCATCCCCTTCTCGCTCAAGATATGACTCAACCGCCCTCCTAATCCCCTCCTCCATACCAACCCGCGGCCGATACCCTAATCTCCTCTTCGCCTTCCCAACACCAAACGTCCTCGTCATAGTAAGGTACTTAACCATCCCCCTCTTAACCCCCGCCTCCCTCCTCCCAAAACTAAGTCCCCAAATCACCCACTCCAAAAACACCACAACCCAATAATACAAAGAAACTGACACTACCCAAACATCCTCCTTCCTAACCGGAAACCCCGCCGCAGCACCCATCGCTCTCGTAAACTCCCAAAACGGCCACGGTTCATCGTTCGTAATCACAAACGCCTCTCCATTAACCCTAATATCTTCCGGAATCGGTTCCGTTGCCGCAGATTCCCGCAACAATGCTTTCGCGGCGAGGATATGCGCATAAGCCGTACTTCCCACATAAGTAAAATCAACGAGATTCGTCCCATCCCCAATCTGGAATTTCCCGCGGCCGCGAAGGGCGTTTTCTACTATATTCGGTGTGGTCGTCAAGTCGCGCTCTCCAAAGAGCATCGCTGCGCGGACTGCGGCTGTCAAGAGGCCGTGCGAACCGTTGGATGTAAGGACCAGTTGTTCTGCTGCGGCTTTGGTGTGGGTGTAGTATTCTTTCTGCTGGGGCTCGAAACAGAGTGGTAGATTTTCGGTGGCGTTGAGTAGATCAGTGGTGTTGTCGTGGACTACTGATGAGCTTGATGTGTATATGAGGGCTTTTACGGCTTCGATTTCTTTGATGCAGTCTAGAAAGAATCGTGTGCCGTGGATGTTCTGGTCTGTCCCATCCATCAATCGGCTTTTTTCATCAACAACTTCTCTCTTATTTAAAAACTTATTTATAAAAGCTTTTTTTTCAATTTAATTTAAAGGTATTTATGTATGTTAAGAATTTATGTATAATGTATTAAATATATACTTAATTTAAAGCGTTATTCCTTTATTATTATTATTTCTTTGTTTTTAAAGCCTCGTTTTCTAAAATAATATAACTTTTAAATAAGAAAAGCTATAACTAAAAATTGTATAATACAAATATGCTTAAAAAAGTGAAAAATAAAATACATTAAAAATTTTGCTTAATATATGCATATATAAATTTATATTAATTAATAATTAGAAGTTGATGGAATGTAGCATAATTTGTTAGTCCCATTTATGAAATAAATCGATTGATGGATGGGACGGACCAGTTCACTTCGGCATATCGTTCGCGGAGGTTTCTTTGGCCGAACATTTTCGGTGAGGCGGTGTTGAATATGACGCGCGGTTTGACTTGTTGAAGAGCGGAGCGGATGTCTTGGTAAGAGGAAAGACTGCCTTCGATGTATTTGGCACTGTCGATGTGATTGGATGAGGTGTTGATATCGAATACGGTGACATCGGAAACAAACTGGCCTTCGATCAGCTGCTTGACGATATGTGTCCGAGACAGCCACAGCCTCCGATCACGAGCACGGGATCCATGAGTGCTGATGTGATGTTGACAAGTTTTTTGTTCGAGTTCTAAGAAAGATCATGATAATATGTGGGAAAGATTGTTAAGTGTTGGACGGATGTTAGTTGTTGGTAGGATCTTAGCCGTTAGCTGGTTAAAATCATGACTCTAGGACCAATCGTAGATGCATACTGCACAAAACAGGATTAGAAATTTGTTACAAAACTCAATTCAGAATGAGTTCACAGGTGCTAGAAATTTGTTGTGAGAGTGGATGCACATCATAGGTCAATCGAGGTTGGCGCTAGATGCGCGCTGGCACGTGAGTCTTCGAGCGAAAAAGAGATATTGTGTCTTTCCCGTGCAATATCACTGGTCAACTCTACTATTTCCCAACTTTAGAGTAGAGATAATATTTACAGGATAATTCTCGACGAAGTAGGAGCAGTTATGCCTGGCCTTCGAACGTGCGGATCATGGCGGGAATCGTAAATTAGCACTTCGTTTGGCCAGAATAAGCTACCCTGATACTATTCCGGAGAACATCAAACTTTTAATAAAGCAAGATTAAGGAAGTCAAATGTATTCCTGGTAATCAGTTGCAAACTCCAAAAACGCAGCAGTTAGTGTTAACTTTGTGATGTACAGCACTCACTCGCTTATTTTCTCAAGTCTGATTCTGGCACGCACATTTTTTTACAATAATACCAGGTATCAGACAGCCTAATACTACTTAGAATGCTTGAATACCGAGGTTGATACTCTAACGTCGGACTCAAATCCAAACCCGTAGAACCAGAATATTTTTACCCTGGTCCTGCTAAAAGTATCAGACCTTCAAACAAGCGAGCCAAACCAAGTCTCTCGTCTATTTCAGCACACCAGGATCCACCCCTGAGTCAGCACACTAAAGCCCGCCACAAACCGAGCCCAATTTATTAGTCGTAAGTAATCATATAAGCAATTCCAGCCCATGAAACAACTAAATGGTCGCTTAGCTCAGTTGGTTAGAGCGTGGTGCTAATAAGAGTTAACGCCAAGGTCGCGAGTTCGACCCTCGTAGTGACCAATAATCACATTATTTTTTTTTGGCTTACTTTTTTGGGGCTCGTTTTTTATGTTGTTTGAGTGACTGGTTTCATGGGATAATGGATCCAAGCAGGTATTACTCATTTACTGGCTTGTCGCTAACTTTTTCATATATATATTTCATCACCAGTGCTCAAGCATGACCTTATTCATTCAGAAAGATTGAACTTTTTGGAATCATCTTTCGCAGAACTTTGGAATTTAAAGCGAGGCTCGAATTGGCACTCCTTATAAAAAAAAAAGTAGTCATGCTCCTCCAACACCACTCCATACCAACATCTATTATAGATATCCATCCACCTCATCCATCCTCCGAGTACGTACATCGTCTCACAGCATAGAATTCCGCAGAAACATACATACATACATCTTTTCAGACAAAAGCTTTATTTAGTACACGATTTCTGGGCAGGGTCTCAATCGAGAATCGCGGTCCATCTTCGGCTGCAATCTCTAATTACCTAGCCAGGTATGCATGAAATTTGGGCTATTCGAAGGAAGATTCCGTGCTAGGTATGGGGTTCTCCGCGTCGAGTATTCGTCTACCAGTGCATGATTTTCCAGATATCGACGTGTAGTCGAGCGAGCGCGGCAATCAAGTACAACTTCTTGATCAACACATCGCAAATCTAAGTACTGTAAAGACGTACGGACGGTTTTCACTGCATTGCGAATTGTGAAGATAAAGAGTTATCAATCACTACCTAGGAAATGGAAAACGTGACGTGATGTGTGTTGTAGATAGAGATTAAAGATTGACGGGATTGATGAAGGCGACATCGGAGATACTGGAATCGGCAAGTGGGTCCTTTCTTGCCTCCGAAAACAAAAGAAAAAACTTAACCTTAAACTTAAACTAGACGTCGAGATTTCTCGGTCGGGGTTTCACTCTCTTTCACATTTTCTCTTCAAATATTCAAGACTCGAGACTGCTCAATTTTTCACTCTCTTTCACCCTTTCATGATCAAATACACAAGACAAGTGTCACGTCTCACATCACGAAGAACAAAAAGATGTAGAAGAAGGATTGCCTTAAACCAGCTATCTCAGTCTCCTACTCATTCACAAAGCAAAGCACGTTGGCTGTGTCATGACCATGGTATCATCCCGCAAAGCCCATCCATCGCTGATGTCGGCACCGCAACGCAATCCCCTCAGCGCAGCTCTTTCTCAAAAAGAGGGGTTCCCACCATCCACCATCCACATCAATATTAGGTAGTATTCGCAAAAAGAAAAACGCTAACTGTTACAAAGACATGTAAGAGCTCGACCGCAACACGTGTAAATACAAGAAAGATCTGTATTTAGACGGCAGAGGTCTCGTTATGGGTAGGCTCGACATGAGCCACCTTCTCGATGATCTCTGGGGCCAAGGTTCCCTTATCGGTCATACCCATGTCCGCCGCGAACGTGGAGTGTGGAACCCATTTGGCGGAGTTGCGAGGGTTTGTCTCTTCCATCATGCGGTCAACCTGTTCGAGTGACAGGCCCTTGGTCTCGGGGATGATGAGGTATGCGTAGACGAAGCAGGCGGTACAGAGCGAGCCCCAGACGAAGAAGACGCGAGAGCCCAGGTTGGCATCTCCGGGGTCGGTTCCAACCATGTAGGGGGTGATGACGGCGATGATGCAGTTCCAGAGCCAGTTGGAGGCGGTGGAGAGAGCGACACCACGGGATCGGATGGGGAGAGGGAAGATTTCGCCGATGAGGACCCAGGCACCTGTTGCAAAGTTAGTTCTGAATCGAATCTTGACGAGGATTTGGAAGCTTACCAGGACCCCAGGTGGTGGCGAAGAAGAAGATGTAAATGCAAATGAATGCGATTTGGGCAGAGACGGCAGAGGTGTTGTTCTTCTCGGGTCGAGCCGCAGTAACACCGACGATACCGACGATGAACTCACAGATCAACATGCCCAAGGCGCCCCAGATCAGGATTGTACGACGGCCATAACGCTCAATGATCCAGAAAGAAAGAGGGGTAGAGCAGACATTGACGAGAGTGGTGACCAAGCTGATGAGGAATGGGTTGCTAATCGTACCAAGCTCCTGGAAGAAGGTGGTGCCGAAGTAGAAGATGAAGTTGATACCAGTCCATTGTTGCATCATCTGGAGAGATGTGCCGAGAATTGTGCGTCGCAAGTTGGAAGATGGAGAGCGGAGACCACCAGTGAAACAGCTCAACCAGGTACTAAAGTAACCGCCTTGTGGGATAACGGACATCTCATACTCGTGATTGGCGACAATTTCGGCCAATTCAGCTTGGATGAGTTCTGAACCTTGCTCTTGACCACGGAGACGAGACAAGACGTTGGCGGCCTGGTCCAAGTTGCCCTTCTTGACGAAGTAACGTGGGGATTCAGGGAGGAGGAAGAGACCAACGGCAAGAATGATAGCCCAAAGCATCTGGATGGCGATTGGGATTCGGTACGAGCCGGAATCGGTGCGGTTTTGGGTGCCATAGTCGACACAAGACGCAAGCAAGATACCAATGGTGATGCAGAATTGGTAGCCTGATACAATTGCGCCGCGAACCTTCCTGGGTGCGATCTCAGACATATACAAAATAATGATGGCAGACACGAATCCGACACCAAAACCAGCAATGAGACGACCAGCCACGAGAAGACCCAGACCAGAGGAAGCGGTTTGAAGGATCACACCGATGAGGAAGATGAAGCAACCTGCGATGATGGTTGTTCGACGACCAAACCAGTCTGCGAGGTCACCAGCGATCAAGGCGCCAAAGAACGTACCAGCCGAGAGAATCGAGGTGATCAGGGACTTCTTCCAGGCGGGGAGGGTGAAGGCGTCCTTCACGGCCTTGGAAGCACCAGCGGGAGGGATGGGGATTCCGGTGTACAAGTGGATGAAGTAGTTCATGCCCATGACACCAGAAATATAACCGGAATCGAAACCGAAGAAGATACCGCCGAATGCCGCAAAGGCGCACATCATGTAGGCCTTCATGGTCACCGGAGCTTCAATGCGCGACACATCGGCCGTCGCCATCAATCCGCCGCCTGCCATTGTGAATGTGCTCTTGCGCGGATATCAGGAGTGTGTTGGGTTATGGCGGGAAAGGGAGGGATCTGTTGATTGACTCGACTATGTAGACGTCGACGCCAATGGTATGTTGTTGATGGGCGAAGAAGGAGGATTGTGGTCGAAGTTGAGAAAGTTGAGGAACCAAGGTTGAATTCAAGAAGAAGAAAAATTGCAGACGAAGGAAGGGAGGGGAGTACTTGTACTCCGGCCTGTCGAGCACGTCCCAAAGCAGACTAGGCTAATTGCACCCGTACGAGCGTTCACGTTTACTGTAAAAATGAGCATCAAGCTTGAAAGGCGAAAGGCACGGTTGCACGCGATGGCCAGGGAGCATGAACAACTTTTTTTTTCTTTCTGGCAGCTCAGGTCTAGCCGTACCATGTTCCATTCCATGATCCGCCATACAGTACATGCATGCTGTCTGTCTGTCTGTCTACATCCTACTGTACTTCTGGCCATTTTGCGGGCGATTTCCCCAAATTTGATGCCCCTGGCCCGTGCCATCCCCAGCTCGACCCGCCAACCACAGCGGCCTCCGAGCGCCCAGAACGCGCCATGGCGAAGGGCCTGAAATCCCCGCTTTACACTAACCAAGCACTAGCCGCGGTCCTGGTCGCTCACTGTGGAGGAACCTTGCAAAAGGACCGAATACAGTACAACAGGGGCTGACCGAGTTCAACAAGACCCGCCGTGACCCATTCGACGACCATGCCGGAGCTGCCCCAACGAGGAACTCAATTGAACATGCGATCCTGGACGCGCTTTGTTGCGGGCAAAGGCGAGAGGACGAGTTATGGCTGAGGTGAAGTCCAATGGAAATTCGAGACAATGTTCGCAAATGTTGCTGGAGTAAAAGTGCGTCCACCAACCAAGAAACCAAACCACGAATCCGTTACCGGGAAAGCAGCCCTTTCACCGATCATCCGACAGGCCTCGGATGCGCACCCTGCAGATGCCAATTCTTCCACGAAGACCGTCAGAATCAGCAAATCTCAGGATCATCAATGTTCCCGCATACCTGTCCAATTGTCTCTGTCTCACCCTGCAGTTTGGTTGTCTCGGCCTTACTTCCCCCTCGGCTCGCCTGTCGTCTATCCTTTCTACTGTACTGTATCTATCAATTTGAGTTTCTCGATGCAAGGCGTGCTGTCTCGAGGATAGTCTGTACAGGAACAGGTCACTTTATGGTGGGTCGAGATAACCTTACTTTACCTAGGGAGATAGAACGGGGTCTCCAGATTGGAGAATGCGGGACCCCTCCAGCACATCCCATCCCACTTCACCTCCATCTCTTGCATGCGCGATCCGAGGAGTCTCCGAGCACTTGCACTGGAGAAGATGCTTACGATGTCTTCGTACGGGAGGAATGTGCAAGATGCCGAGTGCGAGCAAGCAAGGTAACAACAACACCATCTCGTGTCACCTCTCCTCTCCTCTTCTCGAGTCCGGTCTTCTCACAAGTAAGGAAATACGATCACGAGTTCCCCTTTCCTTCAGCTACACGATCTTCTCCGCGCTTAACACTCTCCAGATTACTGGACTACGATCGTCTACCCTACTACCGGGATGCACCAATGGTGGCTCCAAAGCCGTTGTACAGCTAAGATGGAGGCCAGTGGCGGATCAGCAGGTCCCCCAAGAACCTGGAAGCTCTACCAAGTGAGGAAAAGGCTACCTAGACAACGTGGATTGGATTGGATTGTGGGGAAAACCAACCCCAAGCGACCGAGAATGCTCCGCGAAGGTGTGTTTTCCATTCCCACGGGCGATGTGGCGTATATTTTCACTGAGGAAGAGTGAAAGCCCAGCCAATGCGGCCTGCCTGCCTCTTACTGTAGTTTTCTGCTTTGTCGGGAATCTTCCTAGTACTGCACTGCACTGTAATATCGTGAGATCCAATAGACCGGTTCGAGGAAAGGGATGCAAGCATGTGTCCGTCCGACGAGTCAAGGTTACATTCCGCCGTACGAGTGAGCATGTGAGGGGTTGTTGTACAGAGGATCAAATGACAGCTCCGACGACCTGGTACCAGTACCAGATTGCTTGCTTCAGTTTCATCCGAACTCTTTGCGGATTCTTCTAGATCTATTATTGTAATTGAGTGAGTGCAATATCGACCGCGAAGATCTACATACCCGTTCTCCACGAACTCAAACTCAAATCAACCTTAAATTCGGTCTTCTCGACTCCAGACTTTTCTCACTCTATTTCTTTGCTAGCATACTCCACTCCACCTCCACATCCAACTCCACCTCACATGCTCCTCATGACATGACAGATCACTAGACGCCGACAAAGAGCCGCGCCATCGCCCGCCCAGCGTCCAGTTCCCCTCGGCTTCCAAATTTACCTCCACCACCATTCGCGTTCTAGAACACAGCACCATCTCAGCCTCATAACGCTCTATTACGAAATATCAACCTCAAGTTTCACGAAAATCTCACGAAAGATTTTCAAAACTAACAATTTTTCTTTCTCATTCTCATTTTTCATTTTGATGTTGGGTTTTTTTTTTTTTTTTTCCAACGCTACGAAGCCGGTTAACTACCGAACACAAATGAATCCCGATTCCCGACAAACAGAAAATGTTGGTGTGTAGGTACTTACCTAGGTACAGTAGCAGCGCCGCAGGGTACATGGGTACAGTGCCCGCGTGCGTGCGTGCGACGGGCGCTATGAAAGGAGGCCGAGCTTTTGGTTTTAAAAGTAGAGTGGGTTTACGGAGGATATTCTCCGTGTTTTGTTTTGTTTCCATTTATTTCCCACGGTATCGAGGAATCGAAAAGTTTCGAACTTCGAAACAAAAAATTCGTTTTTTATGGAGGGAAGGAGGATTTCGTCCATGGCGCCCACCACCCGCGATCACGAGCAGCTGTTCCGTTCCCCGCAACTGATCCAAGCGCCCAGCGAATCGCGTGGGTGTGGAAACGCCAGCATCGTGGTGGTGCTGGTGGTGCTGTGCCGTGAAGCCGTTATGTGGTGATGTGGCGTTTGAGGGCGGCTTGGCTGGCGGGTGATTGATTGATTGATTGATTGTGGAGGGATGGGTGCGAGAGGAGGGATGATGCGATGGTGGAGAGGTGAGTGAGTGAGTGAGCCCCGGAGTCTGGGGTGGGTTGAAGATGGTGGAGAAAATGAGGACGGATAAGCGTCGTTGTCATTTTGTTGGGTGTTGAAATTGTTTTCAATTTTGATATCGATTCGCAGTGTTTTTTCGTGGTTTTTACTTGCAATCCGTGAGGTATTTGGTTTAATTGTGCTTGAATGAAGTATGACTCGTTATTCTTTCACCGAAGCGTGGACGTGGTGGTGCCAATGCGCCTGGAATAGGCAGGAGCGAGCGTCGTCGACCAGATGGAGAAAGAAACCCACTGAAATGGCGGATTACGGCTGACCGTTAATCAGAATGCTCGTTTTTTGTGTTTTGTCAAGTAACTCATTAAAAAGAAGGATTTGTCTGGCAATAGCAAGAAAAGAGTAATTTGTCTAGCAGTTGTGAGTAAGTCAAGTCACCTTACCCAGCTATTTATTGCGGCTCACTTATTGCTAGCCACTTCACTATTCCTACTTCTTCACCTCAGTACTCTTAATTTTAGACTGTTTACTTCAGACGCCTCGTTACTATAGCTTAGCTTACCTAAGTGCTGCTGTAAGTGAGTGATTCTGATTTGAAAGTACTATCGGGGCGTTCATTGTAGCCTTTGTCATTTTCACAAAGCAGAAATCGTAGTCAATGAAGCAAGTACTAAGTAGTGCAAAAAGCTTTGTCGGGACAACAAGGGTGTTGTACATGCTTGTCCAGTTAATCAAAGACACAATGCCAATAAAAATTTGCTTGACAAAGAATGAAGCGTATTCAAGAAGATAACGCTATTGTTGAATCATATAGGATTCCCACCTACGGCTGTCCTTACCACATAAACAAGAAGAGCTTCTTGAGTATAAGTGTTTGGGTTTTGCTTGGAAGAGAGAGATTATACTCGCAACAAACTTCAACAATCATCAAAACTTCCTCAAAAACTACAAAAACTTCAACTCAACGCCTGAAACCAACAATCTTAAAGATGTCTTCCTCTTACAATGACTCATTCCGAAAATTCTGTACCTCTTACAGCTACAGCTTCGTCTTCGATCAAAAGCTCGATAACCAAAACGCGTTTTGGGAGTTCTGCTTTGACCTTCTTAAAGAATTTCCCGACGACATCTTCACAGATGCAGGTGAGGAGGAAGAGGAGGTAGTTCCTCAATGGCTCCTTGACATCAGATCTCAGTGGTCAAATAAAGTCGAGAAGAAGATGGCTTGTCCTGCTAAGTGTACCTTGTGCTCCTGGGCAAGCGTCCACACGGTCGAAGAAGCACTCGCGTACGAAAAGGACCTAGAACTATTTCGAGAGGAGCAATTTTACGAATCCGTGCTCATTAGTGAGCGTCTAGCTATGATCTTACTCCATGATCGCACAGCAGACAGGCTAGCGACCATGGACCCAGCGGATCTAGCCGAGTACAGAAGATACGAATGGACGCTCTCCATAGAAGCAAGAGACACAAAGGACAGGATTCAGGATTTCAACGACCGGATCTTAGAACTAAAATCCAAGATCAAACCTATCACCAACGCATCAGATCCTACCTATTACTGTCTCCGCCGAGAGCTGATGCTGAACATCCACTTCCGAGCGGAGCTCGAATACAAGACCCGTTCATGGCTCCGAAGGGCAGGAGGACCCGGGCTCGTCCTCATAAGTCCCGCGGGACAAGCACTACTGGACGACATCCACGAGCTCTTGCGTCCGATCAAAGACTCGCTGGATACGCTCGATAGTTGTATCCGGGCCGCGTTCCACGAGAATCAGGATCCAGATGACTGGCGCCCTAATACTCGCGCCAAGTTCTTCCTGGGTGGCCACTCGCGGTGGAGCTGTCGGGGTGAGGAGAGAGGGACGTGTAGAATTATGGAGTTGCTGCAGCAAGAATTCGATGAGCAGGATCGTTGGGATATGGATTATCCGTAGTTTTTTGTCCCTGAACTGATAAATACTAGATGTGCTCTTCTTTTCTTCCTCCTCCCCCATTAAACAACCTTCTCGTCCTCTATCAAGGCGAGATTTATCTCTTTTGTAGCCAAACAATAAACTGAAACTCAAACTCAAACTTTTCCATATGTTATGCCACAATGCTCCTGATACTTGCGTGCAATCTTTTCTTCTTTTTCCGTCTCTAAAGTCACATTCATAATTCAAGTAATTTCCTTAACCGCCTGCTCAGACTAGCCCCCTACGTCTGAGATTGTTCCTCGAAAGAGATTTTGAGTCTCGGTGGCAACTCTACTTGGATGCCACGTAACACAAAACCACTCGCTACCTAGGTCCTCCCAGTGAATCTGTAAGTGGTTGAATACCCAGGAGTAGACATTATTGTTTCACAGCGGTGTCTCGTATCGATTCGGAGATTGTAGATTATCATAAAGTGAGATAAATAACTCGACTTATGTATAGCTCGACTTTGAACTCGATTGTAGACAACAAATAGCAAACGTACAATACACAACGATGGATTTCATCTTAGAGAGAAGGTTCTTTCCATGCCGACTTGACTCTTGAAGATCGTCCCTTTTTCTAAATAGCCCAAGATTCTTAAAGATTATTCACGGTTTATCATATAAACTCTAGAACAATATTGTTGTTTCCTCCTTCTTCCTCTGTTCATTGAATCAATGCTTGTCTCTTCAGTGATGCGAAGCTTTCATTTCCATCCCTCCTTTCCATCCTTACTTTACATGTCGAAATTTTTTATATTGCTACCCTCGTTAAATTCTGAATTCCGTTAGTCTCAAAATGATTCCACTAGAGTAATTTTTTGAATTACATGATTACTCGAAATTGTTTGAAGCAGATCGGAGACCTAACTTTTGACATAGACTTCTACGCTCCCACGACTTTCTTCAGTCAATATGCTGATTTGAACTCCGTAAGTACGATACAATGTATGCATTCCTGCTGCCCTGACCCTGAACCCCCTGAATAACAGCCCCACTTCCTCGCTAAGCACTAGCGTCTTCGCTAAATCGTGACCTCATCCATCTTCAACCTCCCCCAATTCATCTCCCTCCACCACGAAATCAAACAACATGACATCAGAACCTCACCACCATGAGCACGAAGTCCCTCTCGAAGGCAAGAATCCCATAAAATGCATCACAAGCTCTCCTTCTCCAAGTCCACCCTTACCAGCATTAATCTTCACCCACGGCGCAGGCGGAAATCTCCACTCAGACGGGATCCTCAATTTCCGAACCGGCTTCGCGAGACATAGTCCTATAACATGTTTCCAAGGTTCGATGAACCTTCCTTCGCGAGTTAAGATGTTCGATGCTGTGATCTCGCATCAAGAGGTACCGATTACGGCGGTGGGGGGACGAAGCATGGGAGCACGTGCTGCTGTTATGGCTGCGAAGGAGAGGCCGGAAATTAAGTTCTTGGTGTTGGTGAGCTATCCGTTGCATACGGGGAAGGGCGATGTTAGGGATGAGATTTTGATGGAGATTGATGAGGAGGTGAAGGTTTTGTTTGTGATTGGGGATAGGGATAGTATGTGTGATTTGGGAAGACTGGAGGAAGTGAGGGCAAAGATGAAAGCGAGGACTTGGCTGGTGAAGGTCGAGGGGGCAGATCATGGCATGACTGTCAAGCCGAAGGTTGGGACGAAGGCGGTGGGAGAGTTGACTGGGAAAGTGGTCGCTGACTGGTTGGGTATGGAAGAGGGGTTAGAGGTGAAAAGCAAAAGTTCTAGGATCTGGTGGGACGAAGAAGAGGAAGGAGAGAAGCGGAGTGGTTGGGAGGAAGGTCCTCCTGCCGAGGAGCCCCTGAAAAAGGATCAGAAGGTCAAGAAAGATGTCAGCGAAAAGTCCAGAAAGATAACCAAGAAGCCGAGAGGGTCGAACGAAGAGACAGAACAAGAAGAAGCAGGAGAGGAGTCTGAGACAGACATGAAGCGAAGAAGCAAGAGGGCACGGAAGACGTCCACGGTAAACGAAGAGGCAAAGAAGCCTGCTCGAAAACGACGGAAAGTATGATGCCAATGTAAAATTCACATCTATTTTCACACCAGAAATCGCCGAATCAAAGAGTACATGAGATCAAGGGACAATGCTGGTATGCGGATTTAAGTTCTGTATAAACAAACTCATGCGTATATCTTCCATCGAGACGGTACTACAGCTGCTAGCTCGACCACGCCCTCGGGGACAGTCGATATTGGAGACATCGTGCTGATGGGAGACAGATCTAGCTCAACAAGCCCATCATCAATCTTGATGCCCTCCACCTCTGCCAATGACCACTCTTTCAGAGCTTTTGGGAAATCTAACTTTTTTCCCTGAAACAAATCGATCGTGTCTGACATGATCACGTACTGATTGTCTTCGATCACCCCTTACTAAGTGTGTTTCGAGGATTGGATCGTTCCGGAAAGGTCTCAGTGCGATCAACGATCGAGCATATGCGTTGCGAATAGTTGCGTTCCAGCAGTCCTGAGTGTGGGCTTCTTTCAAGTATTCGTATGCGAGCTCGAAGCTTTTGCGCTGGCTGGCTTCGGTGCCAAGCTGGAGGTGGAACCATCCTCTTCGATAGTAGTAGAGAGCATCACGTATCTGTTGAGCCGTCTCGGTACACTCGCAGGAGCTCTTATAATTCCACTGAAGGATGAGTTTGTTTCCTTTTGCCCATTTGGTAAGCAGCAGACGTAGCGGCTGCTCGAATTTTGAGTGCAGCCGACAATAAATCTGTCCATCATCGAGTATAAGCACGTACTCGGTCGGGTGCTGGTGGTTCATGACAAGTGTCTGTTGGTTGTAAGCGCTTTTCGTCATGGATTCTACTCATCAGGTTGACATACCTTGATGTATGGCTTTTTCTTTCCCAAAGTCTGAAGCACACTTTCAAGTTCATCAGGTAGCTCTCCGCCCCAGTCTACAGAATGGTCTTTTCCACCTTGCAATACCCAACCTCCCTTGGAATTCACTGCGACATTCTGGATTTTGGTCTTCTCGTCTCCATATCCGTGTCGACAAATCAGGGTCTGTAAAGATGCCTCCAAAGTGCGTGGCAAGTTGGCCCATTGATATAGCTTGAGCCGAGGGAGATCTACGAAGAATGACCCTGGAGCAGGCCCGAAACTGGCTATCACCTCAAGAGGTGTCTCGGAAAACTTCTGCGCATCTAGGACTGCAACCTTACGGAGCTTACTCGTTTCGGCCCAGATCACTGCGCTCTGTTGTACAGGGGTGATCTCAACTTTCCTGTTCGTGCATTGTCCTGTATGAGACAAGAAATCGTGACCACGGATCTTATGCAGATAGTGCTTCGAATATGCGAGCTTGTTGAAGTCATCTTGAAACTTCTGAGGCTTGCGAAAGCTGTGAGTGTGTTCTTGTCAGCCTCTTGGTCTTGAACCACTTCCTTCGACATTTTGGTGTGCTCACAAGGTCGTCTCACTAGCCTCGAGTGGATATGTGGAAGGCAGTGTCTTTGTCAGAGATGCCACATAGTTATGCTTAGAGCCTAAGAGCGCGATCTCGAAAGAGAATGACATTTTCGTTGCCCCACTGTCGGGGCTAGATTGATGATCTGAGCTTAGATATGGGAACGGTCAAATCCTCAGCTCTGTCGACATTATGGGGTTCGCGCCCGACTTCTGTCTCTGTCAAAACACATGTCTCAAATCAGACATCTGCGCATGACTGGACAAGAATGGTTCATTTGCTTGATAGATTAAGAAACACCCACGACCGAATTCGGCCCTAGCGAGCGCCTTTGTACAGCAAGCCATCCTGTGATTGGAGCGATTTCGTGATTTCGGGTCCTGCAATATTGTTGCGCGCTTTCTTTCACAACGACGTTGAGAGACCCGTGGAAATTTTACCTTGGCTACAGGCTCCGCCCCAGACAATAGTCATATTGGGTAATCTCAGTTTTTGACGTTGTACGAATTATGGTCATTTCTTTGATTCATAACTGTAGGCTATGGCAGCAGATGTCCCAACCTTCTTGTCCAAAGTTTCGACTCGTCGAACGAAGCTTGCAGACTCTGACCATAAGCTGCGCCTTCTGGAGCCATTCTTATCCCTGACATAGATTGTTAGGATCTGCGCCGACCCACGGAATGGTGAAACAATTTCTCACAGCTCGCCTTCAGAGCCTGAAACCGACGAATGAGGGCGCCTCTCCATTCGCCCTTCTTGCTAAATTATCGACTCGACAATGGCAGTACCTTTTTGTGAGTGCAGAAGAACATTTTGAGAATATGTGCTGACCGGCTTCAAGATAGGCTTTCTAGCCTGGACATGGGACGCCTTCGACTTCTATTCAATCTCGACCGTGATCCCCCAACTGACGACGTATTTTGGGCAAAGTCCAGATGCCATGACCCTTGGACTTACAATATCGCTCATTCCACGTTTCCTAGGTGCTGCTCTTCGGAATCGTGTCTGATAGATATGGAAGAAAATGGCCATTCGTGATCAATTGCCTCCTGCTCAGCATCCTGGAACTATGTCTTGCGTTTTGTAAGACATACACACCATTCATCGTTTGTCGTGCCCTGTTTGGACTCGCAATGGGGGGGTATGTATGGCAATGCCACCGCTACGGCGTTGGAGGATTGTCCTGAGCCTGCTAGAGGATTGGTTGCGGGTTGCTATCAGGCAGGATATCCTATGGGCTTCTTATTTGCAACGGCTTTATGGAGAGCGTTTGACCAGCAGCAAGAAGGGGACTGGAAACATCTCTTCTACTTTGCCGCTTGTCCTCCGCTCCTGCTTATTGCGTTTCGAATCTACCTTCCAGAGACGAATTTCTTCGAACACAGGATCAGACCACGGAATAACGGGGGAAATATTTTCGGCTTCATGGTTGCTGTTAATGAGGCGATAAAGAGGCATTGGAAGCGAATCATTTACCTCATTGCTTTCATGTTTGGATGCACTTTCCTTGTAAGATCTCAAAAACATGGAGAATATACAAGCTGACCTTGGAAATAGTCGCATGGCAGCGAAGACGTGTTTCCTCTAATGCTCACCAGTCAGTATGGCTACTCAGCAAACGAGGTTACAGCGACTCAGAGTGTAGCGTATATTGGAGCTGTGATCGGCTCGCTAGTCGTAGGCTTTGGCAGTCAGATTATCGGTCGACGTTTCTCCATCATCGTTGCTTGTATAGCGGGCGCTATGTTGATCTATCCGTACTGCTTCGTTTCCGGTCCGGGTCTCTATCCAGTTGTGTTTCTTGTACAATTCATCATCCAGGGAATCTTCGGCATCGTTTCCATGCATCTCATCGAACTTTCTCCTCCGGCATTTAGGACTTTTGTTGTTGGTACTTCGTATAATCTTGGGGTTTTGTTAGCTTCGTGGGTTCCGGTCGTCGAGACGTTTGTTGGTGAGAAGAGGAAAGACACAAATGAGAGTGCGACTAGAGGCTATCAGTATAGCACTGTGATGGCTGCTTTGCTGAGTTGTGCGTTTCTGTATACTATCATTGTCACTTTTCTCGGGCCCGAGAACAGAGATGCTGAGGACGATGAAGATTCGGGACGTGATGGAGTTAGTATACATTTCATGGTGGAAGAAGCATCTTGAAGGATCGGTGGGTAAAGAGAAGTAAGGGAGTTGCTTAGAAGTGAGGGGATAATAGCACCTGAGCGCCACTTTCAATTTTGACACAAGTCACGTGCCAGTACAAGTACAGTTTCCCAACGTGATACTTGCAGGAGTTGTTCCTCCCAAGTTCCCACTTATGAAAACCACTAAGACAGCTGCATATGCTGCTGTAGCAGCAAATACCTGGTCTCGTCTCGCGTTGGTCAAAAGTCCAACGCACGCAGCAAATAGCACAGTCCATGCGCTGAGCATTCCTAATAATGCCTTGTCACTCTTCACAACGTAAAGACTTATTATCGATCCGAATAGCAATACAGCGGCGAGGATGGTGCTCAGTATGGCTATGAAGCGAGCGATAGCAGCTTCTGAGGTGTATGTTGTTCGGCCATCTGGAGAAGCTGTTTGGAAGAAGACTCCGAAATTGTGATGGCTAAGTTGTCAGTCAGCATACCATTCTTTATAGGTCTTCAAGAAGAGCAAAACAACTCATAATAATTGTCTATACACATATCTACAGAGTAGCAACATAACCGGGATGGGATTCCCAGTTAGCAACTCACATGAAGCTGGAAAATCGATCTTGGTCCGCTGGAACTCGCAAAGCCACGAGGTCATGAGGGTCAGAAAAGATGTTTGAAGATGCGCCCCAAAGCTGTGCAGCACGATCTCCATCTTTAGTCCCTGCAGAATTATTGAAGAACCAATTTCGGAGAGCTCTCAACGTGCTCTTCGATGCTAGAGGAGATTGAAGAAGTAATCGGTGGGCAGCTAGAGCTGCATCTATGATCAAATCAGCCATCAAGCGATTGTGATCCAATTCGAGACAAATCTTACGATATTTCTCCAGTTTTTCCCTGATCTTCATAACGAGCTCCATCTTCTCTTTCTCTCTTGCTCTTACTTCCGTTCCATTAACACCATTTGCATGAATCTCAAAGCTCCTCCAGTCCCGTTGACATGCCTCCGACGTCTTATCATTTGCGACTCTATCCTCATCGTCAAGTTGCTTGAGATCGTCCTCAAGCTCTGCGAGCTCAGCCTGATAAAACAGCAAATTTCGCGCCGAGAGCTCATCAAAACGTCTATAGATAGTCGTTGTCTTGTCGCTATCGCTATTGATCTTGGCTGCAACAAGTGCGAAGCCTCGAATGGGGCTCACATTCCTGTCTGCAAGCTCAATATCCGGACTTGACATTACGGAATATATTTGAGGACGCAAGATTTTGATGCCAGTTGAAACTTTCAGTGCCGCGATTGGCACGATAAGAGCGAGGCTGCGGGAGGAGTCAACCTTGCAGTATGCCTGCAGGCACGGACCGCTAGAGGCTGACTTTTTTCCACTGCCGGTTTGCTTTCTACAACTGAAAACTCTTTTTTAGACCACAAATCCTCTCTACAAGTCTTTCAATATACTGTTGAGCATCAGAAGTTCAGAACAAAAGTGATGTCAGGCGACAAGCTAATAGTCTCGTCATTTGCTGATAAGTCAATCTAGCACAGAGAGCTATAGCAGGTCGAATGATATAGCAGCCTTGGAAACTGTTGCATGTTGCGAGCAGCATGGAACTCGATGACAAGCTGAAGCATGGTCCGGGGCCTGACCCAACGCTCACTAAATGTCGACTACGCACATATCATCCCGCAGCCAGCACGTTTCTGGATCTAGTTGATGATCCAACTGGACACGAGTGGCAAGGCGCGCAGAGGTTCAAATTGCGAGCAGGAACTCGTAAAGCCTCAACCAAACTTATTCAAGAGCCATCCGACTTACGTGCCGCGCTTCAGGAAATACACAGTGTGCCCCCTATCACCGATTGGCCGGCTGCTCAATACGTCAACGATACAGACCAGCAACTCGATGCAATTTATCAGTTGATGAATCCTCCTTCACATCTCGGGAATGTTGAATTGTGGAACAACGACCGCACGACCCTCTGGGAGGGAGGTGCGCATGGGTCGGATGCGCCTTTAACACATATATCTCGACGCAAGCGTCTCGACATCGCTCTTGAGAGCATGAAAAATCGTAGATTGCGGTCACGATCCCAGCTCAAGCCAAACCGCTTTTATGAGGATCGAATCACCATTCCACAAGGAGCAAAACACGCACAAAAGCGTACATATTCAAAAGCAACCGACTTTAAGCGTAAAGCCATCCAGCTTCTCATCAAAGGAAAGATTTGTTCCGCACGGCCAGACACAGGGTCAGATCGGAACATCATAACAGAAGCATTCGCAAAGGAACACAACATCAAGATCCAGCAACGAGAAGAGGACAAAGACGTGTTTGTTGTAGGCAATGGCCAATATACCAGATCTGTCGGCAAAGCACTTGTTTCTTGTGCACTTTTTGGAGGCTCCGAGTCCGAACAGTCTCTCTGGTTCCACGTGATGGCCAAGTGCTCGGCGCCGATTATCATGGGCCGAGAATTCCTTCGAAAGATACGCTTGTACACTGAAAATACGCACCTATTGGTAGATTAACCCTTGTCGTTTGGAAGATTCCCAAGCTTCAAGTGGATCGGATCGCCGAAAGGAACGATGGAGTTCTCAGCAGATGGGAGTCCCTTGATAGCGGGTGTTGACACAGGATCCGACCTTGACTTGATGTCCGTTGGCTGTGCGCTGAAGAACAACTTCCCCATCGACAGGAGTAGACGAACACAGGTCTTGCTAGCAGACGAGAGTGTTGTTGAAACAGTTGGCCAAGTCAACATAGAATCCATCCAGCTCCCCGGCTTCGACAACTTCGAAATGTCGTTCCACGTTCTACCAAATCTGGTTTGTGATGTAGTATTCGGCGAGGAATTCTTGGAACAGATGAACGCCTTCAATACCTGTAATATTAAAGATGCTGAGGAGACTTGGGACCCTTTTGCGCTTTGTCTGTTCGTCAATCTCGGACCGATCCAGTCTTTCTTGAGTAGCATAACCAACTTCAGACGAAGCAGACGACAGCGGAAAGAGTCTTTAGGATCACATCAGAGGACTGTTGCGCGGTCAGAACACCGGGCCGAACTTGAGGATGAAATGTATCATCGTCATCAAGCCGATCGACTGATTGACAAGCTGAGAGACAAAACCCAAGCAGCGAGTGAAAGAAGGAAAGAAATTGAGAGACGACGTGGATTCGAAAACAAGCATAATGATTGTGTCTATTGTATGAGCGCCACCATTTCCGATTCGCACATTACCCATGATTTCAGCAATGGGGCAACATGAAACTGGGTCCTCATTCCAGGACGGTAACCCAAACACATCGGTCGAGTGTAGAACATGATCTCGACAATTTGACAAGCTTGCGGGGAACCGGGCAGGAAAAGGAACTCAGCGAAAGCAGAAGCAAGGACTGGACAGTAACTGGTTTCATAGATCCATGACAATGCTCGGGGGAAGAATGGACACTAGTCCTGCGGAAGGGCGCAAATTTCACAGGTTTCCTTACTTATCGATAACCAACAATCGTCGGCATGGCATCATTTGAAGAGAAACGATGTACTTTGGATAGACAGTAATCTTGATTCATACTCCCAAAAATGCCCACATAACGCCACACATGCCATCTCTCCATGCTACCAACGCCAAACCTCCTCCTATGACCTTAACCTTCCCCTGTCCAGATATTTATATCTTCATTATATACGTGGTTCGTACTCATGACGCTGAAAACGCATCATGGATAGCATCGCCTTCTTCGGGAGAGACAAACATTTCTAGCATCTCCAAGGCACAAGCTGGGACGTCTGGATCGATGCCTGCTTCTAGAACAAAGTTGTCTTCTGAGAAGTGTAGTCGAGATAAGCAGAGCAGGTATTTTTGAGAGCCGCCTGGGATGTGGGAAAGCTTTTTTTGCATGTCGATGTCTTCGTATCTTGTTACGAGATGGTATAATAATCGCATGGCCAGACTGATCAACCGTGCACTGGATTTGGTCGGTTAGGGGGGTGCCAAAAGAGGAAAAATTCGTAATGATTCGTACCTTTCTTGACTGTCCGACTTGTAGTCGTACAAATTGTCCAGCTGGTCGCTAATGAAGCTGACAAAACCACCGAGAGCATCACGATGCGTGACTATTGCCTTGCAGACAACAGGAGATCGTGTCATACTTGTCAATAACTGCAGAACGTGAAGACGTAGCCTGTAGCGTTGACTGGGGCACATTTTTTCATTAGTGTTCGGCATTAGGATTACACCATTGAGGTGATACATCAGACGTTCTAGGATTAATGTGTCCTGAAGTGTTTGCTCTTCCCCTCCAACTACAGCGGCGAAGCCTTCTTTTGTCACGCTAGTCGACAATAGCTTAAGCATTGTCAGGTATTCTTCCTCTGGCTGATTAGTGCTAAGCATGACGAGGCCAAATTTCCATTGAATTTGTTTCCAGAAGCGTTTCATATCTGCTGGTTCAGACATACATCCCTGGGCAGTGATGTAGAGGAGGTGCATAATTGGAGTTGTATCGATGTCTTTGGCGTACGCTTCCAGTTCAATGGTATCTTTAAATCGAGGTATCGAGACAGCATCAACTGTTTCTTGAATGAGCGGAAGAAGCTGGTCAACAACATTAGGCGCAATAGATGAAGTATGTAGTTCCAGGGCAAAAGTAAGCATATCGATCAGATAATGAATCGGATCGACCTGTCTCGTATTAGCTTTGCATGAGAGGTAAAGCTAACACATACATATTTTTCCGCCATACACTTTTTCCACAAGGATATGAGAAAGATACAAAAATCTACAGACAAGTCCTTTGACAACTTCTTCAGCCCAAGACTTGGAATCTCGCCCAAAATTAGGGATTGAAACGAATCCCTAGGTGCTGAGGGGAAGGCGTATTTCCCCAATTCCTCCAAGGTTCGTAAGTGATTAGCGTCAATCCTATGATCTAACATAGTCCCAATAAACTGGTCGTGTTAATTAGTAACTCACGTTGAAGGGTGTAAATAAAGTAGACTTACATCAAACCGGCCATCTTGAATAAAGAGTTTCGCCAGAATTTCTTCATCCAGAGCCGAAGCTCTCGTCTCAATAGCTTGTGCTTCAGGCTGTATGACTTCTAATGCACCAGCTGGACTTTCCACGGCCTTACGTTTTCGCTTGCCTGGCTTAGAAGGGGAACCTGGATTTCGCTTCTGGAATCTCAGAGGAGAGATTCTCGAGGGAGAAATGATCTCTATCTCATCGTCGTCAAATCCATCTCTATACGGAAGCGCTTTCTTCTTCTTGGGTGTTGTGAGAGTCCCCGCTCCATCCTTCTTCTCCGCTTCCCTGGCCTTATTCAGCCGCCGTACCCTCTCCGACTCTTCAGCAAGATCCCGTCTGATGAAGTCTCGTTCTGTAACAGCGTGCTTTTCCGCATTGCGCGCAGATTCAAGAGCATGCTGCTGTTTTACCAATGTTTCCTCATTATGCTTTCGAAGAGAGGTGAGCTGTCTCTCATACTCTTTGACAGTCGTTTCTTGCTTGCTCCGGACGATGGAGATCTCTCCCGCCTTCGCTTTCAGTTGCTCGTTAAGAGCATTGCGCTCTTTGAGTACCTGGATCCTATCAGTATTGTATAATATTTCTTCAGCAATTACATTACCTCCTCAAGCTGCTTCTGCAAGTTTTCTACTTTGATGTCCGATGTAGCGGAAGCCTGACTGCCCTGCTGCGCAACCACTGAATCGTTGAGGGGAATAGGAATTGATGGGCGGTTATATATTGTCTCATTGAATTGAGGCGGGGTAGGCCTTGATCGATTTGTAAGTTGGCTTATCGAATTCGAATTGTTGATAGTTCCGTAGCGCTGCTGTCGGAACTGTTGTTGCTGTGTGACTTGCCCCGGAATATGACGATGAAATGGGACAATGGCGGGCGTACTCCTAGACTCATCGATTACTATCTCCTCGTCGATATCAAGGTCATCGAATTCATCTCCGTAGTCTGACGAAGGGGCGGGCACTTTCGCTCGAGCTGCTTGAGTTTGCGCCTGCGTAAACTGGATGGCATTGTTCTCGAGCTCTACCAATTCGTTGTCGGGAAGGGCATCGAGATCATCGTCGTCATATTCATCGTCCTCGTCGTGACCAGCCATCCCATCCGATCTGCATGGACAAGCAGCATTGGCAGTTTGCGATGTTCGCTTCGAGTTGGACGCGTCGCGAGTATCGAAGTCCTCAGTCACATCCAAATTCTGCCACCGCCTTCGGGGCCGGGGATGTAATAGTCCGCCAGCAGATTCAGATTCATGCAGCACAAGACAAATTGCTGTACGCGAACGCGGCGGAAGTTGTCCTTCGGGATAAATAATCTTGCAAACAATTATGTGTCTTTTCGAGATTCGTCCTCTCATACATTTCTCTGTTTTTCGTTGAAGGGAAAGGTCCTGTTCAATTCCGCCAAGCCAAGTACACGCGACTTTCACAAGCTTGAGAGAGACCACCCCTAATTTTTGCTATTGAGGCTGCCCAGATACGTCAGCGAGTGAGGCCAACGAAGATATCCACCGACTTCTTTTGCGCGACAATCAACCGCCATCACTCAAACCCGATCCGACTTATCTTCTACCAGTCCTTCCCGTGTTGAATTTCTGAACAACTGACTCCGCGCCGGCTCTATGATCGTGGGCGAACGGGTATAATCAAGCGTCTTCAGTCTTGGCGCGCCCAGAATCTGCAAACCAAGGAACAAGCGGAACAACAAGGAAATTCTCCCCCTTTACTCTTCATAGCAGAGGATTAATACAATGGCCAAACCACGTCGCGGCGTCAAGTTCAATCACAGGAATGGACACAGTTCAGGAACAGATGGGCGGAGGAGTAGCTTTTCAGACATCAGCGAAGCGGCATCAGAGCCAGGTTCTCCTGACAAAACTACAAATGGGGGTGACACGATCGTGGTGGTGAGATATAATCTTCCCCGATGATTGAGAGCTCCAGCTAATAGAGTGCGACTAGCAGCAACCCGGAATCTCCGAATATGAGAAGAAGAAGCAAACTTTCCTCACACGAGCATTATGGACCTTTATCATGATCGGCGTATTTTTTGGAGCAATGTTCATGGGACATATCTACATCATAGCGATTGTGACCGCTGTACAAATCATCTCTTTCAAAGAGGTTATTGCTATAGCGAACGTCCCTAGTCGAGCTCGGCGATTACGGTTTACAAAAGCTCTCAACTGGTACTGGCTGGCAACGACTATGTACTTCCTCTACGGAGAAAGTGTGATATACTATTTCAAGCATATTGTCCTGGTTGACAAAGTCCTCTTGCCGTTTGCAACTCATCACAGGTTTATAAGCTTCATGCTCTACATTATTGGTAAGGTGTTCCAGATTTGACAACAGGCAAACACTAATATAACCAGGATTTGTCTTCTTTGTTGCTTCACTGCAAGCCGGACACTATCGATTCCAATTCACTCAGTTCGCATGGACCCATATTGCGCTGTATCTGATTGTAGTGCAAGCACACTTCATTATGAACAATGTATTCGAAGGGATGATCTGGTTCTTCCTCCCTGTTTCCCTGGTCATTTGCAACGATATCTTTGCATACATCTGTGGAATTACCTTCGGTCGCACTCAGCTGATTAAGTTGTCCCCCAAGAAGACAGTTGAAGGATTCGTGGGTGCTTGGATTCTTACTGTTTTATTTGGGATTGGCATGACCAACGTGCTCATGCGGTACAAGTACTTCATCTGCCCTGTGAATGTAGGTCAATTTCTCTATGATCTTAAGGTCGGACTAATGGTGATCAGGACCTGGGCGCAAACATGTGGACCGGACTTGAATGTGTTCCAAATCCAGTCTTCACTCCTCATATCTACCACCTCCCTATTTGGTTCCCGATTCACAAATCCTTCTCTATGACTCCTATGCAAGTCCACATCCTTGTTTTCGCGACCTTCGCCTCCCTCATTGCTCCTTTTGGTGGATTCTTTGCCTCTGGCCTCAAACGTACTTTCAAAATCAAGGACTTTGGTGACTCCATACCTGGTCACGGCGGTATGACGGATCGTATGGATTGTCAATTCATCATGGGTTTCTTCGCGTACATGTACTACCACAGTTTCATCGCAGTCTACAAAGTGTCTCTTGGTGGAGTCATTGAGACGGCTATCACCGGATTGACTCCAGAAGAACAGATGGAACTCGTAAAGGGTATCAGCAAGCATCTTTTCAATCAAGGTGTAATTGCTGAAGGGGTGAGTCTTACCGTGGAATGCAAGCAAGATCCTCGCTAACCACCTGATAGGTCCTGGAGTGTTTGAACGGAGCAGTAAGAAGGAGATGATGAAAAGTTCTTGCATTACGATTTACGAGTTTCCATTTGCGCTGGTTGACCTGTATAATACCCTTACCTTCTGTCCATATGCAAACCACGCGTTTGGATCCTTCTTTGTCGATGGTGGTCAGCAACTTGCAAAAATATATCATACGGGCCAGGCTCAAAATTCACTATCCGAGGTTGTAAGTGGGTACAGGGTGCATGACGATTTCCCACGTCGGATTGTTTCTGGCGATTCTTAATGGCAATGAAAAGTATCCGAGCAAGGAATAGCTTGCTCTATTAGGACATGTCTAATGATCATCTCATCCATGGTGCCTCACGTGACTCTGGATACACCAGAGAAAACGACTCGGAAGGATGTAAGTATAGGTTTCGCTAGGCGTGGCGTTCTATCATTATATCTCTTGTAGTGTTTCTGGCTCGTTTTCTCTGATTCGCTTCCATCTAAGTGGTCGATGTAGAGATTTAACCATGCGCTCAATGATGACGATCATTAGCAGCATCTAATGCATTTTCGCCTGGAGAGGAGCGAAGCTGCGACTAATTGGGTCCATAGACGTTCATTCCTTTTCGCAGTTGGGTCATTGTGTTTTGTATTTGGTACGGAATCATTTCTGGATGTCGAGGTGCGCCAGTCCGTGCTTGCCCTTTACGTCGCCGCTCCTACTTTTATGCCATCATAAACTTCTCGTCTGCAGTCTTCACCCTCCGGAAACATCGACACTGCAAACATGCACAGCGAAAAAAATCATCAATCAAGTACGGCAAAATAGTCGTAGATGAACAAAATGTTACTCTGCCATCTTTCTCTACCATTCTTCATCTCAGTGTTGGCGGCAAGTGTAGCACCACTGCAGCCCATACACTACACCATTTCTCGACGCGGCGGAAGCTTCCCAGCACCAGATACAGCGAATCTGACTTATTTATTGGAACAATTAACCATTGTTGAGCAACGACTTAGTGCTACCACACGCACCTTCAGCGACAACAAGGTTGTACGCAAACCGAAGCGTCTCCATGGCACACAAGCTGGAACCACGTTGCTAGGCGAAGCGGGCCGAGACGGCAACTGGTTCGCGTCTTTGAATATCGGAGAACCTATTCAGGAAGTTGATATGGATCTTGATATGTTGACTGCAGACTTCTGGATACTCTCCACCAGCAGTGACAAGGGCTCATTCTGTAAGGAGCTTCAGATCCCTAGAACTCGCTTGTATCTGGGCCATACGGTGGACCATTGCTGACCCTTTGACTTCTTAGTCCTTGACTTCAAGAGCAGTACCTATGGTTAGTATTGATCCCCTCCTTCAATGCTCTTCACTAACTCGGGACTAGTTGACTCAGAATCACCTCTGGCATTCCCCACTTGCCGACAGCCCAAAGACATTCTTCACCTACCAACAATTCATCGCTCAATCCCGATATCATTTGCCCATTGCAGACCTGCGAAACAATGGACCAGAGCTCTATTACCATCTGGAGCGTACCTTGGCCTTTCTCCATCCACGGCTCTTACTCAGACAAAAACGTCCTCACTTATGCCGCAACTAATTGAGAAACAAATCCTCGATGCTCCCATATGGTCAATACTACTCGTCAATGGCAAAGAAGGAATATTTAGTATGGGAGGTACTTCTGTTGCGTCCGACCGGGAAGTCGAGCGTGAGACAGCAGACGATCTGGACCGAATCGGTGGGCACCAAAGTCGCCAAGAAGAACACGGTAGGAATGAGCATAACAGTCGAAAGTCCGAAGATGACCTGAATGAATGGAAATGGATCAAGGTCCAAGGTGCAGAAGGATGGTGGCAGGTCCTCATGCGTGGGATATGGATTGATGGAGTTAAGATCTTGGCGAACCAGCCTGCCGTACTAGATGTCAACACGCCATTTATCATCGCACCCCCACTGGCCGCAAGGACTTTCTACTCTTCCATATCTGGTAAGTCTATTCTATACTAAGCTGTTGCGTTATTCGACAGTAGCTCTAAAGCTGGAGGTTGTCTCGAGAAATGAGATTGAGCAAACGAATGGCGTGGGCTTGCAAGCTCTAGAGACAGCTCTAAGCTCCTAAAGCTAAATACTTCACCGTTGTCTATAGTGCTAATTGATTGCGCAGGAAGCAAGCAACTGCCACCTCCATTCGATCAATTCACCGCGTACCCTTGTTTCAATCCTCCTAGAGTCCATTTCGAATTCGCCAGCTGGAACTTCGAAGTGTTGAAAGGCAAAAGAGATCAGGGTACATTTTCTCCCGGTGGACGTTTCTCTCTTGGCAGAATGACGACAGGTAGTGGCTATTGTCTTGGCATTGTGGTCGAGTCAAGAATGGGAGCCCGCGCAGCTGAGGCCAGGGAGTCGAAGTCTGGCGTCAAAGTCGAGGGTGGAGATGGGCTTTCAGATGTTTGGGTTATCGGAGAACCGTTTTTCAGAGATGTGCAGATCGCATTTAACGTAAGTGGTACCTTCCACTAGCGGCGACCGCTCCGCTGATCCTACCGCCGTTAGTGGAGAGATAAGCTCGTGGGGATGCAAAGAGCCTGATATCGATTACCAGTGTTTCACCGATGCAGAAACATTGATGGATACCTCTGCTGGGATCTTATTAGGATCTTCAGGGCTTATTTATGGTTGTCAACTTGAAGAGGATACGAGTATCTTGAAGAGGTTGTGGCTCTCCTTTCGATATTCCAGAGTCCTAGGTATTCTTGGTTGCGTGCATGTTCACATGCTGGACGCATGTTTAATTCGGTAGTGGCAAGCAGGCAAGCCCCCTTGAATTTATCCCGCAGTGTGTTGGTGCTCTGTGCATTTAGGGGCGGAGGTCTCTGCCGGGAGGCTGGCTCTAGCCGAGATGGTGGGGTTCACCCCTGAGCCGGCCCCGAGTCCACTCGAGCTAGTAAAGTCAATCCAAGTATTTAACGAGCCGGACATCAGACGGAGTTCAGACCTACATCAGATTGATGCAAGGACACGCTGAATCATCCTGGTCTCTACCAATCGCCTTGTATGACATCCATGAGCACACATGCTGCAAGTGCCGCATGCACTAGCGGCGCCTTCCTTATCAAGCTTCTTCCACCAAATCGCAACCTACCGAGGCAGCTCCCACAGGGGCCGGGAGCCCGTCTGCTTCTCAACAATTTTCTCGACCGAGCCGCCTTTTGCAGATCGTACTTGGAAATCTGTGCTCAGGTAGAAATGAAAGTATGGGACCCATCTCCATTCACTGTCTCCTCTTGCTTCTGTTTGGCAAAAGGTCGAGACGAATACCACGCTCATTGCTTTGTTTGAGCCCTTGAGCATTCACTTCCAGTCTTCCGTTCTCAAAATGGTTTCTTTCAAGTCTCTCCTTTTGCTTGCCACCGCGGCCCTGGTGACCGCCAAGCCGCTGGCTATCCGCAGTTTTGAGTAATTCCCCTTGTTTCCTTTGCCTCGCATCTTTTCAAATGTACTTATTTGAGCTCCCGACCAAGTCTTATTCCTCTCCCAAAGAATCAGCTCCTAGTTCTTACCCAAAATCAGATACTAAATTCTTGTAGTGCGGACCTCGTCCTCCTTGACCTGGGAGCACTTGATACTTCTGTCAAGGGTCTTACCTCAGCCATCGAGGCTTATGATGGAGGTGTTGTCCAAGCTACTCCCATCCTCACTGCCTTTTCTGCCGTTCACGTTGCCAACCGAAAATGCTACGACACCTGTGGGAGCGTCAAGAACATGACTTCTTCTGACTCTTATACCATCATCGACTATGTCACTCGTACTCTTGCGCTTGACATTCCAGCGGGAATCAAAGCACTCGAGGCCAAGAAGGATGCTTTCGTCGCATCGGATTTGCAGTATCAGGTCGTCAGCAGTTTGGATTTACTAAAGTACGATCACGAGAGTTTGAGTCAGGCTTTGGCGAAGAAGGAGAGTCAAGAGCAGGATGTTCAGTTGAAGACTTATGTAGTGGTCAAGGAGATAGATGATGCTATCGTTGGCGGCATATCGTATTTCCAATAGTGGCTAATGATTGGACGAGTAATCTGGGGCCGAAGGATTGGTGACGAATTCTACGAGAATGGCTTGCAGCCAAGACTTAGGGTTTTTGGTGAACGACGATAGACTTCTATTCAGCAACAGGGGGTTTATCGATGATGATGATTATGGCTGTCATGCAGGCGAATAATAGACAGTCTAGATTTGGGTCCTTCTTTTCTACCCGTTTGTATTCGACGCTAAGCAACAATTTATGTATACGACCTAATTCGGTGCTCGGAACACACTAGCCAGGATGTTTATGAACTTGACCTGTATGTCATCCCAACAAGACCACCACCATGTATCAGAGCAGTGACCGTGATACATACATTCTCAAGTGAAAAAGCAACAACTCAAGCACCGACATATTCACACCCACGCTCAAATTTCCCATCAGCACGCATCTGCAGCCTCAACGCAGCCAGCAGTCCCAATGGGACTACAACATCTTCTCTCAACCCGTGCATCTTCGTCCCGTTAACCTCATACTCGTTCCTCCTCGCACAAACTTCCAGCTTCTCAGGCAGGTATCCAAACGCCGCCGTCCGCATCACGACCTCTTTCTCGTTCAGCGGACTCCACGTCCTGTTCCCTTGCTCGGTAATCTGGGTCGCGTTTAAGTTCGTCGTTGTGTATACTTTCATAAAGGGCTGGTATGCGCAGTGCCGCGTGTAGTAGTACAGATTCGGGATCTGGAGAGATAGCTCGGGGATGAAGGCATGGGGATTTGTTTCGTTGGTCGGAGACCAGGTTCCGGATTTGAAGAGCGTTCTGGCCGTGCCGGGGAAGGAGGTGGTCGGGTTGAGTGATGGGTCGGTGTAGGTTAGGTTCATGATTCTCCAGAGGTGGTTGGGTAGGTCGAAGTCGATGGCGAGGTGCTGGGAGGGGGATAGGGTGCCGGTCATGCGGTGGTAGGTGTGGTAGGGCTCGCTGGGGGACTTAGAGGAGTCGATGGGAGAGGTGAATTCGAAGTCGTCGATGCCGAGTTGGTGGGGTGGTGGGTTGGGGAGGTCGGGTGTGTAGAGGGATAGCTTGTGGGAGGGGAAATGGGGGTTGCCGTCACCTTTGACTGGGTGGGTGTTAGATAGATATGCTCTTGGGGGCTTGGGGAGGGGGGCGTACTGTAAATGTCTAGGTTTACTCTGGTGTCGAAGCCTTGACAACTGTTTTTCATCTGCTTCTTCCAGGAGATACCAATGCCTCCGATTCCCCTAGTCACAATTAGTCATACTGAGTGGTGTAAATGTCTCCTCTTGTAACTTACAAGCCCATTAAACTATAATTGTATACGACAAGAGCAGCAACAACGAACAATTTTATTACGAATTGCAACAAATCATCCGTCCTGTGACGTCGGAAGAGAATTCCAAGACCTTTCAAGATGTAATAACCACAGACTGCAAGTAGGAAACAGAAAAAGCTCGGTGTTACTGCGATTACCATTAATACAGCCCGCCTATCGACTTTCCGAGTGTGCTCCGTGAAGTGAGTGTGTTCCAGAGGCCGAGCCCATGATGGTATTCGGCTGATGAGCCAGATTATTATCGGAACCAGGATGAACGACACGGCGGTGAGGGAAAAGAACCCGCGCTTCAGGTAGCGTTCAGCTTCTCGCGCCAAGGGCTCAGTAGCTGTTCTTCTAGGATTGTCGCGCCCCCGATCTCTGTATCGTGAACTAGGATGCTCTTGTTGCGTGGTGTCTTGCCTCTCCAATCGATTCAGCTCGCGGTAATACTGGACTGGATTCATGTTGGCCGTTTTCGGGGTTCGACCAATTGGCACGTGTCTCATTGATGGACACCAATCGTTGCAAGCAGCAGGTTCGCAGAGCCCTGGATGGCATGGCTTGCTGCAATTGCTGCGGCAAGGCCTGCCAGGGTTGTCGGAGCACTTTACTTCCTTGAAGCAAGTTGCACCACAGGTATTGCCTCTGTAACTAATATCCTTACGGGATTGTCTGCCGCACCAGCAAGAGGGCGTCATCGTGACTGGACTCTTCTTTTGGATCGTCTTGCAAGTGGGACATGGCCAGGTCGAGCTGCCTTTGTTCTCTGCCCAGCGCTTGATGCAGGCAAAGTGGTAGATGTGATAACAACTCTTGCATGACCACATCTGTGATTCTGCCTCGATTTCTTCGTGGCATATGATGCAATCGGTTGTCCCGTCCATGAGGCCTTCGAATAGACGATGGCCGCGGTCTTGCTTCGGTTGCTCTGGGGTATCATCTAGAGTACGTCGTGTCAGAGGAATCTTATTAAGAGAGGCTGGAGTACGAACATTGTTTGATAGGTATTGAGTCTAGAGGGATATCTGGATGGGGCGCACTTTCCCATGCAGGTAGCGTTACTGCGTTATCCATTGCCCAGCTTCTGTTCGAAAAGTAATTCCATGTAATTAAAAAGGAGCGTGATCCGTAAAGGATTGGGTTATTTTGCAAGAATATTGAGTGGAAGTGAGATGGTTCTACTTATGTTTCCGTAAATTATTCGTGGAGAGATTAGAAGAACGGTTCAGAAATCAAACGTCATGTGACAGTCAAATGGGGGAAGGAAGGGGGCTTTAGCGCGACTAAGCGAGTTAGTTCTCATAGCGTACCATGGTTGAGGCACATCACGAGATTTCGTGATGAGAGCGTTCAGTCATCGGGAAAGCTTCAAAATTCCTAGGAAAGAGCATGAACTCTTCATTTTGGTCTTTAACTTGCAAGTCAGAGAGGAGTGAAGAATCAAGAGAATTTTTCAAAACAAGCAAAGCACGAAAAATGAATGCGAACATAATCTCACATAGACGTAAGGTCACTACCCCAAGGAAGACTATAAAGTGGGACCGTCTGTAACACATTTTCTGGAGTTTTTCTAGAAAGCTCGTCGCGTTATTGAAGGCTTCTAATTTCCAAAATGAGGCTGAAAGCATGATATCATGGCCATCTAAATCGATTCATGTCGGAGCTATACTTGACCGAGTAGCACTTGTTAAAGCTTAGGCGTGGACTAGCTTAGACAAAGAAGTACTTGAAAATTTCCTCGACATCCAATCACACGTCAGCAGGCGCCTGATCTTAAAAGAGTGAAGAGGAAGTCTGAAGATACTCAACAAGCGAGGCTAAGCGAGAAGTCCTCTCATGCCAAAAAAGAAAGAAAGAGAGAGATATAAAAGATTCAAAAATTAGAACCTAGATCTCGGAAGCAAAAACTCCAGGCGGGCCCTCTTTATTTTTACAACCCGCGTCCGGGAGAGGGTGCCCTTGAAAAATCCATTTGGCCACTGCAATTGGATTTTTTTGCATTGCTGCAGTATTTTTTTTATGTGGATTTGCATTGCTGCAACACTGCAACAATATAACGACGCCGCGAACGGCGAGATGAAAAATGCTTATTGGAATCTATGTAGAAGGAGAGTTAAGCGCTAACTGGATGTGATTATGTGATGAAATGGTTTGTGGAGGAGGTTAACTCGCGGGAACTAGGGAGGTGGAACCACACGATGATGATGACATATGAAGGAAAAGCTGTCGACACTTATCGACATGTAAAAGAGGCATATATATGCGTAGGAGTCGACAGTGCAAGTGATGTCCATAAAATCCCCAACAATCGTGCAGATGCTGGATGATATCCTGAATGTTTAGATGTATTCGCAATGACCCCTACAAATCACCACTGCCCTCCTCCAGCGAATAGACTTCGCACTCAGCGATCATGGTACGAGCCGGGATAGTGACGCAGATGGGAAAACCACCATAGTCAGGATCCTCATTTGGCATCATGAGGTACTTTCCACTTCGAGTCTCATCGCCATTGAGCTTCTTGCCGGTGATCAATTTGCCAGTTTCCTTGTCCATCATCTTCTCAGTGAAGTTCAATATGCCTGTGAATGTGGATTTCGGAGATTTGCTCTTAAACTCGGCCTGGAAACCCCATCCGATCAAGAGGAATTTTCCATCGCCTTGATGGATGAGCATTCCTGCCCCAGATCCCGGTTTGCCGAATACGAAGCAGCGCTTGATTGTTACTTCGAAGTCGCCGAATCGTGCAATGGTGGGTGGAGAGGGGTCGCGGCCATCCTCGAGAAGCTCATCAAAGAAGAATCCTATTGATGAACCAGGTTTTCTGTGTGTTTCTAAAACTATGTCCTTGACCTGCGACAGCAATTTGTAGTGTCTGGTGAATGGATTTGTCTCCGGCTCTAATGTATCGATACCAAACGGGGAAGTACCAATCGCCTGGAAGCTGCCAAATGCTTTCCAGATTCGGCGTGCGCCATACTCATCTCGTCGTTGCTCTGGAATGAACAATGGTTGATCAAGATGACGATATTTCTTGCAAGATGCGCTGTAATCGTTGAGGTAGATATCTGGAGCGATGAAATCGAGAGACGGCGCGAAAGTTTTCCAGATGTCAAGCACATTGCTCACTCCACCTCCTGAAGGATAATCTCCAGGTTCGCCGCCGCCACCAGCGATGACTGGAAATGCATTATCATCATCTGATCCCACGTAGTTTTGCCACACATTGGTGTACAAAGGAATGTTGTATTTTTTCTTTCCAGCGGCCGCCACGTGGTTGACATACAGAGCGTAATGGTAAGCCATGAAGAGCTCATCTGTTTGCTTGCTCTTACCAAAGACGGATTCCCAAGAACCTGACTTCTGGCCAAGGCCTTTGAAGACTTGTAGATTAGCTCTCAGGTCTGGGGATAAAGAATCCCATTTCGAGGAGAGATGTTCCACGAGGTCCTTGGGTACTGGCTCGGAGAACTTCTTGTTCGCTGCTGAACTACCATCTCGAGAGTCGCCCAGTAAACCAGTCTCGTTCTCGACTTGAGTCATGATGACAGTACCGTGAGCCGCATCGATCTCTTTCACATGGCGCATAAGAGTGGAAAATGCTCGGGTATCCGCATCGCGAGCTTCGGTGTGAAAAATAGAGACAACGTCAGCCGTCTGAAGGATGCCCCCAGATTTTCTCAAATGTGCTCTTGGAAACCGCTTTACATCTTTCTTCACCCATGAAGGTGTATATGACGAAAGACCTAGTAGATATCAGGCGATGTTCTTTGGACAGAAATGCGACCTACCATTCTTGAAGGATCCAAACCAGAGCAGCACAAGATGAAGACCATGTGCTCTCGCACCTTCAATGACTTTGTCTAGTTCCGAGAAGTCAAACTTGCCCTCGACCGGCTCGATATCCTCCCACGTCACGCATCCTAGGACTGTATTGATGTGGGTGTCTACGAGCTTTTGCCACACTGTGTCCATGTACGCCGGCGAGGTCATGGAAGAGTTTTGCAGTTCAGCACCCAGCATGAGAAAGGGTTTCCCATTGACCATTAGTTGCTGGGACTTCTCAATGCTCTGCAAATGAGGACTGGTTTTAGAAGTGGACGCCATGTTTGATGAGAGAGGATACTCGGTGCGCATTGCGAGGTGGCGTCTGAATTATGCGGTCGAATTATATTTCGAAGAGGAAGTAATATCATCGACGAGAAAAGGGCCGTCAGACCATTCTGATATATGTTGAGAGCGCTGTTCCCATCTATCACATCGTTGGCAGGTATGGAGTCCACATGAAGTTTGCAGCATCCGAGATCTGCACGCCAACGGGTGAACGCCTGACGAAGCCCGGGAATGGGAATTGTTGATTGGATGAGATGCCGGACCCCACTAGAACACAACTTTGCCCCGCGATGTTCTATCCCCACCACTCGGGATCAGTTCACAGCTCAGAATTTGTTCGAGTCATTTTCCGGTCAGAGTTGGGACTTAAGCCGCATCAACTGATCGTTTGTGGGGAGCAGCGCGCTAAGTACGAATCTGTACTCCCTGCTAAGGTCAATGGAGGCGGGGCTTGCGGGGAAAGGGGGAAGGACGCATCCTCGCCGGGAATGCGGTCCTTTGATTGGTACTTTGGCCGGCCATGGACTGAACATTTGGGTCCGGGGTTGGCCGCGCAAACAGAATATCGTGGCTGGCACTCCAAAGCCTGGACCTTGACCTTGAGGAGTTTCTAGAGAAGGGTTGTCTATAAAACAATGAGCTGTCGCAAGTCGATGTAAAGATCCATCAGATCAAGCTCCAGAGACAGACGGCTGTCTTGTCACCTTGTCAAGTATTCCGATCTTTACTTTAGGAACCAAGTCATGGAGAAAGACCAGACGACTGCCCAGGTCGACCGCGAAGATGTCGACAGACTTGCATATTCGTATGAACACATCACCGGCCTCGAAGTCCCGCTTGTCACTTGGTGGAAGCATCGTGGACTTCGACGACTGTATGTCATGATGCCAATTCTCTTCCTCGGATCTACAACCAATGGCTATGACGGTTCCTTGCTGAATGGATTGCAGACGATGGACCCATGGCAGGCGTGTGAGTACATCCGTGTTTCAACAGCATGCGAAATATGGCTAACGAAGCTTTGTCATCTAGACTTCAACAATCCAACAGGCTCAAAACTCGGACTCATCACTGCTATTCAGCAGATTGGAGCTATATGTGCTTTGTTCTTCAGCTCCTATATTGCAGATCTGTTTGGCAGGCGTATTGGTGTCTGTACGGGCCTCATGATGTTGTTCATAGGGACTATATTGCAAGGTCAGTTCTCGTAACATCATTACACAACTTCAGAGTATCTCACAGTCTCAGTTGTTCCTGCTAGTAACCACCTCGGAATGTTTCTAGGTGGCAGATTTCTTGTTGGCTTCGGGTGAGTTGTCAAAGTATCCAAGTCGCAGGAAACAATCATCTGACAAGGCGACTAGATCCAATTTGACCCAAGGCTCTGCTCCTCTTCTGATCATGGAGCTTGCACATCCACAACATCGAGGAAAGCTGACAACCATGTAAGTGACTTGGAGCTAGGCGATGGATCAGGCTGATGGCATTCAGGTACAACACATTGTGGTATATGGGCGCCATCATTGCGGCTTGGACAGTATTTGGCACTGTGAAATACACCTCCAACGCAGCTTGGCGAATTCCAGTCGGTATGCAAGCGGCTATGCCAGCGATCCAAATGGCGTTCATCTTCTTTGTGCCAGAGAGTCCTCGATGGCTTTGCTCAAGAGATCGTCAAGATGAAGCTTTTGCAATACTTGTCAAAGTAAGTCGTGGGCGGTCACAAAATTGTAAATGTCCTATTCGAAACTGATGAAGAATCCAGTATCATGCCAATGGAGACACAACAGACCACTTCGTAAAGTCGGAGTTCCAAGAGATCCAGGAAACACTTCGACTCGAAAAGGTCGCAGCTAATAGCGGATGGACCGACTTTCTGAAGACTCCTGGGAATCGCAAGAGACTCTTGCTCATTGCCCTGGTATCGTTTTTCTCGCAGTGCTCTGGTAACGGGCTCGCCTCTTACTACCTCCATGATATCCTGAACTCGGTTGGAATCACAGCCTCGTATGACCAGTCCCTCATCAATGGCGGACTCCAGATATGGTCGTTCTTGGTCGCAATATTCTTCTCTCTGCTTGTTGATAAGATGGGGAGGAAGTTACTTTTTATGATCGCGGGCGTTGGCATGCTCGTAACCTTCAGCATTTTAACCGCTTGTTCTGCTGTGTATGCCCAGTCAGGAAACTCAGGTGCAGGTAGCGCTGTCATTGCCATGATCTTCCTGTTCTATGGTGTCGCAGGATTCGCTTGGCCGGGTTTGACGGTCGCATACTGTGCTGAAATACTCCCCTTCAATATCCGTGCAAAGGGTATGGCAATCAATTTTGCACTGACGGCAACAGCTTCCGTCTTCAATCAATATGGTAAGCGTCGTTGTTGTGCCCGAATTGCATGCACTTCTGCTGATTCGAAACAGTCAATCCGATTGGACTTCAACACCTGGCATGGAAGTTCTACTTCGTGTACATAGCCATCCTGGTGATTGAGTGTCTGTGCATCTGGTTCCTTTTCGTTGAGACGAAAGGTCCAACGCTGGAAGAGATTGCTCGACTGTTCGATGGCGATGCTGCGAATGTTTCAGGTAAGGAAGTGCTGGACGAAAAGGTCGCAGCTGCTGGTCGTGGTCATGCTGAACATATTGAAAATGCTTAAGGTTCGGATGCTATCTGCTCGAAATTCCTGGAGGCGAATGTAAAGCAATGAGAATGGCCAATATCAGGATCTGGCTCGTAGCTACGAGGGGAGCAGAAACGTGTATGGGAACTGAACAATCGAAAGCATCATGGTCATGTAATATTGTCTGAAATTCGAATGATACTTTCTGTGACCCGACTTCTTTCGAGCAATCTTTGGTCTTCAATCGGGAAACTCTGTAGATGTAAATCAGGGGAATTATCCGAGGATTCCTTTTCGTCCAATGCGAGGGCATGCTGAAGGAGAAATCTGACCATCCACTTGTCGAACCGATGAGTACCCAATTGGGCAGTCCGCAAGCAAGCATCTTGGAATGTGATCAGTCTCTTCATCTAAGTTCTTGTCAGTTTTCGCAAAGTCTCGGTCATTGCGAAGAACACTTACCATCAAGTCAACGCTCGGCCAGATTGTCCTCAACCTGACCAAGTACGCAAAATTGTACTCAAGTCGCTGTCTGGCCATCGGCAATTCGTCATCATCACCAAGTAAGAGTGTGTGCAAATGCACGGAGGAAGATACCACAGTCATATGCCCAACCACATTATGAAGAGCTTCAGCATTGCCGTGCCGTACTGAAATTTGGATTAGATCGCAGTATTCTTTGGCGTGGTACTTGCAGCGCTGGGCAAACATCCTCGTCCTTGGAGTGGCTGGTCGGCTTTGATCGAGATATTGGTAGTATAGCAAAGTTGCGTAGTGATGATATCCAAGATGCAAGGCAACAAAGGTCCGTCCCACACCTCGTTTGATCTGCAAGTCGAGGTTCTCCGATGTGAAAATCAGAGTAGGAGGTAGGTCTCTCTCGAAGGCAATCAACTGATCCGCAAGATTAAGGACTTGAGAATCGATGTCCTCTTCTCCCCAGTGCTGTCTCTCAACGAGTCCTTGGTTCAGATCTTGGATATGGCCGAAGATCTTCACCAGCGTGGTCATATGGCTCCATATCCCTGGCCTCCAGCTATCCAAATCTTCGACCATCTCGCCAACACGAAGATCCGAGAAGTCCACCTCGTCCATTGGAAGCCTGGGAACTGCGCCACCATCGTGGAATTGTCGAGGCAAGCCAAGACCCGCACTAGCCCATCTGTCAATCAGATACAGACTCCACCAGCCTCTTCTTTTGACTTCGCGCGTGATAAGATCATCGTCGGTATTGTCCTTTGTAAGCTTCAACAGTTGGGCCATTCGATTTGCGATGACTAAGGATATTTAGTGCTCCTTCCTGATATCAATTGATAGACAAACCAAAGTATAAAGATTCCGAATCCGCGTTCGACTCTGCGAGGCAAATATTTCCGCATAATACACACGCTTGAATGCTCTCGATGTTGATGTTCTCCAAGCCTTGTTGGCACAGACTTTTCGCCTCAGCTGCCCACACGTGACCTTGGGAGCGGATGTTCTCTTTGGAAGAGAATCTGGTCTGAGTCAGTCAAAGGTCCGGGTGACAAAAGTCATAATATACCTAGCTGATAGACCGAGTATTCCAAATAGCACAGCTGGAGACAGAGTGCCATTCTTAGCCGATGCCTTCAGAGACGGCTCGTGAAATAAGGTATGTGGTTTGTCGTGTATATAACAGATATAGAGTTCGATTATCTCTGATATTGTTTCTTTTGGTGGCAAGGAATCGCCCTCATCCCGTGTTGAAATCTGATTTTGTGGAGCGAGCTTTGCAGGCACATTTGAGATGCGTCTCGAGCTAGAGCAACGAAGCTGTCGATGCAAGCATTGTTGGCAAGAAGTTCCCGGCTCTAGTTTCTCGCATTTCCGTTTCCCTTGTCTGCATTGTAAGCAAGCTGATCCCAGTTTCATTGCGATACATAATTCGATAGTTTGTTGACGAGAAGTGAAGACTGCGAAGTCTTGAGGTTGGAGCTCTGGGTTTGTGTCTCAGGCATCCAGGCAGCCTTTGATGCGCCCCAATGAGAGGGCGGGGCATTGTCGCTTAGGTTGAAAAGGGGTTCCAAATTTCATATGATGTTGCGTCCGATCACTTGCAAATTCTATCAGAGGTCTAGGAGTAACAACAGGTCATTGCAGTTACCCTGTTATATCGATTACTAGTATCATTATGGCTCGATTCCTCAAGCGCAGTCTGCAGATGATGCCTAGGCAAATCCTGGGGTGTCATTAAATTTACAAATTTGTTGTATTTTGAGCAATACATGTTAATTAAACGATTGAACGTCTTGCACTGGTACTGTAAAGTTGTCAATTTGCTACTGTCTAATATCTATTCCATACTCATTACAGCAGGTTCCAGTACAGTCATCAATTCACCTTAAGTCAACTGCTCGAGGTAGTGCTCCCACCCTTGGCAATCGTGTCCAGCGCCTTTGCATTCGCTGCCGGAGCACCAGTTTTATCATCAGTTGGCACCTCTTGACTCGCAAATGCAAGGAAGACAGCCTCAAAATGCTGGTCCCCGGTGGGATAGTGGAAAATCAGTGCCCCGTCCACACCAACTGCGTTTTCGTAGTCCCCAGTGTTACCCTGGTTCATGTGTACGTCGTCAATACCAGTTCCATAGTCTCGACCAAAGACGTACACCGTAGCTTTGGCAGCGATGGCGTCCTTGATGATGGGCTCCAGCTGGTCGAGGATGTTGTTCGCGGTGTCAGATGAGTCTGAGTCCTGGACAACCTGGCCAGCGCTGAAGTCGACAAGCGCAGGAGTTGTACGCAGGAAATCGAGAGAAAGGCCAGTCCCATCAGTCGTGGTAGCCTGGTGGAAGCCAGAAGACAGTGGAGTCAGGGTCTTGGTCACGGGGTGCGACCATGTGCGGTTCAGCCAATATACGAGCTCGGTGTCTGTGCTGGTAGATGCGACGTTGATGTTGGCTTCGACAGTTTTGCCAGTGCCGTCGTCGAATTTGAGTGTGATGTGTGGGGATCTGTCTTGCTGGAGCGTTTGCCCGATGTAGCTGGTAGGTGTGCCCTTCCAAACGCCGTATTTGTCGCTGCTAGCAGCGACTTTGTCACCCCGCTTGTCAGTACCGGTACTGGAAGTCTCGTGGGTAGAAGAGCCATGATCTTTCTTTTCGTGGTGGTATCCACGGTGGTTTTCGTGACGATGGTGGCGTGCCATGATGATATAGGATGTTCTATAATAGGTGGGAAAAGAATGTATTTTCGTGTGAGGTTTTAATCTGCAGGTGAGGCTTAGAAAGTGAATTTGGAAGATTGGCATGCTTGGCAGCTCCTGCTGCTTTGGTAGACTTTATACTATGTGGACTTGTACAATGTACTAGAATCGGTTGCCCTGGATCGGCCCAGCCCGTTTGGCCCCTGATCTGCCGTGATGTCCGTCATAGTAATTCATAAACCTGTTTGGTTCAGTGACCTTATGCATGACGCGCGTTGCGTTTGGTGTGGGGAATAGCGCATTTCAAGAAACGAGAAGATCTGGCGCGAAAGCGTGGTAAAAATCCCGTTGCTGATTGGGCTTGACAGTGTCAAGCTGGCCAATATTTGGGACTTCAAGGCAGATATGCAACTTGAGGTCCTTTTCTTGATGAGTACTGGTTGACATCGGAGAGGCTCTGCAATTGATGACGCCACGATGACCTATTTTTGGTATCCGGTATGAATCACGTGCAGTCCACTTCTTTTTAACTCGACTTGAAACAATTTCGAATCTCCGAAACAGTTTCAAAGTTTCGATTATAGATTAAATTTAAAGCAAGATGCCTGTGCTTAGGGCTGCAGATATACGAATATCCTATCCCAAGAAGTCCAAAATGTAATCGCAGCTCCTTGCCCTAAAATGCTCAAAGTTGACAACAAGAAAGAGACGACAAAGAAAACCAAAACGTAATATTATAGGGCACGATTGACGAATATCTTGACTTTTGATGACATTTGAGGCTAGGAGCTTTCCCATTCATGAAGTAGGAGAACTGCAGTGTTGGCAAGGCCACTCCAACACTCACCAGATGATGCGATTATTGAATATTCACTGCTTAGTCCCCTTCAGTTACTGCTGAGGTCTCATTTATAAAGATAGTCCTTTTTGCCCATATGCCGTCCTTACGAAAACGAGAACTCAGATAGCTGCGCCCAGTAGCACCGGTTCTACTATTGAGAGGCATGGAAGACAGTCACCCTCGGAAGATACTTGCTCTAAAAGATCCCTCTTATGGCCCATTCCTCAAATGCGACGGCTTCTCATGGATTCATTTACAGCGGGATAATATTTGACAGCGAAAGGTGGGCGGATCTCTGTGCCTGGAACTGAGGTGACCTTTGAACCTAATATGGCACCAAAGGCGCTGAGGGGTGTTGAGCTAGCAGTACAACTGACTGGTATACCGGTCACTGCTTTTATAGTTTTGGTGAGCGAAGAGCTGAATTGGAAATCTTAATTTTTGACCGAGATTCACAATCTTATTCACCCTAGTCGGAGCTGCAAGAAACCATTGACCGAGATTCACGATATTATTGACTATAGTCGGAGCTGGAAGAAAGCTATTCCGCAAACTATATAAGACCACTTCTCTCCGCAAGTTTCTTTTTACGAATAGTACACGAAGCATCTCAACACTTGCAGGACTGGCACTCTCGTGGAACGTCAAATTACAGCCCAAGTTGGATCTTAGTATTGCATATGGAAGAGTCTTTAGCTTGATGAGCAAACAGGTGGACGAAAGCATAGACCCCTTTGTCACAGCTTGTTACAAAATGTTTAGTTTCAATCATGCATTGAGCAGTTGACAACAAAGACGTAAATGGCAATAATAAAGGCAGCCAGGGTGGTTCCGATTTAGTGTATAGAAGCTCGGGTTTCATTCACTTTGAACATGTCTGGCACAAGAAGATCGCCTGCCACCCAACTTCTCAAGCATAGCGTCGCTGTGTATAGCATAGCACATATGAAAAGGCAATGTTCTGAGTCAGTGATGGTGAGTGAGACAGTGGTTTTTAGTTTCTAGAGCGTATAAGTACTGTGTTAAACATGGTACATGTGAAGAGGTAATGATGCAAGTTGGGAAGGATGAACGAGAAATGGTACTATTCTGAACTGTGAAGGGTGAATGTGAAACCTATTCCTACCTTCTGGAACGGAGAGTCATTGTCCGGATTATGAAACAAGTGAGGGGGTCAATATGCAAGCCATGAGACATATGAAAGAGAATGTTGCCAATCGGAAAGAGATATAAAAGAGCAACCGAAACACTGGGACGAAAAGTCATTGTGTGAAGTATGCAGCACATAAGAAGATAAAGCTTGTAAGTGGAGATGGTTAATTCAACTGAACTTTCGCTTTAAAACCTTTGAGATAACTCCTTGTTGTCATTTTTTTAGTGGCATGCTGACAACAAGATGAAAATCGATAACAAGAAATAAGTTAATAGCAGAAAATAACTTAACAACTAGTCCAAGACCAGAGAAAAATTTCGCTGCAACCCAAAATGCAAGAAGAAGCGAGATTACAGTAGTTTGCAGCCTCCAACAAAGCCATCCTTAATGACCATGATTCCTTTGTATGTTAGCTTCCTTCTTCTTGTTTGACCATTTTTCGTTAATATTTTCACCGAAATGCAAGTAGATAGTAGAAATAGTCGTTAGTAAGAAAAACATTGATAACAAGGGAAACAATAGTAATAGAAAATAAGTCGAGAATTAAATTAACAACTAGCCCAAGACAAAAAGGAGCAAAAAGGAGATGTCGCTGCAACCGAAAATACAAGAAGAAGCGACTTTACAGTGGCTCGCAGCCTCCAACAAAGCCATCCTTTCGCTACGAGTTTCTCTCTTTTTGGTTGACCGCTTTTCGCTGATCTTTGGCCGTTTTATATACTTGTTCAGACGGCTGGCAGAACGCTATCTCGGCCACCAATAAGAAGTGAATCCCAGACCCAGTTTCTTCAGACGACTCATAAAATCCAAATTGAATTACAAACAAGAAGTGAATCTCACGTACAAGACCACTCATAGCGTTCAAATCATGGATTGGTGAATGATTCAAAGATTCACGCTTGAGACGAGGATTTTTCGGCATTTTCAAGAGCCGGAAATAAGTATATAAACCCCGATTGCGGTCAAGATTCAAAATCCGGCACACAGTTAGAATCGGAGTTACGGAGGCGCATGGCTCTCCATGATGAGGTCGCCTGTTACCATGATGTCCCAGAGAATAAGACTTGGTTCAAATATATTTCCACGTTAAGTTACTTTCGAGACGAAACGTGTTCTAATGTATTGGCGACAATAGTTGAGTTGACAACAATATCACTGTGGAAGGAAAACTGAAAACCTACTAAATACAGTAATAAACAGTGATCGGAAATTCCAAGAAAACTAGCTTGCAACGTCTGCTATTCCTTTGCTACACGTTCGTCCGGGATTCTCAAGAACCGTGGCCGCCTTCTCCCTGTTCTTTTGGAGATGATCGAAATTCGTCTCCGCGGCAGTGTGTAGAGGTTCTTTTATAGACGTTTCGCAGTCTGGCAGGATACTTCTTTGAGAGTAAATACGAGATTCGGGTCGTCCTTGACTATCGACTCGACTTGTGAGAAGTGAATATTGGATTCGAGTAATCTCTCGATTTGTGTAAAGTGAATTTGGACTTAAGTAAGAACAAGACTGACTGTTTGAGTTGCAAACTCGAGGTCAGCAAAGTATATAAACAGCTATCGTAACGCTTACTCTCTTGAGCACAAATCGCTCGGAGACCACGCTCTAGAACTGAAATAGGTTGTGGTCAAGAATGAGGTAGCTACTTTTAGATCAACTAAGCAGATTGTGATTTAGAAGCATTACGTCAAGCAAATTTGAACTATACACAAAGAAATATAAATAACAGCAACAGATAATTTGGCAACAACAATTATTCCCTAAACCAACGCAAAACACCAAACCAAGGAGAGAACATTAGACCTAGTAAAGTCGTCTCTCTTTTCATGAGATGCTCCACACTCGGGCTCCGGCTCCAAGACAGGGCATGTTCTCGGTGCTTTCGCTCTCGCTCTCGCTCTCGTTGCAGAAAGTTGAATTTTGTCTTCGTAGCCGTGCGTGGTACTTTTATAGACGTTTCGCATGTTGGAAGATTACTCGACGCCGAGATTGAATATTAAAAATCGTGTTGTTCAAGAAGTGATAGCCGTGAATCGACCCGCTCTACGAATAGTGAATCTACAGCCCGATTCTAGTAACAAAGAGACTAAGTCTGTGAGTCCCAAGCTTGAGGGAAGCGGGGTATATAAATGATCAAGTCTTCTGTCTTTCAAAAATATCGACAAGCGCCACCGTGGCACTGCCACTCCATGTGGTCACTGTATGGCTTCTGAAGGGAATTGCCAAGATACGTGCCGGGATCTTTGAGTTATTAGGCAAATTGTAGCTAGAATCAATGAACATAAGTTGTCAAGCTGAACAGGCAGCAAAAATGACTTGACAACGAAAAATAACTTGACAACAACCACTACTAATCCACCTACCCACAGTCCCACCAAATGACTCAAAGATCAACCCAAAACACTGATCCAGGAGGAGAACTTTAAACGCCAGGAACTTGCCTCCCTCCATTAGGGGATCTTGCGCAAGTTTTTTTTTTGTTTCTATAAACTGGGTTATGTTTGGGGTATTTATAGAATCTCGGTCTTCCGTTCCGTGACCGGCGAAATCGGATTCCGTGCTTATGACTCAATGGTATGTATTCACTCTGTTGAGCCAGATCTTGAGTTTGAAGGAAGGGACGTAGGATATGTATATAAGACTTCCTCCTCTCTTCCCGTTACTAGCATCAAAGCTACCTATCAAGGAGGACATTTCTACGTGCGGCCAGGATCAGGAGATGTAAGATTTTGTCCAGGACTCATTGAAAAGAGTTATTGCTTGTGTTCTTTAGCCATGAGCCAATGGTCAACAACAAGGACAATTTGTTGATAGCATCAAACATCTTGACAATAACAAATGAGATCTAAACAAACCCTAGAATCCATTTCCTAAACAATATCAAGATACTTACACACACAAGGAGCCCGGCCCTCGTCCTGAAACCCCAAATCGTTTCCATTCCTGTAGTTGGCCTCGCTCTTGGCCTCGCTCTGGATACTGGATACAGGATCCATGGAAACAGGACGAGGAGGTTCTTTTATAGACAGGACGTGGGAGGCTCTGACCAGTTTTCAAATTCCCAAGATGCTTGAAGTCTGGTGAATAAGTAAATAAGTGAATTTAGACTGCGAGAATTGCGCATTTTGCGCAAATCGCGCAGAAAGCGCAAAATGCGCAGAAAGCTCCGATACCGGAGAAATACTCACTGCATCACAAACATATCTCTTTGCAATCATGTTTCCCAGAATCGTACCAGAATTCCATTCACTTTTTCAAGACGATGAATCCTCGAAAAATTCCTTCACCAAGCGAAGTATATAAGCAAACGAACTATCCTTCATGGTTAACTTTCGAGTTATACCTAAGCAACGAGTCGAAGATGCATATCACTACAATGAAGATTAGCAGAAGACGCAGAGTTGGTTCCCGGGTGTGAGATTTTGGTTAGGCTAAGTGTGGAAGATTGTTTTTGTGTTGGGTTGTGGAGAGTAGTGCTAGGGACAGAGTGTTAATATGTTGACAATGAAGAAGAGGAGTTTGACAACAAAAGTGAAAAGAGTTTGACAACAAAATATCTATCTACGCTTTGATCAAACAATCCCTTGGACATTCTAACTCTGGAAAGTCAAACGACCTCCCAAGAGCCCGGGACGTAGAACGTCTCGAACTTCCATGCGCCGTGGGTGATGAATCCGGAGGGTTGTAAGATTTTCGAAAGAAAAATTGACTTGAAAGTTTCGTTTTTATAGACCATCACTTGCTCCCCCTAGCCCCAAATTCTTCGCCTGACAAGGCATCCTTTGGACAAAATTCTAGTGACTCGAATCCACTAACCCAGAGCTGTCAATCACATAGAATCACTACTCCGATGTCGGAGGAGCCTGAATCTGCGCCTGAATCGAAACGAAAGACAAAACTACGTCGAAAAGAAGGTAGGAATTTTGGTTTCGAGGGGTATATAAACAACTTCGTACGAAGCAAGAATAGAACCAAACAACAAGAGATAGCAGATCAAAAAATTGATGAGCCGGGGAAGTTTCTTGCTGTGCCGGCGCCGGGCGACAACAGGCGATAAGTGAGATATGAATCAAAGTAAAGTTGATCGGTGGTGATAAAGTTAGGGACAGCCGGTAATTAATTGATTGTGGGGTGAGGAAGGGAGAAGTTTGACAACAGAAGAAGTTTGGTAACAGAAGAAGTTTGGTAACAGAAGAAGTTTGGTAACAGAAGAAGTTTGGTAACAGAAGAAGTTTGGTAACAGAAGAAAATTCTTTAACAGAAGGAATTAGAAGTTGACAATAAGAGGAAGGGCATGACAACAAAGAATGCTTTAATGAAAAGAGAAAAGAAAATGAATAAAGAAGGGCAGTGAAAAATAGTTAAGGTGTGAAAGATGAGAGGGCTGCGAAAGATGGGAGGACCGTGAAAGATCGGAGGGCTATAAAAGATTAGAAAGCTATGAAAGATCGAACAGCGATAAAATTTTTAAAAAATTATGAAAGATCCGAAACTTACGAAAAATCACAAAACCATAAAAGATTAAAGAACTATGAAAAATAGAGAAACTATACAAGATCGGAAGGCTATAAAAAATTGAAAAGCTATGAAAGATTGAAAGGCTATAAAAGATCCGAGGACTATGAAAGATTGGAAAATTGTGAAATATCAGAGGGCTATAAAAGCTGGTCGGGTTGTGAAAAAATGGGAGGGCGGAAAGTTTGTTAGTAGATTATAATGTGATGAAGGTTAGCATTGTCAGGTCCTTGAACAACAAGTGACTAGATGCCGTTTACTTTGGTGGGGTGTAGTGAGCCAGGGAGCGTGGAGACTGAACGATTCATAGATGTTTAGACAACCAGCTGGGTTTATGCAGGTGCAAGAAAGAAAGGTAGGTCTGTATTCGCTTAGCTGGCGAGTGAATCTAAATCTTCGGGAATCGGAGGTTAGCAAGATTTGTATATTGACTTATCTACTTTTCGCTAAGCTCAGACTCTCTCATTTGACAATTGTCATGCTTTGCTATAAGCAACAACATCCTCCACCCTCGCCCCCTCCAACTCCCCCCTCGCATTCAACAACTTAACATTCCCCCTCTTCTCCTCACTCCACTTCCTACAAAACGCCTCAATCCCCCCCATCGTCTCCTCATCATCCCTCACCAACAGCACAATAGCATCATATCCCCCCGCCCCCGGCACCACACCCCCCGCAACCCCCTCCACCTCCCTCGTAACCGCATCCAACAGCTCCGTCTGCTCCTTCGGCTCAATCGGCACCCCCGACGCTTCAGTCATGTCCCTAATCAGCGCCCGGATCGCAACAAACGCCTCCCCAAGCTCAACCATACACCCCTTCCTCAATTTCTCGGCCAGGACATCGTTACAAGCTTGCAACTCATCCCAGAGTTCCTTTGCTTCTTCTGGGACGGATTTTCGCCATTCAAGCACCTTCTTTACCATGCTGACGGTTTGAGAACCGCAGTCCACGTCACACATCACGAGCGCCATCCCTTCCGGGATCGTCACGCCGTTCTTGGAGATTTCCGTGTCCCATTTTATGGATGGGTCGGTATCATCCACGATATGCTGGACGCGGACAGAGAATTTGGCTGAGGCGGGTTCGCCCAGACTAGCGAGGATGGAGGGCGAGAAGCGGCGGTAGACGCACGTGCCGTAGACCGCAGTCGCGATGTCGAAGCCCGAACCGACTTTGCCCTGGGCGGCGCAGTGGGCGACCTGGGCGAGGTTGTGGAGTTTGGAGCGGCCTTCGGGGGTGGAGAGGGAGAAGAGGGTGGAGGGGAGGTAGTGGGTGAGGAGGGCGCCGGTGAAGGCTGTTACGAGGGCGGCGGAAGAGCCGAGGCCGGTTTTGTGGGCGTCTTGGAGGCGGACGGCGAAGTCTGAGAATTTGGGGTAGGAGGGGAGGGTTGTGGAGGAGGTGTTGGAGTAGTAGTCGTTGTCGGCTAGGATGGTGACTTTGGCTGGTTTGATGGTCGTTGAAGGGAGGACGGACGAGATGTATGTTAGGGCGTAGAGGAGAGCTGTCTCGACGAAGGGATTGCGAGACGAGGCTGCTTGTGAACCACTGCACACAACATCATCATCAGCTATGCCACAAGGCTGAGAACCCACGAGACTGAGAACAGACCTCATCAAGACTCGGTGATATCACGTGATAAGACCGAGAAAAAGGGGGCTCTCAAACGGATATAGGGGGGATATTCCCACGGCCTCGGAATCAAAAAGAAGTGCTTACTTACCCTTGCAGCTGAGTGACGACAACTCCACCCTGATCCCCAGCTAGATGATAGCCGTGATTCCACGTTGCGTCCCGGAACTGCGGACTTTGGACTACAATCTCCGCCAGGTCCACGCCCTGGCTGGTATCGATGTCGTGCACCAAAACATGGACGCGGGCACTCAATGCAAAGACTAGAGCGGTATATGCACGATCGAGGACGAGATAGCCTCCTGCCAAAAAGACCTTGCCTGGGGCAGAGACTGCGGTCGGCATGGTGGTGGCCTGAGGAAGGGAGGGCGGCGTGGAAGTGTGAGTGAGAGTGAGAGTGAGAGAGAGAGAGACCTGAGGTTCCTTAATTTTTCGTCGACGTGTCTTGAAAACCCCTCACTCAAATGCGGCTCAGGGGTCGTTTGATCTGATTACGAGGTGTCAATTCGCGGGTCTCAATGCATGGCGATAACTGAGGGGTGAAGGCATGACAGGTAGAATTCGCATATGATGGAGGTAGAACCTAGGTAGGATAAGCCGGGTCGATGTTTGGGCCGACGTCCTCAGTCTTGACCGTGTACGGAGAGGAGAGGAGAGGAGAAGCGTAAAAGCTTAGTGCTCAGTGTGCGCGTAGATTTCGGATCTGATAAGCAAACGGGGCCAGGCTATTCGGGGCCTGGAAATGTTTATTGGGCGGGAAATAACATCTCGGACATCTGAAAGATGCGAAGTTCCAGCAGTGCGGGATGAGAGTGTGCTGGCGCAGTGGCTGGTGTCGCTCACTGGGGTGGTGGAGCCTTGTTTGGAAGGGTTTAGGCCTTTCTTCTTCCAGTGCTTTTGGGGGCTTTTGGGAGCTTTCAGGAGCGTTTAGGAGCTTTTACTGTAGATGGAATTAGTGGGGGGGGGGGGCCAACAGGGGGCTCAGTACTTAGTGCTTTTTGATTTGTGGAGCCGTGGCCGAGCAGCGGGACAGCCATCACAGCCTCCCGTACTGTATGGTTGGAATTTCCAGCGATTAGCTCAGCCTGCCTGTACAGTAAAAATTGCTGGTCCACACCTCCACCTCCGACTTCCCGGAAAATCCTCGCGTTACAGTCATCCACGCTTCTTCTTCCCGCGCCTGCCTTTCTCTACTCTTCCAGGCACGACTGCAACTACGAGTCCCTCCTTTACGCACACGCACACGCACACGACCCCAAGTCCTTTTCCTCATTCTTTCCCTCGCTCCTTCAGACCGTTCTTTTGTCCTCCGATTGTTCTTCGCCCTCTGGTGCAGCTGACTTCCCTTGCGCCCTATTACACGTACTTCTTCATTGACCTGCAGCCTTGTTATTCTCGAGGCCTTGCATGTGAATTCACCAATAGCAGAACCAATTTTCCACTCGTCATCGAACCTCTAGCGCAGAGGACACGAGGGTAATATTTTCCCTCGGGACACCTACTCAGGCTTGAACTCTTCTTAAGATCCTCAGGTTGTGTCCTTTTCAACCATCAACGCCACCTGCAAAGCTTTGCATCCACCAAGAGAAGCTTCAGTCGACCCGAGTCGACTCTAAACCAAACCTCAATCACCACTCAATTCAAACCGCGCGTTTGTTTGACGGCTCTGCTGTCAAATGAACCTGCACCAGCTAACTTCCTGAGATCCCCAGTAAGTGCGCGTCTGTTCGTGGAGCTCATTCCTTGACTCCTGAAAAATATTTTCGAGGCACAGAAAGCTGACATGTACTACCAGTCTCCTCTCTCCCTTCCATGAGAGGTCCCTCCATCCACTAAATGCCCATTTACTCCAACATCGCCTCGACTCTCGCACGTCAGGGTCCCAAAACCTTCACACACGGTTACGCCCAATCTCTCGTTGCTGCGACTCACCCCCAAGTCTACGCGTCTAACAACAGACCCGGATTCGGTCTTCATCGTCGAGCAAGCAAGGCCGGACATTACCCCAGCTACCACTTCCAAAATGCTTTTCACAGCAGCGCCCAGTCCTCGAGCACTGTTACTCAAGTGCGCCCCGTCGAGAAGAATGATGCAGGTTTAGAGGCATACTTTGAGGCTTGGAAGAAGCAACACGCGACTGGTGAACCAGAGAAGGAATGGACACAATTTCAGTTTGCTAAACGCATCGAGTGGAAGCCCTTAATTGAGGTTGACGCCGAGGGCAAGAGCAATGTCCAATCTGCCGAAGATGCCGCAAAGCCTGTCCTGGATAGGGCATACAGTGCGAGCGCGGTAGATGATATCAAGAGAGCAGAAATTAGTCTGGAGGAGCAAGCAGCACTCGCCCAGATTGATGCGGCTATCAACAAGGAGATCCAGTCTCGAAATGACCAGGTTATCTTTGAAGCAGAATTAAGCGTTGTTGCGGCTCGAGTTCCAACTCCTCCAATTGCACGGGCTCAATCACCTGCACCTTCTTCTACCGAGACTGGATTCTCTGCAACCACTCCAGCTACCTCGGTGAGCACAGTTTCGGATCTCCAATCTCAAAGCTATGCTGAGCATCTTTCCAAGCTCTCTGAGGGTGCGCGATATGCCGAGATCCCAGCAGTCTTCGAGGCCATGCTGGTCGCTGGCATTCAACCTACAGCACCAGCTTACAATGCCCTGTTGGATGCGGCTGTTCATCTCCCAGCTGAACAGATCCAAGTCGTTCCTAAGGCTCTGGATGTCTACTCAGATATGCTGCGACGAAAGGTGTTGCCAAATACCACCACATACAATACCTTGTTGAATCTGATTGCTTCAAGAACCCTTGAAGTATCGTCTCAAAAGCAGTTGTTGGAGGAGAAGCGACATCGTTTCGGCGGTATGGAGGAAGCTGGCAAATTTATGTTTGCCTCAAACGAGTACGAATATGCCATCCTTGCTGAAGCAGACCATCTCGATCTTGCGATCAGAATGTTTGATGCATCCATCACCATTCGAAAGGACCGATCGTACCCACCCGAAACGTACCATCGACTCATTTCGGCGTGTTCCGAGACTGGCAGAATTTCAGAGATGATCCGCATATATGAACACATGGAAAACAACAAGATCGTTCCGCTATCATCTACTTTCCCACCAATGATGCACGGTTTCACGCAGGTCGGCAACTTACACAACGTTGTGGAGTGCTACGACGAGTACAAGCAAATGGCCATCAATCACGACCAAGGCAAGATCGAACTTTCAGATCGACAAGATGGCACAGTTTACGCCGCCGTGATCAAGGCTTATGTCAAGACTGGCAGAAGCAGCGGTGCCATCAAATTCTATGAAAGAATCCTCGACGCCAGCCCATCAGAGGTATCTCCAATTATAGATGTCATTGTGAAGGATGGATTTGTTCAAGGTCACTTGGATCGAGGCGAGCTTGCAGAGGCTCTCAACTATGCTGAGGGTCTTAGTAATTCGTCCAAGATCGTTACCATGAGCCAGATCGCAACACGTGCCGCTGACAGGGGTAACAAGGCTGCAGCAGTGGCTGCTTTTGCTCACATTCCAGCTACTTTCCAGGATATGGCCCGCCCAGCAATGGCAATGTTGGCATTGAGCATTCGAGAAGGTGATGTCCCAGCTGCTCAGCGATACTGGCACATTCTTTCAGGACCAGAGATGCTCGTAACACGAAACTTCATCGAGCCTGCTGCCATGTACGCTATTGCTATGATTGGTTCCGGACAAGTCCTCGAAGGCCTTACCCAGTCTGAACAGATGTTCGCCCGCATTCGTTCTGGTGTAGTCAACGCCAACTCTCACCTTCATGATGAGATCGAGGAGGGTGTAGAGTTTGTCAACCGTTTCATGGCAGCACGTGGTATCACAGATCCCAGAACCATTGTCCCTGAGACTCCTGTTTTCCAACACAGCTTCGCTCCAGCTCCATATCATCCTGCAAAAACTTATGAGGATACTTTTGACCCATATGCCGCCTCGACTGACTTCAAGGGATCTGCTCTCATTGCCGACGAACTTGAGAAGGGAAGCAACGCTCGTGCCAAGACATCCCGTCTGAATGATGCTCTTGGTAGATTCCGCAACATGCGCCGCGCTGGCCGTCATCCAAGATATATCACCTATGCCAAGCTCATAGCCGCCGCTGCACGAGAGGAGCGTATGAATTTGGTTCACGACATTCTTGGAATGGCCCGAACCGATATTCCATTGCTTCCACAGTACTCTGTTGTCCGCTATGGATGGGTATCGATCCTCGATGCTATGGTTGGCGCTTGTCTTACACTCGGTAACCGAACCTTGGCTGCTCAGTATCATCAAGAACTTCTCGACATGGGAGCTGCACCTACCGCCAACACTTTCGGTTTGTACATCACTACTTTGAAGGAGTCGACCAAGACCTTTGATGAAGCTACCGAGGCAGTCAAGATCTTCCACCGTGCCAAGACAGAAGGTGTTGAACCTTCGTCTTTCCTGTACAATGCGCTTATTGGAAAGCTTGGAAAGGCTCGTCGTATCGACGACTGTCTCTTCTACTTTGCCGAGATGCGTGCCCTTGGTATCCGCCCCACCAGTGTCACATACGGCACCATTGTCAATGCTCTCTGCCGTGTTAGTGACGAGAAGTTTGCTGAAGAGCTGTTTGAGGAGATGGAGTCTATGCCAAACTATAAAGCCAGACCAGCTCCATACAACAGCTTGATGCAATTCTTCTTGACTACGAAGCGTGACAAGGGCAAGGTCCTCGCTTACTATGAGCGCATGAAGAGCAAGGGAATCGAGCCAACGAATCACACCTACAAGCTTCTTGTCGATACTCATGCTACCTTGGAACCTGTCGATATGCCCGCCGCTGAAGCCGTCCTTGACGTCATTCGCAGCACTGGTCAAAAGCCCGAAGCCGTTCACTACTCGTCTCTGATCCACGCCAAGGGCTGCGTCCTTCATGATATGGAAGGTGCCCGTGATGTCTTCGATTCCGTTATGGCTGATCGCTCAGTCCGACCACAAGCCTGCCTGTACCAAGCCCTCTTCGAGTCTATGGTTGCCAACCATCGTGTCGTCGATACCGAACCGGTTCTCCGAGATATGGCTACTCGCAGTGTTGAAATGACTCCATATATTGCCAATACTCTCATTCACGGCTGGGCCAATGAGATGAACATCGACAAAGCCAAGTCCATCTTTTCTCGTGTCGGCCGCGAGAAGAGAGAGCCAAGCACATACGAAGCCATGACCCGAGCTTACCTCGCCGTCGAAGACCGAGCCAGCGCCAAGAATGTTGTTCAAGAAATGCTCAGCAGAGGCTATCCTGGCGCTGTATCCAACAAGATTCTCGAACTACTCGGAGGTGGTAACGCTGAGAACACCGTCTAAATACCCTTCGTTGAGATGGAAGTTTCTCGCATACCATTTCCACCTTTCTAATTGTCTATTTTGCACTCTACGGAGCTGTCTATAGATGATTTCTGCATACTTTTTCCTTTGTCAATGATACCCGTGCCCTTTGCACATCTTTGCGAATACAAACTGGGTATCAGGGGGTCGTGCGATCTGGTTGAAACCTTAATGAAGAGAAGAAAACATTCTATTTCCTTTGTCAGTCCGTCTGCATAAAATTATCGCTCTGTTGTTTTGTACCAACATTGAGCTTGAGGCGTTGTTTGGTTTTCTTTTTCACTAAAGCGAAGGGAATGGGGATTTCTTGCATTGGTGTATGGGGTGGGAGTTTTTTTGCAAAGGTATGGAGGAAAAAAGAACAATCTCAACTCTAGAAGAAAGAAGAAGGTATCTGGTCAATACGGTTGGGGCGTATCATGAGAAGGATGGTATAGTCCCGTGCTAGGCTGGATAATTCATCAAAGTGTAATATTACGATAAATATCAATAGCCTGAGTGAGGGCTTGGTATATGTCTCTGTCGTCTCGTCTCTGTGTGTTCGCCTGACTCCTTGAATCTTCACTCTTTCCTTGAACTCCCTCCCTCCCTCTCCGTAATAGGAGGTTGCATGATTTCTCACCCCATAATCAATCCACCGAGATATATCCCCCAAAATGTTCGCCGACTCCTTCCGTCACCATCCATCCAATTTATATAAACTCACAACCCCAAAAACGCCACAAACTCATTTCCTATCACTCAACTCAACTCCACCCCCAAGTCCCCCCCTAACCTCCCGTCTCCTCCTCTCCTTCCTCTTCGGACTCACGCACTTACTCCGTCGCGCTAACTCAGCTTCCCACTAATCCATTAGCACTCATTCACTCATCACCCCAGCTAGGAAGGGCATAGGATAGGATTAACGTACCAGTACGTCCTCATAATAAGGATACCCAAGCCTCAACGGCCTCGGCTTAACCTCGTATTCCCGGTCGTCGGTGGTGGGGGGTGTGAATTCGTCCTCCTCCTCCTCTCCAGATGCAGTGGCCGTGGTGGTGGTTGGAGAGAGGGACAGGGAGAGAGTGGGGGATGATGTGGAGGATGAGGAGCGAGAAGAGGTGGAGGAGAGCCAGGAGCGGGTGCGGGTTGCTACTGGTTTGGGGAAGGTGGGGGTGCGGGGTGAGAAGGAGGAGAAGGTTGAGGAGCGGGGGGTTGAGGTGCGTGATGAGCGGGGTGAGGAGAAGGTTGATGAGCGGGGTGTGGATGTGGATGAGGGGGTGGACCTGGAGGAGCGGGTGGTGGAGGGGTGGTTGCCCATTTTGAGGGCGGTGGGTTGTTGGTTGTTGGTCGTTGGTTGTGGAAGAGTTTGTGGGGTGAGGAAGTGAGTTTGCTGTTGTGATTGAGTGCGGGAGGTAGGTAGGTAAAGTATATGGTCGAGGTTGATGGAGTGTGCTGGAATGGGATTTCTAATTCGTTGTAGGCAGAAGTCGAAGACGTGTGTTAATCGTCGTCCGTCGAATTTTATCCGTATGAGTAGTCCGTCGAAAGTCGTCCGAAGGGAGGCCTCTGTATATCGAAGAAGAAGATGATGTATGACGAATGTTCCAAAGTCTGTATCTCGGATCCGGTCTCGAGGAGGGAAGTGTAGGTAAGAGAAACGATCCGATCCGGTCGAACAAGAATAACGACCCAAGATGAAGCAAATCCGATATAAAAATATGTCCCTCTCTTCTTCTCTTCAGGTAAAAACAATCTCACATCCTTTCGCGGGGTATATATGACACTTAAGTAGACCAGTCACTCACTCATTCACTCACAGTCACCAACTCTCAAAAAGATTTGCAGCTTACTGTGAACACCAACCGAACGAACGTATTATATGGCATCCATCCTGTGCCGTAAGGTCGGTCGCCGAACCTGCCGAACAGTGATGTTGTGTCACTGCCTGATTTGGTTGGCGGCGCAGTGCGATGCGTCTGAGGTAAGATGGTTGGTTTGGTGTGGTGTGGGATTTGGGGGTAGTAAGCAGGATGCGGCACAGTCAGTGTTCTTGGATGGATCAATGGGCACTGCATGCGCTTGTCTTTAGGTTCGAAATTTATGACAACAGATGAATTCATGAGTATTTTTTTTTTTGGTGAGTCGTGATTTTTGAGGTTTCAGTTCACTTGCGATAAGAATAATGTGTGAAGAAAGACATTGAAGGGGTATCTGAATGTCTCAACCGGGCGATATATTCGGCGTTCAAGATTCGACACTCCAGATATATAGAATATCCCCCAAAAAATGAATACATCACTTCACCCAGAACCCATTAATCCACTCCTCTCTCTGTTTCTTCTTGATTCTGCTCTTTCTTAGTTGAAACAAAAGCGCATCCGAATCCCCAAACCAATGCTCCTCCTCATCACAGCATCTCTCCTCCTTCCCCTCGCTCGGTGCGTTTCTTCCTCCCTCTCTCCCTTCCTACCTGCACGCACACTCCTAACCTTTCCCCAGTGTAGTGATCACCAAACTCGCGCCTGCAGCAAATCAGTCATCGCCAGCTGTGACTTGTCTCCCGTTCCATAGATCGTAGATCTAAGGATCGCGGAAGGGAGGGAAGGAAGATGGATGAAGATAAGGTCATTATAGCGGGAGTTGTTTGGTAGGGGAGGGTAGGAAGAAGGGTTTTAGGACGGGTGAGAAGGGTGCAGAGGGTGATGAGTGTGCTGGGTGCAGATGGATGTGTAGTGGGGATTGGATAGCCCCGGCAAAAGGGTTCTGACAAAAGGGTCGCAGTAGATGGGAAAGAATAAGCTTTTTTATGGCTGACGTGCTGTATGATGATGATAGTGGCTACAATGATACGGAGAAGAGAAGGACTTCGTAGCAAATTTTGGTGTTTTTTCCGGAAGCCGGGTTCTCGTATGTGTGACGAGACAAAATAATAATTTGGAAACAACAACAAAGGCTCAGATGTCCGGGAGGAAGCCAAGACGACAGTCGAGATTGACAGGATCATGAAGCCAGATTGAGCGATCTGGGCTTGTTGGACATCTTGTCATAGTGGAAGAAAATGTCTTGATGACACGCTGGCATGGATGTGTTGTGGAATTAAGGTGCGATAGAAAGTAATCAGAACAAGCAGCACCTCCAGATCATGGAAACTGTTCCATGCAATCCGAGAGTCTTGAACACGAACAATAAAACAGAGACCTAGAAATGAGAATATTTTGACTCGTAGTTTCTCATGCATGTTTTCCTATCCAAATGGGTATGTACAAAATTATTTCGTAACAGGTTTGAGGATGATGTTGTCAATCAACCTCACTGGTGGGCCACCAGCTAAGCCTAGATCTTCTCCAGGTTGTGGTGATTCGACAGGGAGCATTTTGACAGCTCCACTCAGGATTGCTCCTCTCGCCTCGTCAACTTCATCGACTTCTTGCATGGTCTCTGGATCTGCCAAAGAGACATAATCCATTTCGAACTGAACTCGCTCTTCAGGCTTCAGCTGGAATTGCTCCTTCAATAACAACTTGGCCAACTCGTTTGCAGGTCCCAGAAGTTCTTCTCTCGACCGCTTCCCTCGAAGATATCCAGTCTGGGCTGTTCTCAAGACTTTCGAGAGGATGGTAGCAACATTCCTTCTCCTTGCACCGAGATAAACATTTCTCGAGCTCAATGCCAATCCATCTGGTTCCCTCTTTGTGTTTCCAACAACCACTTGTGTATCCAAGCAGAAATCCTTGACCATTTTCTTGATGACAACTGTCTGCTGAACATCTTTCTGTCCAAAATAGACCTTTTCCGGTGTGACAATGTTGAATAACTTCATGCAAACAGTAGCTACTCCTCGAAAGAAAGTAGGTCTACTTGCACCCTCTAAGACTTCTCCAACGGGTGTAATTGTGATGAAACTTCCTTTGCCATCGATTTCCTGGCTAGGTCGTCCACTCGGATACATCTCGTTCGTCGTCGGCGCAAAAACGGCAGCAATCTTGCCCAGATTCCCACCATCAGCGGCAAGCTCTCTATCAAGATCTTTGAGCATCTCCACATCTTTCTCCCATGTCTTAGGATAGCTATCCAGATCCTCGTGAACACCGAATTGAGTCGGATTGACGTAGATACTGACAACAACAGACGAATTCTCTTTGGCTGCGATACGAATGAGCGACAAATGGCCTTCGTGCAGGGCTCCCATGGTGGGCACAAGACCAACGGATCGGTAGTCGAGAAGTTGTTTGCGACGCCATTGACGAAGCGCAGGAATCTCGCGGAACACTCTGATACTTGTATTGGGGATCATCGTGTCCCTGATTCGTGCTCGCAGAATCTCAGAGGTAGAAAAGGATCGGGCGTAGCTGAAGAGCTTCGAGGAGCTCAATTTGGGGCCCTGAATGAGCGGCATCTTGGTGATTTTGAAAGCCATGATGAAAATGAGTCACAATTGATAACGAGAGTAACCAAGAGGATCGAAAATGGCCCTCTCAGGGTCCATGCTGAAGGCAGCAGTCGATATGGATCATGATAGTTACTACAGCGAAGTTCGAGTCCTGGAAGCAATTCTGACATGAATATCACTAAGTCCCAAAGCGGTAAGGCTTCCATGAGGGGAACATTGATAATCCGTGCCGACTATCATCGATAAAGAAAATCCTCAGCCAAAAAAATGTTCGAGCTCGATACGAGATTCGGTGAAATCCAACCAGCAAAAATGACGGACGATGGCATGCTCATGAATTTTGAGATTGGGGATGCGCCATTACTTCCGAAGCAGAAGTTTCAAGGTGGAAGATGGAAGGACCGATTGGCAGCAAAAAGGATCGTGGAGAAGAGAATCAGCAAGCCGTCGAACCCCTCCACGAGAGAACTTTTCAAAGAGAACAGGCATACTGTCGCTGTGGAGGACTATATTGGACCCAGTACCGAGTCAAGGGCACCTAAGAGGCAGAGAGTGGACAGTGAAACTGGACGAAATGTAGACACTGCGAAATTCATTTCTGGAAAACTCCCGCCTGGCAGCATAAATATTGGTGGTCCGAAACGAAGTGTACCCATACAAGAGGAGACTCGGCCGGCCTTTGTATCAGGAAAACTGCCTCCAGGAAGCATAAAGATTGGTGGTCCAAGTCGAAGCGTAACAATACCGGAGGAGACACGGCCAGCTTTTGTATCTGGAAAACTCCCTCCTGGGAGCATAAAAATTGGTGGGAACAGAAGCACAACTTTCCCAGAAGAAACAAGATCAGCTTTCGTGTCCGGAAAACTACCGCTTGGAAGCATTGAAAGTAGAGGCAATGCTAGCCAAGGATTCACCAATGGAGGCCACCAGACAGAGAGTGGAAAGCCAAATCAGATCATCTCCTCGTTGTTCTCATTCAACCCCTCCGCAAAGACCAAGTTCGAAGAACCTGAGGAAGAGGTAGAACCTGCCAAGCCATCCAATGCGCCTCTTACAGAGGAAATGGAAACATTCACAGCATTAGGCTTGTCAAGAAGGCTGGCTGCACATCTGTCGACAAAGCTCGACATGAAGGCTCCGACGGCGATTCAGAAGGCGGCAATACCTGAGATGATCAAGGACGACAGCGATGCATTCATACAAGCAGAAACAGGCTCTGGGAAGACCTTGGCATATCTGCTACCCATTGTGGAACGAATCCTGGCTATGAGTAGCGACGATGTGAAAGTGCACAGAGATTCTGGTCTTTTTGCTATTGTCCTTACACCTACTCGAGAACTTTGTAAACAGATAGCAAGTGTCCTTGAGAAGCTGCTTCGATGCGCACCATGGATTGTCGGAACTACTGTCATTGGTGGAGAAAGCAAACAATCCGAAAAGGCTAGATTGCGGAAGGGTGTGAACATCCTGATTGCGACTCCTGGTCGCTTAGCAGATCATTTGGATAACACTGAAGTGCTGAAGGTCAACACTGTTAGATGGCTCGTACTTGATGAGGGTGATCGACTTATGGAATTAGGATTCGAGGATGAGATCAAAGGCATCGTGGAGAAAATTGGGAGACGACCGGTGTCAGCTGTTCGGGATAGGATCAATGGTTTGGACACCAAAGCATTACCAAGTCGCAGAGTTACAATACTCTGCTCGGCTACGATGAAGATGAACGTTCAACGATTAGGCGAAATCAGTTTGAAAGACGCTGTTCATATTCAAGCGGACCCATCAGATATCGAGGCCACGAGAAACGACACAGACGGAGTTGAAGTCGATGAAAAGGCCTTCTCAGCTCCCGCACAACTCAAACAGGCGTATGCTGTCGTTCCCGCAAAGCTACGTCTCGTCACTTTGACGGCAATTCTGAAGCGTGCATTTGCCAGAAGAGGTTCTGTCATGAAAGCTATTGTCTTCATTTCTTGCGCAGACTCAGTCGATTTTCACTTCTCTCTGTTCAGCCGTCCTTGGGAGGTGTCGGAGGAGGATGAAGAGAACGCTGCTGAAGCTCCACCTCTCACCAAGACTGACCTCACAAAGGATACAATCGCACATGGCACCGCCTTCTCAAGCAAAACGAATCCGGTCGTTCTTTGCAAGCTTCATGGTTCACTAGCACAGAACATTCGAACAGCCACACTCAAAGCTTTCACCGAGTCAGCTGAACCTTGTGTTATGGTTTGTACTGATGTTGCGTCGCGTGGTCTTGATATGCCGAATGTCGACTATGTTATTGAATATGATCCTCCTTTCAGTGCAGAAGACCACTTGCATCGAGTGGGTCGAACTGCAAGAGCTGGAAAGGACGGTCGGGCTCTCATTTTCCTTCTGCCAGGTGAAGAGGAAGAGTATGTCTCCATTCTCGCTTCTGGATATAAAGATGGCAAGAAAGCCCTAACCCATCATACGGCTGAGGATTTGCTGAGGAAGGGTTTCGGAGGTACGGGTCGCGAGTGGGAAGATCGTGCTACAGAGTGGCAACTCGAAGTGGAAAGATGGTCACAAGACTCTCCGAAGTATCTCGAGATGGCCCGTCGTGGCTTCCAGAGTCATATCAGAGCATATGCCACCCATGTTGCAAATGAGAGGCATATTTTCAACATGCAAACTTTGCATCTAGGGCATCTTGCAAAAGCATTTGCCTTACGAGACAAGCCTGGCAGTATCAAGGTGCCTGGTTTGAGACCAGCAAAGATGACTAAGGCGGATAGGAGTGTGGCAGCTAGGAAGGCAAAGAGGGGAGAAGTGGAGGAGAAGGCACCGGAAGGCGAAAGAGTCAGGAAGCAGAGGAAACTGGATTTGGACCTTCCATCTTTGAACGATTCTGCTGCTAAGAGAATGAAGCAGAAGATGAAGGAGCATATGGCAGTAGCGAGCGAATTCAATATCGGATGAGCTAAATCACTGAGAACCTCCGAATCTACATTCAACAGCATATTTTGACCTAAACCCTTTGACGATTTTCTGTGTAATGGACTCGAACTGCGACGTTGGTCTATCAGTGTTCACTCGCCACAAGATTCCTCTTTACAGTCTTTCGTACATAATTATAACAGCCCTGTCGCACTGATGTCAGAAATGCTGGATTTATTTTAGGCCCAGACCAGCGCCCAACTTGGAATCGAGGAACAACTCAAGATAAGAACACATGTCAGAGTGTTTTCATCAGGTTTCAAGAGTGCATCTACAACTTATCACTAGCCAGTGGCTACTTCGATTGACATTTCATTCGAAAATGCGTCATTCTTAATAAAAGGATCTCCCATAATCGTAGTGGAAGTCGAGCTCAGCTTTATTGATATTACTGGCAGAAATTGGTTGGAAGACTGTCCAATGTCGACGTAATATAGCCCTGCTCTTGGGCGGCAGTGCGAGCATGCTGAAATGACACCTCCAAGACGTCGGAGCCGTAAAGCTTATGGTTTGGCATAACCTCGAAGGAAGCATCGCTTCCTTAGATTGACTTATATATTCGTCGTCTTCGTACTCTCATCATATGAGCGGGAAAATGTGTCCTCCATCCGAAGCCATTCTGGGTCCCACACCAGCCGGAAATTAGTGTCATGAAATTCATCAGTAAGTCTGTCTTCCAAGAGGTCAAATGATGTCCACTCCGCCTTTCTTGTTCTAAATCTTTGCCACCTGTTGAAACATTTTTCTGCCATATGTTTATTATCCCACGTTAAAAAGTGATCAGTGATCTGTACCATATGTTCGTCTTTAGCATGTGCGCTGGTGTAGCTATTTTGCTGTTAACTTGAGGGCATCTTAAGACCACTGGAAACTTGTAATTGTTGGCCGCTGCTCTTTGAAGTCTAGTTGGAGTTGCCGGACTTGTTCTTTCTTGTTAGCTTAGCAACAACTTAGACATACTGCTGTGAAGTAGCTCTTAAATTCATAGTCTTTGTCATAGTCTATTGTGTCCTGCTCTTTGCTTGCTTTGTGATGGCTCTTCACTTTCGAGCCTTGTATTCACTCTTTAGCAATGTAATGATATTCTTTCTCCGTTTCTGTTTCATAAATGTAGATTGCTAGCTTTGTCAATCCTAGCATACTGGCATGTTCTTTGCCTGTCTCGCAATTGAGAGTCACGTGTCAGCCTTGCTTAGAGCTGCTTGCGCCATCCTGCAATAGCTTTAAAACACCCACACATTTTCCAATGACTAGTCAATAACCATCTTGAATTACAAAACAATAGCTTGGTTCGCAAGTCCATCCTGACTGGCTTAATGGGAGTTTGGCCCCCGTGTAATCAACGCCTTTCAAATGCATGTTATGATAGATTGAATTCCTAAGTCATAGCTATCCCTAGCGTTGTCCTTGTCTGTTAAGCGTTCTTTAAATATACACCATAATAAACTAAGCTTCCGATTTCCTAAGTCATTGCTATTGCTAGTCTTGTTCCTGTCTGATAAAGCTTATGTCGAAAGGAAGTGAGTTTCTGATTTACTAAGTCTTTGCTCGCTATTGCTAACCTCGTCCTTGTATAATTAAAGGTTGTTCAACTCGATCTATTTCGATTTGAGCTTTTGCCAAGTTGTTGCAATTGCAAGCCTCTTTGTCCGCCCATTATCGGCTTCCAAACTAACGCTAATTTGAAGTCTACTAGTTTATTGCTATTGCGAGCTATGTTCTCATCTAACAGCAGCTTTCAAACTCATGCTTTATCGATTAAGCTTCTACCAAGCCATTGCCAACTTTATCCTCGTCTAATTAGCGGCTTTCGGATCAGACGACAATAGATTGCGCTTGTATTTCGAGGTATTTAAGAAGACATTTCTTGTCATGTTAAGCTTTGAAAACTTACAACTTCTTTGACAAGAGAAATGGCTTCTTAATAACAAAGCAAAGACAATAGTTGTTGCGCAGTTGATAGCGCGGTTAGCGGATCAAACGGTAAGTGCTTTTATCTCAACTGCGCCTGTGCTTGACTAATCCTATTCCAGATAGCGGAGTCACTTCTTCACTTTTGAACTTTGATGAACAGACTAATGTCCAGAACTACACAGTACATGTACCTGGAGTTGTTCCAATAATCATTGAAAATGGTTTTGTCAAAGGTTTTGCGCCAATGACATACAATGAAACGACGATGGAGCTGGAACCGCCGCCAGGCTTTGTCTGGCCCATCCCAGAGCACGAGGCTTGTGGAGATTGGGCTTCTTTCCTGAAGGATTTGAAAGAAGGTGACCCGTCTGGACAAGTTGGTAAGAATAACACCCCAAAGAATTCTGCGACTTTTGTTTACAATATCTACTGACACTTTTCTCAGACAACTACAATCCTGCAAATGACTTCTACAAACGTCTTGCTTCGAGAAACAACACGACTCAACAAGTCCCCCCACATTCACAGAGTTCAAGTGTTGGTCGAGTAGCTGGACAATCTCAACAAGTCCCAGATTCGCCAATCCCAGTGTTGGTGAACTATCAGGACATTCTCTACTACTAAACACCCAAGAACCTATCTACATTCATCCTGGCTTACCACAAATCTGCTTTCCAGACAATGCCGAAAGTGATAAGTCGGGTAAAGCCCATACTGACAATAATCAATGTAAAGTCGCGAAAAGCTCTGGAAGATTCAACTTTGCTAATTTAAAATAACAGGTTAACCGACTCAAATTCACCATGAATCCTCGCACGCTAGTACAAAATAAACAACCTTTTCCAGATCGAAGCGCGCCATTCGCTCGCAGACAAATTCAACTCACGTCATGGACACAAAAGATATCCACCGCAACATGGCCTCCTTGGCTATGGAGCCTGCAATTCCCTTCTTCAGCGACCGACTTACAGAATCCGAGACGACTGAGGAGTTAAAGAACATTCACAGACTGGTCAAAGAGGGTATCGTAAGTTGGGACTTTCTCTTGCTTTCAAGTCGTGCCGCTTCCTTCTGCGACAAGCATACTAACTTAATTTATATAGGTGAAGAAAGACTCTCCGATCTACCTAGCGGCTATGAAGAAGCATCAAAACAAGTGGCGAGGCATCGTCGATGGACAGAAGCACGTTGTGGAAGAGAAAATGCTGGCCGAGCGCAATGACTCTGTTCGTTACGCGGTCAAATACGGCGATAAAGTTCCTTCCCACATGGCAGCTCTCATGACCGTCTCTGCTCCTGCTGGTGGCGCCCAAGCCGACGAGACTCTTGCAAAAATCGAGGTACGTATTCCCGACCTAATTCAAAAGTAACGTGCGGCTAACTCCGCTTTCAGGAGATCGAGAAGCGGGACGAAGCAAAGAGGCATTTGGACGCAATGTATAGGGTATCAATGGCTAAGTCGGCCTATGAGGTTCAACATGGACCAAATTGCTATTGCATGGAGTGGAAGCCTGCTTACACCGCCGTTTGGGCGGGTCAGTGGAAGTAGAATGTCTAGCCTTTAATGAGTGGATCCGACCAGAATAATCGTCCAGGAACTGTGGGACTTTCAAATTCTGCGCAAATAAAAATGTGAATAGCATGATGGAAGGTTTCTAGAAATGGAATGCTTTTCGAAATGTCCTCAGACTCTGGGGACTTCCAGAATATTAATTAAACAAAAGGTTTGGACAGCTATGATTCAGTCTGGGATCTCCCAAAGATGTCTTTGATATGGTCCAAACAAGCAATAGTATTCCTTCAATGTGAACGACCCCTGCTAACCCTTCGAGCATGAGATATGACCCGTCCTCCAAATCCACAGCTGTAAGAGCTAGCTCTCGATCGAGCACCATCGCGTCTCGAGAGGTCGTATTGTTCGAATTGTTCGAGGTCTCCGTCCTCAGCTTCGACGATAGCCGTTGAGGCAATGGCTTTCTCGCGCATGAGTGAGATGCTGCTAGGAGTTAGTAAGGATCCGCAGATCAATTTAGATTTGAGGACATACTCGTCTTCGCTGTAACCGGGGAAGTGAATTGCTGGTCCTTCTTTGAAGTTAAAAGGGGAGCTCTGGAGTTTGTCAGCAAGCTCTCCTCGATAGATTATTCTGATAGCTACGCACGATCTCTAGCTTAGGTCTTGGTTTTGACTTGAAGCCTAAGGATTCGAGACATCGATTGCCGATTTTGCATATGTTGTCGGAGATGTTCGAACAGGGAAGCATTTTTAGAAGTTTGACAAGTTTTTTGATAATCGAAATGGTTGAGGGGCTGTCGGCGAGTGTGTAAAAGACAAGGAGACTTGCTGCTAATATAAATGGATATTGGAACGACTGTATATAGAAAAGGGCTGAGAGGACGCGCTTGCTGAAGAACGAATTGAAATCAGAACAAAAGAATGGATGCGGCAAGGACAGTAAGAACGAAGGCCACCAGGAAGGACTGTGATGTGAAGTTGGATCGGTGTGAAAAGCACTCGAACTCCGCATAGTATGGGAGTTCCAAAGATATAAGTATCAAGCTTTCGAGAGAAGCTGAGGAAGTTTTTCGCTGCTAGGGGCAACACAATATCACAGGACAAGAAATTAGGAAGAGTCAGTCACACAATAGGAACAAATGTGTGGCGCCATGCCCACCATTCTCCAATATCACGGAGAAATGCACGCCCTCGGGGAATGATTCAGTCTGCTGGTTGCGGCAGGAAATCCGGTTGCCGTGGCTGATGTCTCCCGACGAAGCGTGGAATGTTGACGAATTCAGTAGCTATCAAGTCCACGACCGTAACACAAATGACTCACACGAGTTATTCGGGAGTGGATCGACCCGTTGTAATTTTGACGCGACTCTGAAGGATGAAAAGGCGTCGGAGATATATCGATCGACGTGGTTGCCAAGTCTTCTAGAGGCCAAGGAGGAACGACGCGGAGAATGCAAGGAAATTTACAAAAGAAGTACCTTATCTTGTAACACATTACCCTGCGAAAACTTGTCCCTATCCAGGAGCAAGGTGTATGTCGTGAACCCATCGTTCCTGTCTAAGGGATGGCGTCGTCATCAGGGCCAATCACGAGAAGGCAAGGGAACGCTTAGTCCACGGATCAGGAGTATTCTGTAACCACGTGCAACCATGTATCTGTCATTGAATCTCGAGGCTTCCTGTGTATTGATACCAATTCACCGCTCAATCTTACGTTCTGAAAAGCCAGTGGCGGCCTACAAGGTGTTTCAGATGTCTGGACACATGGCGGAAAATGAGGTCAACACGAGACATAAATTTTGGATTCGAGATTCATTGGGCTTGTCTATTTCGCTGTTGATGGTAACGCAAGATACCCGAGACCTCGTGTTGCTGCAGATTGCTGGGGCTGAGTGTCTGGTCGCCGATGGCATGGAAGTTGGGTGATCAGTCTTCCTCATTTGGGATAATCTTTGATGTGGAAAGACTTCAGCTTGACGAACTGGTCAAATCCATATTTGCTGAGTGTCTGGCCTTTTCCGGAGTTCTTCCAGCCGGTCCATGCAAGATCCTGCTGTGGTCAATATTCTGCATCTAGCCAAATCCCTGGTTACTTACTGGGCTAGGGAAGTCACATCTGTTGACAAAAACAGTTCCTGCATCCACCTCCTCAGCTAAATCTGCCCCTTTGCTCGTATCTTTGGTCCATATAGAAGCCGTCAAACCAAACTCGCTATCATTCATCAGCTTGATAGCTTCAGCATCTCCCTTGACTTTCATGACGGGGATGATAGGACCGAACGTCTCCTCAGTCATGACTGTCATACTGTGATCGACATTGGTGAGGAGAGTCGGCTTGACGAAATTGCCCTCGGAAAGAGGATGATCAAATGATTCATTCTCCGGGGTGGCATCTTTGGCTCCCTTGTCCAGTGCATCCTTGATATGCGATTCTATTGTTTCCTTCGACCGTTTGGAGATGACTGGTCCAACATGTGTTGACTTGTCGAAAGGATCTCCAAGCTTATAGTTTTTCAGAACATTTTGAATCTCCTGTACGAATTTGTCGTGGATGCTTTCGTCAACATAAACACGTTCCAGGCTGCAGCAACTCTGGCCAGAGTTGAAGACTGCACCATCGACAATTTCTTCTGCTGCCCATGCGAGGTCAACATCTGATCTGATATACGCAGGATCCTTGCCACCAAGCTCCAAACCGACATTAACAACTCTGTCTGCGGCAGCTTTTTGAACAGCCAGGCCGCCTGCCACGGACCCAGTGAAACATATGAGAGCAATCTTCGGGTCCCTGACAATCGACTCGATGATGAGAGGCGATCCGCAGTGGAAGTATTGAATGACGTTCTGAGGAAGTCCAGCCTCTAGAAAAATGGACGAAATATGCTCCACTATAGTAGGTGTTTGTGGTGAAGGCTTGAGGATCACCGAATTTCCTGCAAGAAGTGCAGGAATAAGAGAGTTCACAAGGATCAAATATGGGTACTGGAGTTTCCAGAGGTTAGCGATGAGCAGAATAAGCACAGCCTTGACTTACATTCCATGCGAAGAGAATAAGCACTGGCCCAACAGGCACTTTTTTGATAAATCTCTTGAAACCCTTCTCGGCCTCCCCTTCTGTATCCTTGAATGTGTCCTCACTAATTTTGAGTAGGTACTCTCCTCTCTTAACAGCTGTAGTGATCTCTTTCGCAGTGTAAGCAATTGGACGACCCATTTGCTCTGTGAGCTCCTTAGCAAGTTCATTCTGCTTGTCATCAAGTAGTTTCAGGGCCTTTTTGACGATAGCTTGTCTGTCCGCCAGAGATGTCTTTCGAAAGCTCAGGAAAGCTTCGGTTGCCACTTTTGGAACCAACTCGAGATCGGACGAAGAAATGCCATTTCGAGTTACGACTGGCTTGTTGGTAGTTGGGGAGATGGTAGTGATTGTTTCCACGGACATTTTCAGTGCAGGATCCCAAATGTGTGTTGTGAAGAGAAAGTTTTCAAAAAACAGTGGGATGAAATTGGGACGAAAGGGTACAGTGACGTGCCCCGCTAATCTTATCGAGTTACAGGGGGTGGTCCGCTATCGCCAAACTTTAATTTTTCAACTTCAAAGAACCTCGAAAAAGTTTCAACTACCACTTGCACGACCATCAACATGGCGACTCGAAAGCACAACGAATTTCTCGAAGCAGATGAGAGCGAAGACGATCAAAGCCAAGGATACAACTCCGAGGATGAGGATCTGCAGAAAGGCGGGAGGAGTGTGAAGCGGAGGAAGGTCGAAAGCGATGCCAGCGAGGACGAGGAAGCAGACCAGGATGAGAAATTAGACGGAGAGCACATCGAGCACGAGGACACCAAAGATGCTGAAGGAAGCGCCCCAAGGAAAAACAAAATTGCAGAACTCCCAGGCGTTTCCAAGCCGCTCACGAAGAAGAACCTCGTTGCGACAGAAGCAGCCATCAAAAAGTCCGGCGTGGTCTACTTATCCCGAATACCACCTTTCATGAAACCTTCGAAACTCCGATCGCTACTCGAACCATATGGTGCAATCAATCGCATATTCCTTACACCAGAAGATCCAACTTCACATACCCGACGAGTGCGCAATGGAGGCAACAAGAAAAGATCATTTGTCGATGGCTGGGTTGAGTAATAATTATAAACAAAATGATTATAAGTAAAAACAATATAATAATAACTTTAACAGGTTTGTGAACAAAACCGCTGCAAAACAGGCTTGTGAGCTACTCAACGCGCAGACCATTGGTGGAAAGAAAGGCACATACTATCACGATGATGTGTGGAATTTGCTATATCTGAAGGGTTTCAAATGGAACCACCTGACAGAGCAAATCGCTGCCGAGAACGCCGAGAGAGCAAGCAGGATGAGGGCAGAGATCAGCAAGACTACGAAAGAGAACAAGGAATTTGTGCAGAATGTTGAGAGAGCGAAGATGCTGGAGACTATAGAGGCGAAGAAGGCCGCCAAGAGGAGAAAAGATGGTGAAAGCGGTGTTGGAACAGCTGAAGCAACGATTTCGAAGAAGGATGCAAAGAAGGCTGAACGACCGCGGCATTTCAAGCAGACGACGGTAGCGGCAAAGAGGAAACCTGAAGATCAACCTGAGCAGGTGAAGAGAGTTCTGAGTAAGATCTTCTGAGCATAGCATAAGTGAAATTATACCCAAATGGAACTTTGCGTGTCAAGACGAAATTTGATTCTTATCTTGTGAGCTGCAGAAGAAAGTAGGTTATGGTTGGTTGGCCCAGAAGGCTTCAGCAGTATACGGGCAATCCGGCAACACTTTGAGATTTATCTATTCCTGGATTGATCCAATGCTTGAAATCAATTAATGCATCTACACTTTTCTTCCCCAAATCCACCCCGTTTCTGACACTCTAGCACCAATCAAGATCGTTGACCCAAGAGCCATACACGTTCCTCCAAATATACAAACCCCAACAAACTCTCCTCCCATCCTATCAATCAACGCGCCCGCAATGGGACCACCAGTAAAGCAAGCGAAAGCTACAACGCTAAGCACCATGCCCACCCTTGTTCCCATCTTACTCAAATCCTTGGTCAAGCTAGACACACTGCCCAGGAATATTGCTTGCACGCCAGCGTTCATAAATCCGTAGATTACTACGAATGTAACGAGGCCACCAAAGGAGGAGACTGCTAGCCAAACGTATATGAGGAAGGCACAGATAATACTGAGGAGGATGAATGTGTTTAAAGGACCGATGATGCGATCTGCTAGAAGAGCTGGGATAATACGACCCGGAATACCGACGGCGTTGAATATTAAGAGGATGGTGAGGCTGGTTGACGAGGTCGTGTGGATTATACTTGTTGCGAAGATGTTGATCTGGTAATGTTAGCTTTGACTCGAGTAAAGGAAGAAATGAATGACTAACATAACCATAAGCATAATACACTGGCCAAAGCACAAAAAATGTGCCAATAGTGTACAATAGGTATGGCATCTCCTTGAAGGCAGCTTTCTCCAAGAACGGTCCAGATGGTCGTGGCGGTAGTCGTGTTCTAGCAAGTGTTATGACCATAATGACGTTGAACAGGACCACAAATCCCATGATTCGAATCGTCCATGGAAATCCGATTCTCGGAAGCAGTTTCTGAGCTAGAAGGGGAAAGATGATTCCACCAGTGCCTCCTCCGCAAGCAACTAGCGATATTGCGAACATACGTCGTCGTTGGAAGTAAGTCGAGACAAGACTTATCGTAGGGCAGAAGATAAGTCCTGTCCCCAAGCCTTGACAAATACCTTGAGAAAGGAAGATTTGCCAGTACTGAGTTGCGAACGAGACTGAGAAGATTCCTAGAAGTTGAAGAAAGCATCCGGCGATCAAAGTGTGGCGGTAGAAACCTGCATCGAGAGCTCGCCCAGAAAATGCTCCAATGAACATTAAGAAGAAAATCTGAACACTGCCCGTCCATGATACTGTAGATGCGGGGAGATTGAGAGTCTCTTGGTAGTAGGCTTGGAAGATACCATAGGAATTTATATACCCCCAACAATTGACGTTCAGGAGATGTCCCATGAGCACTATCGCGGTCAGTTGGATACTAACATTATGAAGTCGTTGGACTTACCTTGAAGCCAAGCCCGGGTGCCGCCATCTGGAGGCGGCCCTTGGCAGTTCCTAGGACTTACATCATTCCATCCTTGCCCTTGAGAAGAATTTCGAGGTGGTTCGTAGGGTTCCTCGACGGACCCCGCAGTGTTTTTGAACTCCAATTCATGGTTCCCTTTCAGGGTCACGTCTCTATTAGACAGGGCATCTATGTCCATGCCTTGAGAATACTAAAGTTCTCGAATGCCCCTATTAAGTAGAATTAAAGAGTATACAAAGGAAAAAAAGTGCTTGATCATTTGGCAATTGACAAAAGTGGGGCTAGCGGCAGTAGCTAAACTTGCGTGATTGATAGGGCTGAGTGGCAATAACTGTTTATTTCGCCAGCATTGTCGCTCTCATCTTCAGGTTTGGATATTTTGTTCTTAGCCCTCTCCTTTCGCCTGGCGTCGAGTCCTGCCTTCAATGCCAGCGAAGCAGGTGTACGACCATCAGGATATGGATCTCCTGGTGGCATCGTAGTTTCTCTAGGATCGGGAGATGTCGAGTCATTAACTGGTTGGACGGGCTCGGGCTCGATGGAGTCTTCTGGTACGTTGGGTGTGTCAGACGAAGAAAGAGCCATGATTAATGATAGACAGTCTTCAATTGTAGCTGTCGGATTGATTTACTTTTTCTCATCAGAATGTCGGTTCAAGACAGAATGACTTCTGGAATCGAGAACAGCGGGCCTGACAGGGGCAGCGCTAGCGCCGGCTCTGGAAGGTTAGCTTCCGCTGGGCTGGATCCGGGGAAAGGTTTCGGACGGTATTGCCTAGCCAGCAACGTCAACATCTCTACGCATGCTTCACTTCCAAACAAACTTTCAAACGCCTTTTCGTTTCATCCTCTCGCGAACTTTCTCTGGAGCTTCATCATACCCTCTGCCATGGACTTCTTTAATGGTCTAACGACCGATTCTTCCAATAGCCGGTGTGAGAAGCTCCAGGCGCCGAGTTACCTCAATCTTGCATTATCGATGTGAGTAACCATAACACACATGGCTTGAGACAGCACCTGACCCGCAACACAGCTTGCTTCTCCTTGGTATTCTCATATCTTACCTCCCCCAACATTATCGAATTATCTCCCGAGGCACATCCGAAGGCATCTCACCATTCTTCATCCTTCTCGGGACAACCTCGAGTACAAGCGCGTTCGCGAATATTCTAGTTTTGCCGGCCTCTCGAGCAGATGTAGCCTGCTGTAAACTCGTCAGCACATTTGAATGTGCGGCAGGCCTTCTGGGCATTGCGCAGCTCGGCGTACAATGGTTCTCCTTTTGCATCATGTAAGCTCGCACCAGTTACAATGAGACAGTCGCTGATCTTTCTAGACTTTTCCTATTCCTTGTTTTCTTCCCTCGAGCTCCGACCCTGCCCCCTGACGAGCAAAAAGAATACACATGGCGGACAGCTGTAACGGTGGCGATCTTGTGTTTGTTACATGGTCTCGTCGTTATCATCGTCAGTGTAGCTCTAATCATCGCACGACCACACCATTTGGGGGCTTGGGCGAATACATTGGGGATAACAGCCACGATATTGGCTGCGATACAATACTTTCCGCAGATATGGATGACCTGGCATCTGAAGCATGTCGGGAGTTTGAGTATACCCATGATGTTGATTCAGACTCCGGGTAGTTTTGTGTGGGCTGGTAGCTTGGCTGCGAGATTAGGTCCCACAGGCTGGAGTACGTGGGGTATGTTTGTGGTTACTGGGTGCTTACAGGGCACGTTGTTGGGTATGGGGATCTTCTTCGAGGCCAAAGCCCGAAAACAGAGGGAGAATACGGAAGGAGAAGGAGTAAACACTATCGAAACCGACGATGAAGGTGGTCCCGTGGTCGAAGACGGACTTACAGAAAACACACCTCTGCTAAATGGGTCAAGGAAACCGTCCTCACAGCCCGAATATAGAGATTGATTAGCTAGCAAATATTTGGATACTAACTCCACTTTGGTCTCACTCTACATGCCCGAAAGTTGGTCAGGACATTGAAATCCGTGCATTAAATCTCATCGCTATTTATGATCGTCTGAAATCACCCTCCCCCACCCTTTCCTTGGTCTACTTCTAAGTACCACTCCCAAATTCCTAAGAAAACGACCCAAGTTGGGCAACACATCTCAAATCCATGCGTTCAATTTCGTCATTATCTACCTATCATATAGCCTCCCCTGCTCTACTATAAATCAAAAGACATACCCAGCAGCAAGTGCTGCAACCGACATAGCAGCAAAAGCTTTAATAATGCCCCTGCCTTTGATTCTCGACGAATCGCTCTCTGCACGTGAATAGAGCGATGGCAGAGCCGGTGGCGGGATATATAATGGCGGTAAGGTGAAATCGAGTGGTGAGCCGTAGTCCGCTGGCGTGGCGGTTTGGATCTCTTCTGTGCTTGTTGGGATGTAAGTTGGCAATGGAGAGTAGTCATAGCCGAATCCTGCTGGCGTGGTGGTTTCTGCTGTGTTGCTTGATGGTGGACCGTAGACTGGCGGGAGTCGGTAGTACCCTGGCGTGCTGAGAGAAGTGGTCTCTTCTATGCTGGATGGTGGAGTGTAACTGGGTGGTAATCCATAGCCTCCAGGTATGCTAGGAGGCGTGATTTCTCTAGTGTTTGATGGTGGGGTATAAATCGGTGGGAGTCCGTAGCCTCCTGGCGTGCTAGGGGAGGCGGTCTCATCAGTGCATGGTGGCTCCGAAGTCGTGGGCTTGGAAGAAAGTGGCGATGAGATTGAGTGGTGCGAAGGCTCTAACAATTCTGACGTAGCCTTGCTTGAGGTTGGAATTGAGACCTCTTTCGCTGTGGAGGTCTTTGAGGAGGGTTTGTGGCTATATGAGCGTTTCTCAGATCTCTGTGAGGAAATGCTGGACAGTCCTGCTGAGGATACCGAGGTTGACGAGAATCCAGATGACGGTAAGTCTGATGATGGGTTCACGTATATCGTGCTGGTGCTGAAATCCAAGGTTGTTCGAGTGAGATACGTTGTTGGCTGGGCGCTCGTTGATTGGGCAGGGCTGGATGAAACGCTGGAAGAGGAAGAGATGCTTGATAACAGAGAAAACGAGGTATGTGATGAAATGCTCGATAATGGGGAGAGTAAGGATGTTGACAATGATGTTGGTATTCCCAGCGTGGACTTCGCCGATGACAGATGAGCACTGGGTGCAGCGGAGGAGCGATTTACATATATTGTGCTAGTACTGAAGCTCGTCCTGGTCAGAGAGGTTGTCATGTCGGTAATGGTGGCATGAAACGACGTTAACGACCTGATAGGAATCGAGGATGCACTTGAGAGAAGTGAGGGACTGATCGAAGCAGAGTGAAGTTTCAGTGATGTCCCAGACGAGGGTTTCAATGTCGATGACGGACCATCAAGTGTGCTTGACGATCGCTCCACTGCGATAGTACTTGTTGAAAATACTGTCCGCGTCAAGTGAGGGATCAAATCGGTACTTGTTGGTCGAGTGGATATTGACACTTTGCTAGGGATCGACGAGATGCTGATGATACTTGTTGAGCCAATACCTAGCACGGTACTGGTCGACGTGGAGTGAAGTTTCAACGATGTGCCAGGTCTGGATTCTGAACTCGACGATGAATCATCAAGTTTACTCGATGATTGATGTACCTCGATGGTACTTGTGGAGAACACCGTCTGAGTCAAGTGAGTGATCAAATCGGTACTTGAAGACTTAGATGTTGAAACTACGGGAGTGATCAGAGTCGACAAAACACTCGATAGACGTGAACGAATGTCTGAGGACGTGCTGGACAAATAAGAGCTCGAAACCAGCCTCGCAGACGAAAACGAAGGATCAAGTGAGCTTGTTACGTATATTGTACTGGTGCTGAAGCTCGTTCGAGTCAAGTGAGTAGTCAAATGCTTGATGCTTGTACTTGATTCTTCACAGTCGTCTGTGGAGGCAGAAGTTGAAAAGACTCCTTGTGCTGAAGAATTGCTGCTCAAAAGGTCCGAGGATTTCGAGGACAATGCAAATGTTGTGGTGTCGATCGAATGATGATGCGTCCGAGTAGTTCTCGCAGAATGGCTCGAGTGAGTCGTCTTTGCTGAATGACTTTCATGTTCAGTAGTTGTTTGGAAACTTAATGGCTGCGTCGTGGATACCAAATGAGTTTCATCTGACTGGGATTTCGATATCATGGAGCTGAGACTCGACGTTTGACCTTCGCAGCTCTGATAAATGGTAACCGTTGCTGTGACAGTCACCAGTGCTGGTAGTCCGCCGCCATAGCCTGGTAGAGATTGCGCGTGGCCGAACGCCCGAATGACGCCTAAGAGTAGTGATATAATTAGGTTGTGGGAGTAACTCATATTGATGATGATGAAGCCTCTAGCTGTTGATACTGTTAAGTATGGAGCAACGGTGGATGTGAAGAGAGTGTGCCAGGAAGCACCACTGAAGTCAGATAGGCTATCAGGTTTTCCGGTGAGGTAAGAACATCGGGATTGGATGCAGTGAGACAAAAATGGCCTCCAAAGGCAGGCTCCTTCCTATATGAAAGTGAAGTTGGTCTTCTCCTCTAAAGTATGATTTTCACACGCACGCCGATGGCACTTTCTCGGAGGATGTCGCCGACTGTGTACCCAGAGTTGATCACAGGGATATTAAACAGTTGGAGGATCGATCCCGATATGAATACAGGTTCCGTACAAGGTGACTGTTACATGTGCTACATGTCAAAGTCCGATGCAAAGTTGCACATCGATTATTTTCACGTGGGGTAGGCAGTTTGCAGGATTGCAGAAGAGCTTTCCAATGGCAAATTTGGTTGCTATTTTATGTTTTACACTTCACCTGTTAACAACAGGTTGTTCTCTTCTGGGAGTTCCAGCCTCTGCAGGCCAATCAATATTGGTCAGGCTTTCGAAGTTTTCGGCGCTCCAAATTTCGTTCGCCCCTAAGTTTTTAAGTTTTAGTCAATTTCAAGTTGTTCTTTGAGGAATGATTTGAAGTAGAAGCATATACGCTCACCTTCGACCTCGATTGTCAACTGAATTTATAATCAAAGTCATCACCCCTATTAAGCTTCGCTAAATTGACCAACCACGTCTGAACAAACCTATAGCCATAACCAGGAAATGGACAGTTCCAACTGGGGTGCGGCTGCGAGTTGCGAAAGGAAGATGAGAAGGATAGTAATGATGACCTTCATTTCAAACACGTCTTGGAGCTGATGATCTGGAGAGTTGGACTCTTCTAGGCTTTTGTAAGATCTTAGGTCGTTCTAGCTCCGATTTTGCTGTTATTCACGACTTTCGACCTCTGAACTGCCAGAAAAGGTGAGTCTAGCGAAGTTCTTGAACATTTGAACATTCACAAGCACCGAATGACAGTATAACGGGAACATACTAACGAACGATATTTGAAAAGCCATGTATATGCATTATTCCACAAAATCCACGTGTATCGAGCCTCACACTAAGTTGTTCGGAATCGCTTCCCTTCATGAATTTCTGTTCAATGAAATCTCCAAATTTTTTCATAGCATGCCAACTACAGCTGCACAAGCAACTGCCAATCCGAATAGCTCAGCACTGTTCCTGCTAGAGGCGTCAGAAGATTGAAGTGTTGGAGTACAATGTCCATTCGGCTCAGTGCAAGCTCTAGTAACCTGGACACAACGTGCGGAACAAATACATTGGCCGCTGCTGTTGACGGAACCACCGGCGCAGAGCGAATTTGAAACGTCGGATCCGCTGACGAAGCCACCGCTGTTGCTTTGTCGGGATACGAGCTCGTTGATGAGTGGGCCTGCGGGAACTGGTGGACGAGGAGCTGCGGCCGTAGAAGAAAGAATGGACAAGAGAGCAAGGGCGACGAAGACGATGGAAGTGATGAGCTTCATTTTGACGATGTTCTGTTGATATTCCAAAGTATGCGACTTCAGTTAGTCTCGAAAGTGACTGTTAATAGTCGCTATTTGAGGTTTTAGGTTGCTCTTCCTTTGATTGTTTGAGATTCAAATTGCAGTGGGTTTCTTGATTGCCGATATGCTTCCGGAAACTAGACTGTCGAGGAATAGGAATGTAGTGCTGGTGATATTGACATGAAGGAAAGCTTGGAAAGAGAAATGGAGGGCTATTTATATAACGACAGACTTGCAAGAGATCCTATCTACGAGACAGTCATCCGCCTCAGCATCTCGAGTCACGCATGTGAATTATTTTCTTTACTCTCTCCTACTTGGAACTTATTCTTTTGACTGGAATTGGAGCCAGTCCGAGGTTCTCGGCTTTTGAGCTCTGTTCTATGATTTTGACGTCGCGAAAAAGTTCTTATGGACGTCAATATGTCAAATCCTACTGCTCCTATGGCGCTCGAAATCAAGTTAGAAAGACTGAACATTAAGAGTTATCGTCAGATGCACATAGAAATGGTGAGGCAACTAGATACAAATTGAATCGAGGAACAATACAACTTTTCATGGCACGCTTTACACAACAACAAATGCAAATGGTGTCGTTATTGGGTGCCTATCTTTTGGCTTCATGTTGGCTGGGGTATCACGTAACATTATTGCCGACCCCGCCCTGCAGGCACTCCCTGTGCCGTAGATCCGCTAAAGCAGCCCCGCTATGATCCCTAGAGATAGCTGATCAAATGTGCAAGCACTTTTCTCCTTTCTTCGTTAAATTCTACTTTCTCTCACGTCCATTAATAAGAAGTCATTTTGCCCTGTATCACATTATAAGATCATCAGTGTGAAGCTGATCAAAAGCTGTTGAGAAATCTGGATATTCTGAAGACTGTTTCGCGCTTGGTGGGGTCGCTTCACGATGCTGCCCACATCGCTGGCAGGCTCTTACCAGCAGTACAAGCAAGACACTACCGTCTTCACAACATGTAAGCATGGAAGAAAGCTCTATACTCGATACCCCTACTGACTGCTAAGAAGGGCTTTCGAAAGCTGCTATTGCCTGTGGTTACGAAATTCCATCCGAACATCTCCAAAAACCCACTCCCACGGCTCAGACAAAGGCACAAACTCCTTCCAAGCGACTCAAAGGCAAGGCAAGAAAAGAGGCTGCAGAGATCCCGAAGGTTGAAACTGGAAAACCGGACACGCGTCCAATCATCAGATATGTTGTGCCAACGAAAGAGTTGATCAAGCAGGCAGAGGTTGTGGCAAAGCAAGGAAAGCGTGTTCTACCACAAGGATTGAGAAGAGTTGCAAATCGTGCGATTGATGCCCGAAGACGATGTGCAGATTGGTTTCGAACATCAAAAGTCAAGAATGAGCATTCGGATGAGGGTATGTATTGAGTGCAATGCTTTCTTTTGGGTTCTCCTGCAATATCTGACAAAATGAAGGCCATCAACACTTCATTGGCACCTTAGAGGCAGCGTTGGCAATTCTAGAACAGTCAGAGCAGCCCATGAAGGGCAAAACTGTCGTCGACACAACTATTCCTAACCCTGATGAGCCTTCTTGGAGTCAATTAAGCAACAAATTTCAGCACTTGCAAGTCGAAGACCTTTCAGAGGATGACGATGATACATCTGTCTTTACCGATTCAGGAGATGCAGTGCGTGCCGTTTTCGAATTGGAGGAAGAATCTATTGAAATGAAAATGAGCCTCATGATATTTTCCATCTTTGAAGACTTGCATCGCATTCAGGACTTTCTCAATGAGCTCTGGGGAAAGTACAAGGCCGACGAAATCGACTTGCTGTCCGTGAGCTTGATCACTAATACAGCCATCCAACTTGTTCGTCAAAATGAGGAAGAGATCCTAGCTTCTGCCCCAAATTTGTTCAACAAGAAACGATCATATAACACTATAGCCATCGTCATATTCTACGCCAATGCTTTCAGCGAAGGATACGATCCGGCCGAAAAGATGAGATCGAATGATTCTTTGAAGCCAACACCATTCGATGACTTCATATATCTATCAACAGCTCGAATCCTTATGAAGATGGATTTCTTTAGCAAGATGCCAGATAATATTGCTTATCCGGCCCCAATATGGCCATTGAGAATGTCTTTTATCTCTCGACCAGAACTTCTTGCTATGCCATACATAAAGCACAAGGAGAAGGAAGATGTTATTCTTTCGCAGCACATCATCGATCATGATATGTATGAACAAGTCTGCGAAGCTATCAGGACATTTGGCTCTGACGATATCTCGGTACCGCCAGCAGAGGACGAGATCACGAAATCCATTAGAGAGGTTAAATACAAGGACATCTTTAGTGTAGCCTCGGTCTTCGCATGTCGAATTTTCCTTGATATTGTCAACATTCTTGGAGACGATATCAAAAAGGGACGGCAGCAACTGAAAAAGATCTCGTCTAAGATCGATGCTGCCATCAAGTCTACGGGTATTTTTGCTGACGATGCTACTTTACCAGTCGCTTGGTTGACGAAAGACTCTGAGATACCACAGCGATTGCACAAGACATGTAAGACATGGACTCAGATCACTCCATTGGCCATGATGAAACGGCAAAAACTAAAGGAGCTACCACCTGGCTGGGATAAACCAGTCACTTATGATGTGGGCATTACTGAAGCACGAGACGAGGTCGAGCCCTCAACATACACCAAAGAGCAGCAGGAAAGCGCCAAGAAGTCTACTATGAGAGGTGTTGAACTTCCGAAAAATCCGAAGTTCACTAGCATAACCTCTGAGGTTCTCTCAGTGCCTTATAATCTCCAAGACGCTTCACGCTATTTTGATTCGGACGAAATTGATCCAGCTATGTCGGACATTATCCGAACGAGACTTCTCGCTGCAGCAGGCCTCAATGACGACGCAGTCTCTGCAGAGCATCAGGCGACCGCGAAGCGACTAAACATAAAGCCAATCTCTCCCAATCGCGATGTGAATTTGTTTTTCACCCACAATCCTACGTACTGCGGAAGTGTTGCACTTCAACTTGCAGCAGACTCAGAAGAATCCGGTCTTCGACTTGCCAACTACCATGTTGTCCCGACTTTGATTGCCCACCTGTACAGTGAAACGCAGAGGACAAGGTTGCTGGATGCCGCTTGGCCTGAAATAGATCAGTTTATTGGTATGCACATAGCAGACATATTCAATGGTCAACGACCCCAATCTGCTGCAGAAGCATTCATCAAGTACACAAAGACTCTTGGAATTTCCACCACTACGCGGCTGAATCGACACCAGCGAGAAAATCCTTTCAAAGAGCCTAATTACAGCTTGTTACCAGTGAGCGATGCTTTGCGGCCTTACTTTGAAGGAAAAGACACGTTTGCTGCCTCTGTTTCCAAACTCGAAGCTGTTGTTCAAGCTCACAGGCAAATGATTACCCACACTTCCAAGCACAAGCGCAGAGAAACTCGACGAAAACTCACTCCTATCCAATTTCTGGGCAAGATGCAACATTTGCTCAGAAGAGATACCGAAGCTTCGTATAGACTACATAAGTCTGACCAAGACCTGCTACCTGTTGATGAAGCAAATACATTCAGAGATCAAGACAAGTGTTGGAATCGACTACCCTCTTTACAATGGCGAAGATACTCTTGAACCTCTCTATCCTATCCTGGTCAAGGATATTCTGCGTGATTCGAAGGAAAAACAAGGAGAGCGAGCTAGAGGGGAAGATGGTAGTCAAAGTCCTCAGCTTGAGGCTGTAGCGCGAGTCCTGAAGAGATATCTGGATATCAGATCTCGAGTTTGTGGCACTCCGAATTGAATATCAAGCATCGGGAGAGGTTGGAAGAGTACCTCGGCCTTAGAATAGAAATGATATATGGAATTCTCAAAAGGTTTGTCAGCAAGGTCAAGTCGTGCTTGCTCGCTCGCATATTGGGAGATTTTCTGACTTGCACCTTGTGTTTCGTTGCTTTGCTCAAATTCTCCGTGTATATCTTGCAGTGCGAGGGTCACAAGTTGCTTCAAAAATCTTCTCTCAATTCGGTGAAAAAAGTTGAGTCGTTTAAGGACTAATCAAGGGGCATTTGATCTGCGCGAATTGAGTGAGCTGCGCTTGCGCTTTGTCGAGCCCGTGGATTTCGAAGGCCTGAACTAACATGCCAAATAATAGATAAGAGCATTTTTGTAGTCATAGACTGTGCAGTAGGTGATTAGACCGCGAAGATCAGACAAAAATGGGGAAGGTCCAAGAGTGGGCTGCATACATCGTCGGCCCAACACAGGTTTGAATCCCAGAATCAAACTCGTAGACAATCACAATTCCTTATCAGAATCTCCAACCAAGAACCTGAAACTTCTAAAGATACAAGTCTTTCAATCGGGTAAGCCACATCACGTCTCTCAACCCCCTCGAATCGTTCCAGGTATCTTAGACGATTAGAACAACGCACCTAAACGCCCCAAGGAAAATGGCGAAAACAATCGATTTCGAGCCCAAATACATCACTTTCGACTGCTATGGCACATTGACAGACTTTTCAGGAATGACTAGCCTGACGAGAGAAATCTACGGCGACCGTCTCGAAGGCGAAGAACTCGAACGCTTCATAGCTCTATTCTCTGGCTACCGCTTCGACGAATGTCTAGGTCCTTACAAACCCTATCGCGAAGTGCTAGTCAATGCTGTCCGACGTACTTGTGTCAGGACAGGAGTTGAATTCGCAGAGGGCGAAGCAGAGAAATTCTACCTCGCAGTCCCAACTTGGGGACCGCATCCAGATGTCCCCGAAGGTCTTCGTCGTCTTGCGAAGAAATACAAGCTTGTTATCTTATCAAATGCATCAGACGATCAGATCATGCAGAATGTGGAGAAGCTGGGAGCTCCATTCCATGCTGTTTTCACTGCTCAACAGACGAAGGCTTATAAGCCGTTGATGCACGGGTTCGAATACATGTTTCAAAAGCTGGGGTGTGAGCCGAATGAGTGTTTGCATGTTTCGGCGAGCGTTAAGTATGATATCTTGACGGCTGAGGCGATGGGGATAAAGCATAAGGTCTTGGTGAATAGAAAGGGAAGTTCGGATACCCCAAGGCCGGGCCGTGATTGTTATGAGGTTAAGGATATCGGCGAGCTTGCATCGATGCTCGGGCTCTGAAGTGTTGTTTTTTTGGCAGCCTTACAACTCAAAACTCAAAGCATACATTTCTGGTCATTGTGTCTTGAGTAATATAACAAGAGCCTCCATGAGTATCATTTCTACATGCTTGACATTTATGCTGCTCGAATTGTCGAGCCGCAGGACAGATACCTGCGTACTTCGGAGCCGAAAGGAGCGACCGGAAAGGGGTTAAGCGATTGACACGTGATGGATATGCTGCCGAAAGGCAAGTTCCAAGTTCCTCCTCACTTGCGTAATGGAGCCTCTACATCGAGTCTCCAGCTATGGTTCCTGGTTCCCTTGCTTGGATGCCTAGCTTCGCCCATTCTGCAATATGCTCTTTGACGAGGCTGATGAGACGTCTTCACGAGGCTATTGACAAGAGCGGCCTGTCAAAGAAAGAGAGGAAGAAACGGGAAAAAGAACGTCACCTCCCAGAAAGCACGATCTAAAGAGATGAATACATACTTAGGTATATTAGGTAAAGGACTAATATGAGAGGATGCTCAGCTTTGACAAATATTTATATTGCTTCTCAGTGTTTTGTATTCCTGAGTATGATGTGGTTGCAATATTAGGGAATTTGAACGCAGCTCAGTGAGCATTTCACGAAAATATCCTTGTAGTGCTCTTATGAATTCTAGCCTAAAGTTGCCCAGACTCGCTAAATTACAGTGAACCTGAGCTTGAAAAAAGCTCGCTTAAAAACTTCCTAGGTAGAATTTCCCCTTTAATTCTTGTATCCCATAAGACGCAATGAAGAAGTAGTCAAAATATGATTTGCAACTTAGAACATGTTTTATGATACGTTCAAACATAATTTCTGATATCACATCTCCGTGTAGAATAGAGTCTCAAACCACGCCAATACCGTACCCGACCACGCATCAGGCAACACCAGGATGCTCAATTTCATCCCACATCAAGCAGGACTTTCCATCACAATCTGCTCAATAGTACAGGTAGTTATGCCCCCAGAGGTACTCACCACCGGAGTCGTCATTGTATAAGCTGTTGCAGAGTCGTAATTCTCAGGCGCGCTGTTGTGATTCAGTCTCATTCTTGGGACGGCCAATCTGACTAAGAATACTTCTTACCTTGTGCACCATGATGTTTCTGTAGTGTTTACCACCATTTGTACATTGTTCCAAACGAGCTGTCCAAAGTTCCAGGTCACGTCGTACAGTTCAATTGCCAAGAGAGCCTATTTGAGGTTAGTTCTTAATTGAACTAATTGTCTTGAATGCCCGATGGGATATTGGTCGTACTTGATTCATGTTCTTGTAGGCTGCAACGAAATCAGCTCACAAGTCTTCCTTTATTTTTAAAATTGTAAGGAATAAGGTCATACCAAGCGGGAAAGTGTCCGTCACCGTTTGAGTGCCTTGAGTGATGACAGAGGTCCAATCCGCAGAATTGGGCACAGCTCGTGTCATATTGATAGCCACAGTAGTTCCAGCAGCCACCTCCAGAAGGTCAGATCAAAGGTTTTGCTGGTAAGGTGGTATCTTACATTGAATCCACTGCCCCAGGACAAGGTTGGGTCGCTAAAATTTAAATCAGCTCGTATGTCTATGACTAGGTTTTAGCAGTACTTCCCTGCAGCACCAGCCAGCTCCAATCCACCAATCTCCGGATCTGCCATCAAGGACCTCTTGGTAGACTCCTAATATACCTGTTAGATGGATGGCAAATTACAAGCACGTGCTTACCAGATGTTCCGACATCTTGAAGTCCTGGCCATAGATAATATGTTGCTGCTTCTGGAAGCGTTGGGACTACCATGTCCATAGAGAACTGGAAATGTCAAATGAATTAACAAAATACAGAATGCTTGGAAAGTACCTCGGTGAACTCGACCGAGCTGTCAGGGGTGTACCATCGCAGGAAGTACCATGTCACGGCGGAGGCTTTGTGTAGGTAGAAGGAAAGAGGAACAAGAGCAACTGGGAGTAACTTCATGATACTGAATTTATCCCAAGACAATAGCAGAATGCTTCTACCGCTTGATAAGATGGAATGAAAACGATGATGGTACAGGCAGAGAGATGAAGTGAAAGAGACGAGTGATATAATGGAAAATGTTTCTCCGTGACCCACCCTCATTGGCATGTTTTTGGCTTGTCTCCCCACATACGGTGAGCATATCGAGAACTATATCGAAGATCGAATATAATCGAAACGAACAAACAAGGAAGGTCGCCAGCGGAGATAAATTTGCCGAGACGAGGAAATGCCGATGATAAGATCTTGGTGGCATAAACCCTGAACCCTTCAGCCGAGTCGAACGTGATACCCTGAGAAGTCGATAGGAGTTTCTCAATTGACTCTCTTGCGCGCAGTACCAAATGACCTGCACTTCTGCTTCATAACAGTTTGTTGAAAGAGAGCGAAGACAACCTCAGGTGGAAGTCAAGTTTTGTAGACCACGTGATCATATTTGGGGCGGCGCTTCTCCGAGAGAGACTACACCTGATTGGGTATGGTCAGGTTCTTTTCGAATCTTCTTACCCCTTACTCCTTTCAGGGCTTCATTCTGAACTTGCGGAGTGCTTGCACTTCAGTAACAATTGTCGCACAAAGGTGTGTAATGATACTATAAACGATGCGCTGCTTCGAAGCTCTAGTTGAATTGAACAAGAGCAGCCCAATATGCCCCAAACGCCCGATAGCCTCAACAGGCAACGAACCCTTAACGATTAGAGATCTGATTGGGGCATATTCAATGACAGACAGCAAATTGGGCTGAGGAAAATGGAGCTAGCCCCACTCTCTCCCTCCTCAGCCTCGTTCTCTTTTTGATGTTGCAGGCACAGCCTCCACAACCGACACCGCAAGCCAGCCTCACTCTGCAATTTTTATTTCTTCCTTATGAGATATAACGACCCAGGAATTGAGCCTTAAGAGTCACAACAAGGTCACCCATTGCTCACAAGAATGGTGTCCAATCTCTTCGGAAGTCTTTCAGCCACAAACGATACGGTGTCGTGGCACCCGGAAGCAACTACTCGAGGAACCTATACTCTACCGTCTAGTTGTCTAATCACTACTGCACTTTGTGTCCACACTGCGGTGCATCTCAACATCGCTGGCTACAACGAGCGCAAAATCTTGTGGATCAACACTCAGACATGGAGGAAGCTGGGATGGCTCGTTTTAGGCCTGCTAGCTCCTGAAATGGTTGCAATGACAGCTTAATATCAACGACGAGAAGCCAGGTACTTTGTTGCTGCAGTCAATCAGTATCTGGGTACTCCCAATTTCCCTAGTTGGTACAAGCGCGTGTGGCGGAAACCTCGATTTCTATTCAGGAAGGATATTGAGGACGCTGCTGAAAGAGAAAAGTCGCCTAAGCCACTCTGGACGATGAGGCATGGATTTTTCGCTGTGATGGGAGGCTTGATGTTTGATACGACTGAAGCTCCACAGCTATTTATGCCAAAAGGCTATGAGAGACTTACACTGGATCTCGACGCCATCTGCTTTCTCTTGAAGCATGAGCCCGATCTTCTACCATACATCACAGCTAAGGATATCGACAACAAGAGCCAAGCGGGTGGTCTCGGCAAATTGTTGGTTTGTCTCCAAGCGCTTTGGTTTTGTGTACAATGTATTTCGCGACTTAAGGACTCCTTGCCTATCAGTTTACTCGAGTTGAACACATTTGGTCATTCAGTGTGTACAATCCTGATATACTTGATGTGGTGGGAGAAGCCGATGGATGTCATGGAGCCAACAATTATTTCTGGACCAAAGGCTTGGTTTTATTGTGCCGCCTTATTCATGAGCAATACCAGTAGCGGCCTCTATGGAGTATCTGAAGCTGATCTTGTTTACAATTTGTACAACGACAACTTCCCCACTCAATCCACAAAGCCAAAGGATCGACAAGATGGCTTTGCCTCTATCAAAGTATCTGAGGGAAGGGTGCCACTTGCAGAGGTCTTGATGACCCTTGTTGAATCAGGAGTCACAAGTCTGAGCTTCGATGTTACCAGACGGCAAATAATGCACATCCCATCTAGCGATCCTGGGTTTGCAATAACTCCAATTCACAGAGTTCGGTGGAAGATTGTCTCAGAAGGCTTGACAGCAGTGGCTGGAACAGATAGAGCACTGCATCGAGCATGGGAAGAGAACATCGCATCGGTTGTGGTGGCTCCACGGATCAGGAACCTGCCACCAATCACCAAGCTGAAGCAGAATGTTGTGAGAGCAGACCCTGACTTCAACATAGAGGGCTATCGACGCGGCTGGTTCCTTGTCCAGCTCGGCTTTGTGAGTGCTGGCATTATCTACGGAGGTCTTCATGCTCTGGCTTGGAATGCACCCTTTTCTTCACCCGCTCAGCAACTCGTGTGGCGCATTTCGTCTGTTCTAATCATGGCAATCGGCGTTGGGGCTGTGGTCGTTGTGGTGTTGAGGCAAGCGTTGATGGGAATTTCGACGGGGGTTGCATCGCTTTTCGAGGGACTTCCGGGAGGAGACTGCGCGAACGTGCTTGGATCGATGTTCTCGTACTTGGTATACTTTTCATCTCTTCTTCTCATAGCACTATTTCTGTTAGCGTACGTCTTCGCGAGAGCTTATCTTGTAGTCGAGTGTTTTATCAACATCTCACATCTTCCAGTTGGGGTGTACACGGTTGCTCAAGGCGCGAATTACATCTTCCACTTCTCATGAGGGTGGTTCTAAAAGTAGTAACTTAGATCTTTGTTTTAATCCTAGCATACAAACACACCTACAATCCAAACTTTTTCAAGTGCCATCGCATTCTTAAGCCCTAGCTTATTGAGTGCTGAGAACAGCGTCTCTGTCATCATACGTGGCCAAATCCAGTGTGACGGTCGATGTCCTGAAGAACTTGATGGATCTTGAGCAAATCTTCCACGCAAAGTCCGATCATCATTGTTCAAGTTGACAAAGCAAGTGCGAGTACGAGTATTTCTGGCTTACCCAATCAGCCGTAGTGCAGGCACTGAGATCTCACCCCTGTCTTTCCCCGCCTTGCATAAACTCCGATTTTAGCGCTGTAATCGAGCCTCTAGTGAGGTTCCAAGCCTCAACGCATTGTTTGTCAGCAACTCAGGAACCTTCAAGACTTTTTTATGTCCATCGCCGAAATCTGTATTTGCAATTGACGGTTTTTGACGATGTCAAGAGTGTATTTAATGAATAGATGTCTTGCCAAAGACTCGCTGAGACCAATTCAACCCCACCTATAAATCTACTCAAGTCATAAAAAAATGAACAGAAAGGGACAGCCAGGACAAACAAAGAAGAGGAATCGTGTCACGGTGGCTTGTACTGAATGTCACAGGAGGAAACAGAAGTGCGATCGAGCGGAGCCATGCAGTGATTGCCAAGAAAGAGGTGTCCCTCAAAAGTGCCAATACCAAAAACCGTATGCACCCCGTCACATCACTTTCCCAAACAAGCCACTAACGCATGATTAACCAATAGAAAAGTCGAGCAAGAGAGTGCTCCGAAGGTTGCAGGCAAGACGGTGGTCTCTAGATTCAGAAGAATCATGAGTGGCGAGGAAGTGATCATGACCTCTGAATCCGTCGCTGCGTTGGCGGACCCTATGTCCGTTTCCGCACTTGTACCTACATCTGAACCGGTCATCATACCATATGCTACCGACCTCCGATCCCAGGAATGTCTTGACAGTCTCCGCACTCGACCGAGTGGCTATGCTTTCACCACGCGTCCAGTTCCCGCCACAGTGGCTAGCGGGCTGAATTACAACAACTCCTTAAATAACTATGATCCATTCTCCATACTACCAGATATTAAAGGCGAGCCTTTACCGAAACAGATACTAATCAGATACTGTATGTACTCCTCTTCAGTCCATTGCAGAAAATTGAAAGCTCACTAATCACAGATGTTGAACGATTGGCGCCCTGGCTATGTAACCTGGATGACAGATTCCGAGGTGTGGACGACCTAGAAATTATCCCAGTACCAAAGATTGCCTGGCTGGGATATGCAGTGGAACACACTGCATTCTATTATGCTACGCTGTTAACAGCTGCCGTCCATTTAAATCGAAGGAGGAAACTGAAGGATCCCGGTGCGCTAATTTGGTACAAAGTGCATACGATCCAGCTTGCGAATGAGAAGATGAATGTTGCGGAAGAGGCTGCAAGTGATGAGATGATAATGACGGCACTTGTTTTGTGTTACTTTAATGTACGTTTCCCTTGCCTTCCGCGATGTATCAGAGGAGCTGACGATTCTGTCAAATAGGTTGGAGGGAACAATGTGGATGAATATGAAATACATTTGAGGGGCATCGATCAGATGCTCAAGGTTCAAGGAGGAAAAGAAGCTACAGGCATGAGAGGGATGGTCAAGAATTGGTTGGGGGTCTCTCATGGGCCATGGAGTCCTGGATTCGAATATGGCGCATTTGTCAAAGATACTTAAAAAAGATTTATCATTCAATTGACTGACAATAGAATTTGTATCCCCATAATGTGCAATGTGGATATACTCCTTTGATCACTCTTTCTACATACTTCTCATTTCAAGCTCGTAGCCCACTCTGCAACAGTCATGACTCTTCCTGCGAACATTGGCCAGATAAGCTCTGTTGCAGCTTCTGTTGCCTCGACTGTGAACCCAGCGGTCGCATCTTTCAGCATAGTCACATGATATCCTCTGTGAAATCTGTCAGACATTGCTCCCAAATATCAACGATGAAGCAAACTTACAGCTCATAGGCATATCGAGCAGTGGATTCCATGCAGGTGTTTGCAGTGAGTCCTCCTATTATTACATTCGTGACATCCCTCTGTCGAAGCTGATAATCCAAATCTGTGTTTTGGAACGAACTTTTATCTCGTTAAATACAAAACATTTACAAGCAAGAAAGTGGGAAACAAACCTGCTACTCCAATGCTTACTAACAACCACGTCCCCGTTCTCCAAACTTGGCTCTAAGCCCTCATAAATTTTGACGCCCCAAGTCCCCTCCTCAAACCCCTTGTTATCCCTCTGGCTTTTCTGCATCGGAGTAGCATGATTCCATCCCATAATGAAATTGGCACCAACTTGTTGGTGGAGCCCGTAATAAATGGGAATTTTGTGGCCTCGAGCTGTGTCGACGAGTTCTTTGATGTGAGTGAGGGTGTTGGTCTTTTGCATAGAGGTGGAGACTAGGCCGTTGAGCTTTCCGGATGGGTGGAGGAAGTCGTTGTATGGATCTATGAGAATCACGGCTGTTTTGCCCGTGGTGTTTGGGAGGGATGCCATTTTTTGAGACGGGTGCTGAAGTTGATCTTTTGTTTGATGATGAAGGAAGGAGGGAAGCAGGTGAGAAAGGAAAGCTCGAGTGCTTAGGAGCTTTTATGGAGAAAATGAGTCCGAGACTGATAGTTCATGAGCCCCAAGTTTGGCCTGCCGAGTAACGAATTTGTAGGACATAATGCAGGTCGGAACACTGCACATAATACAGTCAGGTGTGGGGTCAATGGACGAGACGGCATTGAAGAGGGGTTGGCTCTTGCCATGGTTATGTAAGGTGTCGTACGGAAGCTGGAATTTCGCACCGCAGCTCTGCAATGAATTGGATGTCAACAAGTGGATTTGGGTATTGCATCGGGTGCAGTGCAGTGAGTTGACTAATTCGGCTAACGATTGATTGCTTAAGGTAACCTGCTTGGGCATGCTGCATAAACTCCGATTCGAGAAGCCTGAACCAATTCTATCTGAGATAACTCCGGGAATTCAAATTATCTCCATGAATTGATAATGTGTAGAAATAAAAGGCAATGGATTGCGCACAGCTGATTACCTAGGTAAGTGTTCGGAAACGGACTGCACGTGACTCGTTACTGATGAAGACTACAGAGAGACTTTTGTACCATATCTAATAGCTGCAGAAACACATGCTATCAAGAGACACGATAAATTTCACAATAATTAACAGTAACTAGAGATTAATCATCTGCCCTCAACTGAACGGTCCCAAATTACAATTCCGAATCTCGCTTAGCCAAAAGGAGGTAAGATTGGTACATAGAAAGAGAAAAGAGCTTGCAAGTCAAAGGAATTATGTTACATCTTTGGCATGTCAAACCCATAATTATATCCAAATATCAATCATGGTGTAATCTCATTCCCAAGTAACTTTCCAATCTCTTCTGCAATGGCCATAACTCTCTCCTCAGTCAATCTCCTTCCCACGATCTGCACAGCCACAGGTGCGCCATGATATGCTTCTGGATCATCTGTGAAGTGTCAGCTTGTGTCTCGACATCTCGTTGAAGAACCTACATTCTGCTTGAACTGTCTTATCAATCTCAGAAATAGGTTTGTAATCCTCGGCCTTCTTATCGATGCTCTTGTCTGCGAACGTGACAGGAACCACGACACTGGTGAAATCGAGAAGATTTATCGCGCTCGCATAGCCATAATATTTGAATTGATTGTGTCGTATTGCAGCCGTCGGTGTTATTGGCGCAATGATTGCATCAATTTTTTCCCCGAGTTGTTCCTCCATCAGGCGAATTTGCTCGAGATACTCGCATTGGAATGCCCATTTCTTCAGGTGCACGCTCCAAAGCTCGTTCATGTCAATCTTGGGGAGATCGGGGTTGATCAAATCTGCAAAGTTGGGTATAGCTGGCTCTCCAGACTCTTTCAAGGTGTCGAAGACGTCAGTTCCTCCATCAGATGCATATATTCCATTTATCAGGTTAACGGCATAGTCGTGCTTGTACGGTTTCCAAGGGAACACTGTATGTCCAGCTTTCTTCATCGTTGAGACTACAGTCTCGATACCTCGAAGGATTGGAGGGTGGGGTAGGACCTGCTAGTGTCAGTACACCTTACCCGCATTATCTGTAGACTTACATTGCCATCACAATTGTAGTAACCAAGAGTTAGACCACCAGAAGCTATTTTTGCGTTCACAGCTTCTGCTTCTACTCCTCTCCAAGGCAATGGAATGACCTTTGAGTCATATTTCCAAGGCTCTTGGGCTAAGACAGACTGAACGAAGAGGCGCATGTCTGCCACTGAATGCGTCAAAGGTCCACAGACACTATGAACAGTCTCTTGGCCCTCCATGGAGTTTGCCATCTTGCCGTAAGGCAGCCGTCCGTGAGAAGGACGCAGACCGTAGAGGAAGTTGAACGCCGATGGCACTCGTATGCTTCCGCCGATATCTGTCCCTACTCCGATGATTCCGCCCCGGAAACCAACCATCGCTCCTTCACCACCAGATGATCCACCACATGACCAGTTCTTATTGCCTTCAGAAGTCAGCTTGACACAATATTTGAGAAGTGAAGTTCTCACGTGGGTTGGTCGTTCGTCCAATCACATTATTGACAGTCTCACAGACCATCAAGGACTGAGGAACACTCGTCTTGACATAGAATACTGCTCCCGCTTTTTCCAAAAGGTCAACTAGGATGGAATTTCCATCTTCGTACTTCCCGATCCAAGCTACATATCCCATCGAAGTTTCAAGTCCCTGAAACATCAGCATTTACTTAGCTTGTATGACACTTGGGGCCGACCTTAATTCTGAATTGATCTTTCAAAGAAATAGGAAGCCCATGGAGAGGTCCGACAGGTTTACCATCTTTCTTCAAAGCTTCGTCGAGCGATTTCGCACGTGCCAGTGCTATCTCTGGGAAGAATTCGAGAGCACAATTCGTCTATATACTTATCAGCCGACGATCTCACAAAAGTTGAGAGCCTTACCAGCTGATGAGCTAGAGCAGCTCTTTTGAGAAAAGCTGTCGTGACAGCTACTGAGGTCAACCATCCAGCAGCCATCTGGGCTACCAAGTCCACTGCTGTGGATTCTGTGATAGCAAGGTCTTCAGCAGACATAATACCACTCTCTTTTGGATATGTCATTACAGACACATCTGTAGGTTTTGATTTGATACGCCATTCTTGTGGGATGGACTCCGCAATGCGCTTCTTCTTATCTGCTGCAATTTCTTCCCACTTCGCCATTGTGAAATGTAATCTGGAGATGATATCCAGATAAGTATAAATAAGGTTTCGAGTAATATTCCAAAAACGATGAAGCAGAGGAGAAAATGCGGCAATAAAGAGTGGAACGATAACTCATTGATATCATCGACGGCCCCTTGCTAAAATGTAGTGCGGGGTCGATAAGAGCTTTAAATGCTTATCGCCATTCGTGGGGTGGATTTGTTAGCAATAGTTTCGGAGCAAACTCGTATCCCACTCGGTATTAGGTGAGAATATGATGGGTTGGATCAAGGCCATAATTGAAGAATACGAACTTGGCTCGCTGAAAGGTGCAAACAGGAAAGGAGGAAGTCGCTAAACAGCATAGACCAATCAGAGGATCGAATCGCAGTCCGGGAGGTAGCACGTGCTTGACTCAAATTCAACGTCTTTCAAAGTCCCCTCTCTTGTCAAAACATCTCCAGCACTTACATTATTACTACGACCGCTCATTGAGTGCAAGAACTCAGATTCTCTCGATATATGCATGTATATGAGGTTCAGATTGCGCCTAAAAAGCCGTCCAAGGGATGGTGCCACCTGTCATAGTTGGCAGCATCCCCAATCAACCACGGCCCCAGCTGTCATACTATTGCGATTCTCTCAAATTTCAATTTTTGTTGTCTCGCTCGATGAGGTGTAAGCATCAATTTTGACGATCATAGACTTTGTTGCCCAGTCAAGCATCATGCTCGGGTCCTCCGATATGACAACAGCTAGAGCGAAAGGCGATAGCGGAACGAGTACGAATGTTAGGTTCGACGAGAACAAGAAGACATCGGCGTTATATAACTTACTCGCCTAGACTCGAGTCGAGGTATGCTCATGGATGCAAGAGAAACGCAAAAATGAGATTGGTAACACGGTCGGCTTAAATTGGCTGGTGATGGAGATGCTTGGAACTACGAATGAAAGGACTGAGAATGCATTTTACGTGGGCCTACTCTTCTACATCGGCTTGATAGAGCTTTTATTCTCCTTCAGACAATCGAGACAAATTTACGCAAGCCTTCTGGTCCCGAACCGTGGCTAGGTGTCGCCTTGGATATCACGAGTCGCACACGATGAGACAGAACAACCTCAGCATACCACCACTACAGACCAGAGGCACCAAAGCGCTCGCGAAAGCCCCTGACAGCTTTACCGAGGCTCGTCAGGCTCGTCATTACGTCAAGATGTGAAGCCATTCCGGATTCAGCTTTCCGGGACGGTAGCTCAACGACCCGCAATTCAATTACACTAATGGTTCGAACCAAATTAGTCTGAGGCACGACATCACAATGACACTCAATGGAGAAGTCTGCCGCGAGTTCAGCTTTCCTTTTCTGTCTCTTATATGCGACTGTGATGCATATCCGCTTCTTGGATGCATGTCGCTGATATCAAAGTACCCTTGAGAAATTCAGTTAGCTGACAAGTACGGCGAGCTGAAGACTCGCGTCTGCCATGGTCGGGGTAGGGGGTCGATCTCATGTGAAACGATGTCATACATGTCGCCAAAGAAAGGTCAAGGTCAGTTATCGCTGCAGCCTTAGTTACACGTGCTGATAGAACAGTGTGGTGGTGAGGAACCTGCATGCCGGAGATGTTTAAACCATGGGCTTCAATGCCCAGGCTATTCACGGAAGCTCGAGTTTGTTTTCTATGACACAGATCCAGCTGGGAAGCGGAATGCTCTAGTCAAACCGAGCTCGGAGGCTCGAAAGTCTTCCAGTGCAAATCAGATGTTACAGTCCAAGAAGAAACCGTCAATGAATCAACATGCAGTCATCGTTACGAACAACTCCGACATCCTACATGAATCGTCAGGGTATTCGCTGGCGGCATCCCAGAATAAGACTGGATTGATGGCGGTACTCAGAGAACGATATGTACCTCAGCTTCCCAAATTTTCGACCGAGCAAGGAGTAATGAATGGTGCGAATTGGATAGCCACAGCTTGCTCTTTAGCCGCAGTTTCTGAATATTCCGAAATGCTCAGTGACTCCTTATTAGCAATGTCCTTATCTCTTGTCAGCCTTGAGCAACATGAGGCTCAATTATCTACTGCTAGTCTGAAACAATACTCTCTGGCAATCAATGGACTTCGGTCTAGTCTGGCTCCAGGTCCATCAGGTTTATCACAACATCAGATCGACGTCAGTCTTGTAAAGTGCTTGGCTTGTGGGATGTACGAGGTATGCTTCTTCCTCGATTTTTTGGTACGAGACTTACAATAAATAGATGATGACCAATAAATCTTTGAGTGCACTAATGCGCCATCTCAATGGTGTCAATGCAATTCTCAAGGCAAGTGGAGTCCAAGGTCTACAATCAGAATCAAGCCGCCGAACATTCTACGAGTATAGGTCGATATACCTGCCAATCGCTCTTAGTGTGCGCAAACCGAATTTTTTGAGTTCATCAGAATGGATTAATCCTACGTGGAAGCGCTTAGAGCCACTAAGCTCCTCGAATCTTCATACTGTCATCGACATTGGTTTTGGGATACCAGTCCTCATGGAAAAGTTCGACGAACTTCAGCAACAGGATCAGCAAGCCGACTCCGCAACGTACGTAGAATCACAATTGAATAATATCATCCTGGAAGGTCTTGCTATGCAGCAAGCTTTTGATGACTGGGAATACCGTGTCCGGGACGGGAATGAGGAGATCCAACTTTATATACCACGATTAGCCAAATCGCCAGACCCCTTGGATATTTATGGCAATGGCGAAGTCTACTCGATATCCTTTACCTTTGCAAATTGGGATAATGCGTCTGGTCTGTCCTACCACGAGATGCTCCAAATAACCCTCAACACTCTACTCACCGACATCGAGGCATATGCTCGTCGCTCGAATTTACATCCACCCGCACTCTCTGGAATCGACGCTTCGAATCTGAACAAAAAATCCATCGAATGCGCAGACAGGGTTTGTCAGTCTGTTGAGTGGTTCCTCGAAGACCATAAGAGATTGATAGGTCGCATGGTAATCCTTGCACCCTTCGAAACCGCAAGAGGTTTGTTTGCTAGACTTTGTCGAGACAGCATAGGGGATGTACTGCAAGATGCAGTGCTGATAAAGAAAAGGAAGTTTTGCGAAATGACTACACAGCGCATTAGGGACAGTGGGTTACCTGTCTGGGCCGAATAATTCTGGGATTGCGAGCTGTTTTCGTGGTCATCAGCCTGACTTTTCATGGGGCTGAATCTGGTTGTTGATATACTATAATTGTAATGTTTGATCGATTCTCAGGATGGCCAAAGCTGCCTGTACATAAGTATTGAAAAGTGTATTCTGTTCCATTGGCTCACCCGACCCAAGTGGCGCCAACAACCACTCTCTTTCTCTGCCTGTCTCAAAACGCTATGACTCAACAAGGTTCTGTTAAAGACGTCTGAGAATTCTTCAGTCTCACTTTAAGCCTCAAGGCTTTTCTACAGTTGCCTCGATATACCCTATCATGTTATCGGAAGACGAAATACGTCTTCTCACGTTACCAGCCTCGAGTCACCATAACTCTCACACCCCAATCGAATGCCACATGGAGACCGTTACCTTGTCCTCCGAACCTTCATACATCGCGGTATCCCACATTTGAGGTCCTCCTACATTCGGTCAACTTATCATGATACAAGGTCGTCTGACTCTCATCACATCCTCTCTTTCCGAAGCCTTGCATTACTCGCAGCGTCCGGAATCGACTGACAGACGATTGTCAGCTATTGGGTGTGGTTCCCGACTACACTGATACAACGAGCAATCTTCTTTTTCTTGTTGGCGTCCAAAGCGTCGATATCCACGGAAGTGGGTATTGAGAATGACGATTCTTGCTCAGTAAGCTCAAAGAAATTCGGCAATGTGATGATCATATTTGTAGGTACCCGGTTGTGAACACCAGTAGGCAGACCTGGCGGAAAACTTTTCTTGTCGAAGGGAATGGCAAGATCAAACGCAGGTCTCAGCCCCCTGTGCATGAGCTTTATACGCTGGAGTGCTGATATATAGCTACCTAAGGCACCGCCAAGCTCACGTAAAGCGTCCGCAAAGGTTACGGCACTTCGGAATACTTCGACGTACTCTTGTCCTATCATGTCCTCTGGGTCTTCGGCATATGCTTCAACACCTGCTTGATCGACAACACGACTACATATCCATTCACGAGATCTCGAGAAGTACCCATCTCTTCACCCGGGACTAGAGACGTCAACGTCTCTGTGTGTATAAAGTACTGAAGACTGTTGATTATCAGTTGCATCTTTCGGGATGGACACAAAGACTCTCCTCTACTGAACCAATTCATCGAGTTCTTCCTCTGTCAGAAAAATTACGCTTTCTTCTATCATCTTCATAGCCAAGCAATAAAGCAATTGATCGGCAAGTACCAGTGAAACCCTCACTCTTCAAGCAGCCTAGAAAGCAATTGATCTTCACTCCAACCACGCCGTAGTCAAAGCCAAAGTCCTCAAGCGACTCGTAACTACGACTTCCTTCAAAGAGGTTCGAGGAAGTCCGGACTCGAGAGAAGACAAATATCTGATATTCTCGCACCGGTACAACAAACAACATGCAAATTGGCAATCCTTGCAAAACAAAGTCAAAAGTCTGGAAGCGATAGGCAAATGGTGGCTGGTAGGAGCCTAGTGCTGCCTTGGGCTCGGTATCAAAGTATGCGGTGTAACATGAAGCAATGTTTCCATACCCCCTGTCGCGACTCACAACAAACAGAGAAATCCGTTTGCACAAACATCACATCTTCCTCGACACTTTTATCAACACTCTTGGACACTCAGTCCAGACACACAAGTTGTTCTTTGGCGATACAAGTGACACGAACCGCATACCTAATACTTTCAGGTATGGATAGAAAATGGGATCCCAACTTGTAGTGCCCGAGTGCTACATTTGCAAAAGCAAAGGTTACGACTGCCGAGCTCTCCGCGATATATGTTTTCCTACCACACTACGTTTTTCTATCCGAATCGCTGATGACTTTTTTGCTGACAGATATTTGAAGCTGTAGTCCAGATCACAATTCAAATTACCAAGACACCACACAATCCGTACGCTTGGTTGGAAAGAGCACCACTGCTTCTGTATCTTGGGTACCCTGAGGTGAGGAAAGCAAGTCCCAATATTGATTCGGTCAGCTTGCGACTGACAATGTTTCCTGTCAGTCGGGTGCAGGGGATGCACGAAAAGCTCAGAGACTTGCGACTGCGATACTCAACATGGATGAAATTGGTATTTTAGCGAAAAAGGAAACCTGCGAGCTGGTCGCGAGCACTGATTGTGCAATTACTGCAAGCTTTCAAAATTTTGGTGGAGGCGCTTAACCAAACCGGTGCTTACCACAGCTGCCGAGAGGTGTGTATAGTTACCGCCAGAACTTTTCTTACGCAGTATTACTCTAAAAGTGTATATAATTTGGAGCCATGTATCCAGCGGACGAGCTCTTCGCGAATGGCTTAGCTGCTTCGACCGCTGCCCTCGAAAAATTCAAGCAATGGCTGGAAGCTATTCGCGGATGCACACCGGAAGCCGCTTCTGAGATGTTGCCATTTGGCACCATAAATGGACGCCAACAATACCCCTTTATGCCTCTCGAATATCTTCACCGAAGTGCCACTCTTATCAGAAGTATCAATACTCTACTTGGAGCAAACGGCGCATTATGTCGACTGCGGTCCAGCGATCTTGGCGCCTCGGCATCCAGCCTCACGAATTCAGTTGAAGTTCCGCGGGAATATGACACTTTGGACTTGTTCGCTACATCAAACATTCCAAAAGGCAGCGTCATTCTCAGGGACTCAACATTGTTGTGTGCGATTGATGCACCCACAACCATCAATCCCGCAACTGGCGGTCAAGCATCTCCCAACTTGCGCTGCGAAGCTTGTTGCGACGAATGGCCCTGGAACTAGGATAGTCGACAAAAGTGCTGCCGTATGCATTATTGCGGACAGGGACATTAAGTCAGGTGAGGAGATCACCATAGAGTACACTGACATTGACGAACACTGGGACCGCAAGGAGAGGAGTCTCAAATTACAACATTGGGTAACCGAATGTATGTGTACGAAGTGCACAAGCGAAGTGGATGGGAAATGCTAGATTTCAAGATGCTGTATTTTCTCCAAAGCTTTGCAATCTCGTGGATTTGGTATTGTCGAGCGGGAGAAAACCTCAGATGGACTTCTATTCTCTTTTCTTTCCTTCTCCAAAATGGATAGTCTACTATGGGTATCTTTCAAATAGTGTGCGAAATGAAATTTGTTGCACATCTTCCACGAAACCCATGCAGTCTTGGTTCAAATGGTTTTGAAAGCGGCTTCACATCTTACGCGAAGATTGTTATCATCGAGATATTTCTGTACTTGCTTGTTCTGTTCTGATTGTTGCTTGTTTTCCTGGGGTCTATCATGTAGCTCTTTCCGTAAAGCCAAAATCTGCTCTTGTTGGTTACGCACAGGTGATTCAAGGGATATAATGCTTGTAGAGAAATGTTGACAGATTAAGAATACCGGTTCGACGATGCGTCCGATTCGCTTAATTCGAATATCTCGACCCGTTCCGGAAAGTTATAAGAGAATGAGGCAAAAGACATCTCAAAAAAGGCAATAGCAGAATACCTTGTCAACATGCAATGTTAATTCGGCAAAGTGCCTTTTGTTATTAGCATAGGTCATCTGGGGCTTGGAGCAGCCAATACACGAGTCGAGGATGCAGTCTATGTTGTCTTCAGGACAGCTGTGCCTTATACTATCCGGACTATAAATGACCCATGTCAATTGATTGGATCCGCATACGTGCACGGAACTATGAATGGAGAGATTTCAAAAGAATAGTTCTTGGTGGAAGACATGGAAGTCATTTGACCAAAATTATCCATTGAGATTTTGTTCCCCACGTTTGTTTCTTAAGCCTCGGACACACAGTTTGCCTTTGGTTGCAACCAGAGAGGATGGTTATCCGAGCAAGCGAATCGTCTCTCGAATAAGCGAGCACTTCTCGTATGTAGTCATGCGGTCAGAAGGCAAGTTTTGAGGAAGTGGCTTTTTGAGTTCTTGAGCAATAGCGGCGTAGAAACTGCCATTGGTGGCCTTCCGCGAGTAGGATGCTTACTTGATGATAGGGGCGTTGTTGGGTTACGTTGGAAGGCATCACAACAAGTTGTCAAGTCATATGAACTTCTTTCGAAGCGCCTCAAGGAAGTAAGCAAAAAAGTGGAGGAGTGTCTAGAATGGCTATCATGTTCACCGGTGTTTGGAGTGGGTCGGTAGATAGAGCTGGAGAGACACATCCGCTTCTGCGTCCCTCTTTCTTAACTTATAGCTCTCGAAATCATAGTACCAAGTGTTTCGGGGAAGAATGCTGTCTGCAGACTACCTACCTGCTGATTTATCGTTCTTCGGAATGTACCCAATATCTATTGTCTTCGTCATCTTCGCTCTCTATCTCCTGCGCAACAAATACGGTCATGGAATCTCCAAGATCCCTGGCCCAATGTTGGTGGGCTGGACCAGTTTCTGGCGAGTCAACAATATCAGGAAAAGTCAGTCGCATAAGACGATGATTGACCTGCATAGGAAATACGGAAAACTTGTCAGGACAGCACCAGACGTGGTTGATGTTTCAGATCCAACAATGATTCCTGAGATATATAACATCAAAGGGACCTTCAAAAAGGTTTTTACCTCTCAAGGACTATCTTAGGTTCTTATTTTGGTATTCAATGCTGACAAAATGCACAGACTGGCTTCTTTTCTCTGACAGAACTCTCTTGGAAGGGAAGACCCAGACCGAATTTGTTTTCAACCACGGATGAAACTTTTCACCGAGAACAGAAAAGGAAAGTTGCGCATGCATACAGCATGACTAGTTTACTTGAGATGGAGTATGCTGTGGATGATTGTTCGAGACTATTTATGCAGAAGTTGGGAGAGTTTGCAGATAAAAACAAGACGATAGATTTGGGTGCTTGGCTGTGCGTCTTTTACAGAGTTGTTCCTTTCTTGACTGACAAGCTGTACAGACAGTTCTACGCCTTCGATGTAGTAGGCGAGTTAACCTTCCAGAAAAAGCTTGGGTTTCTAGAGAAGGGAGACGATGTTGACGGTATAATCAAAGTCATTGGAATGGGGCTTTTTTATACGGTTACTGTTGGTCAAGTTCCGGCATGGCACAAGATTTTACTTGGAAATCCACTGCTGCCAATATTCCTTCCGGTACGGTTTTGTTCCCTCTTGCTTTCATCTTTATTTGTGAGTGGATATGAGCTGACCCAGACGCGCTGACCAGCAAATGGAAAGATGGAACGCTGTCTTAGAATTTACCCTCAAAGCCTTCAATTCCCGTATTTCGCGCTCTCACATCGATAAGTTCTCGACATCTTCCCCCACTAACGGTAAAGATATGCTCTCACGCTGGCTTGCTGTGAGTTCCTCCGATCCTCTCAAGATGAGCACAGAAGATGTCGTCGTTGCCCTCTCAGGCAACGTCTTCGCCGGTTCCGACACCACTGCCATCGCTCTTCGGGCTATCATCTATCACCTCTGCAAGACTCCGTCCTGTCTGGAAACCCTTGTCAAAGAACTAGACGACAACGAATATCGACTGAGTGAGACGATCTCATACAAGGAGTCCAGAGAATATCTACCATACTTGAATGCGGTGATCAAAGAAGGGTTGAGGATTCATCCCTCTGTCGGATTACTGTTAGAGAGACATGTTCCGAAAGGGGGAGCTGTCATTTCCGGGACTTGGATACCAGCGGGTACAAAGGTGGGAATCAATGCTTGGGTGTTGCATTTTGATGAAAATGTTTTTGAGCAACCGGAGAGGTTTTGGCCTGAGAGGTGGTTGATCAGCGATGAGAAGAAGCTAGCAGAGATGGAGAAGAGCTTCTTCGTTTTTGGAGCGGGTAGCAGGTAAGTGTTTACTTTTTACTTGTTACTTCTCAGGTCATCATGTGCTGTGTTCGGCGAGTGGAGACTTGGTTGCTGACAATCAATCCAACAGGACATGCATTGGGAAGAACATGAGCATTATGGAAATTGGCAAGGTTATCCCACAGCTATTGAGGGAATTCGAGGTCGAATTGCTCAATGACTGGAAAGTGAACAATGCTTGGTTCGTGCAGCAAACTGGGCTGAATGTCAAATTGAGGAAGCGAGCAAGACAGCATTGATGTTTCTTCACCCCAATTTCTAATTCATTCCTGCCTCGAGTCTAGCTGTATGCGAGTCGTAAACGAAGGAAGAGCTTGTGCTGCTCTGTCAAAGCCCGAAGTCTTTCAACTACTGTGAAAGTGCACTTCTTCGCTTGACACTTCTCTTCGAGCACTTTTGCGTATGTAGTTCTACTTAGTTGGCTCGTTGTTGCCTTCTTCTTTTTCCACTCCATGAGCTAGAGCGGACTACCTATACTGCATGCTCGTTGTTCCTTCCTAGTTGGTACAAAATGACCCTTCCCCGTAGGTTGTTCCTGCCTTTACGAACAACGCGTCACTTCTTGCAATCATCGCATCTTTCTTTCGTCAGTCACTTCATCGTCTTATCATCGTACAGTATCTCATACACGCAATACCAACTTCACTCGATTGTTCAGTACGAAACTCTTTTCAAGTTCTGCCTTTGTCCAACGCCTTCTCGAATATCCATCCGCCTAGCTCCTGGAATTGGGACAATGACACGACCCGATTCCACGAATACGACCCAGAAAGCTTCGAATGGAGGTCATACACGCGGAGTTGCACGACCCAACACGTCTGGAGAAAGAAGGGCAGCTAGCAATACGGCACGACGCCAGGATCATACGGTTCAAAACACAGGTCGTACTGAACCCGCAAAGCCTCATCCAGCTTCTGGCAGACGATCAACTGGATCTACCACAGACGAAGAAGATTATAGAGAACTATTTATTCGTCTCCAGAATACAGGACGACAACGAAATTCCAACAGCAGCTCTACTCGGCGCTCGCGTTCAGACAACACCGCTGATCCCCCAAAACCTGTTAGACAAACGACAAGTGAAGATACTGTGGACACACTCCCAATCGAGCTGGAGCAGGGAGAAGACAATAGTAATGGAGATGGTCTGGATGAGAAAACGCACTTGGATGCGCTGATAGGTTGGTAGATTTTCCCCTTGAGTAGAACTACACGCTAACGTCGACAGATGCTACTGACAAGTTTCTGGGCCCATCGGATCCAGATTATCCTATCGTACTGTACGTCTGATTGCAACCACAAATTTCTAGCTCCTAACAGTGACTTAGCACGGGTGCAGGCCCAAAGTTCCTTGACGAAATACAATCAAGTAAAAGTACCAAGAAACGTAAAACACCTCGCAAGACTTCGAAGGAAATACGTCAAGGAACACCTTTCCCAGACGAGGCTCGCACAACTACCAAGAAAAGAATAGGAACCGAGAATGGTGAGCCTCAAGATGAAAGTTACGGTACCTCTCAATACCTTGAACCTTCCCACAAAAGACGTCGAATAATCAGCGACTCGGAGCACTCACCGGTCCCGAACAGCATAGATTCAAACCTGGACATCTCGGACAAGGAAACGAGAAACTTTGGCCCCACTCCAAAAAATCCGTTGTATGAAGTGCAGAGTCCCAAATCCCCGCCAGAACCTCCTAGTTGGGAAAGGTGGGGGACGGGGAAGAGGTTCAAATTCAAACCAAGAGCTACCCAGCAGGAAATCAAAGGAAGTCAGCCAGATGGTGCAAAAGATTCGGTCAAAGATGGAGCGGAAATATTTTGATGGTGCAGGCTCGTGGATTCGATGAGTTCTGTTCAAACACCACAATTGTGTTGGCTTTTCTCGTTGCTTTGCTCACGATGGAGAAGCACTTGGCTAACTATGGAGCTCAGACCGCTTTTAAAGTTCACGTTTGGTTGTTGTCTTCTGTTGAAGAGTATGACGTTGAAAGAACGAGGTGAGGTGGGATCTCGTTTGATGTGGCACCAAACTTGGAAGTCTCTGGCCGAGAAGCAGTTTGGGACAAGAAGCGCGCTTTTTCCGAGTAGCTTTGCAGTAATGATTATCAATACCAACATCATAAACCAAATCTGCTTTCGTGATTGCTCCTACACAACAGCAGTAGCTCTAAGTTTTAAATACATCAAGTCTCTAGATATACAGAGGCGAAAATTGAGCTAAGGCAAATGAGGGAATTTGTAAACATATCAAAACTTAGACATGATAAGCAACGAAAGTCAAGTCGCTGTCCCACGTGCTCTCAGGGGAAGCGAAGAACAATGTGGGCCATCTCGCAACATGTCTAGACGCCGTCCCACTCTCACCCCTCGCGCGCCACCTCCTACCTTCACACATCCTACCCCTACAATCAATCCAATTCCCAATTCCCATCTCATCCCCAACCCCCAAAATGCCATCCCCAAGGGAGGACGGGTGTGTATTCTGGTGGTAAATTTGCTTTGGAAGGTTTATTTGTTTTCCTCTTTCCGAGAACTAGTTTTGAGTGTCTGACTCAGAGGAATGGGATTCGTGGAGACTTTGCAAAGAGAAACGGAGCACCTGGGAATCCAATCTATTATCTCCGAGCCAGGGGAGTTTAGGACGAACGTATCGTCTTCTTCGGGTAAGGAAAGTGAATTCGCGAAGGATGTAGATTATGGAGAGTTGGCGAGGAGGGTGCAAGCTGGGTTGAAAGCTAGTAATAGGAAGCAGAAAGGTGACACGAAGAAAGCTGCTAAAATCATGGTTGATGTTGTGAAAGGGGAGGGTGTAGAAGGAGGTAAATCGATGCCGAAGAGATTGCCGCTTGGCAGGGATTGTTTAGAGACTGTGAGGAGGAAGGAGACGTTGGAGCTCTGCGATGAGTGGGAAGAAATCGTTGAGAATACTGAGTCTGAGAAAGACGACAGAGTTGGATGAAGCTGGGTTAAGCTATGTCTATTTTACATCTAGCCTCAGAATACAAGATCACTTTGAAGCTTCAAACATCCTGGGCTGTTGATATTAATGCTTGGCTAATTGCTAGTACGGACTAGGCTGAGCAAACGCCCTGTAACGTAAAGTCCTTTGGTTTGCCTCAGCTCGTGATGGCTTCCTTAGATACCGTTAGCTTACGAGCAGAACGTGCTGCTTTTGTTCGTGTTTTCCACCCATCGAACTTTTTCTGAGTTATGTTTATATCAACACCAATCGATTCGGGGTCTCTCAGTCCATTGAGAGTAACAAATTCAGAAGTCATAATCATACGATTGTGAACATATGTCAGCCCAGATAGGTACGTCTCGAGCTGGTATCTGGTCTTCTCCTCTCCATTCTCGAGTACCGCTATGTCCCCAATACATTCGAATATTGTTGGAATTACGGCATGCCCATCCTCTCTCCTAACCCCATGGCGGACTAGACAGGCGTCCATGTGATACACTACAGGATCGAGTATGTCTTGAGGATTGAGAAATACTTCGTTCCACCGCATGGTGCGCCGCATGGCACAGAGCTGGTTATATGGCGTACCGGGAAAACAAGCCCGCGAAGAATTGTTGTACGGAGCCACGACGCTCACGCGTCGTACATCGATGGTCAATTCTTTGACGGTTATCGCTCTCCCAGAAAGAGCTGTACTGCCACGTCCTCGCTGCAGAAGATCCAGGAGGATATCGGAAAGTGCGCGTCGAAACTGAGGGCTTTTATCTGCAGCTGAAGGGTCGATCAATGGTGGCAGACGCCATATTTCGTGTTCGTGATCTTTTAGTCCGCCAACAAAGCCAGCATTTCTGACTGTTATCCTGAGCTTTTCCAGTCTGTTGATCAGGATTGGCACACTCAGGCAAGTTACCCACAGCTCAGAATCGTTGACAAGCATCAGATCGACCTCGTAGGTCTCTTTCTGTTGATATAATTTTATGAGTTGTAGCGTCTCGGCCTTGAGAATATGATTGACACCAAGTGTTGGATATTGTTCGAAGAGGATCGTGTTGTGATAATGGACTAACCATCCAAAATTTAAGGTGTACGTTGGAAACTGTCCATAGTCTATGTTCTGTGATTTGTTGAAAGGAATCCTGGGTGCTGGATATTTTTGGTAAGATGAGGGGTACACGAAGTCGAGAATCGCGCGACGAAGTTCTAGGGGCAGACCAAGGAGAGTTCGCTGGTGATCCATATCGATATGTTCCGCGAGATACTGCAATGTTTCGCTCGTATGTTCGAAACTCCTCGGAATAAGCGGAACTGAAAAGGCGTCGCAGTCAGGAAGCAGAAGATATGCCACTCCGTGAGCGGCGGGACGGATGGTAGGAAAAGATGTTCGATTTTGGCAAGAGGAAAGTCTATAAGATTACTGGCAGTGACTTGAGGACTGATGATCGAACACCTGGTCTGAAGCTGTGAAAGGATGAGAAAGAGAAGTGCAGAAGTTTGAAAGCCAGAAAAGTAAATGGCAATCAACATAGAACGCTAATTTAGCGCGTGCTGCAGCGTGCCTACCATTCTGAGCCTGAACCATCACGACCTCGAAGACGTGGAACTCGATCCCAATTTCATTTCCAGGTAGTTTCAGGAGAATAGATGCTTTCCCTTTTCCCCTCATCATGAATCATAAATTTTTACTATTCAAGTTGAAGTAAATCGAAGCAACTTGGAAGTTGAAGCATCTCACGTGACTGAAAATTGATCAATCAGAATGCAATCGCCCGTCGTACATGCGTACGGTACGAATTTAGTCAACACATTGTCTCGAACACTTTTTTGATGTCGAGAGAAAGAGAAGGAGCACCATCTCAAGATGTACGAGGCACTTGAGGATAGCCGCGAGGTTGCGCCATGCAACGGTATTATAAAAACAATCCCCACACCGAGGCCATGACTTCTCTGGACAACATATACTCAAAAAGGCACTGGGAGTGGAAAGTCCAAAACAGCAATGTTTGTCGGTTCGATGAGTCAAGTTCTTGGTATTGAAAAAAGACATGCATTTCTCAACTCCACATATAGCAGCACAGCCGAGAATATTCTTCCACAAGCTGTATATTGAAGCAAATGACCAAGTGAGCAAACAAAAACTTGGCTAGAAGGTTGGGGTGTGGGGAATCTTGGTTCTTTCGACGCAAGCCGAAACTTGGCAAAAGCTTCATCGACGGATGTTTTGTACAATTATTGTCTGGTTAAGAGCACTTGCATCTCGATTTCAGGAGACAACAAATTGTACCATTTGAGAGGAATGCATTTCCAGTTCAGCGCACCTTCAATGCTGAACTCAAATAGACATCCAGCTGTGAAGATGTCTCGACGGCTAGGTTCAGGACTGCCACTGAAAATTTTCTTGTTCTGTTACCACAAAAGATAACCAAAGGAACGCCGATCTTTTCAGCTCCCGAGATGCCTTGCATGTCGGTACTCAATCGAACTCTTGAAGATCCGCTGTCAGCTCTTAAGCGAGGCTGATTGCATGTGTTGATAGGCATGCATAACAGATCCGTTAAGCCTCTCTCCTCAACACAAATCATTTTCATATCCTCGGTTATGGTAAGAAGAAAGAAAGAAAGAAAACCCCTCTCTCTCCCTCGCCAGATAGTTCAGGTAAATTCGTCATGGCGCTTCACATGTAACAGAATGGTGCTCATATGACGTGCACTTGCGTGTTTTGCAGTTTGAGGTTGTGAGAGGAGCGGAAACAGACGGCTGACATGACAAGAAGATAACGTCGCAGATGGTGAAACATGCTCTGAGGAATAAATCGGCTCAAAATGCCTTTCATGGCCCCTTGCTCTGAACGATTCGTTATCAACAAGTTTGGCAGCGGTGCCAAGAAAGCTATCGCCATCGCTGAGAGGTTGCGTTGGGTTTCCCGCGCTGAGCCTATGGGCCTATCGCTGTGCCACAGGGCGTTTGGCTGGATTCAGGGATTTGAGAGTATCAGGTGGTGGGAGACCGACGCCATGGTGGTGGGGTGAGCGAGGTCTGTGTTCGAAGGAGGTTGAGAGGGATTCTCTTATCTCGTCACGATGGATGCTTCCTGCGTTCCTTTATATATAAAGGAAGGACTGGGACCACTCGCGCTGGAATCTGAATACTCTTCCCGACCATAGCGTACCCCTCCACCCCTTTTCACTGCAACCTCAGGCCACAGGTCCCCCAATTTCCAACAATTTGCATTACTTTAGTACAAATACCAGGTTCTAGATCCCTGAAGCGATCATTTGCCAACCACATTCAGCACAAGCGACAGCGGAACCCTCTCACTAACACCAGCGATAAGAAACAACTATCGAGGGGTCTCTGGGCCAATAGCGACACGTGCAGAGATTATACGCAGAGGATGATCCGGGGATATAAAGACGGATGATGCTGCATCATCTCGCAGACCACCCTTTTTGCCTTTGAGAGAAAGACGAGCCAGAGAGAAGAAAAGAAAGAAGTGAGGAAAAAAGAGGAGGGTGTGTCGGTCCAGCCGAAATCCCCAATATATGAGCACATCTCCGCTCTAGCTCTTTTGGGCCTTGTGTCCTTCCCTTCTCAGACTGGGAGAATGCCTCCCAGACACCACGTGCCCATGAAAGAACTGCCTTTGGATTTTCATTTGCGCCATTACACCAATTACACCAATACCGTGGTCTTCGACACTATCAATGCCGTGCCAGGACTTAAGACCAGCGCAGGTGAGTGGGAACAACGTGTCTTCTAGAATCCGAAATGGAAGCTTGTAGATTTTTTTGGGTCTTCTTCGTTGCTATTTAGGACTGAAGTTTTGTCGCAAACTGTTTTGTTGTTTCTTCACGAATGCTTTTGGTGTTGTTGAGGTCCCACGAGGCTGCATACTTAGATTTTCACACTTCACTACCACCACACTTTTCTCCTGTTTCCAAAAAGTTTTCTTGTCAGGTATATCTTTAGTTCTCTCAATTTATATTCCATTGTTACGCAGCACGTGCTATAGTAGACTACCATAGAAGACCCACAGCTAACATCATAACTACCAGCCTTCTTCTCCTTCTTACGCGCAAACCTAGTCCTCCCCTCCTCGACCCTAAACTCCACAACCTCAACACCTCTCCTCGACCCATCTTCCTCGCAAACTCTCCCACCTCTCGGCCCTTCCACACTCGCAACCATGTCCTCTGCCGATGATGCAGGCGACGAAGTTCTCCTTCCTCCGAACCCCCTCGAAGGCGTCCCAGAGCTCATAACCAAGCCCCTAACCACCGAGGATGACAAGATCTCCGCCTTAAAGCTCGTCGCAGATTCGATCGCGCAACAGAGGAACATAGCCGCGAGCGCCATTATCTTCAATCCTCTCATACTGGCTCTATATATCGGATTGATGGCGGCTATCAGTCAATATCTGTATAAAGACAGGGGAGATATTGGAGTGGTCATTACGACAGGAGCAGGTGTTACGATGGCATGTTTGGTCGCCATTCGTAGTGCGACCGGAGGTTATCTAACAGCAGCCGAAGAAATGACGTGGAAATGGGCGCAGAATGAAGATGGTGAGGATGATATCATCATCGGGTCGAGATTTGGGGATGAAATTATGGGTGCGGCTGTACTAAGATTGGAGAGGAGTGGAAATGGTGGTGCGAAGAAGAAGAAGGCGAGTGGAAAGACGGGAGGAAAGGGTTTGGTAAGAGCTTGGACTGTTAGAGTCAAGTATAGAGGAAAGGGAGTCGGAACTGAGTTACTCGAGGAAGCGGTCAGGATTACGAGGGAGAAGTTGGGAAATTCGGCAGAGATTGGGTTCGCGGCTGAGCATGCGAATAGCAAGAAGGTGCTGCCGAATTTCTTCAATGGTATATTCAAGAAGAAGGAAGCGAGAGCTGCGAGGGCGCTGGAGAAGGTAGTAGAGAGTATGGATGGGAAAAAGAAGAAATAGATGGTTGGCCGCAAGGGCTGTGTATAGTTGATACATACATTCGTTCTTGTATTATGTTTTGGTGTTGGATTGGGCAAGATACCTAGAACGGATAGTTGTGCATATGACGACTTAATATGTTACTTAATGGAAAGACTGAATACCTGAGCGATTGTTTTATCTGATGAGGAGACTTGCGACAGAAACCTGAGATCTGTCATAACAAGTCAATAACCACAACCAGGCTATCCATTGACATACATAGATCTTCAAGACAATCTACGAAATGACTCCTACAGAGCAATTCCTCTCCACTGTAGTCTTGGAGAAAAGATTCTCATTCTTCGAGCTCCGAGACATGCTTGGACATTGACAAATCTCACCACGTGAACTACACTACCCCTGTCAGATTCTAGACTCTCGCTAGAGAGCTTTCTCCCAAATTTTTCTTCCTCCTCCCTCTTCACATTCTTCAACATCACATCTCGAGATTCAATTACTATACTCAAAATTGTTGCTATCTTGCTAACGAGGCAGAATTCCTCGGTCGGAACATTATGTGGAGCATGGAACCAAACACTTTTCACTTCTGGTGCTATGTCACCACTTTGCCGTGAGAGCGAGCGATGATCTCGGGCGCGTTCGGTCTGTCGGTACAACTAACCTTTAGCTCTTGTTTGCTCCTCCCCATTTCCCCACGTTCACTCACGTTACAGCAAGCAAACAAGCTTACCTTACCCCGAAAGCCACACACGCACACGTCCCGAGCCTTTACTCGTACACCATCAACAACACAACATCAATCATGAGGTCCAACGTCAGAATATCGGCTCCTGCTGTGCGGGCAGCATTGAGATCTGTCCAGCGTCGAAGCTTCACTGCTTCGGCGTCCAGACAGGCTCAATGGGGTTTCATAGGCCTTGGTCAAATGGGTATGTGTTGCACGCGACCTTCTGAATTGCTTCATTTTCTAACGGACAGCAATAGGATACAATATGGCCCGGAACCTACAAGCCAAGCTCCCGTCGTCCGATACCATGAAGGTCTATGATATCAATCCTGCGATGGTCGAGCGATTCGCGAATGATACAAAAGCATTGACGAGTGGAGCTGCTGTTGAAGCAGTTGCCAATGTTCGAGATGCTGCTGAGGATTCTGTATGTGCTCTCTGATACCTTTCCCTACCCCGCTACCGCCGTACCCCGCACCCCTTATGTGATGAGTTTGTTCTATCCATGATCTAAGTTGGGGTCGTCCTCACCGGCGACCTTTTTATGATTTTACAATTATACAATAAAGCCAATCCTCTGATATCAATTCCACCCGCTTCCTCCCCATCAATCCACTATCTAGGAGCCAGCAAACGCTAACAGCACAAGGAAACGACAATAACAGTCCTCCCCGAACCCTCCCACGTCAAAAACGTCTTCGGCCACATCCTCAAGCCCCCCCTCTCCGAATCCCACGTCTCGAACCCAGACCGCCTCTTCATAGACTGCTCGACCATCGACCCAGCCTCCTCGCGCGAGGTCGCAAACGCAGTCCACTCCACCGAACAAGGCCGCTTCGTCGACGCCCCCATGTCCGGCGGCGTCGTGGGCGCCACGGCCGGTACCCTGACGTTCATGCTTGGAGCCCCCGACTCGTTGGTCTCGCGCGTCGAGCCCATCTTATTGATGATGGGCAAGAAGGTGCTGCACTGTGGAGCGCAGGGTGCGGGCTTGAGTGGGAAGTTGGCGAATAATTATTTATTAGCCATTAACAATATCGCTACAGCGGAAGCGATGAATTTGGGCATGAAATGGGGCCTCGATCCCATGGTCTTGGGGAACCTGATTAATATCTCGACGGGCAAGTGCTGGCCTAGCAGCGTCAATAATCCCGTGAAGGGGGTCGTGGATGGGAGTCCCGCAAGTCGAGATTTCCAGGGCGGGTTCGGGTTGAGTTTGATGAAGAAGGATTTGGGACTGGCTATCATTGCGGCCGCGGAAGCGGGCGCGAAGCTAGAGTTAGGTGATAGGGCGAAGGAGGTTTATGAGGCGGCGGAACAGAGGGAAGATTGTAAGGGGAGGGATTTCTCGGTTGTTTATAGGTATCTTGGTGGAGCTGAGTAAATACTAAAGGTAAGTTTGAGATGAATATATCATTGAAGGCGTTTTGGTAGCTACCACGTAAGAGCTTCATAGATTGGACTCAAATGTATATGAATTTTTGTCTATCTAGCATTTCATAGCCTGGTTCTTTCTTATTCATCGCATTTATCTCGTCTGATTCGTGACGCCGAACGGAGGAACGCCACCAGCGGAAAATGCAGCAAATCCTCACCCACCCCAAGCACACATCATACACTCACTCATACCCATTCCCTCTCAGAACCTAATGCAACCTCTTCAACTCCTCCACCAACCCCCTAACATCCTCCACGCTTGGACCTAGCCCCTGACAAATACTCTCCTGCACCTCCTCATCACAATCCAAAAACCTCTCGATCAACTCACCGTCCACGAACCGGTACGGTTCCTGTGACTCTCGAGTCCCGTTCTTATACCGTCTATACTTCTTGAAGTCGATTTGACCGAGCGTGCTGATGTGGGATTCGCAACGCTCTTGGAGACGGAGAAGGAGGTCTTGGGATGATGGGAGGATAGTGGCGACGAGGTAGATGGATCCTTCTGTCTGTTTGGCTGTTAGTATTGCTATAGAAGAAAGGAGGGGAGGGGGAAGACTTACAGTAGCCATGAAAGCCTTTGGGGCAACCATGGCGTTAGGACCGGGCTCTACTTGGATTCTTCGGATGGCGTTGACTTGTTCGCCTAGGTGCATTTCTCCGATGATCTCCATCCTCTTCTTATCTTCTGCTGTGACGCCCGCTTTGTTGCGGCGGAGGATTAACAGGTTGCCGTCGTGGTCGCTTTCCAGGTAGCAGTCGTTGTCAATGTCTGTTACGGCTGTGGCCCAGCAGGGAGCGTAGTCTCGCGCTACTTGTTCCAGCGTATCTGGGATTCCGAGACTGCCTGGGACGTATTCGACGATGGAAAGGGATTGCATCATATCTGCAATAGCAATGGTGTTGCCCGTGACAGAAATGTCCATTGGGACGGTGACACAACGATATGTTGCGGCTTTGCGGAGTGTTGCCGAACTGATACTGTTTTCATGGTACTTGAAGACAACCACTGTCTTGTATAATATGGCGACGACTTTGTCACCTAGCATTGCTAAGCGCCGACATGCACACTTGAGTGTGTGACTTGTGATGAGATAAGGAGTCTTCTGGCTGTTCACTCCGAAGACGAGTATTCGGCCTCGACGGTTTGGCTCGGCCAGCTCATCTGAAAGGAAAGATGTGCCTACAACGAAGCGTTCTGCTAGCTCATCCCCTGAATCTGCGGTAGGCAGCTGGGCGCGGATAACGCACTCGATGACTTCAGGCCCGTTGCTACCATCGAGCTCGTAGGGTTTACCAATTTGACCAAACATCATATCTTCGACAAGCTGGAAAGTGTTCTTGACCGTCTCTTCTCCTTTTTGAAGCTTACGAGTGACACAGCCAATTCCGAAGGCTCGCTCATGGGCAGAATATGCGATTCTTCGTACTGTGTATCCTATTGGTGATGTGCGTACGTGAGTCCGCCTCTCGGAATCGACCTGTGAGATTTTGAGAGTGCCAGAGCCAGCAACAACGATTGAATTTGGGAATGCCTCGCCATTGAAAGGTGCGACACATACCGCATTGTCTGCAGTGACAGCAGAGTAGACAATCCTGCCTTCGGAGCCATAGATCAAGCTGGGATGCTCGCAAGTTGCAAAAACGTTGGAGAGTCCGTCGGATCGTGGCAGAACGTGAAATCGAGCTTGTTGTGTACCTAAAACAATGCTCTTCCTACCGGATAGCTGGAACGACTTGTTAACACCGAACGTCAAAACAATGCCATCTTCCATTGCGATGAAAAGCGTTGGGCCTGACACACTCCTCGGTAAGATTTGCGTCATAACGATATTCCTCGGGACAGAGGCATCGTTCTTTCGACGGACATTTTCAGAGTATACGATATCCAGATTTGTTAAATCGAGGACAGATATGGTACCGGACTTCCAGAAGCCGACTATTCCAACATTTGGAATATCGCTTGGAACATTGATGCAAGCAACTTGATCACCCTCTTGAAGATTCTGTATAGCCACTTCTTGGAGTCCCGAGCGCACGTCTAGAGAAATCAGCGTAACACCATTACACGACAATAGAACATGGCCCTCATTCGCTGATGCAGTAGTGATCATTTCGCCCGATGGGGGTCGCCATTCTGCGCCAACAGAAGATGGAGATGAATTTGGTCCAAGAACTCGTACCGACTCTGTCGTGATCTGCAGAATGAACCCATTCGGTAGATTTATGGCTAACAGAGTTTGTTGATCAAACGACAATCCTCTGAATTCTTCAACTTCTTCAATCTCGCCTCCTGAGTCAAATTTGAATACTCGAGTCTCGACAGCTAGAGAGACAACCAAAGTATCGTCATTTTGCGAACCAGGACTAGAGCGAAGAGAGAATACGTCTCGAACGTCGTCCATGTCGTCGGTCAAGATACCAACATCTTCCAGGCCAACGCCACTTCTGACGCTTCGAAAGCTTCCTGACTCGAAAACACCACTTCCTGTTACCAATCGGGCTTGACCGGTGGAATACTCATTCGATTGTGTTTCTCCTTCTCGGCTGCCCATATCCATCACTGCAAAGTCCGTAACAGGCGCAATATTTGGCATCTCTTGAATCACCGTGAGATGACCCAAGTCTGTTAAGGTCTCGAGATTTGGAGGAGCAGATTTTGCTGCTTCAATGTCCAACTTGAGAAATTGAGAGTCTCCTTCATGGGAGCCAACAAAGACAATTCCTTCTCCAAGATGCACTATAACAGTAGCTTTTGATGTCCGTCCTATCTTTTGTAGGGCCAAACCAACAACTTCGGAGCCTTCAACTTCTAAGGTCAAGAGGTGGAGGATACCAAATTCATCCCCTAAAACAAAGTTCAAATTGTCAAGTTGCTCCCAAACCACAAATATTGAACCTTCGTCGAGAGCGAACTCCACAACGGCTTTACTTTCATCGTCTAGGTAGGTAAATTTCGTCTCTCCAACGACAATAACACCACCCAGATGCGCTTTCAAAGCAGCTGAATTGCGTGATAAGTGTCTCTTATCCTTGCTGTCGCCTTTGGATACTGGAATCAAGTGGCTCGCGCCCATATCCAGTTCACCAATATCATTTTCTCGGTCTTTCGAAGCATCAAATGTTGCCCAAGCCATCTTCTCATCCACCAATCTGTATGTGACTAATCGTACATCGCCGGAGACTGTATCTGTAATTAAGAGGGCAAGCTTGGGTTGTTTCGTCTCCGTGTGGAGGAACGCCATGGAGCGAACCTTTGTCTCCGCAATACGTGTCTGCTCTGGCACACCCAGATCTTCAACGCGACCTTTCCGCGGTTTCATAATATTGATCAGGTTCAAGACTCCTTCGAACAGAGCTAGCACCAAGAAACGCCCCGTTGGGTCGACGAGGCATAGATCTCGGCTTTGTGAGTCTTGCAGATATTTGTACGCCATATCCTCGAATCTCTGCCGTGTTTCTAATCGTTTCGTCTCTTTATTAAAAGCTATTGTGAAATACTGAAGTTGCTGCGTGCCGACGAAGAGGAGGTCTGTTTCTGCACCGATGATTCGGAATTTGGCAAGCATAGAGACCGAGCCGTATATCTGGTGCGAGTCGGTCATTACGAATGTATCGTCTGCCGGTTGCCATATTTCGATTCGAGGTCCTTTTCTACAAGCTTGGTCAGTAAGAGCTTCGAGGACCTAGCAATGTACATACGCAACGACAAGGCATTCTATGTCCGGATCCAAGAGATTCAACCTCAGCGCATGGCGGACGCTGCTAGGCCGATGGATGGGGGCAAGATAGGCCATACTAAAGGACCAAAAGGGGCGAAAGGAAAATTAGGAAAGGAAGTTGTTGAAGTTAACAAGGCGAGCTTCGAAGCTCTCCACGGTTGATGACCCGCACTTTTAATCGTGAGCTTCCGTTCTTATCGACTTCGGCGTTAAGATACACTTTTCTCCGCAAAACTACCTAGGTAAGTCAAGGAGACGCAAGGCTACCAAAGTCTCTGAAAACGAAAGTTACTGTCAGAAGCTACACGAACTAGGTATCAAGAAAAAGGGTTGTATGTAGTCAACGATATTGCCATTCGTTCAATTCATTGCAAGCTCTTGGCTATGCGGGGTATCTTTTTTTTGGACTGCTCCAGAAAATGCAAGCAAGACAACAGAGTCATTATGCCGGAGCAACAACTTCACGCTCATCTCCAGAGGAATCTGACAACGTGCTCGACGCATCACTCTCCACTGGCCCTGCAGCCGTCTCCTTTTCCTTGCCCTTCTTGCTTCTCGTGATCTTCTTGCTTCTCGATAACTTTGCAGCATCCCGTGGAGCACTGATGAAATCAAGGTACTCTTCGTCATCTAAAGCACTCAATAGCTTCGGTAACTGTGCCAATACCTCGCTTCGATCCTCAACTCCATATTCAGCCCCCACGAAGAGACTTTTATGATACGCAGCCCAGGCTATTTCCTCATCTTCGTCGATGAACTTGTGACTCTTCCATTGCTCTGACTGCGCTGCCGTGATCCGTTGAGCCATGGTATCGGTGGTCTCTTCTTCGCCATCGATATTTGACTTTACCATCATATGAACAGCTCGAGCTTCAGCGGGTCTTCCTTGTTGTCCTGGTCGGCCATAGCGATCTTGTTCAGACTGCGCATCAATGTGATGAAACTGGGGTCGCATTTGGACAATGTTATCCACTGGTGTAAGATGTAATTGGTCTATGGAATCTGTTAAATGTGGAATTGCTAGTCATATGAGTCAACATACCCTTCTCGAAAGTCCCAATCATATACTGAGGTGTGTTCTCTTCACTTGATATTGTTTGTCCTCCCAACGTCTGTTTCACCAAGGCGTGCTCCTCCCTAACAGCATGGTCGAAGTCGGCGATGAGATCTTGTTGCCTCTTATGTTCGGCCTCGACATTGTTAGGTCTTCTCCCAGCAATCACCGACCCTCCAATTCCGAAGCCACCAGGTAGACCGTGATTCGCTTTGGTCTTCTTCATCGCGCTGCCCCATCTGACGCCCTTCTCTTTGTCATAATTGTGGTGGGTGTCCATTGGCACATCAAGCTCAACCATACCCGCACCAGGCTTTACACGCATCTTCAGAGGCTTCGACTGGTGTTGCGTCGAGTATTGTTGTCTCGAGTCGCGATTGGGAAATTGGAGGATATACACCTGTTGAGTGCCGGACATGTAAGGTTTGATGAAGACATCGTATGATGCCTTAATAGGGTCCGGATCTTCCATGTCGACGTCTGCCATTTCAACCCAAATTGAGTTTGTTTGTCGCGGATCAGATCTGAGAATCTTTTGTTCCCGACAGCCTTCTTTATGCGTGGGGTAACTAGCGGCCGCTAGTGGCTCTGATCTGCTCAGCCACTCCGAGGTGTGAAGATGACGCCTCCTGGTTGTACAGTCTTAGGCAACACAATCAGAAGACGCCCATCGTGCCACTCACTGTCTTAAGAACCTTGGACCCCTCTCATTCATCCTCGACTCGACTGTATCATCATCGCAGGCATCAAAACCATCAGCCAGTCCGCCATCTTCAAATAACATCGAATATCGAAACAAACCCCCTTCGAAATGTGCTCCGCAGACATCTTCCTCGGCCTCATCGCCATCCTCTTCCCGCCCCTCGCCGTCTGGGTCAAGACTGGCCTCTGCAGCGCCGACTCTCTCATCAACATTTGTCTCTGCATGCTAGGATATATCCCAGGTCTCTTGCACGCCTGGTACATTATCGCCAAGTTCCCCGAGCCAGATTACTACGAACCTATTCCAGGGGATGCCGAAGGAGGCCGTGTAACATATATTGTGGTTCAGGGCCCGAACGGAGGCACCCAGAGAGTCCCAGCTAGACAACAGGGACGACAACAGGGTGGAAATGGAACGGCACAGGGCTATGGAACAACTGCTACGATGGCAGCACCTGTCCATCAGGAGCCGAATGGAACGTGGACAAATGCTGCCGAGGGTTCTAGTAATGGTGCCGTACCACCAAGCTACGAGCAAGCTGTGCAGGGAGACAACAAGATTCAGTCAAGGGATTAGGCAGTAATCCTCGACATTAGGGCTCAATGGTTAGATGGACGATGAGAGAAGAGCATTGCGGGTGTTTTCATGATGGAATGAATTGGTTACGATGGACTGAACAAGGCACCGGCGTGTGAGGCGTTCAGGACATCCTACATTGTATTGTACCGGGCTTCTATGAACATTGAATTCTTCGCAATCGGTGAATCACGAAATCACCTCTTACATGATACCTCATTTCCAAGTGATTCAGTTACTCTGGGCATCGAGATTCTACTAAGTGACATCAAAAGCAAAAGAAAAACAGTCTTATTCAAAGGTTTCATTCATTAGCCCATGAGACTTACAGCCACTTCAGGCCAACTGCCCCAGATCATTGGTCTGTCGGTCATTCTAGTATTCATGGGTGCCAGGACCTTCAATCTTCGTTTTGTTTCATCCACTTCTGCTACGTACACAAAGCCCATGACGCTGGCATCCCTAATAGTATCCTGAGAATCTGATACTGATGCATACATTACTGCAAGTATGCAGTGCTGCATTGAGGCATTGGGTTCCACTTTCTCATAGAGTCCATGATCCGTCTCCTCGACTCCACCAGGTAAGAACGAATTGGTATGTGCTATCAACGGTAAGCTAGAGTTTCAGGGGGTGAGATCTTAGGGTGTTACCTTCTCTGATCTTGTAGACCGTGACTTCATCGTATCCAAGACTTTGCGTATGGGGACTGAGCGTAGTCCGGGTATCACCAAAGAAATACTCTTTGACAGTAGCTTCATTCGTCAATTGCATGAACGTATCATCTCGGTCAACACAACCACCTGATTTGTCAAGCTTCACAAGAGTGATTGTTTCGCCTGTACTTGTACGGTACGTCGAGAAACGTCGAAGCATTTCGCTGTGTAATCTTTCGGAGCCGATCACAAGTATAGTATTGACTGCGAATCATGTCTGTAAAGAGGTTCCGAGTGAGTTGAATTGCACTCACCTGAGAACTCTGATACAATATGTGATATCAGATCAAACCCACCTTTACCTTGACTTATAACCCCTGGAGTATCAATGATCATGCCTGTCGACTTGATGGCTGGATCGTCCGTCAGTCTGCTTGTAGCTGCCAAAGCCAACCTAGTGATAATTGGCTTGTACAACTTCGTGTTGTCTTCCGGATTACCCAGTCCATAGTAATAGCACAACGGCAACTTTACAGGCACTGGAGTAGAGGTGCTTGTAGGACTGCTTCCCCAACCTTGTTCCACATCAATAATCGAAGCAAACGGCGTCGCAGTCAAGCTTCCAGGTATTGACAACAAGCCTTCCCTCGAATCGGTATTGATGACCATAGGCTGTTGTCCCATTCTTAATGCATATGCCGCTAAGAGCTTCACCAAACTAGTCTTCCCAGAATTCGTTGGCCCAACCACCAGTACCCTTGGACCTTCACGACGGTCCCTCTCTGCTTCGTCTCGTAACTTCTCCAAGGCGAAATGGGTGTTGACATATTGTGTCATGGGCGTCTCTTCCGCTGTGTACTCTTCGCATACCCCCGTAACCTCAATTCTGCAACCGTGCCATGTGTATATCGAGGACTTGGCTCCGCGAAATGTGTAGAGGTGGTTTACTGCAAGTTCTGTCCCGAAGATCTCTGCAGTCCCCGAGAGGATCTGGAGCCTCATTAGCTTTGCCACTGGCTCGAATAGCGATTCCATACCTTCACATCGATCTTCTCCCCAATATCGACTTCAAAGCGCCATTCTGAATTTGCTTGAAGGTCGTGAACTACTGTCGGTGCTACAGGTATTGGTGCTAAGAAGGCAGCCTGTTCTTAATCAGCAGTTGTACATGAAAACAAAGCTTCAAAGAACTATACCGTTGGCGCAGCTTGCCCCAGACCTGGAATCGACATTGTATCTTTGTCGTTGTCAAAATCGAATTTGTTCGCGGATCATAAGGTTTAAGGCTAGACAAACAGGGGTCTCAGACTTCAGCCTTGTGGGGGCCGCTCTTTACTCTTTCAAGAACTTTATTTATTTACTTGCGCCCGCGACGTGTTAAGAACCAAATATTCCAACAAACTTGTGCTGGAGTACAAGTATTGTCTGAAACATCGATTGGTGGCTTTCGCAAACAATTCAAAGTGCGACATGTCTCGGATAACGCGAAGCAAGAAAGCTCTCCCTTCAGAAACCAGCACTTCAGGTGCCGGCAATTCCAAAGCAGGCTCGGAGACATCGACCATACTTTAGTCGACATCAACCAATACCTTCGCACGCCCTACAGGTTCTGCCAATGAAGGCAAGACATCCAATTTGACGCCTTCTCCGCAGCCGCCCGCGAGTTCTTGGGATGTCACGGGTAGCTACCGTGTGGAATTCTTTTGGCCTGAAGTTGATTCATCCAGCTACTCCCTGTACATTCACCCCGCATCTGACAGCCACGATGATTGTGAATACTACGCCGCTTTTCAATTCGACAAGCTTGAAGGCATCATGCGACTTTGTCCTCAACCCGAACAATCAGATGGCAATCACCCAAGTAACGATTTAGAATTTAACGAGTTCGAAGAGGCCTGCCGTCTGGTGGACAACACCACTGCACCGAGCCCAGACTGTAGGCACTGGCTCATGCAATGGAGGGGTGCAGATGGGGGTTTAAGGCTAGGGAAAAAGGTCGGTGGAGAGGGAAATTGGGTTCATCACTGGAAGGACGATATCGATGATTCCCCAAATTCAGGCGAGTTTCAAGGCATCCGCATCCGTTTCTACTTTGCCTTTGACGGCAGAGCTTTTGGGATCAACGCTAAGAAAATCGCGAGTCTCCCAACGAGTGAGAATACCATGCTACCCTCGAAGCTAAGGGAAGACTGGAAAGACCGATGGAATTCTGACTGGAACCTGGATTCGGTCTCGGAATCAAATGCAGAATCGGATACAGAACCCGCCTTTGATTTGAAGGACTTGGCGAGGACTCTAGACGATCTCAGAAACGACTTTCGAAGTCTGTCCGTCCCAGGATCTTTCATAGAGCAAGCGTCTGCCTGGGCCTATCATATAACTGGACATTGGAATATTAAGGACTCGGACTTCAAACCTCTCAATGGTTCAGGAGAACCAAAGCCTGTATCCTCAGAAATGGGCCCCAAAACTATGGTAATACGGATGGCCAATAATCCTAAACACTCCAAAATTTCTAGGCAATTTTGGGCTGAATTCGGCTTTGGGGGGGGAGATTGTTGGTACCATGAGGCTATTTCCCATACCTAGATTCGGAACACCCATCCACACGGCGAAAGAGCTCGAAGAGGCCTGTGTCTTGAGATCTGGGTGCTGGCCGGGGCCGGGAGCGGAGGCGGAGGCGGAGGAGGCGAAACCTCAAGGATGCAATAGCTGGTGTGCCAAATGGCGGGGAGAAAAACAAGGAAGAGTAGAGGTTCAGGATGAGGACAATGACTGCGACTTCGACTTCAAAAGAGATAGCAGCGGAAAGTTAACTGCTTCCGGGCTTTTCATGAACGGTCTCCAACCAATCATTTTCGAGGCTGAAAAGATCAGGGATCTCCCTCCATCCAGCGGAAGAGAGCCTACTGTCTCAGCAGCTTGGAGTCTCTGGAAACGTAGGGAAAAGGCCCAACGGATAGGACAGCCTTCTTAGGCGGATTTCTATGAATTTGTGATCATTTTCATTTCTTGGAGGTCGACGAAATCCTCCCTGGGGATTTCTTTGTTTGGGAGAGCACGAGCTAGACTCCACTTGGCATTCGAATCAATTTTACCATGAGTTATGACGACAATGTTTACTTTTTCAATGCTACAAAGACTGGAAAGCTTGAAGTGGAAGGAGACACATCTTCGTCTTTGGAGTCAGATTGGGAGATACTATGGAATACAGCTTGGGTAGATTATTCAGAGTCGGAGGGTTCGGATCATTTGGACAGCTCTGATAACGTTGAACGACAACCAGCTTACAAAAAGCCCTACACGAGGAGAGCATACGCTGTTCCGGAGCTTTTGCAACATTTAGAAAGCTCTGACGACGACGGACCACGAATAGGATCTAGCTTCCGAAATATCACAAATACTAACGTACGGAAGACATACACTGTCTCCGATCCTTCGCAACAACATCGATCGGGTGGCCAGGATCGCGGAAGCTTGTCTAACGTTGGAAAAGATCAAGCCCAATCCGGCCCTAAAAGCAAGCCCCAGAAGCAGTCGAGAGAAAGAGAAGAGAAGTCTGCCGCAGAAAGAGGCCACAATGCCCTCAAGACGCTTTCGCGGCGGAAAGCCATTCGAGAGAGTGCCACGGACGGAGCTCCGTCAGGAGGAACGTCCGCAGAAACACCCAAACTCCCTTCTGCAATAATAGCCTTAGCCCCCGAAGGCCAAGCGCTTCCTATGGACAGTCCGATTTTGGGAATCCTCCTCAACGATGCCCTTTCAGAATATAGCAAGCCCGTCAGACTTATCGAAGAACAGCCAGCTTGGGCTTGGGATGTGACTGGATATTGGAACGATCTCAATGCCTCTACCATCAGTCGTGGGAGTGGGGAAGCATCCATTCGCGTGATATCGGTCCACATGGTCATCTGGATGTCTAACAACGCAAGGCATTCAAAGGTCGGTCGTCAATACCATGCAAAGTTGGAAATTCCTGGTCTTCTGGACGCCACTGTGCGGTTCTGCCCGCAAGTACACCCATCTTCAGGAGGTCCAGTTACATTGCAGGATTTTGAGAAAGAATGCGTGCTAGAACCTGGCTGCTAGCCTGGACCACACCCACAAGGTCGAAAGACGTGGCATCTGAGGTGGAGAGGCATTGGGCATGCTGGTGAACAGGAAGATGGGAGTGACGAAATTCAGACCGAAGTTACATTCGAGCAGAATGGAAAATTGACACTGAAGGGTACTTTCATATATGATGATCAAGAGATAAGCTTGCTCTTTACGAAAAGACGGGATATTCACCCGCCGAAGGGTAACGGAGCCACGATCAACAGTCTTTGAAATGCTCTTAAACCACCGAAGGCCGAGGACATCTTAGTCCCTGCCCATTTGGCTGCCTATTATAGACAACTTCATGGTGGACGAGAGTGAGATCGCAGAACGAGATCGGACTTCTACATCACTAGCATTCGTCCTACAAGCCTCAAACTTGACAGTCTCATACAATTGTACTCTGGACACTGTAGTCTGTGGATATAAGTAGCAAGTCTAAACTCAGCAGCCTTGCGCCATCCATTCACGTTCACCAATACTCGTCCTACGTGGGTCGCTTGCTTCCTCTTTCGGCTTAGCTCCAGCCAACTCCGTTATAGCTTTAAATAAGTATTCTTTACTCCAAGAATTAGCAGCCGAGTTAGAGCATATGGATTTAAGAGATAGTAATCCGCTCAAAACAAAGCAAGGCCGGATTAGGAATGGTTACCCATACCGAAAAGAGGCCGCTAAGGATAAACAATGGTTCGCCCTTATACTAAGCAGTTCATCATGACCCGTCTCATCATGATGAGCTGTTAATGTTTTGTCAATTTTTCTTATGATTCTTTTGGAGTCATTTTGGTGGTGCTGGCTAAGCGAAGGGTTAAGCGAGGATGGCTCAAAGATGAGTCGTCCATCGCTGACTTGCACTCGAGCTGCCTATTCAAATCAAAGAGTAGACCTGGATAACTACTGGAAAGTTTGCTTTACGAGGGAATAACTCAACCTCGCGACGAAATTTCATTCACAGCATGATTTTGGGACAATCATTTTCATATCCTGGGCAACCTATATCATGCCCTCCACTACCATTGAAGCTCCCATTTTGTCTTCAGATCATCTCGAAATCACTTTCAACAACTTCGCATAATCCATCACATCTCTAGACACGTTCAATTCGTCGCTTACAGTACTCCCCATTCAAGATGATTTCTGCTCTCCTCAAAGCCGTGGTCCTCTTCAACCTTGTTTTCATGGTAAGATGCTTGATCTAGGATACAGATTCCGTTGCTAACAAGAATCGAAGATAGCGGCCTTCAAACTTTCTGAACGAAACAAGCTCTACCCTGTGATGAACACATCCAGCAAGGCGGTCTTGGCGAAAGATAGCTTGGCGATAGAGGCACGTAGTGTAAGTCACACCTAACTCAATAAATAGTAGCGCTAACGTGCAGGCTACCTGTTGTCCTAAAGGCGACCCGCGAGGAATGCCAACAAGAGCCGATGCCTTAGCCGCAATGGATTGGCTCACCAAACCAGGACTAAACTGCGGAATCAGTCGCGGAGAAACCAGAGTTGGCTGTCTCAACAGTGCTGCGATTATCGTTACGAACCCAGTAAGATCTGCCTTTTTAAACCTTTGGGGGTACGTTGTACTAAATTACCTGAAGGGTGCAAATACTCTCAATATCCCCTGCGGAGTGATCTCTTCGGTCGTCAGCGATCTTGCGACTCAGTGTGCGTCGACGCTTGGGGAGGATACAATCTGTGGAGTAAGTCATCAGGCTTATGACGGTAATAGTTTTGTGGTCGTAGTCATTACGGATCCAAAACCATGTTAGACTTCGGAAGGAGTATTTTCAACGATTATCGAACGTGGCAGGATTTCAGGCGGGCTTGACGGTTCCATATGTTGTTGAGCGGAATAGGAGTGGAGGTCATTTTTGACTTCTTGTCTTAGTTGTCTGGGTTTTTGTTTTAATATTTCCAGTACATGTTGTATTAGCAACATGGTTCACGTACCGTTACACTGCTTCATGAATCCTTGATTACTCTCGGGTCAATGACTTCCGTCCCGGTCCTCGCTTAACCCCTTTCCCGCTCACCACTCGAACCCGTCATCGTTATCGTTCTCACAATCATGAGGCCCAACCTTGTTTCTAATTGCTGCTGCCCATGGATCCGGCTTGAACAATGCACTCAAGCCCGACAACAAAGATCCTCGAATGTTGGGAACGAATCACCCATTCATCAGCACATTCAAGTCACAAGAACGACTACTGACATTACACCTCTTCGAACCAATGCCAATATCGTATCAAAATGAAGCATTCGCCTAACAGAGTAGACATTCACTCCAGAATATCCATTCATTGCGGGTGTAGAACCGAATAACATTAACAATATCTTCGCATTAAAATTCAACATCACCGCTCATCTTGGTCATTAGCCCCCTTTCCATTTTCGCCACGCCCATTCCTCATCCGTTCCCAATGCAAAATGCAGACCTAAGCCAAAAGTTGACATAGCAAGTATCTCCCTTCCCTTCATTCCTTTTTTCTGAGGTTACGTGTAAACACTTTCCGTGAACTGATTGACCTGCAATCCTTTCTCCGCCATCTCCGCATCTTTCAAGAAGTCCAAGGGCATCCAGACAAGATGACCTTTGATTTGGTCGAGCTTGGCTCGGATTTCGTTTGGTGGAATCATTTTGTCGTAGATATGACCTGACTTTGTGCCCTTGGGTGGGAGAAACTTGTCGTAGTCATCGAAGTTTTTGACTTTCACCTTGTCAGCATATAAATGTCAAAGATTTGGAGAATATGTAGGGCTTACCATAGTTATCAGGATCAGCATGGAACAACTGTCTGAAGACCTCCGTGTTCTTAGTCGCTCTCGTAGTCCACAGATCCCAGACTTGGTCGCTAAGTGGATCAGCGACATACTCGAATGTATCACCTTCTTGCGGATCATTCGGTACATCAGGTGGCTGCGCGTTGGGGTCTTTGCTTGCGTCCAAGTCTTGTGGTCGTAGAAGACCAAGATGCTCTCTCCAGAGATAACGTCTCAAAGTGGCGGCATGGTGCCCAGCTTCGTATGGCTGGCCATCCATAGTGCTTTGAAGAGGCTTGGTGTCCGTCATGACAATGGATAATTCGCTGTCGTGGATACCAATCTGGGAGCGATCGTTTAAGTTCGAGCTACCGCAGATGACAGTCTTGTCATCGACTATGAGAACTTTTCCATGAATATAGAGCTCTTCTTGAATCCAGTTCTCTACTTCACTCTCTAGGTCGCCTTCCCATTTCTCGTCCACGAGATCAGGTTGATCAAGCATGGCGTTCTTTGCTACACTGTCTGTACTTTCAGGTACTCGATTTGTACCTGCTGCTTCGGCATGGGCTTCAAACTTGCGCTTTGCGTCGGTCCTTTCTTCTGTTGCTTCGTCTCCGGAATCGTCACGTGGATCAATAGCTCCCTTTTTGCCCATGTGCTTGTCAGCACCATCTTCGTCTCTGGAACCATGGATACCAGAGTCCATAATTTCTTGGGCTTCTGCTCTCTGTACGTCTTGATATTTAACACCAGACTTCTCTTCTTGATCCTTCATTGCTGGAGTGACGTTTAGACGATCGTATGATCGGAGGTTGAAGAAAAAGATGTGTTGAGTCGGATCTACTCCTTGGGCCCTGACTTGCTCGAAGATGGAATGCTCCCCTCTGAGAATTGACTTGTACTGGTAGTCCATGATAGCTCTTGTGCCTAATGCAGCATCTTCTCGAAGGTCGCCTGCGAATCCTGGGATTGAAGGAATGACTGCAATAACACGGAACTTCCTGCCTTCTTTCCCAGCCCTGACCACCGCATCTACGATTGCTCTACCGATCGTATTCTTGATCGGTGGTTGCTGGTCTCCAGTGGCTGTGATGAAGAACTGGTTTTCGATGTATACGTAGTGTTGCGCATTCCTGATTAGTTCGCTGTATGCGTTCTGAATACTATGTTCAGTGAGAATGCCACTTGACCAATCACCGCTGCTTCGGACTATTTGGGCATGGACAGTTCCTTGCTGTTTGCCGAATGTCTTGCCACTCAGAGGCGACAATGGATGATGGATGTAATCCCCGACAGGGAATTTCGGTCTCTGGACTCCAATGAGATCCTCATCTGGTCCTTCACGACCTTCCAAGGTCAGCCAATCATATCTTCCATCTCGCTTATACTTGTCGCGCTTCACGAAGTTCCATCGAAGAACAAAGTGTTCTGCGATGTCATAGACGCAGTCACCAACAACGCCCATAGCAACGTCATGCCATGGCATACGGCCATATTCAGCTTTAGACAACTCATTCGACTTCCAGTCAGAAACTGTTTGAAAATCCATGACACGGTTATTGTTAAAGTCTTGTCCAGGCCAGATTTCAGTTGCAACACCTTCAGGGTGAACATCTGCAAGTGGATGCTGGTGATTGTCCCATCTTCCGAAACATAGATCTAGGCCACCGATGAACGCAACATCGTAGTCGATAACGATGAACTTCTCATGATGTGCCCAATAGAATGTCATATCTGCTGCGTTCTCGAGGACGTTGTGGTCGGGATGGCGCATGACAGTAATATTACCATGTCCTTTGGTTCCTTTTGGGCAGAGAGCTTGAAGGGCATGCTTGGTATGAGCAGAATTGCAGGTAAGGGCAGCCTAGATTCATTAGTGGTTGTACCATTCCCCAGTTCAAACGGAGCTTACCTCAACCTCACGATACACAATCACGAATATCTTGACACCTGCTTCTGCCTTTCTTTTCAGAATCTGATCCAAACGCCATTCCTGGTTATAATATGGAGGTCTTCGCATGAACAGTTCTGGAGAGAGCCACCAATCTGCAATATAGATAGTTTCTTTCGCACGGTCGAGAGCAATAGACACAGCCTATTTCCATCAGTATGCTACTACACGGACCATTCTAGTGACAACGTACCCAGTAGTAATCTCTTCCATCAACATACCACTTGATGTTGTTTCCTGGTCTTTCGGGTGCGAAAGATTTGAATCGGTGCGATTCTGCAATCTTGGTTCTCTTGTCGTCGGTAATCTTCTCGTGTTCCTCATCGTGTCGATGGTTTGGATTAACCTAGACTATGGTCAACCATTTGTTGCAAAAGTAGGAATGCATATAATTTACCAGATTTGCTAGCTTCCCAATTTCATGTCTTGATATGAGGTCAACTGCTTGAACTCTGTACAAATCAACGACTTACTTCTTGTGGCTAAGTTCAGCTTTCAGATCATATAATTTTGTATCCCGGAACTTCTCTCGCAAGTTGTGGAACGGATGCTTTATCTTATCCTTCAGATGCTCCGGATTCGACCCTCCATCAGAGGGAGCTGCGGTAGACATGGTTCTCTGTTTGGTCCTCGAGGATGAGAGGTACTGGCACTGGAAATATCTGATTTGAGGACGGCAAGGAAGGAGAAGGGAAAAGTCATCCAGATATCGGATCGGGAAATATAATTGTGCAGGCACGAACGAGAGAAAGAAGAAGCCTACCGCCGGATTAAGAAACTGGTTCCTACCTAGTCAGCGGGGTGAATTGACTCTGCGGTGCTCGGATGGTTTGCTGATCTTGATTGTACTGTGCTCCCAAGACAGCCAAGGCTGAATGACGTCAAGTAGCGGCACAAAATCCTGGTATACCCGAACCTTCACGATCCAAATCTAAGCTTATCTGTAGCATGTAGGGACATTAACAAGGATATGAACCCTTTAAATGCGACATGCGGTCATGACTGTGGTCGTGAAACATTTAGTCCACCAGTTGAATACAAGCCTGAATCGGTTTATGGTATCACGTGACCATATATTCATTTGCAACTCTGAGACTCCAATTATCCATCATTGTTGCAATTCCGCAAAAGGAGGCTTCGGATAGGTTTAAGCTAGTGACTGGTGTTACCTAATACTAAATGGAGCTTGTTTCGACCTTGCTGTCTGCTCCACGCCTCGGCTCATTTCTATGTGCAAAACTTCTGTGGACTGAGCAAAGCCAGCTCTATCACTATCACCATCGTGTGCTTTTTCTCGGAAGCCATTATGAGTAGTCAAAGCACTTAGTATCCTTTCATATGCTTAGACAACCAACTAGGTAGGTTGGTAGGTTGCTTGTGTGTGGAGAGACCTCGGCGTTGTACGAGGATAGTCTTTGAGGCCGGAGATGCTCTCAAAATGGCATTATGTTTCTTCTTGAAATAGACAATTCTTTGTTTGAAGGGTGTTTGCGTTGAGTCCATAACTTCTCAAGGCTAGAGGTGGGATTCATCTAGTCGGCTGGATATCTGCAGCAGTTCTGACAATAAGCTTGTGCAGTGGTTCGTGGCAAGATAGTTTTGTACATAGACAAAGTTGTTTAGCTGCTCTTATGGGATGATCAAATAGTAATAGACAATTTCAAACAATACCACTTCATAGAAAAGGCTTGGTGAGCTGATGTTTAGGTTGAAGCAGGCGACGCGGTTCGCCAAGACCTTAATTGGGAAGGAATCTAGAATAAGCTAAGCGGCATTCGTCTTAGGGGCAAGCCGCGGCGATATCGAACAGATACGGATACAGCTCGAAGCCACGTTGAAATAAATTCTTTCACACCTTCACTGCACCTCTTTCACATGAATGCGCAATGGCGCCTCTTGTGGATAATCCGCTGATAGCATCTGCGACGTTGCATAATCCATGTATGTATACCCCTGGCTGGGTGAAAGGTCCAAAAATTCTAATCATGAACCAGTGCCACTTTACTTTCATACCTATGTCTGGCCTTTTGCGATCATATGGCCCATCTTTCTACGATATTACCTTTCCGGAGAATTATACACAAAGCATATTAATGGTTCAGAATGGACATTCGTTTGGTGTGGGACAATCATCACTGCTCAAAGTTTGACTTGGCTATGTACGAAATGGAACGTCAACTTGCAGTCACTCTTCACTTCAGTCTCTGCCGACAAAGTTCAGGACGCGAAGCTCATTAAGGTCATTCCTGTTGCCAATGCCGGGTCTTCCGAAATCTGCTCAATCGATAGGGACAACGTGGGTTTTGCAACTCTCTATAGGTGGGAGCTATGCTAATTGGTGTTAGGCTGGGGGCAAGAAAAACATTTCGTTTCTCTTCCAAAAAAGACGATTCCTATACAACTCCGAGAAGAACTCCTTCTCTCCTCTTTCCTACGCGATCGATGCGGACCCCAAACCATTGATTGGAGACTTCCAGAATTCCAGAGGCTTACCGACTGCATCTGAGATCTCCAGAATTCATCAACATTATGGGGATAACACTTTCGATATTCCAGTTCCTTCTTTTACGGAATTATTCAAGGAACACGCTGTGGCACCTTTCTTCGTCTTTCAAATCTTCTGTGTTGGATTATGGATGCTGGACGAGTACTGGTACTATTCACTCTTTACTCTGTTCATGCTTGTTGTATTCGAGAGTACAGTAGTATGGCAGCGCCAACGCACCTTGAACGAATTCCGAGGCATGAGCATCAAGCCATACGAGATCTACGTTTATAGAATGAACAAATGGGAACATACTCATAGCGACAAGCTATTGCCAGGAGATTTAGTATCTGTCGGGCGTACCAAGGAAGACAGCGGAGTAGCATGTGATATGCTTTTGGTTGAGGGTAGTGCGATTGTCAACGAAGCAATGTTGTCCGGAGAAAGTACACCGCTTTTGAAAGATTCGGTTCAACTCAGACCCGGAGATGCTACACTGGAACCAGAGGGCCTCGACAAGAATGCTTTCTTATATGGCGGAACCAAGGTTCTTCAGATTACTCATGGCAATACGGAAGAGGCAAGACCTAAGGTTGCATCTGGTGTATCACCTCCTCCCGATGATGGTGCTTTGGCCATTGTTGTCAAGACCGGATTTGAGACATCTCAAGGCAGCTTGGTCAGAACCATGATCTACTCCACGGAACGTGTTTCGGCAAACAATGCTGAAGCTCTTCTGTTCATTCTGTTCCTGTTGATCTTCGCAATTGCAGCTTCTTGGTATGTATGGGATGAAGGTGTGAAGAAGGACAGAAAACGATCCAAGCTTCTCCTCGACTGTGTCTTGATTGTCACTAGTGTCGTTCCACCAGAGCTTCCTATGGAACTAAGTCTTGCTGTCAACACCAGTCTTGCAGCTCTAAGCCGTTATGCCATCTACTGTACCGAGCCTTTCCGCATTCCATTCGCAGGACGTGTCGACGTCGCTTGTTTTGATAAGACTGGTACATTGACCGGCGAAGATCTGGTTGTCGAGGGTATTGCTGGTCTTGGTCTTGGTCATTCTGGAACGGATACACCTCGTGAGACTGATGGGGCGCATAGCCACATTACCCCTGTTCTGGATGCCGGTCTGGAAACGACTCTTGTGCTAGCTACGGCACATGCGCTCGTTAAGCTGGACGAAGGCGATATTGTTGGAGATCCAATGGAAAAGGCAACATTGACATCCCTTGGTTGGACTCTGGGCAAGAACGACATTCTCACAAGCAAGGTTCCTCAGGGCGCAAACGTCTCATCAGCATCCAACAGCGTTCAGATCAAACGTCGATTCCAATTTTCTTCGGCTTTGAAGCGTCAAAGCTCTGTTGCCACCATCACTGCACAACACTCTGCCACAGGAAAGAAGATCAGAAGCACCTTCGTTGGTGTCAAAGGTGCTCCTGAGACTATAATGAAAATGCTGGTCAAGGTTCCTGCAGATTATGAGGAGACTTTCAAGTACTTTACTCGAAAGGGTTCCCGTGTTCTTGCACTCGCTTACAAGCATCTCTCCATCGACTCAGAAATTGGATCTGGCAAGATTAACGAATTGAAGCGAGAAAATGTTGAGGCTGGTCTGAACTTCGCTGGGTTCTTGGTTCTACATTGTCCTCTCAAGGACGATGCCAAGAAATCTGTTCAAATGCTTAACGAGAGCAGTCATCGTGTGGTCATGATTACTGGAGACAATCCTCTCACTGCTTGTCACGTGGCTCACGAAGTCGAAATCGTGGACAGAGATGTTCTGATTCTCGATGCACCTGAACATGATGACTCTGGGGAGAAGTTGGTTTGGAGGAGTATCGATGATCAAATCTCAATCCCTGTTGATCCTACGAAACCTATCGACCCCAAGATCATTGAGTCCAAAGATCTTTGTGTTACTGGTTACGCTCTCGCTAAGTTCAAAGGTCAAGTCGCCCTCTCCACCATCTACCGGTACGCTTGGGTCTACGCTCGGGTGTCTCCAAAACAGAAAGAAGAAATCCTCATGGGACTCAAGGATCTTGGATATCACACTCTTATGGCCGGTGATGGAACGAACGATGTTGGTGCTCTGAAGCAAGCTCATATTGGTGTCGCATTGTTGAATGGTTCACAAGATGACCTCAACAGGATCGCCGAACATTTCCGCAACACAAAGATGAAGGAAATGTACGAGAAGCAATGCCAGATGATGACCAGATTTAACCAGCCAACGCCACCAGTACCCGTAATGATCGCTCACCTGTACCCTCCCGGACCCACGAATCCTCACTATGAGACCGCGATGAAGCGAGAGGCAGAGAAGAAAGGCATAGCCGTGGCGCTGAGTGAGACTGCAGCTGATAAAACAAATGGCATTGAAACAATTACCTCGCCAGGCGCACAAGCTCTCATTGATAGCCGAAACCCTAAGCAGACTCAAGCACAGCAGAAGGCCATGGGTTTGGCAGAAAAGTTCACTCAAAGTATGACAGAAATGGAGCTCGATGAGGAGCCACCGACTATCAAGTTGGGTGATGCTTCTGTTGCTGCACCATTCACAAGCAAGCTTAGCAACGTTATCGCAATTCCCAACATCATTCGACAAGGACGTTGCACTCTCGTAGCAACGATCCAGATGTACAAGATTCTTGCCCTCAATTGTCTTATCAGCGCCTACAGTCTTTCTGTTCTGTACTTGGAGGGCATTAAGTTTGGAGATGGCCAAGTCACAATCAGTGGTATGCTTATGAGTGTCTGTTTCCTGTCCATCTCCAGAGCGAAGTCTGTTGAAGGTCTATCGAAAGAACGTCCTCAACCCAATATTTTCAATTTCTACATTATTGGATCTATTTTGGGACAGTTCGCTATACACATTGTTACCTTGATCTACATCGCCCGTTACTGCGACACGATTGCTCCGTAAGTCCAATGCTCCATTGATGTAGCCACCAATTAACAGTTTACAGACGTAGCGAGGAAATTGATCTTGAGGGGGAGTTTGCACCATCTCTGCTAAACAGTGCTGTGTACCTTTTGCAACTCATCCAACAAATCTCGACTTTCGCCATTAACTACCAGGGTCGGCCGTTCAGAGAGGCTCTTTCGGGTCAGTTTCTTCCCCATTCCATTCGTGAACATGCTAATTTTGGCTCAAGAAAACCGTGGAATGTACTGGGGCATTATTGGTGTCTCAGCCATTGCCTTCTCTTGCTCAACAGAATTCGTTCCCGAGATCAATGAGAAGATGCGCCTTGTTCCCTTCACGTCGGACTTCAAGTGGACGATGACTACCGTCATGATTGTTGATTATCTCGGCTGTTATGTAATCGAAAAGGCATTGAAGGCACTGTTCAGTGATTACAAGCCAAAGGACATTGCGATCAGAAGACCTGATCAATTGGCTACGGAGCAAAAGAGAATTGATGATGAGAAGGCAGAACAGGTCAGATTAGCTGAGGAGAAAGCTGCAAAAGAGATTGCAGAACTAGAGAGAAAGTTGGCTGAGAAGACAAGAGCTTAGAGTGTAGATATTGCGCATCAGAATGCAGTGTACAATATGAATGCATTTTTGGTCAATGAGTGAGTGTTGTCGGCAATTCAATCCATGAAAGGGGCGGGACCAGCAATCAGGACAGTGACATGCCAGCTATTTGAACCCCACACCTCATTTCACTCAAGAATCCTTCTTCTGTGAATATTGAACAGCATCGCAATGATTCAGGTTTCCCATTCACGAATTTCTCTAGCAAGACAAACTTTCCATCTCAATATCAACGTCATGGCACATCAAACTGAGTTCAGCGCGAATCTTGTTCCGCTGCCAAGGCCCAAAATCAAGGACAAGCAAGTGGAGAGCTCGACGCGCCATTCTCCCTAGCACGAACAGTTTTTCATTCCCTTTGAGCCCGCCATTGATATCTTCTCATCAATTTTTGGAGCTTTAGCCAAGTGACACAGTATCTATTGTCCCAGAAACGATGGTTCAATGGAGGAAAATATTCGGTATGGATGGGAGGTATGTTGGAGCTTCCAACCCCGCGTCAACAGGAACCCAAGCTCACGAAAACTCAATTCAGTGCGGACCAGCACCGTTGGAGAGATGAGGCTCGTCGCTGTAAGTCGCACTAGATCTGCCATTCCCTATTGTACGAGCTAATTTTGGACATGGCAGTGTTGCCGACGTACCACGAAGATGCGATACCGTCTGCGATCCCCGCTCCCGAAGTCACGAAAGTCGCACTGCGTCTGCGATACCTGATCGAGGAGAGTGTGCCATGCGAACTCGAAGAAAGTCGTATCACGGAGAGTCACAGCCGTGTGATTACTACGCGGGTGATCAAGGCTGCGAAAGAGGCTGGAGGGAGAGAATATGGTGCTTGTGTGGTGTATTGTCTGTTGGTCAATAAGAGGTGGTTTAAGAAGCAAGCCATGCTTGAACTTTGGGATGCGGATTTGCATAACATAAGGGCCACGGCGTGTGAGGTTATTGCGAAACAATTGTGAGTAATGCAATTAGTCTAGGACATTGGAGTTATATTGGCTAATTGTAGACAGGATCGAGACGGAGGATGATCTAGAGTATTTGCTCCAGGATGTACTGTTGAAACGCTATTCTATTATGATAGATGGCGAGCAGACAGCTCCCGCAAATGTCATCGAACGCGCAGTGGATCTTCATGCTTTGAGAGTTACTGGCTCGTCTGGGTATCAAAAATGCGTCAGCTATCTCTGGAGAGGCTGGTTGGTGCAAGATGAGAACGACCCGAACAGATTCGTGGATTACAAGAAGAAAGATAATACTTCCTACTGGCAGCATGTCGATCCGGACCGCATGAGAGCACCAGTCTACCAGAATGCTACTCAGGTCATCTTCTCATTGATCTACTTGGCTCTGTATACTGGTGCTGTCAATACCGTCAATAAGACCGGGGACTTGGATGTTGTGGAAATCATTCTTTATATCTTCACATTTGGGTTCTTCTGTGATGAGTTTTCCAAGTGGTGGAAGGTTGGACGGTACTATATTGGATTTTGGAACATTTTCAATATGGTTCTTTACGCTTTACTCACAACCAGTTTGATTACCAGATTTATTGCTCTGAGCCATCCATTGGAAGATGATGATGGGCAGAGAGAGAAGTACAACGAGCTAAGTTACAACTTCTTAGGTATGTGCTCCGAAGAGTTGATTTGATCCATGTGCTAACGAAATAGCTTTCTCCGCACCTATGTTTTGGATGAGACTTCTTCTGTATCTTGATTCGATACGATTCTTTGGCGCCATGTTGGTCGTGTTGAAGGTCATGATGAAGGAGTCACTCATCTTCTTCGCTCTCCTCATCGTTATTATCGTTGGATTCCTACAAGCCTTCATCGGCATGGATAATGCGGATTCAAATGCAGATGTAGGTGCAACAAGCCCACACATAATTGCACTGCTAATTCTACGTAGGCAACTATATTCATCCTTCAAGCCATGGCCAATGCGGTGATGCAGTCACCGGACTTCTCAGGCTTCGACAATTTCTCGCCGCCATTTGGTATAATTCTTTATTACATCTTCACATTTCTCATCATGGTTGTCTTGCTCAATATCTTGATCGCTCTATACAATTCAGCCTACGAAGATATTACCGACAATGCCATTGACGAATACATGGCATTGTTCTCCCAGAAAACCATGCAATTCGTCCGTGCACCCGACGAGAATGTCTTCATCGCACCACTTAATCTTGTGGAGATATTTTGCCTGATTATACCCCTCGAATGGTGGCTACCACGTAAGACATACGCCAAGCTGAACGATTATGTCATGGCAGTTCTCTACAGTCCATTACTATTCGTCGCAGCATGGTTTGAGACTAGGAGTGCCAAAATGGTGAGAAGTAACAGGAAAAGAGGAGAGGAAGACGACGATACTGTTGAGGAGTGGGAACAGATGGCTGGTGAGGTGGACTTTGAGGCCGATGGATGGAATAAGAAGGTTGCGAGTGCCAAACCAAATGTCGAGGAAGATCAAGCCACGACTGAGGTCAAGGCTTTGCGATCTGAAGTCAAGGAATTGAAAGATCTGTTGCTGCAATTGGTCAAGGAGCAAGGCACGGCTACCGGCAATGGCGCATAGGGTTATCAATGCTGTATATGAGCGGCCAACTTATCTGGTCACAAACATGACAGGTTTGAAAGCATATGTCTGTTCCATTAGCTCCAAAAACTGGTTGAAATCGCCTCCGCGGCGAGTGCCAACAACTCGAATATCAGCTATCTAGATAAACGGGTTTGTGGCGAGTGCCAACTCATTTCGTTCAATTTTCAGCCGCTAGACATTCTTTCGGGTCATTTACTGTCAATCAGCTCAAAAACATGGGCGATTCAACTCGCAATTCTTTAAAGTCGTCCGTTTGCAGTTTTGTGGCAATGAAAGGGCATCGAATTTACTTGTCCAGTCCAAATGCGAATGGCATGGTGAGAAAGGCGCATTGTTTTGTTTGGGCCGTTTCTTGTACGTCTTTGTCGTGCTAATGAAATATTACCTTTATCATTCTTCAACAAAGTAGTCGAGATGGACAATAAAAGTGTGGTACCGCTTGCGGCCTGAATTTCTTTTCAAGTCCTTTGCAAGCGCAACAAAGCAGATCCTAAGACTATGGGCTTGATTAAATTTGGCCCTTGACGTTTCAAGAACAATCCTTCGTCCAAGATTTCGATCACATACACCAAAGCAATTCACAAGATGCCGCCAAGAGTCGAGCCATCCCGGCGCCGTGTAGGTCGCAAAATCCCAAAGAATAGAGCAGGACCTTTACAGCAGAATGACACGAGCGATGCAGTTAGATTCAGTAACATAGATGCTGAGCTAGCCACAACTAGTCTCGATATCAATGCTTATGGTGAATTAAACGATGTAGCCAGGCGGAATCATGATCAGCCCGCCACAATAACTGCTTCGCCATTCAAATGGCTGAAGCCAGCAAGCCAGCTACTCTTGCCACAAGAACTACAAGATAGGCTGGGCCAGAATCTGAACCAGAAGAATATGACCAATCTGACTGAAAACGATACCGCATTCCGCGACCTCCTCAAGGATGTCACCTCTATTAGAGAATGGTGGGCGAAGAATCGCGAGGAATGGGGTTTCCGCCGCACCGAGCTTGTAACGATACAGAAGAGCATAGATAGCTTATTGGTACAAGTTGGAGGATTGGAAAACATTGAGATGACTCGCCATGCAGCCGCCAGAAAGCAGTACTATCTGCAAGTTGAGGTCGCTAACTCGAGGCTCAAGTGGTTTGAGGAGAACGAGGCTTACATGAAGATTGTCATCGCGAAGTTTAAAGATATCCAAAATAGCTTGAGCAAGACTGTCGAGAAATCCAAAGCCGTCTATGTCATGCCGACAGAGGATTACTTTCCGGATGGCTTTGATTATGATAAAATGCTCACTTCATATCAATTCACCGATGGAGATGTCGCTTGGTGGGAAAATGGCCTCGGATTGAGTTCAGCGCTTCGGGGCATGAGGAAATTCCTTACGAATACCGGAGATGATAACGCTAGCAAATCCGAATTGCGTAAAGCAAGTCTTGCGATTGTGCGACAAGCCATCGCCGATGTCAGCCTTCAATGGAAGGTGTATGGAGGAGACACCCCAGATGCGATAGACGCCAAGCTTGTCACAGAGCGAACTTCGCTTAACAGAGATGCCAGACGGGGGAGAACCTCACCAACTGCTGCTGCTAGAGCTGAGGCTACTAGAAAGAGAATCGCTAAAATGGAAGAAAACAAGGCAGCTATACAACGCATCATCGATACAAATGCAGACTACCTGGCGATTTTGAGAAATACTGAAAGGCGCTTGGTGGTAGAATTAGCAATCCTTACATGGGAAAACCGAAGAACTACTGGATTATTGGGAGTGGCGAGGAAGATGGAACGGGACTTGAAAGACTCCCCTAGAGTTGATCTTCGATTCCTGGTTTCACGAATTCCATTCGTTTACCATTTTTACATGACCTGTCGAACTCACTATCTGCATCAGAAGAGCCTTGATGATCTTTTCACGATACTTCGGGACGATGCCTTTCAGCGGTCGGACATAGACAGTATCACGACAATGATCATTGACCATCATGCGAAGTTTCGGCCTGCCTACCAGGCTACGATCAACAAATTCAGGTCCACAAATTGGATTTGGGATAATGCTGAGATGCGAGAAAACATGTGGTATGAACTTGAGTATGAATTCGAAGACATGGCACAAGTTGTTGCGGAAGCAGAGCAACTGTTAACCGAAAGGACGACGGCCTTAGCTTTAGTCAAGCCTTCTGAGGCAAAATTGAGATTGGTTGCTCTAGGAGGACCAAACGTCTTGAACCAACCTGCTCTTTCTGGAGGTGTAAGTAATCTCTAAGCGATTTCTTTGACAAGTCCCTTGCTAATGCCACACAGGTAAGATCTGGATGGACCACTATAACCGTTGCGAGACAGAGACTTGCAGTTACACAGCTTGAAGTTATTGGTAATTATAACATGGAAGCGGGAGAAGCTCTACGAGCACTATTCGTCAGCCCAGATATAGCAGAATACTTCCGATTCACGCACTGGATGAAGCGTCAACCTTTCGTTGATCTTGTCAATTCGTTCCTCAAGACACCAGTGAGCGACGAGATTATCGCCGCTTTCCTCGTTGTTTGTCACGATGCCAATGACCTATTCACAATTAATGTCCTTGGCAGAATCTCATACTGCGACCAAGGATGGGAACTTGTTCATGAGGCACCCGTCGGTGGTCCGATCCGGGGCGTCAGGAGTATTAAGCCCGTTGGCCAGGACGATCTCGAGAAATGGCTAGTGAAGAACAAAGCTACCATGGTGACGAATAATCGAGACATTTCTGCCAGAGACCTCTATAACACCATGAAGGCAGCTTTCGAGGGACTGACCAGGGACCAATTCGATGATGCAATGTCGTTCTTCAACCGCATTGGGAGGATGTACATAAGGTAAGTGAACTACTCGTTCCTGACCCCGTAACACGTGCTAATCTTTCCCAGTCCGATTGACCAGCCAACCGGAAGCAGTCAAGTATTCCGCAGAATAGACAACGGCTGGCAGATTGACCGACAAACGCCATACGATCCCATTTTCGCCCCAGCCCCGCCATACTTTGCACAACTAAGAGAGATTCTCGTTGGTGCTAGAGCTACCATTACGACTCATCAGTTTAGGAGAAATAGGGTAAGTGAGACAGCGTTATTCGACCTTCTGGAAGCAATTTTGCAACTACCTGGTGGTGCATTTGGCTTTGGAAGAGTAGTCGTCAATAGACATCGTTTCCACTTGTTTTTGCGATGGTGTACTCGAAATGAGTCTGGCTTCCTCAAGTAAGTGGCTTACCCGAATGATGATACGGAGTGTTACTAATAAGTTCTTTTAACAGCTTGAATCGTTCGGGGATTATCACTGGGTCTGCAGTAGTGTAGTTTTGATCTATAGGCTGTTTCCCTATGTATCTTCTGGCGTCTTTATAATATAGCTGCGACGTTTGCTTTGTGTTCAATTGTACTTGTTAGACTCTAATACTTGAAAATTGTAGACCCATTTCTATAGTTTCCGCGCTGTCTTCGTCATCACCCTCGTGAATTATCATGTCTGGGTACTGTTCTTCCTGAAAATTCCCCCAAGCGAACTTTTGCCCTTGATTTCTTGCAGGCAGTTGACCTCGTCAAGTCTCTGAAAAAAAATTTCGACACCCGTTAAGATGATCAATTCAATCGTCGGTAGTACGTGCCATCTGAAACCATGGATCTCCACCTTATGATCTTTGTTCATTGTGTTCAAGCGTGATTGTCATTTCAATAGGCTGTTTGCAGTGGCGTCTAAACCGGAAAGCCGAACAATGGCGACTTGGAGCAGGCCTCACTTCATGCGATCCTTTGTCACGCCACGCCCGCATTTTCGAAGAGGTGTATGGCTGAGTCGGAATTTTCAACGTGCTCGTTACGATTTTACCACTATATTAAGATTGACGCTGAAAAGCGTTCGAAACTCTTGAACGTCAAGGTCAAAGCCAATCTGTAAGCATAAACAAGTTACAGATTTCCAAGATGTCGTCGCCCCCCACGAAAAAGACCGCCTTTGCGCAAAAGTATGGCCCAGGCCCTGCAAGTATAAACATTCCAGGGAATCCGATCATCGTGAAAAGCGGTTTTACCCCATTCCCTCCTGCACAGCCATTTTCATTAGATCAGTCTGCTCAAAAAAGCCAAGACGATATTGAAGATTATCAGAGGAAGAGCTTGCATGGTTTCACAATGCAGCAATTGAGAGATCGGGGAGCTATTTACGACGATCCAATTAAGTATACTCCTATAGATATTCCGATAGATCCAATGTATCAGCGAGATCGGTGGACATTGTCTCCGCTCAAGGATATCTTCATGGCGGATGGAGTTACGAAATGGTCAGCACAGAATAATGTTGTTGTACGTATTGAAATCACCCTAAATCTGCCACTTCGTCACGAGCTGAAGTCCTCGAACTTGTCTAAGAAGTTTTCAAGTGATTTTCATTTGGAGAACTCGGCTTTAATCATGTTCTGAAACGCCAGACTAATTTCCCGTAGTGGTCTGCCATGAAACCCTGTTTACGAATAGCAACAAACATATTGTATAAAATTTGTGCGCACCCTTGGGTAGGTATATGGTTTCTGTCCTATGCTTCTCATGAGACATTAACAATTGTATAGTTTGATGCTTTCTTGTTAGGTCCTCGAGAATACATCGACCATTCCAGAATGAGTGCAGTGCTTTTGCTCGTGGGGACCGCTAAAGAACTGAACTTGCAGTCCTTTAGTACACGACCTCCACATCCAGATAACGCCAAATCATGCGAATTAGCACAGTCACTCTTGTTAGGATCGAAAGGTATGCGAACTCTCCGATGGGGGTTGATGTCAGCTTTCGAATTACCGACGGATCCTCAGCCAGCACGGGTGGACCCAATGTATGGTTTTGCAATAGTTGATAAAGATAGCAGCAGACCCGAGGATATCAAAGGATTCCTTGCTTTCGAATTGCTTTCTCCGCTGCTGAGGAAAGATCTTACTGATGGGGAGCGGATTGGCGCACAAGTCTTGGTAGCCTTCACTCTTGTCCACGAGACGATACATATATTAAATTTCGCAAAAGGATATAAGGAGATCGGGAACCTGTACAATCGAAAGCTCACACCCCGTGAGTGGAGAGAACAGTATTGTTTGGACGAACCTCTTCTTGAAGCGGGATACTCCGCAGAGTATGCCGTGCGTTCCTCCATCAAATTCTACCCTTATCATGTGGCTGACGGTTCTTTTCCAGCTGTTCAATGGATGTTTAGAGGGTATCCGCGACAGTCCTTTTGAAGGTACACATCCTGCCTTCTATCATGGTTCGTTTCCTACCAAAAAGCAGGGCCGTGTCCCGTACTTAACGACGCCCTCGTTTCCACGTGAGTCCACTTCTAAATTAGTTATTGAAATCCATTTCGTAACATTCACGATTCACTACCCTTCGAAGACAAAGGAATTCACAGCACTTGCTTCGTAACATTTTGTTCGGTAAACATGCTAATTCGGTGGCGATAGCTGTACGTGTGGCCAATCCATTGCCTGTAGCCTATTTACGAAATCTCGCATCACAAGATTTCTGGGACGCAAATGGAACATCCATTCGTGACATTAGACCTCCTCCAAACGATGTGATATCATTCAAGTACGAAGGCGAGACTGATGAAGAATACAAACTTGCCGACAAAAAGGAAGCAGAATATCTCATGCGTCCCAGCTCGTCGGCGATTACTATCGATCGTCTGGTAAACTTCTTACCGGCTGCAAGAACTGCTTACGGAATTGAACTTTTCGCTGAGAGGCTTGAGGAGATGAAGAAGCTTAATGATAATGCCGCGAGCCTCGTGGAGGTTGCATTATGCGCAAGTGAGCTCTGCGAAAGAGCTCGGGGAACGCTAGACTATGAATCTAGTCTTGATCTACTGCTCCGTGACTTGATGACGATCGTCGTTGCTCAAGAGGCTTGTTTTGAGCGCATGATCCAGATCGGGATTCAAGGGATAGACATAACAAGTGAGTTTAACACTCTGTTGACCATGACTTTGCCACTGACAAAACCGTAGCTCTCAAATCAACATGTTACATTCGAAATCGCGAAATAAGACGTGTGCTTAATGTGTGCATAGCATTTGGGGTCATGACGCCCTCTCAAAGTGCCACTATACAAGATATAAATGGTAGACTCAACACGATGAAGCTTGGGTGCACAAAGACAGCAGCCAAGCCACTAGGCATCGATCTCATAGAAGAGCAAGCAGAAATACAAATCGACAACCTGACAGATGAGATAATGGCTCGAGGTCTAATGCCCTTTCGAAACCGAGGACAAACTGTACAATGCGTCAATGATTGCAATGTACTAAGAAATAAGCTTGGCTGCAGACCACAATACCACGCAATGACAAATATCTTGATTGCAGTACTAGAAACGTCGCGGACGATTGAAGACCGCCTTACATTAGTTACAATAGGCCAGATAACGTTGGACATACTAAAGATTTCTCCTCTATGGACGACCGAGATAGAAGGTTACTTAAGGTTGGCTAAAATTACTATACCGCAACTTGCTGCAGAACTACTCAAGCAACGCAGTGTAGTTGCTAGTTGTAGACATGTTGGAGCGCCCGGAAGCTCTTCATCTGCTACCCCATGAGTTCACGCGTAGACGAGCAGAAGTGTTACAACGAAAAGCAGATTCTATATGAAGGGCGGTTCAATTGACCTGCTGTACATTTTGTTACTTGGCGGAAGAGATAGACTCTCTTGATGCCAAAACTGCGGCTGGAGTTCTCGCTTAATTCAGGGGTCCTTCCTGCTCTCTCAATCTCGAGACACCGCATCCATTCTCTCCAGAAAGCATCACAATGAAGCATTCCACATCAGCGCTGCCATGAAGGCGAAAAAGAAGCATATGCCGCGTTCCTCCCGCTTTGGAAGAATCTTAAAAAGACATTCGAGGGAGTTGCCTCAATAGCTATTCGAATTCATGATCGAAATACAATTCACCTGGTATCAATATCATTTACGTATACAATCCGCAATCCTCACAAATGTGCTCGAGCCTGCAACGCTAGTCTCCTCCTCTGCTGCTTCTTCAGCAGTACCTTGTCTTCCTCACTCATGCCTTCTCCCTCTGCTTGCGGGCCTCGAAATAGCGTCTCTGATATCGTCTCCGTATGCTTCAATACTCTTGTGCTGACGGTTGCCCCATCCCTTCTATTTTTACCCTCTCTACGAGAAGATGCAATTCTCTCTATGAAGCCCCACAATCGACCCTCAGGCACGATGTGTCCGTTTGAAGGATCACGTGCGGGCATCCAGCTAGGATCGAGTTTCGCTCGAGGTTGGATTTTTGTGTTGCGGGATTTGGCAACGACAATCATTCCTTCTTCTTCGAACCGGGTCCAAGCATTCTTGAGCGTCTCTTTGTTGACAGCTTCGAAGTAAGAAAGGTCTCCTTGGTGATACAGAGTCTTTCCTAATAGTTGTGCGCTGTCTTGGCACTTTTTGACGTCAAGCCAACCGTCCCCTTCGTAGTTCAGAGGAGGTGTCAAACCCATCATTGCCACGGCTCCTAACCAAAAACTCTCCGCGAATGGCCAGGTGAGGAAGCAGTAAAAGTCGTAATTCTCTCGTCCTGCACGACGTTCTTCGTCTGCCAAACCAACTGCAGAGATCCTCCCTTCACCATCTCTGATTAGCTCGAGAACTCTGTCTGTCTCCAAGGCCCGAAGGGTGTTGTCCAGGTTCACGGCCAATCCATCTGTGGGATAAATGAATTCTCCTCTGAACAACTGTGACAAGAACAAGACTTGTTCTCGAAGTTCGTCGTACGGTATTCTCTGGTTGTCTGGTCCTCCACCACGCTTTACCCGCGTGTAAAGACTTACACAAACCAGAGCTTCTGTAATGAATAGGTGGATAGTCATGTTTCGATAGAAGGATAATTGAAATCGGTCCACGGCATAGTATGTAGGTTCTGGTAGACCCTCGACAAGACCAACAAGGTCTTTGCCCAGGACATCCAAGCCACGATCAATGACCACGGAGGTAGGTGAGTTTCCAAAGTGGGCGACTCGGCCACCCTTTGACCTTACTCGGTCGCTTAACCACTCAACTCGTCGTATCAACTCTGCTTTACCAACACCTCTTCCTCTCAAAGTAAGAAGGACTGTTCCAATCAAAGCTGTGGGCATAACCACCGATACTGCATTGATGTCAGACAAGACTTTATAGCCCAACGTCCGTAACAACTTCTGTCGCGTTGCCTGGTCTGTAATGCTTTTCATATCGATTTCTTTAGGAATTCCAGTCGTCCTTGATTGCTGTTCTTGGATAAACTGTCGCAGACTCCAAGGCTCATGAAATCTGACATCGACTCGCCCCAACTTCAATGACAGGACCGAAGAAGCAGATAAGAAATCCGCCAAATTCTCCTTCTTCTTTGGAACCCCAAGCAGTTCGGTAACATATCCTTCAGTTTCAATGACTTTGTCATATTGGGTACTGACTGGACAAATGATGGCGTCTTCCACACGTCCAGAGAGAACACTGTCCAGGATGAAACCTAGGATACCAAATTTAGGAGGCAGAAGCTTTCCGGTCCTTGATCTTCCACCCTCAACAAAACATTCAAAATTGAAGCCTCCCTGCAACAAAGTATCGATATACGACTGCACAAGGGTTGTGTATAGCACATCGTCTCCAAAGCTTCTTCGAATCCACATGGCACCTACTGTTGTCAGAATGCTTTTAGAATTTTGAGAACGGCACATACCAGCATGTTGAAGGAAGCTGCCAAGTCCTGGGATGTTAAGATTATCTCCAGCCACCACAGTCGGTAACGCCAAGCCCAATCGATAACAAATGAGCTGTAAGGATACATAGTCTACGTGACTTCTATGACACGGCAGGAAGATAATACTCTGCATCTTCTTTTCCGCTTGTTCAGCAACGGTCCTTAGCCTTATAACTTCCTCACTCGAGACATGTATTCCTTGGTGATATGCTCTCGTCAAGAGTTGTGTGCAGAGATAATATGCTCCTCTAATGAAAGGCCTGCTCTCCATCTTGCAGATCATATCTCCCGTCAACTTCTCGCATAATTCCTGCAGACTCTGTTCAATGACAGCTTTCCTTTGGCTTCGCTTTGCAGCATACAGCGGGGCGTCTGTGTTCAGTAGTCCGTCCCTCTCTTCGACCGCTATCCGCTTCTCCGCCAGTTCTGCAATGCGATTTTGGAGAATGGGTGTCGAAAGTACAGCTTGTGTCATATTCTCTGAGAAACCAGGGTAAAATATAGGTTGTCCGATGAAATTCTCGTATGCGCGCCATCCTGACCCGGAGACATGCAGTGACACTTCTCTGAGGAATCTATACACAATTACTCTACTATTCTTGGACAATGAGCAGAGGGGCTTACTCTAGAGGGCTCGAACGAAATCTAGCCATATGCTCCACCAAATTCCGCTCTTTGTCGCCTCCGTCTTGAAGTCGCTCAGGAGGCTCGATATAACCACTAGGATGCAGCGTAACCTGGTCGCCCAGAATCTCCAAATCTGGTGCCGAGGTTCGTTGTGATGAGGGAGGCCGTGAGTCTGCCATTGTGTCGTCTATCGCGATCTATTTGTCTAATGTCTGAGTGTCCAAAAGTTTCATAACAAAATCATAGCTGCACGTTGTATGCGTAACCATCGAATGTTGTTCAGCATGTGAGGGACATGCACTGAGAAGCTGGGGGTTGCTAACTCGGCATTTCGAAAACCTGGGGCAAACCCGGAACAAACCGACGCTAAAATCTTTATTTCTAGAGCATGTGAAAGCTCCCCCTCCACTCCACAGCAACAAACAGACAAGTCACCATGAACAAACCCAAGACTCCCGATTCCTCGAATTCGGAGCGTCTTCCTTCACTTGGAGACCCATCTTTGACGATATCTCTCTTGCGATGCGCGCACTCCCCCGATACCTCAACACGAATCTATACCGAGAAAATCCGCGGTCGACCCCTCCATCTCAAGCCCACAGAACCAAATCCACAGCTCGCCCACCGTCAAGCACGTCTGCGCGCGCTCTCCGATCGTAAAAAGAAGCAGAAACCGCGTCCTCTGTCTGCGAGGCAGAAGCGCGCTCTGTGTCTCTACGATATACCTAAAGAGAGGCAGAAGTATGAGATCTACGAGGGGCTACATAGGTTGTGGGTGGGTTATATGCACGAGATATTGTTTGATGTAGTAGATGGGAAAGGAGGGGATGGAGAGAGGGTCATGGGTCAGGGAGAAGCGGCGAAGATGTGTGCTGCGGATTTTCATGGGGCCGAGGTGGAGGTTGTCAGGAGTAGGTGTGTTTCCAGGGTAGGAGTGAAGGGTATTGTGGTCAGGGACTCGAAGGGAGTGTTTGTGGTTGTCACGAAAGGCAATCAAGTAAAGACTGTTCCAAAGGAGGGAACAATTTTCAGAGTCATTGTTCCTCGCCCGAAGAAGAAGGAAATAAACGGCGAAGCTGATAAAACTGAAGAATCGGCAGAGGTGGAGCAGAAAATTGGAAATACAAGAGACGTAATTTTCGAGCTGCATGGAAACCAATTCCAGTACCGAGCCGCAGACAGAGCGAACAGGAAGTTCAAGACGCACTTCTTACCGGATCTCTGAGCACCCCTCTATACACAGCAAGGACCGCAATCAGACCAAACAACCAGCGCTATGGGCGCGCATAACATAGATCACGGCAACCTTCATCCTCTGACACTTGCCAGAGTCTAGCTCAACGATAAGCTTAAGATCAAAGCACAAAAAAGAAGATTCCAAAGAAGAAAAACGAGTAGACGCTGAAACAAACGTGGCTAGCTTCCCAGAAGTTGGAACTTCTGAAGATCCGGGCCCATCTCCCGCTCTCAAAATTCCCGAGTACGGAAAAGATACCCGGACGTGTCGTAAAGATGGTTGCAGCCACGGTATCAGCAGGCGCTACTATGCAAGCTACCACCACTTGCTTTTGATCGAATCGACAAGATGCGGAAAGGATGGGAGGAATAACCGATGGTCCCTGAGAAAGTGAGACATTGGCGTTAGATCTTCAAAAGCAAGGAGAAATGCAAATGTGATTTGTTCAAAAACATAATTTCACAAACACTGATGTTCAAGAGCGGTGTGTAGTCATCGTGAATCATACATTATCATTTCTTTTCAGAGCTTTGGACATTGCTACCGAAGCCAACACACAACTTGCTAGCTAATGCGATTTCCAAAGTGAGCCGTTAATGCAATCCAGTCATGATATAACCCCAGATCAGAGCTGGCCAGAACTCCATGCTTCCCTTATAAATTTTCAGACGTTTCAAAATTGAACTGCTGTTTCGTGTACATCGTGTCCTGTTCATCCCTCGGACCATTCCATCTCGCTGGATCGGTCTACACCATTATCTCCTACCAAAGGTCGAAGGACCTTCGGAATTCAATGTCCTGGTCTAAACCTCGGATACCTATGTAGATGCTTCTCTGAAACGACATTAAGCCACGCAACGGGTGGTAGCTATAGATCCATTCCTTACAAAACATCGAAAACAATGATTCTCCCATGTCGACTATGAATCATATGTAACTATGCGCGAACGAATGATGGTGGTTCGGCGGCTGATAATACTGTTGATACGGATGATTCGGAAGTGAAAAATCGGCCGTCTTCAACAACGGATTCAAGATCCCACTCGGCATGGGTCTCGACGGCGGTTGCGGCGGCGCAGGCGGTAGACTGCTCCCAGAATTTGTAATCGGAAAGAATTGTCCTAAAGAGCTACCAGACGATTGTTGTGCAACCATGGGCTGCTGTGCATCCTCGTGCTGCCATCCCCACTTCGCTCTTAGCTCTTTGTTGATGAACCCGACTTTCCAGCCAGTCTCCTTTCGAATCTTCTCGAAGATTTCGAGGACTTCTTCTTGTTCTCGGCGAACGATTAGGCATTCGGCGGCGATAGCGAGGGAACGTAGGGCAACGCTTGCTACGCCTCGGTCTTTGACATGTGCGACAATGCCACAGATGAGGTGGGCGTGTTGCATTTGGATCCTGTTCATTTCCTCTGTGTCTTTTGACATCAATGGGTTTATTTGTGCCAAGAGACACATAGCCGTGTGGTAGAACAAACGACCGACGATCGTGGCACGTTTGATAAGCCTGCACCCAATTAGTAAGATTCGAGTATACACTGACGAGGTCCTTACCAAACTTCCGGGAAGGCGGATTTCGAGCTAGTTTGGGAAGGATGAAGGTATCCCATCGGTTGCATCGTCCGAGGAATGGTTTCGTTCCAACTGTCACACAATGCCTTTAACCTTTGCCACTCAGCATATCTTGTCTGTAAGCGGATCTGCTCGTCGTGTGGTGATGCTTCTTGAAACCGGGGGATTGAGGCTCTGAAGTTCGCGATCTTGCCCACAATATAGAGCATCCGGTGAACCCAAATCTCTTCTTTTCCAGATTCAGTCTCTTGTTGAAAGTTCATGTCTACGCCCCATTGATCTGGCTCCCAAGCAACTTGCCAGTTGAAATGCAGACAACTAAGAAGTTCCATACCAACATTCAGCCAGAAGCAAGCAGCTCCTACTCCAGTGCTTCGGGCATTCCATCCACATTCTTTGATTAGTGCCCGAGCACCCGCAATGTGGTTCATTCTCTGCATGGCTCGTTCGGACATTATTTCGTAAACATTCAAGATAACAGCTGTGGTGGCACAGCAAACCGTATCCCTATCTGGATTCTGTAAAGATCTAAGCAGTTGAGTCGTAGCTGTATCGTAGTAGAAAAGAGCCTTGTCCTCATGGTAAATTGGGTTGACCAAAGTCAGATGACGAGCTCCGCAGGCAAGAAAAGCATTAAGAAGCATAGGTTCGGAAAGGGCGTGAAAGGGAAGAAGTCTCGAGAAATGCTTGTGGGGATCCATGCTGTCCATCCACAAGCCTACCTCTTCCACAAAGACTTGCATGAATAAGACATCTTCTGCTGAGCTGAGGTATCTTCGGGACTCGTTTGGAGGAGTCAATGGGCTTTCGTTGTTGTATGTAGCAGTGGTCGGAGCCGTGAGGAAAGAAATCTCACTTCCAGCATGAGAGTGATGCCGGCTGGCTTGTCTGGAATGCGAAGATTCTTGCTTCATCACAAGTCCATTGTCTGAGAATCCACCACCAGTTTGTATCGGGGGTAATGCATTACTGTCTTCCATAGGGTCAACAACCATGGGTCGAACAGGGAACTCCATGTGCGTCTCTCGAGGAGGTGTAATCGTCTGGTCCAGATGTGCGTATCGTCCTAATCCGCCTTTATACTCTGATGCAATCTCGCGAGACTCATCTTGGAATTTTACTATAACGAATTAGTACATAGAGAGCCTAGAGTTGTGAATCCCATACCTTTCCAATCTGCCGTGGGTGGAATTATTGGTGGACTCTTGACGGTAGTATCGATAAAGTTTAAGCGGACGCCCCTCTTGCAAACTCGACTCGATTTTCGACAATTCTGGCAATGCGGTAAACCCTCGTCGCACTTCAAATGTCTATTCAACGTTATTCCTGCAGACAAATCTGCGACAGAGTTCATACCTCTCACGGCAGGTTAAGCACCCAGTCCTCACACGCTTTGGCTTGCTCGCAGCTCCCTCCACCGCATCCCCGCCGACAGGCTCCGCCGTCATTGGTATATTCTTCTTCGACTCCTTCTTAGTTGAGGTAGCGGGCGGGGTAATTCGTTGCCTCTTCGCAGGACGAGGACTAGAATCACCGACGAGATACGTCGCGGGAGAGAATTGCTGGTCTCCAGCCAGCGTCAAGTCTGAAGCTGTCGAAGCCGAATACAATGGCGAAGGTTGATACTCGATCTCAAAACCTGGCGTGAGGTAATTGTAGGTTGCCACGATGAAGACTCTGCGATGTCTCGCAGCAGTGGGTGGATGGTAGGTCCTCCCACTGACATTGGCTTTCACGAGCGAATGTTCGAGGTGCAACTGTGCAAGTACAGCCAAGAAGACAATGGCGACACTTTCGAGAAGGGTGCAGGATGATCTGATCTAAAAGTTGTGGATGAGAAAGCTGCGGAGTGTTGACGATCCGGAACGCTATATTGAGCGAGACCTAGAAGACCTTGGAAGAGGAGACTGAAACTCTTTTTTTGGAGCCAAGACAAGGGATAAAAACGATTATATGCTGGCACAAAGTCGTAATGTTCGAGTAAAGGCAGTTGTGGATAGAATTCGAATTGAGTATTCAGAGAGATAAGTTGAGTTTTTGCTTGTCCATCAAGATGTGCACATGAAGTCTCGTCCTTCGGCAGAAGTTCCCTGCCGTTAGAGTGTTGCTGCAGCTCGGGACTAGTAAGATGTATCCTGGTTCCACAAATGCACGAGAAAATACTTGCGGAACAGAGGGCTTGAGGGGAGGCGATTAAGGATAAATGATTGTTAGGAGAGGAAGTTTCATTAGATCTGGAGACACAGAGAGAGCAGAGGCGGTTTGAATTGTATCTCTGCACCCACTGCTGATGTCACGCAGAGCTTCGGGGTTTATTATTACTTTGGGATAGATGTTCATCAATCGTTGTCCTCGGCCCAGCTGGAGGGGAGCAAATATCACAATCCCGGGCACTGACCCTGGCGAGTCGTCAGAGGCGGTCCCTAACTCAAGCCTCGTCTCTCTCCAGGCCGCCCCTAGATGCCATCTATTGATCTGAACGGGCATGGAGTCGATCTGCTTCTCCAGGATATAGATTAATGATTGACGCCCAGCACATCGGGAGCCGAAAATTGATATTATTACATCGACATCGGGACAGAACGCAACTCCAGGCGTCGAATCTCGTAGGGATAGAGCGGTACACCCTGTCGCTGTCTCGCTCTGCGTTCAATCTCTGGTGTTCCAGTGTGTGTTCTTTCCATCTCTAATTCTGCTTCCCCCCCTCGTTGCGGCTGTCAGAGAGATGTTGCAAGGCTTAAAAATACCGACACCCATTGCAGTCATTGGGTGATGCTATGCTGGGCTGTTGTGTTGCCCACATCCTCCCCGTTCCCTTTTCGCACAGCCACGGTTGGTCAAACAAGGCCGTTCGCATGTGTAAGAGACTTCGGATGGGGATGTTTCCGGCGGAAGGCAGCTCGACGTCGATCAACAACGCTTTTGACAGTCGAGACGGGCCACGAGCGCGACACTCGACGGGACGTAGCAGATATCGGCCGTGCGAGGTGACAAGTGTAGCCGGACGGTTGATTGGATAGCAATTGTTCATGAACCCTGGATGATGAGCAGAAAGGAAGTTAGGAAGGTCCCGCATCAATAGATAGTAATCGAAGGAAGCAATGATCTGAGCTGGAAGGTAGCGTAGCTGCATTCAATGATGATGTGCCGAAAGGATAACCTGGTTGATGCATCTGCAGGCAATGATGCAGCGCAGCAAGCTTTTCATCCTCAACTCACCTGCGTCGAGGTCGTCAAAGCATCCTATCATGATGTTCGGCAGGGATGAAGTTTTGTCATGCAGCAAGCAAAAAAGAGGCGGCGGGAAAAGAGACATCCATCCATGCAAGGAAGAGAGATCTCAATCCGTCGGCGTTAATTTTAGCTCACAGATCACGTGCAGGTACGCTAAGAGCCAAGGGGGAGTTCGTCCTACCATCCGATTCCCATACAACCCATGGTCTTACTACGGAAAGGAGCAATAGATTTAGATTAGATTGATCAGAGTAAGCATGAGATATCTCCACACAAATCCTCAGCCGTGTCATGGATCAAACCAAGCCAGCTAATTCAGCCCTATCATGAACAGCAGCGCAATACAACACTGCACACGTTTCTGTGAATAGCATTCGTCGCCATTAGCCATGAGCCTGAGTCCGAGCCTGCATCTGTTGCAACTTGCATAACGGCTTCAAACCGTTGGCCCATAACCTTATTCGGGCTTTTGCATGTCATTCATGGCCACAAGTCCTGAGACACGAATCATTTATCCCGACAGACGATAGGAACGGGATCAACCCATCGTTCCCGCTTGGCTTGACTTGCAGTCAGCCTTATTTCTGCTGAAGAGGGAAGAGGAGGATGGCTCTACCGCCGGCCCAACCTGCTTACATCCTTCGTGGTCATGGCTCGCAGATTCACGCAACGGCGTTCATACGCTCGAATACTCGATTACTGACGGGCGATGCGGACGGGTGGATCGTGATATGGAGTTTGGCGACGAAGAGACCTGTAGCGGTCTGGAAGGCCCATGAAGGATCCATACTGGGGATCAATGCTTGGGGGTCTGAGAAGCTTATCACGTGAGTATTACTCCTTTCGGCAGCCCGGTTGAATCCTCATCTATCTGTTGATGCTATTTTCTGTTTGAATGGAAGCTGCCGAATCATGTTTGGTATGTTGGTTCTATTTGCAGAAGAGACGCTCAAGTTGCGCTGCGCATGCATTCTTTTTATTTAGACATCAAGTACATTTGTTTCAAGTCGGTTCTAGAAATAGCGCGACTTCCTTTAGATTTATCCTATTCGTTCTAATACCAGTATAGACACGGCAAAGACAACAGACTTGTCGTCTGGAAGTTGTCCGAGGAAGATGAATCATCCATGAGCGTCGTCCTCCCCGTGGACACCCCACCAGAACCACGAAAGCAGCCATGGCTACTGCATATCTTGCATGTGAATACCATGAACTTCTGTTCGTTCGCACAAGCGGAGGTCCCGAGTACAGAACACGAGTTGCTAATAGCAGTGCCTAACACACTAAGCTCTGAAACAGTACGTCGTCACGTCCCAGTTCATAATCGTTGAGTAATGTCTGACAGGATGCAAGGTTGACATCTTCCAACTACCGACATGCCAACGCGTCCACAATGTTCCTAATCCTAACTCTTTCAAAGGCGGGATGATTATGGCTTTATCCATTTTACATCATGACCAAACTGCGGATTTAACTGTTATTGCTGGCTACGAGAGTGGACATACCATTGTCTTTCAGCATTCCAGTGGTACTTGGCAAGCACTTTACAGAACTCAAGCACATAGCCAACCGGTCCTTTCACTTGACGTCGATCCCTCGAAAGAGTTCTACTTGACTTCCTCAGCTGATGCCATTGTCGCTAAGCATCCGATTCCAACTTCGGCGGAAATCGTCATCAAGTCCAGTGATGATGAGCCATTGAAGATCTTCAAGACGGGCCATGCAGGACAGCAGAGTTTAAAAATAAGGAATGATGGAAAAATAGCCGCGACAGCGGGATGGGATAGCAGAGTGAGGGTCTACGGGACGAAGAACATGAAAGAGTTGGCGGTCCTGAAGTGGCACAAAGAGGGATGCTATGCTGTCGCTTTTGCTAATGTATTAGAGAACTCGAGCGAGGAGGAGAAGAGCGGGGGCGAGTTGGTGAAGAGAACCACCACACTGACGGTCAAAGGGGAGAGACTTCTGAAGGCCAAGACAGCACATTGGATTGCAGTCGGCAGTAAGGATGGGAAAGTCAGTCTATGGGACATCTACTAGTCGTTCAGATCCGCGAAGATAATACAAAAACTATGATACCCCAAATCTGTTCGGCCTCGATCGATCCTTTAATAATGGCAAGTGCCCAGTTCTTCGCATTTATAATTCTCTCTCTTGCTTATGCTTATTCCCCTCTTTCAAATTCAAAATAACGTTCTGAAGTACTCGTTCACTTCCAATGCCTACCCCTAAAGCAAGCTCCAGATATCTACGAACTACCTTCTCTCGCCCATCAATTAAAGGAGATTGTCTCTACTATTACTGCCATACATCCATGTCCACATTTTCAGCTTTCGATCACATCACTCTGCGCAGAGATACACAACCTCTCCAATCATGCTTCAACTTTCCAAGTTCAGCATTGCCGTCTCTCTAGATCTCTGCCTCTTACTCGGTTGTTACCAGTATTTGCAGTCGTCTTCAACAATAGCTTGTTGTCATCGATGATGACAGAATATCGAACGAATGCTAGATGGATGGAAATAGCCCCAGCAGGCACCTTTATGTTACCTTCGACGCTCTGCAAGTACGATGTCTAGAATCAGTTCCACACATTCTGGTGTCGAGAGACTAGGAAACTGGGAAAGACGTTTTGTTGGTAAGGACATCGGTAATCCCAGATTTCGAGATCTTGCTTCGGATATTCTGAAGTCAAATGGTTGTAGAATCAACACTCTCATCAGGGACAACATGCTCAGCTTTAGGACCTGAAAATGGAATGCCAAGACTGATATTTTAACATCAAGTCGTTTCATACTCAGTATTCTTTTGCCATCGTCGCTTACATATTTCCATGAAAGCATCGACATAGTGAGTTGGCAGACTCGGACATTCAGAGAATCGAAAGTTTGTTACCATATATTCATGCTTATGGATACTTAAAACTCGGTGGAAATTTTGTACATTCAATTCATCCGAGTAGAAAGAAATGTCCGCATATGGGCCCATTCCCTTCAGCATCAACTGCCCTCCTTTGATTCCCTTCCTGCTGTCCCTCAACCCTCTTAATGGGTCAAAGAGTAGCTCGTAGTCCACGAGATAAGATTCTTAGGGTAAGCTGTAACCGTCGTCAAAGCCGTAGTCGTGAAAGTCTCCTGCAAGCTCGTCATCAGTAACCCTTGACTCCGCAACTCTCAATCAAACTTACCGTCGTAAAAGCGCTCAAGATCAACGAGTTGATGATCGTCTTGGTTACAGCCGTAGGAACCGAAGCTACCAAGCAAGTACAGATAGAACTGATCTCATTGGGCGGAAGAGTCTTGAGTTCGCTTGGCGTCTGGCTCGCGGGGACTCTTTTGATGTGATCTCCTGCCGGACATCCAGGCTTTGTATCGTCCCAATCAGTCTTTTTGTATCGTACCGGCTTTGAGTGGGAGTAATTCACATATTGATACTGCGGGCAATCCCTATCAAAATACAGATTCGTACTTGAGCCATTATGCTTGATATGCGCCTCCGCAATCGTCTTATTAAAGATCTCACACGCAGCACCAAATTGGAAGCTTTTGCATTCCGAATTTGCGAGACATCGCTGTTGACACTGGAAGGTGTTGATACCGTCGAATGCGACTTCGGTGGCGATCAGGTCGTGGGCTGAGCCGTCGTCGGGGTTGGCGGGGTAATTGCATTGCATTCTCGGCGAGGGAGTCGCGCAAAGTATTACTGTGGTTTCACTGGAGAGAGGAATGTTAGGTAAATGATGGAGGGGGCAGGAAGTACTGACTAGCGCCAGGCATACGTTCCGAATGTACTGGTTGTGGTTACTGTTGCGTCGACGGTTTTGGTTGTGTGGATGGTGGTAGGGTCTATGACAGTGACAGTGTGCTCTAGGTATGAAGAGCAGAATGAATTCGCTGCTGCTGATAGAGTACTGTGTCGTTGGTTTAGTGACGGGACATCTAGAGCAAGGCAGTACTAACGGTCTCTTGAGGTCAGACACTATGGTGTCATTCGAGCAGGCTGTGTATTCATTAGCATTTGTTCTTAGTTGCATGGTCTATGGGGACTTGTTGTACAGTTACGCTTCCCAATGTCTTTTCGCGCTTTCATTTCTCGAGCGAATGGTAAAGCCTCAGAAATTCCATATCTAGGTCCGACAGCGGCTATGGCGAGAGTTGCTGAAGAAAGAAGAAGAGTGCCACAGAGACTGAGAGAAAACTTCATCTTGAAAGTCTACTACAATATTTTCTCGTATGAAGATATCTTGACGCGTTTTCCAGTAGTTCCTCAATTGAACCTGTGTGAGGAATCTGCATTTATAAGTAGTCCTTCCAGCAGAGGACTTGTGCCAGCAGTGACCTGCCAGCAGCTGCTTTCCTCGATATTCGCTCGCATATGCAGTGCGCATTGAGCAATATATACACAATACGCCATGATATGAAGCCTTGTGCACTGATGTGGAGAGACTGTCTCGGAGGAGGAAGCATCACAGAAACCCCGCGAAGGTGCCACAAGCTGAGAGTCTTGGATAATCCACTATCGAGGTCACTAAATGAAAAGACACAAATGCCTGAAACTTACAAGATTCTGCAACCTTATGTCAAAGGTAGTACTTGACAATGACTGAACTGCGAGTAGAAATGGATACAAAGCTTGATGCAGCATTTTGGCCTCGGAGAAAGAGAACGTAACATAATGCAGGTGTAACCCTGGATTGATTATGATCCCTGGTATGAGAAGCCTGCAAGCCACAAATCCAAAATAGACTTCAGCTGAAGTCTTCACCACGTGTTGCTCCTGAGATGTATCAGACCTCGATGTTCCTGAATACCCAGCCTAAAATCAAGGCTTAAAAAGCTCGAGAGCATACTGTCGTTACTAGGCATTTTCAGCTGTTTAGGTATGGTTTTCGGCTGGTTGAACAGTTTGGAAAGCTGACTTGTGCTCGTCGACGCCCCAAAATTCCTTCTCGCCTCAAGATGTCTCATTTACTCTAAGAATAGTTCTTTGCATCGCAGTAGTCTGCAGTCTCCTTGTGCGTGTCGTTTTTTGCTTCGTGCCACCACGCCTTGCTGCAGGTCCGCAAAGTCGATTCCTGCAGGTCGAGTAACCCGATGTGGTCCTTCGTTCCTGACCCGTCGAGACTCTGGATGCCTCGTCCATAACTGAATCGAAGTATATAGTTTAGGTGACTCTTCGGGTCTCTCCTGCTTCAAAGGAGAGCTCGGGCTGTACCTGTCACTGGTGAACTGCTCTACTTGATGCACAGATACCAGAAGGAACGACGGGGATGTGCTCAAAGCTTTCTTTTGTTGATTCAAGGATCGCTCCTTTCATACGCTGGCTTAACTTCTTTGTTCTTCATTTTACTAATGAGCTCTATCGGATCAAGAATGAGGAGAAGACTCCGCAGACTGCTCTGCTAGGGTAAGATCGCATGCCGATTTGTGTACACGAGTGAGAGGCGTTGAAAAGTGAAAAATGTCTCTGCAGCGACCAAATGCTTTTCGAAATATACTGGTATCTTGTTAGTGCATGACTCTAAGACTCTTCTCCCAAAATTCACCGAATACGTTCTCCGAGAATATTTCTGTGTAGCTACCTTTCTCCTGGCTTCCAGCTTTGTGCAGCTATTATTCATAAGAAAAAATGCAATATTATATTGCTGCAGTTCTCTCAATGCATGTTGATTCCACAACATGCACCCAACATGCGAAAGTTGCGTGATATGCTGACTGTCCGTGATCATTCTGGGAAGTTCTGGCATCAGATACTACGGAAAATCAGTTCCCATACGTGAAACAAAGAGTTCTCAACGTCATGACAGAAACTCAGCTTGCCCGTCCGACCATTGACCCGTTACGTACCGGCACGGCACGGCATGGTACCTTGAGATCTTTATATGCACAATCATATCTGGAATTCATTGCATCAACTCTCACGCATCATCTCGGAGCTTAGAATCTTCCTCTGGGATTGACGAGGTCTCGGGATATGGTTTTGTGTTCGGCAAATTTGAGCATATACCATTTTGATTTCCAAACACATTTTCTCTTTTCGGTATAAGATCCTCGTTTTCCTATTTCAGTAAATGTCTTTTGGATCGGAAGTTGGGAAACAATGACTAATACATGCCTGCATATCTAATGCCGACATGTGGAGCAGACAACAGAACTTTTCTACAACAACTTATGGTCGCTAACCCAAATCCCGAGGTGCATTTGATTGCCACTATCATGATGAGATCTATTCGCACCTCAAAAATGCAAGTCATGCGCAAGTCATGCGCGGCCAACGTATAGCATGAGGCGGACACGCTTCGGGTTCACTAACACTTCAATTGGTTTCAGTAACAAATAATTCCATGAAGGGATCAATGTTGAATCCCTTTTTATTTTCAAAACTGCCATGCAACGACGTGTGTTGACTTCCCCTTTGATCCGTATACCCCGCATTACTAGAGAAACGTGTGGGGTAATTTAGCCCCTGTCGCAGATCAGAAACTTGACTAGAACGGTTAGTAACATCTTTTCTGGGGATATCACCTCAATTCAAACGATGTTACACAAGTGAGAGGGCGGAATGCGAGCGCATGTCAGCGCGGAACCAACGTGATACAAGTCGGGCACGCTATCTCGAGGTATTCTGATTCTCTAGTATTAACATCAGAAGCTCAGCGAGAAAGTTGGGGATCATTCATGCATGGTAGCTTCATAATCAGCAGACATCACACCCTTACCCATTATTCAAACGAAATTGTGGTGGCTGTTCGTCAAATCTGTTTTTGTCACCAATCTTTCTTCACCGTACCTTTTGTACGTCCTTCAGAACTTCCACATAAATATCCCTCACCATGGGGAGCAACATTACCCTGGAGCCAGAGGGCTCTGAGTACGACTACATTATTTGTGGGTGAGAAGTTCGAACAAGGGTCCTGAAGTTCATAGAGCTGATTGTTCACATAGTGGCGGTACATCAGGCTCAGTTCTCGCGGCACGGCTTGCGGAAGACCCAAACAACTCAGTGCTGGTCATTGAAGCTGGGCAGCATAATTCTCTTCTTGAGAATACTGTCATGGCTGGCGGATGGTAAGTGCAAAGACATTTATGAGCGATCTTCACTTACGATGCTTACAGGAAGAACAATTTCGACACAGAAGCGGATTGGAATATTGTCACAGAGCCCAATCCAGGAGCCAATGGGAGACAAGTGAAAGCCAGCCGCGGGAAGTTCCTTGGAGGTTCAAGTGGTTGTAATGGCACATTGTGCATCCGAGGGACCAAACAGGATTATGATGATTGGAATGTCCCGGGATGGAGTGGGGAGGAGGTTTTTGGGTACATGAAGAAGGTCGGCAGTTTCGTCTCCTGTGTCTGTGGAAGCTATTGACACGCCATAGGCGGAGAATTTTCATGGAAAGAAATGGTTTAAAGCCAACGAAGCTGCTCATGGACATGATGGTCTGCTCGACATTGAGCCTCACGACCTGGTAACAAAAATACCACCAAATAATTTTAGAGCAAAAAGGCTAACTATAAGAGGCCCCTATCTCGAACTTGATTCTCGAATCCATGGAATCTCAAGGTTTAGCTTTTCAAGATGACATATGTACAACAGGAGCCATTCATGGTTCTGGTTGCGGTCACGCGCCTCGAACTGTTTACAAAGGAGATCGAACCACAGCTGCCAATTACTTACTGAACAAGGGACCAAACTTGGCAATTAAGACCGAAACGACTGTCGACAAGGTCATTCTTGAAGGTTCTGGCGACAACCTCAAAGCAACCGCTGTGAAAATCATTGAGAAAGACGGAAAGGAGCGAGAAATCAAGGCCAGAAAAGAAATTATCGTTAGCAGTGGGGCATATTGCTCACCCACAATTTTGCTTCGTTCTGGGATTGGACCTAAGTCGGAGCTTGCAGCTCACGGTATCGAATGCAAAGTCGACCTACCTGGAGTAGGCAAGAATCTTATGGACCATCTTGTGAGTCTCTTTATCACTCGTGTAAGGCGAGGACACCAACTCACTGATTTTCAAGATCGTCTTCATCTTCTACTCAACCACCAAGCCAAACTTAACAAATGACTATCTCCTCTACAAGCCCAACGCCCTTGGTGAAGCTTACCGCCAGTGGAAAGAAGAAAAGCGTGGTCCGCTCTCCACATTCCCATTCGGAGCCTTTGGTTTCGCTCGTCTGGATGACCGTCTCGCCTCTGACCCTGTCTGGAAGAATGCCTCAAGAAAGGAAGGCCGTGATCCAATGGGTCTCACCTCCTCACAACCAAACGTCGAATTCTTCAGCACGGAATGCTACGGCGGCCCCAAACAGTACATTGATTACCCCGATGGAGAGAACTCCCACGCTTTTTCTCTCGTCGCAGAGCTCTTTGCTCCAAAATCTAGAGGAGAAGTTACGTTGAAATCAGCTGATCCAAAGGATAATCCCGTTGTCAACCATAACTATCTGTCCGAGGAATTAGACGTTGTGGTCCTGAGCGAGGCGTGTAGATACGCCAATGAGATTATCACCTTGGGAAAGGGAACCAAGGATATCGTCGGGGGAAGCTGGCCGAAGACTTTGACGCATCATAAGCATACGAAGAGAGAGGACTGGGCTCCCTTTGTCAGAGATAATGCCACGACTTGTAACTCATCCCTTATTCCTTCCTTTGCCAATAAAAGCAGACACTAACAACCAACAGGCTATCACCCGGGCGGAACCTGCAAAATGGGGTCATCATCAGACCCATTGTCCGTGCTAGACTCCGAGCTTCGAGTCCGTGGCGTGCAAGGTCTGCGAGTAGCGGATACTTCTGTGATGCCGCTGTTGAATCAAGGCCATACCCAGATGCCTGCTTATGCTATTGGTGAAAAAGCGGCGGATTTGATCAAGGGACAGTTCTTGGAATTGAATCCTAAGGGGAATATGGTGGCAGAGGTAACGTTGAAGGACGTCAAAGATTTGGGCAATGGGAGCTTGAATGGAAATGGAACTCTTGTCTTGAATTAGGAGCGAGAAGATGGTAGGCTTGCTGGAGTATTATGAGATCGAGGTGATCGTGGTCTTGTTTGATCTTTGAGGATGAATCAATGTCCGGTTTCGAGGGTCTCAACTCGCAACACCTGGGACATTTTCATTCAAACTGATGTGAACCGAGCTCTGACAGGCGAAAAGCAACATGGTGCAATATTCAGCTTACACCCTCGAATGACGTTTGCCAAAATTGACGGAGAGCTAGTTGATGCCCGAAATCGTACATTATCTACTTGGTATCTTCATCTTAAGCCTAGAATTTTGCACACGGCACGTTTTCATGCCCTTCCTATGCTGAACACCAAACGCCACCTAATATACCCCTGCCATATCATCAATCGTATGTATCAGTAGACGCCATTCCTGTATCCACTTCTTGTCGTAGTAGGAGGGCCTGTAAATTTACCAAGCTGCAGACTTTGTAGACCTTCTCTGGCACCACCAACTCGTCCCGCCACGCCCAATAAGCTGCTCTCGAACTCCGTCAATGCACCTGTAAGTTGCTCTATAGGGTCATCTTGTCCGATACCTGCGCCGTTCTTTCTCGCAAGAAATTCGCTTTGTTGGGAGACTGAGCTGGCTTCAACATTCCGGAGATGCTGCTCGATTTCGATCATGTGCTTCTGGTAGCTCGACAAAGTGCTCGCGATCTCGTCTGCAGTTGAAGAGAAGAAACTGACGATATCCTGTGCTTCGGCATCTCCATTAGACTGGGTCTGCGAGCCACTAACAGCTTTAGAGGACCAGATGTTCGAGTTGTGGTATTGTGGCGGAAGCTTCAAGTTGTCGATAGCTTTGAAGCTCAACTTGGCGTGCTCAGCATCCGTCTTGACAAGCTTCTGTGCCAGAGAAATGGCCTGAACATCAGAATCCGCAGCATTCTCAACTCCGATCAACTTTCGTCTGCAGAACTCAACATCGGTGGGAACTTGTGCTAATTGTGAATCGTGGGCTGTCATGATTGCATCACACTGATTCTTCAACTGGATCTGCGCCTGGATTATGTCGTCGAATTTGGTGATTTCTTTCTGCAGCTCTTCGTGCAGGTCGTTGAATCTTGTTGTGCCTCGGATTTGGGAGGGATCTACTCGCACGCCCGGAACTGTCTGCTGTTGTTGATTTGATTGTCCTAAAGAAAGACCGCCTCCCAATGTGCTTCCGAAAAGGCCTTGACCAGTGTTCTGATTGAGTTGACCAGCACCTTGTGCAGACGACCCACTGAATGACGTTAGCAAGTGATTTCTTCGAGTACATGATACGGAACATACAATAGTGAAGGCTTGTTCTGATTCTGGTTGTTCATGTTGTTGAATAGACCACCTTGAGCGGGTTGTGTTGGATTTGCAGCTCCGAATAAGCCGCCAGTTGGTTGATTCTGCTGTCCCGCGAGACCTGAAAACATCCCCCCAGTCTGCTGAGGTTGTGATGCTGTGTTAGAGGCACCAAATAATCCACCAGTCTGAGTTGGCTGTGATGTATTGGTGTTTCCGAACAGTCCACCACTCTGCTGAGGTTGTGAAGATCCAAACAATCCACCTGTCTGTCCTGGTTGTGAAGAGCTTGTGTTTCCAAATAGCCCTCCGCTTTGTGCAGGTTGTGCAGACCCAAATAGACCTCCGGTTTGTGGTTGTGTTGATGCCGCAGTCGAACCAAATAATCCACCACTCTGTGCGGGCTGCGCAGACCCGAAAAGCCCTCCTGCTTGCGGTTGTGTAGTAGTTGCTGTAGATCCAAACAATCCACCTGGTTGAGAGCTTGCTGCGGTCGATCCGAAAAGTCCTCCGCTTTGTGATTGAGTTGTCGCAGTTGATCCAAAGACGCCGCCTGCCTGAGGAGCAGAGGTTGTTGTGCCGAAAAGCCCACCGGCCGGCTTGGGTTGCGTGCTTCCAAACATTCCTCCTGCTGCTGGTGTCGTACTCGATCCACTAGATGATGTTAATCGTGGCTGATCTTTCTTTGTTGTCCCTTGCGTCGCTTTTTTGACGCGAAAGCTCGGGTTCGAAGGTAGCCTGAAACCACTCACAATAACGAATTGGCAGAATTTGTGTTGATGCTTAAGCCTCCTGGTCCGCTAGCAGATCGAGCCAATGCCATGGTATTTGCGCAAAATTGTCGACTGTCTTTCCTTGCTTGTGAAACCTGAAATCGGTGCGATTGTGAGATTCTGGGAGACGCGGTCGAAAACATTGGAGGCGGCGCTAAGCGAGGAAGCTTGAACTTGAGCTTGAGCTTGCACGTACCTTGCAGAGAAACATCCACGGACCAACATCTGCAGTCCAACAATTGCATAATAGATCACTCTCACGATGGATGTCGACGAAGATGATGATTTCTATGCGGCCGAGGGCGATTCTGCGAAAGCCGTTGAAGAACAGAGTGAGGAACCAGCTCAATCAGCGCCCCAGCCAGAGCAACAGGACGAGGACCTGGAGGAAGGAGAGGAAGAAGACGAGGCAGTGTCAGAAGGGAGCGACTCTGTAGGAGCATGATAGACCCTCCATGGAGGTTGCTGCTTACCATCGCCTAGGACATAGATATCATCACAGAACGAAAAGATGGTAGCAAACTTGCCCCGCCAGTAGCGTCAGTAACGCGTTTGGGTTTCAAATCAAGATGAAAGCTGACATCTGTACAGCCAGCCGCGTTATAATGATATTCGAAATATACCACAAAGGACCGCCTCGAGCGACGTCGCTACCAAACCTTCTCCAGCAAAGAAAGAAGTGGCTAATAAGAGTGCCCCTCCAGCCTCTGGAGCAGACCTTCCCGGTGTCTCGACATCGGAAATCGATATTGATGGGAAGCCCGTCTATGAGCCTGCAGGAAAGCCCATCACCCAAGTCAACATTGACCTAGGTATGTACAGATCCAATCTAAAGGGAACATTGCTAATTCCGTCAGACCTTCCAGATAATGATAAACCATGGCGCCGGCCAGGAACTGATGTCAGTGACTACTTCAATTATGGTTTCGACGAATTCACTTGGGCTCTCTACTCCAGCAAGCAAGATTCTCTAAGATCCGAATACAACCAGGAGAAGATTGCCGAGAACAACAAGAAGATGTTCGAGGAGATGAATATGATGATGGCCATGGGGGCTATGCCAGGAATGATGCCGGGAGCGTCAGGAACTGGCGCCATGTCTGGAATGGAAGGAATGCCCCCAGAGATGCAACAAATGATGCAACAGATGATGGCCTCGGGAGTTGACCCAAGTCAGATGGACCCAGCCACCATGTTTGCCAGCATGCAGGGAGGCCAAGCCAGTACTGGAGGTGCAACCGGAGCTCAGACGGGCAATCAAGCTCAAGGTTTTGGAGGTCAAGGAGGATTTGGTCAAGGACAGAATCAATACGGCTACGATCAGGGAATGATGAACTCTGGCGATGCACGGAACCGCGGTGGAAACTTTGGCAGAGGTCGTGGGAAGGGAAGATGGTAATTCATTGTATATCTTTTCACTGGCGTTACGGAACTGGAAAAAACATTGACCGGCGGCGTCTAGTTAATCCGGCACCGGATCTCGGCTCGGATCTCGCCTCTGCTAGTTCAGGGGCGATGCCTCTAGAGCAGGTGGTCTCTCTTCAGGCAACCTGCCTGTAGGCAATATCAGTTTAGATGGTGGTTATTTGGACACTGGAATCTACACAGTGCATTGCTGTTGAAACTGGACAATATGCAAATGCAATGATAAACAACTGAAGAACAACAATATTCTCTCGCTTAATCTTGTGCATGAGACAGGAAGACAACCTAGGTAGCACCAATACATCAGCTATTGACTCCTGCAGGACAAGTGTTTTAACGTCTGATACTTCGATTTTTGTTTCAAGATTGTCAGTCGATCACTGTTGCCAATGTTCCAGCCGGTGCTTTCTTGTGGTTTCATCTTCTATTATTTTATGATGCTCATTGACAATTGCTTCCTGCTTTCCTTGTTACTGTGTTGCTGCCATTGTTGCACTCCCGAGCTCTTCTATGAGCTTAGAGACATGCATTTGTCTTTGCAAATACAGACTGTGGGTCTGCCAACGCCCTTGTTCCCTCCTTCGCTCGAGTTGTGATGAAGTATATGTTGTATTATCCGCTCAAACGCTGTAAGTTCTTATCCGCAGGCTATATCATGAATGCTCTCCTTGTCGTGATATGAGTTTGAGTCGTCTTGCTTCTATTTGCGCTCGGCCACTGAAACCTACTTCCACTGTATTGCCTCAACATCTAATAGACGAATGAAACCTCAAGCCATGTCTGAATCGTTTTCAGTGAGGGAGGGAGATACAGACTGGATGTATTCGTGATCGCCCTTCCCACTAGGATGGGAGAACCTGTGGGGCTTCGTTGAGTAAATCGTCCAATAGACCAGATGCCTCATGATGCTTATCCACGTAGCTCATCAAAGCGGCACACATGGGGACTGCATCTCTGCCTGGTTAGAGCAGGAGACATTTGATACTTTCCAAGACCGTCTGATTGCACCCCATCACTTCCACCAAGATCCTAGCCCTAGAAAGCATTCGTGGATGTAAACATGTAGCTCGTCTCATATCAAAGAGTGGATGCATTCGAAGGAATCATCTTCATATCGCGGCTTGGGAGATCTATACGGAGTTAGAAATTGATTGCATGGCAGTCTTCCCCCTTGGACTCTGCAGTAAAGAGCAGGGAGAGTAACGCTTACCTGACTTAGACCTATTTCCTTTGTATGGAAACTATCTCAATGTATACATATCCCGCGCTAGGACTCAGAAGGAGAGGAGGCTTAGTGGTCGATGAGCCGACCTAATAAGGCTTAGTTTGCTTGCGAAATCCGATCTGGAAATCCACCACCACCAAATTCGGCGCTAGTCCCCCGCCTCCACCAAATAAGACACTTCTTTCCTTCCCAAACTCGCTTCGTCAACCCTCCACAACCACCAAACTTCGATCTCATACAGCTTTTGAAGCTCCTCTTGCCCCTTACACACTCATTCTCGAGCACATAACCTTTCGAATCTAATCAGTAAGCAATTACCTTTTCCACACCTTAGCCCTACTTTTCGATCTCGAACAGAGCTGACAACCTCTGCGCAGCTTCAAACGTGACCAAACCCCTCGATCTACAACCTCCTTACAAGGTACACACATTCAGCTGCAGCTTCAGAAAGGTTCGTTAGTTCTTAGTTCTATCGCGAGATTCTTTGTGGCTTGATATTTCGGAGTATTGCGCCAAGGTGGAGTTTCTTGTTAGATACACCACGTCTCTCAACTCCTGTACTGTTATTCTGGCACACCAGCGACTGAAGATCGCAAGACTGATTCCTTCGGACATGTCTCTGGAGGATGATATCTTTCCGACCGTCGCCGTGAGTCACGAGTAGCTCGTCCCGTCGTCTTCGGAATGTGGTGGGCCGAGTCAGCAGTCATTGAGAGCAATCGAGGCTGCGCTAGTGCTCCTTCCTCTTGCAACCTGCTCCAGCCTTACCTCTTGAACAAAGTTGCAAAGCGTCAAGATTTGCCTTTTCGTTTTTGACAATATCAAATCATCATAAACAAAGTGGCTTGCGTTCTTTACAGACTTGCGCTTGTTCTTCGTTGTTATCTTTCTTTTTCTACTGCAGCTCGCCACTCTCAAAGTCACAGATAACTAACATTAAATAGACGAAAGGTATGTGCACCATTCGCTATTGTCAGGATCACATTGCGACGATATTCCCAACACATATCTGAACAACCTGCCCACGATTAGAGGCCACATAACCGAGGCCCAGACACTTCGCGCCCATCTGCTTCTTCCACACCTCGACATCCAACCCTAGCAAGATTCCATACTATACATGCAGTAAAGCTAACATCACTATGCAGTCTATGAGCATGAACTCTCCTCCATTCATGCCTGACACGCATGGTTTTGACAACATGCATGAGCCCGGCCCCTCTGATATGTCTCCGTATCAGCAGCAATACTATGCTGGAAATGTCTTCCACGACAATGACCCCTTCGCCAATCAAGGTGCTTTCAGCTTTGCGAATGGCTATCACGGCTACCATGCTGCTCCGACACATGCTCCAGGCATTGGTTTTGGTCATCATGGCCCTTTCAATAGTAACTTCGGCGCCGTCAACACCATGAAGAATGAGCATGCTGGACCATCGACCGGTTACCATGATGCAGGCTTTGTTGGCGGTCCTGAGCAAATGCAACATCCGGGCACTGGCATGGCTTCCCTAAAGGAAAACCATGATGAAGCATCCATCAGCAACTTCGATGGCGCTCCTGAGCATGACGTCTCTCAGCATGATGTTCCTCAAGCCGTTCTCAAGATCCGCGACTCTGACGACTTCTTTGCTCAATTGCGCAAGCGTATTGTCGAACAGCGACTCAAGAAATCGAAAGCTTTGATCGATAACGGCGACAAGGTCGACTTTCCGGAAACTGCAGACGAGCAACAAAAATACATCAAGAAATTAATGGTTGCTATCAAGGATACTAGTGACATTCTGGATAAGCCTTGCAAGAACGGAAGCCCTGCTCAAGCTGCTCAGCGCCTTCAGCGGGGATATTATCCAGATGAAGACATCGAATTGGCCTGCTGGCATGTTTTGGTGAGTCCACTTGCCTAGGCTCTTCAAGAGCAGAGCTAATCTAGGTACACAGCTCGGTCTCCGTGACTCTCAACTCGGTGTCATCTTGGTTGAGCCGTATCATGGTTATAGATATGAGGAGTATACCTCATTCGAGACTCGATTTGGTGCCGTACTCGAGACCCTTCGAGTAAGTTCCAAATATGCACCTCAAGAGGTAAGCTAATCATATTGTAGCAATCGAAGGCAGCTTGTAAGCAACTCCTCGATCCGGCCTTCGTCGACCGTCTCTGTGACGCCCCGGACTCTGAGTTATCAGTAAGTCTTCGCGTCCCCAATTTTTTAAAGAAAAAGAATGGCATCTAATTAGAACAGACCAAGTTGGCTAACAAGAAGGTCAATGCCGAGCGTGATACGCAGAATGAGATTGGTCGCAAGGTCCTCAATGGAAAGATGGACGACGATGAACTAGCAGATCTCAATCTCAAGGCCGAAGAAGAGGACATCGAGAGAACTCCATCTGGTCGCAGACGACGTACTCCGCGTGCACTTGGTCGTATCGTTCGAGGCAAGGTTGGAGTCAGCACCCCGAAGAGACATACTCCTTCGTCGTCCAATGGCAAGGCAGTCAGCACCCCAAAGCGAAAGGGCACCAGCAAGGTCAAGCGAGAAAATGAGTCCGACGACGAAGATTCCGCTCAATCCACCGATTCAGACCTCGACAATGAACCTACTCCTCGCGGCGTCGTACCTCGTCAATCTGCTACAACCCAAAATCGCGGTTCGAGCAAGCGCAAGGCAAAGCCGGTTAACTATGCCGAGGTAGATGCCGATGCCGAGGACGACTCCGATGAGCCCTACACTCCTTCGAAGAAGTCTCGTACAACCAACCGTACCGCCAAGGGAAAGCAAGCCGTAACTAAGGGAAAGCAGTCCGTAACCAACCGAGCACAAGTTGGTACTTCTGCACTATCTACCTACGGTCCCGAAGCAGAGACTAGAGGACTAGACCCGGAAATGAAGGGCATCTATGAGAGCTATCGCATTATGGTATGCCGTCTCCTCAGCATTGATCCAGAAGAAGGCGAGAAATTCAAGCTCACCGATCTTCGCCGATATGCTCGTGCATACAATATGCAATACAAGGACGTGGTCTTCTACGACTCCTCCGCTAATCCTACTTGGCACTATGTTGGTCATAGAGTGTTCTCTGAGAACGGACTCCAAGTTGCTGAGCATTTCGCTCAGGTCAACCCCATCTTTCAGCGTCTGGCCAAGGTACGAGGTGACCTCGATAACACTGGTGCCTTTGTCCGTGATGCACCATTCTCTGAAGGTTTCTTTACCGTTGGTGATGAACTTGATAATCGCGCTCTTGGTGTCATCGATAACGAGTTCGACATCGACAACGACCTGTATGACCGCACTCAAGGTGCTTACGACTACGATTACGATTTCAACTAGGGCATCTACTTGTAAACTCGCGTTCTCTGATCCGCTACACGACATCGACTTGCGAAGCTCTTTAATACCTAACTTTTTGCCTCGATCTCGCTCGGTAGCTCATAGCGCTCGCCAATCCTACTTCGCATTCCTGTTTACTTCATTTGGTCACGCCAGTAAGCTGTTCTCATCAGACAGTTCAACACTTCGCAATGGGTTCAACTTTACAGTTTGCCAACTTGTACGAATACAATTTCAAGTCGTCGATTTCGCATCTAAAATTTCGAAAACACCAAAAAAATTGCCGTCGAACTTTTCACTGGACGTCGCTTACGATGAGCTACTTTGCACTTGCGTTCCCCTTTCCTGTTTTTCCTTCACATTCATTGCTTGCTTTCAACACTGGCGGCACTGATCATCGACATGGCTTGAGCGATATTTAGCTTCCTGCTTCGGCTCGAAATCTACTTTTCTATCATGTTACGCGATGGTCAAAAGCGTTGTTTTTCCTTTTCCTGTCTTTTGCATGGAGTTGTGGTTGGATGGTTGAATGGTTGGATGATGGACAATTGATGATGACTCATGAAAGATGATTGATGACTGCATATTTGGCGTTTGGGAAGCTCACTGCACGTTGATTGAGATACCCTTATTTGCTTTCAGTTGCGAATTGCGTTCCTTGAGGCGTCGAGGAGGAGTTGTGGGGCGGGTGTGGGGAGACACAACCACTGCATACGTTGACTACCAGACTTTCGAACAAGGACAGAAAAAATTCTCGTGGAGGGGTATCGTTGTCACCGGTGGATCACTACTTTACTTCGTGGTGAGATACCTGATGGCTCGGACTGGAAATAGCATAGCTTCTGCTGAGCTGTAGATAGCATTAATTTGATACTCTCCCACACGCTGGCATTGGCTTCGACCATGGTGAAATTTCTACAAAGACATGACTTGGACAAGCTTTAATTGATCAATCCATCTGGTATAAAGGCGTCGAGGCTGACGTTAAATTTGGTTTAAGCTCTTTTCTTTATAGCAAAAAACGTAGTCGAAGGAAAATAGCAAACCAGAGCAAAAAATAATTTAATAATGGAGATGACTGGATTCGAACCAGCGATCCACAATCTGAATGGTCCACGAGCAACTCAGCACGCCGCGAGTCTGTCTCTAAGACTGTACCTGGATTTGAGCGCAATTCTAGTCCTACAGGATAGGTACAGTATTTCGAGTCTACCTCAAGCAGCGAGCGAGCGAGCTCAAGCTTTCCAACACTTCTTGTGAGCTTTACCACTAAGCTACATCCCCAATTTGTTGGTTGTTGATGAGAAAGCGCTTATTTAATCCTATACGGTAAGTAAGTCGTAATGATGGAAAGTGTCTGTGTGGGTGTTAAGCCTATATAGAGCTTTATGAACAATAGCGAAGCGAAGAAGCTAAGGCAAGGAAGAGTATCAAAAAAGAACGCTAAGTTCAAAGGCAAAAGAGTAAAGACTTTTGGAGGCGACTGGATTCGAACCAGTGATCCACAATTTAAATGGTCCACATGGCACCCCAGGACTAACACCGGCAGAATCGCGAGCTTCCACCAGATGCCCACTGGGTACCCGAGCATCAGGCCGCGCCAATGCACATGCTTTCCAATAATTATTGTGAGCTTTACCACTAAGCTACACCCCTAATAAATTGGTTATTGACAGAAGAATGCTCATTAAGTCATATAGGATAGTTAAATGGTGAATATGAGAATCACTGCTTAGACATGCTAAAAATCAATGGACAAAAGAGAAAAGTATAATGGAGACGATTGGACTCGAACCAACGATGCACAATCTGAATGGTCCACGCCCAGATCTCATCTCAGCAGCAAGTGCCAGATTCCGATCAACTCGACCTGCCAAGCCAGCCGAGTGGCGCTTTCCAACACTTCTTGTGAGCTTTACCACTAAGCTACGTCCCCGTTTAAGATTGTTGACAAAAGAGGGCTAATTTGATCTCATAACAGAGGTAATAGATAATAAGAGAAAGAAGATAGCAGTGAGCTGAGCTCCTCAAGGTCTGGCATGACAAGCGGCTTAGGCGAAAGCAAGAGTGCTTAGGATAAATAGCCATATACGCAAAAGAATTAAAAAAAGAATATTATGGAGGCGGCTGGATTTAAACCAGCGATCCACAATCTGAATGGTCCACGGCGCAGCTCGACACTTGTTTGCATTGCTGCCAAGTGTCGAGCGTCTCAGCCCGGGCTCCCCAGGCGACGACGCAACCGCTTTCCAATACTTCTTGTGAGCTTTACCACTAAGCTACGTCCCCGTTTTGAGGTTATTGGTTGACAAGAGATTGCTTATTTAGATTCATACGGTACATACTGAAAACGGAAGGAACGGCGAGATACAAAAGTGTAACTGAATACGTAGTCATTAGCCGAGATATAGTAAACTTCATGAGTTTCCTTATTTTGTTACACATATGAGATAGAGAGTTCAAAGCTTATGAGGCTTACTAAAAGAACTGTACATGAAAAAGTACCCTAAAGTTCAAGTTCCAGCACAATCGTACTTCCTTCACTACCTCGACATGAACACCTAGACTTCCCCCACCTAAATCACAACATCCCTCTCCAATCAACCTCACTACCACCCGTCTCCTCCTCTGGAAAACTCTCCATCATAGTCCTCAACTTATCAATCGGCGCAGCAAGCAACCCCGCCAACCCCTCAATTACCCAATTACTAGTCGGCGCTCCGGGATGAGATTTCGTAGGAACAATTTGCTTTGTCCTTATAAACTGTTTGGCAATGGCTTCTGATTCAGACTGCGAGATCGCTTTCTCCAGACGGGGCATGTCTTCGTTCTTCTCGTGCTCGATGTGGAAGTGTAGGTCTTGCATCAATTGTTCGAGGAGAGGTGAGAACTTCGGGTCGGAGGGCGAGAGAGATTGCAGAGTGTAGAAGTCTTTCTTTACCTGGATTTGTGTTAGTACAACTGTTACTTATGATTGAAAGCAGAGAGAAAAAGTACAGCTGCGTGTTGTTCAAAGTCATCCTTCGTAAGTGCTTTTCCTTCTTCTCCAAGATGTTTCTCCATTGCGGGGTAGACGGTCAGCTCTTCACTGATGGCGTGACGGGCTAAGTTCCAGGTGAGCATGTTTCGCCATTTGATCTTGTCGTCGGTGGTAGAAGCAGTTTTGAGATTCTCGTAGCATTCGTCGAGATACTGGTGGTCCTTGCCAATGGCTTCTGAGACGAGCATTTTGCCGTTGTCGAGATACTGATCCAAGTTCTGGTTTTGAAATGGATATGAATTCAATCAAGCTACTGTAGTGATTTTGAAATACTCGCAAGGTAAAGAAGAGAGGTAGATGATGAGGGAAGACAGAAGAGATATCAGTTGCAACGCCATTTGACATGCATTCAACTCCATGACATCTAGACACTGGTCTCGGTCTAAAATCCACTTAGTATCCCGTAACCTCCAACATGCTGAATCTTTATCCGAGTTCCGATCTCTGTTTACAAAGAATGGAGAAAATCGAAGAAATGGCATGAAGTCATTGAAGTGAGCTCGACGTCGTCTCTCTCCAATTGCCAAGCGGAGCGAACGACCCCTATTCTCCGCATCCAACCGAAAGACCCCTGCTAGCGCCACATGCCACATGCAATCGCCACTTCGATGCTTGCCATTTTTTCAGCCTTGAGCCGTGCGAATAGCCTCATCCTCTCTTCATTCACAACAATGGCATCCAACCCTCCCTCAGGGACCTCGACCCCCAATCCCCGATTCACATCGCAGCGAAAAACGGCCGAAGATATTCTCTCCACACAAACAGTTGGATTGGTCAACCTTTCCGACTTCCGCAAGCGACGCGCAGAGGTCATCGAGCAGAAGGAGAGAGATGCACACGAATCGTTCCTCGGCCCTTCGTCCGAGAAGGGTACACCTAGAGATGGAACGCCTAATGGGTGAGCACTGACCCCCGTCATCTAGAAGTAATTAGGATTTGGGAATAGGACTAATGGCCTTAGTACAGTGCGCTCACGCCCAACGATGCCTCCCAACCACCTTTGAAGAAGAAAAAGAAAGCCGCAAAAGCAGCCGCCAACAAACTATCCTTCGGAAACGAAGATGAAGACGAGGAAAGTGGTACAAATACAGGTTTCTCGACGCCGAAATCGAGTAGTCTGTCGCGATCCTCGACTCCTGTTGAGGGTGGAGGCAACAAGAAGAAGATGAGCTCGAATGCGAGCGTGGGGTATATGCCGAAGGCGCTGACGAAGGGTGCTTTGTTACGGGAAGCGCAGACGAGGGAGACGCTGCGGAAGGAGTTTTTGGTTATCCAGGAACAGGTTAAGAGTAGTGACGTTGCGATCCCGTTTGTGTTTTATGATGGGACGAACATACCGGGTGGGGTTGTGAGGGTGAAGAAGGGGGACTATATCTGGGTGTTTTTGGATAGGAGTCGGAAGGTGGGAGCGGAATTGGGGGTTGGTGAAAAGAGTAATAGTCGGAGGGAGTGGGCGAGGGTTGGGGTGGATGATTTGATGCTTGTTAGAGGCAGTTTGATTATTCCGCATGTGAGTACACATTCTATGGTCGAGTATTGGATATGAAGGCTGATTGATTATTATAGCATTACGACTTCTACTACTTCATCATAAACCATACTCTTGGGCCCAACAACAGAGTTCTGTTCGATTACAGCTCCGAGCCTACAGCCTCCACCAGTACACCAATGCCCGAATCAACCAATCTTGACAACTACAATCCTCTTTCCAACCCATCTAAGAACAAGTCGACGAAGGAGCCGGTTGTGGAGAAGATGGATCTCGAAGGCATGAACGATGATCCGACATTTACCAAAGTCGTGGATCGGAGATGGTATGAGCGGAATAAGCACATCTTCCCTGCTAGTGTATGGCAGGACTTCGATCCAGAGAAGGATTACCAGAAGGAAATCAAGCGTGACGCGGGAGGAAATCCATTCTTCTTCTCTTGACGACCTTTGCCTTTCCCATACCATAGATCCGTTCTGTCTACACGAGAGTAGTATAGAATAAGACGCTTCTAGAGCCGGTTAGCTAGATACCCCAATCGCAAGATTTCCAAGAACAACTTACTATTCTGTTTCTTGCTCAGTGACACCACGCCGCGCCTTTCACACGCATAAACACCAAACTCCGAAAACCGTAGGTCCAACCACTAACCACCCCGGCCAGAAAACGGCAAGGAAAACTCCATTGCCAGCCCCGAGCACAAAGATCATGAACTCCTTGAACAACTTATTCCTCACTGGCTCCAACGCCTTCCAGCTGATGCCGGCTCCTGTCTTAACACCCCAATAGCCTCCTTTCGCCGCGATCCCGGAAACCCAATATGTGAATTGGGATAGGTAGTAAGATTGTAGGAGCAGGATGGAGGAGATGTAGTATGATTGTTGTAAGAGGATCAAGGAGAGCAGGTATGCGCGGAAAACCAGGAAGATGGTCGTTGTGCTGAGGAGCTTTTGGAGGATTGTGGCGAGGTAGATGGAATTTGAGAAGGCGGGAGAGAGAATAGTGAGGATGTTGTGGGTTGAGGAGCGGTTGAGGATTTTGGTGGGATTTGGTGATGGCGTTAGGATGGTCATTTTGAATGCTTATTTTGGTGGTTGGCGACTTTTCGAGTTTTGCTTGGTCTTTTTGACGGTTTTCGATGTTGATCTTTCGGTAGGACTCGTTGTAGTGGAATTGAAGTGTTTGTGGAAATGGTGTATTTGGTGAAGAAAGATGATCGAGGATTGAGTATTGTTGATAATTATATATATGTTCGTGCAGTCTAGATCAAAATGTCGCTATTCAGAAACCAGTCAAGTGCTTGTCGAGTCAACAACTAAACTTCAGGAACCAAAAATACAAGAATGTATGGTAAACTACCAAAGTGTCGAAAAGTATACACAAAACCAAATACTTGCCCTCAACACTCACAGCATTCAGTGGGGGTCACTCCGAATATGAACCCCTCGAGATGGCGGGGCGACATCCAAAAATGGAAACCCGTGTACCCCTCCATCTTCGACAATCCTAAACCTTCCGTATGATCGCCGGGATATAAAGTGCATCCCGTAAGCCCATCCGCCGCAAACGCACACACGTGGATTCGCTGCGGTGGCTCAATAGGCACTGCTTTCAATACTTGGCTAGTCAGACTTCAGGTCATGAGGGCGACGGATATGGGAACGAGAGTCAAGAGGCCGCTATCACGGCTGTGATTACGGGCATTCCGAGTTTATCGATTGGTGGAGAAGATATTGATTGGGAACGCCGGGTTTGGCTGGACTGAGATGAGATTATTCATGTTTCTGGGTGATATGCGTGATATGCTGTGTCTGAGGTTTGGTCGGAGGTGAATTTCAGGGTCGTGCCGGAGCGAATGGTCTTGATTGGAAGATGGGCGTTTGATGGGTCGCTTAGCGCGGGGTTGTCTAACATTTGCCCCTCGATACTAAAGATGCATGCAGCCATGTAGCGACTTCGGCAAGAATGGGGAATGGAGACTCGAGAATGGACGCCTTGTATGGGGGCATTCAAGCATGTGGGCGGTCTCGCTGGCTGAGAGTACCTTGTGAACCTTGTGCGGTTGCAGACGTTGATTTTGAGTCGGACAATGGGCTCACGTGGCGGCTGATGGACGGCTTCTACGCATCGGAGTCTTCTTCCGGCATATTCAACGTTGCTGCATCCGGCTGTTGTACGACAGTAGATCAAGAATAAAAGTCGTACTTACATTCGTTGGCCGCTTTGTAGCACGATGGATCAAGATTCGAAGATATGACAAGTCTCAATCGGGTATCTTCATTTGCTTGGTGGTCCACCTTGATTGAAATTCATACTATATCCACCCGTATTCGGGTCTTTCTGCATCTGAAAATTGTCTGTAGAGAGACCGAATGGTTTCAGTATGCCATTTCCAAGCTATAACAAGTCAGCAGATGCACTTCTGTGAGATGGTTAACACAAACCTCCTTCAACTTTCCCATCATATCGCCCATTTCTTTCTCCTGCGCAGCTTTTGTTCGTGGGGGTAGGACGACGAGCTGGCGTTGGACGATCTTTCTATCTGCCATGGATAGGTTCTGCATCTTCTCCAGGGTCTTGTAATCTATATCACATTAGTTCTGCCATAACCTCGCATTGGGCATCGAATACCTTCTTCGGCACCAGACAGATTAGCCCAGCCACCCAACTCACTTCTTGCCCTCGCTCTACGCATCAAAGCTTTCGCCCTGATCCTTTCGATGTCGGCTTCCCGCTTGCCTTTATCGGAGGTATCCTCTGCTTTCAATGCACCTTCACTAACGATTTCCTCATCTGCCTCTTCCTCCTCGGATTTCCCCTCTACTTTCTTTGGCAGATCTTTTCCCTTACTCTGCAGCTTGTCAAGCCCATCAAGTGAAGCCGTAGCAGCCTTCATCGCTTTCTTCCAATCCTCAAGCTTCAAATGGCATGCTGAGATATTACTCTTCAACACAGCGATTTCGTAATCTAGATAATTCGGACATGTAGACAACGCTTTATCGTAAGTCTCGATAGCATCTTGGAAGGAAGCCTTTGCGAAGAGGTCATTCGCTGCAGTCTTTTGTGTATTTGACTTTTCCAGGAGGGCCTGCCAACTTGTTAGCCTTATGTAGGAAAATGGTTCGACAACGCTTACAGCCTCCTCTTCAGGCGAAAACCTGATCACTTCCTCTTCCTCATCCTTCAAAGGTTCCTCAGTCTTCTCAGCGGGTTTCCGCTGGAATCTTTCAGTTCTGGTCGTCATGTCGTGAACTGGATCTGAGCTTGTTGGCAAGCCACAAGGAAATAAACTAGGATTAAGCTAGTGCGGAACGAATGCCGCGGACCCTTGTCGCCCCTCCACATTTTCATCCCACATTTCACTTTACCCCTCCATCTTTTCTTATGCAAGCCACATCCAAACGTCTTCTCTCTACGATCGACCGAAACATCTATTTTACAATGTCGGGACCAGCACCGAAGTCAGAGTACGTACTATCTAACCCTCAATGGCTTTCTCGAGTCGAGTCACTGACAAATGTTACAGCTTTCCCCCAATTCGAGCATGTCTGTTTGACATGGACGGCCTCCTCCTGGACTCGGAGGACAAGTACACCATCTGTACCAATACTGTCTTGCAAAAATACGGCCGCCCTCCCCTCCCATGGTCGATTAAAGCCCAACTCCAAGGACGACCTGGCCCAGCCGCGTCTAAGATTCTTCACGAATGGGCACAACTGCCCGTCTCCCAAGAAGTATTCTACGCTGAAACGAAAGACTTACAAAAGATACACTTCCCCGACAGCAAACCGTTACCTGGCGTCGAGAAGCTCTTGGGCGATTTAGCGACTGCTAAAGTGAAGGGAGAGAAAGCTGGAAAAGTACATATTGCTTTGGCGACCAGCAGTCACGAAGCGAACTTCAAGTTGAAGACGAGTCATTTGGAGGAGCTGTTTACGGTGTTCTCTTCTGACCGGAGAGTTTTGGGAGATGATCAACGGATAGCGGAGGGGAGAGGGAAGCCTTCTCCAGATATCTATCTCCTTGCTTTGCAGACTATAAATTCCAGTCTTGAGCCAGGAGAAGAGGAGATTCGACCAGAAGAATGCTTGGTATTTGAAGATAGCGTTCCAGGTGTGGAGGCTGGTCGAAGAGCTGGGATGCGAGTGATATGGTGTCCGCATCCAGAGTTAAGGAAAGAATATACGGGTAAAGAGGAAGAGGTTCTAGCGGGACGGACTGGTAGCGGTGGGGAAGTGGACATGCACTTAGTCGGAGAAATCAAGGATGGGTGGGGAGAGCATTTGGATAGTTTGATGGATTTTCCTTATGCAAAATATGGCATACTGGTTCAAGGATAACGGCTGATGTTTTCCATGTACATGTCGCGTGAAACATGGACGTAGCATGGCATTGAAAGGCGTTGCATTTCAGGATGATAGCAGTATAATACCCTTTCAAGAAATACTCTTACCCAAGTCTGTCTCGTTTGTAGAGTTCAAGCCTCGGACAGCAACTAGCAACAGGAAAAATATCTCCAAGTTGAAGATCAAGTATTTACAGCAATAGCAAAAGTAGATTCAGGATGCCAAGTGAACGTTAGATCAGTGAGACGCGTGAAAATGTGACGAGATCGCGTAGTCACGTGGAGACAGCTGAGTACCTGGGTACCTGCAGTTTTCATCCTCACTTGCTTCTCCACTTCTGTATGAATACACAGGCCTCGAGGCCACCCTACATATCTAGGCCAAAATAGTTATTCAACCTCATACAGTGATTCAAATCCACTCTCAAAGCTTCCATTCGCCAAGGTTCGTGTTAGCACCACGGGCACAATCTGCTCTATCAACCTGATGTCTCAGCATTCTGAGTCAAGTGAAGAGGCCGAAGAGCCTACAGCCCTCGAATATGCAAGATCCAATGGACTTTCTCGAGACTACTTGGTCGAACTACTTGGCATCCCAGAACTTTGCCAACTTCAGGACAATCTTCAATCCGATTCATCCGACTCGGGGCTTCCCCAGTTCAATCTTGGTCTCGAGCCCAAAGTGGAAGAACGTCTGAGCGTCTCCAAGGATGCAGCTTTCATGCTTCAATCAGTTATACGCGAGGAAGATGCAAAGTACATCGACACGCTTGTTTCTTCAATGTTAGATACGAGGCAACGTACTTGGCCATCCAAGCTTGAACTGCCTCTATTGAGCAGCGACCACGAAACAGACTGCAAGTCGTTTGCTTCGAGAAAAGGATTTGATATTAAACCCCAAGATGTCAAGCTCCCACTGGAGATGGTTGATGATGAGCAGAATGAGGGTCTTATTTATCCGCCACGGTTCTGGAACATGGGAAATGAGATCTTGCAGAAGGCGAAGGCAGAGAAACTGAGTGTATCGAAGGACACTGTGATATTTATCAGTAACTGCTTGAAGCCAGAATGGTCAGAGGATGACGATAAGGCATCATGGGACAGCCAGCAAACGTACAAGAGGGCAAGTGTATTCCGCATTCCCGGAATTGACCAACTGACAGTGTACCGCAGAACACGGCTCGTGAACCCGTTACACCGCCCCTATCTCCAGCTTTGAAGCCAGTCGAGCAACAGCCGTACGAGCCGACTTCTTCCGATTCTGCTTACCAAGTTCCCCTAGCTTCAAGTCCTATCTCTCCGACGAAGCAAGAGCTTGAAGCTCTCGAGAAGATGATCTTCGAACAAGATATTCCTACGCCCCTGCGAATACATACAAAAACCAGCCTTGATGAAGAGCCATCATCGGACACACTACCGAACGACTTAGATGTCAAGCTAAGTGATATTTTTTCAGCTATGGCATCGATGGAGAATACACCACCTTCGTCGGAAGAGAAGCGTGTCAAGCGTGACGACCTGAAACTCGAGGAACTCATGACGCCTAGCAAATCTGATATATCGTTTCCCAAGTCTGTACGCTTCAACGATGTTATCGAGGAGATGCTTCTTGACCCATACAGTCGTTCTCCGTCCAATGACTCTGTGCAGAAGCTCATGGATGAAACCTTAGGGGATGCACTCCGTCAAGCGAATCAGCGAGCTGAGCAAGAGAAGCTGGTTGCAGCAGACGTCAATGCCAGAGTGGATGTGCCTATCATGGATTTCTCGAAACCAGATCCTCCGTGGAAGGATTTTGAAGGAATACCAAATCAAGCCACACTAATGTCGAGACAAATGTCCTTCATTCGAGATGTAATCGGCCAACGGCTCCCCAAATTATTACATGCCGGTCACAAGGATATCAACTTGAAATGGAGTCCATTTCCTGCAAGCCTCGCAAAAATAGCAGTAGAGGAACATTTCCCAGACGATGACAACAACCTCCAGACGTTCTGGAAGGACATGGAATCGGGAGAAATAATTGACAGTTCTAGTCTGACTTGGAAGCCAGAGGGACTGAGGATCTTGAAGGACGATGAAGATGATGAAGAGATTGAGTGTGGTACTTTTCGGACAGATACTCCTCGAGACCTCTCATCACTGGTCAAGAAGAGAAAGTTGGAGTTGCAGGAAGAGAATGAAGCCAGGGAAGAAATAGGACGGAAGAAAGTCGCTCCTGCCGCTCAGGACTTGCCAATCACTAGACAGCTGGCAAAGGACATGGGAAATTCCAAGGATGGTAGACACGAAAAGTCAAGGAGCGGTGGAGGAGCAGAGCTGGGATCATTATTCGGGGATGCTTTCTCAGCAGAAAACTGCCTCGACAACTTTCTCGAGGTTCGTGGTTCAAAGAAAGCGAAGCTCACAGACAGTAGCTACTTTGGCACAAAACCAGACAAAGCTCAGTCTGCACCAGCACCTCAACGAACAATTACACCACAGTTGAACACCACACCATTGGCGCTTCGAAACTCTCCAGTTGCAAAGGCTCCTCCATTACCAGCGCCTTCGCTACCAGAAGTCCCGCCATCGACCAGTATCGTCGTCTCATCAACATTGTTGAAACACCGAAGTCTGATCAAATATCTCGAACGCCTATTACCAGCACTCAACATCATTGAACGAGACTTCATAGCTCACAACACTACGGCATGGCTTCCCGGATCAGTGACCCTTTCTCCAGTAAAATCACCACTTGACTCAGAAGCCGATCTTATCGTTTCGCCGTCTACGGGTATAGTGATCACTACCCTGCAGAAAATCAAGCAAAAGCCATTGCCGGGACAAAAGAGCAAGCCAGCGATCCGAGATCGATTGGAGAAAGTAAGCGGCAGATACGAAAAACTTATCGTCTTGATTACTGAAGGCAGAATTGACGAAACCACACTCGGATTGGATGAGAGTGATTGTCTCGCGTACAGCGAATTTGCTGGTTTTGCCGCTGGCTTCGAGACTTCGATTACAGTACTCTTTGTTGCAGGTGGTGAGGAGACTCTGACAAAGTGGTTGGCGAGTACGATTGTCCAGCATTGTGTAGCTGGTGAGTCGAGCCTGCTGGCTGATGAGACGCATTGGGAGTTGTTCCTTCGAAGAGCGGGATTGAATGCTTATGCAGCTCAAGCCATCCTGGCGGAATTGAAGGCACCGGATGGTGTTGACCCTGCTAGTCCATTGAAAGCTGGACAGTTCGGTTTGATTGCCTTTATTGAGATGGGACGAGGGCAGCGGATCGAGAGGTTTGCTCCGTTGTGTGGCAGGGTGTTGGTAGAGAGAGTGAGTGCTTTGATAGAAGGAAATTGGGAGTAAGGTGTAGCTTTCAATATCTGATACAGAATCTATAGAGCCGCCAGATGAAGGAAGAAGTAGCTGGGTGCTCCCATGATGGCTGATTGCGGCGAGTCTGAACTTCTCAGAGAATCTTGCTTGGTATTTGCTTTCTGTCCCTTAGGGACGTATTAGCTCAATGTAGCGTCTGTCAAGAGGTCGTGAACATTTTGATCCATAATGTTACGCCTTGAAAAGCTTGACGGAATAGATACATTTGCGTTGTCTTTTGCTCCAGCACGGCTCTTTCTGTTCAATAATTGCCGCATCGCAATAGAAAGCCTGAACGGTCATGTACGCATAATATGTCGGGCGAAGGCCCTAATGTGGCCCAGCCTAGAGTTTATTTCCCGCGGTTAGGTCAGGCCTCATTGTGGATTATGGTTAGGGTTATTCCTGAAGTGTGGCTTCGGTCATAGTGGGGCTTTTCTACCGGCATATTTAGTTTGCATACTGTACATCCCGATACAAAACTTAAATATAATCAATAATCGTTGCGGGATCGGGATTCCATCGACTGTTTTGATGTTCTGTCCTTTGAAGAGGAGAAGAAGGTGTGCCCCACTTGACTCAGCGCCGGGAGTTGCACTACTGTAGATTGTCAGTCATAAGCTTTACAATGTTTGGGACCCAGCATTCTAGGGGCCGCTTGGAACAATCGCCGGGAGGGTACTATTCAAATTTTGATATTTCTTTTTTTGTAATACAGTCTACGCTACACATCATTCAAATTTCTCAATTTTTTTGGTTTGTTGTGATATAGACTGTGCCCTTCCGCCCGAGCTTCCTCAGGCTCGCAGGTTTATAAAACTTCAACTTCCGCACACACGCACCTGTTTTCCAAAGACGCACATATTTTCTTGCCACAAATCTCGATCTAGGACAGCTTTTTGAACATTTTCACAGCAACAAAAGTCTAGCCGAACTTCGCAAGCCAAATTCCGATCAGTAATGGCGCCTTTCACTATCCTTCTAGTTGGCCGCGGGGGTCGGGAGAGCGCTTTTGCTTACAAGCTGAGCCAATCCAAGTATGTCACGAAAATTTACGTAGGACCTGGAAATGGCGGGACTGCTCAGGGTATTGATAAGGTTTCAAATCTGCCTGGGGTCTCTGAAGAGGACTTTGATAGGCTTGTTGAGCTATCAAAGAAGCTGCAGGTCAATCTGGTGGTCCCTGGACCTGATGTTCCCGTTGTCAATGGTATTCAAAGCTGGTTCCATAATGGTAAGTTGGTAGACCTGTCATTTCTTCAAGCTTTCATAACACGAAAGATTAACTTTAAATAGCTGGTATTCCATGCTTCGCGCCTACGAAAGAGGTTGCTGAGTTGGAAGGCTCGAAAGCCTTTTTCGAAAGACTTTATGGCACGTCATAACATTCCAACTGCTGCATACCGCAACTTCACTAGCTATGATACTGCAAAGCAGTACTTGGAGTCCATCGACTTCAAAGTCGTGCTCAAAGCTTCTGGACTCGCTGCTGGCAAAGGCGTGATAATTCCGGACACCAAAGACGAGGGGCTGACAGCCTTGAAACAAATCATGTGCGAGCATGAATTCGGCGACGCTGGCAACGAAATAGTCATCGAAGAATTCTTGGAGGGCGACGAGTTGAGCATCCTGACATTTAGTGATGGTATAACTTTCAAGTCAATGCCTCCAGCCCAAGACCACAAGAGAATTTTTGACCATGATCAAGGTCCAAATACTGGTGGCATGGGATGTTATGCGCCTACAAGAATCGCTTCTGCTGCAGTGTTGGAAGAGATTGAAAAGTCTATCCTTCAACCAACATTTGAGGGCCTTCGCCAGGAGGGTAAGCCATTTGTGGGTATGCTATTTACTGGCATCATGCTCACGAAGTCTGGACCCAAGACTCTTGAATACAATGCAAGATTTGGCGATCCAGAGACCCAGACACTTCTTCCTCTGCTGAAGTCCGATCTGGCAGAGATCATGAGTGCGTGTGTTGAAGGTCGCCTTCATGATACTGACATTGTTATGAACAATGAGTCTTGCGCTGTGGTTATTGTTTCCTCAGAAGGATATCCTGGCCCATATCCTAAAGGAGACCACATCGAAATGGATGGACGACACGTTCAAGGCGATGCGCGTTTCTTCTATGCCGGAACAGCTTTGAACGAAGATGGATCCCTAGTCACTGCTAGTGGCCGAGTTTTGGGTGTCTCCGCAACAGCACAAACGCTTGAGGAAGCTGTTGCAAAGGCTTATGAGGGAGTCAGGACTGTGCAATTCAATGGCATGCACTATAGAAAGGATATCGCATATCGGTAAGCAATCTTTGGCATCTTCCGCCCTCAACGCCCTTATGCTAACAATCTTAGGGCTTTCCGATAAGCCAATCGACACTTGGTCAATTTTTGTTCTGTTCCTCACCGTTGTAATGCCCGTTTACTTGGACTTGCCGCCCCACCTTGATCGAGAAATATCTTACTTAGGTCTTGCAAGCAGCTTACACTTCGCACGTGATGGCCAATGGCTCATGTGACACTCTTGAACAAAGTACCTGCTTCTGAGGTATGCAGGGATGGAACCGAGCGCAAGCAGACCTTTCCACACAGTCCACCATGCTTCCAAGTGGAGTTATAATATTGTATGTTCCGCATAATTTTTGAACTGGGATAAAGGCACTCAGCTCAGATTGCCGGACAACATTGGCAGGTGCACAACTGAATGCAGGTTTGCATTACGGATTGCTACGTCATCCATGTGTGATGCCAGTTTGTTTGTCTGCGGCTCAAGGCATTTCTCCAACTTGATGCTTTGTTTCCACTCACCGAGCCTTGGACCCCTTCCGACAGAGTAAATAACTTACAAGATGTTTCGCTCTTGATGTCCCCTAATGAAGCGCTCTCCAGGCTTAGGCTTCATCAAGTGACACTTAGGGACTTGTAGAGTGCCTTTTCGATTCGCCTACTCATAGCTTGGGAAAGATCCCACCAATTTACAGATCAATCTGCCGCGCACCTCAACTCTTATCATACATCATGAAGGACGAAAATCTGTCTATTCTGCTCTTCGGCAGTGGTGGAAGAGAACATGCAGTCGCATGGAAGCTCAGCCAAAGTACGCGAGTGGACAAGATCTATGTGTTACCAGGAAATGGAGGAACGGAAACTCTAAGGAAAACTGAGAACGTCAGCCACGTCGATATCAAAGACCATGCAGCATTGATAAATTTCATCGAGAACTCCAAGGTAGATTTTGTCGTTCCTTGTGCTGAAGGGCCTCTTGTCGATGGCATCACGGTCGTTCTTGTCGCTGGTAAGTCAACTTTCTGAGAGATCTTCGCAATACTGATTGCGTCTGCAGCCGGTATCAAGTGCTTTGGCCCTTCCAAGAAAGTAGCCGAACTTGAAGGATCCAAGGCATTCTTCCATGCTTTCACCAAGAAATATCAGATCCAGACCGCACAAGCTCACGTATTCAACAAATGCCAAGAAGCCTTGGACTTCCTTGACACTATCGATTACAGGGTTGTTGTGAAGGCGTCAGGGCTCACAAGTAGCAAGGGCGTCATTGTTTGCACAGATAAGGCATCTGCCAAGAATGCTGTCAAGAAAACCATGCTTGATGAAGTCTGGAACTCATCTGGAGAGATCATCATCATTGAAGAGTATCTTACAGGGGAAGAGTTTACTGTTACAGCTGTCAGTGATGGCGAGCACTTTAGAGTTCTGTCATCAGTGAGAGATTATAAGACACTCTATCGTGATGATCAGGGCCCAAACACTGGCGGTATAGGAAGCCATGCCCCTTACCAGGTTACCGTAGAGGCATTGGCAGAGATCGAGGAGACTATACTCAAGAAGACAATTGCTGGAATGGGCGAAGACGGTATATTCGATTTCCACTCTGATAAATCTCACTAATCTGATAAAGGCACTCCATAAGTTGGTTTCTTGAACGTTGGAATCATCCTCTCTTTCACTGGCCCCAAAGTCATTGATTACGACGTTCGTCTTGGAGATCCAGAAACACAAGCAATCCTGCCTCTGCTCAAAACTGACTTGGCGGAGATTCTGTTGGCTGGTGTGCAGAATAGTTTGGGCAATGTCGAGATCGTCATCAGTCAAGAATTTTGTGTTTCTGTTGTGCTCTGTGGAGAAGGATATCCTGGCAAAGGAAGTGTTGGAAAACTCATCACCATCGCCGATGGAATTGCGGGTAAGTCCGCTCCATATATTAAAGCCCATAATTATGACTTACCGTTTGATCATAAGAATCTACGATCTTCCACGGAGGAACTGTTCGTCAAAACGGGAAATTCTACACGACCAAGGGCCGTGTTATGCAGGTGACCGCCATCGGACCAACCTTGAAAGATGCAGCTAATGATTCTTACTCATCCATAAAACACATCAAGTTCGATGGAATGCGCTTTAGAGACGACATTGGCGCCGTGGTTAAGTAGGTATAAGCCTCAAGTAATGACTACAAAGTGAATTGACTTTTGCAGCGTAACTTTTGGGTGAAAAGATTGGACTTCTAGAGAATGATCACCAAGAATAAATACAGTACAAGAATTTCATTTACCGCAGAAATCGATGGAAGTGTGTTTAAGACCAACTTGATTCGAAAAACGTAGTGTTACTGATTCAATCTCGAAATAATGCCTATTTTTCCGTCTTAATATTGCCTCCACTTAAGATAACCCCAATCCTCCGTGACGACCTAGCAGAGATTTGATCTTCGCGAAATTTACTATTGAACAGTAGCACTGCTAGAGGTACAGCTGAGCTGGGTTCGATTTTCTCATCGCAAGACTGATGAAAGAGACTCATGGCTGTTTGTATTTGGTCCTCAGTCACTCCATAGACTTCATGCACGTATTCTTTCCGACTGAGGATGTCCCAATTAGAGCTACTGACCGCTGACCGGAGGTCATCAGCGATGGTGTGGATACCAGGATCGAGTACTCGTTGTCCTTGCTTCCTGCCAATTGATAGTCTTGGACCTCCAGAAATTGGCTCAGAACCAAGGACTTTCAGGCCTTGATCTTTCGCAAAGATTGCTGCTCCAGCTAATAGGCTACCACCACCGCAAGGCATGATGATAGCGTCCATGTCTCTTTGGCCTGTCCGCAACAGCTGCTGCTGAAACTCCAAGGTTATAGTCCCTTGACCAAGAATAATATCAGGGTGATCTGCAGGAGATACAAAGTGGCTGTTGGTAGCGTGACAAAACCCCAAAGTCTGCTCATAGGCCTCTAGCAATTTCGTTCCTGAGCGGCAAACAGTAGCACCAGTTTCTTTTACTTTTTGTGCTTTCCAATCGTCCGCGGAAGTTGGGATGAAGACAGTTGTCTTGATTGGAAAACCCCTCTCCAGGGAAACTACGCCAGCGGCATGCGCCAGCGCCAAAGCATGATTACCTTGGGAAATCTTCAGTTTCAGGCAAGTTTTTGGATCAAGACTCATACCAGTGCTATAAGTCGCGACACCGTGTCTCAACTCTATATCAGACCTTTTGCTCATATAGTGAATGGCACCACGGAACTTAAAAGAGCCTGAAACCTGGCGATTTTCCAACTTGAAGAACAGTTCTGGCGTGCAACACTCGCTCGTGTCCTCAGCTAACATTTTGTTCAGGAGCTGAAGAAGTGGAGATTGAGCCGCAAACTAATTACGGGCTGGAATTGTAGGTGTGCATGAAACCTTAGAGCTGATGCGCGAGTAAGCTTGGCTAACCATTTCTGCATGGAATCGATTCATTGCGAGCCAAGATCGTTTGTTCCCCAGACTTGCCAATGTGTCATTCGCATGTGCTGTGTTGAGGTCTAGGCACTGAAATCGGCAGGACTGCTCCAACCAAGATATCTGATGGTTTAAACAAATGCTCTGTCATCATCTCATTGGCTCGCAAAGGAAAATTTATCCCTTTCGAGGCCTTTTCTCGGATTCGGCTAGCAAGTCGCTGCCTTCAATGCCAAAGATGGGCGAAGTATCAATTGGATTCGTTTTCTCCAACTTTGTAGAACTTGCTGAGATTCCATAGGGTGCCTTTCGGATCACTGATGGTACAGAAGGACCACGTACAATACCACGTACACCTCCGTGTGCCGGAAGAGACGAAAGGCAACAGTTCGGGCAGTTAGGCGTCTACAACTTCCACGCATCAATGCAATGCCGATCAAAGAGTAGAACGACATAACACCATCCCACAATCTCATAATCTTACAATCGACAAAGAGGGTGTGATAAACGTAAACTGAAGGACGAATGGGAGGCTGGATGCTATTTCGAAGTCGAGCTTCGAGGTATGCGGACTTCTCAATCTGTCCTACAGATGGACCAAGCTCGAAAACGGTGAAAGACCTCGACTGTAGCAGAGAGGTCACAATGGCTACGGCTCATGCGCATAACCCTCGTGTAGCAGATTTGCACGCGGCAGGCACTCCACGAGGTGGAGTTTGAATTCTTGGCGAAGCATGCAGCAAATGTTGTAATTGCTTCTAGCGGATATCCGATTCAGTACGCAACTGGCCACGCGATCGAAATTGGGTTTGTCCAAGAAGGTGATGATACTGTGTCTTTAGCCAGATCAATTAGACTGACTCAACCCAGAGGTCATGATATTTCATGCAGGGACAAGTTTGACAAGCGATGCCAAATTGGTGACTGCCGGAGGCCGGGTCTTTTCTGTATCGGTAGTAGCAGATTCCTTGGAAGATGCTGTACGAGAAGCGTATATAGGCTTCAAAAGTATATACTTTCAAGGGATGTACTATCGTACAGACATTGGGAAACGGTAAATCCAACCAGAGACCTGATGTTGAATACTGCGCTGACTTGGTGAAGGATACTAGGAATTAGATGATAGGAGAAAGTGAAATGTATTTGATTACCTCGTGCATGGGTGTGGCATCGAGTCGCGCCGTTCTATCAGTGCGAATGTTCAGGCCCTGCTTAGTATACGTAAACTGAGAGCACAGCCTGGCTTTCTCGCACCTCGCTATTCGGGTAGATCATATCCATAGATATAGTGCTTATTCTTAAATCTTGACTTCTTTATCTTAGACATCTTCACTAACACTCGATTTAATTCCTGTCAACCAGATTCGTGATAGCATATAGTACTTTGTATATTATAAACGGAGCATAAACGAAAAAATGGTATCCATACCTGGAGTGCAGTCTAATCCATCCACCCAATTACTAGATCACAGCGCGGTTGCTAGTAATCTGTCTCATTCGGATTCCACGGCATCTCTTCGTCTGGCAGATCAGCGCACAGGAAGCACCATTTGAATGGGCCTTCTCCAGCACCGTAGCCAGTTTGATCTAGAACCAAATTGTTGATCATCAGCTTGTCGACAGCAGCATGTAAATTTCTGATATGCAAGTCTTCAACTCCTCTTGCTATTTGGCCTTGCAGTTGCTCTTTCAACGCCCTGAAGAAGGCAGAGCTTTCTTCAGGAGCTTCGTCTCTGATCTTTGGGAGAGGCTGCTGGGGGCTCCAATATCTCTGCACAGTAGAGATGACAAAAGCTTGATGTGCCTTGAGCAGAAGGTGGCACATTTTGGCATAGCCTTCAGTGAGCAGGAGCCACAGCTCCTTATCGCTCTTCAGAGGAATCAGTGATTCGCCGAGATAGTCTTCGTCCTGTAGGTTACCGACGAGATGAACAAAGCACTCTCGGAACAAGACTGAATGTCGTAGTTTCTTAGCGACAAAGATGAGCCGCCCTGCCTTGCGAGCGAAGTCATTGTATCCTTGATTCTCGGGGTCAGGATCGCGCTTCAGCATGGGGCTCCCTAGTAGAGCACCACTCAAGGTGCCCGAGACAATCGGTAAAGCGCAGTAGAAGTCAGCAAGGCGAGTGATTATCTCAAGTTCTCCCACATCTTCAACTCGGTAAGGTCTCGTGTACATGGCGCATAGGAGTTTTCGGAAGGCTTCCTTCTCGGAGTCTGGGTGAGATATGCGTGCTATCATCGCTTCGGTAGGAGCTTGCGCCTGTTCAAAGATTAGTAAACTTGTACTGAAAAGCATTAAGAAGGGATGCGAATCAATGAAGAGGTTGGGGACTGAATCTTGCTGAGCTATTATCGCTTGAGCATATTCGACCATGATTCCAATGTTCTTGTTTCAACGTACCTTGTCCGCCGGCTCGAGAGCCCAAACTCCATCGCCATCGATGACAGAAACATATTCATACTTGAAAGGAGCTGCGGCACCTACTGCGGGTTCGGCATTATCGCCCTCCTTGTCAACAGAGTCAAGAAACTTGCGAAAATACGCAGAATGTAATTTTAAGATTAGTGAATGAACATGAAATTCCTGATCGAAAACGAGGAGACGAGAGTCGGCCTGTAAGCCTGGAGAGATGAAAGCAATTGGAGGTGGACCAGTTACGGCGTCTGAAGATCGTTTGCGAGGCCTTTTTGTGCCCTTAGGTGGCATTTGCCCTGGAATGAATTTAAACTCTTCAGCTGCTTTCCACAGCATAGCATTAGCGAGGGCTTTAAAGTCAGTAATTATTTGGATATAAGGAGACATTGAACGTACCGCAAACCAGATGCGTCACCCGTGGTGACTGTCAAGTGTCGTTTAGAACTAAAACCTCCTGAACCAGTAGTGAAAATTACCCCTGAATATCGCTTTGGGAAGTTCAGATGAGAAGCGAGAAGCGATAGAAGTTGCACTGAACTCTGTCAAGGTGGCCAGCTGTTATATATTGTATCACGATACACCAAGTTCTCCGCCAAATTTCGTCCGTGACCACTCGGTTCGGCCAATTCTCTTCGGCCGGGATTTTGAGGATTCTTCCTAGAGAACACAATTGATACGACTCAATGGATGGTAAGAAAACTAGCCGAAGCGCTTACTCCCAACACAGTGACTTTGTTATACCAGAGGAATGAATACGCACGATACAATTGATTGGGTGCGGACAAATATTAACCCGTTTCTGGTAATTTTCTTCGGCCGTACTATCTCCTTCGTTGCGCTCAGTCGGGCTTTCTAATACAACTGCAAAAGTGCAATCCCGCTCCTACGAAATTGAGGAGAATCGCACACTGGCCTTACAATTCTGACCCAATGAGAAATAAACATCATGTCGGAGCCATGTCGCTCTAGCAGTAATCAAAGAACTCCAAAACAGCAAAGAAATTCGTAGTTTGATAACGACGCCCTACTTAGGTGCGGAATGTTAAGACCGTTCATGAGCAAGATATCTCACACTCTCCACATCATACCTTCTTAAGCTACCATAATACGGGAGAGTAGACACGTTGTATCTTGGTTGCATGGACAGTCCTCGGAGATCAGAAATCGACCTCGTCCTGGTCCCGCTAGTTCATCTGCGTTAGCAAAGTTTGACTCGTAATATCGCTCACCCATACGAAGTAACCGCATATTTCGAAGCATAGAAATGGTGTCACCTACAGGCAAGTCTTCGTCTTCGATTTGAGCACGTAAGAAATGGTGAACACTGAGCACATTCCTGGTTCGGTCAAGCACAAGGTTGTTTTTGACGAGATCACTTGTCGAACGTCCGGTTCCAAGCCTGGAGAAAGAAATACCATTGGAGAAAGTGGAGCATCTGCTTGCTCGTCCTTACGTCTTTTCCAGGGGCGGGATGCTGCCATCTAGATGCAGAAAGACAAAGTACCTGGGATATTACTGTTCCAGAGTTTGTGGGACAATACGAAAGGGCTGAGTTCCAAGTGCGAACTAAGATCTGGATGCAGTAGTGTAAGAACGACCTATCTTCCCTTCTTCCCTGAAGAATCTGCTTTTCTTCTCAAGTGTATTAGCTTGGTCGAGCGAACAGGTGAACCTGCTCGATGTAGTGGTGCCTTTCGACCCAAAGCCGGAATCTTTCTCCAAGGGATCCAAGGGAGTGACAGTATTACGTCACGGTAAGATGACCTTCAACTGAGGCTTTGGATTTGTTGTGCACGCAGAGGAGTTGTAGTAGAGAAGATATACAGAGTAAGGTTAAATTGACAAGGTTGCGGCGGGTTCCGTGCAAACGGAGGAAACGACCAACAACAATTTTTGAGACTCGCCGATGACTTCGACAAGAATATTCGCACAAACCCTTATGAGAACCCAGTCATTTCCCCAGACTCACCTATCGCCATGAAGCACGAGCCTATGCAATGGAAGAAGTCCCCAAAGTACCAAATCTCGTAGCTACGACCGGCGAGACCTATTGCACAACAATAGCGAAATCCAGAATCCGCGAAAGCATCCCCCACAACGGCGAAGGTTGCGATACTGGCAGCGAAACCAGAGATGTGTTCTCAGAGGAAGACGAAGAGCTCAATTACTTCAAATCAGCTCAATGGTGTGTCTCGACGCTCCCCTCGCAGCTTCAATCTAACAATTTCCAGGACATCGGACGGAACCAGCCTCCTCACCTCGAGCGCCGACAACACAATCCGAACCTTCATTCTCCCTCCAGACCTGCTCTCCGAGCCCTCCGCACCCAAATCCATCACTCCCTACTCAAAACACACGTACCCTACCGCCATAAACTGCCTCACACCCTACCCACTATACGATCTATCCGACCCAAGCACAACCCTTTATCTCTCCGCCCCAACCTCACTCCCCATCCGTCTCACGAATGCCCTCTCTCCATCTCCAATCGCAGTCTCGACCTACAACCTCGTCTCCCCCACCACTGAAACGTGGCAAACCCCCGCCTCCATCCTGTGGTCTGCACCCGGCCATTTCCTAACCGGCACCGATTGCTTGATTTGTGTCTTCGACGTATCACGCAATGGCGAGGGACCAGTTACAAGGTTACCTACCATTCCATCAAAACGACATCTGATGAAAGGAGGCGGTGTCGGTATTCGAGGAATCGTGTCTGCGCTGTCTCAACAATCGGCGGAGGGCATGATAGCTGCGGGGACTTGGACCAGATCAATAGGTCTCTACGACGCTGGTGGGATGGGCGGTACTGTTTCGGTGTGGAATATCGCTGAGGCGGCAGATGAGATCGCGAGTATTGGAGGAACAGGGATCACGCAAACGGTGTGGAGTGACTGCGGCAGGTATCTTTGTGTGGTTGAGAGGAAGAGTAACGGAGTTCTGGTTTATGATGTTAGGGTTACGGGAAAACTTGTTTCTTGGTTAGAAGGGAGAGGCGCGTACACGAACCAGAGGCTGGGTGTGGATGTCTTTGCGACGGAGAAGGGAATGGAAGTTTGGGGTGGGGGAGCAGACGGTGTTGTGGGGGTTTGGGAGGGTGTTGGTGTGGTTGAAGGGAGTCAGGAGAGGGCTTGGGAGTGGAGAGCTCATGATGGTAGGTCGGACCTCTCTATGTTTTACATCATGACTAAGAATTATAGCTCATATAGGTTCAACTGCTATGCATCCGTCTGGCTCAGTTGTTGCTACTTGCTCTGGCCAGCGCGGTAGGCTAGGTCTGGAGGATGATAGCGACGATGAGAGCAGCGATGATAGTCATGAAGACTCTGATTCTAGTTCTGAATCCGAATCTGATGACGCTTCATCGCCAGCTACTTCTTCACCTTCTTCGGATGTAGACAATAGTCTGAAAATATGGAGTATATAACAGCTATCCTCGCGCTCTACAGCACCAGAAGACCAAAGTTAGAATTAATTCTAACCAAGAAGCTAGAGCCCAAAAAGATTAGCTCTATCCAAGTCTCTAAATGTACTTTCGCAGCTCAGTTACAGCTACTTCACATCATCACTTATTCGCAGCCGTACGCATCGACCGAAAAGTGTTGGCATTCATGCGGGTCATGATGTTTGTCCAGGATGCCGTTGTTCACTGAGTGGGTCATACTTGGTTGGCTTGCACCGAATACGAATCTTCAGTCAAGTTGTTCAATGCAGCTGAATTCTTCGATATGCACGAGCTTATTCAAATCTTATGAACAGCAATGCTTTCCCAAACGTGCCAAAATCCATGCAGACCAATTAGCGTACACAAATGCACCTTGCGCATAGCCAGGAGGATCAATCCTGGGTTCAGCAACTCTCGCGTTCTCTATTCGTTCAATGCATCGTCCACAGCCTTTTTCGCATCAGCCAGAACTTCTTTCGCACGCCGAAATTTGTCTCTGGTGCCGTCGAGTTCCGTGACGATGCCCTCCAGTTCTCGCCTGATATCCCTTTTCTTCCTTTGATTAGCTTCAGAAACCACTGGTAGCTCTCTGAGATGACGGATCGCCCTTTGGAGCTTGTCATACGAACTTAAAAGCCAGCTTGCGATGCCGAAAGGAGGCGCAGAATGAACTGCGGTAATGACTCTGTCAGATCTGCGATCAGCCATGATCTTCGAAGGATAACGATTGACTGGGTGTATCGAATTTGTCGAGTGGGGATCGTGAAGAGGAAACCGTGTGTGCTCTGGACTTGACTTCGATTGTGAAGTCGAGGACGAGGTCTCCATATATATTGTTTCCGGACATGTTTGCTTATTGCTAGGTGTGAGAATGAGTACAACCCACCTCACTTGAAAGTCACTTTGCCATGAAATTATGACTCTGAGCTAACACAAATAGACTGGGCTTGCCATGTGCCTTAAATCACAAACTTTCAATGACGTTATCTGCTTGTGCTATGAAGCTCTTTTTCTCGCATCTGGAGCGAAAGAGACTATGGATCAACAAGTTCTTAAAAGCACATCTCTAGTGACGTGGGGTGCAAACACTCTTCTCCTTGAAGACCAGAACTACGAGGTTATTAAACACTTATGCACAACTAGAATATCATAGTATGCTATGGTAACTTTACAATTTTGTCTACATAACTAACTCAATTCTCTCAAGTCCAACATCCAAGTACACATTCGAGCAACACATCTACACTGAGAAATTTCATTCTCAAGATGTAGGTCCGAAACAATTAGTTATCGCACTAACAACAGCATTCAAAATATCTTCTAATTCAGCCCCAAGCTTCTACTCCCCAGGTGTACCATTCACTAGTAACGTCGCCAAAAGAGCAAGAAAGTCACCCGTCACGGCAACCGCAAGGCGTAGTACCGACGGAGGCGTCCTTACGGGCTCTATTTCCGCAATAGCATTGATGGAAGATTTCTAAACAGTCCCGCAGCTATAAGCTCGTTTGGATCCACGAAGCCGGGAACCGTCCGGAACAGTGTGTTCATCATTGGAAACGGGACTCTGTTCCCATCCGCATCGTGCATAATCGGAACAGCGAGGCTTCGAATATCGGCGAATGCTTGAGCGGCGCGCCGTATAATTGGCTGGGGGATTATATTGTTATTGTCTAAGTGGATGTTCAGTAATGAGGGTAGGACTATATAGATCCTGTCAAGGTCTGGATTGAAATAGGTCCGGGTCCATCATATGCTTGGATGACTCTTCGTCGAGCAATCTGGGCCCGGTATAGCCTTAGAAGTTGCAAGATCTCGATGTTCATTTGTTGGTTGAGAACGCGAAGGATTCGTGGATCAGTTGGTGGTACTTGAGGACTGGAATATGTGAAGCGGGCTCGAAGCGCATTTCGATCTGCAATCGACCCATCAGCTTGTCGCACAATTCTTAATTCTCTTGTAACCGTCAGCTCGATAGTGCGCCCGCCTGTGTGTGCGAGATCAAAGGCATATTCCTAGATTCTATTTCTCACTTCTATTGGTAAGCTATTGAGGGTGGAAGTAGCTGGGTTGGCTAAGCGGGGAAACCCCATTGCTTGCGGCAATTCAGGGCTAAGAAGAGATTTCTCAATGGGGGCTTTCCTGTGGAATGAGCAAGTGCTCCGTCGACGAAAACGTCATATAAACCTTCAGGGAAATCATAAACGGCGGAAGATGTTTAACATCTCGACACATTGCTTTGTGATCCGCAAGCAGATGGTTGCTTTGTTGACGAGGCTCCACTCGAGAATATTGAATACAAGCAACGCGTATCGACGGACAAAGAGAGGAGAGAGAGAGAGCGAGTCGCCATCCTCAAATAAACAACAGATTACTTTCAGCAACACATGTTAAATACCTGTTGCCTTTGACGCCGAACGATGCAATAAGACTAGACTGCAATGCTAACAAAGAGAAACCTCGTCGAAATTAGAAGTCAGAGAGTTAAGATGGAGAAAGGATGTCGCCTGACGACTGCGATGTAAAGACTCATTCTTCTATGCTATGGTACGAAGCTCAAATGACCCTGTCCCCGTGACCAGCACATCGCTTTTCCAAACGCCAACGAACCAGAGTATTTGACGACCTAATGCTCATCGTTAACATGAAGCTCGTCGAACTCATCTAGAAGCTCATTCATGTCAATGTGCGGTGTCTCATCCTCTCCATCATCTGTCTCGACAACACTCATAGCTTCAGCATCAAGCTTAGCTTGCTGCTGAGCTTTATAGAGTGCCATGGTTTGTCTGAGCTCAGTATCTTCTTCCACATCCCGCAAGAACATTTCGTAATCTCTGTCCATCTTCTCTTGGTCTGCTTTCTTGGGTAGGAGATCACCTTCGTCCCTAGCCATGCGCTTGAGACGCCAGTTACGATTCTTGGACTTCTTCTTTCTGGCGTAGAACTTCTTGACGAGCAATACATCAGGGATTTGCGAGGAGTATGTGTTTGATTCCTCCAATGCATCGTAATGAGGGTTGTTGAAGTTCGTTCCAGTCAGCAAGTAGCCCATCACCGAGTCTCCTGGATGTAAGACATTCCCGAGATGTGTGCGAGTGTAGTATGTTCTATCGTTTGATCCGAGATCTGATGCTCGTGCCACTGTGGCTTCTGCGAGTAGCCATCTTCCCTTCTGGGCCCCGATGGGCTCAATATCCATGATGATGAATTCCACGAGTTCCTGCACATCGGCAAGTGGTGCGAAAGGTCCTCGCCAGTAAATTGGTGTGCTGATATCTGCGGTTTGGAGAGTACTAGGGTCGAGAATGTTGAGAGATGTGCCTATCCGGTAGCATATGCCGAGTGGTGAAATGTTACCAATCTGCTTTGCCAACCTGATGGGTATCGCCACAAGATCATCTTTGCATATCGGAACCAATTCGACAGAGTATGTGAATTTGTATGATTTAGTAGAGGTGTGTATATCCATAGAAATGAGTTCTTGGGATTTCTTCCATCGGACTGGTGCTACCGAGTTCAGGAAATCAACGAATTTCTCGGCCTGGTTCCGTGCTGAGAAGAAGAAATCGAGACCATCTTTCACTTCCTTGATGTTGATTGTGTCCTTGTGTGCGCCGTGCTTGAGAATGAGCTGTTCAAGGTAGAGGAAGGTTCTCTTGTGTGGGACTTTTTGTCGGACTTGCACGCATGCTCGCCATGTATTCGCAGTATAGGATTTCGCACAGTCGGGACATTGTTGGTATGCGACGACGTATTCCACCTCGAACGCCTGCTGCAGCACAACTCCCTCAGACACCGAGTCTTGAATTGTAAGCTTGACCTTGACTCTTCGAGAATGCGGTTCTGTCCATATAAAGCTCGCATCTATGATCCTGACTTTGTGCAAACCTCGTAATTTCTTCAGACAGAGGGCGAGTAGTTCTCTCGATTCGGGGGCTGCGACAATCCAGGACGACGGAGGAAGGAGCCATCGATCGCAATCTCGGCAGAAATGTATGGTGGCTTCACGCTGAATGCCTTGTGATACATCGACGGTGAGCTTCACACAGTCGTAACAGAGTGCTCCCGCTGATGTTGTACCATCGATCGCGGCACCACAATTACAGCATAGAATTCTAAAAATGTATTAGCTAGAGCTCTGCTTCAGCTGGGATCTACTCACGTTGCTCCCGTCTGCTGATCTCTATGCTGGGGAGCAATAGAGATAGGCGCATCCAGATCCATAGCAGACATGTTTGCGGTGATGCTGTGTATTCTTGTGTATGCTGTGAAGAGGAAACGAAACGATAAGAAAAATATAGGATTTGCCCCGCGGACGATAGCCGAGAGATTTCTCAGCCCTTCCGCCACCGAGTCACTAGCCACTAGTGGAAAGATCTTGTGACAACGGAATTTATATCTACCACAACAAGAAAACATTTAAAATCATTCAGACATATCTACGGAGTTTAGGGACAATGGCGCAATACCGCGAGAAGAAGTATTTCATCACGTGATGCTATACACAAAGGACGTTCAAGGTTCCATTCTTCTGCTTCAATGCAGCACCTGTTTCACCTGTTTGCCAAAAGGAGGACATCAGTACTGGAATTACGTGGTAGGAATTTTGCAACTATACATCTGAGGTCGTGGTCACATCCGTTCGTACATAAAGATTAGTTTGTGCTATTTGCTTGCAGATGATCTGCTTTTACTCAACAGAATCAAATGATTGACAGAGGAGAGCTGAAACATTGATCAATTCCATTTGATTCGTCAATCACATACAATCGGCACAGTTCTTCTTGGTGATTCTATGTAGTGGCCCGAAAAACACGGAACCGGGGCGGTGAAGATTCGGCGACGGCGACATTTTTACCTCATTGGGATGCCAAAAGGGGCTGGTGTTACTCTTTGCACAACAAGAACGATAAGTACGTTGTATGACAGGATATTTGCCACAATGAGGTTCTCGTTGAGGAGGACAACTTCTGTAATTGCTACTCGGTACACGCCGTGACTGGACCGGTTGACTGCATCTACTACATGAATGCCAGGCGCAGATGATGTAGAGTAACGTGCAGCACGAATTGAAGTATCCAATGGAAGATCTAGGAACGCGTGGGAGAGGTGCCGTCTTTCGTCCCGAACATAGGTGATCGAGGACAATCCTGAGCATTGCATGATATCCTTACAGATAATGAACTCGGGACCTTGATGAACCAGAGATATAAGATCGCCCTAGGCAATGCAAGTCCTGAGTATCGCACACAGTCTGATTTAATTTTGATTTCGAGAATGTCTCCAGCAGCGATTGCAGTTCCGGTCAAGGCCAACCAGACCACGAAAGTTCCCACGGGTCAACTCAGTGGTGCCTTTCTAGATCTCGCTCCCATCGACTATGGATTAGAGGCCGAGAAGGAAGGTAAAGACGGAGTGGCACCTGCCAAGGTAACGGCCTCCATATCCTCCAATACCAATGCCTCTGTACTTACATCTTCAGTATCCTCACTATCTTCCCACTTGGCCAAATGTGAAATGGGCACCACTCGAACCATTCCATCATTGCGATCCAGGCCTAGACACGGACCCCAGCTATCCAGAGTTACTGGCCACTGGTGTCAAGTCGCTTGACCTCACACCAAGCATTGGTACAGAGATACAAGGAATACAGTTGAGCAAGTTGACTCCAGCCGGAAAAGATCAGCTCTCAAGATTTGTGGCTGAACGAAAGGTCGTTGTCTTCCGAGATCAAGACCTCGCCGACTTACCCATTGGCGATGCTGTCAATTTTGTTCGGTACTTTGGCCGTCCACATCTCCATCCGCTCTCAGGAGCACCCAAGGGGCATCCCGAAGTTCACCTTGTCCACAAAGCCGCAGGGGATAAGACTGCTGAACAATTCTTCAAGACCAAGATCAGTTCCGTCCTTTGGCACACTGATGTATCGTACGAGCGCCAGCCTCCGGGAACTACTTTCCTTATGATGCTCGATGGTCCATCAAGCGGAGGAGACACACTTTACGTGAACACAGCAGAGGCTTATAACAGGCTCAGCGAAGGATTCAAAGAGAGGCTTCATGGATTGAAGGCCTTGCATTCGGGATTCGATCAAGCCAGTGCCCACCTCCGGAAAGGTGGGATCATCCGAAGAGAGCCAATCATGAGCGAGCACCCAGTTGTAAGGACACATCCAGTGACAGGTGAAAAGTCGTTATACGTCAATCCGCAGTGTAAGTGACTGTATTGAGAATCATGAGACAGTTCTGACTCTTCTCTAGTCACCAGGAGCATCGTAGGCTACAAGCAAGAAGAAAGTGACGCCTTGCTGGTAAGCTTCATCGTCAAATGGCTAAAGTTCTGGTGCTGACCTAGGTAGAAATTCCTATACGACCATATCGCATACGGCTCCGACTTTCAGATGCGTGCAAGATGGGAGGAGAAAACGGTTGTTGTCTGGGACAATAGAGTCACTTTGCACTCCGCGCTCTTAGACTGGAAGGCCGGAGCTAGAAGACACCTAGCCAGAATCGCAGCCCAAGCTGAGGCTCCATTCGAAACACCATACGTGGGTTGAGGGCTGAGATAAAAGTGGAGTTGAATAGAATGCGTAGAAGATGGAATGTATTACTTCAGGCTGCTTCTTTCAGTACACATACATCCAGAAGTAGTATGGCGAGCTCGAGAGAACCTGAAGACTTTCGGTATCTTAATGTGGCGATGACCGCGTGTTTCCTCTCACAAGAAACCTGGAATGATGTCCAATTTGGCTTTGGCCTTCTCTTCTTCCTCTTCCTTCTTCCTTCTCGCGCGAGCCAGCTCTGACCTAGACATCCTCTCTCGCTGCTTTGGTGGTGGACTTGAAATCTCTGTCTTGACGGTCTTGGGTACATCTATAAAATCAGACGTTGAATGTTTTGACCGGGGCGCACGACTCTCATACGATAAAAGCAGGTCTGATGTCTTTGAATCTCTTTTCTCTGACACCAGATTTAGTTTCTGCACAAGAGTTGGCTTTCGTTCTCGACTTTCTAGCTTTGGTGCTGCATCAAGATCGCCATCATCGGCAGAAGATTCCGTTGCATCGTCTTCGAGAACTTTGGCTGACTGAGAAGATCGAGCAGTGAGACGAAATTGTGGAGAACCAAGGCTCATCCTCCGGGCCTGGGCTGACTGTTTGTATCCTGCCGCAGCACGAGTGGTGGCTGCTGCACTGACTTTGCTCAGGGAAGTGGCTTTTCTCCTTGGACTATCCATCAGACCATGAAGGCTCGTTCCAACATACGGTAATCCATCCCCATCATCACTGTCATCAGAAATGTCGGCATCCCCAACTTTTTTCCCAATCAATCCTTCCAGAACTGACTTCTGAGCTTTGGCTCGTTCGACTGCTTCAACTTTTCGTTTCGTCTGGTCAGGCATCTTACCAGCTACTGGCCGTGAAATGGAGCTGATGGTTTCTGCGTTCCGAGTTTTGGCTATTTTCTGCTGCCTTTTGTACTCAGCAGCGTGCAAATGGACAGTAAACTTTTGGGCAATAGTTAAGAATTGATCCTCAACCATGCGGTACTTATCATCATCATCCATGCCCTCTATCATAAAGCTGTACATTTATCAGTTCAAGTACGACACACGGCTTTGGTTTACCTACCTTTCTGGAGGAGGGTCAGGTGGTGGTGATGATGAACGAGGATCTTCTTCCTTACGTTAGTTTAGTTCGCGTCTCTTTCAGCCATTCCACCTACCTAGATCTGCTCTTTCTTTTCGCACTGAAGGTCTCAAGTCTGCCTGGTCGTCTGAATCGCCATTCTTGGTAGCAACTTTCTGGCGCTTCGAACTAGGCAGAGCAGGCCGCTTTGTACGTGCCACCGCGGTCGAGGTGGACGTTTGCCAGGGAAGTTTTCTCGGCATGACGACGACTTCTTGAAGAGCAGATTCGACAGCAAGGCAGATATGACTAGGTGTTCGAGCCAAGTCGGTAAGCAATGGTGCACCAGGCTTATTGATTCGATTCAAATTTGCGCCCCACCATCCAGATCGATCTGCAAGTACAATCCATCAAGGTAATCTAATCCCATATACCAAATCAACAAAGAATAAGTTCCACAAAAACAATCTCAGCCGCGTCGTCAGAAAAGAGTGGAGTGGGTCTGCAGGGACATATGCTAGCGGCCGCTAGAACATCCTTGTCGACTACCTATTTTGACTTCTCCATGAGGTGCTGACCGAACTCTTTAGAAGATCAAAGTCATAATCAAGACAGTTCATTGGAGATACCTTTGTCTTGTCATTTCAGCCCTTTGATTGACAGTTTTACAGCCCGCGCACTCAATCTGCGAAGAGGATACTTCTCATCGAGTCAAGGAACGCTTGACTGGTTGTGAAGATATGGTGGTTGTTTTCCGCATTTCAGCTCTGCTTCACTCATGTTTACCCTGCATTCTCTCATAACGATCCGCCGAGTCTCTAGCTTCATGCTGGAATTTGCGCAATGTCTTCAAGGTTCTGGGCTTCGTCTGAAGATGTGAGCACAGAGAGTGTGGATTCGAGCATTGCGAGTGTGCAAGATGCCTCACGTGATCCGTACAGCAGAGGGGAGCATCGTGGTCAAGAGATGGGAGGAGAGAGACGAAATGACAATACATCAATGGTACAACAGACAATGACAGCTGGTTCAGGGTCGCCAGACTTGCAACCCTATCAGCGTGCCAATCTCTTCTACCTCGCTATGATAGAAGGAAGATGCAGAACACAAGCAGCTACAGTGGTAAATTCTGGTCGGCCCGTCGACGATAGAGTGGGAGAAGATGATCCGGAGGTGTTGACGCTCTCGCGTCATATGTTCGATGAAGTCAGGCGAGAATTGGTCAAGGCTGGTATGCTGTCAGAGACGTTTGCGACAGGAGACTATCCTCAACTGCACACCTACCTAAACTCTTTCGACAACATCCTCGACAACATTGCAACGCAGCAAACACGCAACCTTGCTGAAGGACCTATACACGCACTCTCGGTTGAATCTGGGCATCTGGCACTTCCCAATCTCTCCAGCGCGCTTATTCCCCATCGTTTTGCTCAGCAACAACACTCCATCGCTCTCGCGGATGCCTCTAATATCCCATCACTTGCCAACAATACGTCGATTTTCCACCCTTCTCATAGTATTGCACCTCAAGGCTTCTTCGTTACACCAGATAATTTTCCAATGGTTCTCACGACGTCCTTTCAGACGTTGCTGCGACATCTGTTTCCAAATGAAGATCACTCCCTGGAAGTGTCTACGGTCTCCAATTATGCAACTGACTATACTCCGTAAGTAGTTTTCATAGCTTTGTTGACCGTTTGGATTGTAGAGGCTGCATCATAATGTGTGCGACTCTTTACCACTCTTTATGTCCAGCGTTACTGCTCTAACTTTCGATCGCAAAGCTGGCTCTCTTATTCGTCGAATTCTATACAGAATGCTGCTAACATTATTGTTAGACTGAGCAAACTTGGGTCAGGCGGTTTCGGAGCTGTCTATAAAGTCCGCCACAAATATGATCAAGCAGAATACGCAGTCAAGAAGATCATTGTCAGGGGTGAGAGAATACAGCAGCTTTATGACGAGAACAACATTGGAGAGCTGGGTTCTTTGATCAAGGAAGTTCAAACTTTAGCGAAGTTGCATCACCACAATATCGTCGTATATCATCACTGCTGGATGGAACCTAGGCCGTTAGACGAGAATGTTTCTAGGTGAGTTCAATATCCTGGTATATTGTCTGAATGATTGCTGAGACGAAAGTAGCAGTGGCTCTGAAGATGATGAGTCCAGTGAACTACAACTACAGGGAGATCCAGCAGCTGCTTCAGTGTCACTTGCCACATTGTCCATTGATAATGAGTGTGCTTTGAAGCGGGATATGAGAGCTCAACGTCGTCGAGCGAGTTCCAGTATTTCCGCTGAAATAGCTGCAGATATTGATACGGGATACATTTTATTTTCAGCTGAAGATTCCAGTGCAGAACCCAAGGATGACGAACTTGACGGCGAACTTGACGGCGAACTTGACGGCGAACTTGACGACGATAATGACGATATTGATGACGATGATGAGGATCATGATTCATCAGACGAAGAGAGTAATGGTAGTGAAGGAAACACAAAAGACGAGAAAGATGATGAAGACACTGAAGAGATTGTGCGATATGATGGACAAATTGTTCGGTCTCAAAGGAAGAACCTGAAATACGCAGACCTGGACCTAGTTCTTTACATCAAGATGGCCGCATATCCACTGTCCTTAATTCAGTACATCAGACAACCTACTGAGACGCCACTCCAAAGGAACCAGGACGAGCCGGACATTCAGCACTGCTACCATGTCTTGCCTACAATCAGAATCCTACTCTCATTGCTCGACGGAATTGAGTACATTCACCGGAAGAACATCATTCACCGAGATCTCAAACCAGCAAATATTCTTCTCCAGATCCTAGATTCCGCCGAACTTCCCACACAAGGCTATGTCAACATTAGTGACTGTAAGAGCTGTACCAGTACCAAGCCGACCTGGATCTCCCCTCGAATTGGGGACTTTGGACTAATTCACGACCTTTCCGCTCCACCGGCCCCGCTCCCACCCCCAAAAGCCGGTGGAAGCAAGAAGAAGGGACGGGAATCAAGTGCGGCCCCAGGCACAGCCACCTACCTTCCGCCGGGACTTCGAAAGTCCACCCCAGTCTGCCCCAAGTTGGACGTTTACAGCTTGGGAATTATTGCTTTCGAAATGTCCTACAAGTTTGGGACATTTGCAGAACGATCCGAAGTCCTGGACCAATTGAAGAGATTTGGGAAGGTGCCAGAGAGCTTCGAAGGTCACACACTGAAGGAGTGTATATTGAACATGGTGAAGGAGGATGTGGAGAGTCGGTGGGATTGTCCCACAGTACGTGCGCACTTGGTGGGAGCATTGGAGCAATTGTAAATTTTGTAAGAATAGATACCCAATGACGGCATTATGATTCTTTCCGTGATCGAGCGACAATTTGGTCTCTGTTATGTGAAGCGTGATTTGACAAGGTCGAATGTTCTTGATTTTTAATTTAATGTTGTCTTTCAAAATTGTCAAAGCCAGATGGGAAAGGTTTCTATTGTCGCAGACCTGTAGAGATCTTTTGAACTTTTGACATACTAAAATTTGGTGAAGACAATAGAGATTCTAAAGTACACTCTGATTGCCGTTGATTCACAGGCACACTTTGATTTGATATTCAAGACTACGGCGTAGTCAGGGGTCTAAAGCATGCTCGGGATGTCCTTGATCGATTGGCTATACATTTTGATCCTCCAAAGGGGAACATGTACGACGAGCAATCGGACTCGAAGTGTTACGAAGGAGCAGACAGCTCTTGGAAATTTATGTCAAGTAGTTTGTTAGTCAATTACATCTTGACATTTCAAATCCCGATGTTCTCTCCCATGTTACACATTCAATGGCGTGCTGCTCCACGAAACGTCTAAGCTCGAAGTCAATAAGTCATCGCATGCTCGCTTCGCATTCGGGGTTGAGTGAGCTGATTCAATATGTGGGTGTCGATAGAAATTGCGTGCTCAAGTTGCTGACCTTCGTGACTCGGTAACTGCGGGGCAAGCTCTCTCACTAATCCTCATGTGGCTTCTCTTCCCCAAAGGTCCCCTCTTTTTGACTAGATACACTCTCCCTTCCTAACCACCATTGCAGAGATTTTAACCAGTCCCGATCGCGCCATTCCTGAGGCGTAATTCGAGCGGTTGTCGTTGGCTGAATTCAAGGTGTAAATTACCCCTGCACGAAGCTCGGGAATGACTTTCACTCTCCGACTTTCGCCCCAGACGAACTAGCACTAAGAGGTCCAGGTCGAAAGAAAAATTATGGCTTTCCTCTTCCGCCGTCCAGATTTTGAGCAAGACTCAATATCTTCCTCTCCTCATTCGCATAGGAGAGACAATCATTATATCGACAATATGGCGGCCCCTTCATTGAAGATTCGCACGCCTGAAGAAGCAGGTATGTACAGTACTCCACTGCCGAGCTCCAATTCTCTTTTGCTGCGCCCCGCCTCATGCATCCAGTGCCACTCTGCTAATACCAATTGCTGGGAATAGTGGCAAGGATCGCATACTTGTCCAGCGACGTGATTGTCTCTGTCCAACCTTCCCTAGGAATCGAATCGGAATTCTCGTCTCATCTTCACAGATACGCAGGGCGCGGGGACAAAAGTCTTGTTGCTGCCACCGAGAACAATGTCCCAGAGGTCAGTCCAATATTTACAGATGTAGCAGCAAAATCTAATGCTATTATCTACTAGATTCAATCCATTAGACAAACCAACGATCCTCTACTCTCTGTGTTTACACCAATTCGCAATGGCCGTCTTGTTTCCGTCACCACGAGCTCCTCCATCCTCGTCTCCTCTGTGCCCCACCTTTACCGACTGGCAAACCTCCCAGTGGTCATTCATGTCTCACTCCAACCTTCACACTACCCCGACTACTCCTCAATCACATCGATACGGAATTCTGGCTTCACATTCCTTCAATCCGAGACGCTACAAGAGGCACAAGATATTGCATTGACAGCTCATGCTTTAGCAGTTAAGTCAGGCAAAGGTGTTATACATTTCTTCCATGCTGGCTCATCGGCACACGACAATCATATTCCTTTTGAGAACGTTGAGGTTGTTCAGGCCATTTTGAACCTTGATCTTGTCAGGGCGTTTCAGAACAGCAAAATTGGTGGCACAAGCATTTATGCCGACGATGGACGAGTTGCGACCATTGCAGAGACTCCGGCTCCTGTACCTGTTATTGCCAGTGCTATGGAAGGAGTTGAGACTACTTCCGCACCATCAGTGAATACTCCAATTGTATCCTCGAAGTCTTCTGTGGGGTCATCGAAATCGGGACGCGAAAGCAGTGTGGACAGCGGAAATAGTGTTTCTTCGGCTACGACTGTCGACGCAACTGTCATTCGACCTGTTACATCCGACGACATTTACAATTTTGTAACAGCGATTTGGGCTCAGTTCAGAGAAGGCTTGGGACGGGAATATACACCATTCCAATATTCCGGACCATCAAATGCCGAAGATGCTATTTTCATTTTTGGGTCTGACGTTGGCGCATTTGCACAAGAGATTGATGCTGCTAAGCCAAATGAAGTTTATGCCAAATCTGGAGTTATTACAGCACGATTATACCGACCTTGGTTGGGTGCAAAGCTTGTTGCGACTATTCCGAAGTCAATCAAGAGGATTGCGGTTCTTGAGCAGATTCGAAGGAAGACAACCAGATGGGGCCCTCTACTTTTGGATCTCCTCACTACTTTGAAGGCCGGACCAGGTGGTGGCGTTCAGACAATTGTCGGTCACCAATTGGGTTATATTGCTCCTCAGACAATTCCACAAGCTCTGCGGGGTATATTCCAAAATCTCAAGTCTGAGACGCCAATCCAGAACCTTGAGGTTGGTAACCACGATGGCCCCAAGGAGTCCACCAGCACCAATGGACAGCCAAAAGTTGAGTCAGCATATATGAAGATCTTAGATCAGATATTTGGACAGCGACTCTACTTGGCAAACGCTATTGGTTCTCAAACCGCAGGTATTTCGGCTTCTGTTGCTTCAAATCCCGAATTTGGATTCGGTTCTCTGCTAGCGAGAAAGGAGCACCGACAAAGATTTGTCACGGAAATTCAGCAAGCTGCAAAGTCAAGCCAGTTTATCACAGAAGCTGCCAAGCCCTGGCTTTCAAAATGGGTGTCAAGTGCAAATGACGAGAAGAAAGCAAGCGAGCTCGCAGATGAGATCATTGCTCGTCTCGAGACTGACGGTTCTCCATTGTCCCGCAATCTCTTGTCCAACAAGGGTCTTTTCCGAAAGGAGTCCTCTTGGTTAGTTGGCTCCGATGCATGGGCATATGATTTGGGCAATTCTGGTGTTCATCATATTATCGCATCTGGTGAGAATGTGAACATGCTTATCATCAACTCTACTCCTTACTCCGAGCAAAGTGCGAAGGACGCTGCACGACGGAAGAAGGATATTGGTCTCTATGCCATGAACTATGGCAATGCATATGTTGCATCAGTTGCGGTGTACAGCTCGTACACTCAGGTCTTGCAAGCAATGATCGAGGCCGATCAATTTGATGGTCCATCGGTTGTTGTAGCTTATCTTCCATACTTCAAGGAGAACGATTCGCCGTTGACTGTTTTGCAAGAGACGAAGAAGGCAGTCGACCTTGGATACTGGCCATTGTACAGGTGGAATCCACACAATGAGGAGCGAGGCGAGGAAAACTTTGCACTGGACTCTGAACGAATCAAGAACGAGCTTAAGGAATTTTTGGCCCGCGACAACCATCTCACACAACTTATGAAGCGTCATCCCGAATTCTCGTCAAGCATTTCTCAGGATTATGGTACTGAAGTCCGAGAATTACAGAAGCGAAAGGCAAAGGATGCATACGATCAGCTCTTAGCAGGCTTGCTTGGTGCTCCATTAACCATTCTCTTCGCTTCCGACAATGGCAATGCTGAGTCGCTTTCTAAGAGACTGGGTAATAGAGGCAAGGCTCGTGGCTTGAAGACAACCGTCATGGCTATGGAAGATTACCCGATTGAGGATTTGTCCGGAGAAGAGAATATCGTCTTTCTCACAAGTACCGCTGGTCAGGGTGAGTTCCCACAGAACGGTCGCGCTTTCTGGGACGCCATCAAGGATAGCACCGAACTCGACCTTGCATCCGTCAACTTCTCTGTTTTTGCTCTTGGCGACAGCCATTACTGGCCACGTAAGGAGGACAAGCACTACTACAACAAGCCCGGAAAAGACCTTGATCGGGTATTGTCAAATTTTGGTGCTAAGCGACTTGCGGAAACTGGTCTTGGCGATGATCAAGATCCTGACGGATACCAAACTGGCTACCAGACCTGGGAACCTCTTATTTGGCAAGCTCTTGGCGTCGATAAAGTTGAAGGATTGCCTGAGGAACCTCCTCCAATAACCAACGAAGACATCAAGCTTGCATCAAATTACCTTCGTGGTACCATTGAGGAGGGTCTTGCCGATCCCTCAACTGGGGCCATTTCTGCACCTGATCAACAACTCACCAAGTTCCATGGAACATACATGCAAGACGACCGAGATCTCCGAGACGAGCGCAAAGCACAAGGTCTTGAGCCAGCATACTCTTTCATGATTCGATGTAGATTACCTGGTGGTGTTGCAACTCCTAAGCAATGGATTCAAATGGACGATGTGAGCAACGACTTCGGAAACGAGACCATGAAGTTGACCACTCGTCAAACTTTCCAATTCCACGGCGTTGTCAAAGGCAAACTTAAATCTGCTATGCGCGGCATCAATAAGGCTCTCATGACCACTATCGCTGCTTGCGGTGATGTCAATCGAAACGTTATGTGCAGCAGTTTACCTACCGCATCAAAGTATCACAGACAAGTCTATGCTTGCTCACAGAAGATTTCCGACCATCTTCTGCCATCAACGACTGCTTATCATGAGATCTGGTTGAAGGATGAGAATGACAAGAAGACGCAAGTTGCTGGTGATGCCATTCAAGATTTCGAGCCACTTTATGGCCCGACTTACTTGCCAAGAAAGTTCAAGATTACCATCGCCATTCCTCCACACAACGATACTGATGTCTACGCCCATGATATTGGTCTTATTGCATGCAAGGATAGGCAAGGCAATCTCACTGGATTCAACCTTCTCGCTGGTGGTGGTATGGGTGTCACTCATAATAACAAGAAGACCTACCCACGAACAGGCAGCACGCTTGGATTTGTGTCCAAGGATGAAGTTCATATTGCCTGCGAGAAGGTCATGCTTGTCCAACGTGATCACGGTGATCGCAAGAACCGCAAGCACGCTCGTCTAAAGTACACCATCGACGACATGGGTCTCGACGTCTTCCGCGGCAAGGTCGAGGAATTGTGGGGCAAGAAATTCGACAAGGCAAAGCCATTCAAGTTCCAGAGCAACATCGACACATTTGGATGGCAGAAGGATGAGAATGGTTTGAACCACTTCACATTCTTCATCGAGAACGGCCGTATTGAGGATACTGCCGAGTTCCCAATGAAGACTGGTCTCCGAGAAATTGCTAAGGTTCACGAGGGCGAGTTCAGATTAACTGGTAACCAGCACTTGATCCTTAGCAATGTTTCTGACGAAGAATTGCCGAAGATGAAGGAGATGATGGCCAAGTACAAGCTTGATAACACCGAATTCTCCGGTCTGCGTCTTTCATCATCAGCCTGCGTCGCATTCCCAACTTGTGGTCTGGCTATGGCAGAGAGTGAACGATACCTCCCAGAACTCATCACCAAGCTCGAGGACTGCCTCGAAGAGAACGGTCTCAAACAAGAATCTATCGTCATGCGCATGACCGGATGTCCCAATGGTTGCGCCCGTCCTTGGCTCGCAGAGGTGGCGTTCGTCGGAAAAGCCTATGGTGCTTATAACATGTACCTGGGCGGTGGCTATCACGGCCAACGTCTGAACAAGTTGTACAGAAGTAGCATCAAGGAGGAGGAGATCTTGGAGATCATGAAGCCGTTACTGAAGCGCTACTCTCAAGAACGGGAACAGGGAGAACATTTCGGTGATTTTTGCATTAGGATTGGTATGATCAAGGAGACAACCGAGGGGAAGACTTTCCACGATGATGTAAGTTGCATATTCTATCATTAGAGATTGACTTGCTAACATGAAATAGGTTGCGGAAGAGGAATCAGATGAGGAATGATCGGGGTTAGCATTGCATGGCATTGGTCTTCATTTGCATGGCGTTCATGGCCCTCTTGCTTTCTACTTGAACATATGAACTCAAATGGGTGTTAGCTCTCTTGATGCAATGCTCTTTCTAACTGGCGGCTTGTTTGATGAAAAGAAATGCTGTACATAATAAAAATCGAAACTTGATGAAAATCATATCTGAAGCTTCAACCTGACTGGTCATGCGTGCTGCCACTTGCCCCTGTCTCAGCTCGCTTACAATACTGTACAGAAATCTTCAGCCTCACATCAGCCCTCAATGACCATCCTCTCTCCCAAAGATGATGAACAATTCATCCTTCACCTCATCTCCCCAAGCCATACATCACGCTATCCCAAAACAAACATGACACCTCCCAACAAAGACCCCCCACATAAACGAACCTATTTCTGCACCCTAGCAATCATCAGCCTGGACAGCGCAGGCAGCAAACACGTACCTCCCCTACCCCTACCCCTACCCCTCTCCCTCTCCCTCTCCCTCTCCCTCTTTCCCTCCTAACCTTATATACATAAAAAAGACCTCAACCCCCCTCCCACCCCACCAAAACCCCATCGCCCTAGGAGCAACAGCCCGCTGTTTCATCCAATTATCAGCCCTCTCAATCTCCGCGGCAGCTGGGGAGGACGGCTTAAGGGATCAGGGCGTTTGTCTAGATCATATGCTTAAACAAAGGTTTCCTCCTTTTCCTTTCTTTGCCCTCTCTAGATGACATGGGTGTGGAAGGCTGATGAGGGGTGTATTGTGGTGGTAGTGATGCGGTAGCGATTGTTTGTGATACGGGGGATGGGTTGGGCTGGAAGTTTGCGAGGGAAGTTTATTTTTATATTGTGGAGAGTGTTAATTTTGGGGGGACGGGGGAGGAGTTGGTTGTTTTTCTTGTGGGGAGGGATGGTGGCGGGGATCCTTTTGCTGATCCTGAAGAGGATGGATTTGAAGGGGTGGAAAAGGAGGTTGGGAGAGCGGAGGGTGAGGAGTTTGCGAGGGAGGTTGGGGTGCGGTTTTTGGAGTGTGGTGGAGATGGCAATGAGGTTGTGGAAGAAATTGTTAGGGTCATTGTGGGGATAAAAGGGGAGAGGGAGGGTGATGAGGGTGATGAGGAAGAGAAGGTTGATGTTGAGGAGATTTCGGGAAGGAGATGGTGGAGGAAGATAATTACGGGATGTGGAAGAGGAGAGTGATGCTTTTAGGATTTTTTTATTTACTATCGACATGCTATCCATACACGTATTCTATACAACTTAGACCATGACACATACAAGATCGAAAGCAACCTCCATACCAACGCCCGATAATCGACGATCCTACCCTGAACTTACAAACCAGCCTGCAACAGCCATCCTCAAATTGCCTCGCCAGAAAACAACTTCTCAAGAACCTTATTGATGACCGACAGAACGGGTGCAATTCTTGGATCATCCTTCTCCAAATCCAACACCTTGCTCGAAAGATCAATCAGATCCTGAACCTTCACCTCCTTCTCGACGTACGCAGGACTAAGGGGCGGCAATCCGTTCTTCAGGAGACGCGCGAACTGGATATCATCAGCATTACTCAATGGCGAGCTAGTGTGAAGCAGTTCTCTTTGGCTTTGCAGTTGCTCCAGGAGTGTGGCGGGACGGGTGGGTGACGGTTCATGCAAAGTCGCGTCGGAATTGGTGAATCGGACAGGGTTTGCTGAGAGTCGACCAGATGGGGTTGGAGTGGTGTTCTTCGTTTCACGATTGTTGAAGCCGAAATCGAATGAGGAGAAGACTGTGGTAGTGTCTGGATCGACGACGTGAGAGTTTTGGATTGACGAGCACCGGGGTGGAAAAGCTGCTGGTTTGGGACGGATTGGGCGGAAGCGGGCTTTCTTATTAGGTGTCGTATCGTCAAATACGGTTTGGTCTTGGGATACGGTATCTTGTTGGGAGCCAGGAGCAGCAGGTGGAGAGCTAACGAGGACGAAATCACAATCTCGGTCCATCGGAGACAGTTCAGTAGGTTCAGAACCCTCTCCAACTTTGATGCGTGGAATTGTGGTCAGAGTATAGGATTGAGTTGGTGGGGTTCGAGCATCATTCCGTAGTACTTTCATCTTGTCCATCGAATCTGTAACCCTCGAATCTCGAATCATAGCTGTAATGTCTTTCATGTAACCAAGTATGTCGATTTGCTCAGGCGAACATGTCGGTACAAATGTCTCGGCCAAAGAGGGTGCTCTAACATGTCCCTTTTCGACAGCTGGTGAGGCGGTGCTGGAACAGTTCTCCTTGCCTGGCGATGCCACAAAGGGTGACGACGCAACTTCTTGGACATTGCTTTCTTCGTAGCGATCACGGAGGGTTCGTCCATCACGACCACGATCAGGAGAAAACGAGCGCCTAGGTACTTTCCTCTCGTTTTTGTTATCCAAGCCACGAAGAACATCCCCAAGCTCCTGGATATTTACCAAGACGGTTTCAGGGTCACGACTGCAAAGTAGCAATCCCAGGTTGACAGGCTTGCTCGACGTCGTACTCTGTGCCTGGAGGGCAAACTCTTGGATTTTCCGACCCAAAGTTGGGATTTTGAATTGCGGGAATCCGGCATGTTGCGAATCTACCATGATAGAGCTTGTGGTGAATGAGAGGGAGAACAGCTCTGGAGCCGTAGTAGCAGTATCGTCATTATCGACTTGGTTGAAGTGGGTGTAATGCTCGAACAACTTGTTTTTCTTGTCGATGACCGCAATGTGTATCGATTGGACATTGAGACTGGCCAGTGGGATTTTGCAGTGTAAATGGTGGTATGACGGTTGGGTTAAGTCCCCTTCACCTTTGAGATCTCGCTCAGCCCCAAGGATCACGATGATACATGGATTCTCCCGGTCTTTGATGGACTCGAACGAGACTCCAACGATGAGCGCGCTGTCGTTGCCTTTGATGATAGTACAGTAGTTGCCATGATTCGTCTTCAAGCAGGCAAAGAAGCCTGGAGATACCAGACCACTTTCAGTCCAGAAATCTGCCATTGAAACCGATCTCGCCTTGGATACTACACGCGTTAATATTTCGTTGGTGTGTCATAGGGTAGACTTACCAAGTATTACTTGTAAAATTTGCTTTGGGTGAGATAAACTTTTGAGAGTTCCAGAAGTATCGAATTGAAGCTTCTCAGAACATGAAAGTGTTGTGGGATGTGGAGTTGTTTTCATTCACGTCAAGTAACCAAACGAAGCGGCCGATCCAGTAAACACCGATATCCCGACTAGACACTTGAACAGCCCAAGATTATTGAGACGAAAGCAGACAGCACCCGGAGGTACATTCTTTAGGATAGAGTGACGACAAATTGTTCTTTGAAGAAAGGCCAGTGGCATTCAGAAGTTCAAGGGCTGCTTATAGTCTTCATTTTTGAACCACATTTTGAGGAGTAGTAGAAGTTATCTGCAGGTCCGTCCACAAGACTAAACATCAATCATGTCTGAAGCACTTCCCAGACATCGCTGTAAGAGAGCTCAGGAGGCACTTATCAAGTCAAGACCTGAGCTAGAAAGTTTCCATGTCTCCATCGACCACAGCTATTACAAGAGCACACACGTCTTAAGCTATGAAGCAAAACAAAGCTCCAGGTCGTTGACAGACTGTCAAGTGATTTCCTCTATCAAAGAAACAAATACTGCCAAGCATTGGCAAAGCGCCTAGAAACGAAACCAGCGGGGTAAATCAAAAACAAGCATATCTAGGCAATCGTCATATTGAAGAAAATCTCCGTACTATACGGAATTACAGAGATCATAACCCATCCTATTAACTATCTTATTCATTATGTTGTTCTCCAGCCAAGACTGAACTCCATATGTACCATCTGGAAAGGTGTAAATCGTGGATACACCCGAAAAATGCCCGAACTGATCAAAGCAAGACCTGTGCCTACCCAAGAACGCCTTTGCTTGACTTCCACTGCCTCGTGTTCTGTGTTCTCCCTATTTGCAGTCCTTCACTAATTTACACCTTGCTGAGGTTGGCAGGTGGCTTCGGTGGTCCGGTCCCACTTCTGGCTCTTCGTTCTCGCTCTAAAGTGCCTGGAGGTCCACTGGAGGTCTTCTTGATATTGAATCGCCCATCAAGTCCCTTAACCCATTCATCGTCTGGACTACCACCGAGCCAGTAGTTCTCTCCTATGTTCACCATAAGTCTCCCGAGCTTGCCTCTCCACCCCGCTCCAGCTTGAGTTCCTTCTGCGAAAGGATTATCCGCTCTCGATTCGACGCTCCCATCCGTATGCACATGTAGCTTTGCCGATGAAGCGGCTTGTAAATGTCCACGCAAAACCTGTCTCGCATATGCCATCACCACAAGAATGAAATACACTCTAATCAATGTGAAGAACACCACTGCAATGATGCTCGGAATGCTCTCCTCGATTCCAACACCATGAGCCAGACTCGGGCTTCCGGCAGCCGCCGCCGTAGCTGCAACTCCAACAGCTACTGCTTCTTGACCTGCCGCAACACCTGCGGCAGGAGTCGCAATCACATCTACCTGACTAACGTTGTATTTTGGGTCAGTGAATCCAGCCGTGTCGCCAATCGTCCCGCTCCCAGGAGAGTTCGGAAGAGGCCTATTGGTAGCATCGGCGCTGATGGCCAGGAACCAGGTCACCGCGAAAGCGGCTGTGAATGCAGTATTGACGATCGTATCGATTAGATAGAACCATGCTAGCGCTAGACACTGGAAGGGACTCTGTTTTCGAATATGAGGCATGAGAATCGCGAGGAGGATGAGCGCCGCCACTGAGTACATGTACATCGAGAGCTGGAGGGGCGAAAGACTGAAGCCTGTGAGGACGGCTAAGAGACCGTAGAACCCGGTGACTTTGTTGAATATCATGGACAGAGATATTAACTCTGTTCCTGTTCGCAAGCTCATTACGTAGAGGAACGCCTGCGGAAATCGTCAGTCTTCTTCTGGCTGCAGTTGAGTCGAATGCGAATGCGCTTACCCTTGGTCGCGGAATCCGCAAATATCGTGATCTGAACCCCATTTTTGCGTCTGGTTGTGTATCGGTTTGAACGGTATAAAATGCTGCATTCGACGATGTGGTGACAGGAAGCAAAGATTGAGAGAGGACGTTCTTGAAAAACGCTGACCGGGTGGTTCGGATGTCGACGATCATATCAGCGCCAGTGAGCAAAAATGTCTTGGCAACCACTAAAGTAATAACACAGCCCAAGAGGATTTTAAAATTAATCCTGCATAATTGCACCAATTTTATTGTGGAAAGGGGCCGAAGACATTTTTGACGGCCACTAAGATATCTACAATCTTTAAATGGAAGATTAATAGCTCTGGTCTCTGGAGAGGCGGTGGAGCGTGAAAAGGACCCGTTTGGCATTTCATTTCAGCCTCCGTCTGGGGGCTTGTCACGCTATTCCCAAGTAACCTTAAATTAAACACCGCAGAAGAAATTCCGAACACAATGTCTCAGCCACACGTCTTAGAAGCATCTTCGCGTGGTGATGGAAGGCTGTCAGTCTAATCTGATTTGAGAACAAATCCTAACAAGTTGCTGGAACACTCGATATTCTACATTACTTTGGAGTACCTATGCCAAGAAGAAGGCCGCTATTCGGTATCATACAAATGCTGCCAAACCATAGAACGCTATGCTCATATCCTTGAACGTTCCCTATAACACAAGTAGATGAAGAGAAAGCCACCGAGATCGCAAACCGTTCAACAAGCACAACCTTCTTGGTTCTGAGGTGTGGGGTTGATGTTAACGTCAATCACTAATCCTACAGTCAGCACTCAATCGCCAAGCTCCCTCTCGAGGATAACTTACTTTGGTTTCCAGCGGCCGCAGAACCCTCTGCTCCCTCCATACCTGGTAAAGCTTGTGCTATCCTTCTGAATAGGTTCTTGACATTATGGCCGACCTTCGCACTCGTCTCGATGAACATCAAGTTGTTCTTCTTTGCTTCTTCCTCTCCCTGCTGGGTTGTAACCTCACGCTTGTCGTTCAAATCAGTCTTGTTTCCCACCAGCACAATGATCACATCGTTTCCACGCTCTCCTCGGACATCGTCTACCCATTTCCGCGTATTCTGGAAGGACTTCGCATCTGCAGGAGGTTAGGATCCGCCTTTACCAAGCTTCACTCGCCCACCAGGGTTCCATACTTGAAATGTCATAGACCACCACTGCCACACTCGAATCTCGAATATACGAAGGGATAAGACTTCGGAATCGTTCTTGACCGGCCGTATCCCACAATTGTAACCGTACCGTTCGGTCTTCCAGATACATAGTCTATCCAACATCAGCAAGGTCCAAAACTCTCCTCTGGTCTGCCTACTTTCGAGAGGAAATCGATGCCAATTGTTGCCTGGTACATGTTGTCGAAGGAGTCGTACATGAATCGTGTGATGAGAGACGTCTTCCCCACTGTCCATAAATCAGCAAGCTATCCCTTCATTTCTCAGCGACGTCTGCGTACCACTCTGCTCCCCTAAGAAGACCAATCTATGCCACTATTAGCTCTGTATTTCAACGTGGCCATTGTCGCACAGGACACGCACTTAAACTTCTTTAACGGATTATTGTAAGAGCCGCCTGCTTGCGCCATCTTGACTCTCTTGTCCGCACCACAAAGCTGTCTTTGTAGAAGGGATCTGTGGAGATATGGGTTATGAAATTGAGATATGTATAGAGAGTTTGTAGTATCGAAAGTTACGTCGATTATTGTTGCCTTGATTTGTACTTTATGGGACAAAGAAAGGAGAGCACTATGCAGTTCGGCGATCGCGAATCATAGAACGCTAGGATCTTGTGGTCGTTATCGCTCGCCCTACTGATAGCGATAATCTTCCAAATTTCTGATTATTTTCCATTCAAAAAAACTAAGTCGACATCAAACATTCACAACGGCGGATTGATTCGCAACAAAGAGGGAATCATGCCTATTATCAAACCTGCCCATGTTGCTCCGGGTGCCCCTGCGCAACACAAACAGCCATCACGAAAAGGCAAGAAGGCGTGGAGAAAAAATGTCGATGTTACCGAGATTCAAGAGGGGCTTGAAGAAGTGCGAGAGGAAATTATCAAAGGGTTCGTCCCCAAATCCGATACTTTTAGAGCAACTACTGACTGGTATTTAGTGGTGTCATAGTGGAAAAAGATTCAGCAGATCTCTTCACAGTTGACACAGCCGGCGATGTCTCGATACCCAAGAAATTCTTGAAGAATTCCAAACCACTTAAAGCCGACGAAATTATTGCTCAACGCTCTGTCATCCCTGCAGTCTCCCTTCGAAAACGAGCTGGCGACAAGACTACAGACGGCATTATCGAAGCGAAGCGTCAGCGCACAAGTTATATCACTCACAAAGAGCTCTCACGTCTACGCAAAATTGCAGATGGTCGAGGGTCGCAGACCACAGTCGAAGTCACTGAGGCGAGCTACGATCCGTGGGACGTACAGAAAGATATCGACGAAGCAGCTCAGGACCCACGCTTTTCTTTCCTCGAGAAGTCGATGAAGAAAGTAGCCCCTCAAACATTGAAGCAGAAGCCTATCTCATTGGCAGCGAGTGGAAAGAATATTCCAGCCGTCAAGAAGCCTGAAGGAGGATTCAGCTACAATCCCATGTACGAAGACTACGAAGAGCGGTTGATGACAGCGGGCGAGAAGGAATTGGCAGCCGAACAGAAACGACTTGCGGTCAAAGAAGCGGAGCGGGTGAAGCAAGAAGCAGCAGCCAAGTCTGCAGCGGAGGCCGAGGCGGCAGAAGCGAGAGCAGATTTATCGGAATGGGAAGAAGATTCTGCATGGGAAGGTTTCGAGAGTGGTACTGAAGAAGTGAAGCTGAATGCCAAGCGACCAGAAAGGAAGACTCAGGCCCAACGGAATAAGATAAAGCGGAGGAAGGAGGAAGAGAGAAAGGTGAAGATGGCTGCCAATGACCGGAAGAAGGCCGAACAGACCGCACAGATCAAGAAAATTGCCAAGGCTCTTAACGAAAATGAGCAAGCGAAGAAGATGGCTCTCGTCAAAGATGATGATAGCAGTAGCGAGGGCGATGACCTTGAGCTTCGAAGAAGGAAGTTGGGCAAGCTTCTTCTGCCAGAGAAAGATCTAGAGCTGGTCCTACCAGATGAGTTACAGGAGTCCTTGAGATTGTTGAAGCCCGAGGGTAACTTGTTGAAGGAGCGTTACAGAAATTTGCTGGTCAGGGGCAAACTTGAGAGTCGAAGACCAGTTGCCTTTCATAAGAAGCCAAAGCGGAAGGCGACGGAAAAGTGGACCCACAAGGATTTTATGTTGCATTAGATCGCTGGAATCGATGTCTGAGTCAAGTCCAATCTTGATGCGAGGCTTTGTGTGTTTGACAGTGATTTCTTTGTTCTCTTACTTTGTCGGGTGCTTTGAGTCTCTTTAGCTACCTTCTTTACTGCATGCAGAAAGTTCTGACACATACCCCTCTGTCTTATAGATATGTTTCAATTGCAGCTCTTCTTATGCGTGTCGATTGAATGGCGACTTGAATGATTGAGCATCAAAGGCCTTCTCGTTTATAATCCTTCGACATTCTTCTTCTTATCTCGTTGGTCTCTCATTATTTTAGTCTCAATATGCTGTTATAATGAGCTTTCTTACTGCCCACTAGACTCAGATCAAATGAAGGAGATATGGAATACCTCGGAATGATCTCTCTGCTCGAAGCTACAGTCAGCTCGAGGTTGAGACGATATTGACTTTGATTCTATGCAAACATACATGATCAGATCCTCTCTCTCTCTTTAATAATACCGTTCCACGCCATGCGAGGCTCGATAACATTATGAGATGCTGCTTTGGGACTCGGTCTCTTCCCAGTTCTTCCCAGTATCGCGTTCAGAATCGATCCAGTATCCAGACAACGACGTGTGCTTGGTTTCTTTCGTTTCTGTCTCGGTCTCAGCATCTATTCCATCTAGAATCTTTCTCGGGACGACCACTCACGTTGTTCCACATCAATCTCGGTCCAAATGTTGAGAATGCAATTCACCTCCCCTCCCCACCAGCATAAGCAAATGGTGAGGCCAGCATCTTCGCTCCACCATACTGTCGCACAAGAGAGTAAAAGGCTGTGAGTAAAGACCAGAGGAATCCTGCACTGCCGCAATGGCACCTAACCTCATGTTGGAGGGAGCATTGGTGGAGGTAGAACTTAGGCTGAGGGCGATGAAGGAGAAGAGAAGAAATTGGAGCGAGGAAAGAGATATAAGTGGGAGGATAGTGAGGTCGTCTCGTTCTGGGAAGGAACGAGTGATTGTGGGGAAGGTGGGTGTTGGGAAGTATTTCAGGGCAGGACTCGTTAAGGAAGGCACCACCATCACTGGGAAAACTTTACTGCAATGTCTTTGTTTCGAATTTGAAAAGATGAAACACATATACTACTTGTATTGAAGATGCACAATCTGTATCCGAAGCTGTCGAAAGAGCTGTTCTTGTTAGCATATATGCGGACTCGACACGTATATGGATGTATACTCGGCTCTTTTGACGAGGCAGTGATTCAAATCCGATTTTTTTACGGCATTTGTCTACAAGATACATTCTTCCCAGCTAGATCTTACCCCCAAACCTCTTCTGAACTTTCGTGCGCTAGGCTCCATTCTCTCATTGCCTTGCCAAATTCTCCATTCACATACAGCCTACCCGCATCTGGCATCTCTTCTAAATACCGGTCTAGCAATTGCTCTTTCACAGTTCCAATACGCTTCACTCAAGTCCATAAACCCCGTCCCGGATTCTGATAGTCCCCAACTAATGCGAAAGCACTAAGTCTTATGCCAAAGAGCTCCAAGAACTTCCTGATCAGAACCCACAAGATCACGCAAGTCAGATTGAAGACAAAACGCACACTCAAGATCTTCTGGGCATGTACTCTATTCCTGTCTGCCAGCTCAAAGAGCTTGAGTGGATTGCGTATGTATTTCAAGGCTCGTGAAGGTAGATTGGATCGTTGGAATCGAGAGTGGAGGCTGTTGATGTTTCGGAGAGCGTTTTTGGACCTTGGCGAAAGAAAAGCAGAAGGAATAGGGAGATAGTTGGTGACGAGGGACCGCAGCTGCGGTAAGGACGGTACGGCTATTATATTGTGTGGCAGAGAGCCATGTAGGATACGGACATCTTTTGTGGAAATGTGGGCACTGCAGGAGCATATCACAACCTGTATATTCGGCTGGACCTGAACCTCCTGTGTCTCCACATTCTGTATCTATTGTGAGCCTGCAGAACTCTGTTACACTGAAGATATACCTACATGCACGATGTCCCACTCTTTCAACTCTTCGGAGGATTTTGACTTTGATCGCATAATGGCTCGTTCTCAACACTTAGAGGCACAAGTCAAACCCGTTCTTCCCAGGAACTAGGCTCATATCTATAAGCCTTCCTATATCCCTCGTTCCTCGCATTCATCAGCCCCGAAGAGCTCAATCCTCCAATCCCATCTGGATCCAAAAAATATCCCAGTTTCCCCCGGATGTTTTACCCTTTCCACCTCCTTTCTCTTGTCTCTACCCAACGTCCCTCGCACGACAGCTACCAATTGTTCATCATCATCTAGAACACTACGCCTCAATTCCAATGACCACGGTCCACATCTCCACCTCTTCGTGTCGCACACCAACCGCAAAGTATTACCCAACCCGAAGCCAAGCCTCCGAAAGCCCTACTCCCAGGATGGAAACAACGCCATGGGCCCTCTCTCTTTCCATCTCGTGGACTGTGGTGACACCCGTTACGAGGGATCCAACCAAGAAACCCTGGCTTTATTCCCACGAATCCAAGACACGTATCGTTCTCGCTGAACAAAGAAGCTCAGAAAAAAAAGTAAAAAGAGGCACATGTGTGTAACGCTCTGTAATTCGATTAAGTTTTCGTTCATGCACGTCAAGACCCGGTTCGCCAATCTTTTGCCGTTCCAATGCATCTTTAACCCGCACGATTCTGCAACCTCGCCTCACAATACCACCACCACATCTGAGACTGCATCAAGACTATGTCTCTAAGAGGAGGAATATCTTGCGATATTTGCAACTTGTGGGACTTGCACGGGGCCTTATCGTAAGCTCGAGCTTACCTTGGGGTCGGAAGCTCTGCACGAGGGAGGCATGCGAGAACGTGGCAGCGATTGGGGTCCAAGTCCATATTTGCGGAACCTGTACCGTACGACTTCGGACGGATTTGGTTGTAGTACATAAAGGAAGCCTCTAGATTGGCTCTTCATTACGAAGGTGAGTTGGGCATTGGGCGTTGGACACACGAACTGGAGTGATGTGTTGTGCGGAAAAGGCAAAAGACAATGCTGCAGATATTGAAGTGAGACTTGCAGGTGAATCATGCATAGTCTCTCATTGCTCATCGAGAGACTTTCGAAGCGCCCATGGAACAAATCATGATCAAGTGCCGCGAGGAAATGCGCTCGGAAACGGTGGTTCATATGCAGGACGGGATAATGTCTCTGAAATCCACAAAATGCAAGTCGCAAAGTCTAGACCTATGATATATACTGCCGAACCGTCATGTATGCAAGTACAATCTTCAACTACGTCTTATAAGTTGTAAGAGCAGGAGTTCCAGGCGCTGGCGGTGCAGAAAATCTCGTCTGCACGAAAACCTTTTGCATGCCGTCTTCCTTCTTCTCGAACTTGTAGTACACCTCGTCCAACTCGCTAATATCGACTCTGTGAGAGACCATCTTAAGTGGATCGATCTCTCCACTCTCGATCATCTTGCAAAGTTTCTCCCAGTACATGTGTACGGGGGCTTGTCCATTCCCAATAAGACGGACTCCTCGTTCCATCAACGAACCAATGTTGAAGTGGTTTGTCTGCATGCATTAGTACGGTTGTCCGAGCAAGAAGGCTTGAGCAGGAGACTCACAAAACCAACGTAAACGCCTGTGATCCCGCATCTCCCGAAGTTCTTCACTGATGTGATCATCTCGTTGACGATTTCGGAAGTATCCGTCTCCATCCCGAGCATCAATTCGAAGTAATGAGCCCACCCCTTCGCATATTCGCCGGCCACGCATTCAAGAGCCACATCCGGACCCCGAGGAACCATCTCTTTCAGCTTTGCTGTAACCGATGTCCCTCTAGGCAAAGCGGTGTAGTCTAAAAGTTCCACCTTCGGTGTCTTGGACTTTACAAAGTCAAGCCTCCAGTTGCTGTCTATCATGATCACGCGCGATGCTCCGTTCATGAAGGCAAAATCGGCGCACATTTGACCAATAGGTCCTGCTCCCCATATCGCAACAACGTCGTCCTTTTCGACGCCTGTATCTACGACACAGTTCCAGGAAGTGGCCAGAACATCTGAGAGATAAAGTCCTTTTTCATCTGGCACGCTTGATGGTAGCTTGAGGAGATTCACGTCGCCGTATGGAACACGTACGTACTCGGCTTGTCCTCCTGCAAAGCCACCTGTAAAGTGAGAATAACCAAACATACCAGCAGTCCGACCGCCGTACTGTACTGTTCTTAGCGATGACTAAAATGCTCAGATGCTGTGACTTGCCATGCCTTGCTCCATAGTATTGGAGTTTGTCTTCTCGCACTGAGATGATTGTTTCTTCTGGCAGTAATAACACTGTAATAGTTGGTTAAATATAATCGTGCATATATTGGGGAAGTAAGTAAGAAGACATACCTCACCACAAGCGATCTGAAAAGATGCCACAACTCGGTCTCCCTTTTGCAAATTTGTCACGCTCGACCCCATCGACTCAACAATACCACAGAACTCATGACCAAGGATATCTCCCTTCTCCATTTGCACCACAGATCCGTGCAAAAGATGAAGATCGGAGCCACAAACTGTGCTTCCCGTAACTTTTAGGATAACATCTCTTGGTTCTACAACTCGTGGTTTTGGGACATCATCTAAACTCCCTTGAGGAACCGAATCTTTGACTTCATTACTAAATCACTTACGAATTTGCACATCATTCTTCCCCATCCAGACCAAAGCCTTCATTGTTTCGCCACTAGGGTCGGCATACTTTGCACGATCTCGGGCCGGGTTGGTGAGGTCTTGTTCCGTGGTTGCATTATTGCCGTGGCCGATGACTTTCTCGACCAGTGCTGCAGCTTGACTCAATGCCATGTTGAATAGGAATTTCTGGCTTATCTGAACGTAAATATGAACTTATGATAGAGACGAGTTCAGAATGAAATGGATTGAAGTAAGTGGAGTAACTTCCCCTTCCAATTTACCCAGTCGATCATTTACGTCACCCCCTTTAGCTCAACAGCGTACGTCACAGTATACGAGACATCTGCAAGAGAGTGAAGAAACATTTCGAGTCGATGTATTCTGAACAGTTGCTTGCAGAAATGAATATAATTCGAAGCAATTTATCATTTCAAGCCGATGCGGGTGGTTTTCGTTGTGGTAGACATCAAGGTGACTTCGCTAGCTAGTCTTGAACAGATTTCTCGCAGCAAAGGCAAAATCGACAGCCGATGACAACTAGGTCAACTACTCGCAAGATTCTCCTCGATCTCTTAAAGTACAGCCGGAATCGAAGGTACGGTCGGTGCTGCTAGAATCTTCTTGAACCAATTCAGGCGGGTCTGTTTGCTACTTTGTCCGATCTTGGAGTTCGGAGCAAAAACGTCGTAGCCATGTCTGCAAATAAATAAGCTATTGTGAATGACTTGAATGGAAATTAAGGTGGGCAAAATCAGAGTTCGAAGGGAACGACTTGGGTATTTCATGGGGGACTCACAATCCTCCTGGCCACACATGCAACTCTGCCTGGACACCATGTTCCCACAATTTTGTTGCAAAAGCTACATCTTCGTCTCGAAATGGTTCGGATGCTCCAACTTCAATGAAAGTCTGGGGCAGGCCAGAGAGATCCTGTGCTCGAGATGGTGCATCATATATGCTGACCTTGTCGGTTCCTCGAATACCAGGCAGATAATGATTCCAACATTCCACGTTGGCTTTGCCAGTCCAGTTTCCCAAAGTCTCGAACTGCTTTACGGAGACGGAAGTGCATCGGTCATCCAACATTGGATAGACGAGCACTTGTGCAAATAAAGAGGGGCCTTTTCTGTCGCGATTTAGAAGAGCAACACCTGCGGCAAGCCCACCTCCAGCAGACCCTCCTGAAATGATAATCTTGCTGGCATCCACTCCCAGAGTAATGGCATTCTCAAACATCCACTTGAGACCAGTGTAGCAGTCTTCTACCGCAGCAGGTGCTGGGTGTTCAGGAGCTACCCTATACTCGACACTAACCAAGACGGCACCAATCTCTTCTATTGACGAGTTAGTTCAGACCTTCAACAACAATCTAGGAGCTGAGGAGCTCATCTGAGAAGCTAAACCGCATCTTCTTTGATGTGCAGCGCTCGAGGATGATCCAGAGAAGCTCGGCTCTCATGATTGCTGCAGAATTCAACTTACTGATGGTAGGAAACATATTGTTGATCAGGAAGAGTCGAGTCCCCAAAACCATACCACCACCATGGATTAGATAAATGCCAGGAGCATTCTTCTCTGGGGTCGAAGTCTTGGAGCGAAGGATAGACAGGATGATCTCTCCCCCTGGACCTGGTGTCGTGGCTTCTTCATAGGAAATATCAGGGTCGTCGCTATTGATAAGTCAACATCTTGTTGAAGTGTTCAAGAGCCGATGTCTTCACAGAACTCGGCACTCAAAATATCCTTGCAACAGGGTCAGAGTTCGGCTTACTGGACTTGTTGAATTCCACACAGGGGCTCAACAAATTTGCGCCGCTTGATGATACTTTGTAGTGTGAATTCTTCCTGACTTTCAACAGGTTCGAGGAGCGCGACCAATTCAGGGTCAATAGGAGGGCCTGGAAACGACATAATGAGATAGTTGGATTCTATCGTTTCTCTTTGGATCAATCTGTCTTGAAGATTGCTGAAAAGAGGTCGGGTCGAGGACGGCTATTATATAGGTCCTGTACTACCATACTTTCCAGAGAAAAGGCACAGCACCTGGTGCCGGTCTCTCATTGGACGGATGCATGCGCAGTTTCAAGGAGGTCAGGATCTGGCCCAATATCCCTAGAGTGGCTTTTGGCATCAGCCATAATTCCCTCATCAGGACATAGTATGAAGAGAACTGACTCTTTTGACCATAAATGTGCAAAGCGATTTTTGGTGAGACTCCACAATTTCGGTTGATCGTGACTCGCCTCGGCTGTTCCAGGACTTCTTCAGATTTCACTCTCATTATCGCCGACTCTTGCTCCTTTGGCTACATGATTTCTATAACCGCGGCCATGCCATATCTCCGAAAGTTTATCGATCAAGCCAAAATGACTCTTCACCGAGTTTCATGCCGCTTGTTACGGGCGTAAAAGTCATGTGATTACGTGATTTTCGTGTTTCACCCTTTGGCTGCGCCGCGCGCGGACCTTGGGAAAGAAAAGAAGAGACAAAGCTGCGTCATATAACTAGAAAACTTAACCCAGCATCGTGTCTCCTTTAGGTTAGCTTGGAAACACTTTATCATGGTGTAAAACTGCTAGAGTTGAGGTAATGTCTGGCGGAGATCCGAAGATAACGAAGCCAAAGATGGGATGAATGCATTCAACATGTAAACCTGGTTTGATGACCTTCGATTTTGACCTCTGGCTCTTTAAATTACATGTTCTGATCCTTCGAAACATTTCTGTAATCACTATTCAAGTCCCAGAGATTTTGAAATAATGTCTTTGTTGTCCGTAACTCCAGCAGAGTAAGTCTCATATTTATCCTTTTATTCGCTCAACCCTAATATGATTATAGAGGTGTCAACATTACTGAAGATGACTTGACTGGTGTTGCTGCCAAATTTGGCTACCAGTTCAAAGACAATGAAAAAGCCGAGTACACGACTTTGCTCGCTGCTACATGCAATGCCATGCAATTCGTCTCCGAAATGGATGGTACGTTTTGTAACCACACTTATTTGCATACATTTTGACCAATTTCAAATCAGATTATCAACCAGAGCCTGACTTGGAATTGAGCCCACGAGAAAACCTGTAAGTAGTTGGTTATTTTTGGACCAGGACCAACTAAAAGAAACTAGCTACTTCCCAGCAAAGTCGGATAATCCAGACAATGCCTGGGCCCATCGGTTCACTTTGGCTCATAAATCACCAACTTCCACATTACTCCAAGGACGAACTGTCTGCATCAAAGACAACATCTGCGTTGCTGGCGTCCCATGCCTAATTGGTACTGACACATTTACCGGTTGGACACCTAAAATGGACGCAACGATCGTGAGCCGGATCTTAGAAGCCGGTGGGATTATCACAGGCAAAGCTGTCTGCGAAAATCTTAGCACAAGCGCTGCTTCGTATACAGCCGCCACTGGACCTGTCAATAACCCGTATGCCAAAGGGTACAGTGCTGGCGGTAGCAGTTCAGGTACTGCAAATTTGGTCGCGAAGGGTGAGGTTGATCTTGGCATTGGTGCTGACCAAGGTGGCTCTATTCGCATACCAGCAAGCTTATGTGGCCTTGTTGGATTCAAAGCCACATTTGGTTTGGTCCCATATACTGGTTGTGTGAGTAACGAAGCAACGATTGACTTTGTTGGCCCAATCACCAGGAACTGTTTGGACAATGCGCTGTTACTCGAAGCTATTGCTGGCGTTGACGGGCTTGATGACAGACAGCGCGCTGGGACACCCTTTCGAGACCAAGTCCCAAAATATTCTCAGATACTGATGGAAACCAAGGATAGTGGGGTGAAAGGCATGCGTATTGGGATTCTGAAGGAGGGTTTGACACAAAAGATGCTGGATTCTGGTGTTGAAGCCAAATTTCAGGCTGCTGCAAAAGTCTTTCAAGACTTGGGAGCAGTTGTCGAGGACGTCAGTATCCCAATGCATGAGATCGCTCCAGCTTTGTTTGGTGCTGCAAGCCGTCAAGGAGGTGTTATGGGACGGATCGGAAAAGCATCAGGACGCCGACAAGTCATGCTGACAGACTTATATGAGAAGATGTTGCCATGTACAGCAACCTCGATAGAAAAGGTAATATGCCGCACTCTGTACGTACATCGCCGCCGCTAATGCTTGTCGCAGATGAGTCCAGTGAGCAAGAATTCGGTCTTTGGTGGAGAATTCTGCTGGGAACGATTCCCTCATGTCTATGCGAAAGCGGTGAATTTATGCAGGAAGCTGACCGAGGAGTACGACGAGATACTCAAGAAGTACGATCTCCTCAGTATGTCCAAATCTACCTTTGTTCTGTATTTGTTGAAGGAGCCTAGATCTTCCGGATTTGATCGGGGGTTGCTCATTAAGAAGATGTGTTTCAACTCCTCGAACGAGCCTCTCGACTCCCAGATCTCTTTCAAAGTACCATACTGACTTCTTTAAAGTTATGCCTACAACTATTACTCCAGCAGATCCACTACCTACTGACGATGATTCTCCAATCACAAAGATGAGCAAAACCATCGGGAAGCTCGACAACACCTGTCCTTTCAATGCGACAGGACACCCTGCTCTCGCTTTTCCTATTGGTTTCGTTCCAGCAAAGGCTGATGAAAACATACGTGTCCCAACTAGTATGCAGATTGTGGGCAAGCATTTTGATGAAATCACTTGTTTGAAAGTGGCATATGCCTGGGAGAACGCTCGAAATTGGAAAGAGTTTTGATGAGTTCGTATAATTCATCCGGGTGGTACTATGCTTGCGATTGAAGAATAGGAACTCAGCACAATAGAATTCGAGTTGGACTGCGTCCAATGGACAAATTGAAGCACATAAAAGATTTAGTACTACAAAATGTAACCATTTTGAACTCTGAATTCAGTATTTTCCCTAGAGATATTTAGGGATTTGCGCGTTTCGATTGGTTTCTCAGCCGCAAGAAATAAAAGGGGTGAAAGGCGAGGCGAAGCCGAGATTCAGGGGTACGGTACGGCGACCCAAGTAAGCTCAAAACGACGGGGTACCAAAATTTCGCATGCTCGCTTTCGCCGCTTTCTGCTATCGATTGATTTCACGCGACCATCCGAATGGCCCTGTACCACCAGCTCTTTTCTGCAGAATTCATTGTAATTTGTTTCCTTTAGTTGTACCTGCGCTTTGTCTTTAATTATTTGCTCGTTTTTCTTGTACCTATACCCAACATGCTCGTCCGAGCCGCACGACGAAAAGCTCGATTAGATACATTTCGAAATAGAATCCTCTCCGAACAATCGAGTCTGCCATGGCTATATCCATCCTATACATTAGGGCAGAGAAGCCGGAGATGGGTGTCGGTCGAAACGGGATCCCCCAGTCCTGCAATACGAAAGAGAAGGGACTCGAATGATACATCTAATCAACCAACCCGGCGCGCAATGGCAACAGCGGCGACGTACAGTTCGATGGACGAGATACCATTTGTGGGCATGGGCAATGTGCCACCCCTCTCTTCAGCTTCGAACACGTTAAACAGCACAAGCTCCATTTTCGAATTACATCATGGACACGAACCATTAGCACTGGGTGGCTCACTTGCAACGCCTTCATCAGTACGGCTGAGAATGGATCGTGGTGTCAGTGCTATTGGTGGTGATTTAGCTGAAGTTCAGGCTGTCTTTCATGCTTGTTTGCAAGTTGGGAGGATCGAACGGGCTGGTGCGATTCTTCGCCGGTTGTCCAACGTGGAGCTATCTATGGTAGAGATGGTGTACCTTCAGCATCAATACCTTCGAGCTGCTGTAGCACAAATCATGGCCAATCCTACCGAAGCTGCGATGCAAGACCTCCATAAATGGTTTGAGCTCGAGATCAGATCGAAAGGCATTCCTCAAGATGTGGAGATGGTTGCATATATGGTTAAAGCGGCTCTTCAGTCGCCAGGTGGACAAAGGGAAAGGCTTGTTCGTCGATACATGGACATGCTCGACAGGGAGGCAAGTCTGGAACTTTTGCAATACGCAGCAGTCTTGACCGCTCACGAACTAAATCACATCACCCACATCTATCCGAACTATAATTATGAATCATCTCATATAGAGGAAGAAGATGTAGACCTTCAATCCGTCGCCCCCGAAGCCTCGGAGCAAGTTCATGTCGATGCAGAGCGATCTATTCCAGGCGTGAAACCCACGGATCTGAAAGGAATGGGCTTGAAATCGCTCAAAGCATCACTCTCTCTATTTTCGAAGCTTCCGAGTGAAGGCATTGACATTGCCACTGCTAGCCCAGAGATGAGGCGAGAGATCCAAGGTCGTTTAGAGAGTGATGCTGTGGAGTCTGCAATTGCAAGGTGGAGGGAAGAAAGCGCTCATCTTACAAAGATGGGTCTGAACACAAGTCTTCAGACAAAATCTTTGGGGGGAAGGATGTGGAAATGGCAAGTGGCTCTCGAGCAACACTTGAAAGCGGAACTTGTCAAGATCGAAGAAGCCGAAGTACCTTCAGCCAGAAAATCCACTGAGGACCAGGACCGATGTATATACGGTCCATTTTTGCGTACGATACCTCCTCAAAGACTGGCAGCTGTAACGATCCTATCGACCATGGGTGCTTTGGGTTCACTGGGCGTGGATAAGGGTATGCCGTTATCCACCGCAATTATGGCCATAGCCAAGAGTGTCGAGGACGAAAGCGCATACGAGGCCTTGCAACGGAGTAGGAAAAGCAACATATGGCCTGCATCCAAGAAAGACAAAACCTTGTTCTCCAGAGAAGCTATCTTGAAAGCTACTCGTGGTCGTAGGGCAGGAGCTGTGGCAAAGTACGCGAATCGTTTCTTGGATCAAGCAACCGCCCTTCCACAACACGAATGGCCCATGGCCATGAGAGCCAAAGTTGGTGCATTCTTGATGTCGGCTTTGGTGGAAGTTGCGCAAGTGCCAGTGACTCTGACACATCCAAAAACCAAGGAGACCGTCACACAGATGCAACCTGCATTTTCACACTCGTTTCAGTATAAGATGGGCAGAAAGCTTGGAGTTATTGTGGCAAACAAGGCCATAGTCGAGCAGTTGAAGCGAGAGCCAGTACATAGTCTCCTGGCAAAGCACTTGCCAATGCTTGTGCCACCCGAGCCGTGGTCACTATTCGACAAAGGCGGTTTCATATCTCATCCAGGGAAAGTGATGCGAATCAAGGCTGGTGACAAGGACCAGAGGCATTACGTGGATGCTGCAATCGACCAAGGCGACATGAAAATAATGTTCGATGGCTTGAACGCTCTAGGCAGGACACCTTGGCGAATCAACCAGCCGGTTTTCGATATCATGCTGGAAGCGTGGAACTCCGGCGAGGCAATCGCCAATATTCCTGCTGAAAATCCGAAAATCTCGATCCCTCCAGAGCCCGAGCCATCAACAGATCCCTTAGAACGACGTCGATGGATTCGAGCTGTAAAAAACGTGGAGAATGCTAAAGGTGGTTTGCATTCGCAGCGCTGCTTTCAGAACTTTCAGATGGAAATTGCCCGGGCACTGAGGAATGAACAATTTTATTTCCCTCATAATATCGACTTCCGCGGCCGGGCTTATCCAATACCGCCGTATCTCAATCACATGGGCGCCGACCACTGCAGAGGTCTCCTCACGTTTGGTGAAGGCCGAGAGCTTGGGGAAACGGGATTGAAGTGGCTCAAGATACATCTCGCCAATGTCTTCGGCTACGATAAAGCTAGTCTGAGGGAACGGGAGGAGTTTGCTATGAAACATCTCGATTCCGTGATCGACTCTGCAACTAAGCCCTTGGTTGGTGCTCGTTGGTGGCTCGAGGCCGAGGATCCTTGGCAATGTCTGGCGGCCTGCATTGAGCTCAATAATGCGCTCAGCTCCCCTGATCCATCTCGATTCGTTTCTCACCTCCCAGTGCACCAAGATGGTACCTGTAACGGACTCCAACATTACGCAGCTCTTGGTGGTGACCTATGGGGCGCTAAACAGGTCAATCTGGAGCCTGGTGATAGGCCTGCGGATGTCTACACAGCTGTGGCGGAGTTGGTGAAGGCACAAATCGCCGACGAGAAGAAGAAGGGGGACCCAATGGCAATCATCCTCGATGGCAAAATCACTCGCAAAACAGTCAAGCAAACAGTCATGACCAACGTGTACGGTGTGACTTTTATTGGTGCCAAAGCACAGGTTCGGAAGCAGCTGGTCGCAGCGTACCCAAACCTTCCGACCACGGACACAATCAATTTGGGAACCCTCTCTTCATACGTGGCTACTAGAATATTCACGGCTCTATCCACCATGTTTAAAGGCGCTCATGACATTCAGCACTGGCTTGGGGATTGTGCCAGCAGAATTTCGACCTGTATAACTCGGGAGCAGCTGTCACGTCTAGAGTCTGAGTGGTCCAAACTCTCTGGGCCGAAAGACCAGAGGTATGTGCCGAAAATCGAAGATCTAGTTCAATTCAAGTCTAGTGTAATTTGGACAAATCCAGTCCATATGCCAGTGGTACAGCCATATCGCAACTCAAAAGCCAAGGTTGTTCCGACGAACATGCAGATGCTCAGTCTGTCAGAACCGCATCGGTCAGATCCGGTCAGTAAGCGAAAACAATTGCAAGGATTTCCGCCAAACTTCATCCATTCATTGGATGCCACACATATGATTCTCTCTGCTATACGTTGCGATGAGCTTGGATTATCGTTTGCCGCCGTACATGATTCCTTCTGGACTCATGCCTCAGATGTGGGAACAATGAATCGAGTTCTGAGGGACGCTTTCATCCAAATCCACACTGATGATGTTGTGGGACGTCTCAGTGCCGAATTTGCTGCTCGATACAGTGGTTGTGTATACCTCCGAAAACTTCCGCACACATCACCAGCGTACAAAAAGATTATGCAATGGCGTGCAACCCGGGCCGAGCAGCGCGCGCGTCTTCGAAGCACTCCACGCGGCTTGCTGTTCGCTGACGAGCTGAAATTGGAGTCCAAACGTCAGAGACTACTTAGCTCGTCAAATCCTAAAGACATTGAGAAAGGCAAAGCGATGATAACGGCTGCCAGTATCTTCGAAGAAGCCGACACGTCCAGTGCACACAGCGTTGATGAAGGGCTCGAGCTTGCTAGACTCGGACAGGTATCTTCCTCTGGTGAGCAGAGCACAGAATGTATATCACGTGACGCAAATGACGATGAAGCTCGACCATCCGAAAACATGGATTCAGATGAAGAATTGATGGATGCAGACGCTGACAAGGCGAAAACTTCCCCAGAGGACAAGCTCAGCGGCTTCGAGAAGTTACTTTTACCCCGACATACAAAGTATCCTCAAATTACTGCTACTTCGATCTGGCTTCCTCTGACCTTTCCCCCGGTCCCGAAAAAGGTGAGTCGGCCCCACAGCGTGCAACTTAGATATGCTAATGAATCCAGGGGGAGTTTGATGTCTCAAGACTGAAGAACAGCGAGTACTTCTTTTCATGATCAAGAATATCGGGCAGGGTTGCGACATATCAAATCCCATAATCTGGGGTTTCGGCTGATCTTTCCGTGAAGAAACACGGGCAAGGGGAGACGGGCAGAACAATTGAGTGTTTCGATGAAGAATCTTGCAGCAGCATAGCGACGGCATTGGCATTTACGGGCGTTGGAAATCCGTCTTTGGTGGAAACTAGACATAGACTCTGGTCAATTGTAGATTAGCAGCAAGGGCCCCTTGCTTTGTGGTCACGGGCTTCGTATTACCCCACAACTCCTCAACAGGCAAAATGGTAATTCATATAAAAACCCTTTCTTCAAGCATGCACTCTATTCATCTCCTGAATATGGAATGCCACAAATACACACAGCATACCACAGCCATGCGCCAATTGGTTCGCCTCTTGACCGACCAAGGATTTCACATATCTGAAAGTTTCGAGGCATTCTCTGATTCTAGGATGCCATGTGGGCTAGCCGCAGGGGATCTCATGTTAGACAGATTAACTGTATCCCTCCCCGACACAAACCTACCGTCCAACCCTTATACAGTCAAACATCGGTAAGATACCACTGTGGCACGGAACGAGGGACGAATACAGTTCGGAGAGAGAGGCATAAGAAGTCATCAGCTCCGCATGCCTAGTATGGTACGGTGAGTATTTGAGATAATAAATACCTCACTTAACCTCAAACGCAAATCAATATCGACAGATACAGTTCGCAAAATGATATCTGCAATCACTTATTCAGTTGTGTTGGTTCTTCTTGCTGGGTGAGTAGAGTGCTCCACTTGTGCCTTTCGTCGTCTGAACTTGGGCTTACGAGGTTGTGAATAGGCAATTTGTCGCGGGCTTACCAGAATTGCTTGCAAAAAAAGATCCCACATGCGGACCAACGGTTGCTACGGTTTCTCATGTCACTACCATCACGGTCGAGAGCATTTTGACGATACCCCACGCGTGTTACACTCATACAGTAACGACGAAACACCACGGGTCCGGTAGGTAGGATTGAGCCCGTACTGTACTTGCCCCTGCTGATATTGATCGTAGGCTGTCCCGATGTCTCCACGTGTGGCCCACATGCGGATTGTATAATGCTCTCAACAGAAACCGTCACGCTCCCTGCAAACGACTTATGCTGCCCAACAACTCCGACTGTTGCAGTGCAAGGGCCTTGTCCTACCTGCCAAAAGGGCTGTCTTACGAACACGGTCACCGAATATCTTACTGGAGATCCAGCTTCTCTTGCCAAGAAAGAGGCTGCTATCACACCATGTACGAAAGTAATCTTCATGTCTGAGACCATGGTGCTTGGACCTACAAAGACGGTACATCCCTTGACATCAACAAGTACAGTGTATGTACCATGTGGAGGATGTCAATTAATGACATCCAATATTGGAGGAATCGGGCCAGAGATCAGTTTCTCTGCGACCATCACCGACCCAAGTACTGCCACAAGCACAGCTTGGGTTTGCATGTAGAGATGGAAGTGACTGATATGAGAGGTAGGAGGATGCGAACTTATCTTGAGCCTTGAGAAGGAAATGCGTAAGATACTGTATATAGTCTTTGATGAACAACAAAAGTCATGAATTTGGCAAGAAATAATATGTCATATCCAACTTGAGATTGGATTTTTTTTGAAGGTCAGCGAGTCTCACCGGTGTCCAAAAAACGAACAGGACGACAAGTGCGTGGAAAAACAATTATCTAAAAGCGCGGATAGAGATATCAGAAACAATACCACTTAGTAATTTACATCGACTTTCAACCCATACTGAGCATTGATCATGCTGCCATTTGTGAACAGAACGTTGTGACAAAGGCTCGGACGTCGTCTGAAATGCAGGGCCCAGAAATTCAGGGCGAGCTCCGACCCCGCCATCCTTAATTTTTGGTTGCGACTCAACAGCCAGACTCAGAGAATAGGACGAAGGTCAACACCACCACCCTTTCTCAATCTTCGTATCAATTATCAATCAACATGGGGAATTCCACAGTAAACCCCGAAGCTCTCGTCCCAAAGTTCAAACTCACTCGTATTCTGAATCAAGGTAAACAAACAATGTTCTCCCACTACCCCTCCACACCTCTCTAACAATACTTCCAGACCAAGCCGGACGCCGCAGTGTACTCTACGGCACGATAGACTCCTCACCCGCGATCCTAATCCTCGAACGAGCCCCTTTTCCTACCTCTGAAACCTACCTCTCTCAATTGCCTTCCACTCTATCGTCAATAAAGAATCTTGGCGCGAACGATGTATACTTCTGGTACCTCGCCAACAGCTCTCCCTACACATCAGACGGACAGCCAGCAGACTTCGCCGATCTAAAGATCAATCTAATATATCCGTGTACGGAGCAACACGTGAAGAAGTACAGCAAGCAAGGTGTACGAATGGTTGTCGAGACGCCGGAGATTTACAGGGAGCATGTCAGACCCTACATGCTAAGCAAACGCGAGCAAGGACGGCTGAATTGGGTGTGGAACATAATTGATGGAGAAGCGGAAGTGGAAGATGTGATATATAGGACTCCACGGGGAAGGGATGGAGACGAGGGTTTCCTGCTAACGCCAGACTTGAACTGGGACCGAAAGACGATGGAGGGACTACATTTGCTGGGGTTGGTGGAACGGAGAGATATTTGGAGCTTGAGAGATCTTAAGAAGAAGCATATTCCGTGGTTGCGGCATATGAGGGAGAAGCTGCTGCAAGCTACGGTCAAGACTTATCCGGAGCTGGAGGAGGATCAACTGAAGCTCTATGTTCATTACCAGCCGACATATTACCACTTCCATATCCACATTGTTCATGTGGCGTTGGAAGCTGGTAATACACAAGCGACAGGAAAGGCGATTGGATTGGAGAGTATCATGGAGCAGTTAAGAACGATGGAGGGAGACGAAGATGCTGGTATGGAGAAAGTTGATTTGCATTATACACTGGGCGAAGCTAGTGAGCTATGGACGGAGATATTCGGGCCTCTGAAGCAGAAGAGGCTTGATAGAGCTTCTCAATCGCAATGACCAGATCATTGACGCCCCCTCCACTTGGACAGTCCTTCCATTGTCTCCCGTCGCGGACGCAGTATATTTCTTCGTTCACTCGGATTGTGCAGGATTTGGTCACACCAACATCCTTCGAATGTCGCACACTGTCTCGTAGCATACCCATGCCGAGTCCACCGTTGTCTGCCACTGCGCACTCGTTCAGTTTGTCGAAGTCGATGCCGTGCTCGAGAGCACAATCCTCCACCAAATTCTTCGATGGAATATCTTGGTAATCTCGAGTCAGGCACATCGTGAATCCGAGGTAGATCTGGAAAGGTGTTAGAACTTTCTTTCCGTATATATAGATAGAATAGATACCTTGGGATCCGGGTATAGTTGCGCTGAGCAGAGCTCTATTATATTTCCCATGCACTCCTCGGGACCATGCATGCAGTCAACCCCATCATTATCCGTTGGTGTACCAATATACGATAGGGTGAAGTTGACTTTGTCGATGACTCTCTGCATCGTAGGTAGCACCAGCATCTTTAAGCAGTCCTATATAAGGTCAGATATTTGCTCGCAGATATTGGCATGTGAAACCGACCTTCGCGTCGGGACATTTGCTCATTATATGAGCTTCTAATGGCACGAGCGGTTTATCTGCTAGGATATGAACTGGTGTATCGATTTTGACCACCTGATTATGGCATGGCAGATGAAAAGCATAGTTGCTGAAGACGGAGGACCATAGCAAATAGCACAAGGCGACAACACCGAAAGCTATAGCTAAAGGTCGGCTCCTGTGCCCTGGAGATCGTATAAACATGGTATCGTCCTTTTCATTATCCATAACAGGGCGTTTGATATCGCTAGCAACGGTGGGTAGCATGTCGGGCTTCATATTGATGGATCCATGAAGATGTTGAAGGTGGGAGAGTCTCAAATGTGCAAATGACGAGGCTAACAAACCCAAGACATGACATGGCAAAGACCCCTGTTTTCCCGTTGCTAATGCCACGCCTGACTGTTTCCTCCCTTGACTCAACAGCCTCGCATCAACAGTCATGCACTAAGGGACCAGGCTGAGCTGTACCTTAATCAACTCTGCCGTCTCCCTTAATTGCATCTACATGTTCCTTTTTCTCAATCTCCATGGCGGCAACAAGGGAGTCTCTGGACGAATTTCTTCGCCCGTTGCAAGTCGATATACCAACAATTCATAACTTGGCTAACAAGCTCTGCGCTACTTATACGGCTCTTGCGGCGAAGTCTCAGGACCAATTTCTCCCTACGCCGATTTCGGATAGTGTTCTGCGTTCCTCAGGAGAGGCGAAGGGAAGGTGGGTTGCCTTCTGTTACCTCGTCTCTTTCGTTTCACGAGGTGATACCTATTCTTAGGTTCCCCGTGTGTTCCAAGCTTTGCATTCAAATTCTACGAAGGGTCGCGTGCGCTGTATGCTGACAAGTCGATAGGTACTTGGCTATTGATATGTGAGTAACTCATAGCGGGCCCCCCTCTGCAGAGTGACCGTCCTGACGTTTGACAGAGGTGGCACGAATCTAAGAGTTGGCTTTATAAAGCTCCTGGGCAATGAATCTGCTGAAACCAAGAATGGCTTCCTGGTCTCTGAGCTCGAGGTTGAGGAAGGATCACGTGTGACCAGATGCTTGGAGAAATCGTGGCCAATTGGCGAACAGTTGAAGAATAACAATGCAGAAGAATTTTTCAACTGGATCGGGAAGTGTATAGCTGAGGTGGTAAAAAGTGGCTGTAAAGAATGGCCCGAAGAAATGAGAGGGACTATTCCTCTTGGAGTAACCTTTTCCTTCCCGATGATGTTGGTCCCAACTGGTACTATATGTTAGGTTTTCTGCTAATCTACATACAGCCAACATACGTTATCAGATGCTACTATAATGGATATGGGTAAAGGCTTTGTGATACCCAAAGGTTTTGACCTAGGCACAAACCTCTGTCAAAGCTACGACAGAGCACGAAGTCCAGAATTGCCACAAGTGAAGATGACTGCAATAGCAAATGACACCGTCTCGACTCTGGTCTCCTTTACTTACCAGCATGGCACTAATCCTCGACAACGACCTGCTATGGGACTCATTTGCGGTACGGGCTGCAATGCCACAATTCCGATGTCACTCAACAAACTGAAAGCTAGCAAAAGACCATCGAAAGTAAAAGTCTTAGATGGCTCAGACGACTCAGATCAAGAGCTCAAGATTGCCGTCAACACAGAATGGACTATCAAAGGTGCAGCTGGACCTTTACATGACCTGAACCTAGTCACGTCTTGGGATAAAATTCTGAGCGACGAGAACATACCACCGGGCTTTCAGCCATTCGAATTCATGACAGCAGGACGATATCTAGGCGAACTAGGTCGAATTATCATCCTCGATTATTTCACCGCCCATCTTCGCATACCTGACTCACATCTCCCTTCAAGCCTGACACAACGATATGGCCTTACAACCACTTTCCTTGGAAACCTTGGGCCTCATCTAGCAGTGACCGAACCTTCTATGATCAAACAGCTCCAAACAGAACTTCCATCTCCCGACACGTCCTGGCAATGGTCGGAAGAACTAGCAACAATCGTCTACACCATCGCGAAAGCTATCGAGACTCGAGCCGCCGGCCTCGTAGCAGCAGCCATCATCGGCCTCCTCGGCTCCGCAGACGAGATCCACCTCTCGCTCCTAGAAAACGCCGTCAACGGCAATGGACCTCCAATCATCCAGCACCCGGACGTCGACGAGTTGTTAATTGGCTACACAGGCGGATGTATCGTCCATTTCCAAGACTATCTCGAAGACTGCCAGAATTTTCTCGATGGAATTATGACGGCGGAATTCGGTGACGGAGAAGAGGTGCCGAGAGTTGCGTTGCGGCCTTGTCATAATGGCGGTATCATCGGTGCTGGCATCTTGGCCGGGACAGTGCAGAGTGTCGCGAGGGATACATGAGGGAAATTTACATCGTATATGCATGAGATTGGAGTTTTGGCGTCTGGAATGCATTTTTTGAGATATAGAACGATTTGTTTTACCAGGCAATAAGAGAAGGATACGCATATAGCATAGCATAGGGAGCATGATTGAAATGAAGCAATGGTTTTCAGATTCCTATTGTTCATGATTGAGCTATGAGTGATTTCGTCAAGCAATCGTCAGACTGAACATAAATTATTGCTGGCTTTGCTAACAATCAATATCACAATCTTCGTGACATGCAACCAAGGCCTATTTTCGATTTGGCCCTGCAGCGCATTTCGCTCAAAATGCGCATACAGCGCGAACAGCGCGAACAGCGCTCATCGCGCGTATAGCGCAAATAGCGAACAATGCGCAAATACCTAGCTGTCAAACAGTGACAAAGCAAAATAATATACCACTGTCTATCTAACTTATTACGTGTATTAGATGCTATCTTATACCAAGTAAAACAATTCACATCCGAATCACTGTCATCTTTCTTCCGAGAACCATGTTTGCACCAAGAGGCAACCCGGGGTGCCTCAATATGATTGTTGTACAACTATGCTATGCCACGCTATTTTCATGTCCATTTGTCCCAGATGAATCTCAATGATACCCATTCGTGCCCACACTCAAACTGATCAACTCTTCCTTCCTGGTTCTATACAAATCTTGCGCCTCTCTTTCTCTCGTACTAACGAATCCAACCTCTGCTCTTAGACCCTCTAGACGCCTGGAGATCGCTGCCTCTTCTGAGATCTGCAGTGTTCTGAATGAGTCGAGGGAGGTGGTAGCTTTCTCAAGTGCTTCTGAAGCTTCCGAGATCTTTTGTCGGAGCGTCTTTGCTCGTTGTTGATAACCGCCTAGGTGAAGCTTGAGTTTCTTCTCAATTTTGTTACCCTTTTCGGCGGCGGAGACGATTGCATCTTGGACTTTCTGGGAGATTGTTAGTACGACAGAGAAATGAGAGAGGTGGTAGGTAAATTTACATCGAAGGTTTCGATGAGCAGTTGCTCCTCATCAACTTCATCACCATAACCGCTAAGACCAGGCAACAAAGAGGAATTGTGAGCGTCGTTCCATGCCTTCTGGAAGAACTCTGGAGTTTGCTTGGCAATGTGTTCTGGGATCTCACGATCAATCTCTAACCGAGCTCGTGCCAAAGCGTCATCATCAAGAGTCTCGAGGGGCGTCATGTTGCCTTTCACCTTGGCACCGGGAACGGGATATCTCAATGCATCGTTGGCTTCCAAAAGTGCAGCTTCTCGGGCAATAGCAGCTTCAACAGGATCCGAAATCTTCGAGGCAGCTTTGAACAGAGCGTCGACGTCGACAGCTTTGGTTCGTGGTAGTCCTTTTTGCATAACCTGCGTCCGTCGCTGAAAATCTAACTTCTCCTGAGCTTCCCGAATCTCTCGGTTTCGACGGTCTCTAAGCTCGGCATCTTCTTCTGTGAGCTCCTCGGTGCCAAGAGCCTCTTGTTGTTCCTCGGGTAATTCCAATTCCCATTCAGTATCCTTCGGCTTGGGCAGAGATGCAAGACCCTGCTTCAATTTATGCTTCATTGACATATTTTGTAATTTGATGTCTCGAGGTGTCCCTCCCACTAAAGACATTTCCCCATCTGCATTGAGAGCAAATGTATCACGTGGAGTTCGCATTGGTGTAGAACCTGGAGCTCGCATTGGAGTCTGGCCTAGGCCATTGGTCTGACGGAAAGGGGTTGCCATAGGGTTGGGAGTTTCTAGCACTTGCTTCCGAGGGGTAACGCCATCAAATCCAGTGCTACCAGCACCTTCGTACAGTGGAGTGTTGTCACCACCGAGAAGTGAGGATTGAGTCTCGGTAAGCGCTCGAATGTTTCGAATCTCGTTGGCAATATGATCCTCCTGTGCTGGGGCTCGAGGTGTCCTGATGGGTGCTCCACTGTTGATGGTCGAATATGTGTTGACCAAGCCTCTCGTAGCATCGTTCTCACTAGACCTTGCCATCGTATTCGCTCTCTCGCCAATCATACCCATCTTCACAATCTCCTCCAATTCTCCCTCGCCAACTTGCGGTGATGGTAATACTAAAGCTCTTCTCTTACTGCTTTGTTCTGCCTCCCGGATTTTCTGCATTTGACCTGCTTTCATAGCGGCTTGGTAAGAAGCGGACGGAGCCTCCTTCTCTCCTTTTCGACGTTTTCTTTCCGGATCGTCATCTTGGTCTCCTTTGCGCTTGTTTGCAAGTTGCTGCTTTCGAGGATCAAAGGCTTCCCTTTCCTTCTCATTCGTGACAGCCTCATCTGCAGTCTCGTAGAATCCAGGTGCTGGGGCCTTTTCGAATGGAATATCGGCATTGTAGTCCATCTGACCCTTCTTCCTATTGACGACCTTGATGTTGATGCCTGCATTTTTGAGTTCACGGCGCTTCTGCAGCACTGCTAGTCTTCTCGACTCCTCAAGCTGTCTCTCGCGAGCTTTTCTCTTGGCCTTTTTCCCCTGAGTGTTTGCTAGACGAGCTCGAGCTTCACTCAGCATTTCCTTCTCATCCTCGTCCAGGTCAATCGTGTCTGGTCTCGCAGGTTTGGATTCCGGATCTGGATCCACCTCACCAGGTCGTAATCGTCGCACATCATCGGCAGATGGCGCTTTGTTCTCTCCTCCATCTGGGCCACCAAGACCAAGCTCCCCAGCTTCTTTCTGCTCGGCCTCGTCCAGCAACTTCTGATACCGTTCCAGACACTGCGTAGCAGTTCGTCCAACCAACGGCGCAATCGTCCGCCATTGTGTTGGCATCAACTTTGCAAGATGTAGCAATTTTTCATCCTCCTCTTTGCTCCATTCAATCTTGCGAATACCTGGGTCGAGCCATTCGCTCCATCTTGCCTTGCATTGCTTCGGGGTTTTGCGCGCGAGCAATGAAGACACTCGAGCCCATTGATTCAGGCCATATTTCGAGACGGAGGCCTTGAGAATCTCATCCTCGATATTGGTCCAGACTCCTCCTTTGACGACGGGCATTTTGGCGGTTGGGTGTTGATGGACTGCCTGGCGCAGCTCCGTCAAAATTATTGAAGTTCCAAGTCGCGAGGTCAATTTTAGCGCGGCTTAAGGCCTGGAATTCAAGGCGCAAAATAGAATCACGTGAATGCTGAGTGGAACATGTTCCAATTTTCTTAAGATGAGTTCAGTTCTTCTGTTGGTATGTTGAATAGCGCCTAGGTTCTCATTTTATTCTCATTTAAAGAGTGTGGAGTGAATAGTGCTGCCAAATTCCTTTCTTCAATGCTTTACTTGTGCTCGACCCCCGACATTTGTTCAGAGCCATGAACACAATGTCTCCCCTCATTCCAAACTCATCAGAAGTCACATAATGATACTTAGATGATCTTCCGAGCACAAGTTGGGTACATTACCTTTAGGTCGGAGTACTAAAGAGACGTCACTGTCGATCTCCCATCTTCGGACGAACGACTGAAACGTTTCGCTCCTCGTCATCGTCTGTCGAACGTTTCTCAAACTTTCACTTCGTCCGCCACTCTTTCTGTTAATGTTCATATCAAACCACTTTCATTCCCTATTCTCTACAAGAACAATTTTACACTTCCTTGAAATTCAAAACATCATCAACCACGTCCCTCACCACAAAATGGCCCTCTACCCCCCAACAACCTCACCACACACCTCCCCCTCCTCACCCGTGACATCCTCTCTCGTTCCCCCAATCCCGGTTCCCACCCACGGCTCCAAAGGAACATTCGCCGTCCTCAGCAAAGCCATCATTCCCGCCACCCCCATCGAAGTCCTGACCCTGATCCGAGATACCAATACCTGGCCCCTATGGAATACATTCTGTCCCGCCTGCGTGATCTCCCCTCGGAAAACTCCCATACCAAAATGCGGGGATTTAGAGACGGGGAAAGAGGGTTGGTTGGAATTAGGCAGTGAGGCGACTATTGATGTGCATATGGAGGGTGATGGGTTGGTTGAGGGGAGCACGAGGAGTCGGACGCAGGGGTTGGTGGTTACGAGGCTGGAGAAGATTGGGGAGGATGGGAGGAAAGCGTTTAGGATTGCGTGGAAGGGGGTCGGGTATAGTCATTGGCAGCTGCATTCTGAGCGGGTGATGGAGATGGTTGAGGTTGAGGGAGGGGGGACGGATTATGTTTGTTGGGAGAGTGAGTTTTCTAATCAATGAGATGAGGTGAAGTGAAGAAGTGCTAATGAGAGAATTTAGCTTTTGGTGGGATGCTGGGATCAGTGGTTAAGATGATGGTTGGTGCTCAGTTGGTGGATCGATTTGGTGATTATTCGCGGGACCTAAGGGAGCACTTCGAAAAAGCGAAGAAGGGTGTGGAAACTTGAGCTTGAAGTTTGTGTGTGATGAGGCATAGTGGTGATAGATCTCGGGCACTACTTCGACATCTCCAGATGCCTGGTATTTTGTAGCCTTAGCTCCAAATCGTTGGATCTACTTCCAGACATTGACTCTGCTAAAGTTGAGCTGGACATTTGAAATCAAGACACCACCATAGACACTTTCAGAGATTGAGACAATTTTTTCTTGGAAATGTGATGATTCTACTTTTGACCTTCTGAGAGTTTGGAACTCGAACTGGACATTAGACCCTTTCTAATAGAGCAGAGGATTTGATCGACGTTGGAAATCAACACGCTAGTCCACGATAACTGCACCAGAAAGACTACTATCAAGGACTCTAGAAGTTCACTTCGTGAGCTTAAAGATGGACATTCATCTTGACATAGTATTCGGAATATTTGAGTCAAAAGCTATTTCAAAACCCTCATTTCACCGATAAACGCTCCCCTCCAAAAAAAAGGGAAATTTAAAATGAATAATAGCGCCCTACAGTAGTAGTCTCCCCCAAGTCCACAAAACCACCCCGACCCATAAAATAAATAACCTTAAACCATCCCCCCCTTCCCCTGGACGCAGATCACACACACATCCTTTGCTCCACGCCACCCCCCCTCAACTTCCGACGAGCAACATTCATGCCTAGAAGATCTTGGTAAGACCTAAGATCTTACCACGGACAAATATCATTAAGATCTAAGGTAAGACCCCCTTGCTAAGATCTTAGGATCGATCATAGTAGCATTTCCTCTGATCATAGATTGACGTATCGAGTAGATGACTTGCGTGTTTCGGTCCTTCGGAAGGAAAATGATGATGAGTTCTAGAAGCGGACTAACTAGATGGGAATTGAGATTACGATCTTCATTTATGCGGCACGTCCGAGAATGGCTGGCTGGCTCCGTGTTTTTCCATATCCGGATTTTCCGGTACAAGTCACTTCACAGAGAAGAGAGAATAAACATGCAAAAATCTTTGAACAGACAACATATTTATTTCCTTTTGGGTTTTGAGAAGGGGAAGTAGAAGAGTAACTCCAAGCCATGGCAACACATCGTACAGAAGCTACCTACTTAATCAACGAAGAAAAATGTTGACAACCTCCAAAAACAGCAATAACAAAATAATCAAAAAACTCCAAATTTTTCTTCCCATCTCAACACCGCATCCGTAACAATGAATTCCGCCTTTCTCGTGTAATCATTTCATGATCATATCCCTCATATATACCCCATCCAATCCCATCCCAACCCGATTCGAGCGCCCCCCAAGAATTAAAATTGTTTTACTATTGTCATTTCCCAGCCAGTCGAAGAAAGCCGCTCCAAAAAAAAAATCCGAGAAGAAGAAAGATTATAGAGCAAGTCCAGTTCCATCTCCCGTCCATCGATATAACGCTAGCACCTCTCTCCTCCGTAATTGTTGCTCGCCGAAATCCTCAGGTACACGGCCCCGCACTTGAGCGAGCGCTGAACGCATCACTTTGCGGAAATTGCGCTGGTACTCGGTGTTCAGCGTCACGACGCAGGCTTCGTGCGCACGAACTATTGTCTCGCAGGCTTTGACGACGCTGGGTGATGCTTCGACCTATATTTTGTCAATACTTATTTCGTCAGCCAACTTGGGGGGAAGAGATGACTTACTTGGAGTTTATCGGCTATTAACAAGAGCAAGAAGCTCCCTTGTAGCAGATACACGCCAAAGAAGAAAGGCATGAATTCCAACCCAGGATCGTACTCGAGGATGTTGTTGATGGCTTCTGCCGCGCTGACAGCGTGACCTGTGGCGTTGATGAAGCTTTGCGAGGAGATCCACAGATCGTTGTCGTCGAGGAGGGAGATTGGGTCCCATTTCCCTGTTAGTAGGATGTGGAGAACGTGCATTACGTGCGTGCCATAAGCTACGACGATTCGTGTCTGGATGTCGGCTTCGGAGATGTGAGCGGAGGAGGCGGTATGGACTGAGTGTACGGAAGGGGTTCCGATGTTGTGTTGTTGCTCTGTTGACTCGGGTTGTTGCGTGGAAGTGATTCCTTCCATCGAGTTGTTTTTCTCGGATTGTTGTTGTTGCTGCTGTTGCTGTTCTTCGGTTTGGGGACTGAGATTGCGAGTCTCGAAGTCTTTGAGGCTTTGACCGTAGGCGTCGAGTTGGCGAGCGATTTCGCTGGCGTGGTCGTCCCATTCTTGGGCGGATCTGAAGCCGACGCCGAATCGGGGGTGGTTCTTGGCGTGGTAGAGGTCTACGATCTCGCCAAGGATCGTCATGAGGGGTAGGAAATATCCGAATATGCTATGACCGGTACACTCAAAATTAGGTCCTCTTCTTCTAATCCGTGGAGTACCACTCGGGGAAGTAATATGAATGTTGGAATCACCGGTGTAGTATTCTCCAGCCTGCCATAATGTATCGTCCATTGGCTGGAGAAGACCGTCGCACTCAATGTCTAACAGGAAGAGAGGTCTGTTATAACAGAGGGCCAAGTGGCGATCGACGGTATACACCAGCCACCAAATCCTCCGGCGTTCCTCACGCTCTTCCTCCGTGATGGTACCTGGTGTAGGCAGGTCCTCATCAGCTTCTCCTTCTGCGTCGGGGTCGTTGACGACCTCGCTTGGTTGTTGTTGGGACGACATGGACGCTGGCAACTCTCTTCCGAGCTTAAGCTCTCTTGCCAGTGACCAAGCTGCGTTCCACCATCGAAGACTAGCACCCTTGTACTCGCTGGCTGAGACAACAGTGGCCAGATGAATGTAGGTCACGACGTCGTCCAGTGTTCCAGCAGCACCAAAGGCGCCAGTCTCTCCATTGAGTCCATCCGGGTTGACAGAGCCATTCATGGCAACACCAAGGCCACCTAAGGCTACGCCATTGATGACCGTGTTGGAGAAGTTGGGTGATGACTCGCCAGTGGAAGGACCATGGATGAGAGGCTTCAGCAGACCCACAGTGAGCTCGAGCAGCTTCTGACAGATACGTCCACGTGATGATGGAGGTGCTGTCAAGAAGGCGGCATCACTTGTCTGGGCAACAACCCACAACATGCTGGCCAGCAAAGCTGGGGTGCATTGTCTCGGCTTGGTAGGATGCAGGATAGATTGCTTTCTGAACACGTATCCGAGAATGTACGGAGACGTCGGATGCATCAATGCCTGATCATGGTCAGCATTGAAGTCCTTGGTCTTGGGTGGTGTTGCTGCTAGCCAGCTATGAACATCCCCGTGGGGAAGACACCATCAAGTGTGCCGACATCCATAGCCACCAAACAGGTAATCATCAATATGGGAGCGTGCTTACCGACGATGAACTCGCAAAGTACAAGTCCATAAGGTCACAGGCCAGGGATAAAGGGATGATGTTGCCAAGATGCGGGATGAGGGGCTGCAGTACGGGGTAGCGGAGCGTGGTGTTGTAGTTCTGGTTCGTCACGTGTTGTTGATACTGGTTTGATGGTGAGGGCAACGACATCCACCCTCCCGGTGATGTAGCATCAGAGCCCATAGGGAAACCAGGGAGAGGGCTATCGCCTAAACGAAAGGGACCCGGAGTATTTCCCGGGTAATGTCCCGTAGGACTGGATGCTTGAATGCCGTATGGGAGATCGCCGTATGCGGGTAAAGACCCCTGACCGGCAGTGAAGTTGGGATGACCACCATTGCCATTCATCATGTGGGGATTCATCGCGGGCCGGTAGCCATGCATGTTCGAATAGCCGTTGAGATTCAGGGACGCGGGGCTTTCGATTTGATCGGCTTCCGCGCGACTATTCATGTTGTGAGGCTGATGTCCGTTGGGGAGCTCCGACAAGCTCTCGAGGCTACCAGCTCGTAGCCTTCCCTTCATGGCATCTCGACCAGAGTTCTTGTCGAGGCCCGTGGTGTTGAGGCTGAGAGAGCGGGATGCTTGCGGCCGGCGGAATTCACCATTCTCGGCTGGCAGTGAAGTTGTAGAAGACGCCTCGTTCCGTGATTCTGTAGGAGACGTGCGTTCATCTGAAGATTGACCAGTGGGTGATTTTTGTCCATTGGCAGCTGCGGCGGCAGCTTGTTGTGCCAGGTCTTTGCGTGAGGCTTTTCCTCGCTTCTTCCGCTCCCGAATATATTCGCAGCCCAGGCCGAATTCTATGTAGGATGAGCAAAACCACCCCAGAATTGGGCTTTAGGGATTGACTACTTACCGACGCAGTGGGCGCACGGAGATTGCCCATCACATTTGGTTCTGAGCTGATTGCACTGATCGCAGGCTCTGCTGATCCGTCGGCGAATAGGTCCCGAGGAACCATTGCTTGCAGATCGCCCCGTGGGCCCAGGACCATATGGATGTTGGCGGTGCTTTTGATTTTGAATTCGGTGCACTTGGCCATTTTGGTGGACATCGACGTGCTGTTGAAGTTGCTGGAGCGCGTACTGTGATCCGTCGGCAAGCGTATGTAGGCCCGAGTGCATGTGATTGGAGGGCAAATGCCCGCCGTTGTAGGTATTGCTCGAAGGCAAGGCATTGTATGCCGAGAATCGGTGGAGTGGATTCGACAGCATCATGGAAGATCTGAAGAGTGTCGACTTCTTTGCAGAAGCGTCAAACAGTCTTCGATGCGGTAGTGGTGGTGGTGGAGTAGAGAAAAGAGTGTGGAGAAGTATGGTGAAAATGTCTTGACAGCGAGATCTCTCCAGATGTAGGTCGGAGCATCTATCTATATCTGCTCGATGCGGTCCGGGATATGCTTGGTCTCCTTGATCATCAGCAGGGTCCTCTGTGTGAGGCACTTTGTGGAGAGAGAAACAAGAGTCGAATCCGCGGTCAGCGCCACCGAGTGACAGGGCCAGCAATTATATTATTATGGCGGGGTTTGCATGGAGAGAAAAAGAGAATAGAGGGCATGATCTGGAGTTTATTGCTCTGGACTGTGGAGAGACCAGGATCCGAGAATTAGTGACTATTCGAGGCAAGCTCCAGTGGGTGCCGTACCCCTGCGAGCCAGCAGTAGTCAGCAATTGGACGGAGCTCGATATTATTGCTGCTTCGACCGTTCGACAGTTGATGATACTTGGGGCCGAAGAAGAGACTGGGGGAGTGAAGTTTGGAGACGAGAGAGACGAGGCGACAAGGGCGAGGAAGGGGGGGGATGGATGATGGATGATGGATGATGGATGATGGATGGGGGGCAATCTGGGACAGGATGTGAGAGTGGAAGTGGGAAAAGGAAGTGAAGGAAGTAAAAAATCCACCAAGCTTAACGCACAAGGTGGGGTGCAAGGAAGAAGGGCAAGGCAGAGAGAGACACAGACAGAGCAAGACAGACGAGCGAGCGAGCGATCTGGTGAACGGACCAGGAGCGACCAGGGCCAGGACCAGGAGCAGCAGCAGCAGCAGCAGCAGCAGCAAGACCAGCAGCAGGACCAGGCATCACGGCGGCTTGCCTCCGAGGAAAGGAAAGAGACTTTTTCACGAGTGTGCACCAGGTGGCTACCGTCTGTTCGCTCTATCGACCTCGGCCACACTTTTTCCGAATCTGTCAACCGCGGGCACTTGCAGGGGCTCAGAAGGTAAAGCGCGCGCAGGATAGGACGGTGCTGGTGCCATCTCCATGCGCTGCTGTTTGGTTGCGGTTGGGGCTGGGGCAGAGGCAATGTAGGCCACCTCGGTTTTGCTCTTGTCGGCGATGTGGTTGCTTTTCCTATGCCCCCGAACCATGCGATCATTGGATGCACTTCCACCACTAAATGCACCTGTCGCGATGAGTCGATGACAACAGCAGCAACAACAACAAAGAGCAACATCAGATTTACGAGGCAAGAGAAGACGAGAGGCCGATTCGAACCAGGTATCAGGTATCAGGTATGGGATGGGATAGGATGTGATGGGGGATGGTTGGTATGCGATCATGATCATCGTTGCCAGGGAAGAGGTCAACAGCAGCTGACTGACGATGAGATGCGTTGGAGGGCATTCAAAGAGGCCTCGATCAACAGAGCACATTCACAACAGTGATTAATCGTTTAATTTCCTTCAGCGTCCGGTGCTGTAATGCACTATGAGGATTGATGATCCAGAGTCAAAGTAGTGAGGGATAGCGATCGTGGCGGCGTGGATGGGCCGTTGACTGTTCACTTGTCAAACCGGGACTCGAGCACGGTGTACCCGTAACTTGTTAAGCATAGTCATAGTGGAGCAAGCTATGCAGGATGAGGCAGTTAGTTGTCTGGAGTAGTGGAGACTCACTTTACCTCACTTCATCGCACCTCACAACTTGTAGCGAATGTTGTCGCCCTAAGCGAGCGTTGGGGGCTGGGGCAACGGGGAGGATGAGGGGATTGGAGCAGAGAGTGTAAAAGGTGGACTCAATTCGCTGCAATGGGACCTCGCCGCCGCGGATCCTGGAGGAATACCGACAAACTGAAAGGCGCGGCAACACGATGCTACTGTACTGTAGACAGAAATCTACTAAGTACGTACCGTCAGTGCACCAGAGTCGAGCCTACCATGGCTTCATAGGGTCATCGAGGACATTGTTCTCATGGCACCAAACTGAGGATTACTCACCGAAGGCGATGGATGTCCTGACAAACTGCACTGTCACCGTCACTGCCACTGCTGCAGTGCTCCGTCTCCGTTTATGGGCTGGGCTCGGTCTCCTCCAGCGTTCAGACCTCACCTCACACACACTGAGCCGCTGTCCATCTGGCGCTACCTTCAGCGATCCCTTCGCCGCTGCGGTCTGCTGCCTCGAAGTATCAGTATCTGTAATTGGTTCTCCTCGTGGCTTTTGAACGCCCACAGCCTCTTCTTCGTGGCACCTCGCACAGCACTAACCGGTATCTGCAACCGACCGTCAGGGCTCTAACTCAGGTCGACGAGATCCTGTCGTACAGTAAGTACTTCGTAAGTTTAACCTCAACCGTCGTAGCAGCAACAGTTCCCCCAAAGGTTCCCCCTCCAAAAGATCCAAAAGGGTGCCAAAAGCCACACAGCTCACGATGCCCGCCGCCGCCTGGGAAAAGGCAGGCAGGCCAGTCAACGGCCAGTCCACATGCGCTGCCTGCCATGCTATACAGTACCAGATCTTCCCCCACTCTGCATCGGTCTGGGGCAAAGCTGGGGCATATCGAGTTAGACTGCCCATCCGTACCTTAATAACGATGCCCGTCGTCCACCCTCCGCACAACGAATGACGAGCGATCGAAACAATTGTTGCGCCAATCATCATGCGCGTTAAATTTGACAAGTTAAAGGTATTCCAGAAAACCGTATCCTGATCCTTTAGCGCCATTCAATTAATGGCATAATAAGAAGCTTCTCGTCACCCTTCTCTGCTTCCTCACGTCCGAGAGCAAATGCAGGCAGGCCATCATTATTTGATCAGGTCGGCCTCTTTCGCGCGCCTTCCTGGCTCCTGTATCGACCAGGGGAGCCGACAATGTGTCGTGCATGGACTGAGGGAAAGACAAGGAACGCAACGAGGGAATGACGGGGGTTGCAAAGGGCAGACCCAGGGTCCTGCACGGCGACGAGGGGTGCTTCCTGGTCGCGAATCCACGCCACAACAGTCAAACGGTCCGATGTTCCCTTGTGCGGTTCTTGGCGCTTCATCCTCGAAGCTCGTCTTTTGCTCGTCTGTCTGTCACTCACTCTGGTTGCTCGCTAAACTGCAACCAGACGGACGGCCTTGCTTCGTTGCGCTAGTTACTGCTACTGGACTCTCTCTGGCTCTGGCTTGGGCTGACGCTCGCATGTGCACTCCAGACTTTCGAAATGCACAAAGATCAAATTGTGTCCGGGGTCCTGGCCGTCCCAATGACACCCTTGCGCTATGATTTTCGGCCCCATATTGATACTGTATGTGGTGATCTTTTGCTGCTCGTGAAGATGCGAGATACTCTGCTGCCCATCGTGGGTGGACGAGACAGTATGCGCACGCGGTAGCGTGGATCTCCTTCCGCCTCCCAGCTCGGTACTCAAAGTCTCTGCCTCCTTCAAGAATCGCGAATCAGAAGCCCAACACGGCACTCCTGCAATCACCAACGCAAAGTATAATTCACCACCACATACATCTATCAACATTATGCACGGTACTGTACTTCGTATAACGAACGATATTGTCTATAATACTATCGTCTAGTCTAGTCTGTCCAGACAGTTTAAGCTTAACCCGGATCTGAAGCCTTCAGAAAGGCTCCGCATGGCTCCGCAGCCACAGGAGAGAGACGAAAGGCACGAGATGCTCGTCCAAGACTCCCCACCGCGGCAACACAAGACAAGGCCAGGCAAGGCTCGTCAAGCCGCCGAGATGAAGTGCCATATGCTCCTCCTCTCCCGTATGCTATGCTGCTCTATGCTGCTGCTATATGCAGATGCAGGAATGCGGAGGACGGACTAGCCCTCTTCCAGGAACCGCAGAGATCAGATCGAAGCTTCGGATCTTCGAGAACGACGTTCGTCACATTTGAAACCTTGAAACGAGACAGCAAAATTCGTCGACTGGCTCCACAGCCGAACCATGGTACACCAGCGCGCCCTAACGTCTGTTGTCAGGTGGCAGGGCATACAGCGACAGGCATTCCCGTTCGTTGGTGGCTGTAGGCATTTCGTCTCGACCTCCGCAAATTGAGGGCTGTTATGCACAGCTCGGATGCCTGATTGGTATCATTGGTCCTCCGACTCCCATCAAGATCCCTCTGTGCTGCTCTGCTGCTGGCTCCACATCCCAGAGCCCCACATGCCTCCTTGACGACGATGCTGTACTATGTGGCCCGTGATATCGACAACCGCTGCTGGACAACTCGCCTCATGGCACTCTCATGAACCCCTCCCCCCTTATCACGGCCATCTTATGATTTTCGGATCATGATGTGGCTTGGCGCAGAGATCAATCTGATACAGGCGTACCTGGAATCTCCAAGCTGCATGTTATTTACAAAAGCGCCGAATCACCAGCCCAGGAACGTGATCGACCGCCTTCTGACACGAGATGATCCCCATGCTCTCCCCCATGATGGCCAGGAAGCTCGATAGATGACGGAAGGGCGAGCCTTAACTGCCTTGCTCCAGCTCCTTGTTTGGTGTTGCTCAACGATAATCATGGACAGACGCGCTGGCGGCGGCCCTCCCGACATTCCCGCTTGGAGCCTCCAGACCTCCCCTCCCCTACCGCGATTAAAGTGTAACGCCTTCCCGTTACCACACTTGCCAGCTGACCATATAACGTTGGATTGTTGGGTCTCGCCATGTCATGATCAACTCAAATCGGATCTTTTATGACACGCTTTAGGGTCTCGGGGGAACGGCATTAATCTGTCGTAGATTGTTTGCTCTGCCAATTAATCTCGGCCACTGCAAGAAACGGGACGATGAGAAACAAAAAGTCTTCTCGATGGCTGGCGAGCTTCACAAGTCGGCTTCATTCTCGGAACCATCAGCACGAAGGCAATCAATATTTCACGTGTCGACCAAGTACAGGACGTCCCACAAGGCGCTGCTGCAATGCACAGGAGTCTCATGGGACCAACGAAGATTGTGTTATTCATCTCGACAAGACACATGGGACGGACACCAAGGTCCCCTTCATATCGAACTTTCCCTTTCGAGCGTATTCTCAAAGTCTAACCTTGTCAGTAAGCGCTTCAGACGATGTGTCGTCGAGTCTCGATCCCTTCACTCGATACCAGGAGGTCGACCACTCTGTGTCACCATGCGAAGAGTTGTGCTTACTTTGCACCCCACAAACGCAAGGTCAAGACATACAGCAAGCTAAAGACGAAGCCCAACAGCAAGCTCGTAAGATGAGCCCAATGCGGCGCGTATCAAGACTTGAACTACAGTGAGTGCATTTCAAGCTGCAGTTCGACGTCGAATCGAGATGTACCCTTGTCATCAAGGATTTCAAGACATAGGTAAGGTTTCCTCCACACGTGATCGTCGCAAAGTTGATATCTTCCCGCTGCTTTCAGACAGAGTGTCAACCTTCAAAGTTACAGTCCTTTTGCCTCAATCTCATGTCCTAGCAAATATTAATATCCAAATTCAAAATCGTCCCACCATTGCTCTTTTGTCTCAAACCCTCTCCGAACCCCCTCAATAAGTCAGATGTATCATGTACTGTAATGAGTCGTCCCAGCCACTTGTCAAATTTTGCAGCAGGCGGCAAAGGAAGGGAGCTGCTGGTTCCGAAGCAGCAAGAAGATTTCTTGGCATACCAGTGGTTCCTTCCGACGCGAAATTTTGGAAATGCACCTCGACAAGCCAAATCGAGTTATGATGGGATTCCCAACTAGAGTACAACAGATGACAACAGCACGGTCGTTTGGTGAACGTGCTCAGTGGTTGCCAATTCGACTCTTGAGCGAGCTCGGCGAGGTAAACTTCTCGGTGATGACAAAGGCATCAGCAAGCAGCACCTTCACATTCCCGAGAAGCCTCTGCTGCGGGCCGTCCATCTGCCGATTTGCTGCGCCTTGCTGCTGCTGTCTGCAGCCGAGGCGCGCTATCCGAGATGGGAAAAGGATGTGTGGGGAAAGGAGGGCCCAATCAGAGGACGGCTCGACGCGCTAATGTCTCTGTCGTCGAGAACGTCATCCCCAACCTTTCTTCTGCGTGAACGAGAACGAGAACGGGAACACAGCAGAGAATAGTATGCTACTGTCCGGAGAAAAGGGTCTACCCCATACCCCTACCTAGTAAAGCTGTGTCTCTTGCTCACGTTACTTGCACTGCATACGAAGTCGTTATTCAGCATCGTGCTCGGAGGACCACCACCAGTACACTTCACAAGTCGATGTGTTTCGATCATTCAATCACAACAATCTCATATGTGAGAGTGTTGATTGTTAATAACTTCATCGATGAACTGATTAGTATTTTGAAGCAATGCAATATCATGTACAGTACTGGTTGATTACAACACTTCTCTTTTCTGCTTTTCTGCTTTTCTCTGTTATCATAAAGTCCCTCAACCCATTTGTACATTTCTGGAGTTTCTTCTATCTGATCACCATTACTTTAAACCAATTCATCATGTCTATTTCTATCCCAAGAACTCAAAAACAATGGACTGTCGAAGGATTGAATGGCCTTGAAAGCCTGAAGTTGAACATGGAGGCTCCTGTACCTGAACCTTCAGACTATGAAGTCCTAGTCAAGTTCCACGCTGCGTCTCTGAACTACCGTGATTTGATGATTACAGAAGGTATTTACAAGCCCCAGAATAGCGACAGTAGATGCGAATCAGCCCAAGAAGCTGTCATCTTCTAGCTTTCTACATATATTATAATTTTGCAGACATAAACATTGACAAATGCAGGTGTATATCCCTTCGCACAAAGAGACGGAATCGTACCAGCCAGCGACGGAGCCGGTGAAGTAGTCGCCATCGGACCCAAAGTCACTCGATTCGAAATCGGTGCCAAAGTCGTCACACTCTTCAACCAAGGCCACTTTGGAGGGAGTCTCGATACCAGTAAGTCCCCTCCCTCACCTTCCCAACGACCAAACCCTAATTTTCCCTCCACAGAAACAGCAAAAACAGGCATAGGCGGCATGCTCGACGGCACCCTTCGCCAATACGGCACCTTCCTCGAATCCGGCCTCGTCCCCATGCCCCCCTCACTCACCTACCTCGAAGCGTCGACCCTCTCCTGCGCCGCCGTCACAGCCTGGAACGCCCTATACGGCCTCAAGCCGCTGCTCCCCGGCGACGTCGTGCTCACTCAAGGCACAGGCGGAGTCTCCATCTTCGGCCTCCAGTTCGCGAAAGCGGCTGGCGCGACAGTAATCGCTACTACATCCTCCCCCGAAAAAGCTTCTATCCTCAAGAGTTTGGGTGCAGACCATGTGCTGAATTATAAAGAGACAGAAAACTGGGGGGAAGTAGCTAAACGGCTCACGCCCGGCGGCGAAGGCGTAAGCCATGTCCTCGAAGTCGGCGGACCCGTAACCATGGCGCAGAGTCTGGAGGCTGTGAAGATCGACGGCGTGATTACGTTGATTGGGTTCCTGGGCGGGGTGGGGCAGCCGCAGCCCGGGTTTGAGACGGCGTTGCGGAAGCTGTGTACGGTGAGAGGCGTCTTGGTGGGGAGTCGCGGCCAATTTGAGGAGATGAATAGGGCGATTGAGGGGAATGGGATTAGGCCGGTGGTGGATGGGAGGGTGTTTGCGTTGGAGGATGTGAGGGAGGCGTATCGGTATTTGTGGGAGAGGAGGCATTTTGGGAAGGTGGTTGTTAGGATTGGGTAGGTGGTGGATGGATTGGGGTATAGGTTCATGAAGTGAGGGTTTTGGATTGTCAAGTTGTAGCTTAGCTGTCAGAGATGTTGACTATTCTACGCGAGACTTGTTGAAAAGAGAAGTAACTTTTTCTTATCTCTATACAAAAATCTTTTGTTGCACATCGCGCGCTAGACACTTTTTCTTATCAGTTCTTTGGAGCTAGTCACTTTTTCTTATCTCTATACAAAAGCATTTTGTATAAATTTAGCAATGAAGACCCAGAAGTTGGACTCTCATTAACCACCCCAAAACCTCGAAAAGTCCCCTCAGATCTTGAGGTGCTACAACAAATGCTCCACCTTACCAGCTACTATTGTTTGCAAACTAACAAATTCTCCACTTGCTTTCAGATTCTGTCTGCATTTGTATTGTTTAGTAACTAATCCTCAGTACACACTTCAAGACAACATAAGTAGCTAACACCAAACCAGACATTACATACAAACCTCTTGTCACATAGATGTCAACGATTACTGATACAGTCAGTCAGGTGAGTTATCTCAATTGCCTACTCTGGCAACTGTATTTGTCTGATTCAAGAACTTCGCTAGATTTAAGCATTATGGATGACATTCTTCCATCGCCGCGGGATCTGGAAGAATGTAAAGTCTTTATTTGGCTTGAGCTTTTGATAAGGAATGGTGATTTGCTGTAATGTTCGTTTGTTGTCTTTTGGTGGATTTTTTTTGTTGATTTATGGTTGTTGACTTTGTTTTGTCGTTGTCAGATTTTCTGCTGTCATTGTCAACTTTTTTTTATCCATTATTGTCAGCCTCCTTTCGAGCGTTGTCACCCTCTTATCCATCCATGATTGTCAACCTCCAATCCACCGTTGTCAACTTTTTATTCATCATTGTCAACCTCCTTTCCATCATCGTCAGCTCTCTACCCACCATCATCAACATCCCCACCGCCACATACACGTTTCAACATCAACACAAATAGACATACCTATCTTACCCAATACCTCTCATATCAGAACGGAACGCACCTGGCTCCGCGCCTGGCTCCCCACCCGTTGAAGTGGTCATGGTCGATCAAGAATTCGACGATGGAAGAAGTGGCGAGACGGATGGGGTTTTTATAGCTCCCGGATAGGTGACGAGATAGAGTGAATTAAGAGAGTTGGGGTGAATTGCTGTTTGAAAGAAGGGGGATGAGGGTTGTATTCACTACTAAGATTTATTCACTGCTAAAACTTATTCTAAATTTCTAGTATCACTTGAAAACGGAATATATATCGTTGGTGCATTAAAGGATTTTGGCTGTAATTCAACTATGTCGTACTAAGAAAGAGAGTCTGTGTTTTGTATGGAAATAGGTCAGGCATTATTCAAGTGTCTGGATACTTGATCGTCATCGAAACGGAGTCTTTTTGTTCTATAAGGAATGATGGTTCTTCAGACTTCATTCTCTGATGCCCGGACAGACATGTTCATGGTTATGATCATTGCGCTCTAGCAGCAGCGCAAACAAATCCCCAAATGTATATGCTTCTTTACACACACACACACACACACACGTACGCAAACACCCACGAACAATTCCCCCTCTCCCCCCCCCCCCTCCTCTCCCTCCTCCTCCCACCCCCCAAAAAGTTCAACCAAGCCATCAATCCCAGCAGACCTCGCATCCGCATCTCCCAGTCCCATCATCCCCAAGGAAACCAGGGAGGCACCCTGAGCGTCTAAGAAAGGTGGTGGTGCCTTTTACTGAGTGTGTTACTGTTACACCATGGGACCTTGTTGGATTTTTGGGTTATTTGGTCTATCTATATGAGGGTGGGTACGGGGTTTTCGTCTGATAGAGATTTTTTGGGTGGAGATTGGTGCTTTGAATGTGGGATTTGGGAAAGTGAGGTAGGTAGTGCTTGAAGCTTAATCTCTGGAAACAAGCTGGCTATGACGACTTTTAGTACTGTGTTTGATTCCAACATCCGATTCCGTGCTGCAGTTACCAAATTTCGGCAATGAAGAAAAGATAGGGCTTTTCTTGATGTCTGAATCGGAAAGATAAATGTGCGTACTGGAACTCGAAAGAGGGATACACTTTAAAGGTACCAATGACTACACGAAAATGGAGCACAGATATGCTTTGAGGCTAATACGTTTCTTTACCTAGAGTTGGGGAAATATCAAAATCATTGCATTGAATCAAAGAATTTCTTGCTAGAGTCTCGCTATGAATTTTGCGGGGAAAAGATGGAAGAATCAAACGCGAAGGTCCCAAAATGCCAATTCTCAACGGAACCAAAAACCAAAAACTCCAGCACTCAATTTCCGCTTCCAGGAAAGCATAACTCAAAGGTCCTCGACCTTCACGTCCTCGACAACCTTCCACCCCAAACTCCTAACATGCAACGTCGGTCCCTCTCCCCTCGCCATCCTCGCCCTCATCTCCACACAACCAGGATTTGCCTCTCCCCCCGGAACCTGCGTGAAATCACAAGTCGCCCGACTCGAAACTCCACAATACGGACAATTCTCACTCCAATAACTAACCGTGCTCTCCCAACTCCAGTTCTCCTCTTCGCATCCCTCGGTGCTCAGCACCGTGCCTTCTTTCATTGGGAATTTCCACGTCTTCGCCCAGTCTACGATATTTTCTAACTCCTCACTCTTATCATCGCTCGTTTCGAACTCGATCTCAAGTTCTTTTAACGAAGGAAGGAGCTTGAATGCTGATCCCCAGCTTCCGTCTTCGAACGATTGAAGCGGTTTCCCGGCCCGAGCAGCGGCGCGGTCATACCTGATACTATCCACCATCTCATCAAACCCAGGACTGTCAATTTTAGGATGGATAAACAAAGGCTCATTCGATTCATTCCACCACCAATCGCCTCTCCGAATCGTAATCTTCAACTTCTCCACCTTCGCATTGAAGGACCGACGGCAAAAGTCCTCAAACGATTGCTCGAGCCAATACATCTGCGTGAAGAGATGGATTTCCGTGACGAGGTCAAGCTGCCAGGACGGCATGCGGCTGAAATACCCTTCCTCGACGTCGATGTACGAGTCAGCTGGTGAGGGTGGTCCGCGTTCATGCCAGAAGACGTGTTCTCTGTTAAGGGCCGGGAGACGGTAAGTTTCTAGGTAGATGAGACGGCATGTTTGGAGGAGGGCGGTGCAGATGCTGGTGCTGGCGGTGTAGTCTGGTCGGGAGATATGTTCGGGGTAGAGGGCCGAGGGGTCGGTCGAGGTGGTTTCCGTTAGGGCATAGGAGAAGATCTCGTTGCGGATTTCGGGTGGGATGAGGCCGTTGAAGAGGGGACTGTCTTTTTGTGGGTTTGGGGGTGTGGTGCGTTGGTGGATTGGGATATTAGGTTCGTGGGGTTGACGCAGGAGCTCGTCGTCGAAGACCGGAGCAGGGAATTGACGGTCCCCCTTGGGGAGTGAAGGCCAGGGAGCCATTGCGTGTTGTCTTTTACGTCTCCAGAATAGACGGGTTTTGCTTGAGAACGGGTTGAGTTTTTGAGGCATGGAAAATTTAAGGCTTCGATAGATGGAATCTGTTGGTCGAGCTGTGTTGGCCAATACTAGAGCGCAAAAACCAACAAACAAAACGGCACCGGAGATCGATTTGAACCAACTGTAATCTAAAAGTTGTTTGAGGTTTGAGAACATTGGGCAAACAAGCATTGGAAATCGAAAAGTGACATGGAAATTAAGAATCGTTTCCATAGGACATAATGGATTCAACAATCCAGAAATTAAAATACTAAGAAATCAAAAGACTTGGAGCTTAAAAAAAGTTCTCAGTCTGGCTGCCGAGCGGCACAGATCTTGCCTAGGTAGGCAACGATGCCATTCAGAAGATCTATGAGTCACATGACAGCGCTGCCTGAGGTGCAGGTGCAGATGAGACAACATTTCAAGACATCCGATATCAGATCCAGATCTAGAACCTGCACCATCTAATCTAGACTCAAATAGAATTCCTCACCAGAAGGTGGAATGTGGCGGGTAATGCTGGTGAATTCCCCGTGCTGACTGCGCACCCCAGCGCCGTTGACCAAAACAACATACGATGTTGAAACAAACAAAAGAGTAGGGAACGATAGGAGGAAAAGCGTTGGATAAGGAAAAGGGACAATTTCAGCTTTCCAACTTGGCCGTCCAAATAGTGCAGACAACTGCTTGATACCGCCTTTTCTTTCGCGGAAAAGCAAGTCCGGAGAGAAAAGTACTGCAGAACGCAAGCAAGGATCGAGGGTTGTGGGAAAGGGAGCTCGAAGATATGCAGTTGTGCGACGGCAAGTGCGATGAAGGCAGGACTCTTGATTAACTGGACAGGATTGTGTCTTAAAGCAAATGATAGGAAATAAATGATAATAATATGTGTGGAGTTGTTGTCTCGAAAGAAGGGAGAAAGCCACGGCGTCATTCCTCTCTCGGGCCCCGGCCGTGTCTCAGCGATGCAGGAAGGAGGTGCAGCTGTGCATGAGGAAAGCGAAAGCCGATTGAGGAGAAAATCCCATCCCGCGAGAGAGAGACCGCAACCAGAAAGAAGAAACTTAAACTTTGCCAACAACAACAACACAACATCAACAAACCCATTTCAATTCGTTCCTCTCGCATCGCATCGCATCGCATCGCCAGCACAAATTGATTACTTCGCTCTGCTTACTTGGCCAGAAGAATCTTTCCCCCTCTGCTCCTCTGCTCCTCTGCTGTACTGCACTTCGTCCGGATCGTCGATGAGGATGTCTTTGATCGCCTGACGTGCATTTCGTTCTTTGTCTTGCGACGATCCGGGAATCCCTGATACCCGCCAGACCAGAATCGAGGGGAGCACACAGCTCTAGAGCTCTAGAGCTCTAGACCTTTAGACCTCGAGACCTCGACGCGCACAAGATCCACTTTCTCCTTCATGGTCTGATATGCTTCTGGCCGGTTGTCGACTTCTTTGCTCTCGACCCTCGTTACAGCCGTCGAATAATTCGAATTCATACATATCGCGCTCGACTTCAGCGCCGCGGTCGTTACACCCACCGTCGACCGTCGACGTACTCCGTACAGGACTAACGATAACTGCTAAACCTCGCCTCGGTCCGCCTGAGGTCACCTTCGCACCGTTACCAAAACTTCGCCTTGGGAGAAGCACTCGAGGAGTCCATGCCGTGCTAACAAGTTGACAGCTTGGTACTCGAGGGACTCGTGGGTCAATCCGACTTGTTCTGTCTGGTCAAGCGACGCAGGGCCAGCAAAGATGTCCGTCAGACAGCGAAAGCGATCCTCGGACCAGGACTCGCGCAGCTCAATTTCCAACAGGCGCAAACGCTCCAATTCGAGTGGCACCCAAAAGAGTAAGCACAGCGAGATTCTGGGACCTGATTCTGTGTCTCTGGAGTCACGATATCAAGTCTTGGCATGGTGATTTTGAGTTCGATGCTAATTTTCAGCCAGGTACCGGAACCGGAGATAGCTCCGACGGTTACGCATTTGACACAGATGAAGAATTTACGTCCATCAGACTCGGTGATGTCTTCAATCTGGATCCAAGACCAAATTTCGCCCTGAGACTGGACGCTGATTTTGATGCTCCTTTTGAGCCTGTTTTCATCAATGATGCCCTTAGAACCGATCACCAGCTGATGAAAGCAATGCCATTTAAACACAGAAAGACTACCATCTCTCAACCTGCGCTCAAACTGCCTAGTACAGATTTCAGATCTTGGATCAGAGATGTGGTCCAACTGGTCAACACCGACCCATCCTGTGCTTACGGTGGAGTTCTGTGGACGGGCATCCTGGTTCGAAAGCAGTGGATCATCATTAGCGGTGATCATGTCACCAGCAATCAACCCGTACTCATGGAAACACAAGCTAGTATGTTGTCCAGTCAGCGAAATGAAGTTTACAAAGAGAATCATCCCCCGCGAGCGAGGCGAGCCCTAACAAGCTCTGAAGACGCGAATGCCTTGCTCAACACCGAACCAGCCCCGTACGCGGCTTCCTTTAATACGCCAGGAACTCCAGATTGTGAGTATACACCTGTTCGAAGACTATTTGCTATTCTACACAGTTCTATCCCTTCCAGTATCACAGTTGCTCATGGAAGCATGGTGCACTGCCCCCTAGATACACAGCCATCGAGATTGAAATGTATGAAAACATGGTATACTGATTCCGAATAGGGACCGTCGATCATCCCGAAGGCCAGCTCTCATCTCATGTCATATTTGCTAGAAGCATCGATTGGGCAGCTACCCCATTAGGTGACATGTCTACGTGGTCTGCTGAATTCCGTCAAATCGCAAATCTTCTTATGAGCAACCCTCATCCGTGTGCTCTCTTTTGGGGCGACGAGTTGACTGTAATCTATAACAAAGCATATGCAGAAGGTGGGTTTTCTCGGTCTCCTTAAACTCAGGCAGTGGCTAAATAGAATCATGTAGGAGTTGCTGGTAACAAACACCCAAGTCTGATGGGCACTGGTTTCCGAGGCCCTTTTTCTGAGCTTTGGGATATGGTTAGTGCAATCTTTGACAATTGTCGTCAAACCGGAAAGTCTGTGGCTGTGACGGAGCAAATGTTACCAATTGAGAGATATGGTTTCCTCGAAGAGACATTCTATACCGTAAGCATCACTCTTTTGATCTCGTCCTTTCTCGTTGCTCTTCGTGGCTGCTCTAATCCTTTTCTGTATTGTTTATCTTCTTTGCAATAACTTGCTAACTCGTGACAGTGGTCTATCACTCCTCTTTATGGCGGTACGAAGGAGATCCAAGGATTATACAATGCTCCATTTGAAACCACTAAGCAAACCCGTGGAACTAGAGCCATGAAGACACTTCTGAGACTTGGGCAGGAGACCGCTCTCGCTACTACTGTTTCTACCTTCTGGCCCAAGATCCTTTCGGGACTAGAAGAGAATCGATTTGACTTCCCTTTCGCAATCTTATATTCAGTAGCAGAGGACGTCGAGGAAGAAAGTATGTCACAGTGCTCTGAAAATTCGCAGACATTCAAGACCTGTGCCTTGGAAGGAACACTCGGTGTACCGGATGGACACCCTGCTACGCCAAGGCGATTAGATTTAAAGCGATCTAAAGGCGGATTCGTGCCTGCCTTTCGAGACGCACTTCAGACCCGAGAGCCAACGCTGCTTAGTATAAAAGATGGAACCTTATCGGAAGCTCTGATTGATGGGTTCCAATGGAGAGGATTTCCTGAGCAATGTAGAGAGGCTCTGGTTTGTCCGGTAAGTGACGATCTCCTGCTACTATTAGATCTGCTTCTTTCATGCTAAATATCTGACTCTAGATTCGTCCAACGACTGGTGAGAACGTGATCGGCTTCTTGGGTAAGTTTCTGTATATTCTATTTTCATTTCTGTTCTAGGACTTATCATGTATGTCTTGGTGCTTCCAAGACATGACCCCCATTCTGGAATAGAGTTTATAATATATCCACACAATATGTGCTAATAATAGATAATAGTTGTTGGTGTCAACCCTCGACGACCATTCGACGATGACTATCAATCTTTCATTCAACTTCTTAACATTCAATTGGCAACGTCATTAGCATCAACGACGCTCTTAGAAGCAGAAGTTAATCGAGGTCTTACGGAAGCTGAAGCTGCTGCTTTGGAGCGAGCCCGTCTGTCGGCAGAATTAGCAACACAGAAGAATCGTATGCAACGCATAGCTGAGGTAAGAAGGGTCAATTTTCCAGTCGCATCCACAATTTGGCTGCTTTCATATGTGTCGTATGACAACTGGATCATCATTGAGGATAATTTGCCTTTTCCTTTTGATATTCTTCTAAAAAAAATATACATATGGTGTGTTGTCCTTCTGCTGACCTGAAAACACAGAATTCTCGAGTTGGCATGTTCTCTATCGATGCTGTAGGCCTGCTGTTGGAGGGCAATGAAAGCTGGTTTGGGATGACTGGCCACTCCAGAGACAAGATATTCGCCATGTCATGGATAGAGACGGTTCACGAGGATTCTATGCAGGAAGCAAGGCAAGGCTGGAAGATCATGACACAAGAGCAGGTCATTTGGTCAGCAGAACTGGTGAGCACTGCGATACTCAGATGGCTGCAAAGACGAGTAGAGCTAACGACTGCTTAGCGATTGAAGAAACCCGCTATTGATGACAAGACTGGCGAAGAGTTGGAGAACTGGATCATTGCCGACTGTCTGCCAGAATTCGACGCGCAAGGAACATTCACAGGTGTTACGGGCAGTACGTGTACTTGCGGTGCATGTTGATGGATCGGTTACTAACGCGTTATAGGCACCACTGATATCTCCAAGATCAAATGGGTTGATCGACTACAGGCTCGCAAGCTTCAAGAAGCTGAGGAGACCAGAAGAGCACAAAACAACTTCATTGATATCACTTCTCACGAGATGCGAAATCCTCTCAGCGCAATCCTGCAATGTGCTGACGGTATCGCGACATCGCTGGCAGAAGCTATGGAGAATCTAGACATCAATCGTAAAGTGATCGAGCTTGGGAGGGGGAGGGTTGTTGAGAACCTCAAGGAAAGTATTTCTAGCGCCGAGACCATTCAGCTTTGTGCTCAGCATCAGAAATCTATCGTTGATGAGTATGTTCGCCCGTTCTCATACTACTCCGTGTTGCTGACTTAAACAGCATCCTCACTATATCAAAACTGGATTCCAACCTTCTCCTCATTACTCCGGTTCCGGTTCAACCCGTCGAGATCGTGAGACAGGCTTTACAAATGTTTGCCGTAGAGTGTCAGAAAGTCCATGATATCAAGATGCGATTCCTCGTCGATCCGTCATTCGAAATCCTAGGAGTCGATTTTGTGATGCTCGATTCATCTCGATTGTTACAGATTTTAATCAACCTCATGACAAACGCCATCAAATTTACAAAGACCGCCCCATTCAAGACGATCGATGTCTCTATTGGCGCTCATCTTGAGCCTCCCATTGAGAAGCTTTCAGGCTTCGAGTACTTTCCTACAAAGAAGGCGAGATCTGATGTTACTGCATCTGGCGATTGGGGCACTGGGGATGTCATTTATTTGAGTTTTGAGGTATGTATCTTCAATGATCCAAGGACTATTACTTATTTTCGCTCTAGGTCAAAGATAGCGGCTGTGGCCTCACAGCGGAGGAAAAGAAGAAATTATTCAACCGATTCTCGCAGGCTTCACCACGAACCCATGTGCAGTATGGTGGAAGTGGCTTAGGCCTTTTCATATCTCGACAACTGACCGAACTTCAAGGAGGTGAAATTGGAGTAGCTTCCGAAGCTGGTGTCGGATCGACCTTCGCGTTTTACGTCAAAGCTCGACGCGCAGAAAGCCAACAGAATAACACGGAGATACAAAAACGATTGAGCTCAGAGATTCAGTCTAATGCACGACTCGCTAGCACATCTCCTCAGAGTGCCAAGGATCATGCAGCGTCAATTTCCACACTCGTACATCTAACGGGCATGGCGGAGTCCTCGACACAATCCACTTCATTCACAAACTTTGGACCAGAGAACTGGCACGTCCTAATTGTAGAAGACAATCTAGTCAACCAAAAGATCCTAGCACAACAGATCCGCAAACTCGGCAGCAACGTCTCAGTCGCAAACCACGGTCAAGAAGCCCTTGATCTCATCAAAGAAACCAAGCATTACAGAGGCCGAGAAGCAGACGGCAAAGACCTCTCGGTCATACTGATGGATCTCGAAATGCCCGTAATGGACGGCCTGACCTGCGTCCGCAAGATCCGTGAAATGGAAGCAGAGGGCCTCCTCCTCCGTCATCTGCCTATCATCGCGGTTACAGCGAACGCGAGAGGAGAGCAGATTGCGCATGCGAAGGATTCCGGGATGGATGATGTTATGCCGAAACCATTCCGGATTTTGCAGATCAGGGCGAAGATTGAGATGTTGTTGGCGAAGATGGGTGCTTTTTAAGTACTGAATGATAGATACGAAATCACGAATGATATGAAGGAGAACGAGAACGAGAAAGAAGACGGAAGATGATCATGCATCAATATGGCGCTGGGGTCTTTGTAAAAAGGCATAGCATTAGACGGCGCATTTCTTCGGGCGTTGGTGTTTGATTTTATCGTACTGGAGGAGATACCCATTGCTGTAAGCAATAAAGAAAGATAGAAAGAAGACGGACGGACAGTATGTGCTGGCTTTCTGGCGTTTTTTGAGACAGAGATAAATGGGCGTGGAAGAAGGCGTCTCGGCCGTGTTTGGATTGAGTGCTGTTAGGTACTACTATTGTATGGATGGGTAGATGAATGGAAAGATGATCTCTGAAATTTGAGGCTGCTTTGTTTGGTGAAGCGTGAATCTAATGAGTACTGTAGGGTAGGCACGAAAATGGTGTTGAGGTTGGGTGTGTTGAAAGGCGGTTTTGGAGTCTCGAGGGTATTGGTGCTGCGCATGGACAACTATATTGAGCTCTCCTCTCGGGTATTGATAACAAATCTCGTCATCATTTCACACTTTTCCCTCCACGATTGACGTTTGATTATGAAGTGATAGGTATGTTGGAGCATGCTAGGACAGAACTTAGAGCACGAAGGTAATAATCAATGCAAACTCATTTCAGATCTCTTTGTAGCTACAATGGTCAGAATATTATCAATCAAGGACTACTAGATCATAAATGTACGTAGAAATTCTTTTCCCAGCCTCCTTCCCATGACACCTATCCTAGATCGCTTGACCGTCCATCCATACCTATGAGATGCCAACGCCATTTATATACAGCCCAGGGTTCAACTCCATCGTCACAAGTTCAACCATCCTAACACCCGTTGATTAATCATTGCTAATCATAATTCATTCAAGAATACGTCGTCCAATCATCATCAAAAGGGTCAGACGCATTATCCAGATTTCCATTGGGAGGCATATAGAAACCCGACCCCACGCCAGCCATAGGATCAACAATATCCTGCGTCCCGCTCCCGTTGATGCTGTTATTCAACCCGGTATTGCCGCCCCCAGACAAGTCGCTCGTTCCGTTAGACATCCAGTTGTCGAACCCTATGGCCAAGCTAGCTTGGTCTCGAAGCCACCAATCTTGGCTTTCCACCAATGCGTCGACACCGCCGAACAAGGTATTCGGGCTCACTTGTCTAGTTGTGGGTCCAGAGACTTCTGACATGTTTCCAGAGTTGGTGCGAGCTAGGTCGCTGGTGGGTGACATGGTATTGCGGGATATGGAGGCGGAGGAATTGTTGTATAGATGGCTTGAGTAGGGTACGGCGGAGACTAGTGATTCATTCGGGATGGCCATTGATCCAATGCCGTTTGAATTGAATTCGCGGCTGGGCATGGCAGGGCTCATATTATTCTGGATAGAGTTTGGTCTAGAAATAGAAGGAATAGGTGGATTGGCCGCCATTGATCGAGCCTCGGGGTGATAGCTATAAAGGCTCTGTTGGAGCTGATTTTGACTCCGAACACGATTGTGCTGTGGTTGCGGAGGTGGTTGAATTTGTGACTGTACTTGAACTGTGCGAGGTGGTGAAGTCTGCGTGGATGGTGGAGTAGAGACAATGAGCTCTTGCTTCGGTGATGGAACGTCCGCAGTACTAAAGAAACCATATTTGAGATCGGTGCGAGTGAAGACCGTGGCTGCCTCTTCAGGGAGGTCAATCTTCCACTTTCGGGCCAGAACGCTAAGAATACTCAAAGTCCGTCGTGCACAAAGCCAATCTTCTGCGATTTCTTCGAGGTGTTTGACGCCATGGATGATATCTCGTTTCGCCGTCTTCTCGGGAAGGTTAAGCAAATGAATGGTACACGCTGAGTGAACAATATATACGGCGATATTACAGATCTGGCGGAGGCCATAGGTTCGTTTATATAAACGCATAAGCTTCGAAATTGATCCAGCCGCTTGGGTACACAGCTTTCGGGGAGAGACATGGGTTGGAAGAGGCGAGGTCGACGGATTATACCTGAGGAAAGGACGGAAGAGGTGAATATACAAGAGATGAAAGAACATGCTATAGGAACATTAGCATACTTGGTCAAGTATATGGACTGAGACATACTGCATGAGTAAAACATTCGGTAATTGGCCCTCTTTCGGTTCCAATTCCTTTGGTAATTCCTTCCTCCAGGCCTCTAACCTTGTTTGAAGTTCACTGAGCTTCTTGAGCTCTTGTGACCTACCAACAGATCTTTCGACATGTTGAGGATGATAGAAGAATATTAGTAAGTCACTACTGATCTCGCACAGACTCGATATCTGCAATGCCACAGCCCGAGTCCGAGATGCCTGGGAATGTAATTGCCCGATACCGTTGTCGGTATACGGTGACCATATATCGGCATCTTCATCCGGAAAGACGTCGTATTTTGGTACAGTTATGTTTGAGCCGGAAAGTTGTGGCAGACGTCCCAAATAGTTGGACCAACACTTATCAAACAAGAAGCAACCCCAAAACGTTACTCTTCTCGCATCGATTTCTTTCTCATCCAGAGCTTCTCTATTGTTCGTCATGCTAGAGTCCAAGTTCAGGCCCATATCTTGGGCCATTCTGAAAGCCATTCCCGAATAAACCCAACCTTTTGCTTCCCGACCGCAGCCTGCCTCTCGAACAGACATGAGACATAAAGCTTGAACGGTAGCGAGCCTGGGCTTTTCGTATTCATCATTGTCCACAATCAAACGCTTAGCCTCAGCAAAGAAAGCGTCTCCCTTGGTAGTAGGATCGGTCGGATCAGCACATCCTTTGGGGGAATTCGTAAAATGGCACCCAAGAGCCAACATAGCGTTGACTAAAAGGCTGGAGCAGTACATTGTCCGCTTTGGTGTACCATGAGGCTTTCCAAGTAAAAAGTCTCTGTAGAATAGGCTCTTCGATAAGGTAGTAAAGTAAGGATAATGCCATGTGAAGTACATATTGATCAAATGAACAATAACCTCTGTGTCAGAGGTGACCGTCGTCCAACTGGTCAGTGGTTCATCTTGTTGCTGTATGAGTTCGACTCCGGCAAAACCCTCGTCTTCGTCTGTTGGATCCAGATAGATAAGGTTCGAAGTTCCTCCCAGAAAGCGTACCGAGCCATTTTCAAGTCTCAATTCTCCCATCTTGCCAGACAATTCAGTCTCAAAGGTCGGGAGGGTATTAGTGGTATATGCCGTATTATCATCGAAATCGTCGTCGTCGTCGTCCAATCCCTGTTCTTCTCTCAAGATCTTGTCTGCGACATCATCCAAACTCTCACATGTTCGTATCTGCCGCACGAGATTTGGGACATCGTCCTCCGCGGCATTCAATATGGCCTGTACTAAGGTCTGCAGAGTCGAATTTCTTGTCTTCAAGCTATCAATCTTCTCCTTGTAAACGCCTTTCCGTCGATGATCGCTATTCGGATCGTACACGCATTCTGTACAGCCAGAGGTCAGCTTGAAGTACTGAACTCAACAGAACATCTACTCACCGGTTCCATAGACACTTGAGCAGGCCGCGCAACTTGGCATGTTGCCATCGCATTTCGACTTCCTCCGTCTGCATGCGATACACGCAGTACTCACGCATCGCCTCTTGATCGCTGCGGCATCTCTGCTGCTCCTCGACTTTTTCTTGGATGGTGCCCCGCTTCCTGGTCCCCCACTATCATTAACGTTATTCATATTGTAGACTCCCCCAGCGCCGTCGCCTTGCATCATGATCTGATCTCCATCTTTGATGTCCGCCATATGTGGAGTCAAGGCAGATTTGACGTTCGAAGATCTCTGAACCTTCTGTGCTCGCTCACGCCAAACGAGGGGAGGGGTGGAAGATTCCAATGGCTCGGGTCACCCTAAAGTTGGTGTTTCTCCGGGATGTTTCTTGCTGACCGAGCACAGACCGGGTTTATCGCGTCTAGATTAAGGAATCGAGAAGGATGTTGTTGAAAATGCAGGAATTTTTTTCTTCCTCCCTTGACGGCTTTGCAGCAAATTCTGGAGAATCTCCCCGGAGTGATGCAAGTAAGATGGATCAGTGTGTGCTGACAGAGGACAACCCATGCAGCGAGTTCTGGAGCGCAATCTGGTGCTGAAAGAAGCAAATATGCAACACGGCTTTCGTCACTCGACTGGAGGTGGGATCAGCCTAGCGAACTGATAAGGAAGATGCGGCTTGGAGTGTTTTCTAATTCCGCCGTCATCATTGGACCTCGCGATAGGGGCTTCGTTTCTTTTAGTGTTGGCGGGAGGAGTACTTAATAAAGATCTCAGCGAGGAGAAGTTGTCGAATGTTTCTGCACCGTGGTGTAAGTACCGGTATGCTAGACGTGCTGTTGCAAGTCTCTTTTGCAGATCTGTCCAACTTCTGCATTTCTTTGCTTTTGCGACTCTGCTTCACCGTCGTTGAAGCCTCTTCCTGTTGCAGAATGCTTGTCGCGGTCGCGGGATGTCGAGATGACGAGGTACTGCAAGAGACATCAAGCACGACTCAGTTCCTAACGGAGATGCACTGCCCTCGGAAGCATGCACTTTTCTCCATGTTACTGCTCTATTTAGGATCCCATGTTCGAATATTGAATTAAAGGAATATCAGGATCAGTTTGCTAGGGTGTGGATTTTCTTTTTCTCTCCTTATTACACTTGGGCTCGGATTGCCGTCTTGAGACGTTCCTTCTTGTTTCAATACATAGCCATGCTCCCGGGGACGGGTCCTCGAATCTCAAATACAGCAAGGTATGAGAACTTCTTTTTGATTTCTCCTCTGGTGTAAAGGTTTCAGCATCCTACCGAGATGGTTGCAACCTGCACTGAAAAGTTTTTCGCCTTTTTGTTTTCTTCCTTTAAAGTATAGGAGAAGCTATGAGGTCTCAGACTAGCGAGTTCATCGAGGATGGACAGCCACTACTTGTGTCAATAAATAGAGAGCGTGCGATTTTATCAAGCTTGAAAGTCAGGATATACCCTTAAACACTGTGTGACAAGCGTTACGAGTTGCATGAGACTCGATAGCGACGAAATTCTATCTCTCAAACAACAAACATTATTCTCCTGCCTTCACACATTTCGTCTATCTTAAAGCAGTTATGCAACTCGATGATTCAGCCTCTATCTCTAGCTCATCCAAGAACTTCTTGCACATGTAAGTATGTATGTAAAGAAGAGTCTAACCTATTGTACTATATTGCCCTTGTTTCCGCAGACGATAAATTATCTAGATCGCTTGTAAGTTTCTATAAGTGCTTAAACTTGTAAGTCTCGGGGTTCCCCAGATATGGTTCACATCTTCGGAACATTGTAAGTCGTGTAACCGGATCCTATTCGAATCCTACGTTCGCTGAGGGAGGTTGGTTCCATACATGATCTCTCCGGAAGATTACACAATCTTCCCTACTCGTACAAGGCCGAGTCATGGATGAGCATGTTGTGATTTGTAATCTAGAAAGGTTGTCCTGTCCGGTCATGGGTGAACAATGTGTCTATTCTTCATGTCCTCTTGAGACTTGGGAAGTACTTTTTGAAACGCCCATCATTCCTCTTAAAGTTAATACTATCCATTGCTTTGTGACGAAATAACAATTTGAATAGTGATAGCATTCTAGAACAAACCCACCTGCGAACCTCGTTTCACCTGATCAACATTTCTGCATAACATCGCCGCACAGACAAGTAAGTTGGGATAATTAAGCTTTCGGAAGCTCACTGCCGGATCGGTACATCGGTCACTGACACCGGACTTAGAATTAAAGTTGTCTCTAAAGGCCGAAGGAGCTGACACGGTAAATAGGAACTTCCGATGGTGAGGTTGTCAACATTGATTTTGATCTGGGGCCGGGGCCGGAAGGGAGACAAAAACGCCGTACGACGGTTATGTGACTTTGCTTGGTTGAGTTGGGAGAGTTGGAATTGATTTCGGCCAATTTTTATAAACCTTTGAAACCTCTGATTGTGATATAAAAACCGTTTAAATATATGGCGGCTCTTTCTGTCCAGCGAAAAGCGGCTGGGGAAGCGGCATCGTACCGAGGCTGGTGACTTAATTTGAATTTTTTGGTAGACTGCCGTTATAACCGATTGACCGCTCGCCGCAAAACATTTTTCCACTTTCCTCTTTAGCACCGCAACCCTCCAACCATGGACTGCAGTTCTCCCCTGGCTGTGCATTTTCTTAGTTGGAAATGAAAAAAGAGCGTCGTCATTGGCCACACGGCCATCGAAGCGTGGAAGCGCCGATGCTGTTGTTAAGTCCTGCGTAACTCCACTTTTGCTTCTCACTCTCTCTCATGTTGTTTCGTATACGGAACTCCGTTCTGGATTTATAACAGCGCCGCTTCCTCCTCTGTCCCGTTGCCCTTTGACTTTCAATCTTCTACATAAAATAGCTCAAGAAGTCTTTTGCTTTGTTATTCAGAGAGTCTTGCCACTTACACATACGAGAGCTTCGACCCCGCACCAACAACAACAGTTTGGTGCAACAAGTATATCTACAGACAGCATGGCAGATGCAGATGAGAAACCGAGGCCAAACAGGACAAACACATCAGGCGCAGCATCTCGAAGGTCTGGCGCATCGAGAGGAACCTCTCCAGCAGATCTGGAACGAGTCGAGACGGGAACACACTTAGACTTTGACCACTCACATTACGTGGGACACCGCTACACCGATCATGACCACAACGTGGACGCAGCCGCCGAGGACGAGATCAGCGATGAATTAGATCTGACAGAAAAAGAGACAGAGAATTCAACGGACTTAGATGGGGCATCACCAGGAGATATCGTCCCAGAAGTAAGAGATGGAATCGAAGATCAGAGAGATATCGAAGCAGGGCCTGAGTTAGAGAAGAAAAAGACTTCAAGGAGTGCTAGAAGTGCTAGAGATCCGGACTTGGTTACTTGGAGTGGACCAGACGACCCAACCAACCCAAAGAATTGGTCGATGAGACGGAAATGGGCTGCTACTTTAGTTGGTATGTGCAATCCGTTGAACCTGTGATACTTTACTCTAACTTCTCCCTCAGTTTCATCTTTCACTTTCATCTCTCCCGTCTCTTCCTCTATGGTTGCACCCGCTCTCACAGCTTTAGCGAGACAATTCGACATCACAAACGAGGTAGAATTATCTCTCACGCTTTCAATCTTCGTTCTTGCCTACGCAATCGGTCCGCTATTCCTCGGCCCTCTTTCTGAAATCTACGGAAGGGTCATCGTCCTCCAAGCCGCAAATCTTTTCTACCTTTTCTTCAACCTTGGATGCGGTCTAGCACAAACCAAAGGCCAATTAATCGCCTTCCGCTTCTTATCAGGTCTAGGAGGCAGCGCTCCACTAGCAATAGGTGGAGGAGTCCTCAGTGATCTCTTCACTGCCGAACAAAGAGGAAGAGCCATCAGCATCTACTCTCTCGCCCCTCTCCTCGGACCAGCAGTGGGTCCCATCGCAGGGGGTTTCATTGCCGAAAAAACGACCTGGCGCTGGGTCTTCTACGCAACCACCATCGTCGACGGTGCCATCCAAGTCGCCGGCCTCTTCTTCCTCCAAGAAACCTACCCCCCAGTTCTTCTGCATCGCAAAAAACAGAAGCTAATCAAAGAAACCGGCAACGACGCCCTCCACACCGAATACGACCACCCCGACCGCACCATCTGGACGACCCTCAAGATCTCCCTCATCCGCCCCTTTCGCCTCCTCGGCACCCAGATCATTGTCCAGGTCCTCGCCCTCTATATGGCCTACCTTTACGGCTTGATGTATTTGGTCTTGTCGACTTTTCCAAAACTCTGGGAAAACGAGTACCATGAATCCGTCGGCATTGGCGGCCTAAACTACATCTCCCTCGGCGTGGGCTTCTTCATCGGAACCCAAGTCACGGCTCCTTGTCAAGACATGATCTACCGCGCCCTAAAAGCTCGCAATAACGGCGTCGGCAGACCCGAATTCAGAGTCCCGCTCATGATCCCTGGCGCCATCCTCGTCCCGATCGGCCTGTTCATATACGGCTGGAGCGCACAGGCGCATACCCACTGGATCGTGCCGAATATCGGGGCCGCGATCTTCGCGGGCGGGACCATCATCGGGTTTCAGTGCATCCAGACGTATATCGTGGATTCGTACACCCGGTATGCGGCGAGTGCTGTCGGTGCTGCTACCGTGTTGCGGAGTTTGGCTGGGTTCGGGTTCCCGCTTTTCGCGCCGTATATGTATGCCAAGCTGCATTACGGGTGGGGAAATAGTTTGTTGGCGTTTATTGCGATTGGGTTGGGTTGGCCAGCACCGATTCTGTTGTGGAAGTTTGGGGAGACGTTGAGGAAGAGGAGTACGTTTGCTGCGGGGTAGGGAGGAGGCGAGGTGTGTTTGCTTTGTTGCATTGCATTGCGTGGGATGGGATGGGAGATTGGTTTGAAGAATACCTTGTTTATGCGAAGATGATTTTGTACAAAAAAATACTTAAACTTCTTACTCATACCTTACTCGCTTCAAAACGGGTCACAAGTGAAGTCACTCACTCCTCACTCACTCTCTATTTATTTCTCACTCACTCTTTACTTATTTTTTACTTATTCCTCATTCACTCTTTACTCACTCCTCAATCACTCTTTACTTATTCCTTACTCACTCCTCTATTACTCGCACTCCGCTATCTTTTAAGTAATATTAAAAGCAATCAATACTTTGCTAGTAGTAAAGTGAGCAATAGTAAAGGAGGCAATAGTGAGGTCGGCAATAGTGAGGTCGGCAATAGTGAGGTCGGCAATAGTGAAGTGGTAGTAGTGAGCTCGAGGTGAGCAAACAATAAGAAGATATTTAATAATAAATAAGCTAAGAATTAAGTAAAGTAAGTTGATATGTTTGATAACAAATAATTATTTCTTGCTAAGCAAATCACACTTTTTTGCGAGACAAATTACACTTTTTCACGGATTTCCAGACAAATCCTTGTTTTTACCCATTTGTATTTAGGGTCAGCCGTAAGTTGAGCTAATTAAGTAGCTGTGTAAGATAGTGGTATGTTGCTTAGCTAGAAGTATGCCTGGGTATTCCTGAAAATTGCAAACGGACTTCAATCGCGCATTGCAACATGCAGCAAAACTTCAGCTTCAACTTCAACTTCAACAAATTTTGAAAGTGAACTATCGAAAAGATAAAATATTGAATATACCACTATTCGTTGCGATATGCAACAAAGCTTGACCATTGTTCACGTGGACAGACTTGGTGTGTCCAGGTACTGTACTGGGCATTTAAGCAAGTCGAAGTTCCGAAGCTGTGAGGGAATGGAGGTAGCTTTGGAAACAGTTAGTGATAAGTCACGTACTTGTCAACTAAGAAAAAGACAGCAATCTAGAAGAAAGGAATGCCTGGTAAGCTTCCATTTCGCTCTTTTTTCCCTCCTCTTTTTTTCGGCTCTGATGCGGCGTGTAGAGGCAAGTACTGTACATCACGAGAATGCACAGCATGACCACAGCGCGTTCGGGACATCATTTCAGAAGTTTCTGCTTGATTGCATCTTCAGAACTTAGTCCTTGCAACCACGTTTGCATTCATGTGCTTGCCTTGCTATGAGCACAACTCATTCCAATATTCGTGGTCAAATCCTGTGCTAAGAGTATCGACTCTTCGAAGGACTTGTCCAGTCTGCAGCCTTACACCTAAGCCACACAGCCTTGAACGTCCTTTTCATTCATACAAATGTCTTCTACTGGAGATACCAGCATTAAGCTCGCCACGTGAATGGGTTCCGCAGGGAGCTTAGCACTCAAATAGTTCTTTACTATTGAGCTTGACTTGTATCGGCGGGTCTTGTGAGCAATAAAATACAATATATGCTCTCCGTCTTGCATCTACAGTTCTCATACTGAATTACCAACATTCTCAACAGCTGTTTTGAACAAGAAAATTCTCTAATCCATCTGCTGATATGAACCCACGTTGTCCTCGCCAAATTTGCCTCATGATCCAAACAAAAGTCTCACAAAGCGGTCCAATAAGCCTACCTCAGATCATCTTCGGAGTTATCTGGATCTCTTCGGGCAATGTCTTGCTTGAAACAGATATAGAGCATGCGGTTGAGCTTGATTTTGAGGCGAAATGTGACATGAAAGATACTGCAAAACACAAGCTGGGAGAGAGAAAATTCGACGCTATATCAAAGTCTCGTATAAGTGAACTCTAAAATACTCAATAACAAATCCGATGCAATTGATAAAAGAATTGACTTGACTTCAAGAAATTGGATGAAACTTCATCGAATGTCTTGTCCTTTTCAACACATCTTGACTTCGAGAATCATCTTACAAACTTCAAAGCACATCGTTATAGATCTATCCTAAATTCTCATTTGATATTGGCAAGCACGAAGTGAAGAAAAGAGATTCAGGGGGAGATAAACTTGACTGGTTTCTAAAAAGCACGTTAGTAGTCCAGCTCCACGTGACACCTAAAACTACCTAAGCCCAACCTGGAAAAAAAATATCCTCCACGAAAAGTGAGTCAACAAACAACCCCACCAACAGCTACCAACAACCTCAATTGAGCTCTCCAAAGACCTCAACCCCAACCGTCAAGCTGTTCCCAGCACGTCTCCTCTCCCGCGCCATCAGGCTGACCCCCTCACTCCACAAAACTATGTCGTCCCTCACCACGCAAACCTACACACCCACCGAAGAAGCCGAAATCAACCAATGGCTCACCACCTCTGACCGTCTCAAAATCTCCTCCGCAGACCAAAAACCCCTCCTCGACACCCTCAACACGCACCTCGCGTCCCGAACCACGCTCCTCGGCACCAAGCCCTCCAAAGCAGACATCGCCCTCTACCACTCCCTCGCGCCCCAAGTCGCGGCCTGGAGCCCCGCGCAGAAGACCGGTGAGCTGGGACACCCGCACATCGTGCGCCATCTGGACTTCATCCAAAACTCACCCGTTTTCGGCCTCGATGTCTCCGAGGGGGAGAAGCTCAAGGTTGATCCGGAGGAGATCCTGTACGTGGAGCCGCCTGTTGACGCCAAGGCTGAGAAAGAGCGGTTGAAGAAGGAGAAAGCTGCTGCTGCTGCCGCTAGTGCTTCAGGAGGAGAACCAGCGTTGGCGGACCGCACGAATAAGAAAGATAAGAGCGTTGTGGAGAAGGTTGCTGAGAAGGTAGCTGGGGCTAAAGATACTGTCGTTGCAGCTGTAGCAGGCGAGGGCGCCGAGAAAGGCGAGCAGAAGCAGAAGAAAGAGAAGAAGGAGAAAGCTCCCAAGCCTCAAAAGGCCCCTCCTGCTGTGACGCCGCTGTCGCCTTGTCTGATTGATCTCCGGGTTGGACATATCCTGAAGGCCATCAAGCACCCGGAAGCGGACTCACTGTACGTGTCTACGATTGCGATGGGAGATAAGGCTGGGACGGAAGACACGTCTGAGTACGAGGGCCAGGTTGTTCGGACCGTTTGTTCGGGGTTGAATGGACTTGTTCCGTTGGAGGAGATGCAGGGACGGAAGGTGGTTGTGGTGTGCAATTTGAAGCCGGTCAAGATGCGCGGTATCAAGTCTTGCGCTATGGTTTTGGCTGCTTCGCCTAGACTTAAGGAGGGAGAGGAGGATCATCATGGTGGACCGGTTGAGCTTGTTACGCCGCCTGCTGAAGCTAAGGCTGGTGAGAGGGTGTTCTTTGAGGGATGGAAGGGGGAGCCAGAAGGGGTTCTGAATCCGAAAAAACGTGTTTGGGATACAATTCAGCCAGGATTCACAGTTACTGAGGATTTGGCGGCTGCTTTTGATGCTGGTGTTGTTAAGGAGCTTAGCAAGGAAGGAGAGTCGGCAAAGACTGGTGTTGGCAAGCTTGTTACTGAGGCTGGTGGTGTTTGCAAAGTCAAGAGCTTGACCAATGCAATCATCAGATAGATTCGACAATAACTAGATGCATAGACATAGAGCAAAAAGTGCTTTGCAGACTAGAATCACATACTAGCGTTTTGCTCGATTCGAACTGTTCAGATGCTTTCATGTTCCCTTTATACATCGACTCTACGCTTTTCCTATCCTGATAATACTAGCGAGCGTCATTCAATATCCCACCATATGATCCAAATATTCCCATGCACAAAACCTGCCGCTATGCCCTTTTCCCTAATCAGATGTCAAGATGCGTGGAGAAGTATATCCCAAAACATTCATAACGCCTAGTGCAATGCATATCCAAAAGTCCTCCTGCTGAAGGCAGCGGCTCCGACCAAAATCCAGATGGTTTGCTCGCTCGCTGAAAGTGCATGACATAGTATCAAAATATAAAGATGGACAAGAATTAGATCATTACCAGAAGGTAATAAATGACAGGGACTCAACGGCCGATGTCTCTCGACCGCTTGAAGACCAACTTTGGGGGTTCAAGGCCGTCCACTCCTTCATCGTCAACCTCCATATCATCGACTTCGAGATCCTTGAAAGATCCAAGTTCCCGTCGTACAAGAGGGGTCTTTAGCTGTCTTTCCTCCGTTGCTTTAGCCGCCTTCGGAGTCGGGTTCTCCGCTTCTGCCTTGTTGAGCTTCTCGATCTCCTTCTCAGCTGTCTCCTTTACCTCTGCCAATTTCCTCTTTATATTCGCAATCTCGGTGCCGCACTCGCCATCTCGAAGGAATTGGTGAGCCGCATGCTCACACTGGCCTTGACACCATTCGAGCCCTTTATCCAATTCATCGAAGATATCGGGCGCATCTCCCCCGGCTCTTCGATATCCCCGCAGAAGTCCAACGCTCAATGTACTTCCGTGGGTATCTTTGTTCGCTGCAGCATCTCTCGAAGGACCCATCTGTCTCGTCGAAACGAATTTCAGTTTTGGCATCGCCATATCCGCGCTGTCTGAATCTCCCGCCGCTATTCCCCCAGGTTCCAAGCTCTGGCCTTGCTTGCTAACGGAAACATTCTTCTGGGCTGCAACAAGCCCTTTCTTATTCGCAACCAGATTGTCACCAACATTCTCCTCCTCCTCATCGTCGTCGTCATCATCCCCTACTTCCATTTCTGCAGCTCTTTTCATCTCTGCCATTTTCGTTGCCATTTTCCCCTTCCGCATCGCATTCCTGCTTCCACTTACAAACTTGACCAGTTCCTCGAATGCAGTCTGCACCGCGCTGTCATAGTATACAATGATCATAGATCTCGTCCGGTATTTCGGCGCAACGGACGACTCGTTCGACGCAAGTGATTCGGTCTTTCTCTTTCGCAGCACATTACCACCTGGTCGTTGCAGAGGGGTCGGTTGGGAGGATTGTCGCATTAATCCGCCAGGAGACGAATGCGGATTGGAGCTTGCTTTTGGAGGGGTCTTGGTCCTGCCCGCAGTGCCGGCCGACCGAGGATTCGACGTGAATCCATTGTGATTTGACTTCGGCGAATCGAAGGGATTGAGCTGGATATCGTCCGGATTCTCGGGGTCGTGGGACAGGAACGGGTTCTCGTGTCCATCTTTGGGTCGCAGAGATTCCGTAGAACCTTTGTTCTTCAGCGAGCGTGTTGGGGGACGCTCGGTGTCGGTCAATCGAGCCAATTCGATTTGTCGCAGAGCAATCTGCCCGTTAAGTTGGTCGAGTCGGTTGTTCCACTCCGGGACGGAGGTACACAGTGTGTCGAGAGCTTCCAGGATGGAAAAATTTGCCATTGCGAAAATAGCCCAAAGGTTAAAAGAATGATTAGGATGAAAGTACGAGTAAACGGTTTGTGATGCACGACGCACACAAAGAAGCTCGGACTGGGTGGAAAGGGCAGGACATCGAGAAGTTATCGAGTACCGGGGAGGGTCGTGAGACTTAGAAGATCGTCATCGTAGATGTTCGAGGGAGGGACGATAAAGTAGCAAGCCAGTCCGGCAATCGTGGAGCCGTGCTCTAGCTCTGGCGGGATTGGCGTAGTCTTTGTAGATCTACAGCAGAACTAGCTAGTTGAAGATCAGAATTTCGACAACACGAACAATAACAAAAAAAGTTGTATGGGACTGTGCCCGTGACGGCTTGAGCAATAAGTACCGGAAGGCGTGTCCGCGATCCCCATGCAGCCTTGATGTAGGGCCCGGTCCTTTTGAGACTGGCAACACGAACGTTTCTGCTTAGCTGAGTTCGGACAGCATCTCATTCTGTCAGGCTTGCTCTGCAAGGATGGGCATTTCCGATATTAGGGCAAGCGTCGAGTATGGAAGTGGCATATAACAGATCTTAAGACTTTTAAAGGCTGCAGTTGAAACAATCTTCGGCAGCGAAAGGAAAGGGAAAGCTCGGCCACAGTTTTGTCATGACACGTGCGAAACTCTGAAGCACATCATCCTGATTGGGGTGTTCGTACATCTGCTTCTTCAGTAATGATTCTGCAACGGACGATGCTGCACGGAAGATCAAGATCTCGCAATTAGGGTAAAATGTTCGGCCTGCGGACCCTAGCCAGAAACACCCTGCACAGCTTTGCACTGCGGCACACATCGTGTAATATCAAATTCAACGTTTGTGCTACGGAAGACTGCAAATTGATAGGTGATTTTACGAACTCGTTCCCAAGCGGCTAACGAGAATCTCGGTTGGCTTGCTCTTGAGGAATGTGGTACAGTATTGGTACATTATCGAATGTTGGAGACACGACAAACCTCAACCAGACAGTCGGAAAAGCTATTCGTACTCGGATGGACTGTAGTACATATCTGCGGCGTGGAGTAATTGTGTGCTAGCGCTCAAAGTGGTTGAGTGTTGTAGCCCGGTTAGTTGTTAGTTCCGTCGGCGTGAGATGCCATGCCATGCCCTTGCCTGCGCAAGCATTGCCTATTGGCAAGCCGTCGCACATCACCAAGTCGGACTTCCACTTGCCTGCATTTTGAAAACTATCCGGTCCTCATCCGAGAATTGTGGTTATTCGTGCCTCTATCTGCCGTGCCGCTGAAGCGCCTTCAGACCATACTTTCTTACCACCCTTATCGACTTTCACTTGCCGTTACAGTACTGGCAGGACTCAAATCGAAAAGCCACGCAAGCATCTGACCCCATGCAGAACCAATCCAATCCAAGCATCTCAATCCTCAGGCTTGCAGAGATATTCATCTCTGGTGTCAATAATCTTCAGCACGGAATAGGACAAGACAGGACAATGCAGTAAGCGCATGCTGCAAGAGGTTTCAACCCGGTACTGTACCTGACGTAGCAATTCCTCTCCCCCACGAATCTCTAAAACAATGTTACAGTACATTTGAGTCAACGGCTGTCAGCCTCCCCGGCAAGCCTCATCATGCACATGCGGCACGGCCCACAGAAAAACACAGAACACCACATGGCCAGATCTGCTTCCACTTTCGACCATATTTGATATCGTTCCTTGCCAGAGCTTACGCGCCCTCCAACACCTTTCCTTGAACTCGAGAAACTTGGGAATGTGATCTTCTGACATGACTTCAATGTCTGGGGTTGCGTCGGGAAGAATCTAAATGGCTCCCCAGATGTTGGATCGAGCGCTAGGAATCTGCATTTCCTCGGACTCGCGAGCGTGTTCATCATACCTTGCAGTGGTGCAACGAACATCCATTGGCGGACATGGCCCGAAAGTAGCAGCCGGCTGTAAAACGTGATACGACGACGACGGCCTTGTCGCCGAGCGCAATCAAAAAGGTTTGTGGATAGCATATGCAAAGCAACACGGCGTGCAGACAGCAGCGTCAACAGAATCAACTCCCGATACTAGTTGCCTCATGCACTTTTGACATCGTAAGGCTCAGAAGCTTTACTCCACACGGGGAAGGACTGCAGAGAGACCCGGGTCTGACCGCACCGAGATGAAGTCGCGCCATAAGAAGTTTCGAGAAGCAAACCATCCCGGACAGTGAGAAGAATGTGGATATAAACGACATGGGGAAGAAGAAATGGTGGGTGGCACAGATGGATTGCGATCCTTGCTACAACGTGCTATCAAGCCATAAAACGATTATGCTTGAACCTTGCAGTCAGGGTCTCAAGAATGATGGCCAAGATCGGTTAAAGTGCCTTGCAACAAGTTTAAATAAAGAATCATGAAGAAAAATGTTGCTCACGGTCAGTCAGCCCATGCTCCGAACAAAGAGGTGACCTGGTTTGCAGTTGGGAAGGTTATCGTTGACCTGCATTCTCATAATCTAGCCGACCATTTGAAGCGCTATCTTCAAGCAGTCAGCAAACTCAAGGCCAGAGTTCCTCAACCTTCCATTCCCCAACTACTTTGCCTCGCTGCCCGCTGTGGCCGCCAGAAGGCCCGACATACGTGCATTGCCATCTTCGGGCCTCATCTGGGACGGACAAATCGACAGCTTCGACTACATCCGGCTGGGCACCGAGTTAGCCGTACGAACCCCAGTTGTACGAATGAAAATACGAATATTGTAATAACAAATAACACAATCGGAGAGTTGAATATGCCGAAGTTGTGAGGATCAGGTCACACAAGCTCGTGAGACTGAACAGAAGAGAAGAATAGTAGACCCGAGAACTTACCCTGATGATGACCACCCTAAAACTCTTCCTTGCAACTTCATCGTGCAAATCGTCAACCTTTTGTCCCAAGCCGAGGGACTTGTCAGCTGGTGGGATCGAAACTGGAGATCCAGGCACTGGATTTCTGAAGCTGCCCCTCATTCCTGGACTTAGATTTCCAAAGTGGGCTGTGAGCTCCTTTCCCCAACTCCAACCCTCCTTTCCCTCTTCCTTCACCACCCTCATCCGCTCGCCAATCTTGCTCTTCACGGTTCTCGTCCCGCTAGATTCCTCACCAGACCCTTCAATATCTTCTCCAACCACGTAGGCCTCTCCTTTAAACCTCCATTGAGTCATGACCTCCTTTGCCCAGAAGACGGCCTCAACAGGTCCCCCACCACCACTCCCCTGACTCTGTCCTACATCCCCATGACCAGATGAGCTAGCAAAGATCTCTGGGACCTTCGCCATTCTCACGTCCGTAGTCAGGGTCAACAAATCGCTCTCGTAGACACGCTCGTTCTGCGGTGCATCATTGTGCTTATTCTCTGGCAACTCTGCCCACATGCCTCTGAAGATACAGGTTCGTGCTCGAGGAACGTAAGGAACAGGCGAGTCCTTGTTCTCGGCTGGATGCAGAGAAGTGAAGACAAATTCTGGAGAATCCATCTTCTCGAGATGAGACATGAATAGGGGGCGCCATGGAGCAACTCCAACGCTGGATGGCGTGGTAGAATTCGTCGACATGGTGCGAGCGATTCGCAAGAGACGGGAACTGGCTTTGGAAGCTATGATGAAATATGAGAAATGAAGGTGCGTCTTATGAGGGCGAAGAGGATTTTGTTGAAGACAAGAAATGAGAAGAAAGATTTCGAGGTTGAGAGCTTCGACTTGGATGACGTTTACAAAATGAGGCAAGGCTAGGTAAGTAGCCTCGCCCCACTGCACCTCAGCCCCTTATCCTCCATTCTTAAGGTTTCAGCCTCACTCGAAGAATTTCTACCATCCCCAAAAAAATTTGTATTGTCTATTTGTTGTATATCTTCCTTTCTCTCCCACTCAGAAATCAAGCCTTCGGATGATTACATCCGGCAAGATCGCCTGATCACCAACCCCTCGGAAGCTAACTTCCAAGATAGCTCTCCCATTCCAAACTCTTGCATCCAAACAAAACAGAAATCAAATTGCAAACCTTCTCAGCCTCACAAGCTGTCGAATCTCACTTGCAGCCTTTCCCCTTTCTCCCAATCGCTCTCTTCTCTCCATCCGGAACCTCCTTTCATCCCAAATCTCGGCCTCGCGACAATCCCATCCGAAGCCAAATAATATTTTCGACGCGGCTAAAGGTTCCCCGTAAAGATCTTCGTCACCCCTCATCTGGGGAAACGGTCTCCATCAGCATGCCGCCCCGTTCCTGGAGAAACTTTTACCTCCAATGAGATCTCAAGCAGCAAGGTAGCTTTTGCATTTATGCTTGAATGTCCAATGGCAGACTGGGGCCTGCCGTCATTCTTGGGGAAGCTTCAAGTTGGAGCTCGGTGGAATTGGTTAATTTCTGAACGGAGCTTAAATTTTTGAATCTCTATATCTGGGGTAGACATTAGAGTTGAAACTTTCTGCTGCTTTCTCTGTCGTTTTACTTTCGCGATCATCGCAGCATCAAGTGTGCCAGAAGTTTCTTTCTTGCTTTATCCCGTCTAGTTACTCGTCATGCGGTCCACCATCTTCGCAACAGCTTTTGCAGCATGTCTAAGACTCGCATCTGCGAACCCGTGGGGTACTGCTCCCAAAGGACCTACAAACAACGGGAAGACATGCACAGTCAAAGCTCTTGGAAACAACAAGGACGACACACCACAGATCCTCGCAGCTTTTGAAAACTGCAATAACGGAGGGACTGTTGTGTTTCCAGAAGGCGAGAACTACTGGATTGCAACGAAATTGAATCCTGTAATCTACGATGTCACTGTTGAATGGAAGGGCATGTGGACTGTAAGTCACCGAATTCCCATACTGGATAATGAGGATCTGACAAGTTGATAGATGTCCGATGATCTGAGCTACTGGAGAAACAATTCGTACCCAATTGCTTTCCAGAATCACCATGCTGGTTTTATCATCACGGGAGAACGGATCTACATCAACGGCTATGGTACCGGAGGTATTTTCGGGAACGGAAACGTCTGGTACAATGCAGAAAAAGCTGTCACCCAACCGGGACGACCGATGCCCTTTGTATTCTGGAACGTGAGTGATGTATTTGTGGAACACTGTATGTTCTCTCCTGATGTTGTTTCACGGCCTTTAACCTAAGTGTCCTAGTCTACGTTAAAGATCCACCCCTATGGTCCCTGAACATCATGAACGGGACAAACATGTGGTTTGATGACATATTGTGCAATGCTACAGCTGTAAACGCACCGTATGGCACGAACTGGGTGCAGAATACTGATGGATTTGACACGATGGATGCCCATAATATTATGCTCACAAACATGGTGTACCAAGGAGGTGATGATTGCATAGCTCTCAAGCCTCGCTCGTACAATGTCTTTGTTCAAAATGTATGTCCTAACTTAAGCAATTTTCTATTTTTCACTAACCAGAGTACAGATCACTTGCCATGGTGGAAATGGCATCGCAATTGGTAGCTTGGGACAATACCTTGAAGACTCTTCTGTGATCAATGTTCTTGTTAAAGATGGTTCGTCTAGTGTTTTGACCATTCTTTTCTATATGACTGACATTTCGCTAGCTAACATCCTCACCCATAACAATGATATGGAAAACGGAGGTAAATTTAACTTTCATATGAGATCCCCATCCCCTCATCAATGAGGCAACATAAAGGAAGCTCCAATTATCACACCTCTCTCTACGTTATTTCGCTCTCGCAAAGCTAATCCCATTCTCCCAGCCTACATCAAAACCTGGGTAGGAGCCCTCGTCCCCCAAACCTCCTACGAATCCGACTACCTCCCCCGCGGCGGCGGTTGGGGGGTCGTACAAAACGTGCGCTTCGAAAACTTCCTCGTGGAAGGAGCCTCCATCGGGGCTGCCATCACCGAGTCCTCCGGCAACAACGGCTCCTACTCCGGCACCTCCCTGATGGAAATAACCAACATCGCCTTCGTGAACTTCACGGGCTACACGACGTCCACTTCGCGGAGCGCGGAGGTGAGTTGCTCGAACGTGGTACCGTGCTATAATGTTGCATTTCAGAATTTCAGTTTGAGTCTAGGGTCCAATGGGACGGCTGAGGGGGCTACCGGGACGTGTAGCTATATTGAGGAGGGCGGTGTGAGGGGGTTGGCTGGGAGTGGGTGTTGAGAGAGTGTCTATTCTGGGTACATATACATCCATTCAGATGTATTTTGTTCGTTTCATCACGGGAATATAGTGATACGAGCAGCCCGAAGGTTGAATTCAGTCCTGCAGGTTGTACAAGCATCGTAAGTTGGTATTTCTTCTCTTTGCTATACTGCAAATTTGTTACTGTTTTCTCGGGTATACTTGAATAACCTTCAAGTCGATCTTTCGGGGCGGACAATGGAATGTTTCGTTGCATATCGGCATACTGCTTAAGCACATCAATTATACTTCTTTTGTGACTATCTAAGATAATTCACCTCCTTCGTACTCTACTCCCAGTAGTAGCATACGCAAACTTACCACCCGCTGGAGTTTTGGAGAATCCCTCTTCCAGACTACCCTACGAAACCACCTGGACGGCCACTGGACGTCCCAAAGGCTAAACCTAATTCAAATGAGTGCACGTTCGGGAAAATTGGACGGTACAACTTCGGGTTTGGCCCTGCTGCTACTCTGGCGCTTTGCCCTGCTCTCTGCCCTGCTCTCCCACTCACTCCCTTCTTCCTTTCCCGTCTCTAAGGCCCTTCTCTCTCACTCTCATTCTCTTACTCATCGTCTTGATCCTCACATGGTTAGCCGTACCAAATGTAAACTTTTTATTTTAGGATTAATGCACTTGAATGCACTATTTAGGGGTTGATATTCATAAAATGAGGTTTTTGGCGAGCATCTCAGACTTCAAGAACATCAAAAACTTAAAGAATAGTAGCCTGAGGACTTATGCTAAGTGTGCTTGAGCCTCCTTTTGCATAGGCTGGGCCGTTTGAGCCGCTTTTGCCTAGGTAGGGTGCAACCGTTTGAGCCGCCAACAGCTTTGAGCTCGGGATATCGACGTAGGTTACGATTGCGTCGATGACGTCGATGCAAGCCTTCAGATTAAGCTACCTACCTATATAGATTTCAATAAGCGAATTTTATTCCAAGAACCACAAGATGGTGTAATGGTTCGGGTCCGTGATTGACCTCCTAACCTAATGGGCTCTGGTAGCTCCCAAGAAACTCCTTCCCACAAAAAACCTATTAAGTTAGGTTTCTCTAAATAGATAGAGACCCATTAAGTTGGGTCTCTCTAAATAGAGTTTTGCCGGTTCGATATTTGTTCTTTCTTTTTTGTCCCTTTTTTTTGGGTCAGTGTCCCTATGCTTCAAGGGGATTTGAAAAATCCAGGGCTAGGCCCCCACTACTAGACTGCTCCTCTGTCTTACTCTCCTTGCTAGACTACTTCTCTATTTCATTTTCCCTTGCACTCTCATTTGAACCCTTACTCTTTCATATTCTCCCTCTTACTTATGAAATGAAATACATTTCACCTTTAAAAACCCTCGCAACCTCTCCACACCTTCTTGCTACTTTTTGCTACCTCTTCTTTTTATAAATTATTTATAAGCTCAAGACCTATGTGTTTGGCTGCGGACGTCCAGTGTACAGCCGTGGGACGTCCAGTGGCCGTCCCAGGTGGTTTCGTAGGGCTATCGATTTCAATCTCAGTATCCCAATAACAGCAACAAAATCAGACGATACAGTATTAATTGCTTTCCAAGATATGATTCCTCAATGAAGGAGCGATCTCTACAAGAGAAAGGTCCTCTTGAGCTTTTGCTAAAGGTAAAGGCTAAATAAAGTATGCAAATGTGGGCGCTCTGTACTTTGCTACATAAAATAGAATGTCTATTCTTGTCCCCATCACCTTCTCTCAAACACCACAAGAGTTAGCGATCTAAATGGGAATAAGGTTTTACTCTTGAGATAATACATAGTCCTTTACCAGAATTCCTACGACTATTTACCTATAAAGTGATATTTTAGAAAGCAATTAAAACGGTACTCGACACCGAACTATCCAAACCCAGTATCTCACTCTCTCCGAAATTCTCCGAATAAATCCGTCCATGAATCAATCTCCTTACCTGGTCCTCAGTCTTAGCTCGTCTCACATCCATATCAAAGTTATCAGACTCACGAACATGTCCTCATCCGCTTGATCCGCGCCAATGACAATTATCAGATCCAACGATCTGTGAGCCGAGAAACGAGGGACGAGATGTCACTTGCCAGGTCAACCGTTATCTGATCTAAATTTGGCGAGGAGCATGTCACTGCTTATCTGATGTAGCTTATTGGCATGTCACTGCGTGCGTGGCCGGATCTCGGGACGGGAGTTGTTACTAATGACATGAACGTATGGCTTAGGTATCGTTGGAGATTCGAGATGCCAAGAGATGCTGGAGGCTATGGATTGGCTGTGGTGGTGGTGGTGGTGTTCATGGTGTATTGACAAACGTAAGGGGGCGATATGGTGATAGTGGTTAGGTGTGATGAGAAGGCGTCTCAGCAAGAAGGAGGCCGTCGAGCACAGGGCCTTGGCTATCTCAAGGACGGATATTCTCGACCCTCTCTGAGAATGCATTCCACAGCCATGGGCATCTTGGGAGAGCGAGATCCAAATTGCCGTCTATGAAAGTGACAGGCGGGAGCTAATGTTCCGGAGGCTCTTGGCGATGTCACTTGGGCATTGACATTGGATATACGGCGATTGGCTTACGCTCGAGTTCCAGGGTATATCTTGCTGCCTGGAGTCTGGTGAGATCATCACCCGAGCTAGATTGATGGACTATGCTCATTGTTCCTGACTAGGGAGGTGATATTGCTGGCTTGTCTGGAGACTGCAAAACGAGTCTGATCTACAAGCTTAGCTTCCGTGTGTCTAAATATTTAGACGTTTGATTATGAGTTTACTATTCTTCTCTTTTAACCTCGAAGGTGTAAGGAAGCATTACTTCCTCCAAGATAGTGGCTCAGGTCAAGATATCGTGCAGTCTGGTCGACTGATTAGCGAGGACAAAGACTTGGACGGGGAGATTTAATATCTAAATTTTGATGTCATAGTTTACTCGTCATCTTCTGGCATGGAATATTTCTCACACTGACGATCTGGTCAAGACCTTACGCAAGACTCAATTCATACCTGAATAGGTATTCGTAGCGCAAGATCAAGTGAATTCATTCACAGTTTTTCCCTCGGATATCTCATAGCCGAGATCGGGCCTCCTATTTTCGATTTCGGGAGGAGCGGATGCATTCTACTCAAGTAGACTTGGAATTATGGTTTGGACGGATGAACGACAGCGCTAGATCAAGTTTAGCCTACTGATTGCTAAATATACTAAGATGAGTGACTTGAGCATCGTCTCTTCCGAAAATAAAGCGTTTAACATAAGAGCAACTAGGTCAGTAAGTGGAGAAGTAACAGCAAGCCGAACTCGGTAACAAAGAATCATAAATCTAGTGACAATATATCGAAAGCGCATGCTGGGAGCTAATTGGACTTCTGCATAATTTCGGATATCTAACACCGTGATAGCAAGAAAAACAAAACAAAGGAAAAGAAATCCTATTTGTAGTTAAAAACCCCAGTCCATAAACGAAACCCCCGGAAACCAACAACCGAAACCAAATTAAGATTTCCAAAAGGCTCAGAGGTTAAATTTGCGTCATGCAACAAAACCCTCCTCAAGGACGCCATTCCCGAGAAACTTCGCCCCCCTTTTGGGAATTACACGTGATGATCCATGTCTTCTATTTCCGCCCCCTTGAGTCGGCTTTGAGCGAATCAGATATCGTTCCGTACGTGGGTATACTCCGTATTGGGTGTCCTGCCACGGGATTCGTTTCACTGGCCGGGACACGGCTGATCCGATCGACGAAGGCTGTGGTGACGTGCTGCTGTTTTTGGTCAGATCTCAGGAGAGTGAGCGAGATGAGGTGCAGAGTTTGAGACTTTAGGAGTATGAGGTAGTGGTGTGGAGGAAGTTATGTCTTATTTTTAGAATATTTAAGCATGAGACAACCTGACAGCGATCGAAGATCCGTCTCGAAGGTTGATGGAAGATTTTCTCTCCGTCAATCAGACGTTGGGTATTAGAAAGAACTGGGAATTGGGTGGACAGCCGTTCGTAAAGGTCATCATCGAGCATTGGAATACGCAACACGAGCAATCCGTTATTCTGACTGTGCTGTGTAAATGATGGCTGGTAATCTAGTTAGTATCTGGGGTTGTTCCGGTCTAAGCATTTCTCTGCGTAACAGAAGACTGTAAGACGCGCAAGCCCTTTCGCCGCTTTCATGTTCTGATGGGTTGACTCCGTCTCAAGAAGCAGAATGCTTAGAGCAAGTAGTAAGCGAAGCTCGGCAAAGTTGTTGAATGTTCCCCAAAGAACTTCATTGTCGGTAAGCCAGCAAGATGATGGCGTTCTTCTGGCTTGCGTCTTACTTCAGGTCGTCAGCCTCGAAAGAAGTATCAATTATCTTTTTCATCTGATCTGATTCTGATCTCTCGACCAGGACAATGATGCTATCAATGAGTATAATATTCTTTATGGCCTTATTGTGGCTGAGCTCGAGAGATCTGGGTGTGTCTGGAACAGAAATGGCTACACCAGAAGCTTTTGGATGGTCCGATAATTGAAGAGAGAAAATAGACTGAGCGGGAATTGCATGGGCTGGATGAGCTTATTTCGACCTTGAAAGTATGGCGGCCAATTGCAGAAGAGCTATTAGTGAGCAGACCCGTGTGGCGGGTGTGTGGGAGGGATCCTAGGACGAAAGAAGCTTCGTGCCGGGGACCTGAAGCGCTTTTGGCAGGGAGATCAATGTGAATGTGCCTTGCGTACCACAAACGTGCGTGAGAGGAGGGAGCAGGATTTGGATAAGTAGAAGTAGAATTACTCGAGTAAGGGGCGTGGGCAATTACGTCTGCTCAGATGTCAGTATACACATTGCTACGATACACTTACTGTCAACACTCTCTATTTCGTTGAAGGAAAAGAGAATCGCCGACCTCCAACCTTCTCTGCATAACCATATATCCACAATTTCAAGGAAGAAGGGGAAATCCCGAAGGAAAAAGCACAGCTGCAAGCAAGGCCGCCTCGAAACGGAACCGATCCGCGACGCCTCCCTACTCTTCAAGCTTCCCCTTCTATAAACAGAGACATCCAGAAACAGAGGAGAATATCTGACTTGCCTTACGCCAGGTCGAAGAGCGTGTCGCCAGAGGGTTATTTGAAGCAAACCCCGTACAGTCCATTGACTCCCAATTACCCTCTCTTTCTTCCACAGCGTCTATCCCAACATCCTAGGAGCGATCTACCCGAGAGACTGAATCGCGGGGCCTTTCCAGACCGTCCAGCGCCAGAAACCGGGTCGTGCACAGCAGCCGCCTTTGCTGAAAGCTTGGCACAGAAGTCCCCAAAAGCCTCCTTGGTGCTTCCTGGAAACAAAAGCGTTTCGAGTACCAGCACTGATAAACCGGCCACTCCTCGCAATCGAAAACAGTCCCGATCACTGTTGCGCAGGTTTTATAGCCATCATTGACAACCTTACTCGCGTTCCTATCCGGCCAATTGACTTGACTGTGTGCCGCACAGCGGCCAAGAGTCTGCGAGAAAAAGCGCGAGAGTGAGTTGAGAAAGGTAGAACAGAGAGCGAGAGACAATAGGAGGGTGTGAGCGAGAGAACTGTCGGGTGATCGGGCATTTGGTTCGTCATGTCGACGTCTTCGGTAAGCAGAGCAAAGCATTGGTGCTTGATTTTATTGATTGTTCAGTGGTAATACGTCGTATTGCCTACCCTGTTCTGTTTATTGGGTTTTTGCATTGTTGCATTAGGCGGACTTCCGAATCCCCCAGAAAGCTAAATTAGTAGCTCTCGTCTCCCCACTTACTTAACAACGCGCAAGCGCATCCGCATCCCCCAATGCCGAGCCGACTGCTGTTGCACTTGGCTCGATAGCCATACTTTGCCCTCACTGGCTTGTCCTTCGTTTTGTTCATCTCATCCCTCTACACTTTGACTTGCGCCCTCAATCGCTAATCATGTCGTCTGCAAAGGAGAAAGCAAATCTAGCGCGCATAAGAGATAACCAGAGAAGAAGTCGAGCAAGGAGGAAAGAATATCTGCAGGAACTCGAGGCACGATTGCGACAATGCGAACTCCAAGGCATCGAGGCCTCGTCCGAGATCCAGATGGCTGCGCGACGAGTGGCCGACGAGAACAAGAAATTAAGAGGCCTCCTGGCCCAGCATGGTGTGGCCGATGATAATATCGAGGCATATCTGCAGACTTCGCCGACGACAGACGGAATGGCTGGCGGCCCATATACCAGCAGTAGCGGCGCCGTACAACTGCTGGAACAACTTTTGCAAACGCGCAAAACATGCTGCGCCGATGGAAACAATCCAGTGTTGGGTCAAGGCACAGGCAGTCGAGATAGTTCAACCAGCGTCACCACCGTGCAATCGCTGTGGGATCCTGTATATGCGCAAAATCCGGGTAGGGCGGGGTCTTTACAGCAGACGGGAAAGGCGGCGTCTTCAGCACACCAATTCATGACCCCGAGTACGAGTAGCGCCAGTCGAACCAGCAGTGTGAGCCATGGCCCTGCTTCACATCATCAACGTCTCGCGCTTGGGCAGATTCCACGAAGTCCAGCCTCTAATCCCTCAAGTCATAGTCAGCACCAGCATCTTTTCGACTTTGATCCTCAGATTTCCGTATCAGGATCCTATTCATCACATCAAAGCCATACCCACAAGCATCTACAACCACATAGCGGGGCCCAGAGATCTTCCGTTTATATAAGCCATCCTCCTACGAATACAAATGTCAATAATTGCAATTATGCAGCAGAAATGATCACTACGATGGCTGGAGCTGATCCTAGCACCGTACGAGCAGATCTTGGTTGCTTGCCTGGAATGGAATGTGACGTCGACAATCATCACCTTTTTGAAGTTATGGATCGTTATTCAGGTGTCGGGTTATAACCATCAAAGACTACGGAGCAGTCTATGTTGATTTCAAGCCACTGAATACGGAGCACAATACCCGACGATATATTGGTGACGGCCCATGGTTTATGCCTCGAGGCCTGGATGTCATGATCTATGAACTTCAATGCAATTTTGCATTCCTACGTTGCAATTTGTTTTCGGCGCTAGACGGCTGGCTGAAGCATTTGTTTAATGGCGTTTGAATTCTTGTAAAATGTCTTTGGCGCATTCCGTTACTACAGCATGTATTAGCATTGCAGTAGCAGGATTATATTTGGTTATAAATGTGTATAGCACGAAGATGAAGTGGTTAAAGTCAAACCAAGAGAAAAGATATTTTCAGGTCCAAGAACCAGTCCTAAAGTGAGTCTGTTGATCCTTGGAGATGTCCCAAGTGGGAAACCCAGAATGTTCCATCATTCCAATCGAAATTTCCATTCCTCGCCTTTGTCTTGGACAATCGTAAACATGAGCAAGCGTCTCTAGGGAATCTGTCTTCAATTTTCTCTCATCGAGCCTGCTTTCCGGCTTTTTTGCAACACATCTTTTCATTTACGCATGGATACGTTGTCACTTGCATCTAGGAATTACAACTCCTCAGGACCAGCCAGAGGACTGTCCTCTAAAGAATCACCATGTCGAAAGTGTACGAATTCTCCTCATTTGTAACCGCGCCAGATGTCCGACGGGTCGCAGCGCCTTTTGGAGCACCTCAAATCGTCACTATCCCATCAACGCGCATCCCGTCTCCCTTGGCAGCGAACCTCGCCCCACAGACGATCAAAGATCTGAAAGAATTCCTGACTGGATGTGGGCCTGATGGGGTAGTCAAACCTGGGAACGAGAAAGGAAACGAGGTGTGGGAAGCGTGGAAGAGAGCTTGGGATCTGTGGAATAATCACTATATTGAAGGGAGATACAATTCAACATTTATTAGGGAAGAATATGCTAGGCTCAAAGCACTAGTAGAAGGACTGAAGCAGGCACAGGCGCCAAATCGACGAAGGCGACCACGGAACACTGGTCGAGGCGGCACGGCAGCCATCAGAGGTGGCCGAGGAGGAGGTAGATGGGGCGGAGCTGCAGGGCCTCCCCCAGTTGAAGGCAACGGTGGGCGAGTAATTCTCAGCAGAGTATTTGCACGACAGAAGCCGCCGGTAACATTTCTGGGCAGAGAGTGGATCAGACATCGGTATCGAACGAGGAAGACTAAAGTCCCGACCGGACGAAAAATTCTAAAAAATAACCCCAATCCTCCGGAGACGACTGTAACCAGAACACGGCAAGTGCTCAAAGTGGCAGCACAGCAGGCAGGCACAGACGTTCCGATTTATAGGCGAGATCCTAAATACACAGAGGTCGAACAAACGCAGACTGTGCGTCGAAATGGTCCTTGGCAGTCGAATCTACTTTCCTATGAGGAGATTGCTGCTCAACGTGAAGCTGGAACCTTCGCTGCTGAGGGACTCGACCCTGATCTCCCAACCGATCCCACAGTCGCTCCCGAACTGGAGCCTCTGGAAACGAGACAAGTGACGACGAGAGTCAGACGAGTCCTCAAAAAGCTCGATACCGTCGATGTCACCGTGGAAATACAACCAAGCCCCCTGACCTCGTGGGAAAGACTGGTTAACCATAGACGGTCCGGTACATTCCCAGCGGCAAGAGGTAGAAACGAGGAATCACAATACGAAAATTCTCGACCTCAAATGTGGGTTCCTCAATTCTACACTTTGGTGGACACGGGGAGACAGGAAACCTTGTTGGATGATAGGACCGCAGAAATTATGTGGACTGAGACTTATCAAGAAACGGTATATGGTAACCCAACAGAAGAGGTTGACGAAATGGAAGAGGTTGAGTTCCCTCAGTGGCTGGAAGTTCAACTACCCGTGAGAGGGGGGAGAGGCACCAGGGGCGGCAGAGGTGGTCGAGGCGGCAGAGGTGGTGGAGGTGGCGGCCATGGTACCCCACCACCAAATCTACGTCCGCATGTCATACCGCCGACTGATCCAATCGATCTCGCGGTGTTTGGAGTGCTGAACGCTCCTAGATACGACGAATGGGCGGCTGGCCTTCCTGAAAGATGGAACGAGGTCAATCCACGACGCCTAGCCGAAAGTAACGATCCAGAATACTTGAAGTGGGATGCCAGCATGAAGAAAAGAGTCAAGGACTTGTGGGAGCATATCAAAAAGGGAGACGCCCTCTTCAACTCTCCAGCTCACGGCAACGGCTATTCAGACTTCTTAAATAATGGTTTGGGTCCACCTAGTTGCGGCGATGGAAGTGGGGAAGATGAAGATATGCCCGACGCCTCGGATGGGGAAAACTATCTAGATTTCTATGAAGACGACGAAGAGATGGAGGAGTATCACGAACAGCGAGCTTTGAGTCCACCTGGCTCACCAAGTTCAAATGGTACCGTAGATCTCGACATGGGTAGATCTGGGTCAGATTCAGATACTGCGGAATCTGATGGCGGTGTCGCTGACGATGAGACTCTTCGAGCACCTCCCCGAGGAGCCGATGGGTCTGCTGGTGGCTTTCGGCCCATGAGACTCTTTCCTGAGTATGTGGATCCCGAACCAGATGCGAATGGGGATTATCCCGACTACCATGACCCGTTGCAGAATACTGTCTGGCGGCCTCGACGTGTTGGAGAAAAGACTTTGAAGATCGATATGGATGAGCCTTGGGAGAATATCACTGACCTCGAGGTCGATGGTGGTTTGGATTGCGGACGGAGTCCTTTTCCGGTGAGTTTCTCCCCTATTACACCTCTTGTTATGTTGTTACTGAACCTGCTTGCGATCGTAGGTACTACGTCCTATCACCAAATACATCAAAAATGTACAAAAAGTTAATCCTGCTGCACGTGGTTATACTGGTGGTATGATTACAACATTCCGCAAAGAGAAGGTTTGGGATCGTGTTACAGGCTCCATCTTCAACATGCCTACTCGTCCCGATGAAGCGGGCCCGGAAACCTTGGATGAGCGCGAAAAGCGAATTAAACTTCTGTACGGAAGCGTCCATTTCGACGACATTCATCGCCATGACCTCTTTCCGCTGGATATTCGTCGTGCCAAATTGATCGACGTTACAACTGGGCTCCCTTTCGAGTCAGAGATACAGCAACCATTGGAAGCCGGTGAAGAAGAAACGGAATTTGACTTTCCGTGGCTCAATCCTCTCAGGCAATATCCAGAAATGGAAGAGAATGATGCGTGGTGGGTCACACCGGAGCAAGAAAAGTTCAGAGATATCCCACCTAGAAGACATCCTCAACCAGAAGATGACAGGCCAAATGACCAACTTATACCTCTAGACACTTATCGCTGGACGGAAGAACTCAGTATCGACGAAAACAACAAAGCCAAATATTTCGTCACCAATCTACACGGTGGTACTATACTAATCAACGGGGCAGAAGTCAAGACTGGATGTGTTGCAGGTCCTTTGCCCTCTTTCGCCGTCATCGAGACTCCTGGCCAACAAGTCTCTTTCTGGTGGGGACCCAATGGACGTGATTGGGGTGCAGGACCACCCAATCGTAACTTTGCTGCGAACTGGCGACAGCTAAGACGAATGTCGGGTTGGGAGCTCATTGGTCTTAATGCTGGTATCGTCTGGAATCGACTCATCAGGGATCGTTTAAACAGAGAGGAGAGTGGAAATGACCTAGAAGATGATGAGCTGTGGCAGAGATGGTTGAATCCACAGCCTCCAGCTCCAGGCAGGAATCCTGTCATCAATCCCCCAGGTGACAGTGGAAACAAGGGCATTGATGCTACGCCCAGTACATTCTACCTCCCTTTCATTTCATATTTACTTACCCTTTACAGTCGCTATTGTCCACCCACCGGTCGAGATATGCACGTCGAGGGACATCGGACCTCCCCAGCACGTCACTGAATTCAAGACGCCAGACTTGTTCGAGACCGAAAATGTCGAGTTGCAGTGGCTGTATACCAGAGCCAAGCCCCTGAGAGATACCTTGGTTGGATTTGTTTTCGATACACAGCAACAAGTCGTTGAACTCAAAGCATTGAGTAAGTTGGTTGCACCAGGTACCGACAACTATTGGCCAGGCGCGAATCCTCCAGCGCACGAAGAGATCACATCACAGCAACTCTCGGAGAGGGCTTGGATGATCAGACAGCGCACTGTACTAGCTGACCAAGCCGCACTGCAAGCCAGACATGCAGCGAGACGGCAGGCTGAAGAAGATGCCAAGAATACTGAATATCAGCTGAAGATCGATCGCGACGCTCCGAAGAGACAAGCGGAGCAACGGGAGAGAAATGATCAGACGAGAAGGACAAGATTGAAGCTTGAACAGGAGATTCGTGATGCACAGGCCAATAAACTGGAGAAGGAGCAGGAGAATACCACAGCCAAGCAATCTAAAGCGGCCGATGCAACCCGACGAAAAGCAGTGCTGGAAGAAGCCATGAGGCTCACTCACATCATCGGCGTCACCACGGCTATCACAGATGTGGCCCAGTTAAACGCTGCTTGCGTCACAAGAAGAACTCAACGGCAAGATGAGATTCGAGTCAAAGCTGCCAATATTGCGAGAGTGAACGCCACCAGGGCCACTGAAGGCAAACCAGCGATTGTACTCCCAGCACAGCTTTCAGATGCTGAATTTGACGCACTCCTTGAAGAAGCGTGCGAATACCTCCGCCCAGGCCGTGATATCGACGAGGCAGCTGCTGCCGCACTGAAGAAGGCCGTAGAGGACAAGGCGCTCCGAGATGCAATTAAAGCTCGAGCAGCGCAGGAACTTGCAGACCGACAAGCCGAAAGAGCGAAAAAGAAGGCGGAAGAAGATGCCAACCCCCCTGAATCGCAATACGCAAAGGACGTGGCAGAACGGCTCAAAATGTTCCAAGCTCAAAAGTCCAACCGGGCTGCCCAGAACCAGAGAGAAGCAGATTCACAGGGGAAGCGGGACGCAGAGCTCCGCGAACAAGCTGAAAGGGAGAGGCGCAGAAAGGAACGCGAGGAAGCAGCGCAGAGAAGGATACGAGAGGCAGCAGAAAAGGAGGAACGTGACAGAATAGAGGCTGCAAGGATAAAGACTCCAGAAGAAATCCAGGCCGAACTAGAGATTAAAAGACTGCAGGACCAGGCCCTAGCCGAGTTGCGAGCTAAACTGCAAGCTGAGCAAGATCTTAAAGATGCTCAAGCACGACTAGACGGAGATTCGCAAGCTAACCTGAGAGCGGCTAACCTGAGAGCCGCTCAAGCATCTCGATTACGACGACCCCCGATCCCCCGTCCTGTTGGCATGACGCCGGAACAAGCAGCACTTTTCGATCAGGCTGTGCGGGAAACAAGGGCTGCAGATGATGCGGCAAGAACCGCTGCTCAAAGGCTGGCTGACTTGAGTGGGCAAACACTGCAAGATTACATAAAAGCACAGTACGGTTATGATGACGTTAGGGAGTACATCGACTTGCTAGATAATGACCGGATCATCAGGAGAGCTATTCCAACCGCTCCCGATGCAGATCCGCCTCCTCCAGGATATCTTCCGCCGGAGGACAATGTGCCTCCGGCTGATTCGGTTCCAGATCCAGGAAAGCCTGTGCTCCCTGCGGATTTGAGCGCCCCTGGTCGAGCGGAACTTACGAAACTGTGGGATGACATGGAGCATGCTGTGAGACAAGGTGTCGATGCACGAGCAATACTCGAGAACAGACTCCCATGGGAAGTTGCACAGGAACGCGGTTACCAGAATGTTATTGCGATGGAGAACGCTCTTAAGCGCACCATGACCCCCGCTGACTTGTTCACTACAACGGGAGTGACTCCCCCTCTTGCAGAAACCCTGGACACATGGGTTGCTCGAAACCTTAAGATCCTTGCGGCAAATGATTGGGAAGCTGTATTTCGAGTATCTGCCGCCGAAGGACCGATTTTGATTGTAGCCAACGCCAATGATACACGAGTAGGAGGTGATCTATAAGAGGACGGCATAAGGCAAGGTGGAGGAGTGAGAGGTGTCAAGTTTAGCAGCGTTCTTTATTCGATAATTGTATGATTAGCTTCTCGATTCGTTATTAGTTTAGTGGTTTGGGGGCCCGTTCTAGCATTTGTAATGAGATTAGGTGTTGAGAGTTCTGTTTCTATGTTTGTAGTATTTGATAGTGCTATTGCAGTGTGATGGTTGCGATTTCCTTGTCATGATCAAAGACAAGGTTGTTCTTCCCCTATTTCACCTCGCTTAATATGCGCTAGCCGCATTCGCTATCAATCGTCTTTGTCTCATTATCACCTTCATGTACTTGGTCTTCTGCTGGACATTGTGATCTGCCATACCGTACATTGATAACTGCTTAAGCCTATCAGACGGTAGATTTTCTGATGCGACGAAATAGATGATACCGTAGAAGTTGGAAATTAATGTAATATTGTTCGACAGATTGTGGGACAATATAAACAGGAAAAGTAGATTCTTCGAGATAGAAAGCAACTCTCGTCTTCCTTTATGTCCTTCTTATGCTACTTCATCCCTCAAATCTCAGTTCACACTGCAATCCAATAAAATTTCTGGTACAGGTCACGTGGGCCCATAATCCCCCCCATATTGAGAAACTGGCTATTATATAAGATTGTTCACAGTCGGACTTAGCCAACCTATATTGTTCCACAAAATCTGAAACAATATTACTTCTCTTCCAAATTGTACGGTACTCTCATAGACTTTATTCGTTTGTATAATACAAGCTCTATGTAACGCCACGGCGCCATCTTTTCATCTTGCTAGCCATCCTGAGCTATCAACGAAAAATAACTACAAAAAGTAAGAGCTAAACGCGCTAGAGGAAGTAATCAGCTACAGGCTTTTTCGCCGGCATTCCCCGAGAGTCTTGAGGAGCTGCCTGGAATACTCTGTATCTTCTGGCTGGTCCATTGAGAAGGACTTTCTCCTTCTCCTTCATAATCCCTCCATCACTTCTGTTCACGTCGCCATTACTTCTTGCTATTATACCATCACCACTTCCGTCTTCACTAAGCTCTAGTATGGCTGCTACATTACCACATCTATAGCAGTAGTTTGGTGCGGACCATACGGTGACGATACTGTTGTCGAACATTTCCTTGAATCCCTCCATAACCAGTTGATGTGCTCTTGCAATCAAGGAAAGATCATTGTTATGGTTGAAGGTTTTGACGATATCGGCTCCGAACAGAAATCCTGCTCCTCGTGGTGAAAGTCCCCATCCATCAATTTCGTCTGGATCTGACCAGAGCAGATCACACATTGCTCCCTCATGTGGTACTTCTTGTTTCCGATCCAGTAGCCTAATCTTGTCAACCGTATCAACCAGAGGTGATAGGCCACCATGTACACAAAGGACTGCTCCACTCGAATTCCCTGCCGTGCCCTTGCTGAAACTCGAAGCTCCGGTACCCGGTGGACCTGTCTTTGCCGGTGACGATCCTTTGGATGTGAAAACTTTCGGTTTTTGTCGAGGTATCGAACTGATAAGACCTCCTTCAGAATTCAAGACCTCGATCTCTGTATCTGGATTGATATATTCTTGCGTCGAGGACTCATTTGGACCAACTGGCCGCTTCGATGGCTCTAAGGTATTAGAAGCACCGAGGACTATAGCTCCGAGTGCGAGGTAATCGAACACTTCGCAGCAATACCGCCATACGTTCGCACTTCCGTATTTTCGTAGGCATTCATCGTAGAAGCCATATACTGTTGTAATCTGTCTAGATTCATGATTTCCTCGTATCAACGTCATCCGATCTGGGTATCGTACTTTTAGGCATAGGAGAAGAAGGAAAGATTCCAGAGAATAGAAACCGCGGTCAACAAAGTCGCCTTCCAATGTTAGCTTATTGTGACTATCGTTCTGGCCGTAACATACCCATGAAGAGATAATTCGTATCGGGTACGTCGCCACCGACACGGAAAAGCTCCATCAAGTCGTGGAATTGTCCGTGGATATCACCACATATCGTCACTGGCGCAGTCACGGTCACCACGTTTCCCTCTTCGATCAGCAGTTCTCTCGCCTTGTGACATAATTCTCTGACTTGTGCTTCAGGTATAGGTCGACATGCTCGCAGTTGCGCAATGGCTCTGTGCTGGAGTTAGCATATGGTTTATACTTGGGATGAGAGTATTACCTATCCAGGTCACTCATCTTGGAGATCCTCCTTAAGGGGTTAGGAGAGAGTGATCCTCAAGAAGAGACTGTCACTGCTGTACAATCTGCGCGCGCTCGACTCGCGATAGGATTCCAAGAGAGCTTCAGGCGCATGTACAAGTGGCGGGCCCCTGCCTGCAAAGCCAACGGTTCGACAAGCTGTGCACTTATTCTCGATTCGAGATATCAACCAAAGAACCGACAATGAACAGTAATTGAAATGCCCGCGCTCGACCTAGTTCGTCTCTTTCGTTTCGTCGTAAAGATAGGTCGTGTGCGTTGATGCTAAATTTCATCAACTTTCCCCAGCCTTGAACTTTGATAGACCGCGAACGAGCCGAGCTCCAGATCGCGCTAAATACGCTAGCCCCGATTAGATCTATACATCGTTCAAGCTTCGGCCAAAAATAACATGCCACTTCAAACTCGAATTCTCAATTCTGCACTCATGCAACGATAGGTAAATTCTTCTTCTTCTCAATCAATTGACATTTAATAATTGAAGTGATTCTGTAGCATCAATTCCCCTCGACGAAAACAAAAGCTTGGAGCAATAGGAGGGTGCAAGAAAAAAATGCCACCACATCTCCACCCACGAAGTCGACTCACGTCCTCCTTATTCGCAACCACACTCTTTGCAAGCTTTTTCGTCGTCGCTCTGCCGCATGCTCTGCCTTGTCCAGCTCCTAGGGTCGCGTATGCAGATGATGGGACGCCACAGAATGGGAAGAGGCGGAGGAGACGGAAATGCTCGGAAAAGGAGGAGAGTGGTGACGAGGTCGAAGCTGGTGGGGAGGAGCATAGAGTGAGGAAGAGTAAGAGAGAATGTCCGGTGCCGAAGCCGGGCGGGATTGTGGGTAAGATTCTGGGGTTCAAGAGCTCGAGTACGCCGTCGTCGAGTTCGAGTTCAAGTTCGAGTACGGAGGGGAGGGGATCAAGACCGCCGTGATAGCTCGAGGGGATAGGGTGGACTGTATATTGTGTATTATACCAGGTGTAGAGCTTGGAGCTTGAATATAGACCTGGAATCTTCTCAGATGCAGCTCTCCTTGAATCATTCGCTTGGTATTCTGGAAAGGTTCTTAGGCTCAGGCTTTACTTTGCATTAACAAACTTCCTTACTTAAAGACTTCTTAGTATCTGGGCAAGTCTCCCACAATCAATACAAGAATTCACCCAAAGGCGGTGACCGACAATCAAAACTCGAAGCCGAGTTTTCGTCAATTGAGCTTAATGCCCGAATAACTCTTGCACACTCAATGGCGGACAGACATTGCAAATATGGACACTAATCTTCAATTTAAAGCTGTTATCTAAAAGCGACAGCCTTGGAAGTCCGAACAGAACCCGCACTTTGCCATCAAGAAATCGACTTAGAGCCCAGACAGACAACTCACTTTTCTGCAAAGCTTAACCGAAATTGAGATGTTCAAAACACAACATCACCTCAAACTCGAACCTAAATTGACAATACCACAAAGTATTATCAAATTCGACGGTGGTGGTGCTGGTTGGAAGGGCCAGCGACGACCTCTTCCTTCTTCTTCTTCGTCTTCTTCTTCTCCTTCGTCTTGTTCTTCGTGTCACGCTTGGTGGTCTTTGGCTAAGATGGAGGAAGTGGTATTGCTTCCACCACGCACCTGAAGACGAACACCAAGACCTGCCACAAAGCAAACCTATCCTAAGTCGAGTGGGCAAAAAAGCTGCCAGCAGCACAGTCAATAAATACCAGACCTTTCCAAATTGACAACTAACACAATATCATTCATTATATGAGAAACTAACTCAATTCACCCCCGACATTATTCCATCTATTGACTTTCAATGAATTATTTACATATATAAACCAAAAAAAACAACAGATATCTAACTAAATAACTGAACCGAACAATTTGATCGGTTCAGCGATAGTAGTTTCGAAACTCAAAAAATATCTCGGTCCCTTGGGGCTTATCCGCTCGGGGCAGCACCCCAAGTGTGATTCTACACACTTGTCTAAAACCACTGACCCACACAAGCCATTCGCCTGATTTCTGACAAGGAAATGCGTATTTAAACTTATACTCCTTTTAAGTGTCACCGCACCACAAAATAGCTCTTGTAGAATTCAAATTCTGGAAGTGTATGCTTTCGTGGAGCGTATTTCATCTGTGGTGTTGATATGGAGAGAATGTTGTGTTTAGGAAGTATGGGATGCGGGAAGTATATAAGTGTGTTTTGAGTGTGCGAGATGAATGCTTCACTTTCGGGGAGTGGTGTCTCTGGCTTTGGTATGAATATTTAATTTGTGAAAAGTGCTTTCTTTGAAAGCCAGCTAATTCTCCGACTTGCCTTTCAACATTCTCCTCGTGGAAAGTAAAGTCTTCCACCAGTTTCCTAGAACTCAAAGTCCCATATCACTACAACATCTGGAATGAAAGCCTCACACCACACAATCAAATCTTCAGACTTCATTAATTCTCATTCCATTCGCTCAATACCTAACTACCTAACAAGAAAATCCGGGTATCTCAACACTCAACATAAAATCGAGAAGTAGCATGCTCCCTATTTCCATTCTCACGATCCATCCATCCCACGCCCTTCAAATCATACAATAAAATAATCAAACATTATCATTTCCCAATAAGAGAAAGTCGTAATAAACCCCTTCTATACCCTATATTCATGATCTCCCAATTTTTACCCGAGATCAGTAATGGATCTTTTCCTGCCAGAGCGGTGGTCTGACGGTAGCTTCCTCGGCATCCCAAGCCAACTTATTCTTCTCATCCAGTGTGCAGCCCTCATCCGTAATCGAGATAATCTTGCCCGTATGACTAACCTCCTGTCTCGAGATACCAGCCTCATCTCTCGGGATCCAGAGTAGGGGAGTCTCGGAAATGACGGCGGGAGGGAAGTAGGCGTTCTCCGCAACAGCCTCCTCGTACATGTTGTCCACGTCCAAGGGGTTGTGGGGCACGAGACGACGGAGAGTAGCGTAGTCGGCGTAGATGTGTGGTGCGAGGAACTTGGAGATGAAGTTGGGTTTCTTGTGAGGGGCTGCGGCGCCGGTGGTCAGTTCTGCGTTCTTCTCACTGGATTTGGTGTCTGCGTCAGGGGTGTTGAGGGCCTCTGCGGCAGCGAATCGGAAGGATTCTTCTTCTGCTTCGAGGGACTTGGGGAGAGTGTAGAGGAGGGGGTCGAGAGCGGCGTTGAGGGAGAGGTGGTAGAGGATTGTGAAGATTAGGAAGACGATCATGAGAATCAAGGGTCCGATGCTGTCTGCGATGGCGAACAGTCCAATGAGACAGAGTTCGGCAAGGTAGACGCCGGTGAGGAGTTGTTGGAGGGCACGGGGATATATCAAGCCTTTGGTGTCGATCTGGGAATCGGTTACAAAAAGGATGTTGTATCTGTATGCGAGGTAGAACAAGGACATTCCAATGGTTGCAAAGCCAAGAACCAGAGGTGCAATGCAGGAGTAGACGACACCTGGACGGGTTAGAAGGACTTGTGTTCGTGAGGAGAGCTACTTACCAATTACTGCGATATTGGTGAACACTGGAAGAGTGCTGCCCCATGAGATTGCGCTAAGATTGGCCCATTTGGTATACAACTTCCTGGGTGTACCAGAGAGAAACTTGTACATCAACTTGAAGATGATGAAGCCGACGACCTGTGATATGACACCAGCAGAGACGCTCAAGCCCTGGACAATGAAGTACGAGATGTAGAAATTCGAAACAGTAGGCAGACGAGTGGCAAGCAGAGCTGTAATACCGGTTGGGTCGTGGATCAGGTTACTGATGATGGACGAGGCAGCTGAAGCAATTGTAGTGACCAAGAAAACCTGTACGACTTGAAAGACGAAATAGGCGTTCTGGGTGAACAGCTCCACACGTGCCAGAGACACTTCACCAGAACGTCTGGCAACCACTATTTAAGGTCAGTATAGTCATGTTTTGGAAGTACAAAACTTACTTCTCATGATGACAGGAACCAAAGACATCAAGATTGATAGTGCAACAGCTGGAAGAAGTCCGCTGACAACGCCCATAATGACAGTTGGAATCTTGGTCAACCAATGAAGCCAGGTGAAATTTTCCAGGTATGTGACGTTAGAAATCAAACCAACACCTGCGACAGGAATAGCCCAGAAGACAACCAACGCAGTTACGAAAGCCAGAGCAGCGATTCGTCGCACGACTCGTTGCCACCAGGAAATCTTCAAGGAGCTCCAGACAACTTCTTGAGGATTGACACCAATGTATCGGGGAGACACTATACAGTGATTAGCCAGAAGCATCTCAAAAAGATAAATAGACTTACTATGAAGGGCTTGGTGGTGAGACAGGGTCTGGAAAGCAGCTTGGGCGTCGGATTGATGAGCGAATTCAATGAAGACACCTCCAACCTTAGCAGTCTCTCCAGCACGGTACTCGGCCTGTGCAGCCTCGGTCTTAGGGATAAGAGCCTCAAGTCGTTCGCGGCACCAGTTGATAGAGTCAACCTTTTGTCCGTACAGACCAAATTTGCCAAGCTTGTGCGTGGGTCGCTTCTTGGTTGGGATCCATCGAGCAGCGAGCGAGCCAGATTCAGTATCAGCGTCGGCAGCGGCAACGACAGGTTCTTCGTCAGCACGGCCACCCTTCTTGATCGCTTTAAGTCTCTCGCCATTGGCCTCTTTCAAAAGCTTGACTTCAGCACTCTCCAACTTGTATGCAACCTTGTCACGTTCAGCGACCAACTCGTCGACCTTGGTTGTGTCACCAGTGATCCAGATATTCCTAACAGAGTCACCAAACACCTTGCGAAGTCTAGCCTCATCAAGGTAAAGCTTGGGAACCGAGGTGAAGAGAACAGTTCGGGATGAAATGCGGTTGGCATAGGCGGGGGATAGGAGAAAGGCCTGGCGGAGGTTGATGTAGAAGATACTCTCACGCGTGACCAGGGCAAGGACGAAGCTGAAGAACAACCATCCACAGAAGCAGTGGGCAAAGTATCTGTACTTTCCACCCTTTGCATTCTTATCGATATTCGACATTGAGAGTAGATCCAACTGCTTCTTTCCTGCACCACCTGTAGCGTTGACCGGGAAGAGACTTATGAGGCTGTTAGTATATTATTGGCGCACAAGGGGTGGTGTAACTTACACAGGGAAGGTGATACAAGCTCCAACGAACATAATGACCACGGTCATACGAAGGAAGCGCAGGAAGAGGTATGCATCGAGGGATTGATGTTGAAGGGCATAGGTATCTGGGATCTTCCAGAACGGACCAATCCAGTTGAACCATCCTCCTGGAAGTGGTACAGAGCGCTCTCTATGTTATATCAGCTGGTGTCAACAAAACATTAAAGTCATGATACGTACTCTTCGCGCAAGCTTCCTAGATAGGTTCTAGGAGCATACCATCGACGGTTGGATCTTCGCAGACACAAGAAGATGGAGACGTAGACAAGAGCAACCAAGCCAACTGGAATAAGGGTCGCGACGAGTCCTGACAGGGAGGCGGGCGCGGGAGTTGTTGTTGAACCCATGATTGCGAAGTTCGATCTTCACAATTGAGTCTTGTCGAGTGTCGAGGTTTCGACGATGAACGAAAAACGAAAAACGAGGTGTTTGTTTAGGTCGGAATCTGGTCGTGGTAATGGGGAAGAGAAAAAGCAAAGATATCTCTACCTACCCAATATGGGTGCACGGACGGAAATGGACCCTGAAAAAATGACCAGCCAGAAGCAAGAAATCGATCTGAGTGACCGGGGATGCGACCGTAAAACGACGAGGGTCGCCTGCGTCGTGACGTAGAATTGTGAGAGCAGGCCTCAAAAAACCCCGGCTCCGTGCGGGAGATTAAAATGCAATCCAAATCAGGGTCTCGATTTCGTCTCAACTCTGGTACCGCGCCAAAATGGACACCTAAAGCTTGATACGCAAAGTTGCGAGGGAAGTCGTCGTGTGTTGTATGTATGAGGTGGTGTTGTTATCATGCCATTTCCACTTCTGACGTGCGAGGCCACAACATACATATACTGTATTCTCACAGCAACAGGGCTTCACACAGGTCTGCAGCAGAAACAAGCCATCATCAATCTGGATCGCGGCAGGGTCACGACTCACAATCAGAAATCACCACGGCAGCTGAGTGGAACAAGTGTCCCGCAACCCATTCGGCTGGCGGCAAACCAACAGCCACCAAGTGAGCAACTTGGTACATTGCATTTTGGGGTCGAGAGGAGCCATAGCAGCTGAAATAAACGTGGACGTTATCTGCAAACCCCAGCTTGCATTGGATCCTATTTCCCTACCCGCGACGACTGTCAGCAAAATATGCATACCAAAGTACGACTCCACGAGTTCCAGAAGGAGGGGTCATTAGCAGAGATGAAAATTGTGCAAGGGCGAGAGATACGCGACATAATTCCCAAGATCCTCACTGGTTGCACACGACCTTATCCCCACCTTGCATCCCTTGCCCAGCTGAGAGGCAAGTGCAGCCACAGCAGAGTCAGAGTGGAAGAGTTTCATATGAAGTCGTCGGAACATTCCCGCGCGAAGAAGACAGACGGGGCTGGGGCGCAAAACAACGGGAGCCAGAGACACTCTAGACTTCTTAAGCCTCCAATGTTTCAATTGTTTTTCCACATCTGAGCCGCCAACCTCCTGCGTAAAAGTTTCCTGGACAAGCAGCGCGAGGCGAGCAGCAGGTTAGGAAGAGGTTGTAGATAAACTTTTTCAAGCGAAGAAGCGAACAAGGACGGCGCTGCCGAGACGGTGTTGTGTTGAGGCGGAGCCTACTGCTAGTCGCAGGGCTAGGAAAGCTTTGGAGCAACGACACTTCACGTACAATCCTACTGGTTCTACATTATATGCAGTACAGCGCATTGTTGAGTATGTCGGGAAGTGCGGGTCTAGATTCGAGCAGGCCAGTGCCGTCAGCTTGGCAGGGGATCGTCGGTCCCTGATCCCACATCCCAGATCAACTTGGAGTGTGGGGGAAGATTTTAAGAGCCTCCTCACTCCAACTGGCCGAGTCTTCGTGTTTCGTCATCACACCTTATTCATCTTCTGTAATACTTTCACTACGATTTCTCTCATCGATGTCTGAGAAATCGATAGTCATGAAAAAGATGCTTCGAATGGCACATCTCCCACAAGACTTCCTTTATCAGTACCGAAGATGGAAGCGAACACAGACGTACATGTTCACGGACTCGAGGTTTTCGGAACATCATTGATAAGGTATAGATATATCTGTACCGTCTTCGTCGTCACCACGAGTTGAGAGCAGCCAACATCTGGGCTAAGAAGACTCAGTGTTCGCCATGCGACCACTCGATTTCACTCATCTATCTACTGTTTTGTCAATTGAGAAGTCGCCTCGAGGGCACTGGAATCATGCCTCCCAGGTACCTCCGTACCAAAAATTGGGATATAAGATAATATTGTTCCAGAGCCTGTAGGACAACATAATTAGGAAAAGCAGGTTTTTCGAGAAAGAGAACGGACGCCGGAAGATCTGTGCCGCTCTTACGCCACTTTATCTCTCAAGTTTTAATTCACTCAAAATACTTATTCCATTTATATTGTCCCAAAAACTCCGGAACAATGTTATCTTATATCCCAATTCTGAGGGTACTTTGCAACGTTGTCACACTTGTCAAACTTGCAACTGTTCTACCGTCAAGATACCCTCACTAGCAATCTACCACTCTCACGAGAATGAATGAGACTGTGAAATGTATCTTCTCGCTAGGTGAGTTGTACTGGTTTAACGTTTCTTGAACTTCGACGAGGATTGTCATGTCGCTTAATGGATCTCATCCCAGTCGGTGCGTTGCAAAATACCCAATTTGCCGCACCATAGCGGGGTACGAGATGCGATCAAATCAGCACTGTTTGACTACGTCCGATATCTTCAAAGAAGTGCCGTATGCGTCGCATAGCAGCCTAAGAAACGTCTCTTCTTCAACCAGCAGCTATGCGAAGCTTGTCTACCAAACGAGGTAACCAATCACAGCATCGAGTGCTGAGCGAGTAGTCAGCTTAATGGTACCGAGCGTTCCCTGATGATTTTAGGCACCTTCATTGGTTTCCACGTACGACGAAATCCGTTTCATCTCTACACCCACGGTTCGTTTACTTGTCATGTCGGGGGTTTGCTGATGCTTATTCGTCCGGATTCTAGCAAAATTCCATCCCGCCGCTTCGGCCGGGTCGAGTATCATGACGAAAGTATATGTACCTTCATGATCCTTCCTTCTTTTTTTTATTTCACACCTTCTCACATCTTCACCCAAGGACAGCCGTCACTGATAGCTTGCCTCATAATTGTCTCGCAAGCACACCGCCATCATGAAGCTTTCTGACCTCTTCACCCTACTTGTGTGGTCTATTCTTGCGGTAAATCGTCTTTCCTTCCTCGTCCTATAGCTACTAACTTCTCAGTACACCGGGTATACTCTCCTGAGAGCTATTTACAATATTACTCTTCACCCTCTTGCCAGATTCCCCGGACCAAAGCTGTATGCTGCCTTTTCATTCCGCCGGTACTGGGACATCTGGAAAGGCAACCAAGTCTCTGCGTATCACAGCCTGCACAAACAATACGGCGAGATTGTCCGGGTCAGCCCAGATCTCTTATCTTTCAACACATCGCAAGCTATTCGAGGTACTCATCAATTAACAGCCTCTCGGCAGAGCTATGTTAACAAGCTACAGATATATATGCGTCGCAAAAGGGAAAGAAATTAATGCAAAAAGATCCCGAGTTTTACGAAGACAGCTTTGAATACTCACCCAGTATTCTGGAATCAGACGAAATTAATCATACCCGACAACGACGAATACTCAGCCATGCTTTCTCAGAACAAGCTCTTCGAGATCAGGAAGGAATCGTGCATTCGTACACAGACCTTTTTATCTCCAGGCTTCACGATCAGGTTACAGGACCCAAGAAGGGGAAGGTTGACATTGTACAGTGGTTCAACTTCACGACGTTCGATAGTAAGTGATGTCATTCCGATGTTGCATTTATAAAAGCTTGAAGCTTGAGATTATTTCAGTACTTCTTAATACTTTGTACTTGCATCAAGAACTGAGCACCAAAGCTCTCAGCTCACAGACCCAGCATTGTGCGGAGCTAATTCGTTGAGTAGTCATTGGTGATCTTGCATTTGCGGAACCTTTCCAAGCATTAGAAAAGTAAGTAAACCAGATTTTGGCGCCCGATCCTCCAGCCTAGGCTGGACATCGAGACTTGAGGACTTCCTTGAAATGCGGCACAATGAGAATGCTCGGATCATGTTTGCTAAGGGGTTGTTCAGGGGAGAATATCATTTTTGGATGGCAACCATCTTCGAGAACATGAGGACTGGAACCGTCTTTCGAATCGCCAGAGCCTATCCTCTACTCGATACGATGCTCAGTATGTCACATTCTGCCCTTGTCTTCATTCATCCTGGATGCCGAGGTCTTTGGGAATATCCTTCGCAGCCGCTCATCAGAGAAGCTCCTAATAAGGTTCTATCAAAAGTGCATACTAATTTTCAATAGTGACAACTATCAAAATGATACCAGCCGCCGCAGAGGTGATACTAAAACTAAGAAACGACACCAAGGACAAGGTGATGCGCCGTATCAACTCGAAGACTGATAGGAAAGATTTCATGAGGTAAATAATGCAATTCGAATGACGAATCTCACTAAGGATATCAGTCATTTCCTTCGTCAGACCAATGAAAGTGGAATCAGCCATGACGAGATGGTCTCTAATGCTGGATTGTTTATTGTTGCTGGCAGTGAGACTAGCGCTACTCTCTTGTCGGGAATGACTTACTACCTCCTCAAGAACCCAGAATACCTGGCAAAACTCAAGGAAGAGATTCGATCTAGCTTTAATGGCGTAGAGGACATGACATTCGCGAAGGAGATTAAGCTTCCCTATCTGCAAGCTTGCATCGAGGAAGGATTGCGCATTTACTCTCCTGTGCCGGTCGAGCTTCCTCGTCGTACACCTCCAGAGGGAGCTGTCATTAATGGGGAATTGATCCCAGGCAATGTACGTTCTACTTCCGAGCTCTAAGCGATCAAGAATAGCTGCTGACTGCATGAAACAGACTTCTGTCGGAGTCTCGCATTTCTGTTGTTTCCATTCTGCAAAGAATTTCAAAGACCCCGATTCCTATCGACCAGAACGATGGCTTGGTGATCCAGCATATGCCAACGACGACTTGAATGGTGTTCAACCATTCTCAATGGGAGCTCGAAACTGCATTGGAAAGGTAGGATATTGTTCTCATATGACGCACATGAGGTATTTGCACTCAATTGTGACTAACTTGTCCATTAGAATCTAGCATACGCAGAGATTCGGTCCATGATCTGTCGGTTGCTATGGAATTTCGATATAGAATTATGTCCGGAGTCCGCGGATTGGAAAGATCAGAAAGTTTACTTTCTTTGGGAGAAGTCTCCTCTCATGGTCAAATTGACAGCTAGGACATAATAGATTGAGATGGGGAGTTTATTTTAGCAAGGCACTTCGAGGCGAGAGCTCGCTAGAGCAAGGGGCAATGGGCAACGCTAAGTTTGAAAGAATGTATACCAATAACGGTCTCATTCCACAGGTTCCAGCCCCTGCATTCCATAAATATTCTCAGCAACCTCGAAGTCGAGGAATGCAGACTCTCTTCCACGCGTTCCGTATCCTTTCCGTCCTGTTCTGCTCTGTTTTGAATTTTGCCTTCGGCCTTTTTGTCACCCTACAACCTCGTTGAAGCCGTACATCTGTGAAGACATATCTTCCACACTTTCATTAATCATCCATCATGGCAACAGGAGGAAGGTCCGGCACTGCAACCACTACAACGACAACTAAAGCAATTGACCATGTCCCGTCAACAGACTTTGCGCCGCTCTATCGCTCAGTTTTCACCATTCAGAGTAGCACCAATCCAGCGCTATCCACCTTGCTCGCACGCCTCCAATACTGCAACTGCAGCTACCTATGCACAAAAGGCTACGCTCCAACTCTCCTCCAACTAAAACAGCACGCCCAAGCCCTCGTCATCCTGATCAAAAACGTCACCGTCAACACGATCCCCGCGCTAATTGACAATGTTAACACCCGGATCCCAGGTGGACAAAACGCTACCTTCAACGATGGCGAGACCTACGATTTCCTCAACGATCTAAATAAAGCCTACGATGGACCCAACAACGCGGATTACATGCACCATCACACCATGCCCTTGCACGCACTGATGAACATCGTAGAAGAAAACGAGGATCCGCTAACCGGTCACCTATCAACCATAAACATCTGCCCGATGCACAACGCCTTCCCCAGTAAACCCAACGGCAAATCGCTCCCCTACGCGCAACACCAAAGTCTCATCGCCCACGCAAACGAGATCCTCGAGCTGCTAGACCACGAATACAGCGCCAAAGGCGGCATCCTCTCCATCCTCCCAGACAAAAACTCCACGGACCCAGAAATCAAGGAACAGTACGAGAAATCGCAAACCACGCTCCTGGGCCAGATGATACAACAGCACCGGCGCCTCGTGATGCGGATCCACGACCTCGAGCGCGTGTACAGCAACGCCCTGGATGCCCTAGCCGGCGAGGCCGCCGTGCCCAGCCAGCAGCTGAACAGACTCGGTCCGGACGCGCGAAAGGGGCGCGAGGTCGTGTTCCCGCAGGATCGGTTCGTGCTCGCGAACTGCGGGGAGGACCTGTGGGATTTCCTCGAGTACGAGTTCACCAAGAAGGAGAACTCGGACGAGGCGGTGCGGTTGATGTACAAGAACAGCGGGGTCGTGGGGGCGGATATGTGGCGTACGAAGGGGCTGAAGGAGTACGAGCGTGGTGTGACGGCGTTGGATATCACGACGCGGTATATTCGTCTCCGGAAGGATCCTTTGAAGACTGTTTTCGTTATTCCGGCTCATGAACATCATCCTGGGACCAAGGCTACGAGGGATATGGAGAAGGTGCCTACGGTGGTAAGCGTCGTGAAGCCAATCTGGCCGGAACGACAAAGTATAATGGAGATGAAGACCCGCGACGACCTCCAAGAGCTCAGGCAACTACGCATCAACCATGATAGAACGAAGCACGAGCTCGAGGTCGCAAACAACGCCCGCGAAATTGTAGAAGCGGCCTCGAAACAATACCGCGTCTTGAACGAGGAACTGAACAATAAATTGAACAACTGTCTCAAGGCCACGAAACCAGACGAGACAGCCGCTGTCAAAGCCGCGAACGAGGAGCGAGATGCAGCTCTCAAGGCGAACGCTGATGTAGTAGCAAAAGCCAAAACACAAGCTGAGCAGCAAGCACTCATAGATAACGGCTTGAAGGCACTGAGAGATGGACAGAGGGCTCTGGCGGCCTCACAACTCGCTTTCGCCACGTCTCGCAACGAGGCTCAGCGCCAGGCAAATGTTACCCTTGATGCCCAGAAGGCAGCTCTCACGGCGCTCCAAGCACAAGCCGCGCAAGATACGCGCGATCTCCAGAACCGGTTGTCGGCTGTGTGGAAGACGCAGATTGAAGAGACGGCTTCTATTCTTAATCTACTGAGACAGAGGAAGCTGAATCTGGATGTTCAATTTGCGGGTGAGGACCAGGCGTTGGCAGATGGTTTGGTGATAGGCACGGCGGCGTTCAAGGCTGCTGTTGTGGCCTATAAGGTGGCGAGGGGGTTGGATCCTGCTGTAGAGCAGTTTGGTCTCCGCCCGTTGCCGGGTTCGGAGAACGTGCAGCCGGCGCAGGTGGACGATGATATGGGCATGGATGTGGACATGGCTGGTTAGAAGTTTTGATTGTGGTTTGAAAAGGAGTGTTGGGTTTGGAGTCTTGGACACATATTTCTTGCTTGGTGGAGTTCTGGCTAGTAGCATTTTGACTGAAATAATAGCTTTCTCTGGAACCTCACTTGAGTTAAGACGTGATGTTTTGTAGGATGGAGATCGGGTGAGATAAAGCAACGCAATTTGCATTAAGCATCTGTGCTTGAAGCATATTCTATGTGCGAAGAATCAAACAGTAGAAATGCAATGAAGTAAAGCCACCAACGCCACTGACCTCTGAATACTCCATGTACCAACAGATCAACCTATTGGTTTGGCCTTCTTCTTTTTCTTCTTCTCACCACCCTTCTGAAAGTCTCTCCAACTTCCAATTCTCTGTTCTCGTGTACTCTCCCAGTCTTGTTCATGTTCCCTCTTCCGTTTCCTCGCCTCGAGTTCCTCATCGGCTTTCTTCTGCTCCCTTCCCTCTTCCTGCATCTGCGCCTTCACCTGCCGTCGTCTCCTATGCTCATTATCAATCAGCACCAATTTAGTCTTCTCCCTCCAGTCCTTGGCAAACTGCTCCGTCTTCAACTCCTCGCTATCAACCGTCCACTTATTCTCGCGGATCAGAAGCATGCGCGCGTCTGCGATAGCTTCATCGAGGCGCTCGCGATGCTTCTCATCCATGAGCTCCGTCTGCGCTTTCTTGAGCCGGTCAAAGGCATCTGGGGCCTGCGGATTCGTCGTCTTGTCCGGATGGATCAGCAGGGACTTGGCACGGTAGCATTTCTTGATGTCGGATTCAGGGACGCCGGGTTGCAGGTCCAGGACGGCGTATCTGGAAAGGGGGTTAGTAGGTGGCGGGGTAGTCTCAAGATATGTATACATACGCATCTAGACGGAAGGCTTTTAGGATACGATCAATTTCAGCATCCTATGGTTGTGCGATTTGATTAGCAACGTTGGATTTTAAGAAGGGGTTAGGGTTAGGGGAGGAGCTTACTTTCAAGTACTCTTTCTCCTCTGACTCCAGAGCTTCAAGTGCATCGATATCATCGTCAGCTTTCTCCGGCTTGGTACTCATGGCTCACCAATAATACCAGTGGACAAACAATGTCCTGTCCGGCTTTGTGGAATTGCTGGTTGTTAGTGACTATGATTGAGATGATAGGAAGTAGACAATAAAATGAGGAAGGACGTCTTGCGTCTTGCGACGAGACAGCCCGGCAGATCTGTGGCAGAATTCTGGTTACTAGCGCCAAAGTCACATCCGGCTCCGGGGTCGGTTCCTATTTCTAGGTAGGTATCGATCAAGTGTGCTCGGTACCTCTCTCGTCCGCAGTGACAAGATTCACTGCCAGAATATCTTCTACCTGGAAAAGACATTGAGTGGTCACATTCCTCTTCCGCAAAAACGAGGTGCGAGGTCTTGAAATGGGAAAGTCCCCCATATATACTTGCTTGTTTGGTTGGCCGGAAGACTCCCAGTTCCGATGGGGAAGATTAGGCACTGTACAAGATTCAAGCTAATCCAACGCTGTGTATTCCAGCGAATCAAATCAAAACCTTCCCGCTTGATGGCTCGGCTTAACAAAGAGACTGCGTTTGGAAGACGTCACGAGCGTTGGACTCAATTGCTTCATGAGGTCAAGAAGTCCATAAGCATAGCGTCTTTGAACCAGTCCTTCTTATTTTGGCTGGGCCGTCAGATTGGTGAAAGTTGAGCCGATTGCTTACATATCACTGATCAGTCAGACCGATAGAGATAAAGCCTTTGGCTTGGCATTGCTCTAGATCTTTACGGTATAGAACAAAAGAAAAGTGGAGAGCTAGGGTATGACTACAAATATCAATTCCTAACCGCCAGGACGAGTTGTCCAACCCCGAGCGAAAGTTTTTGTGTGAAGCAGTATGTTCTCCAAAAATGACTTTTATACATTTGTGTATGGCACGCGCATTGGCAACTCCAATGCACCTTCATTCTTGAAGCTTCGATCGTCAAATTCATTTATTGTTGCAACAATTGTAATTGCTGTCTTCACCGTGAGTTTACACGTTTTCATGGTGCTCTTTTATTGTTTTCAGCAAGTCTAACATGAATTAGGACATCTTCCTCTATTCTCTAGTGGTTCCGGTCCTTCCATTTGCACTCACGGTAAGAGCCGGTGTGAAAGAACAAGATCTGCAAAAATGGACATCTATCTTTCTGGCAGTCTACGGTGCTGCATTAGCAATTGGTTCGCCGATTTTTGGCTGGTTTGCGGATAGATCATCATCTCGTCGGGTTCCACTCCTTCTCGGGCTTCTCGCTCTCGGAGGTGCAACAGCAATGCTTTGCGCAGGATCTTCTCTCGGTCTGCTGGTGACAGGCAGATTCCTCCAAGGACTGTCAGCAAGTGTTGTTTGGACAGTGGGTCTAGCTCTACTATCAGACACTATGGATAAAGAGAACATTGGCCAAGCAATGGGTAGGTTTAGAGATTCTGTTTTCTGCAATATATACTTTCAATTCCCTTCACCTCGTTTTTGTCTCATCTCAGCCCTTCGTAAACAGATCACTCACACGGTCGTTTTAGGTTATGTAGCAGCGGCTACCAGCGTTGGCTCTCTCGCAGGACCGCTTCTTGGTGGAGTCGTTTATGCCCATGCAGGATATTATGCTGTGTTCGCAATTGGGTTTGGAATCATTGGCGTTGATATCATCCTCCGTCTGATGATGGTCGAAAAGAGTGTGGCTCAACAGTGGCAGTCCCCTGAAGTTGAGACACCAACATCCGTTTCCGAGCCGAAGGAAGAGCCAAGCCAAAATCCAGATCCTGACGCAATCCGATCAGCACCAACGCAAGAACCTGCATCAGACACAGAAAAAGTGGACATCAAACCTTTGCCAGCATGGACTCGACGACTCCCGCCCTTCATCACGCTCCTGCGAATCCCACGAATCCTCGTCGCCTTGTTCGGTTGCTTTGTGCAATCGACTGCTCTTGCCTCATTTGATTCGTCACTTCCTCTTTACGTCAAGAATATATTCTCCTGGAACTCCTCAGGAGCAGGTCTCATCTTCATCTGCCTTGTCATTCCCGCTCTATCCTCGCCCCTTGTCGGTATCGTCTCCGATAAGTATGGATCCAGAGCAATTACAACAATTGGCCTACTGGGCTCTGTCCCTTTCTGGGTGCTTCTGCGATTTGTGACGCACAATACCATTGAACAGAAAGTCTTACTTTGCGCCCTTCTCGCCCTCATTGGGTTATGTATGACATTTGTGATGGCACCACTAATGGCTGACATTGATCATGCGGTTGCTCTAGAAGAGAAGAAACGACCGGGAAGCCTGGGAAAACGAGGAGCTGCTGCCCAAGGATTTGGTCTGTTCAATTTGGCTTACGCTATTGGCACTATGATTGGACCTCTATGGGCTGGTTTTGTAATCCAGGATGCAGGTTGGGGTACAATGACATGGACTTTGGGTCTTTTGAGTGGAGTCGCTGCTGTCACTACATTCTTCTTTACTGGGGGAAGAATTATGCTTAAAGGTAAAAGCAGCAGCGAGGGAGGGGTTGTATGATCGGTCTTTCATGCTGGTGCTGTAAAATGTATGGGCTGAGTACATAATCTCTACTCCCTTCGGTTTTTGTATAGGAAATGGACACGACCTTTGTACTTTAACGCTTTGCAGTACACCGAAAATGTGACACGTGTCCTATACTTGTTCGACTTAAATTCATGTAGATAGAAATCGAGATATTCACATCAATGCGTAAAAAGTTGATACAAAGTGAAGTGTGTGCTTGATATGCATACATAGTAGGTAGGTTGCGGCTTAATTGAGGGTCGTATGATCTAACCCAAAGCGGCCTAGCATATCGAGCGCAAAATAATTCGATAAGAAATAACATTTTCGTGACGCAAAACATTTTTGAACATGCAATATGCCTCACCGTGCAGCATCGCCTGCGGCGTCAGAGAACGACTTCGATATTACGAAGTCATTGTTCAATGATGATATCGGTAGCGGCGACGAAGATTTCGCACTTTCGAATAGCAAGGATTTAGGACCTCTCGATGCTGGTGGGATATTGGACCTGGAAAGCGATGATGGCGACGAGGCCTTCATTGCTGCGCAGCAGGCAGCTTCGAATCGAAAATCCTCCAATCTGAAGGGGAAGTCAGTCAAGAAAGGAGGTGGCTTCCAAGCAATGGGTATTTCATGTCCTGCAATGTTCTGGGAAATTTACTAAATACGGTCAGGATTGAATGCCCATCTGCTCAAAGCAATTTCGAGAAAAGGCTTCAATGTACCTACGCCGATTCAGCGAAAGACTATACCGTTGGTACTTGACACCCAAGATGTTGTGGGAATGGCAAGGACTGGTTCTGGAAAGACGGCAGCATTCGTTATCCCAATGATCGAAAAATTGAAGGCGCATAGTGCGAGAGTTGGAGCTAGAGCCTTAATTATGTCGCCATCTCGAGAATTGGCTTTGCAGACACTGAAGGTCGTGAAGGAGTTTGCCAGGGGTACAGATCTCAAAGCCGTGCTGCTTGTTGGTGGAGACAGTCTGGAGGACCAGTTTGGATTCATGGCTGCCAACCCGGATATTGTCATTGCAACACCTGGTCGATTCTTGCATTTGAAAGTTGAGATGTCTCTGGATCTTTCGTCTATGAAATATGTGGTGTTCGATGAGGCCGATCGTCTCTTCGAAATGGGTTTTGCTGCTCAGCTGACGGAAATTCTCCATGCTTTGCCGACCTCGAGACAGACACTGCTATTCTCAGCCACTTTGCCAAAGTCTTTGGTTGAGTTTGCACGCGCTGGCTTGCAGGAGCCCAGCTTGGTCCGTCTCGATGCTGAGAGCAAAATCTCCGCAGACCTTGAGAGTGCTTTCTTCAGTGTCAAGGGCGCCGAGAAGGAAGGTGCATTACTTCACATCTTGAACGATCTCATCAAGATGCCCACAGGTCCACCCGAAGCTGCCCAAAATGCTACGGATGCAAATAGCAAGAAAAGGAAACGAGGTGCTGATGGTCCACGTCCAAAGCAAAAACCTACCGAGCACTCCACTATCGTATTTGCAGCTACAAAGCATCATGTCGATTACCTAGCGTCTCTGTTACGATTATGTGGCTTTGCTGTATCTCATGCATATGGTTCACTGGACCAGGTGGCACGAAATATACAGGTAGAAGATTTTCGTACCGGAATGACCAACATTTTAGTAGTCACAGATGTTGCTGCTCGAGGTATCGATATCCCCGTCTTGGCGAACGTTATCAACTACGACTTCCCTCCTCAACCAAAGGTCTTCGTTCATCGTGTTGGTCGTACAGCAAGAGCCGGGCAACGTGGTTGGAGTTACAGTCTTGTTCGAGATACAGATACTCCTTACCTGTTGGATTTACAGCTTTTTCTTGGGAAGAGATTAATACTTGGTCGTGCTGGCGGGACCTCTCCAAACTACGCGGAAGATGTGTTTGTTGGAGCTCTTCAAAGAGATAAGCTCGAAAGCACGACGGAGTGGATCAATAAGCTTGTCAGCGAAAATGACGACTTGAGTGCTCTTCGCACAGTTGCTGGCAAGGGAGAAAGACTCTACATTAAGACTCGCAACTCGGCATCAAGTGAAAGCGCTAAACGCGCAAAAGAGATTGTAGCTTCAAAAGGCTGGATGGAACTACATCCATTGTTTAATGATGACACAAATGACGCCGAACAAGCAAGACTCGATATGCTTGCGCGAATTAGTGGATTTCGACCCCAAGAGACCGTCTTCGAGATTGGGACAAGAGGTAAAGCAGGGCACGGTGAAGCTGCGGAAATGATGCGTCATCGAAGGGAGAAGATTGTGCCACGGAGACAGAAAGACGAGGATGAGAAAGCCGCTGCAGCTGCTGAAATGCTTCAGGAGTCTATTGATCACCCAAGTCTACTTTCAGCTGACGTCGAAGACGACGATGACGATGAGATGGAAGTGATAGTCACAGGGGGTGGGGACGACATGTCTGAAGCTTCCGAAGGGGACCTTGAAAACACTTTCTCGAGGACAGCCCAAAAGGGCAAAGGAAGAACTCTCTCTTGGAAAGACTCAGAGAACTTCATGTCATACACCCCAAAGACAATCAACACAGCTGAAGAGCGCGGTTACGGTGTTCACTCCGGTTCTTACAACACTGCGTCACAGAATTCGAACTTCGTAGAAGCAGCAAGAGGCCTTACGATGGATCTCACAAACGACGATGGTGCAAAGTCCTTCGCTGAACCGGCCAGAGCCAAGGGAATGCGTTGGGACAAAAAGAACAGCAAATATGTCGCACGAGCCAATGACGAGGATGGCTCAAAAGGTAAAAAGATGATCCGTGGTGAAAGCGGACAGAAGATTGCTGCCAGCTTCCAGAGCGGTCGATTCGATAGATGGCGAAAAGCCCACAAAGTCGATCGATTACCGAGAACGGGCGAGGCAGAAAAACCTGGTGCCGGTGCTAATGCTGGAGTCGGAAGAGGATTCGGCACGAGATATAAGCATAAGATGGAGAAGGCACCGAAAGAAGCAGATAAGTACCGGGATGATTACCACGTGAGGAAGAAGCGTGTCGACGAAGCGAAAGAGAAACGAGTTGGGAAATGGAAGGATGGCGTGGGTAAGAAAGAAATTAAGAGTACGGATGATATCCGAAAAGAGAGGAAGTTGGCGGAGAGGAAGAAGGAGAAGAATGCTAGACCTTCCAAGAGGGGAAAGACGTGATAGACTTGAAAAAAGTATTGCAAATACCCAATATCCGACTGTCAAAAATTCATCGGTCCATTTGTGAAGGGAAAAGTCTATTTCCGGTCATCTATGACGGTGAAACTAACGTATATCAGAAGTGAAGAACAGAACTCCAGGCAGCCATTTCTCTGTAGGTAGGAAAAGAGATGAAGAAAGAAGTCCAATCAAAAGAGAGTCCTGTGATCCTCGGCCGAACGCCCCTGAAGTTTAAGCGAATGTGCTCGACCCAAGCCAACGCCCGATTCCTCCCAATGCAAGCAATTGTCCATACCAATGCAACTAATATAGGGCTGTTAAGATTTCCTCCGCCTCACTAACCGCCATTGATCTAAATCGCTCTGCGCATCATGAAGCCATGACTGCCTGTCCACTACCCTGACCGTTACCGCGTCCATCATCGTCCTTCCCGTGTCTGTCGTCGTCTTTCTTTGTTGACTTTGACGGCGGCGTTTCCATGCTTCTCTTACCCTTGCGCCTTCGTTTCGAACGCCGCCTGTGCTGTCTTTCTTCGTCCGAATCCTCCCGTCCTTCCGGCCGCCTTTCGATCTCCTTCAATGCCTCCTGCATTTTGTCATCCCAATCTCGATCTTTTGGATATTGATTGATGCCAGGAAAATCATTCGAGAGTGCACGTTTGCGTCCTTCGGGGTTGATCGGTGAGTTTGGTGACCAAGGCCCAGGTTCTCTTTCGAAATGAGGCATCATGTTGTCGGTCTGCGAAGGAGTTGGCAATTGTATACGCGTCGGAGGCTGTTGTCGTTGAGGTGTCAAGGCTGGCTGTGCGTAGTCCACTGCTTGCGTGCCAGAAGGACCGGAGCTTGAACTTGAGCCTTGAGCTTGTGGTATCTCGGTGCGAGGTGCTAGACGTCGATGTGATCGTTGAGGGACGCGGGGAGAAAGAAATGCAGGCGCTCCCTGATCTTCTGTCCCATCGTCAGTATCTGACTGCGAATAGAGAATGAAATCTTCGTGGAGGTCTAATCGATAGTACTGGGCGTGCTGACCACGTTCAGGAGAATGTTCATTCTCTTGGGTAGCAGCAAGGGCTGCCTGTTGGCTATCACTTGCAGAGATACTGTGGAAGGGCAAGAATTAGAGTTGATGCTTAACGGCAATAATACAATGGTAAACGTACCTTCTTGTTCGTGTACTGACTGGACTTCCTACTTGTGGGGCAGTTGACGAGGTGTCCTCTTGCGTTTCGTCCCCTGCAGGCTCTTCAATCCTAGGTCTATCCTGGACCATCCTATTGCGTAGCTTCATGATAACTGAATGATCAGCTTGAACGAGAATGCATCATATCCAATCGAAGGAAATGTGACGAGTGCGAGAATAAGCAAGATGGGCAAGCTGCTGCAACTTATAACCACTCTTAGATCGTAGCTCACTTGAACTCTATCTGGCTATTGACCCTACCCGCCCTCACACAAAACCGACGTGCACAGCATTTCACCGCCTGCGGCCATCTTGCGTCGGTGAAAGCAAACGGTTGCCTCAGAACCGCCCCGTCTGCTACTCCGCTGGGCACACGATCAGAGGAGGATCGGGCCCTGAATATCAGACCCCGGGAGACGAGAGATGGTTCCGACAAAATATCTCGCATTTTAGCCCTGCGCTGAGTTGTTGGATTCAATGCTAGAGAAGGGCAGAGGTTTTAAAATCATAATATGCATGAAGAGGGTACTGATGTCCGGGTTGCGCTTCCTAGCCATTGATTTAATGTATTATTGGAAAAGCTGAAGTGGCTTGTAATCCTAGGGGGTTTTTTTTGAGTGGCTGAGCTATCTCGGTGAAGGGGAACCGGACGGCACTGATTGAGAAGAGGGTGTGGTTCGAATTTCGGCCCCCATCCGACGAGGCTGAGAAACCCCTGAACTTGGCAGAATCGCAGGAAACGAGACGTCATGACCCTGCACATTTACGAGGAAAATGCCAACAAACATCTGAACAATGAATTGGAACATACAAAGCCGGATCCGGAGCGGGGAAGCGATTGAAGACATCCGTAGAGAGAGCCGGGAGAGAGAGAGAGGAACGTGGGGGTCAAGTGATCTTCACCATGGAATACAGCCTCGTATAGATCCAGAAAAGCCTTGGGCTCTAGTGATATCATTTGCTGGGTCCCAACAATCTTTACTCATGGTTTGCTGTGAGAGTTGAGTCATCACACTCGTTTCCTGACCTGCTATGAGACCGCGTAATAAAATAATGTTGAACTGTGGACGGGGACCCGATTCGCTTCATCAGGTGCGACCCGATCTGTGGCCAGCCGTTTGGGACGTGAGGTAAATATATTTGTGATGAAAGTAAAGCCGTCATCGGTGTGGAGTTTATGAGGTTATGGCCATGACCTTGGGTGTAGGAAGCCCACGAGCTCAATAATCCTACTGGGGCTATGATCGACAGCTGCTTTTGTGTGGGCTGCTGCGGGTGATGTGTAACCTTTTCCTGCTATGTCTCGTGATTTGCTCATTGAATTCAGCTTAAAATGATCTGAGCTAGATGACGACGTGTGTAGCTGTAGCAGCAAGCTGCTCGAAAGCTGTCTGTAACAGACAATAGAACAGGAACCTTCAAAGCTCCACTAGAAGCTATGTGATGAAAATCAAATTGATAAAGTAAACGCTCATAACTATGTATAAATCTTAATGACGCCTGTCGAAGCTCTGGATACTGGTTTCGAGATCAGGATGAGCGACTAGCTTGAGGCACAATGAAGCAGTCGATTTGAAACATGGTGCATGATCTCTTGGTGTCACAAACATTGTAGAATAGATATATGGTATATAAGATTTCGAAAAGTGATCAAAACTTCGGACGTGAAGTTAGAAATGTGGTGATCGGAAGAGGAAGATTGAAGGTTGTCAAGGATGCACCAGCACGTGTAACGAGAGAATCAGGCTTATCAAAAGATTCGTGCAGTCGCCTGCACTTTCCCTGAACGAACAGAATTGAGTGGCAAATCTTTTTCTTTTTGGGTTGATGCTTGACGATTTTCCAACTCAGCCTCCTCACATATCCTAAGCGAGAAGGTGCAGTGCAGCCTAGCGAATAGGCCTGTATCAACATGACCAGACATGGATGTTCAAATCTAGTCATCACTCTCGGTGTGACATGCTATTTCATGCAGAAATTCCATTGCATGAGGCAGCCTCGCCTTCTACTCCGTAATTGGGCTCAACAGCCCCAGCGTCCGCTTTCGTAGTCTAGCATATGACCGTACTAGATCTCACATGCTCAGTCGTCTGCCTTGCTCTTTCTTTCCTTCCTTTTGTAGACCAAGAAACGCCCAAGGTTCAAGTTTGCTTCGTCGGCCCTCGCTCGCAGTTCGCCAAACTTTCTCTTGTCTATCGTCTTTGCCATTGCCTTGACCTTAGGCAGAAGTTCCTCTAAGTGCTTATAGAGATTATCACCCCAGAAGACAGGATCATCAAATGCGTAGCTTTTGTCTGCGTAAATATCAAAGATTTGGTTGAGAGCCTCAACGGCATCGGCTGGAGGGAGATCTGGAAGGCTGGAAAGGACTGTGATCAAGAAAACTCCAATCTCTCGGTTGAGTGCGATAGGTGCAGGATCAAGGGCAAGAGTACCAAGGACGCCAATACATTTGACACCCAAGCCCTGGAATGCGTCGACAACATCTTCTCCGCCTGCCTTGGCGCCGTTTGATTGGCTTCCGAGGCTCATTCCTTTCGATGCCTGGTATAGGGCCATGAACTTTCTTTGCTCTTCTTTCTCAACCCGAATAGTGCTCCTGATGCTCTTAGCTACTGCCCAGGCAAGACTTGTGACAGCTGAAGCTAATTCAACATCGGCAGTATTAGAAGCAAGAACGAAACTGATGATGTCGTTCCAGATACTTTGGGCTGACGAAATCCAAGCTCTCTTGAGTTTCTCTAGGTGACCAGTTGAAAAGTCTATACTGGAGACTGTCCAAGCGATGTTATTCAGTGCTGCTAAGGCGTGATTCTTGTTCCCATACGCATTCGAAGCAGCGAGGGTTTGCTGAGCGAGGACAATAATCTTCGGTGTGGCGATTTGAATGAGATGATCCAAGGTCAACTCTTCGCCTAGATTTTCGTCTTCACTGGGCCCGTCTCCAATTACGAGCGCCATATCCGCATCGATTTCGTCTTCGTTCATCTCGTGATCTCCATCAACATCGTGTTCCTCTCCGTCCTCTGCCTCGTCATCAACATCTGCGTCCATCTCATCAACAGCATCACCAGTTGGCTCGTCTTCGAAACCTTCGAACTCCTTTTCGTTTCGACTTCCATGTTCCAAAGCCTCCTGTAGGCCGCTAGCAATCGAAGCCGTAATCTCTAGTGCAAGCTGAAGAACTTGGTCAGGGCTCGAGTGTTGAGAATGACCATTGGCTCCATTACTGGCTTGAATCTGATCCATATGCTTCGTTAAGACTGGGATCAGGATGGCATCTGATGTCCCTTCCAAAGGTGTGTTGTGGTCAAACCACTGCATCGCCCCAAAGATATTGTGTAAAATTCCACATGCCGTCACCGATTCATATCGTTCTGAGTCTTTGATGTTAAGAAGAAGCTTGAATTCGTCGGAGCTATCCACGATTTGCTGTGCCACATCTTTGTTGTCTTCTGTCAACGCCATCATGCAAGATAATACCTCGTGTCGAAGTTCGCTGGGTGCGGGTTCAAAAGAAAGAAGACCAAATAGAAAGTCGAGCAGGGATGGAATTCTTGATACAGCTTCGACAACGTCTTCTTCAGTTCCGCAAAGAGAAGACAATAGGCTGACGACGGATGTAGCCAGGTTCCAGACTAATTGTTGCTGTGATTTTGGTTGCTTCATAAGCGGAACATCTTTTGAATTGATTGTCTGTATAATCTATGTATTCTATAAGCATAACTCCTTCTAATACTCGGGGGAAATAACACACTGTAGTTATAACGCTCTGAATTGCAGTCAAAACATCTTTCCTGTAAAGGTGTACACAGAAATCTGCATCTTCCTCTAACGCCAAATTTCGGAGTATTCCCCAGCCATCAGTCCTGGTTCCGAGATTGGAATCAGTGAGAGTTTGCTCAAATAGAATCCTGACTATTTGCTCCCTTAAAAGCAATTTCCGAGACTTGGTATCCTCGATCAGGTTTGTGATAGCGCGCGCCGCTGCAGAACGTTTATTAACATCTGAGCATTGTAAATCTTGGAGAACGGGCAGAATGCGCTGCTCGCGGATGGCAGCGAGCTCTGGATCTGCAGGCGGTTTTATCGGCTTCGAGGTCGGATCAACTCGATTCTTCGCTCTGACTCTGGGTTTAGATTTCCCCATTTTTGCTAGAAATCTGGACTTGAACCGTCGATGTTGATTCTAACTTCGAAATCTCTCGAGAACTTTTTTTTTGGTGCTTCGTGAAAATTGTGGGTGTGACTTTAGCTAAAGTACCCCGCTAAGGCTAAAGCCTAAATGCTAGGCTTTCAGGGGTCAACAATCTACGCATTCGAAGCGCGCTTTCTCGAACCTGCGGCATTTTTCGACCACATAAGACTACAACTTTCGCTCAAAAATGTCTGCTACGACTACAATCACTCAGGCTGAGCCCATCACGGCTCAGAGTATCCTACGACTCTTTCCCGACATCGACACGAGTTCCGCCGAGTTAGATGGTCACGATGAAGAACAAATTAGATTGATGGATGAAGTCTGCATCGTCCTCGATGAGAACGACAAGCCAATTGGAAACTTCAGCAAGCAGATATGTTCGTGTCACAAGTTCCAATTCAGCAAAGAGTACTGACCCGACCAGGCCATCTTATGACCAATATTGAGAAAGGTCTCCTTCACCGCGCATTCTCCGTCTTCCTCTTCAATTCCAAAAATGAATTGCTACTACAACAACGGGCAACCGAGAAGATCACGTTCCCAGATATGTGGACAAATACATGCTGCTCACACCCACTTGGTATCCCCGGAGAGGGTGGTGCGGAATTGGCAGAAGCTGTCATGGGCGTGAAGCGTGCTGCTCAGAGGAAACTCGACCATGAGTTGGGAATCAAGGCTACCCAAGTTCCCATTGAAAACTTCAAGTTTTTGACAAGAATCCATTACAAGGCACCGAGCGATGGCAAATGGGGCGAGCACGAGAGTATGCAACGAAAGTATCTCCATCAAGAGCAATATGCTGACCTCGCGTGCTCATTCTAGTTGATTACATCCTGTTCATCAAAGCAGATGTTGACATGGAGCCAAACATGAACGAAGTCCGCGACACGAAATACGTTACCGCTGATGGTCTGAAGGCCATGTTCAACGACCCCGCGCTCAAGTTTACTCCGTGGTTCAAACTCATCTGCCATTCATTGCTATTCGAGTGGTGGGAGCATCTGGATGTAGGCTTGGAGAAATACATGAACGAACAAGAAATTCGGCGGATGTAATCGAATTCCAGGCTTTTTCGAGACATAGGACGGCTTTGGCGTATATAATTAGGTCCGGTATCGCAAGATACGGGTTTCTTTTCGATCAACACACGATATCGTGTACTGGAGAATTTGGGGAAGGAGCGCTGATACCCTGCAGGCAGACACAATCAATCAGTTGAGCATTCTGCATCAAACATTTAGCGACTGGTTCGCTGGGCTTCAAGACCATACCAAGCGGTCAGCAAGTGCGGGCATCACACGACCACACTGCAGCGGACCTCTGCAGTTCCTTCTGGTCCATACTTGGAAACGATCATACCTGTCATCTCAGTGACGAACGCAAGCGGATCATATCCTTATCTTATATTTTCTATCTTTCGAGCGTACCTTTTTCCGCATGTGCTTGGGCACACTGGAGACATCCGTAGTCGGGAGTCGGCGTTTTGTGAAGTCCCGGTTTCTGAAGGGTCCATCGACTGCTAACTATTCTGAGGAGGTCCACCCGAATTGACTTACCCCACGCCCGCCTCACAACGACGATGCAACAGGAATTCCAGCAACTTCTGTACTTCAGATCCTTTGTACGATGCTCTGAACATTCAGTTGACAATTGATGGGACTGGAGTTTCTATAGCCATCTGACCTCTGCAATTCTCCTGGCATTCAGCATGCATTCCAATCGTGAGTTTGTCAAACTCATCGCTATCAGTACTACGACCAGGGATCAAATCGGTTGGACGCCAGATCCCACGATGGCTGCTCTAGCGCGAGGGTGGAGTCGTCAACCTCTAGCCATCCATGACAAGACATTGTTTCCAGGGTCTTAGAACCTCTCTACATAAGCCTATCGCTCTCCCTCATTGCTCTCTCACCAGCCTCACACCAATTTCTCTTGACAGAACATCCTCAAGCCTCTATTGCTACATCAAACGTCGGAATCTCACACTTTTACTCACTTGGCTCAGTTCACTTCATCGGAAGCCTTTCTCACTCCCCTCCTCAAATAAATATCTTCATCTACCTGAGTGTTCTCTACAAACGCTCCAAACCAATTGTCACCCCCTGTCAAACCTCTTCCCAGAAACCACGGGAACATCTACATTGATGTCGGTTGATATACGTAACTGCCTTAATTGTCTGCGCTTCCCGTCTCGATACGAAACAGTATCGAGAAGTCAGCTCTCTAAACAGCATACCGGTGACAGTACCAGACCCGCTGAACCATGTAAGTTTCCTACGTTGGCATGTGATATTAAATTTCTAAACCATCGCAGAAAGAACTCGCGGAACTTCTGCTAGAAAAGTGAACAAAACGCAATCATGGCGCATAGTCATACAAGTACTATTGCCGTAGAGAAGAAACGCAGTCCGTCTCCTTCAGAATCGGAACAAGTCCGTGTTCTCGGCATCTCAGAGTATGAGCAAGCTGCTCAAGCTCTCGCTGAAGCATTCGCCGTCGATGAAGTTGCAAGATACTTCATTGACACGGATGACATGGCTTCTTACTCTGAGGAGTACAAGTGGAAGCTTCACGTTGATATCCTCCGCTATGTCACCGCTGCCCATTGCTACAAAGGCCTCGTAACCACGATCGGTCCAAACTATGATGCCGTTGCACTGTGGTAAGTTCTCCTCCCTCGCTAACCTCAAGCATGCAATATCTCGAGGTCTGTATACACGTTCGGGCGTTTTGGAATGCTGATGAGGATGATAGGATGCCTCCAGGAAAGAACATGGATGATTGGTGGACCATCATACGTAGTGGCATGTGGAGATTGTTGTACAAGCTTTCTCGTGAAGGGAAAACCCGCTTCTACAACGAGTTTCTGCCGCTGTTGCACGATACGAAGCACAAGGTCATGGGCGAGAGAGACGACAATTCGTGGTATCTCGTGTATCTTGGCTCGAAGCCAAGTGCGCGTGGGAAAGGATATGCCAAGAAGTTGATCGAGCATGGGACTGCCATCGTAAGTGTCCCATAAAGCACGTTCAGAGATGTGTGGGGATAAATAGTTGCTAATGTAGCACAATAGGCCGACCGTGAAGGTCGTGCGACATACCTAGAGTCCAGCGCTCTCAGTAATCAGGCATACTACGAGAAACATGGCTTCAAGCACATTGTCGACATCTCCATGAATCGAAACCCGAAACCGGTCAATTTGCATATCATGGTTCGGGAACCAAAGATCCTTGCTGAGAGTGTGGATGGGAAGACATCAGAGCAGACTGTGGAAATCAGAATGCTCTGATCACTCTGCCTACGCTGAACTGATGTCGAAGATTGAGAGGGGATTTGTGGAGACGATGCTTATGATTCTCCTTTTGGGTGAGGTCTTGCATTTGCTTTTGGGTTGAGATTGAGCTTGGTGTGATGCACTGATGACTTTCATTAACAAATTGTTTCTGTTTTTCATTTAGGATAGGTAGTGATCAGATGATTTTAACGTTCCATTTCGTACGTGATACTTGTTCTTGGCAACATGCTGGGAGTCTGTTGGTCAGGTAAGCTATTCCGACTTTCGAGATGGGTTTTTGGTCATGATTTAGTCTGTTGCTTCTGTTATGTTAGATGCTTGTTGAGGGATCAGACCTTGGATCATGTCAGAATTTGCGACTTTGAGAGTCTGCAAGCAGGTTGCTATCAAAGATCTAAATGGTCAAGGGTAACGGACATTCTAAAGGGGAAATACTCAACTGTCATTCCGACTACCCTTTCAGGACTTGAGATTTTTTGATTCATTCATAGTTATTCACCCAATACAGACATTGAAAAAGGTCAAAGACGAATTTTTGGCAATTCGTGATTATGATACTTCATGCAATGAACATACTAACATTCATTCGTAAACATCCGTAAATGCTACCAGAACGACCCCCAACGCCTTGTCCTCCCATCATTACTCTAGTATTCCAGTACTGCCCATGTCTCATCATCCACAGTCGTATAGATCAATCCGTCAGCAAGTAACTCGTCGCCTGCTTTGAAGACATCATTTCCTTGCAAGCTGAGTTTCTGAGCAATCATGGACACATGCAAGCCCTCATTATTCTGCGGTGATGATTGCAACAATTGGAACACCTTTCTTGCCGTTGCCGACAACTTGGCTGGCAACTGCTTTCCGCCTCCATTCGTTTGCGGTGCCGCACCACCATAGCTGTCAACGAACATACCCTGAGCTCCGCCACCATCCTTCATAGCTCCATCATGAGGTCCAGGTGGCGGCCCGCGCACAAAGTATAGATGTACAGCCGTAGCTTCGAGGAGATGGCAACTGACTTCGTTGAAATCGGAGACAGGTCGAATAACGTGGGATCCAACGTGGCGCTTGTTGTTGAATGCCTTTAGTCGACCCCAGACGTGAACATATTCTCCTTCTTTTGGCAGAGGTCTAGCATGTTCGGGGAGTTGATCACTATCGATCCATTGCTTCACATCGATAACGCCCGTGCCGTCGTCGATTTGAAAGGTATTGTTTGTGGCTTGACAGGAGATCATGTTGATTTGGCCGACGAAGGAGAGCTGAGAAGGTTGGTTAGTTTCTCAATTTATCTTGGATATATCAGACATACTTGTGTGACTTCAGAGCCATCTATCTTGAAGTCGCTGTCTGGGTGGGGTTGTTGTCTAATTTGGCATTAGCAATAGGCAGAGTTTTGTGCACCACAGTACGTACGCTTCAAGAATCTGTTTGATAGTGACAGGTCGTACAGTATCCTTCCCATATGTCTGCCAGTAGTGTTAGAAGGGATGCTTGATCTATGATTGTAGCGACTTGCCTTGCTTCCTCCTCCCTCTTGACTTCCTTGCTGTGAGCCGCCCATGAATCCACCTCCATCTGCTCCGCCTTGTGCTCCATAACTTGCCGTCGAATAATTGCCGCCGTTGTATCCATAGTTCGCCATCTTTACTTTACGAATCTGCGAGTGTTTGGGAAGGGTTGTGATGTGGGAATTTGGTAGTGTTTACTTGTGGTGGGATGAGAAAGAAAACGCGTCGCGCTCTCAGCGCGTTAAGTGGATAGTCACGTGCAGAAGCAATTCAATTCAATTCAAATCCTGTTGAAGAAATCTTTTGGTCTAAAAACTAGAGACAGAGAAGATGTTCAACTCATTCAGTTTGACGTGTTGTTGTTCCTGTACTTTTCGTCCAATCTACGCATTATCTCGGCTCTCCAATTTCCGTCCGCCGGAGGATCTCCTTGAAGCTTCACAAGTCAGAAAATCATTCACTGTAAATATCCTTATCGAAGCCTTACATTGATGACCAGAGTCTTTTCAGTGCCTGTGGCTTTCACAAATTCTTCCCAAACTCGTATGGATTCATTCGTCATCTCATGGCTAATCGCAGCACCAGTCACAAAGACCAGAGGTCTGGGCTGGAGGCAATGGAGAACAACGCCCAAATTGTGAGGCGTGTACCTGAAAGCTTCGGGAGGATTACTTAGATCGACGATGGCTGCCATACGATATGGAGTGTTTTCAAAGGTAGTATCCGTGCTTGCAGCTACATGCCGATAGACACCAAGACCAACGACACCGACGGTTTTCTCCATGATGAAGTATTTTGTAGAAGAGAGCGAGGTATCGAATCCTGTTGTTGCGTGTATCAATACTAAACTGACATTCTAGACTTTGCCTTAATACTCTTTCTCAGTTCTGTTGAGCACAAGAGGATTTGACGTCAAGTCACGGTTCTATGTACAAGACAATATCCGTCACTCCTATCATACCCTTCCTTTTTCTGCATGAGCGGCGAGAATGGTTTCGATGAACCCTCAAATCCTGGCAATGTTCGTACCACGACCAATGGCAGGGTTTCTCAATACGAGTCACTCTTCCTTTTGGTCAAGCTGACCGCAATATTGAAGCGAGGGTCGTCGGAAGCTATCCAAAATCACAGAACGTGATTGCCAATATTCGATGACTTTTCGGACAACATCTTTGAACCAATTCCCCCGCTCTGTTCGGATATCTGAAGGATAACAACACTTTTCGAAACGTTCCTATCTTTCCGTCAAGGTTCTAGATCGCATGATTCACTGTCCAATGTTCTTTTCATACCTCAAGTCACGAAAGGAACCTGGAAATCATTCTCATAATCCTGCGAGATTGTGTATTCAAGACTTTAAATTTCTATCACTCCTTTTGGGTGTGCCGCCCCAGTGGTAGTCTGGTTTTGTGAACCAGGCTTGTAGATATGTTGAACAAGTACGGTGCATATCATTTCCTATGTCAAATAAGGTTATGTGGAGCTACTTCTAGGTAGTGTTGATCACATTGCCCATTTAACGCCAAGTCATTATCGTACCTCGGTCAAAGTTATCCTTCACCGCCTGTTATCCAATCCAATCCTTCACATCATATCCAAGACAATTACCAAATGCGGTCTTCTGGGAATAATGCATATACATGATCTCCTGGGGATATTAGCGAATGTGTGGGGGTAGGCCACAGCTCCGAACTTGTCTGTCCTGCTATATTTCACTTCGATGTCATTTTATAATTATTACAATTCATTCACAATCTGTAGCACAACCACGAGATGTCTTTGGTCTTTAATACTTTCTGTGGTATTCTCATTGTCTTACTGTTTATCAATTTATCATTCTGAGATGGCATTATTCTGACCGCAAGCTCTGAGGTCTGATCTCCCCCCTCTTTATGACCTTGCTAGCCAAGCCGGTGACCCTCTGCCGATCCAGCACTTGTTATGCGGCATGTAAATCTGCGGGGAACGCTTTGAGCCTATTTCTAGCTTTCCAAGTTGGGACGGCTGTCAAGCTATTGCCATGTCTGAAGAGGAATGTGCTCGTCGGCACTGACCTATTGCTATCAGTTCTAGTCCGAGGCAAAGGCGTTATTCGCCTCGATGCCAGCCTTAGCGCCTTCCAACAAGCTGTTTCTAGTAGTCTTAGGCAAATCTCCACCCCATCTAGGAACGATCCGCTATTACATGGTTTGCAACTAAGTTGTTGGCGGTCAGTTTTGTTGACTTTGAGCACATTGAACATATCTATAAAGTCTTGGAACTCTCCTCTTGCTTGGATAACTCAAGTTAACCCATACCTCCGACACTCACAATGCATTTTCATTCCATAGCCGTTTTTAGCTTTCTTGCTGCGCAGGTTGCAGCCGTTCCTTTCTCAACTAGACATGTTGTTCACGAACGTAGAGAAGCAGTCCCAGAAGCATGGATCAAGCGTGACCGGATTGATGGTGCTGCTATTCTGCCCATCCGTATCGGAATGACACAGAGCAATCTTGACAAGGGACATGATCTCCTAATGGAAGTGTAAGTGAAGATGCTTGCTTATAAACTCAATATTTCTAACCCCATCACAAGTTCTACACCAGGATCGGCGAAATATGGCAAGCACTACACAGCCGAGGAAGTCACCGAGATCTTTGCGCCATCACAAGCAACCGTTGACGCGGTTCGAGAGTGGCTTGTTTCAGCAGGCTTTGCCGCCGAGCAGATATCACAATCTGTTAATAAACAGTGGATGCAATTGGACATTCCAGCTTCCGATCTCGAGTCTCTTATACAAACCGAGTATCACGTCTACGAGCATTCTCCAACGGGCAAAACCACCGTTGCGTGTGAGCAGTACCACGTTCCTGGTCACTTACAGGAGCACATCGACTATATCACTCCTGGAATTAAGTTATTCACTCATAAGAGACGACCAAATCCAAACTTTGATATCGAGAAACGTACATTTGGTGTTACCAGTGGAGATGGCAATGGCGACTTACTTCCTCCACTGCTCAAAAGTCTGGGAATGACTCTGGATGCATTGCTGGCTATTCCCGAGCTTCAGGTTTGTGATATCGCTGTTACACCAGCCTGTATCAAGGCCTTATACAACGTCACTTCTGGAACCACAGCTGCCTCTGGAAATCAGCTCGGCATATTCGAAGACCTTGGAGATGTTTATAGTCAGACGGATTTGAACGAATTCTTCTTGACCTTCGCTAGGTAAGCACTGTGTGTCCATGATTCATTATCCGCTCCTAATTCCGTTACAGCAACATTCCCCAGGGTACTGGCCCAAAGCTAGAGGCTATCGACGGAGCCGTCGCCCCTGTCAGCGTATTAGAAGCTGGACCAGAATCAGACCTCGACTTCCAGATTGCTTACCCTCTCATATACCCGCAGAACACCATATTGTTTCAGACAGACGACCCTGTCTATGAGAACAACTATACCTTCACTGGTTTCTTGAACACCCTCCTCGATGCCCTGGATGGATCGTATTGTAGCACTATCAGTCCTCTTGATCCTCCTTACCCTGATCCGTCCACCGAGGCTGGTGCCTATAAGGGTCAATTACAATGCGGACTTTACACTCCTGTAAGTACATGCCAAATATTTGACTGTTGTTGTTGAAACTAATCAAGACACAGACTAATGTTATCTCTATCTCGTACGGAGGCTCAGAGGCAGATCTCCCCGCAGCTTACCAGACCCGGCAATGCAACGAATTCATGAAATTAGGCATGCAGGGTGTTTCAATAGTAGTTGCTTCAGGCGACTCGGGAGTTGCAGGAGCAGCTGGTGATGGTGGCAATTCAGACGGATGTCTGGGAACCGGACAGATTTTTAATCCTGACTTTCCAGCGACTTGCCCCTATCTCACCACTGTCGGAGCGACCACCCTTCCACTGGGAGCCAATGTCAAGACAGACTCTGAAGTCGCAGTCACTAGATTTGGTAGCGGTGGGGGCTTCTCGAACATCTATCCCATTCCAAGCTACCAATCCGCAGCTGTCGCTGCCTATTTCAATAATGACCCACCCCCATACGCTTCCTATTCTGGAAACAACAATACCAACATTGGAGCCAATGGTGGAATATACAACAACGATGGCAGAGGCTATCCAGATTTGAGCGCTGTCGGTGACAACATCATTATCTTCAATATGGGATTGCCTACTTTGATTGGTGGCACTTCCGCCGCTGCTCCATTAGTAGCTTCATTGCTCACTCGCATTAATGAAGAAAGAATCGCTGCCGGGAAATCGACTGTTGGATTTGTGAACCCAACTTTGGTAGGATTTCTCTCCTATTGTTTTACCTTAATTCACTAACTTTGAGCTTTTTAGTACGCAAATCCACAAGTTCTTCACGATATCACACAAGGAGACAACCCTGGTTGTAACACGAATGGATTTTCTGCATCTACTGGTTGGGATCCAGTCACGGGTTTAGGAACACCAAATTACCCTGCTATGCTCGAGCTCTTCATGAGCTTGTGAGAGAAGAATCTTAGAGAAAAAATCAGCTCATGAAAATGCTCTTCTTGTACATACTATGGACACTTGAAATGATTCTGAGAAGACTTTCTCCATAATGAAAGCTTTTGACCAAATGTTGTTATTCCTTTCTCAGTCTATACACTTCGAAAGTCCATATCATTTGTTCCCAAACTGCCGCGCCGTGAGAAAGTCAACATGTATGAAAAGATTGTAGAATAGCGTGCTCCACCATAGCAAATTGAAACTCCCCTAGATAACTACTATTCTCATAGGCATGAGTCATTGTTTAGCCAACTTTTTATCCTTTTCCAAGATAAGGGCCGATACCTGAGGCGCCAAGATGAAGAGGATCTTCTCAAGGCCGAATTGGAAGAGCAGAGAACTATTGCATGTCTGCTTTCATCTAATTTCTAGTTCTCAATGTCTATGTAACATGTTAATTTTCGGATGAGTACTCCAAAAGCTGGGCCGACGGGATAATGACAAACGTGATGATGTGATATAGAACTTAGACACTGAGATTAGATGTTGTGAATTGTCTGATTCTTGGAACTTCTAATCTGATTAATGTTGACCTGCCAGCATCACTTGTATATATCCCTTCAAACAAGAACCTGCAACGAAGGGGCGGTGCAGTGCGGTGGTGCCCTAATATAAATGTGGGGCCCATGATCTGCGCTAGCGGCTAAGCGGCCGCAGGACCGATGCTCCCTCAAAATTTATCCATGAAATTCTTCACGATAGCTCCGCGCAAATGAATTTTTGATCATGGCTTCTTCTGCTGTTGAGCGAAAGCCTAAACCCTCTGGTCGAAGCAAGAATGATGTACGGTTATTGAAACGGAAAAGAGATATTGACGAGTATGAAACCCTCCAGAAAGCAGTCGAGGAACTGGTAAGTATTTCTCAAAGTCTTGCACAGCAAGATAGCATGTTCTGACATTGAATAGGACCTCAAAGCAGACACCAAGGACTTTTCAAAACTGCCATTATCCCAGCCCACTTCGCGTGGGCTCGATGCTTCGCATTTCAAAACCTTAACAGACATTCAATCGAAAGCCATACCTCTTGCGCTGAAGGGTCGCGACATACTTGGAGCTGCAAAGACCGGAAGTGGAAAGACCTTGTCCTTCATAGTACCAGTGTTGGAAAATCTCTATAGGGCAAAATGGACCGAACTAGATGGGCTGGGTGCCCTCATCATTTCGCCTACTCGAGAACTCGCAATTCAGATATTCGAAGTCCTTCGCAAAGTCGGACGGTATCACACCTTTTCCGCAGGCCTAGTTATAGGCGGTAAGAGCCTACAGGAGGAGCGAGAACGCCTAGGCAGGATGAACATCTTGGTTTGCACACCTGGGAGAATGCTACAACATATGGACCAGACAGCTGCTTTCGAAGTAGACAATTTACAGATGCTTGTTTTGGACGAGGCAGATCGCATTATGGATATGGGTTTTCAAACGTCAGTTGATGCAATTGTCGAGCATCTGCCAAAGCAGAGGCAGACAATGCTATTCAGCGCCACCCAGACGAAGAAGGTCTCTGACCTAGCGAGACTAAGTCTACGCGACCCCGAGTACGTGGCAGTGCACGAAGCTGCTTCACATGCTACACCAACTACCTTACAACAATACTACGTTATCACTCCACTTTCAGAGAAACTCAACACCCTCTTCAGCTTCATCAGATCAAATTTGAAGGCAAAGATAATAGTCTTCATGTCATCTGGTAAGCAGGTAAGATTTGTGTACGAGAGTTTCCGACATATGCAGCCAGGTATTCCTCTGCTCCATCTCCATGGACGTCAGAAGCAGACCGCGAGGTTGGATATCACATCCAAATTTTTGTCCACGAAGAATTCCTGCATATTCGCTACTGATGTTGTTGCCCGAGGTCTTGATTTCCCTGCTGTCGATTGGGTCATTCAGATGGATTGTCCTGAAGATGCGGATACTTACATCCACCGAGTGGGTCGTACTGCGCGGTACGAACGAGCTGGCAAAGCTGTCTTGTTCCTGGACCCAAGCGAGAAGGAAGGGATGTTGAAACGACTTGAGCTCAAGAAAGTGCCTGTACAGCAAACGAAAGCAAGAGAGAAGAAGCAACAGAGCATTCAGAACCAGTTGCAGAACATGTGTTTCCAGGATCCAGAATTGAAATATATAGGCCAGAAGGCTTTCGTCAGTTATGCAAAGTCAATATTTGTACAGAAAGATAAGGAAATCTTCAATATCAGCAAGTATGATCTTGAAGGATATGCAGTGAGTATGGGCCTTCCTGGTACACCGAAGATCAAATTCCAGAAAGGAGAGGATATGAAGAAGCTGAAAAATGCACCCAGAGCTGCCTTGTCGAGTGATGAAGAGAGTGACGAAGAGAATAAGGGAAAGAAGGATAAGAAATCGGACGTACGGACAAGATATGATCGCATGTTCGAGCGTCAGAATCAAAACGTTCTTTCTGGCCACTACTCGAAATTGGTTGCTGACGATGACCGCCATCAGCATGTCGACACAGACGAAGAAGAAGACTTCTTATCCGTGAAGAGGGTCGTGCCCGTGGAGAGCGAATCTGAATCGGAGGATGAGGATGTAGCAGCTTCTGGACCTGCACCAAAATTGATTGCAGGTATTGGCAAGGACCCACTGGTCATCGATTCAAAGCGAAGAGAGAAATTGTTGAGGTCTAAGAAGAAGCTCACCAAACTGAAAGAAAAGGGTACTAAGGTGGTGTTCGATGAAAATGGTGTCCCACATCAAATTTACGAACTTGAGGACGAGGATGACTTCCAGCAAAGAGGTCCAGCGGCGGATCAAAGAGCCAAATTCTTGGAGGAAGAGGCTGCACGAGTCCAAGAAGCAGATCTTGACGACAAGCAACTCGCGAAGCAGAAGAAGCGAGAGAAGAGGGCGAAGCGAAAGGCTAGGGAAGCTGCATTGGCAGCTGGCATTGAAGATCCCGAAGCACCTGCTCTTGCTGATGCAGATGATGACGAGGATCCGTTGGCTCTTCTTGCTTCATTGCCTTTAGCTGATGATGAACAAGAACAAGATGAAAGACCTCCGAAGAGACCTAAGAAATGGTTTGAGGATGATTCAGGGGATGAGAGGAAGGCGAAGAAAAAGAGAGCCCATATCATTGAGGCAGAGGATGAGCCTGAGACTCTGGAAGATCTCGAAGCTCTCGCAGCTGGTCTTCTTACTTGAGCATCAAGTAGATAGCAATGTAAAATGTGATACCCTCTACAGAAACAAATGCCGGACCCTCCTCGAAGTACTCGTACCAACGTCTCATTGCCCCTCCATAACCCCACATTCTCGGCTACCTAACCGTGCGCTAAAATTTTAACCACCGAACCTCATTGCTGACAGACACCTTTCACCAAAAGCAAATTCAAGAGTCTTTCATGTAAAACACATGGATTGCAGTGAACGAAATGTCACTGCGTGCACCCGAGGACCCCGGTGACAACACGCCCATCATCACCGCCAACGGCTACCATGAAAGCATCTACCCCACCTGCGCAGCCCTCGCCGCTCGTGTCAACAACTTTCTCGAAACCGAGGCCCCGACCTCTTTACTGAAAGCTGTGCAGGAACAGATCAGGACGGCGCTGGGCGTGATTGGGAGCGCTTTAGAACGATACAGGTACTTTCTGTCTTTGAGCGGGGATTGCTATCAACGTGGACCAATACTGACATGTGTTACCAATGATAACAGCTTAGACGAAATCTCCCTCTCATACAACGGCGGCAAAGACTGCCTCGTCCTCCTCATCCTCTTACTCTGCGCCCTAGCAAAATACAAGAAGGATGCCCTCCCCAAAGCTCTGCACACCGTGTACATAATCTCGAAACACCCGTTCGCAGAAGTGGGAGCGTTCGTCGATGAGTCGTCCGCTACCTATAAACTGGACCTGGTCCGCTACGCCATGCCCATGAAAGAAGCGTTCAGAACCTACTTAGAAGAACATAAGAAGATCAAAGCTATACTGGTCGGCACCCGGAGAACGGACCCGCATGGAGAGAACTTGACGCATTTCGATGAGACGGATTCGGGTTGGCCGGCTTTTATGAGGGTCCATCCTGTTATCGATTGGCATTATGCGGAAATTTGGGCTGTGAGTTGCACGATTTGAGTCCTGTTGTGAAAGATCTAATATGTTTATAACAGTTTATTCGGCATTTCGAGATTCCTTATTGCTCGCTTTACGATCAGGGATACACGTCTCTTGGAGGCACGACTGATACCCATCCAAACCCGGCGTTAAAAGCACAAGAAAATAAGGAGAATAGCCATCAGACGTTTAGGCCTGCGTATGAGTTGGTTGAGGATGATGCGGAACGACTTGGGAGGGATTGGTAACGGTTGGTTTGGCATGATTGCATGATAGATTTTAGACGGTTGTTACAAATGGATACATCTCCACAGAATTTACGTTCAAGCCTGCAGATGGCACCAATTTCGTGCTATTAGGAACTTGTTGGGGGGGGTGGGGGGGGGGAGGTTCCATTTTTGTTCTACTTATAAAAGTTTGGTGGTCACTCACCCCGCTCTCCTCACCAGAAATCCAGAGAATCCAAATATATCCTTTTAAGTCTATGTTCAAATGTTCTTGTATACCTTCTACTTTCCATAAATCCAGTGATCTTTCCACAGTTTCCTCATTGCCCAGCATCTTGGGACGAATGAACGAATAAGGGCAGATCAAGGACAACAGTTAGTATCAACCGAGACCCCTTAGATTCCCACTTGAACTTTTTTTTCTCTCCAAATAGATGAAAGGAACAAGTGAGACTAGCTAGGCATTCAAGGTTTGATAGACAATACGATACTAGGCTGGATGACGATGAGAGTTAAGACTTATTTGATCCGAGAACCACTTGAAAGGAGCTTCATGTTGTGTTGAATGATGGGGTTGGGGGATGGGGGAGGATCGTGCCATGCTCAGGATGTACGAAGCTTCAGTTGGGGGCTGTATGTATGATCATCGTGTCACAGTAGGACTCAGTGTACTTGAATGCCAGAAGCTGCCTCGACTTCTACACCATGTCCGTGGAGAGTGCGTAGGTTCTTCATGTAGCAAGCAACATCAATGAGCAGACTATGCAGGAACATCTCGATGCAGGTCTCACTATTCAAAGACACTCAAGTTGACAAGCTCAGAAGATGCATTTCCTTAAGTACATGAAGTGGGTATCGAAGTCCGATAACGCCATTTACTCCCCTCCCTGGGATCCGTGAAAACACTATTACAAACGCCTTATAAAACCCCCAATGCAAATTGGAATCCAGAACCCAATGCTCAAACATCCCCAGAGTTAGGAATCGTCTCACCATGGACACGAATTCTATACAAGCAAGTGTATGGTACCTTCTCTCCGCCCCAATTGTTCTTCGCACGAACGATGAATTTGTTGACCTCTGCGCCAATGGATGTCATGTCAACTTGTATTTGAAATGCTTGAACGCTTTCCGCATCCTTTTCGTATGTCCACGAAGCGATGTGAACAAATCTGTAAGGAGCCTGGGTCTCTGGTATATCATCAGCGAAGAACTCCTCGGAAAGGGTCTTGGCAGCGTTGTAGGTATCGAGATCAGGGATGTAGGCTAGTAGTTCCATGTCCTTCGGTGTAGCACCTGGCTCCAGCGTGGACTTGGCAGGGATATGTTCAACGACAACCTGTTCAGGGTAGATACTGCTTCCTGTGATGACACCAATGCTAGGACCGTAGCCTTCGGCGTCAACCGAAGATGAGCACCAACAGTCTCCAAATTCTTCCCATCGAGTCAAGGCTGCCTCGGGAGGATTGGGAGGAGTGATTGGATTGCCGATGATAGCTCGCATCCATCTTGATGGGAACCAAACATCACTTCCAGGGAAAACGTAGGTTGAAGATGTAAGAACTGGATCAACAACTGCGCCGGTAGCCTTTGAGAAGAAATTTGGTCGAGCAAGACTCTCCTCGAGAGCATTGCGAATGTTGGCATCTGCCAGAGATCCAAGCTGTCCATTTGGAATGAGCTTCTTCAAAGTATCTGCAATGATGCTCTGGACTTCTTCCTTCGTCAAGCTACCGGGGTTGTTTTGTAACTTGGTAATAGAGCGAGTGGCATGTGCGATCTTCTTAGAAAGCTGTGCAAGTTCCGTTTGAAGATTGGAGCTATTCTCATCCCAGCTACGTCGAAGTAGTTCAATGACCTCCTCCTTGGTGGCAAGTTGGTGTTCTTGTGCCAGGCGGGGGAATTTGTCAGTGATCTCGTCTCCAACGATGCCTTTAACATAGTTCGCGTTTTGTTTGATGTAGCGATCCCATGAAGCTTTGGCGACTTTCTCAACTTCCTTAGTAAATTCCTTGTTAGAGATAGTGCTGCCAATATTGCCAGGTGTTTCAAGTCGATCCGAAACCAGTGTATCATCAGAGCGAATCTTCTCCTGCAAGGCATACCAGAAGTCGTCGGGGATGATCATATTTTGGTACTTGTCCTTCTTGACGACAAGAAGATCAGGAAGCAGTTCGTCAAGTCGAGTTAACGCTCGGGAATCGAGATCAGAGGAAGATTTGAGTCGCGCAACATCATACTCCAGATCGCTGATTCTCTTATTGACAACTCGAAGATCATCAGGCTCAAAGGGGTTTCTGGGGTTGAATGGAAAGACTCGGCTGATGACTGGTCCAATCTCAGGTAGCCGGCCGGAAGAATAGAAATGGTAAGCGGCGAAGGCAATAACACATATTGCGCAATACTTCAGGATACCGGGAGAGAGAAGACTGGGTCACGATGAGCTAGGAAGTTGAAATGGGGGCAGAGTGTTTCTTACGCTGTGATCGAGGACCAGAGAAGAGCAAGAAAATGAGTGAAGAATGACCAAATTGAGCCAGTAGTGTTCTTGAAGAACTTTCGTGTAGGTCCAACATTGCTTGCTTTATCAAGGCGAGTACGAGCAAGGTCTTCGATTGCTTTAATCTCAGCTGCGTGCTTGCTAGGAACACCACTAACAGTAGTAGGTGGTTCTGGAGACTTTCGAGTCGGGGTTGGGATGCTCGCAGGAGATGATTCAACATGAGCGCCATAGAATAATCCACTCTCAATTCCAAAGCTCTTATCTGTGACAGGAGTTGGAGAAGCGGGTCCTATCCCATTGTTAGTCGCCATCATAGACTGAAACTCCTCTGGGCACTTACTGGTGGTTGTGTTGGGGTGAGGGGTGTTGATGATTGCATTCAGAACAGTATTGATCTGATCTGAGACTACCGGACCAGAGACTCTGGACGGCTTAGCAGTTGTATTATGGCCATATGCGGTACTTTGTCTAAGTCCGACGGCAGGGAGTGCTTCATTGCCAGCACGTCGCGTACGACGGGGAGTGGCTGTAGAAGGAGCTGGGGAGACGGCACGGCTGCTAGCTTTGCTAGTAGCACGGGTAGTCCGTCTGGTCGACATGGTGTGAGTGGAAGGTTTGAAGGTTGGGTAAGTCGGGATCTTTTGAGGTTTTTCGAATTGAGAGTACTCAGTACCAGCCACTGATGGTGTGTTGAGCCTAGAGTCGATATCTAGAGTAAAGTCAGCTTGAGTTCTTCAATGTTCTAGTTTTGTAGCTGACGAGTTTTGTTCAAGCACACTTCAAGTCCTGCCAGAGGATTCGAGCGCATGTCAATTGAAATTGGTGAAACGGGAAAGGTTTGTTGTCGCTGGTATGAGGAACGAAATTTGGAAAAGATTGAAGAAAGGATTGCAGGATCGTGAGATTCTCGCTGGAGTTTTGTCTCTGGGGGTAACCATTGTGTGCCGAAAATTTTTACTTACTATTGTGATGAAGCTATCACGGTCTGTTCACTTTCAACTTCCGAGTCCTCCAGCACAATTGCACGCTCAGCACCACAACTAGCGAAGCGGACAATGCTATAGCGAATTACGCGCTCCAATCAATAGCCCAATCAATTCCAAAACGGTTATTATCATCGAGGAGGTATGCGAAGCGTCGATGGATTCGTGATACGATTCGGCGCAAGGCGATGTACGTTTCTCTCGAGTTCGGTGTATGCGGAGGTCAAAGGACAGCCAGTTGCCATATATTGGGGTTTCTCGGTTCTTTCAGGAGTGCGACAAAGGGTAAATTCCTCAGTGAACACAATAATGCCAATTGGTGGTGTTCGGTGGAACATTTCTCGAGTCTAAAGGCCTAAAAGAGGTTGTTTTCATTCCTCGCTCCAGCAGGAAACTGCGTGCAACGCGCCTTCCGCCGCCTTCAGACCCTACGAGCCACGACGCCACAAGTGGCTGCATCGGTGGATGTGGCGGGGAAGTGTGGTCCAAAGGCGGTGGCAGAAAAAGGGGCGGGTGAGGACAATGTGGCACGTGCGGGGAAGAAGAGATGGAGATGCATCCAACAGCTGTTGGAATACCTAGGTATCCTTTGTCACTTCCAGATGGCAAACGGACTCTATTGTTCCGCCTATGGATGCCCTTTTCAAAAGAGCAACAGGTGTTGTTGATTTCATACTGTACTATATTCCCTGAAATTGGCGAACCAGCGACCGGCCTCGCTGAAATGATCCACCGACCCAGACTTTTATGTTGCTTTCTTTGCTTTTTGCAGAGGCTTGAATCTGACCGCTGCATTGTAAATCTGCATCTTATGCAGCAATTTAAACGTCCGCTGTGCCGCGGACCCCTAAAGAAAATGTCTTCTGCCAATCTCACCATGAAGTGACGTTTCCTGTAAGTCCATGAGACTCGACCGTACCAGATGTTGAAATTACCAGGTTACCTCACTAAACATGAGACCCCTGAAAGTTACTTTAAATTTTGTGACCATCCCACCCACTTCGTTTGTTTCGTGATGCTTGATCTGCCCACCCAAGACGCGTTGAAGTAGTACTTTTCTTTCCTGTCCTGCTCTTCTTCCGTTGTCCTTCAACAAAGAAATCATGACGGTCGGAACTGTATTGATTACCGGGTGAGTTCTGAGACATTCCAGGATATGCGAGCCATGCATCGAGGCCAGGAATCCTTCTCCAGATTGTGGACATTTTTGGAGGAGCTGAGCTGCGGAGCTTGGACAAGCCCCACGAAGGCTGAACTGTTAAGACGAATAAAGGAGAGACCAAGAAGCTGATATCTGATCGCATAGTGGTACCGGATACATTGGGTCCTTCACCTCTCTTGCGCTCCTCGAACATGGCTACAAAGTGGTGATTGTCGACAGCCTGTACAATTCGTCCAAGGTCTCACTCGATCGCATTGAGCTCCTCTGCGGAAAGCGCCCAGATTTCTACCAAGTCGATGTCACAGATGAAGAAGCATTGGACAAGGTCTTCGCTGCGCACCCAAACATTGACAGTGTTATTCATTTCGCTGCTCTGAAGGTATGTTGAACAAGATGCAAACAGAAGCTCATGCTGACTCGTATTCAGGCCGTGGGCGAATCGTCCGAAATTCCTCTCGAATACTACCGTGTCAATGTAGGCGGAACAATTACTCTGCTACGATGCATGACCAAGTACAATGTCCCAAATATTGTGTTCTCCTCCTCTGCGACGGTCTACGGCGATGCGACACGAGTTCCCAACATGATCCCCATTCCCGAACACTGCCCAATTGGCCCTACAAATCCATACGGACGCACGAAGAGCACGATTGAGCTGATCATTACGGATCATATCGAGGCCCAGAGAAATAATCTGAAGAAGGCTGGCAAGCCATACGAACACTGGAATGGAGCTCTGCTGCGGTACTTCAACCCTGCTGGTTCTCACCCAAGTGGAATCATGGGCGAGGATCCATTAGGTGTTCCTTTCAACCTCCTGCCTTTACTCGGTCAGGTTGCTACTGGACAGAGAGAAAAGTTGCTGGTGTTCGGTGATGGTAGGTTCAAAAGTCACCTCATGTTACACGAGCTAAGAATCTCCAGATTACCCATCAAGAGACGGAACTGCTATTCGTGATTATATCCACGTCGTTGATCTTGCCAAGGGCCATCTAGCAGCACTGAATCACCTTCGAGAGAAGAATCCCGGTGTTAGAGCATGGAATCTGGGTTCAGGACGAGGTTGCACAGTCTTCGAGATGATCAACGCATTCAGCCACGTTGTTGGACATGATCTGAAGTATGAGGTCGTTGGCCGAAGAGCAGGTGATGTGTTGGATCTCACTGCAAATCCTGCACGTGCAAATGCTGAGTTGGGTTGGAAGACTGAGCTTACACTCGAGGATGCTTGTGCGGATCTCTGGAAGTGGGTTAGCAATAATCCTAAGGGGTACCGACAAGATCCTCCCGAGGCGTTGATAAAGGCTATCAAGGAGAAGAATTCTGTTTAGTTATGTATGCATTCTGGTTCAGCATTGTCTAAAGGTACTTGCATGTCAGCATATAGACTTAAACAGCAGCTTTCCAAATAGAAAGCAATCAGCACCAATCATGTATCATCATTGAACTTTGTGCTATCTCGTTTCCTACGGCTTAAGCAAAAGCTTGCCAGTCGTCTTTCGTCCTTCCAGATCTGTATGAGCCCTCGCAATATCCGCTAAAGGATACGTCTCATGGACCCTGGCATTCAAATTGTCCTTGATAATAAAATCAAACAGCTCAGCCGTATAAGCCTCGAACTCCTCTCTCGTAGCTATATAATTGAAAAGCGTCGGTCTCAAAATCGCCACATTCTTCGCCGACAACCTCGAAATCGCAAAAGGAGGAACAGCTCCCGACTATTTCTCATCAGTACATCATCTTCTCTCTCTCGGTATAGAAACTCACGGAATTCCCATACGAAACAACCGTCCCCTTCCTCCCCACAACCTCGAGGTCATTCTCAAACTGATCCTTCCCCGTACTATCAAAAACAGCCCTCACGCCCTCCGGCCCCGTAATCTTCTTCACCGCACCCACAAAATCCTTCTCCTCCTTATAATTAATCATAAACTCCGCGCCATTCTTCTTCGCCAGCTCGATTTTCTCCGCGGTACTCGCTGTACCGATAGTCCTTGCACCAACCACCTTAAGCAACTGGCACAGCCAGAGTCCCACACCACCAGCTGCCGCATGGACGAGCACAAAGTCGCCCTTTTTGACGTGGTAGGACTCGCGGATCAGGGTCAGGGCCGTGAGACCTTGCAAAAGAGCGGCGGCAGCGACGCCTTGCGGGAGGGAGGAGGGGATAACGTGTGTCTTGGATGCTGGAGCAGCGGTATATTCGGCGTATGCACTGGTGCCCATCCATACGACTCGATCGCCAACTTTGAGGTTATAGAGCTCGCCGCCGGGACCAGTGGACACGATTGTGCCTTCTGCTTCTCGGCCGAGGATTTCGGGTTTCTTGGATGGGTAGAGACCGGTTCGGAAATAGCTAGTAGGTTCATGTTAGTCAATTGGTTGGAAGGAACTGAGAGGAAGAATTACGTGTCGATGTAATTGATGCCAATAAAGTCATTCTTCACCAATACCTCCCCCTCTTTTGGAGTCGGGACGGGGAGGTCAGTTTTGTATTCCAAAACCTCCACTCCTCCCGTCTTCTCGACGAGAACGCCTTTCATCATTTTGGGAATTGAGGTAGCCATTGTGCGTCTGAATTGAAGCTGTGAACTTAGCTGGGCAACTCTCGCTCTAGGTACAGATCTGAAAGTCGAGATAAGTCTTTGAGTAAATATTAGTAGAACTCTAAATACTAACTAATTCCTAACTTCGGAAGCAAGAATGGTGGTCCGCTCCACAAGAAATAAATAATGTTCGGGAAAGCTGGTTGATTATTGTTCAATTGCTTCATAAGCGGATGCAATCGCGCTGGTATGCGGAGATAAGTTGGTGTTGTTTGCACCACCTTTCTGGCATGACGTGCTATTCCCGACACCGGATTGAGGGGCATTTTCGGGACAGGGGTCTGGAAATGAGGGGCAGCTCGGAACGGTAACCCCTTTTTGAGGCCATGCGGGTCAGATTTGAGGAAAATCCATTTTTTGAGGTCTTGTTATGTTTTGTTGGGGAAGGTGCTCAGATTCCTCATCTGAGGTTGTACGAGAATTGACTCCCGTTTTGGAGAGGTCAGAATGATATGGTCTAGTGACTCTAGTCCTTACATCCGATATCTATCAAATATAGTAGACGATTCCTCAAGTTGACCTCTCTTCATTACCTGTCCTTCTCGATTTTCTTTTCGAAAAGCTGCCGCAGTGGCGATTGTCTTCTTCTCTATAAAGATATCGAGTTTCTCCAAAGCTGTCTTGACTTTTCCCTATTGCTTCGCTTGTCCTGAGGATTCATATATGCTTCGGGTCATCCTAAACATCATTAGATCATACAACTCTTTTACACAGTGCTACGGTCTTGAATATCTCGCTCTTTGAGTTCTGCTTATTAGGTGATTTGGACTCTAGTCGTTGAATGTAATCTGTTGTGACAATCAACATACCCTTGCACTTCGACAAATGGATTGGACGTTTTTTTTTTTTTTTTTGGAAAGGGACTCTTTTTGTTTTGGAAGACCCGACATATCAGTTCAATATGTCTTCTCGTAATGTCGAACAATCAAATCCTGGTTGATTGTGCCCGTCTGAATGCATGCTTGTTTGTCAAGAAATAGTCTGCTGTCATGTCCCTCCACTACAACAACTCTCAAGTCCCTTCATCCACGCATCTGTCCTGAAACTTGCAAGACATATAGCCCAGATGAATATTTACCAGAGCAAGAGTCTTCCAGTCCATAGTGTTTCTGCCAAACATCAGCCTCTCGTCGGCTAGTTCAAAGTTGGGCCGGCTATAGCGAGATGGCCACAGAAAATATTACAGAGAAAAGAAGATTACAAAAGTTTGGCTATGAGAAGTAATATCATAAGAACTGCGGACAAGAAGCAAAAAAAAAACTGTTTTGCTCTCATCAGGATTCGAACCTGACTCTCTATTTAAACGCACCCAAGAGCAAATCCAAGAACCCAAAACTGCAAGTAAATTTGTTATCCAAGAACCCAAGACATGAACATCAGCGAAAAGCAAAGGGAGATCAGCGAAAAAGACATCAACATCCGGAAGAAGACAGGGGAATCAACAAAAAAAGACAGCAACATCACCGACAAGGATAGGCACATCGGCGTAAAGAACATCGACACCATCGAAGGAGACATCAACATCTTTGAAAAGACATCGATATCAGCGAAATGAAGAGTAGAACATTTCGTCTGAAGGTTGAATTTGGGAGCTTTTTAGGACGAAGGAGTTCTCGTTGCGGATGGGAGAGCATGTTATTCAGCATGCTGGCATTGACAAAAAGATCAGCGAGAGGGACATGGGGTCAGCGAAAAAGGTTGATCGTAACGAAGAGCAGGATATGTCGTTGGAAGGTTTAGATCCGGAAATTTGACATTCTGAGGTCGAGACAAGGAGAAGAGTTGAACAATAATTCACACAGAGTGTGACTTATTCTAGTTCCCACATTGACAGCTTGACCATGGAATACTTCAGATGAAAGTGTTCCGTAGACACGCAACGAAATATTAAAATAGTGAGGTCCTTTCGTCTGAAATATTCTGTAGACATGCAACGGAATATTGAAATAGCACAGCATTCTCCTCTGAAGTATTTCGTAGACATGCAACGAAAAATTGATGTAGTAAGGCACTTTCGTCTACAATATTCTGTAGACATGCAATGAAATGTCAAAATGGCAAGGGGCTTTCGTCTGAAATACTTTGTAGACACGCAACGAAAGATCAAAAATGGTAAAGCACTTTCATCTGAAGTATTCCCTAAAGCACTTTCTTTGAAACCTCTGATTTCTTGCGCGTGTTTTGCATTGGTTGGCTTTAATTGAAGTCCTCGCTTGCTAAGTTGGGAAAGAGCTGAGGAGCAGAGATATGTGAACCAGGAGATCAAAGTAATATACAGTGCATACTCAGAAAACTATGCAAGGAGAGTGAAAGTTCTGAATTAAATATTAGTAGGTATATAATAGCCTGTAATCGAATACATACTTTCTTCCTCGGGTCGTCGAGCGTGTCAAGTCCTGGAACTACCTTCTGGTTCGTTTTCCGCCTTCTTTCCAGAATGGGAACAGACACCAGCACACATCCTAGATCACTTAAAATAAGCACTTTTCACCCCAGCAATTCCGTGGTCAAGCTGTCTTATTTTATACTTTAGTCATTCTAATATGCTAACAATTTCAGAACGCCTCAGACTTCAAATGACTGTCTTCGATGGCTCCGAAAAACAAAAAGAAAACGCTGAATCAAAAACAATGTTGATGCTCAGTGTTTGACAGAATTCAGCAAATCAAATCCAGCCAAGCAGATGAATGATGGTTTATCCGATATCAGCAAATTAAATCCAGCAAAGCAGATGGATGATGGTTCATCCGAATTCAGCAATCAAGTAAGTCACATACCTTATTTCTTCTCTTCTTCACAGCTTGACCACGGAAATATCTTGCTCTCAGACTTGCTACCAAAGCTTCTTTGGAAGCCCACTTGTTTTTTTCTTCTCAATTTGACACTCGCTTGCTTCGAGACTCACTTCGCTTGCCTAGCTAGGAAGGCACGCAAAAGTGGATCTATCCTTCGAGTTGACAAAACATGATATTACAGGTTCGGATGAGTTTGAAATAATGCAGAAATGTTCAGATGACCGAAGGGCAGGGAATTCATAAACAGAACGAGCTCTTGCCGACTAGAGTCGTATGCGTCCCTCCAACTCTGAAGTCACAAACCCTGTGCAGCAGCCATCTCCTTGCTCTATCCAGCCTCAAAACCCAAAACCTTTGGTAGACAGCGACTATTTAGAGTCGTGTAACCACTTGTCATCCTAAAGGCTCCTTTCCAGACAACTTAATAATGGAATTCTTTTTTTTAGCTCATATTGTACTCGCTTGCTTCAGGCCTAACTTATTTCACTTGCCAAGTTGGAAAGAAAGGCAGGAAAGGATCAATCCACAACTTTGGAATCATCTGAACTCTGCTAAGCACAAAACAGAAACACAACCTTCCTTTAACCCACCATCTAGAAATTCCACCACCCCCTCTCCCTCCTATAAAACTTCCTCGGCCAAATATTCATCGCCGTCTTCCTCCCCTCTGCCAACGGCAACCCCGCATGCACAACCCTCTGATCCCCCGTCCCATTCCCATGCAAATTGACCCAAAACAACGCATTTCCCCTCCTAGGCACAAACTTCGTCCCACCACCCTCCCCATCCTCTCCCCTGATCCACTTCCCATCCCCATCCCTCGCCTCGATGAATGGGAACCATGTCTCTCCGCCCTGGACGCCCTCCCCGTCTAGATAGACGAAGAAACTCGCCACGCGGTTGAACCACCGGGACGTGCCGTCTTTCATTCGTTGCGGAGTGTCGTACCAGTCGTGGTGGGTGTCGAATTTCTCGCCTTTCTCGTAGCGCACGATTTGAGGGGTGCCGAAGTCGCCGTCGAGGTCGAGGAGCGTTCCCATGAAGGCGCTTGAGCGGGAGAGGATGCATTGGACAATGGCTGAAGAAGGGGGGAGGGCACCGGAGCGAGAGGTGCGGGATGTGGCTGGTTGCTTGACGCCGTTGCGGTAGACTTCTGAAGTTTCGAGGTTGGGTTCTCTGGTTTGGGTTATTAGCTATCTATTTGACTATGTGTGAAAGGAAGTGGTAGAAAGTACCCTTCAGCAATCAAAAGCTCAGCTTCCGAAGCAGAGACAAAATTGTTGATATATATGAGTAAAGGATCGATAGATACTATCTCAGTAGTGTATTGATGTGGTTCGCAGACAAAAGCAGGTGTCCTCAAACTGCCCAGAACTGCTTGCCACGGCGAGAAAGAGATTCCATAGCTGTAGCTTGACCAAGATGCCGCAATGAAAATCGCTGCTATGGCATAACTGGACAGCACGATTTTCCGGAGAGGTAGCTCTTCTGCTGTTGGCCCCTGTTTTGATATCAATTTCCTTGTACGACCAAGTTTGGTTTGAGCTACACTTACCATGATGAGAAAACCCAGATGACAGCTATGCAATTTTTTACGAAAAGAAAAGCACCTTCTCCCCTAAGTAGCCACCGTAACACCATCCCTCTTCCCCTCCCTCATCCTCTCAAAATCCTAGTATGACATCCAACGAACCTCGCCTCATCCTCCACCCCTTGATTGGTCCAATCACCAGAATTCGCATAAATTCGGCTGTAACACTGTGCTCGATATCAGAATTTCCAGACTATAACATGCTTATCAGTCAAATCACTTCCCACGCTTTCTAGATTGCCTGCAATCAATCTGTTGGTAGGTGCTCTGCTTCTCGGTTAATATTTGTGGGCTTTTTGCTGTTGGTTCGGGCCGGACGCCATGTCGTACGAGAGAAGAGTGTCTTTGATGAACAATTTATTTGGAAGTTTGGCTTCACCTGTTTCTATCTATTAGAAAGAGAGAGGGGAACAGCGTGCTTATTAATGAGGTACTGTCATGGTGAGAAGCAGGATTCATTTGCAAATTGCAAATTGGGAACTGCGGAATTATGTGCAATGAAGAAAACAAACGCCTGGAAATGCAATTTTTGATGTCCCCTCTTTACGCCATTCCACCGATGCTATGCCATGCCATGCGCCGCAAAGATCAGATGAGAAAAGAAAGGGACAATCAAGTCAAAAAAGTCATAGAAACCAACATCGAACGATATTGGGCAGAGAGATGAACGACGACAACTGCGGGAAGAGAGGCCGGGAAGCCACTCGGCATATGCGAATACCATGGTACGGAACCAAGTACCGACTTATGCAGAGCAATCTACCAATTCGGGGTCGGAAGATGATGGCCGGCGCAATGTAAATCGCTTGGCGATCTCCTCACTTGGTGTCCGCCATCAATTTCTCGTCTGCTTCGAGTTCCTTCTGAGCTTCCTCTTCTAAGAATCGCTCTTCGACTTCGGGGTCGTCCTCGCTTGGTGCAGGTCTGGTATTGAGGACTGTTTCAAGTTAGCCAAGGGTTTTCTGTGTTTCCGGGAATGAAGTCTTACCTGATTCCTTATATCCAAGCATCTTCTCGTTCGGAAGAGCGACGAAGAAGGAGCAATAGAGACCGTGCAATCTGTCGAAAAACTTAACCCCGATGTTAAGCTCATGAACCTCAATCTCCATCTTTAGACCAATATAACAGAGTTGCAAAATATCATCCTCAAGCCAGAACGATTCAATGGCATCACTCTTGTTGGTTTGATCATCCTCATCGTCAGTGAAATCCTCTGGAATGATCTTAGGACCCTCCCAATGCTTGAGCTTGAGAACACCTAGTGCCTTGATGCCACGGACATGTGGTACCGATTTATACTGGCTGGCGGTCAACAAGTCTGGGCGTTCGATACCTGCAACCTCAAAGCAGCGAGTGGTGGTCTTGACAATGTGGATATCTGCTTTCATGGCCTCGATGAACATGTCATCATCACCAGCGAATGCAATGGCAGTCTTGAAGATCATCTCAGCATCTCGAACTTCGAGACCTTGGTCAGCGGCAGCATATTCTTGATATTCTGGAGACTCAACAGCCCAAGGAGCCGTGCCCATGTGGAGATTCTCATAACGACCTCCGTGAAGAGTTGATGCAGCGATGTTGAAGTCTCCTGGAAGCTTCTTTTCGAGTTGCTTGATAGCCCACAACTCCTTCTCGGCGAGACTGCAGACCTTGCGCGCCGCTAAGACATCTGACGTATATTCTTCGCAGACTCTGTGGTGGAGGACATAGTTGAGGAAGTTTCGAATGGTTGAGGTGTATAGCTCAATATCCTTTTGATCGTCGATGGGAAACATATTAATCAGCCGGTACGAGCTACGACAAGTTAGTCACAGTGATATCTCGAGCAACATGAGGTCTTACAAGAATCCCTTTGCAACACCCTCGAAGTCAACTACCCAACCTTCCGAGCCATCGTAGTACTTAGCATTAGTTGTGCCAGTGCGGACGAAGTCGGTAGCTGTTACTTCAGCAATCTCAGCCGCTGTAGCATTATCGAGGGTGTCTTGGTCCAATCCTCCGGTGAAAGCTTTATTTGTAGCTTCAACACCACCAAGCATCAAGTACTTTGTGATGATGTTGCTGCGAAACTCATCGAGCTTTCGGCGACCTCGATAACGTTGGATGCAGGTTTGGATACGGCTGCTCAAGATTAGCCAAGATCATGGTACAAACGATAGAACATACCTTGCAAACGGAATAGTCCTGTAGAATGTTAGTGATGAGCCGAAAAAGGTATTCTTTTGACTTACTCGTGGTAGATATCACATTCCTCATCATACTCCTCCGGAGTCTGAGGTGTATCGGCGTAGAATTCTGCATAGAGATATCAATATCAGTAATATTTAAGTACAGAGAAAGTACTCACCCTCAAATCCGCTTCCTGCGTTCTTCTTGTTCAGTCCAGCGCTCTTGCTCTTCTTCTTCTTCTTCTTGGGCGCGTCGCCATTGGGCAATTGAGAGAGACTGGTGTCAGAAACTCCATTGCTTGCACACTTCGCAGGTTCATCGCCATTCGCGTTGTTGCTCCCATTGACTAGCGCAACTGGTGTAGGAGGAGGAGGGTTTGGGCAAACGCGATCCGGTGGTGTCATAACTCCCTCTGGCAATGGAGAACCGATTTCGACAACATTGTGCTCAGCATTATGCTTCTCATTCTTGGGGCGCATGCTCAAGAGATCTTCGGTGGTATAACGCAAGCCAGTCTCAGATTGTACTTTGTGAAGAGCGTTATTGAGGTCAATCTCGCTGATACCGCGTGCGAGCCCGGTCCGGGGGCACTCAGGTGAAGCCATATTGACGCGTGGTATGGACGATCTATGGAAGTAAAAGCTTAGTCTTACCTTAAAATATGGGAGATGGAAAGGGTACGTACGGTATTGAAAGTATCCTAAGACGCGTTGGGGGCAAGAATAAGGTTGAAGTTGTGCCGAGGAGGAGGTGCTGTGTTTGTATGAAGAGGATTGAGTGTTCCAGCAGACCGTTTTATATTGAAATAAAACGTAGCCTTGGGACGGTGAATACGAATATCAAATGATCTTGGATTGCGCCAAGGGGTTCAGCGCGAAGGACAAGATTTCAAATGGTGTATAGATTGAAGACTTGCGAGATCGGGGTTGAATTGCGAAGGCTTTATAAAATTGAGCAAACGAACAAACCAACAAACCGACGTCAGAGAAAACAACGAAGCGAGAAAAGGACATGAAGCTAGACATCCAAAGAGATCCCTGTATTTCAACGTAGACTTTACAGATTTCGGTACAGACACCAGTGTCTGCGTTCCAAGACAGTACAAACTTTTCGTTTGTTGTGATACCATCAAAAGCAAGCAGCACCTTCCTCGCATGTCTGCCGAGCTTTCGCTCTAGCATAGAGAAAGGAGTATGCTCAAGCATTTTGAATCGACATCCTTGGAGGCCATATTGCTCATCCTTCATGGCTATTCTTGTTATTCGGTTGATATACAACTTGCATACTTTTGTGATATGAATTGTACTAAATGCAGTTGTACTTGCTTGTTCTCAGCATAATAGAGCATGCCAGAGGATACCTGACTCAACATTAGACGCAAAGGTCCAGAGATACTTTCGTCCTACCAAAATTGTTTTCGATTCATGCCTCACGGACCAGGACCTCCGCAGTCGAAGCTGTCTCTATAATCCTTCTCTCTCTTCACGGCCCGTCTTATCAAGCCCAATAAGACGACTTCCTATACCATACCCCACTTCGCCCAGCTACCATTGAATCTTTTGCGGAGAAAAGCCCCCACAGGAGGCTATACAGCTTTGTTCCCGTCCCAAGCTCAGCTTCCTCTGACCATTACTCTCTTGACTTCCCACGTTCTCAGATAGCCGATCCGGATACCGGTCGGCATGTACTGTACCTCTCCAATTGGTAGATTGGTGGTCTGCCGTAGATTCTGCCCATCATGCTGTTCATGCTCTGTTCTCTCTTTGGTGGCTGTGCTCGTTCATGTATCCGCAGTGCGTACTTTAGCTTTTGTCGCAACGGAAGCTCTCACCGCCTATGAATAAGTTTCAGGCGCATAACCAGCGCATTAGCGCCCGGGCCAAACCTAAATAGACGCCCCAAAGAGCTTGTTCAGAGGTCCGCTGTCAACCCCCATCAGTTAGTTGCCCTGTCGCCCCGAGAGGCCCTCATGGGAGCCCTGACGCGAGCACTAGATCGAAGCTGGTATCGCTGATTCACACTGCAGGAAAACGCGGGTAGGAAATTCATCCCTCATTGAAGCCACGACACGACGCTCAGCGCCTCTGTGGCCATTCCTTCTCCTCCTGCTTTACTCAGCCTTGACTATTCCCTCATATTACTCGCATTCGGTGTTTTACTTTTTACACAAAACCCTCTTCTGCGCAGACCTCCTGCGCGCCGCTCCTTCTAATATCCTCTCTCTCCCACCATGATAGAGTCATAGCATTCATTCTTCGCCTTGAGTCTAGAAGAAAATGGCGAAACCGCTGCCGACGCGCGCAGATCTCATTGACTATAACTATGCTGTCGCAGGCCAGTACGTTGCACAAACTGCAAAGCGGCCCCCAAAGACAGAGTGTGTTGCTGACACGCGAGCAGTGATGGCACACTTTGCGATGTCGACGGAGAGCTCTTCATCAAGCCTTGTACCCCGGCCGAGATCGCCTTCTACGAGTCCTCTGTAGCATCGCATCCAGACTTTGCCGATTTCATGCCCACGTTCCTGGGCACCCTCACTCTAGACGAGCAGACGAACGGGTCAATAGAAGACGCTGGCGCCGCCTTGCTAGCACAGCATAATGGGACTACGGTTGAAGAAGCAAGTGCTGCTATATTAGCAAATGGCACAGCTAGAGGAGGCTTCCCGGTTGCCAAACATACAGTTCCAGAAGTGGTTGTACCTGTCAAGACCGGCAAGAGAATAGTCACCAACTTAGCAGTCGTTCTCGAGAACGCCGCACACGGATTCATAAAACCGAATATACTAGACGTAAAGCTAGGCATCAGATTATGGGCCGACGACGCCCCAGAAGAAAAGCGCATACGTTTCGATAAAGTCACAGAAGAGACCACACACAAAGACCTTGGATTCAGAGTAGCAGGCATGAGAGTCTGGCAAGGTCCCAATGCTACAGGTCCAGAAATAGATGAGGAAGGATACAAAGTATTCAACAAAGATTACGGGCGTTTCTCTCTGAATAAGCATAATGTCCACGAAGCGTTTGAGAACTTCCTCTTTTCGGAATTGGCTGGCATCGATGAGGAACTGGGGAAGTTGGTCGCGCAAGCATTCCTCGCAGACCTGGACAAGATCGAGAAAGTCTTGGCGGGTCAGGAGAGCCGTATGTACTCGGCTAGTCTCCTATTCGTATTCGAGGGCGACGGTCCCGCGCTGAGAAATGCCATGGAGGAAGCTAGTCGATCGCCTTCCACGCTTGTCAATGGCGATGAGGAGAATTCCGAAGAAGAAGATGATGAGGATGAAACGGCAGGTCCAAAGATCTATACAGTGAAAGTCATAGATTTCGCACATGCAGAATGGGTTCCTGGCAAGGGACCGGATACTAGCGCAATATTGGGCGTTAGGAGCGTTTCCAAGATATTGGAGAATCTTGCTGGGATTTGAGGGTTCGTGGCATGGTACAGGAGTTTCCAGGAGAATTGGGATCTACTTTATAGTGCAATGGCTATTTCAGGAATACCCACAAGAGAAGCATAGAAAATACAGTCTCTGCTTTGCATATACTTCCCGTCAACTGATTTGTTTCTGTGAATGTTCTGCTTTCTGTTGGACATTGATTGTACAGATTATGCTAAGGGTATATGCAAAATTACTATACGACTAGAATTTGTATACCACTCCTCCCTGAACGCCAGACCGGATTCAAGTCTTCTGATCTTTCAAGCAGAACAAATCCCCAGCAAGTAAATCTACCCTCACTTTCTCCATATCATCAGTACCGCAACCCCCAATTTCCCTTCTAAATACGTTGCTGTAATTCACAGCCTGTCGATGGAAGTCATCTACTACTATCTGCTCTCCGTCCCAACTCAATAATGGCATGTCCCATACCTTTGGCAGGTCGCCTTTGTTGGGCAGCATAGTAAGGATTGAGGTTTTTATGAGTGAAGTCTCGCTATGTTTCAGCGAGAGATAGTGATCTGGATCAGCCGTCAATTCATCAGACTGGTCGATTTCAGCATTCACTTCTTCTGAATATTCTTCTGGTGGTTGGTAGAGATCGTTGTGTAGAGTTGCGAGACGATCTTCCGTTTCGAAACTTGGGTATATGGTCCAATATCCACGTGCACGAGCAAGTCTTAGCACGTGTTCCATCCATGATGGATAGGTCTTGCTGACCAGTTTTTCATTCAGGGTGGTCGGAGTAGGTAATGTGCGTTGGGATTCCAGAGACTCAGCAACAAAATCGTGTAATTCGACCCATTTATCTCCGAAAAAGAGCGCTGCGTTACTGTTCGGGGCTTGCCAGAGAAATTGACTGGTACCAGTGGTGATGACATTGCCTCCGACGGTGGAATTTGCTGATGGAGGGGTAAAACTGGCCGTATCGTTCAGATACGTCGAGGGTAAATCTAGACTCAGAGACAGGAGGTTCTGGGCCGATGGATTATTAGACGCATATTTGTACTCGAGCATTGTGTACTTGAGATAGTGATAGAATAGCGGGGACAGTTCGACTTGTGGGGATAGGACGAGAACATGGGATGAGGAAGGATTATTAGGCCAAAACCCCTCGAGGAAGCGAGCTGAGCTCTCGTCGGCATTGAGACTATGCTGTGGAATTCGATGTCGTAACGTGAGAAGACTTCCACTTTGATCGCCTTTGGGTGGCCATTTGAATCGCTCCAAGTATCGTTTTGAAGGCTCATCGACATCGTGTGGAAGTTCGATGGTCAGAGGGGGATATGATGATGCAAAGAAATCGGCTTTCTTCAACGACTCGAGTAACCTTATCAAAGATCCAGAGGCAGATGGCTGGGCATGAATGATGATATTGATTGAGACCTTATTCCAGGCTTGGAAGAATCAGTAAAAGTCAAGGTTGGTAGTAAGTGACTTACCACTCAATGAAGAACTGTCCAGCAGTGTAATCCACATTAAATTCTGTTCGGCATTTTCAGGAAGTTCGATTACAGTTCTTCCAAGACTCCCAGCACGCTGCTTCAATCCTTTCGAGAACCAAGTTTCCTCATCTCCAGAGGAATCTACGAACGTTGCCTGAGGATTAACGAAGTCATTAATGTGCTTGAAGGCAGCGGCGCTGCTGACTTCCATGCGCCAATCCGAACTTTGTACCGAGAAATCGGGTCGAGCATCTGCCAACATTAGTTACTGTTAGAAATGTTCACTTCTTGATGTATTACCATGAAATACAATATTACAATCGTTCCCGATACCATTGACAGATCTCAGTATATCCATAGAGATATCATCTCTTCCCATTAGAGCAAAATGAACATAATTCCTGGCTCGAATAGCAGTATCGCATGCTATGGGCAACAAATTCGCAGCACTCTTGAGACTAGCAGCTGCAAAGAGCTGGAGAATCAGCTTCCATCGATTTCGTAGAGCTTCTCAAACATACCACGTTTTGATTGACCAAGTCAGAACCTCGGGTTTTCACCCCGTGTAGAGTCGAAGCAAGTTGGTAGAATTTGATGGGCTATAAAGATTAAACATCAGCCATTATTCCAAAGCAATACTGACAATTCGAAGATCAAAATGATCCACACCAGGCCAGACAATGGAAAATTCATTATACATACTCCATTGAAATTGTGCAATGGTGCATCTGGAGTCTCGTCCTCTGCTGTCTTCGTGACAAAGTCGTATCTATTCGGAACTGCTTTCGAGGCTGGCGCATTCGGTCCAGAAGGAGGCACATATGAAGGCCTCTGTCTAGGTTGCTCAAGATCTGTCGGCATGTTCTTGAAGAAGTAGTAGAATCCAATCACGACCAGGAAGCCCAATGCTATCCTTTTGAGGTTGCTTCGACGAGGGCCATTTGGCAGCCTCCGTTGCTGCCACGCACGACCCATAGGACCTTTCACACCCGGTTTATGATCATCGTCTTTCTTTCCCAGCTCCTCGTCACCATGGAATCGTCGTTGCGGAACGGGCATTGTGTGCAACCCTCATCAAGAGCTTATGCTCGCGGAGCAGCGTCCATGCGGAGGGAATCGCTCGAGAGACTCGACTGTGGGAGGGGAAGGAGGAAGTTTTTTCGGGCATATGAGAAATCATCGACGCACGCTTCGAGGAAAGGCAACGTTGTCCGTCGGAGGAGCATGAAGCTGTCCTCTGCATTAAATATGACACCCACAAAATAAAGTAGGCCGGCGGAGCTCAGCCTCTCAGCACAGACGACTTCTTCCGGCACGCGACATTCGGTGTCCAATGGACCTCCTTCCTTTCTTAAATCTCGACCAACATGATTCTCGAGTTATCGTCACGCAAGCATATCAAGAGCTCCCACAAGATCATTTCCTCAATTTTCTTCATAACAGTTTGCTTGAGTATTGCGGGGATTAACATCTCGTTTGTACTCATGGAAGTTCATGCCAAGAAATGCCCAAGCAGAGAAACGCCCGGGCAGTGGTGGCTTGTCGCGACTATGTTTCTAGTGAAGCTTGCTTTTCAAAGTGTCATCCTCCTATTCGAACAGACAAAGGAATAGTCGAAACCTGCTCTAGATTGCCATTTGCTCTTTATCACCATGTTTAGACCTTGAAAGGTGTGGCCCAAACCGGAACCCCGCAACATCTGTGCTCGGCTTTGTTCTTGCAAGAAGAAACGAGCTAAGTGCCAAGACTTAACCCCCTTCCCCGTGGTTATCTGATTTTCTGCTAGTTCCAGCTGTTTCTCAGGACCCACTCATAGTTTTCATCTGACTAGTCTAAGATTGTGTTTCTGTTTCTTCTTTGTGTGAGAAAGCTATTGATAGCAATGGATTTACTGCTTGACTTTAATCAATAGTACAGCCACCACCTGCAAACCACAGTATTGATAGCCAAGCTGCTATCTGAGGCAAGTAATTGAGCTGTGCCAGCCGTCCTTAGCAAAATTACGAGGCATCGACTTTACCAGCCCAAGGTGCATAATGTCGCTGCCATTCCATCAGCAAATAGACGTACTTATTCCGCCAAATCCGAGCCCAGCATTTCAAGACGACTTACCCAGCAGTAAATTTCCCGGGGGCAGCGGAATGAATTATTTCCATGCTTTACATCATGACAGAGCATACCTTCTCAACTCATTACAACACGAGAATCTCAAAGCTACAGACCTGCTGAGAAGGAGGACGATATTGGAAGAAAACTTAGCGAAAGGAAACTTTATCTTTTCCAAGAGAAAGATGCGGAGTCAAGTTGGCTGGCTCACTAGTCGAATTCAAGAAACCGGTTTCCAAGAGAAAGCGATACTGGCGCAACTAGGCCGAGTAACTTATCAAATTCAGAGACGTGAACGACAAATTCAAGTAGAGAACGAAATTCGACAAATCGAGGTCCAAGTGCAGGACCCTTCTGATAATAACGAACCCGTCAATCAAACACCACAGCTGTATCTTAATCCTGCTTTACCTGCGTTTGAGCATGCTGATTTCACAGCGAATCAGGACCAGCACATGATGCCTGAGTGGGAACAAGAGAATGGAGATTATGACTGGCAACAAAGCACACATGATCGTTTGGCCAGGAACTCGCAAACCGAAGAAATATCTCCGATGGATCAAGCAAGCGATAGCCATGAAGAATCAGGATTCTGTGATTCTAGTAGACCCGCTTTGGGACAACGAACTGTTTCTATGAATGATGCGCCCTCGGATACATGTTGCCTTCAACATACTCACTCGCCCAGATGGAAAGTCAAACGACTCAGCCTACCTACACTTCCAGATATTTCACAAATATGGCACCTGACAGCGGATGATGAGGGGGCATTAAGCACAGAGTCTGGGCCAAGGGAGTCGAACCTCGAATTGCGGGAAGAGGAGGAGACATAAGGGCTTGTTATCTCTTGACTGATAGTCCTATATATACGTAAACATGAAAATAGCAACTGACCCTAGTTCGGTGGAAAAGCCTCCAATTAAGGCAGACTCATCCAACTTTAGTCGCTTCCATCACTACACGAATGTCTTTCTCAACTCTTCACATAGCTATTATCTTTCGCCGTTCAAAGACGCTCACCAGATGAGATGTAGTCACTCCTGCAATGGATATTCACACAAATCTATCACTGTCGGTATCCACCTCTACACTTTCCACACAGCAACAGTCTCAACCTGCTCCTGAACGGACATCATTATTGAATAACATCAACACTGGACGTGCAGTCTACGAATGCAATCCCAGTCTTATGACTCGGTATGAAGACCTAGCCCTAAGGCGTGGCTCAACAGTATGACCACAATCTAGTTAGACCTGGTAAAACCAACAGCTCAGCAACGACCTAGCGAACACAACGCTGCCCAGCTCAACCCGCCAAGGACTTGAAGACTACTAGCAGTAACGATGATGTAGCCGACTTAGAATAATGTGCAATAAGTCTCAGCCGAGTGTGTTTACCACCAACTCTAGCCTATGTAGGCACTTTCTCCAATGAGTTTGTGAGAAGATTCTTGTACGTACCTTTCCACCTGAACTCTATGATCGTAGACTAACGTAGCTCACAGCTCGCTTCAATCTGCACACTCGACCGCCAACTTCACCTCATCCTCTTACAACTTCCTTCATCGAAAGTCTGGGGAAGATTTAAAACCTAAAACCCAAAGCTCTCTCCTCTAGCACAACAAAGCTGTCCCTGTGTTCGTCCATCCGTGGTCGTACCAGCCAACGACATGCTGCGAGCAGGACAACAGTCAGCTACACATGAAGCGCTGCAAGAACCGGACAGTTTTCCTTGAAATCCTGACGAGTCCACTCGAGAATTGGCCAATGACCGCAAAATGGACTTAGACGCAAGTCTGGAAGTTGACAGACAAGATAGTCATATGTCGCTTCTGGAGACTTACCTATTGAATGGTACACTGAAAAGAGAGACCTCTTTAACATTCGCGTCTTGCATCTTAAATCAGAACCAAGACGCAAGCATTTCGGAATTCCCAAACACGGCTGCGGCCAAGGTGAATCAAATTGGGATTAGGATATTTTACGAACATTTAGACAATGATGCCACGTCTTCAGATTTCGTTTTCGTGGTCAACAAATTTCTTCACTCTTGCGTAGGCTAAGATAGGTCGCGAAGATGGTCTCTCTCACACGCTAACTCTACATTCCAAGTGCATCAAAAGTAAGTGGAATCTACAAAGGTCTACACTTCTGCTGACAACTATCTCAAGCTCATGCCAAACTCGAGAGAATTCAGATGACCCAAAAAAAGAGAAATGCTAGGAATACTGTGCATCAATCGGAGCACAGATTAGAGTCCTGACCCAAGACTTGATAGTCCTTGGTTGTGATTGCCCACTATGATCAGGCCTACAGACAGACAAGAATGTCCCTCTAAGTGGCCTGACACATGGGCTTTATGTGTCGAAGCCCAAACCTGCAGGAACTTGGGAAATAGTTTGCTCATTTGATATGATCCGAGTTCCGTGCTCCGTATGTTGGAAATAGAAACACCAAAACATGATCCAAAATGTCTACAGATGGATGGACTGAATTGAAATGTGGGCATGAGAAAGCCATAGCATTGCAATACTTGCTTGGGTATAAGAACCATATTATAATCCTCCCTTGAACCATTTCGTGGCTACTGAAATTCTCCAAACTCCCCGTCATCAAAGCCCATATCCCCTATCGTGTTCGGATTTGGTGGCTCGAAAGTCTGACTTAATCTCTTCTGAGCCTTCAGTTCGGAAGCACTCGGTGGCGGAGGTAGGAAAGAGCCCAAAGAACCTCCTCCCGGTGGCGGCGGTAATGAGAAGCTCCCAAGACTCTGATGTGATTCTTCTTTTTCCTTCGGTGGATTCCTTCGGCCTGCTCGTCCGCCAATGTTGACAGTAATTGTTTCTCCTTCCTTCAGACTGAAGTCTCTCTTCTCTTCTTTCTTTTCTTCCTTCACTGGTTTCTTGCCTCCTGCTTTGCCATTGTCTTCCAGGCCTAACGTCTTCCTAACCTCCTGCAATGCCACGCCGAAGTCAAATGCTTCGCTCCTTTCTTCGAACCCTACTCCAAGAACAGCTTTCCTTCCTCCTTCCCCTTCAACCCTAACTGCGAAGAATCTGCTGGAGTCCAACACTTGCTCGACGATGCTTGCATTCGTATAGGGCGCTGCAGCGAATAGCTGTCCATTGCTTGGATCCTCAAGTAATATGTCCGTCTTCAACGTCTCACCAGTGGCTGTAGGTACCGCAGTCTCGAGTATCCGTAACCGTGCGGTAAATATCTGGCGCTTATTATTGTCCGCCGTCCATGATGCTGCTACATAACCTTTCGTACTCGTAAGAGGCGGGATGTTATAGACGTGAACCGATGCAGCGATGAAGAGGATTCGTTGAATGGCGTCTGCGGGGAGCGGACGACCCGTTGCGGGGTCGATTGAAGGTTCCATTTGGGGTTTTGTTTTGGGAGTGCAGTAGTGAGCTGGGTGCAGATTTAAAGGAGGGGCATATCGTGGCTGATGTTTCCAGAGGGAATGTTTGCTTGAATGGAGGTAAAGCGAAGAATACGAAGCACGTTGTGAAGGAATGGAAAGTGTATGAAAGCTGTCTCCAATCAAGGCTCCAAAGCCAGCATGCGTTCAGGGTCTGGAGGGGCGAAGGGAGCTATACCTATTTGGTATTCACTTTTCCAGGACCAGATGTATAAAGTAGCTTGGAATATATCTTAGTTTCCTTAAAATCTTAGCGCTGAATGAACTACCAGGAGTCTCTCAATATGTCTGTGAACATGGCCGAGGAATTGGTCAACCAGATAGCAGAATCGAATTTTGCACTAAGAAGTAGTATCACGTGATATAGAACAAAAATCCAGCCTTGAGGCTTTCAAAACAAATCGCGAGTTGATCGATTGACCCTCATCCACCTTCGAGATTACTTTGCACTCGATCTGTCAACAAACACAAATTTGCTTCGCAGAGACAAAGAGATGGAAACCGCCATGGCTGTCTTCAATCGTCGCAGTAAGTTCCCCCCACACTACGGTGATCGGTGATTATATCACCGACGACCGATGACGCCAGCGGCCGCAAACCCCGCTGGCTCCACCCGCGCCGCGACTCGAGAAATATTTCTGACGCGCTTTGCAGAGAAACCCGCTCACCTCAACCTACCCCGCGACTGGCTCTCGGACGACGAACCCCCATCTCCATCTCAAGTCTGGGAAGGCAGTACCACTCCCCCTCCACTTCCAGGCCGTCCCTTCTTCGGCAGAATGGACAGCGTCGGCAACGTCCCCCCCAAGACCTTGACCGGTACTTTCGAGTATGTATGAAGCTCCCTGGTTGAAGCTCACTGACTCATCGCGTCGCAGTATCGTCGAGACCTACCATCGTATCCTTGAAGATGATCCCGAAATCACCATGCCAGTTGCTGCTATCGAAGCATTGGTTGAGCTCCTAGCACAAACCGACGCGGTCACTGTGTACGAAACCCTCGATCTCATTCAGACCCAATCCGCCTTCTTGAAGATGAACATTCCCAACTCCATTCCTCTCCAAGCTGGTACAGAGCTCTTCCAGCAATACATCCTCTCTTGCCTCAAGCCTTCCAAGACCAGTTCCGGCAACTTCGAAGCCGTTCGTCAACATTTGGTTAGCAACGGTAGGCTTTTTGTTCATCGCGCCAAGAACGCTCGGGACATGATTGCTAGGCACGGACAGAACTACATTCGGGATGGAAATATCGTCTTGACCCATGGCGGATCGAGAGTCGTTGGGGCTTTGTTGCGAAAGGCTGCGGACGTCAAGAGAGCCGGAGGCAACGTTCGCTTCAAGGTCATTTACGTTGTGAAGGACCAGAGATCCATTGAATGCAGAACTGTCATTGACTCGTTGAGAGCTAAGGGCATTCCGGTTGCTGAGATTGATGAAGGCACGGTCGCATATGCTATGAGAAAAGTCGATATGGTCATCGTTGGTGCTGAGGGCGTCGTCGAGAACGGTGGAATCATCTCAAGATTGGGCACTTTCCAGATTGCTCAACTGGCCATGGCTGCCAAGAAGCCGTTCTACGTCGCCGTTGAGACGCATAAATTCGTTAGAGAATTTATATTGTCACAAGACGACATGGAATCCGACATTGACCAGAAGATCATTCGTTTCGAGCCTGATTACGTCGAGGACCCAACTCCCAAGACTCCGATCCGCAATGCCGTTGACTTCACTGTAAGTTCCAATTCCTAAAGTTGGGGCATTGCTAACATCTCATTAGCCCCCGAAGTACATTGCTGCCCTCATTACTGAGAATGGTCCCAACGTCGTCGCTGCCGTTAGTGAGCAATTGATTTTCTTGTACAGCGTCTAGGCGTGTACATGTGTACCAACATTGTAACATACACCAATAAAGTCCAACGGGCCCGTTTCGGGTGGGCAACGACGTAACGACATGCAAGGAAATGATAATGAAAGATAATGACCATCATCTGACTGTGCTATTTGAATTCTTGTGACTTATCTCGTGTGCCATGTTGAAGAAGATATTGTTGTGTATTGCTCCCACTTCAGTCGAATCACGAAATCGAGGACCAGACTAGGATTCCTTCCCACCAGCATAATGGATCATGCAGCTATTCTGCAATGCAAGACATCAAGCTCTTGGCATGCAGTCTGCGGTTCGAGATTAGCATTGGACGACGATGAACGCCAAGGAAAATTCAATGAGAGAAAGGAGTGAAACTTTAGGCAAGAATATTCATTCTAATAATATTGATTCGTAAATTCATGAAGTCGATGACCCATCCAGGGTTCGGCAATAACGCACCGCAAGCATCGCATACCATCAAGCAAAGAGACAAAACCATATTATCCTAGCCACCATCCCAAATATCCATTTCCCAATCACTTAGTCCGAATCATCACCAAGTCCTCTGCTCCGACTTCTCGAATGCTTGCGGTGATGACCATGATGATGCCCCTGAGGAGCCAACCCATACTGACTCCCACCATACTGAGCCTGAGCACCATACTGTCCCTGCTGCTCCTCCCACTTCTTCTCCTCCTTGTGCTTCTTGTGACGGTGCTCCAAGGCGTTCGCTCCGATCGCTCCAACCACTCCTCCGATGATCGTACCCAGAGCTCCACCGCCGAATTCGTGACCGGCGAACCCTCCTGCGGCTCCACCGACTAGTGTGGCGCCGAGACCACGCTCGCCGTTGGGTCCTACTTCTCCGGGAGCGAGTTGGCCCTGGGGTCCTGAGCGGTCTTCACCGTAGTTGGGTTGGCCGGATGGGTAGGGTGGTTGTTGGGCTCCCTGGCCATAAGGTGGCTGTTGACCGTAAGACGGTTGCTGGCCATATTGTGGTTGTTCCCCGTATGGAGGTTGCTGTCCATATGGTGGTTGTTGACCGTATGGAGCAGGTGAGGGAGAGCCGTAGTTTGGTTGAGGAGGATAGGCTTGGTGTTGAGGGGGGTTGCCGGAATAGTTTGGTTGTGGGGGATATTGACCTTGCTGGCCGTAGTTGGGTTGAGGAGGGTATTGACCCTGGTTGCCACCGTAGTAATCGTTGCCAGACATGTTGACTGTTGTGTAGTGCTGTAGCTGTGAAGAGCTTGTGTGGTTGGAGTTTGGAGGATGTGAAGAAGGAAAGAAACAGACCATGAGACGAGGAGCCTCTTTAATATAGCTAGCTGACTGTTGACACTGGCCTCAGAGCTGAGTGAATAACAAACTTACGTGCTTTAGCGGGGAAGCAGCTAGATTGGAGGGGCTGGTCGGGCTTGGGTCGAGTAAGCTCCTGCGGCGCAATGATCGAATCATAACCACAGCTCAACATGCTGTCCTCGAATCACAAAACTGCCTGACGGCCAAACGATTCCATGCGCGCGGGTGACATCTTCGCAAATCTTCCGAAATGGACCGCTGCTCCTGCCGCGTGATGGTCCAGTGGCTGTGGGAAGAATTGGGATGGGTGCTGAGTGCTGAGATGTTGCTTCTCGAAGTTCTCAGAACGTGTGGCAAGGCTGAGCCTTCGAGTGACGTCTCAGTGGATTACGAACTTCCGGGCCCGCCGAGTGCGTCTTGGAGGTGCATGATAGGCTATGTCGCGTTGGCAAAATGTGTGGAGAAGTTCTTGAGCTTTTCGTAGGGCTGTGCTGCACTGCGAACTTTCTGCACCCCAAATGTGGCGCAGAGCAGCGAGTAGGTACGAATGCGGCAAATTCTTCTCAGGTTTTCCGATACCGAGCAGCCTTTGTGCAACTTCTGTTCCGATGTTAAGATGTGGCATTAGCTATTGGAGAAAGCATTGTACATTTGAGTGGTGTAAACTATTTTGGCTCTAAGTCTTGATGCATCTGTACTGCACTTGTACTGCATCTATGGCGAATCGATGGAGCACGCGGATGTCCGATAGGCTACGAAAGAGCGTTGATGCTTTGGTTCTCGATTTATTTGACAGACTTGGAAGATTGTTTTCACTTGGCGGAGACTCCATAGTCTCATCAAGAAGCCTCCTGATTGCTACTCTTCTCTCTTTACTCTATTGAGGAAGACAATTTATTTTGGTATGCTTTCTACGAGCTGCTTTTCCACGTTTCAATGATTTCGAACCGTCTTAATTCGTTATTGTCTTTGCTAGCTGATGATTCTGAGTGTTCTGCCATTTCAATAAGAGCGACGTTGGAATCATCGCTCAGACCCTTCGAGCGCCAACTACACTGTCATATAGTTTACCAATCTGACTTTTATGTACCTTTGAGGCTTCTGCTTTGAAGACTCAACGAATAATTTCTTTAGATGATCAGATTTCTCTCATTTGCATTGAAATCATTGCTTGGAGACATTGTCTCTTTGCATTGTTCGATTCTTCTCTGCTCAGCGTACACTCTATTCTACAATGAACTGGTGTTGCCTAACTATGTTAAGATGTAAAAAATGAGAATCATAAGTTGATATTGTGTTATTACCTCTTATCACTAACACGAAGGACAGTAGAGATTACGGTCTCAGAAATTAGCTATCATATTTTGTTACTTGTTGCTTATTGATGCTAAAGATGCCCCGACATCATCCTTACATCAGCCTCTCGATAGTAGAATGGGCACATTATCCTAACTTGTCATCCTTCGATCGGCTACTTCCTCCCAGCTCCACGTTGCAGATTGTCATCACTGCGTCTTGGACTAGGATAGTCCTCGACATATGGTTGGCGATAATTCCTATCCTCTTCCCACTCACGACGCATTTTTGCCTCATGAAATTTCCTATGGCGTAAGATAGGATCATGGTCATATTGAGAGAGTCCCGGATCAGAGTCGTGATGTCCCTCCGGGGTGGATCGCCGGGAATCACGCTCCGGGCTGTCACGTTCTGCTCCATGATTGCCAAAATCGCCGGCAGGTGGTCCTCTGCCATGTGCAGCATGATGTCGATGTCCATGAAAGCGATGCTCTGGTGGATATTGTCCTCCAGGAAATCGCGGCATCTGTTGAAGAAATTGATCTCTCGGGTCGCCAAGGCCCGTTGCGTTAAGTCGTTCTTCGAGACCAAGTACCAAGCCAGTATCGAACCCTCCGTGGAGCCCTTCCATGCCCGGCATCCCTCTCATGCCGCCAAGACCTCTGTGTTGTGCTTCCATACCTGGAATGAAGGGCATGCCTCTCATTCCTCTTGCATCCTGATGGAGTCCTCCACGAAGTCCATGACCGTGACCCATGCCAACTCCGACCCCGATTCCTCCTACCAAGCCCGGTGGAAGTGCTCCGCCCAATCCACCATCAAATGGCCCATAGGGACCAAAGCCGCCAAGCCCACCTCCAGGCCCGCCAAGATCGCCGCCCATTCCTCCAGGCAAGCCTCCATACACACCACCCATTCCCACACCGTTAAGCATATCTACCCTGGGGTCTCGTCCTCTGCCCATCGGGGGCATATCAAGCCGAACTCGACCTCCTCGGGGATATCCAAATCGTTCTCCAAATCTGCCACCTGAATCACGTTCGTCAAGAACAGCGAACTCGCGTCCACCATAGACGTATCCTCGATCACGATGATGAGCCCTCTTCGCACGGACGTGACATCTTGCCTCTAGACACATACTTGGTGTTTGAATGAGAATAACTCGCAATTCCTCAAATTGCAGGCTGTACACTGTGGCTGCCTGGAGATGTTGTACAGATGGTAGGACAAACGAGAGCTGAATTCCTCAACTTGAGTCTGGCGGTGTGGCAGCAATACGAATTTGAACAGCGGATTCAGAGAATATATGTGAAAGTGCTGACGCCACTTGGCTAGTAAGAGCAAACATTTTATTAAAATATGAACGTGCCAGCAGAGAATGTGATGTGAGTAACGTAGCAACTCTTATCAATACAGCAAGTTCATGCATACAGGAGGCCCGACTTTTGTTTGCTCTGAACAGGTGCTCGTACAAGCGATGCAATATCTGAGGTGTCATGCCAAAAAAGACATTGTGTGACCTGGGGCGGAGGGGGATTATGTAGTACCACAAAGATGCGTTTGACGAGTCAAGCCCCAGTAGAAGCAGCTTCCCGACTAATAAGGCGAATATGAAAGGAAACTAAATCAGACCAGATTAGGGAAATAGAAGAGTGAAGTCAGCATAACCTTGTCTTGATCTTGATGGATCAATTGAATTAAGGATGTCTTGTGATCCTTTGTCCGCGCCGTCCCGTCTTGACTCGGGAAAAATCCCATAGAATCTCGCATGCTTGCCGGACACTGACGCGATCGATCTCAGCAAGTCAGCAACGCAGGAGGCTGGGAAGGCAGCACGTGAGTGCTTCAAAGCCAATAATGAACTTCAGCATGCCCTAAACATCCATTGCGTACTGCATAATTCGGATATTTTGAGGAGGGGTAGATATGCTGCAACAGTCTTCATACCAGAAGGCCTGTACATAGAGAACTGTAAGATTAGAATGGAAATGTGTTGTGATGCTCAGGCGCTGCATATTGAGCCATCAGGGACAAAGAACTAGTCCATAACAGGCAACGCTAAGACCACCAGTCTCGAGAGCTTTTGAACTTTCACGAACAACTTCTTTTGCGAAAATTGTTGCTCACAACCCCTTTCGAACGAACCCCCATATCAAACCTGATCCTTTTCACATTACACACATACACGCAATCTCAGATTCTCTTCTGAAACCTTCCCTACCTGCCGACATATCCAAAATTTCCCTCGAGCTCATTAGCACTTCGCGTCCGATCTTTCTCCAGCGCGAATCGTTTGGTTTTGGACCCTGAATTTGCATCTACACTGCTTCCAACTCATTGTCAATCATGCCTTCACATATGCCATCTAGCTTCGCATCCGCGGCAGCAGGTCAAAGTTCGAGTCGCGACCGAAATGGCAGGGGCGATGGCCGAGGGAGCGGGGACTGGTACGTTGCCTCCTCACAATTTGGTGTTCACGGCTTTTCTAAACCACTGTTTATCCTTCCCTTTGCTTGTGAACACTGCTTGATCCGAGTGGTTTGCTGGACTACTATATTTTCAGATTGAAATAGTCAAGCCTTGCTCCTTTCCATCTCTGCAGAAGCACAATGCCTCATAGCATCAAAGCCAGCAATACGCGACCGCCCCCCTCTCCACCACTTGCCAATATAGTCGCAGCAGCCATAGCTAACGCGATTAAATCTCAAAGGGCTAGGAGAGAAAATCGACCAACGAATGGAATAGCCACTTTCCGTCGTCCGTCTAGCACCCCGTTTGCGCAGTCTACTTCCCAAGCAGAGCCTCCGCTTCCAACCCCAACTACAGAGACTCCAATCTCGCACCAGCCAAGCACGACTCTCGAACAGCCTACAGACAGTTGCCGCTACTCGAGAAACTTCCTCCTTGACATCTTTCAGCAGCAGAAGGAGTCAGGCGCGCTCAAAGACGACATTTCGCACCTGTACGCTGAGTCTTGGAATCCAGAACAATCAAGTGCAGCAAATGGCCGTGGATGGGGTCGAAGTACTGACGGCAGGGACAACCATGGACCTGAAGTTTGCTGGAACAAGAATGCAGACACAGAGCCTATGGCAATGCAGGAAATGACTGAAGAAGAGAGAATTGTTAGTCGACCACCCGAAACATGGTACGCCGCTAATTTTAGCAGTTATTCTCTAGCGATGTCAACTCTCCTCTCAAGCCTCCACCCCAGAACAACAAGGATGGTGGCGCTCAGGGACTAGGCGTCAATGGAAGAAAAACCTCGATCTCGCAAGGCTCTAGTGCTTTTGGTCTCTCGTCACCTGCCTCTGCCAGCAGGCCTTCTACACGTCGACAACAAACCAGTGATTCAATCTCAGGTATGCAGTCACCTTCTGGAACTGGTCGATTTTCGAGGGATGAAATGTCTCCTTTCTTTGCACGAAAGGCCAATGAGCCGAAGGATGAGCTGGATGAACGTTCCGATGAAGGCAAGCCTAGCATGCTACCGTTTGGAGGATTGTCTCGAGCAAATACTGCCGGAAGTGTTCTGGGAAATGGGCCAGCGTCTCCTTGGGGTGCACCTTCTGCAACGTCAATGGGCAATTTTGGCAATTTCTCCCTCGGAAACTCTGCTAATCCACCGACTCCTATTGACAAGCGTCCGGTCTTTGGTAGAGGCGAGAGCCGCTTGGCACATCTCATGCCCAAGGCCAGCACCGAGGATATGTCGAAACCGGCAGAGCGATCTTGGAGGTCTAGCGGTCGGCAGCGACCCGATACAGCTGACACGGATCCGTTCGCTGGAGAGGCTCCAAGTGGAAGTGCTGCTCTTGGTGGAGGTCAAGACTCTAGCCCACCTCCCCACACCCAACCAAGGGTACCTGGCGGCATGGATACTCCGATCAGGGGCACGTCTGGCGAGTTCGGAATGGCTGATGTTCTCGGTTTCCGCGAACGAGGACAGGCTCAACAAACTCCTCAAGGTCATCATGAGGAGCAAGACCAGATGAGCCCGTCTGTCACGAATCCTTACCGTTCCCCACCCGATGACAGACACGACGATGACTCAAGTTATGATGATCACCCCCTGCATCATGACCGCCAAGGACTGGGTGGAATCCCCGAGCATGGAGCAGCTTTCGGTACCTCGAGCCGTGGTTATCCCAATGTGCCGTATGACGGCAGCGATCGTAGTCAGAACTCGAGTGCGGGCGCTACCAGAGGATTCCCGCCGACTTTGAGTGGATTAACAACACTTTCTGGTCTTGGTGGTGGCGGGTGGCCTACAAGCAGCAATGCTCTGGGAACCCCGGACCGTGAAAACCGACCTGGGTTTCCTTCGAGTGCTTTTGGTTCATCCTTATTCGGTGGCATGGGCGGTGATCTTCAATCTCCTGGATTCGGAAGTCATTCCGGCATGTTTGGAGCAAGCTCCAATGCTAATGTAACTGGAGCCGGTCGTGGAATTCGCTCTCTATTCCCTGCAGCTATGCAAGCACAGATGCAGGGTGGAGAGCCTGAAGAACGTGAGGATAGTCAGGACATGAGATCAAGCAATGCTTTTGGGACCATTGGCAGAAACGCGTTCCCTCCTCGAGATACCGACAGCCCCATGCGAACTGGTAGACTTGCTTTTGATGACTTTTCGCAATCCACCCTCTCTGATAGCGCTCAGGGTCAACCTGCTACCGGATTTCCTCAGGCCTCCTCTGCCCAATCGAACCATCAACCATCACAAGCATCGTCCGACTCAGCTTCTGGCACTCTGCCAGCGGCGCAGATGCGTATGATGGTAATGCCAGACCGAATGCGTTGGGTGTATCTTGATCCTCAAGGTACAACCCAGGGTCCATGGTCTGGCCTTGAGATGCACGACTGGTACAAGGCTTCCTTCTTCACCGCGGACTTGATGGTTAAGAAGGTTGAGGACGAGAAGTTCGAGCCTCTTGGATCAATGATACGACGAATCGGCAATTCACGTGAGCCTTTCTTGGTGCCCCAAATTGGCATTCCTCATGGTCCTCCCACGACAACAGCTGGAGCACCATTTGTGCCTGCCACTGCTGGACCGGGTAATAGCAGTGCTCAACCTGGTGCTGTGCAACCACCATTTGCAAACTCTTTCCCAAGCTTTGGCACTACCTTGACAGCTGAGCAACAGAACAACCTTGAGCGTCGCAAGCAAGAAGAGCAATTCTTGATGGCTCGTCAACGTGAATTCTTAGCTCAGCAACAGGTAAATATGAAGCAGATGCAAATGAGCGGCTTACCCTCGACTCTGCATCATCATTCTAGTGCGCACAGCCTACAAAGTCAACCCAGCTTCGGCAGTATGACTTCGCCTATTGGAATGCCGCAACAACCCCCATTGCCAGGTGTTGCAGGCTTTTTCGATGGTCCTCCTAGACCAATGCCTGCCCAAGGTGCAACAGGAATTACTCCGGACTTCTTCCGTGAAGATGAGCTTGCGCGCTTGAGTATTCAAGAGCGTCAGCAGCTTTTCGGGCCTGGTGCACAGGGCCCGCAGCACTCTGTTCATGCTCAGCAAATTGCTTCCATCTTTGGTCAACCTCAACGTCAAGCTACTCAAAATGAGCCTATGGACTTCAAAGCTCGTCTCCAGGAGTTTGAACATCTTAGAGCACAGCATGAAGCGGAGGAAGCCGGTGGACTACCACCAACCTCTGCACCTATGATGAGTGAGCCCATTGGACCCCCCGCTCAATCCCAGCAATCACACAGCCAACATATGTTTGAGGAGCCTTCTGAGCTGGAACATGAAGAGGAGCATCATGATCAGGAACAGGAGGTTTTGTCTCTAACCCAACGAGTACAGAAGGCAGCTTCCGCAAAGGAATCACCTGCGACTGTAGCACAACCCGAATCCCCATGGGCAAAAGTTAATACTGGTCTGCCAATGCCATTTCCCCCGCCACCTCAGTCGACTACACCCCTTCCTGCACCAACCGCTCAAAGAAGTCGATCAAACCTTCCGGAAGCCTTGAATGTGGAGATCAGATCGCGCTCTGAAACTCCTGAAGCTGCCAATGCCACTCCTTCGCTCGCTCCTTGGGCCAAGGAACCCGTTGAAGCTCCTAGAGGACCTTCCTTGAAGGAAATTCAAGAAGCTGAAGCAAAGAAGGCTGCAAAACTTGAAACGATCGCTGCGGCTGCTCGTCGAGCTAATTACGAGCAAGAGTTGAAGATGCTTGCTAGTCAGCCAGTCGCTCCTGCTCCTGGGTTGCCAACAACCTCAACTTGGGGTAACAGTGTTTCACCAGCCACTCCTACAAACGCTCCATCCGCGTGGGCCAAGCCGGCTGCTACCAAAGTTGTCGCTGCCAGCAATGTTGCTTCGTCCAAGAAGACACTTGCAGACATTCAACGTGAAGAAGAACTCCGCAAACAGAAGCTCGCTGCTGCCGCCGCGGCCGCCCAACCGACTCCGGGAGTTTCTGGTGGTAAACGTTATGCTGATCTCGCAAGTAAGGCGACAATAAGCGCACTTCCTCCTGGTGGCTCTGCCTGGTCAACTGTGGGACCCAGTGGCAAAGCCAGAGTTCCTACCGGACCAGCAGCTGCCGCCCCTCCCACTGCTCGTGCTGTAAGCAGTGCCACCGTTGCAACGATATCAGCTCCTCGAGCTGCAAGACCAGCACCGGCCACGCGCAGTGCCACAACCTCGGGTCAAAGCAATGTCAGTGCGGCGAAGGAAGAATTCATTAGATGGACCAAGGCTGCGTTGGCGAACAGACTCAACTCCGGCATCAACGGTATGTGTGCTCCGCATGTTAATAGAGCGTTAGCTAACCCTTTCTAGTCGATGTATTTGTTGAAGGTCTTACTAGCATTGGAAACGATCCCGAACTCATCGCCGATAGCATTTATGGCTCTACACAGCTTATGAACGGCAACGATTTTGCTGCCGAGTTTCTTCGTCGTCGCAATCAAGCTGAAAAGGGCATCGTTGAGGCATCTGTCAGTGGTTACGGAAGCGCTTCTGGTGCAGGTGATAAGTCTGGAGGATGGAGTGAGGTCGCTAAGAAAGGTCCACCGAAGGAAGAACCAACTGCAGGCTTCAAAGTTGTTCCCAACAAAAAGAAGGGCAAGAAGTGAAGTGTACAAAAATAACTGTATGATTATATGTGCCCAACGTCATATTACGGATGTCATGGATAACACAGAGCGGTCTTGCATTCTGAGGATGGGGTGCATATCAGCGAGCTTCATTGCATGGTTGTGTGGTGCATTCTTGTTTGCACGTGTATTCTGTGTAGCGGTAGTAAACATTATGTATTTTTGTACTGAAATTCTCGTTCCCCAATGCTGAGTGACTGTACGGGTTTTGGACAATTTGACATAGATGCAAGACGTTGACATGACGGAAGTAATTTTGCGATTTGGATTTTTGTCCACTCGCGCACCAGACTCGCTTGTATTTGCTTACAAAGATGGTTCCGCCTCGAATATAATTTTCTTAAATTTTTGCACCTGACAAGCCATGCACAACTACACCCCCAAAATGTCTAAGGCTTCTGCGACACCATTCAAGAGCTTCGACTCTTTACTCTTCGACTTTAATGCTTTGAAAAATATTCCAGAACTTGCAGATCTGGTATCGTTGTTTTTGGATGGCGATTATAAGGCAGTTTTGAGCAGCCGCACCTCGCAAATTCTGTACGAGGAGCTCTTCGAAACCATATCGTCGTCGCGCAGCAAGCAAGATTCTGCTCTCCAAATCGAGGAACTGAAAACTTGGAATGGCGCAATCAAAGTCCTGCTCACTGGCCTGGCTGCGCTAAATGCTTTTCTACAAGCAAATGTCACGGGACCCCCGACCTTATGGCAGGATGTCTTTCCGCAAAAGCCACTGGACTTTGATTCAAAGTGTTTGAAGAGTCTGGATGTGGATGGTATATCGGTTTACCAATACATCCCTAACTTGGAACTGTTCTGTCTGGCGAGATTCATCTTCACGGTCTTCTTCCCACGAATAGTGGATGGAGAATACAGGGATTCGAAGTGGATGAGAATCAGGATCAATGCTTTTCATCAAAGACTATTGAGCGGAGTCAGTGCCGGAAGGCTGAGCGAGAGTGCTTTGTTAGTAGATGCTATTGATAAGGACATCAAAGACCTCGAAAGCGAAGTCTTTGCCGAGAAAAGTGCATTTGACACAGACGCCAAAGTCATGTTCTTGTTGGAGGAAGCACAGATATATATCTTGCAAAGCCTGGATCTGAAAGCAAGAGAAAAGGTCAGGAAAGCAAAGGAAATTGCCGGATTCGAGTACGAGTTGAGCGGCGCGTTGGGAAAGAAAACAAAGTTCCAGAAGAACGACATCTCACAGCTTGTTGTGTTTGCCAAGAGCAATGACGATGAGGAGGTAGATACAAATCACTTCACAGCGAACAAGGATCTGGAAAGATCAAATGGAAATGCACCCACGACTTTGGATCTCAACGATGATACGCTTCTGGAATCCATTTCATTTGCGAAATGTGGCAATGACGTTGTTGCAACATCGTCGCTCCCTCCATCACTCGCCAACCTCAAACCAGATGAACAGCCCCAGCTCAAGCCTCTAGACCAGATTACATTACTAACAGAAGCCACTCTCAAGGACACCCTTTCTCCATTAGACAAGCTCAACAGTGAAGAGATCTTGCCCTACGCAGTTCGTGTGCTAAATGACAAGCCTACAAACTGGCAAATTTACACGCAAGCCCTTCTCGTTAGAAGCCAGATCGAGTCACATCGCTCTAGAACCCAAGAGCGAAGTGTGCTTCAGCTTCAGGTTATCGTTGATCAAATCATCGCCGACACACAAGAACAGTCCGGGGTTGTCAATGGAGGTGAAAATGGCGGCATTCCGGAGATAAAAGTCACCTCGTTCCTTCCAAGAGCCAAAGTCGACGAGTCAGCTCCAGTAACAGAGAGATTAAAGTACATATATCCTTTAGCCTCTCCAACTAGATGGGAAATCGAAACTGAGCTGGCGTATGCTTGGGCTAGTGCTGGTTCATTTGTGTCAGCCTTAGAGATCTTCAAACGATTAAGATTATGGGCTGAAGTAGCGTTATGCTATCATAGCGTGCATCAAGAAGAGAAAGCTCGACAAATCGTCCGAAGACAGCTTTTCTTCTCGAAGAAAGGTACGGAGATGGACAAGTATGATGTTGATGAGAAAGAAGTTGTGCAGGAGAAATGGGATGGAGAGATCAGAGATCCAAGTCCGCCTCATTCTCCAAGACTGTGGTGTATTCTGGGAGATTTGGACCAAGATCCTTCATGCTGGGAACATGCTTGGGAAATTTCGAAGCATCGTTATGCTAGGGCACAACGAACTTTGGGAGAATATTACTCCAAGACAGGAGACCTGGACAAAGCACGAGCAAGCTATCTGCAAGCTACGGTCGTGAACAGACAGAATGGTGATACGTGGTCCAGACTTGGTGACATCGATCTCAAAGTCGGGAATTGGGACGGAGCAATTATCGCTTTCCAGCAATCGATAATGATCCACGAGACAGACGCGAAAACATACTCCAATCTTGGATCAGCACTACTTAGCAAGCATGCCGAGCTCACAAAAACCCAAAAGCTCGCAGCATCGACAGCTGCTCCTGCTATCGAGCCGCTTGATGACGAAGAAATCTCCTCTGTTCACAAATCTACACAGGATCCCCAATCTCTGCTCCGCCAAGCTTTGGCAGCCTACAAACGTGGTGCAGCTATTGCTTACACGAACTGGCAGATTTGGGACAATGTCATTACCATCGCTGGCCGACTTTCTCCTCCCTCTTTTCCAGATTTGCTTTCCGGCATGCGGTCTGTTATTCGGATCCGCGCTCCCGCCGTCGGTGAATTCGCTGTCGACATCGATGTCTTGCGAGCTTTGGTCCTTGAAGTAACGTCTAGCGAGCGACCAGAGAACACCCTTCCTGGAGAAAGCCCTGCGGAAAACAACGGAATCTATATCGCACCCAGAGGTAGTCTCGCAAGAGCAGTAATTGCCATGGTAAACACTAACATCATCCCACTAATCACTAAACGCGCCGAACTCTGGGCACTTGTCGAGAAGCTTTCGTTATACAGAAAGGACTATGCGAATGCATTAAGTTGTGCAGAGAAAGCTTGGAGGATGCTGAAGGATGGAGAAGATTGGCTGCTCGATGAGGAGAGGTGGAAGAGTGTTGTTAGTGCTACTGATAATCTTGTCAGTGCTTTTGAGAATTACGGACCGATGGAGATGGTTGGTGAGGATGGGGAGACGAGGGAGGTGGAGAAGAGTTGGAGGATGAAGGCGAGGAATGCAGTGAGAGGAGTCATGAGTAAGGGGAAGGAAGTATGGGAAGGTGGTGAGGAATGGGAGGCACTTCAGGCTTTGCTTGAAGGACTCAAGAGTTAGGTATAGAAAGTAATGAAGACACTGAAATCTCACCGACTTCGTGTCATGCTGAATCTTTCCACGTGTGTGTCTTTTCTTCGTATTCTAGTTGTGATTGCTTTGGGTATCGTTTAGAGAAACAGTATCTCAGCATGTGTCCCTTTCCCTTCTTCGCCTGCATTCCACGTTGCCCGCAATGTCTCATTGGTTGAGAAAGCCGGTCACACACATCGAATCTGCAGGGGCGGCAAACATTGAACTCATAACAATATATATTAAACTTTTATCTGTCCCTTGTTGCCTAGTATATCCTACTCCTACTCCTACTCCTTTTCCCAACATGCCAAAATAAAATCATTCCTTGTTGCCTTGTATATCCTCCTTCCGCGTATTCTTCATATTACACATTATTAAAATAAAACGCTAAAACAAAGCTTTTCTAATTACAATCTGGTGTCAGCTCAAATGAGCTATTAAAAATTATTTATCTATATTTGCATTAGAACGTCCAATGAATGTAGAGACGGGAGAACATACATGTAGTAAAATTAATTCTTCATCTGAAGTATGGCAACGACCCAGACTTGCCAGAGTCTTTTCTCGTTGCCTCAGATCTCTTTGGTACCATTACAGTCGCGACAATTGGCTTATGCGTGGGTCCAACTTGAATCGTCGTGGTAGCGAGTTCGAGTTGGGGAGAGGCTCTCTTGAACTTAGCACCCACTAACATTCTTGCTTTGTGATTGTTGTTGGTCGAGTCTGTATATTTAACTTGTCCTTGGGTTGGCTGGTAGACGGGTATCCGGATAACTTGATCCGCATAGATGAGATCTGGGTTCCCGATTTGTGGGTTTACGGCCTCAAGCGCTTTAAGGTCTATGGAATATCGTGAGGCGATGCCAGACAGTGTATCACCATGGGCGACAGTGTATGCGAATGGTTCAGAGAGAGACTTGGCAGGGACCTTGACAACTTGTCCGGGGTAGATAAGATTCTTGTTCTCGATCTGGTCATTCAGTGCCTTTAGTTGAGAGACGGAGGCTTGGTACTTCTCAGCAATTGACGCGAGGGAATCGCCCTTCACAACATCGTAGCCTTGTGCTGGGACGTGGACCTCATCTCCTGGTTGAATGATATCCGGGTTAGAGATCTGAGGGTTTGCAGCTTCCAGTAGGGGTAGATCAGCGCCATAACGTTGAGCAATCGACCATAGCGAATCGCCTTCGACTACCGAGTAGTCTGTTGCAGCTGGAATGTTGCGGTTGGAGTTGAAGTATGACGCGGCAAGACTCTGGTCTTGAGTTGAGAGTTTGTGGACTTGGCCATCAATGCTGCTCACGTAGCAATCACAGGATCTAGCGACCTGAGTAACAATACCATCGACCTTAGCGTAGTAGAACTCGCCATTTCCGGGATCGTAGTAATTGATAGAACCGTCATTAAAGATGTCTTGCACTAGAGAGGGAATGTCGTTATTGATAGCTTGGGCTTGAGCTATTCGATTTTCGGAAGTCATGGAATTACCCTCAGGGTCGAAGATACTGCCATCGTAGAAGTTGTAGGGGGAGTCGAGTTCAGGCGCAAAGGTGAGACCGTCAGCTGGTGCCTGAGAGCCGGTAGATGATGGATCAGGCTGAGCGTTTTTACTATCGTCGGATTCCTGACCCTGTGGCCAATCCATGTACGGATTTTCTTGATCGGGAGCTTCCGATTGTCCTTGTCCATCACCGTTGTCCGGTGGCTGCTGGTTCGGTTCTTGGCCGTGCTGCCACCCAGTACTTGGCCCCTGTCCTTCCTGCTCATCACCATCATCACCCGATGGCTGTTGCCATTGTCCTCCTTCCTGACTGTTTCCTTCGTTGCCCTCAGGTGGTTGCCCTGGGTCCTGACTATCTCCGCCGTTGCTAGGAGATTGTCCGTAACCACCGTTATTGGGAGGTTGATGGCTGGGTGGTTGGCCGTTACCGCCAGCGTGAGGAGGTTGTCCGTAACCGCCGTCATTAGGAGGCTGACGGCCTGGCTGCTCCCCGTTACCACCATTATTAGGAGATTGTCCATAGCCACCATTATTGGGAGGTTGATGGCTGGGTTGTTGCCCATTCTCGCCATTGTTAGGAGGTTGTCCGTAGCCTCCGCTATGCAGCTGTTGACCCGGTTGTTGCCCGTTGCCACCATTATTAAGAGGTTGTCCTTCAGGAGGCTGGTGACCGTTCCCGCCGTAGTTGGGAGGAGATGGGTTGCCTCCGTTGTCTGGATTGCCTGGAGGCCCAATAGGCTGAGTTGCAGGAACGTTAGTGACAGTTGAGCTCAACATCGATTGGGCTGCATGAGTGTTAGGGAGACTGCTCGAGGGTGCTTGAGTTCCCATTGGGTACTCTGTTCCGCTGGTGCTGGCGCTATGTGTCGAAGAAGTAGGAAGTCGCGAAGTATCGCCTGACAAGTGTGAGATTGGTTTTCCGGTATGTGGTATATTGCTTGCAGACGATTGTGGGGAAGGATGATGAGATGTAAATGGTGCAAGTGTCGGTGAGATCTTGGTTGAGTTAGACTGCGACTTAAAAGTGGTTGTTGATGCCACGATTGTCTGTCCTTGGCTAGGCGCAGTGTTTGACGAATCTGAAGCAAAGCTAGTCGTGGCTACTGAAGAGAACCCAGGGGTCAAATCAGTCTGCACGGTATTGCTGGAAGTTTCGGACACGAGAGAAGCCGTAGGTGCAGTAAGTGCACTATTTCCCGAGCGGATGCTCGAAGCCCTTGATCGGGTGGTATTTGGCTCTGTCGGTGTGGCATGGAGCGATCTAGACGGGGAAGTCATGTGTCCTACCCTACCTGAAATATGGGTGGTGATCGCTGTAGACTTAACAGTCGTGGTTCCACTGATGACCGTAGTTATGTGACTGAGAACGCTTGAGAACCCTGGGAGTCTCTCGCTGGATAGAGCAATAGGTAAGGAAGTTGTTTTACTGTGACTTTGTGTTGCTTCTCCGGTTGACATTAGCCCCGGTGGAACCGATGTTGCAGATATCTGTGAGGTCATCCCAAAGTACGAAGAGAAGCGCGACATGAAGCCTCCAGTTGTGGATGAGACTGGTACTGAAGGTGCACTGGTGAAGCCAAGTGTGGGGGTAGCGGCTCTAGTTGTAGATTCGACGGACCTAATCGGAGACGGTTGAGAATGCGTCAAGCCAGGTAGAGAGGTTAATGCCGAGTTCACAGTACTGTGCAATTCTGAACTAGCAACGGATTCGATAGATCTGACCGAGGAGGACAGGGGAGATATTTGAGACGTTGATAAGCCAGTAGGCGCCGAATTATAGACACCAGTCAACGCCGAGGAACCAAGAGTCTTGCCAGACTGAATAGTAGAAGATCCGATGGGTCCGATTGGAGCAGGTGGTACACTCAAACGAGATGTAGGAGCTGCTGAACCAGAAGGAACGTTGACTTGCGATGTAAGAATGCTTCTGATGCTGCTTAAACTTGGTGGTGTAGTTCCAATGGATTTAAGCGTGTTGCTGAGACTAGGTGATGGCTCATTCGGGAGACTAGAGACAATAGAGCTGATGGCACCAGGAACACTTTTAGAGACAAAAGAAGGTTCAATTCGTATGCTGCTTGGGATGGAGACCACAGTTCCGGATGGAATCGAAGGGATAGTTGATCGTTCGCTTTGAATACTAGAGACGATAGACCCAATTGGACCAGGAATACCGCTGCGAATAGATGACGGCTCATTCAGGTGACTCGAGATAACAGAGCTAGTGGTACCCACACTACTGTGGTGGACAGAAGAAGGCTCATTTCGTATGCTGCTCGGAACGGAGGCCGCAGTCCTCGTTGGGATCGAAGAAATACTTGATGGTTCGCTTCGAATACTGGTGATGACAGAACCAATTGGACCAGGGACACTGCTGCGAATAGATGACGGCCTATTCGAAACCATGCTCGCAGTAGAGATAACACTCTGCGATAAGCCCGTTAACGAGGGCTTGTTCCCAATTCTACTCACGACTGATGAAGTTAAGCTTTCAATTGAGCGGCCTGCAGTAAAAGATGGCTTTGATAGATATGAGCTTAGACTTTGGATAGGTCCACCTGGATTGAATCCGCTCAAGGCCGAAGTATAATCGGATTGAGGTTGAGCTGTGGATGAAACTTTGTGAATGGTAGATAACAATGCTGATGTTGTAGGACTTGCTGGGGTTAGGGTCTGAACAGGTCCACCGGGGTTGAACCCGCTCAAAATTGAAGTGTAAGCAGAATGTACCAGGGTCTGGGAAACCGTATTCTGCAAAGACTCAGAGGTTGAACCGCGAATAGAAGATATAATTAACGGTACAGGCTCAGTGGACACTGTGGATGCTCTTTGTAAGGGTGAGGAAATTGCCGATTCGAGTGAATGCGTTGGAATAGGCGATTTGGGGGTCTGAATAGGACCTGGAGCATTGTTCGAAATGGAAGAGAGCAGTGATGATATCCCAATGGACGGCCGAATAGACGAGCCTGCCCCCAAATCAGAAGACACGCTAGGGGTGACAGCACTGGGTCGGCTTGTAGATAGTTCGGCACTTCGAGTGACAGAAGGATTCTTGTTCAAAGTAGATGACAAAGCAGATGTAATGGTTACACCCCCTGAAATCGTTGACTGCCCCACGCTCCCACTATGTATGGGGTTATGACTTAACACTAAGGACAGAACTGACTCAATGACGCTGTTTGTCGTTTGTGGGACTTCTGAACGTGAAACCACCCCCGTGGAGAGTCTTGACTTGACACTCCCGCTACTCATAGGAACGGACACCAAGACCGATGAGATTGCGGATTGAATACCACTGGTGGGGAATTGTGGCGATCCGCTGTGTGCAATTGGAGCCCCACTCAAAACGGATGAAAGAGTTGACTTGATAGGATCGACAAGAGCTGGACTGGATGAAGGCTCTTTCGAAGAGCTGCTGGTTATCAACGGAATCTTAGGAGTCGTAGAGCTGGGAGTGTTGACTGATTGGGAAGCAACGTGTATACTACTCAAAAATGAGGGAAG